AGTAGTTCTTTAATATCCTTTTACTATTAAGCTATTTCTTTAAGATTAATTAAGGACTTTAAGGCCTTAATCTAAACACCTTTAGTATTAATATACCCTTAATTATATAAGGTAGTGTTTATAGCTATATTAAACTTTAGTTATATCTTTTAGAGAAGTCTAATAGGAAGTAAGACTAAAGCGTCTAGCTTTTTATTAGCTAACTTCCTTACCTCTTAATATAAATTAAGGCCTTAAGCTTACTTAGAGGCTATAACTTCTTTTAATTTGTTAGGCTCCCCCTTACTTATATATAGTTTGTAGTTTTTAAGGGTAGTTATAGGTTCTATAGGCTTTAGTTATAGTAGAATAGTTATATTTATTTTAGCTAGTAAGGACACCTAATCTAGATTATAATTATAGTTACTATTATTATTAACCTCTATAATCTCTTTATTCTTTAAGGTAAATAAAATAGTTTTCTTCTTAATTAGCTAAAGCCTAACTAACTTCTTTATGCTATATACCTCCTATAATCTATCCTAGGTACGTTTATCCTAGCTAGTATAGTTCTTAGGAGGCCTGCCTTATTATACTATAAAAATATTAGTATATTCCTACTCCTTATCCTCTAGTTATACTATATATAGGCACTTAATATTACTTATTAGTGCTATAAATAGTAGATCTAAGGTGCTTTACTAAAGGTATCTAACTTATTAATCTAGGATACGCTTTACTAAGAACTTATAGTTTTTATTAGTAGATATATTTATAATATAAAAAAGTAAAGTAACTTAATTAGTAACTTTACTTTATTAGCTATCCTTAATTACTAAGAATAGTATATTATTTATTAGACTTTACTTATCCTACTTCCTTTAATACTAGGCTTTTTAGACTAAGATTATAAGATATATATCCTTATTAAAGGTATATTACTAATAATCTTAAATAAATTAATACTTATTAGACTAATAGTACTAATATCTATCCCTTAGTCCTAATACTTTTACCTAATCTAGTTATACTATACTAACCTTAAACACTTAAGTAGACCCCCTAGCTAGATAGAATTTTAATATATCTTAAGTTTACTTATACTATTAGTAAGGTCTTAATTAGTATTACTTAAGACTAGTTAGTTAACCTAGATATTAATAGTTAATTATTTTAGTTACTAGTAATCTTAGTACTAATAAGTAGAGTTTCTTTAGGACTATTACTAGGCTAGTTAAATTATAAAGGTACTATTAGCCTTACTATTAGTAAATAAGGGCTTATACTTCTTTTTATAAGTAATTATATTAAGAAGTCTGCTTTTAAACGTTATATACTTTATTAATTAAATAAAGGCTAAAAGGCTAATCCTTATCTTATCTACTACCTTTTCTATAGTCTTAGCGTTAAATTACTTATATATAGCCTTAATTAGGCTTTTATTAGAAATTATATAATAGCCTTATTACTTTACCTTAGTAATTATATTATTAACGCTAGTAAAAAGTGCCTTAGCTAAGTGTAGGTCTAAGCTAAAGATTAGTAATCCCCTTATAACTTTCTTAATTTATTCTTCCTTATTAAGAAATTAATTAACGTCCTATCTTCTATATTCCTTTAAGAGATAGGCTCTAGCCTAGACCTAAAGTAAGTCCTTAATTATATCCTTTACTAAAGTTTAATAATCTCCCCCTATATAGTAAGCTACTAGTATACCCCTTAATTAGTCTAGCACTTATATAAGCTTATATTAATCCTTATATTTTTCTAAGAAGTTAATAATATTATCTCTAGAAAAAACTATAGTACTACTCTAGCCTAAAAGGGGTATCTTAAAAAAGTTTAAGTTCTCTCCTTAATTAAGGACTATATTTACTATTACTTATAGGACCTTAGGCTAAATCTAAGCAGTAAGAGTAGTAAGGAGGGTATCTATAGAAAGGTTAAGTTCTTAAGAGATAAAGAGAGGTTTTTATTTCTAATTAGGTACTATAAGTAGAGGATTAGAAGTGTTACTACTCTTTTTATCCTTAAAAGGATTAATCCCCTTTAGCTCTTAATACTTAGTAAAGGCTAGTCCTCTTACTAAAGTAGTATTTAAGGTTAAGCCTAAGGTATACTTAGGAGCAGCCTCTTAAGAAAAGGTAGTATAGTTATTACTTATTATATTAGTTAGTAGTTATTTAGTATATAACTTATTAATTAAGTTAAAGATTCTAATAATTATATTCTAATTTAAACTTTTTAAGATACTTTTTAAGAGTACTAAAGTAATTTATCTTATTATCTAAGCTAAGGCTATACCCCTAATTAGTAAAATCTATATAATTATCTTTAGCCCTTACTAAACTTATTAACTAACTTTTAATAAAATAAGTCTTTTAATTTATTATAATTTCTTTATAAAGTTATAATAGTTACTTAAATTAGTATACTTATAAAAAGTCTTAAGGCTAATAGCTTTATATCTCTAGATTAAGTAATTCTTAAGGCGCTATCTTATATTAATTAACTATAAGCGGTGGACACGACTGGCTGGATGGAGAAAAGCGGGCGGGAGCTTTATTTAGCTTCTTTAGTATTTCTATAATCTATCTTAGTTATTATTATAAATTAGTAACCTTTAAGGTTCTAACTTATTATCTTAGTCTTATAATTAGGTAATTTCTATTATTTAAGTTACTAATCTATTACTTTATTATCTTATTATCTTCTAAAACCTTTAGCTTTTTATTAAGAAAAAAAATAAATCTTACTACCTAATTAATTTAGCTACTTATATAAATAGTATTATAATTTAAGATACTTTTATACCTCTAGAAGTAAAGGATTTCTTAGAGGATTTTAGTATATATAAAATACTAAAAGCGCGTAGGGTATAAGGGACTCTTACGGTGCAATAACTATATAGAACACTATAACTACTAAAAGTAATATAAGATTCCTTACTAATTAGTATATAAATTATATTAATCTATCTAGAATTAATATTAATTATAAGTGTTAAACTATAGAATTAAGTATAATTATACCTTAATTAGGTAGGTAATTACTCCTAATTATCTTATATTATTATAATTAAAGGTAAATTATAGAGAGGCTTTAGTTTAATTAGAAGGTAGGTATAAGTATAAAGGATAAATTCTATATGTCTATCTCTAAACCTATTAATACTAACTTATATCTACGTACTTAATTAGGATTAGAATCTTCTGATTAGTCTGTATACTACCTTACTCTAGGCTAATCGCCCTACCCTGCTCTAATATTACCACTTAATACTAACTATTTAGAAAGGTTAAAAAAGGCTTCTAAGAGTAGTTATATATACTAGCTGCTACCTAGTAAAAAATCAGCCTTCTAGAAGCCTAGGTTACTAACAGTAAAGTAAGGAAACAGAAGGCTGTTTATATAGATCCTAACATAAAGTTTATAACAATTAGAGAGGTGTAGTAAGCCTAGATAGAGGCTAGTGACGTTAAAAGTAATACAGATGAACCTAACGCATCTGATTTACCTAGTGAGGCCGAAAGTTGCATTATTGTGGCATCTAGATAATGTTAGTAGTTAATTAAATAAAGTGGTGGTTGTCATAATGGCGATGTTTTTAGGTAATCGTAATGTGGGGGTGATCGGAAAGTAGGTGCTTTGACTTACCACGACTGTAAGACGACGCGACACACACGGTGATCCAACCCCAATCAAGCATCCGAAAACAAGCAGCCAGCATGGCGGCACAAGCGACCGAGAGCACGGCGCAACCGACACCTTCTCAGAGCGAGCCCCACCGTGAACCCGAACACAGCAACCAGGTGCGCGACCACGAAAGCGACCAGCAGAGCCGGAGACGACAGCCGAGGCCCAAGACCGAGACAGAAGAGAAGATTGCCAAGGAAACGCCGCCGCTGAACCTGGATACATCGGTCCCGGGGCCGGACGGCGTGCAACGGGACCCGGACATGCATGCAGCGCGGAAGTCTAAACGGACTGCGGTGGCTCGGACCGAAGACCGGAACGGCTCCGAGGGGTCGCATCAGCCGCAGAATCGGCAGCAGGTCACGCCGCCGCAGAACCGACAAGTGGACAACACAAGCAAGGGCGGCGCGCCTTCAGTGCGCCTCGACATGGATCTAGACGTCGACATTGACCTCAAAGCGAAGATCAAGGGCGACATCGAATTATCCATATTGTAAGTGACCGGCCGTGTCTGTTGTTTGTTTGCGCGAATTTGTGGACGGTTGCTAACAGCATTAATAGGGGCGGTAAGCAGGGCAGGGGGTGAAATGACAAACGGCGCCTGTGCGCGTCACGATCAACATGAGTTAACGCAATTATGTATCATCAGTCAAGTCGATACTGAAGATCACAAGTCATTTCGGCTTCGATACCCTCCATGTTGATTGGCGCAATGTGAACCTGTGCCAGCGTTTAGAAACTAAGGGCTTACTACTGCCATCCTTGTTCATTCAACCCAGAGTATATTGTGAATGCGGCAACCTGTGCTTAGCCTTCTTCCTGGGGACTGATCTAAACTCGGGTCTTGTTTTTTCTTGTCGAAGCTTGTGCCTGAAGCGTCAGCCCATGTGCCATAGCGTCCGTAATGGAGTCTCGGACTGGTCTTGGATGTCCATATGAGTGATTCAAGACGCTCATCCAACGTCATTTGAGGCTGACTCCGAATCCTTAGGCTCGCCGGAGGGCCTATAGTTGCTCAACTAGTTCCGTCTTATGTGATTACCGGGGGTATCAGTTCCTCGAGGGAATACTCTGTAAGCTGCAGCAGATCTCAATCGCCAACTTAGGTACGCGCACCGACGACGCGCTGTTCAAGGAATGAGAATTCAGACAGCCATTAATGAAGCTTTTAATGTCAAGCAATGGTCGCCCAACGACTACAAAAGGTCTTCAATTTCGGCTTCTTAACATCCTGATTCTGCGCTTGCCAACAATAGAACGACTTGGAGCCTTTCTTTTCCTCTTTCATAATTACCTGCTATATTACCAAATTCCAGCTCATCAAAATGCGTTTCCAATACCTGGCTATTTCTGTCTTCGCTGCGTCGACAGTAACCGCCGCCGCGGTCCCGGTGGACGCAACCGCAGCAACGGAAAAACGAGATGTGCCCTGCGGTTGCACGCAGGACTACATCGGTAACACATGGGGCTGCAGCAGTGTGTTCCCTGGTCAGAATCACTGTCAGCAAGTGGGCGTTGCTGGCGATTACCCGGTATGTTGCTATTCACCCGCAAGGAACTCTTTCTTTTTGCCAGTGTCTTAGTTTTCTGTTGATAACCACCTCGCAGAGATGTTTGTAGTTCAACTCGGGGGGTCTCACCTCAGCAAAGTGTTGCACCGCGTGCAGTGACCGCTGCCCTTGCTGATCGCTCTTGACGGCCAACACCTGGGCCTCATGAGTTGCCGAAGCAAGCTATTATCGTCTACAGCATGGACATGAGGCAAAGACCGGGTCAACAGTAGACTATTGAGAGAAAAGCTGGTATAGGTTCAGGTATAATCATGTTCATTTTGGCTGTCATGTTCAAACCTCCTATACGGGGTGCTGAAAGTGATAGGGAAGGCTTGCAGCTACGTTATTTGGCATCTCATTCCAGGCTTATGATGGCTTCATAAAATTTCCTGTTCACGCATGTCCTTGCGACGCAGTGCAGTTGTAGCAATAACAACTGTGGTTCGACTTTTCCAACCAATAACTCCCCCACCCTATATCCGAACCACCCCCGCATCCGAACCACCTGAAATTCCCGTATTTCCCCTCCTTTATTAACACCACTACCTTTTTTAAACTATCATAATAATTGCTATTTATCGCCAAATAACGCCATTTTTTTAGGATACCTTCTTTAACCTATTATGAAGCAATATTCCGAAGATGAGCTCTAACGGGCCCTCCTAGATATATAGTCTGGGCAGTATAGCCTCTAGGCTACTGCTTACAGATAGGGTATACTATATATAACACTTTAGTATTAATACTTTAGTAGGTAAAGTAGGAATACTGCCTTTAAAGATAGGCAGCACTTATCCTAGGCCTAGGAGGATAATCTAGCTGCCTATATATCCCTCTAAGCTTTTCTTAGCAGGCAGATTACCTATTAATAAGTAAAAGGCCTAGCAGAGCGTATAATAGGCAATAGGTATCCTCTTATAGGGAGGAAATAGATAGCCTGATTTATATAGTAAAATCTATCTATTAGAACCCTCTAATCTAGAGTAATTAATGCCTAGTAATAGGCAGCCTATTCCCCTAAGGTTATCTAGGATTTCTTTTATTACCTTAGCAGTATCTTTACTATCTAGGGTATTTATCTATCTAATAGATAGAATATAAATAAGACTAGTATTATAGAGGGTAAAAAAGTTAATAGGCTAGTGTTAAGCTCTATAATATTATAATATATTTAGAAAAAGCAGCTAGGATCCTAGGTATAGGTATTTATTATTAAGTATATGTCTGCTACTAGGAGCTTCTTACCCCCCTTACTTATATATAAAGGTAAGTCGCTTTAGGCCTAGTAGTTTATATCTAACCTATCTAACCTATCTAGATATAAGGCTTAGTAATTTATAGTAATAGATAATAGCTAGATAACTAATAATATTACCCTTAAATAGCTAGAGGAGGTCTTTATCTTACGTACTAGGCCTGCCTAGCTAGAGGCTAGACTACTAGTTCTTAATAGGTATTATAGCTATATAACTATTAACTTTATATAGAAATACTAGCAGTATTATATCTATCTGTTATTTCTGCTACTATACACCTCTGCTGTCCTCTAGCCTCTAGATATAGCTGTCTTTAGCCTATTAAAGTAGGCCTATTACTAGAGGGTTAGATATCTAGATAACTAGGTAACAGATTTAACTGTTACTAGCAAAAGGGTATTTCTAGAGTGTTATTTTAAGGCCTATAAGGTATCTATTACAGTTATTAATATTAAGAGTAGCTAGAGGGCTACTAGGTTATAGCTAGTATCTAGAAGGCACCCTCTATCTAACCCACTAGTCACTAAGGCCTAGCAGGCCAGCCAGGCCAGCCAGGCCAGCCAGCAGTCTAGTAGCCAACAGTAGGATAAAGCCAAATCTATTATCCTATAGTTAACCCCCCATTAATCTGCTAATCTATAGCATTAATTACACTAGTTAACCTAGCTAGGTAAGGATAGGTTAGATACCTATACTATCTGTCACCTATCTAGAAAGGTGCAAAAGGGATATAATAAGCAGGCATCTAGAGCAGCCCTTCTAGAGAGGCAAGTCAACTTATTATAGGCCCAGTTAGATAATATACGGTCACACAAGAGGAAAAAGGTCCGCCTATCGCCCAACAGCACCTTTGCCACCATAGAGGATATAATCTAGGCGCAGAGTCCAGATGCCGGCAATATAGATAGTCCGGATAAATCCAGGGCATCCGAATTGCCCAGCGAGGCCGAAAGTTGCATATAGGTGGGCGGCAGAGATGGTGAAATAAGTGGTGATAGTGGTGGCGATGGTGGTGATGATGGTGGTTCGGATGTGGGGGTGGTTCGGATATAGGGTGGGGGAGTTATAAGATCAAACTCCGATTCTGACAGCTGGTCAGCATTTACGCCAGTGCCGATTGCGTTTGCCTTGGACTGCAATCTTGGGCTCTGAGTATCTGCAGGAGCCGAGAGGGGTTCCCACCCTAGGGGCCTTATCGGCAGAGCTTTCAACACATCAAGTAGTGCCTAGCCATCGATGCAGATAGTACTGTACCGATTCTATTATGTTTAAGGCATTCGGCGGATTGTACGACAACAGTGCTCCCGACCCTCGCAGAAGAATACATTTGTCCACGTCAAAGTGGCACCAAGCCGCTGTTGAAACATCTTCCTATTCGTTAAACGGGCGCAGATCCTGGGGCGACGTCGCAGTGGCGTGCCTCCTCGATTCCTGTCTGACATGCATTCGCCGGTCAAGCCAGTAATATGCAAGCCAGTAAGCAGCCAGAACTTTGCATTGACGGCCTAGCGATGAATTGGTATATGGAAGGGGGGCATTTAGCAAGGCATAGTCCACAATACTGCCAATTACAGGTGCGCACTTAGCACACACCCGGCCACGTGGCTCTGACAGGCGGCCGTAGTAACATTGGCACAGGTATCACTGAAGGACAAAAATGTATTTAAGAAAGAAGCCTGAGACGCTGACCTCGGTTCAGTGAAAGATGGGTTTCGCTTTCCTCCAGGTTGAGTCTCTGTCCGCAGCCTGGCAACCGCGAAAATGGAGATCGTAACTCTGTTTTTGAGCTTCATCAGCCTCGTCGCCGTTTCCTATGGCGTCGAGAAGGCATTCAATAGATTGAGACGGGGACGCCGCCTACCACTACCTCCTGGCCCCAAAGGCCTGCCCATCGTCGGCAACGTGAACGATTTGCCGAATTTCGACGAGTTAGTGGCTCTTCACTGGTTGAAGCACAAGGATGCATACGGTCAGTCTATTAACGCCACTCGAAACCTCCGTCAAGATCCAGCGGCGGACCGTTTCATGGCAGAAGACTGACCCTCGTGTCTCGGAACATGCAGGACCGATAAGCTCCATCACCACGTTGGGTACGACAATGATCATTCTCAACGACCTGGACCTCGCCTACGAGCTCATGGACAATCGTTCACTCAAACACTCCTCGAGGCCATGGCAGGTCTTCATCGGCGAGATGTACGTGCAGATCACCGGTCGTAATGAATAGCTGTTGATGCTCGGTCTCTAACGTTGTGGCCACTAGGGTCGGCGCCGAGAACCTTACCGGTATGTTGTCATACGGCGACCACCTCCGCGTCCACCGCAAGAACATGGGCCGCGTCATTGGTTCCAAGTCAACCGCGTCGCAGTACAACACCCTACAAGAGGCCGAGGTTGGCCATATGCTACTTCATCTGCTGGATGAGCCTGAACACTTGTTCGAGCACATCAAAAGGTTGGTTGACTGGGCGTGGCCGCGGGCAGATATGGCAAGAAATAACTTTCTGACACGTCCTTGATAGAGAGGCCGGCTCGTTGATTTTGAAGATTACCTATGGGTATACCGCGGAACCGTTCAAGGAGGACCCGTTGCTGCAGATGATTGACGAGAACAATGAGAACCTCATCAAAGGATGGGTTCCTGGCACCTTTTTGGTCGACATCTTCCCTTTCCGTAAGTCTGCCCAGCAATACGTCGGCGGCATCCTTTAAGACTGTCTGACACTTGATACAAGTTCGATACGTACCAGGATGGGTTCCCGGAGCGGGGTTTCAGCAGACCGCGAAAGAGTGGAAGGCCCTATTCTTCGCAACCAGAGACAAGCCGTATGCCTTTGTAGAGCATCAAATGGCGCAGGGCAAAGACGGCGGGTCGTTCGTATCACACCTCCTCCAAACATCGGACTCCTCCCCAGAGACCGTCCATCTCAACAAATTCTCGGCATTGGGCTTATTCGGTGGCGGTTCCGACACGGTACGATGTTTCCTCACGGATGGCACAAACAATGGGCGCTAATAGTTGTATTCTTAGACCGTATGCTCCATCGCCGCTTTTTTCCTCGCCATGATGCTTTACCCCGAGGCCCAGAAGAAGGCCCAAGAAGAGATCGATAGGGTTGTGGGACAGGGCCGGTTGCCCAACTTTCAAGACCGCGAGAACCTACCGTACATCCAAGCATTGTCCAAGGAAGTAATGCGCTGGTATCCTATCGCGCCCATGGGGCTCCCTCACTCCAGCACCGAGGACGACGTCTTCGAGGGCTACTTCATTCCCAAAGGTGCCATGGTGTTTCCAAACATCTGGTCAGTGATTCCCACACCGAGAGTCCTCGTAGGATATCCAGCTAACCACCTAGTCTGTAGGTATTTCGCCCGCGACCCCAAACGGTATCCCGAGCCCATGACATTCAAGCCCGAGCGCTTCCTCGCGGGTGAGGGCCGCGAACCCGAGATGGACCCCGGAAAGTACGTCTTCGGCTTCGGCCGCCGCGTCTGCCCCGGGCGCTACCTCGCCGAGAACTCCATCTACCTCAACATTGCCCAGACCCTTGCCGTGTACAACATTAGTAAACCGGTCCGCGATGGAGTGGTTATCGAGCCGGAGGTCAAGTTCCTCCCGGGTGTGGTCAGCCACCCGGCGCCCTTCGACGCCTCCATTAAGCCGCGGTCGCCACAGCATGAGAACCTGATTCGCGCCATCGAGGAGACGTACCCGTGGCAGGAGAGCGACGCGAAGACGCTGGAGAGTATGACGGTCTGATATCGTTTGGGTGTGCCATACCCCCTTCGGAGCCCAGGTGGCTAAAGGCAGTGCTGGAGTCTCCCACTTCCACGTCCCAGGACAGAATCTAGCCTCCCGGGGTTTCCGGACTATGTCCTGGTCAAGCTTTGAACCATAACAGTGAATGTCGTTTGAACAGTTCCAATTCCTTCAGATGAATGGAATACAATCTCACGGAGATGGGAATATAATCTTTGGTGGAATATGCCGTCACAACAGTTGTTGATCTGCAAGGTGCTTCGCGGCGAAGGTGGGAGCTACCTCTCGGGACTGGCAAGAATGCGGTGTAGACACATGAAGATTCGGATGATTAGTCTTTGCAAGATTTTCTTGAACCTGATTCAGGTCCGCTGGGCAGAAGAATGAACTCGAGGGGAGTTGGAGACCAAACCTACGAATGAATCCGAATTATCTGGGCTACCGCTTTCCGCGTTTCATCCTTCCCCAAAACAGTCCCCCTCCTCAAAGTTAAGCTAGAGGAGAAGTGCATAGAACCATGGATCCCACCACCTCATCTCAGGTCCTTTGCAAACAATTTTGTCGCAGCGTCCAGGGGAACGACAAGGAAGATGTCTGGCGTTAATGTATCGAAAACGAGGTGCATGACATCGTCGACCAGACAGCTTCCTTTTGACATCGGTATAGGTTCCCAAAACATTCGTGTCCATTGGCTGGTTCCAGTGGTGTCAACAAGACGGAGGTCTAACTTTTGACGGAACATCGACTGTCCGGTGAGAGAGTCAAAACTGATTCAATTACAGGCTGCAGGCAGACATTTTGTCGCAACCTCGTCAATCTCCCAATTCGTCGTTTCAAGACGGGCTGATTCGAGAACACATCCAAGTTATAAAAAACAGCCGGCCCAGATATCGAGGTCGATGAGTGATTTCAGGTACATTCGAGTCACGGGTTTTGGGGGGGACCAGGGGCGAGGAGGCGAAGAGTTAGACAAGGACTCCCAGGCGGTGACTCCCGGCTCCGCACAATGCTTCAGAGACCTTCCATAACGCTAACGCGAAACATGATGCCAATGGATCATGGCGCTGTAAGTCGAAAACGCGGGACCCCACCCAAGGACAATGTTTAAATGAGGCGTTGGACGGCAGTTAGACACAGCTGAGGGCTGATTCAGGAACTCTTGACAGGCGCCCGAAGTCCCATGACCAATAGTTCGGTTGACAGCCAAAGTAGAGTCAACAGACCGGAAATAACTTAGGCTTCGTAAGTTTGTTTGACGCGCCGGAACAAGACCAGCCTAACACGACCACCGTTGCGAACCTTGAGATGGCGGCCCGGCATTCGTCTCGGGGAGCATCGTGGACACCGAGTGGCGCCAATATGCAAAGTGTCAAGTGGAAGTTAGTAGTATTACGCAACAAGCCATCTTGGAAGCCTTTTGGGCTTCTGGGTCCAATTATAATGTGTCTGCTCTATGGATACCGGTACACTATACGGAGGTGCGTGTCAAAAGTAGTGATCCAGAATGCCAAGACTAGAAGTAGGGAATCTGGGAGGAAAGACTTCAAGATACCTGGTCTTATCAGACTCTTAAGGGACTCTAGAGTGTTAATAAACTATAGGCTCAATCTCTTAGGGGAGAATAGTTTAATGTCTCAGGGGAGACAAGCACACTTTAGGTATAGTAGGTAGGGAGAAGTATAGTGAGCGTCAGGCTCTCATGTACTTCCTTGTAATGATACTGTTGGCTAAGTGATTCTGCTCAAATTGTCTTGGCATTCTGGATCACTACTTTTGACACGCACCTCGGTACCGAAGAGCAGAAATGCCAAGCTTTCAACCCCCCCTCTCGAAGAAACGCAGTGTGGTTCTCCAAGGCTCGATGCCGAGTGAACGGATGTACCGAGGAGCTCCGAGCTCGAGGGTGTTTCGCCGAGCTCCCATGTTTGTGATTCGGGGTTCCTCGGTGAGCGTGTGATGGAAAAAACATTGGACCAATGGGAACGAGAGCATCCTTCTCCATCTGTCGACTAAGCTTATGTCTGGAGCATTGGCGTTATTGTTCTCTCTCACGCACAGATAAGGTGTACACTAGGTGACTACGTATTGTGACGGCCGTTTACTTTCTACTGCAGCTGGCAGCTGGCATCTGTCATCTGACATGTGGCAGCTGGCACACATACCCGCTTACCTAAACACCCGATACGTATCCTTTCTCACTTGACTTGTTCCCTGTTCCCCGTTCCCCTCCTGCCTCCCCACCCCCCCCCACTTTGAGCTACCGTACTACGTACTTTGAGCCGTGTGCAAGCTGCGGCCTCAAATCCCCGACAAACGAGCCAAATCCAAAAACCCCGACCACGACCACGACGACGAACGACAACGACAACTTCCGATACAACCAAACCATCCTGATTACACATCCACCCCCCCTTCCGACTCGACGCCTTCTAATTGTTAGATCCTGGAGTCTGAGATGCGATAGACTCGACTCGACCGTCGACCCGACTCATGTCTCTGGAACGGTAGAATCCGAGAGCGAGAGAGTGTTCGCAGGATACTCGACCCCCCCCCCCCCCAATTTGTCATCCTTTCTTGAGCTCTTACCACCAAAGGGCGAGGGTGTGTGTGTGTGTGTGCGTGCGAGCGCTCGAATGCGTGTCATCTCATCCTGTTCCTCGAAAGCTTCTCCTTCTCGCATCCTACCAAACCCTGGTGGCTCTCTCTGCTCCTCCTCGACCACAGCACACAGCTTTGAGCTGCCAGAAACCACACGACCAAGTCCATACGTTGCCCAAGATACGCCATGGAAATATTTCCGCCGAGCCAAATGTCGAACCCCGCGACACCCGCGCACGCGATGAGCGCCAACCCCCACCAGCATTCTCCCAACTCCCCGCCCACGATCCACGAATATACCTCCCTCGCTCGCCATGGCGCCACCTCAATATCCCCCGATCAACCCGTCGCCATGACGCCCTCTGGCCAACCCGCCCTGAATCCGCGAAGCTGCGTCACCTGCCGGAAGCGAAAAGTCCGCTGTGACAAGCAGATGCCCTGCAGCAACTGCCGTCGCGCCGTCATCCAATGCATATTCCCAGCCCCGGGCCGCGCTCCTCGTCGGCCGAGGCCAAAGGATCCGAACGCGCCGCCCAAGAACTCGAGTGAACGCGAGGTCGAGTTGATGAAGCGCTTACGCAAACTCGAGGGTATCGTCGAGGAGCTGAGCGGACAGATCGAAGTCGAGAGCGGCCCGGGGAGCAATGGCGGCCGGCATAACACGAGCACGGGAAACTCGCCAGAGACTTTTACGAATGAGGTCGGCAGCGACAGGATAGCCAGCACGCAGAGCAATAGCACTCCCACCTCTGCGCCTAGGGAGGCAGCCTCGCCGAACAGGATGAACACGAACTCGGACCCGAAGCGGCCACAAGACAAGCAGACGGGGCTCAACAGGGAGTTCGGCAGGCTGGTCCTGCACGACAAGGGGAAGTCGAGCAGATACGTGAGCAGCGCATTCTGGTCCAAGCTCAACGACGAAGTAGGTCGCCCAACCCGTATTTGCATCCTGCTGCTGACACGGAGGCTTTGCAGCTCGACGAGCTGCGGGAAGAGACGCGCGTTCTCGGCGCCGATACGGACGACTCCGATATCGAAGACACACCCGACCATTCCCCCCAACAGAGCGTGGATGCTGCGACGGATCATCACGCCTTCATTCTGGGCTACCGGTCTTCCGACGTCGACCTGCGCAAGCTGCACCCCCTGCCGTCGCAAATACCCTTCATGTGGCAGGTCTACCAGGAGAACGTGGAACCGTTGCTCAAGATACTGCATATCCCTACCATGGAGAAGCTCATCCGCAACATGCGACGGAGCATCGATGAGCTGACTCCGGGGAACGAGGCTCTTTTGTTTTCCATCTACTATGCGGCCATTACGTCAATGGAAGGCGAGGAGGTATGCAGCGCGACCCCCCTTCCCGTGCCTCCGTTTCATCTTCTAACCAGTCCCGCAGGTTGAGAAGAATTTTGGTTCAAAGAAGGAGACAATGCTATCACAGTTCCGCTTCGCCCTCGAGCAAGCTCTCGCCAAGGCCAACTTTTTAAACACATCGGATATGGTTGTGTTGCAAGCATTTGTTCTCTTCCTTACGCTAGTCCGGCGGGAAGACGACACTCGATTTTGCTGGACGCTGACGGGCCTGGCTATTCGCATCGCGCAAGGGCTCGGAATCCACCGGGACGGGACAAACTTTGACCTTCCCCCTTTTGAAACCGAAATGCGGCGCCGACTGTGGTGGGCCATTTGCGCGCTGGATCTGCGATCGGCCGAAGAATTGGGCAGCGACCTCACCATCATCGACCGCTCCTTCGACACGGAGCTTCCCTCCAACGTCAACGACTCTGACATCGAGCCGGACATGACCGAGGTGCCAAGATCACGACGAGGCAAGACGGATTGCGCCGTGTCGCTGGTGCGTTATGAAATTTGTGCGCTGTCGAGACGACTGCACACAGCTGGCTCGGCCATGGCCGGCGTGTGCCCGCGAGATGCCTCGCCAAGCCTAGAGGAGCACGAGCGGATGCTGATTGAAGTGTACGACCGCGTCGAGGACAAGTTCCTGCAGCACTGTGTCACGCAGGAAGATCCTCTCTTCTGGATGGCCGGCATGATTGCCCGCGTCATCATGGCCAAGATGAGCCTCGTCATTTACCAGCCGATGCTGTTCCCCGGCAACGGCCATGAGCTCTCAAACGGAATCCGCGACCGGCTCTTCCTATCTGCCATCGAGATCGTCGAGTACAATTACATCCTCAACACGGACCCCCGCTGCAAGCAGTGGAGGTGGCTCTTCCAGACATACCGGCAGTGGCACGCCATCGCCTATATCCTCATGGAGGCCGGACGACGCCCGTGGTCGGCGACGTCGGAGCGGGGCTGGGAGGCCGTCAACAACACGATGCGATTCGACAGGGATCCAGCGGAGATATCTCGCATGGCGGATCACATGGCGGTCTGGGTCCCCTTGCGGAAGCTCAGCGCCAAGGCGACGAAGCACCGCGAGGCCGAGATTTTGCGCTTACGTTCGGACCCCGAGGCCGCCCCTCAGCTCGACGTGGACGACCGCATGAACCCCATACCGGCGAGGCTTGGTCCCGTCCCGGGAATGGAGGTGCAGCATGCGCAGATCCGCGCTCGCTGGCGGACCCTGGTGCGTACGGAGAGTTCCAGCCCGGTGCAGCCGGCTGCCGGCCGTCCGAAGCAGATGCAACCGGCACAGAACGCGCCGTCCGGGGCACCGGCGTCTCAGCCGAATCAGCGGGCGCGGATCCCGGCTTCGGTGCGCCCGCCGAGGGAGCCCGAGTTCATCGACACGGTCATGATGGCGCGTGGCTTCAACCCCAACCACATCTGGGAATACCTGTATCCGGCGGCGGAAACTATGGCGGCGGACCCGAACAACACGCTGTTCCCGCCCGCCGCCTCGCAGTCCATGATGTCCTCGGACGTGCAATGCTCCACGGGGTCGGGGCAAAACATGGAAGCGGAGCAAAGGCAGAGGCAGCAAGCTATCACCGCGACGTCGCAACCGAGAGCCTCGTCGTCTGTGGCCGAGAACCAGCCGCCATGGCTGTGGTCGGACCCCTTCACGTCGATCAACGACTTGCCGGGCGACTCGATGGACGTCAACATGGACAGCCTGGAGGACTTTAACTGGCAAAACTGGCAGGAGAGCATCAAGGGACTCGAGATGGATCCCGATAACATGCCTCTGAAGGGAGCATGGTAGTGAAGGGGGACGGGCGGTTGATGAATAGGAAGGGAGAGAGGGTGTTTGGTTTGCATTGTCTCCTCTCACAAACAGGCTCTGCAAGGGCTATGTAATGATACCCACAGGAAATAGACGTAATGAATGAATGATGGAAAATGTATTTTATTCTCAATGCATGGACGACAAACACGGCAATGGAGGGCGCGCCGGGTCGCACAGCCGCTGGGGTTGTTGTATTTGCCCCTGCATATAATTCCATTGTTCGTTCACTCAGTCAGCCATGATGATGGAGTTCATCCATCATTCCACCAGCACCCACCCACCCCCAAGTGCAAACAAAAAGATGGACGATCAGGGAATCGAACCCTGGACCTACCGCATGCTAAGCGGTCATTATACCACTAAACCAATCGCCCATATGGTAATGATCTAGCCCGGACTTGAACCGGAGACCTTCAGTGTGCCCAGGTCGAGTCGCCTCGAGCTGTTAGACTGACGTGATAACCAACTACACCACCAGACCATTGCGGGTTTTGTTGACGGGACCGGGAGGGAACCCGCTCTTAGTGTCACGTACAAGCGTGGGTGGAGGAGGGCGGTGGGATGTGAAGTGGAGATGAATTGAGTGAATGGGGTGGGTTTTTATACATCGTACATTGAGTCAGATGAGCTCCGTGCCAGGCTGGGCTACTCCGGGTAGGGTGGGGTGGAGGGAGGAGGGAAATCGTACATTTACATTTACAATCGGCACATTTTGTCCGGTTACACTTGCTGCCAGAAGAAGACATATGTATGTATAATCAGTTGGCTGTGTAACTCTGCCTGGGGCTGAGGTCCGAGGCTGATTTTGGCGTAGGGCGAAAGAGGGAACAAAAGACGCTAGGTAGATGGTTGCCGCTGACCATACATTCACCTCCACAGCCCATATATTCATTCACCTTGACTCTCATTAAACGACTTATCGAGCAAGCAACAAGCAACAGCGACTGGAATCTCAAACCGGCGACAACGAGAACGACAATAACAACAGCTGCAACAAGAAAACAAACAGAGAAAAGTCGCGGTTTACTTGGAAGGAATATGGGCAGCACGGTGCAGCAGGCCGGCGAGGCCCCAAACCCCTTCGCCCACACGCGTGTGGGCGTCGCCGCCATCATCCGGCGCGAGGACGGCAAAATCATCGTGGGCCGACGTAAGAGCAGCCACGGCGCAGGTACGGACATTTATGCCCTCTCAAGTTCTTTTTAAGTTTGTATTTCATTTTTTATGTGTGTTTTCTTTACGGAGAAGGGGGGGGGGGGCTCCTGAGCTATGAGCCGATGCGCCGAGAGAGGAAAAGTGAAAAAGAAAAAGGAATTGAAAAAAATAAAAAATAAAAAAAGACCCAAAGCAAAACACAGCTGACACTATATACCACGAAACGCAGGGACAATCCAGCTCCCCGGCGGCCACCTCGAGTTCGGCGAGTCCTTCTTCACCTGCGCGGAGCGCGAGACGCTCGAGGAAACGGGGCTGCGGGTACGCGGCACCAAGGTCGCGGGCTTGACCAACGACTTCTTCGGGGACCTCGGGAAGCACTACATCACCATCTTTGTGAGATGCGAATTGGAGGATGACAAAGCGGAGCCCATGGTGAGTAGGAACCCAAGTCCCAACCAACACGCCAATCTATGAAGAAGCAGGAAACAAAAACAAGAAGAAGACGTAAAGCTGACTTCCCCCCCCCCTTGTACAGAACATGGAGCCCGAAAAGTGCGCGGGGTGGTCGTGGGTGACGTGGGGCGAGATTCGGGCCATCAACGAGGCGGCCAAGGAGGGAGGCCAAGGGCCAAAGCTGTTCCTGCCGTTGCAGAACCTGGTAGAGGAGAACCCGGACTTTGAGGCGTCTGCTTAGGGAGGAGGAGCGTAGAGTTGGATCTTCATCGCGATTGAGGGACCGGTTATCATACGCCCGAGTAGAAACGGGATGCGCACTGGGAGATGGACCGGTCCGCGTTAAGTAGCCCTGAGAAAAGGGGGCGACGGGTTCGGGGATTGGCCATGTCGACTTTAGACAGAGAGCAGCAGAGCATGCGACATAGGTGTGGCCTTGCGGTCGCGCATCATATGCTGTCGCGATAATGACTTGGTTAAATTGTTGGCGGCAATCAAGGCGTTATATAACATGGTGGCATATCAAATCCGCCAATGGCGCAGGTGCTTCAGTATTTACTCCCCACATGGTCCTATCCCTTTTTTTTTTTTTTTTGGAATCTTTTCTGGCAATTTCTCGTCTTCGGTTCCATGAGTTATTATGTAGGCGCAGAGAGAGAGCAAGATAAGATCGGGCCAATCTTTCCGGACCGCTTGCTTGGAGCTGATCGAAAAACAACGGATCCCTGCAATCGATCTGGGAGATCCGAGCATGGTGGATATCCGTGCGGCACATGGTAATAGTAACACTTTTTGGGTCTCCCTCTTTGACAGATCACTCCATTCGGAATCGGTCTACGGGGCTGTCCCTTTGAGTACCCGCTTGCTTGGGTCAACAGATGCGCCCATGTTATTTTGAGGCCAAGTCGATCCTTGCCATCGTCTGTAAACCACGTTGAGTGGCGTGACAGGCGGGGTTGGTTCTTTCTTGAAGAGGCTCAGGAGCGGTTTCAAACAAAAAAGCCCCAACGGGCTGTGATGATGACCCAATTGTCGAGAAATGCTTCATGTACCAATACATCGTACCCAGATAAGATGCCTTTTGAATGATATTGATTATGTTATAGATAACGGATTAGGCATATAAAGAGACAGCGCTCGCTTTCGTGTCGTACAGGGTATCCACGCGAGAAGGACTCAAAGTCCAAAAACGCCAAAACAGAGAAGAAGAAAATAAAAGGGGACAGAGATTTACACCATGTCGTCGACAGAAGAACGACGGTCATCTCTAGCAAGTTGCGATGTCACCGGCTTACGGGGCACCCTGGCACCACGGCCATCTCGACTACTGGTGCTGTACCGCGTCCTACCGGTCAGTTTGTCGGGGGCTGTGCTTCTGGCCCCGCGTCTCTTGCCCCACCCGGCCTTCCGAGTAGCCACTGCCCCGTCAAAGTGATTAACGCCGTATTCGAGAGGAATCTTGCGGTGCAGGGGGATATGGTTGAAGCGCCAGTCCCACACCGCGGCGTAGACCATCCTGTAAGACGAGAAGGCGAAAACCGTGCCGATGACGGCACCGGCCAGAACGTCGTACCAGTTGTGCGATTGATCGACGGTCAATGAACCGCCTACCAGGGTAGCGCCGAGGATGGGGGCGTAGGTGAGGATGAGCTTCCACATGGACGGGTGGTAGTTCGAAAAGACCTTGAGCTTGGCGTTCAGGTACAAATAAAGGAAGACCATGCCGGAGAACATGGCAGTTGTGTGGCCCGAGGGGAAGGACTCGAGAGCGTTGGAGAGAGTTCCGTCCATCTCTCTTGTGCAAATGTCCGACGTCCACATGATGCCTCCGTATCCCGTGCCATCGAGCCCAGTCGCATTGCCGCCTGGCTGGGAGGCCTTGCTGATGTCGGGTTGGCAGACGTCAAGAAAGTTTGGCCTCAGTCCACCAATGAGCCACTTGACCATGACCTGGAAGACGGTCGAGCCGAGGACGGAGTAGAGCAGGCCCATGATACCGTTGTTGATGTCCCAAAAAGATGGCACGCGGATCTGGCAGAGGAGGATGGACAAGATGGGCACCCCGATGGCGAGAGCCGTCGCAGCATGGCTGGGGATATACTGCGGAATGTGAGGATAGGCGAACTGGGGATATACAACCTCGCCGTCCTCAAAGCTGATGGGGAATGTCCGGTGGGCAGGCGGGTGGGCTCTGAAGACCTGCAGAATCGGTGTTAGTCAAGCCGGTTGGGCAGGCATGGGATGTCTATCAAGGGCTCAGCACTCACTACCAGCGCGATGACTCCCATGACGATCATGGTGAGAATGTCGAGCCAGGTCACCTTTAGCCACAGCATGAAGGGCGGTCTATGGGCCATGCTGTAGTCGCGGCCATGCCAACGGTCGTTAACCTTTGTGTCCTCGCTGCTTCGGCGCCGGTGGGTGGGGAGAGTAGGTGTGTCATCTTGACGACGTGCAAAGGGGTTGAAGCTTTTCATAGTTGGGAATACACAAGTATAGCCAATATCGAAGTTGACAAGAGGCCTAGCCGACGAATAGATAGCGAAACGACTGGGGGCTGACCGGGATGCGCCTCTGCCAATGCACGACGATATCAGGTCTATCAGAGCATGCGAGGATAGACGACGAGTGGGCTGATAGCGATGAGGATGTGAGAGGAGCAGAAGGGCATCATTCATTCTAATACAACCAACTTCCTCATCGACCTTGCGCACGCATCGTCATCTCTTTCCCCCAGGCTGGTCATCAACTCTTGGCACGCGCTACCGAGCAGCCAACTACGTAGGTCCGTATGTAGGCCGTCCCTGACTGAAAGACAGAGAAACAGAAATGGGGGGAAAGATGGACAGTGTGAGATGAGATGGCAAGAAATACTCGCAAACGCGCTGCGCCAAGTCTTGGTTTACTTCTGACGTCACTTCCGGTGCAGCTCCCGGCGTCAGCCAGATATAATAAAATACCGATACACCATGCTGTCTCAGCGACCTTGCCAGGGGGTGACAAAAGCCGCTGAACGTTCAAGCCAGTAAAGGCCTGCCCAAAAAGTCTTGGCTGATGCTGTCCTATCGCGCCCGTCCGACCAGCAATGAAGTGGCATTCGTGGGGTGACCACTTGCATCATTGTTTTAACTATGTTTTTTTTTTTTTACTATTTTTTCTCACTCCATTGAACGAGGTTTGACGGCAGGCTTTTGTTAACTGTCTTTGAAATTAATTGAACAGTACTTGCTGTCTGTCGTGAAGCTGGAACAGCTTCGTGTGGCTAGTACCAGTAGACACCGCCACGGATGTGGCGTATCACCCGCACAGACCATGTGAGAAGGGTATTTCTACCACTTCTCCGGTTCATACGGATACTTAGGGCCTGATCGGCAAAACCAATATCAGGACGATATCGCCCGTACTCCGATATTAAAGTACATAGGGTTAGGGTTAACGAGAGTTTGATGCAAGGTCAAAGGTTAATTTGGCGAATGTACTGCCAGGACCCTTGCGACAGCTGTCGGCAGCTGTGTCTCACTAACACCACTACTGCCAGCGCCTTTCTACTATTGCCCACTGTCGCTGGCAATAGTGGGCAGGCGCTGGCAACAGTGGCTAGCAGTAGTAGGCAACAGTAGGTAATCTGCTATAACGGTCCTTTTCTAAAGTTCAACCTAAGTCTGGAGCCCGATAACAATTTATATGGAGAAAGCAGGGGATTTAACAGATTTCTGGCAAAAAAGGTCACGCTACGTGGCCTATTCCAATATAATTAGGGTTCTGCAATGTAGAACTGAAATCATGATGTACCCTCCTGTTTTTGGCCTAGTGCGGCACGATTTGGGTTTTTTGGTGCTTGTGGCTGGTGCTTGGTCCGTGATATCGGTCCTTATTCGAAGTGTCAAATGATATCGGCGGTGCCGATCAGGCCCTTAGAATCTTAATAGAACAACTAGAATGACCAGACGCTGCGCTTCATCACGCTGTCTGATACCATGAAATCATGTCATACCCCGTGTTGCGTTGACCCCATACATACACGATGTAGATATCGTGTGGCTTAGTTATGTAGACCCTTTTTGCTTTCTTGTTTCTGTACTCCGTAGTCTGCTCGGGGAGCCACCAAGACCATTTTCTGTTGCTCAAGCCGGGCTCAATCAACATAAAACCCCATACTACTACACAACCTCAAAAAGAAGGTCACTCACTCGCTGCTGGAATATAAAGACGGAGCACAAAAGAGCCCTCAATTAAAGACATCATCGCATGCAACAGAACTATTATTCTCCCCTGAGTTGATGTCACTAAGAACAACATTCCCCAAGATTAGGCCCCTGCACACATGCAATTCGGTAAAACAGATAGAAGCGGCTCCCTTGATGTAAGACCGTGATGTAAAAGGGGAATGACTGGCAAACATGGTCACGCCCATGAGAAGACATGGAGAAATGCAATCGCGGGGAGATATGGTTTGTAAATCGGCCTGCTGCGAATGCAGCAAGGGCTTCCGTGTTAGAATGTCTACAGTTTCCTGCAATTATATACAATGAGAAATGTAATAGCAGCTTTCGAAGCTGAATTGGCGCATTGCGCCTGGCGGCCCTGCCTATGGCTTTCCAATACAAAGAAGTTCTGCGTTGCGGGCACAGCCGGGGGATCAACCACGCACAAAAAGGGATTCGGCCGGTTATCTTTTCAGCAGCGACAACCTTGAAAGTGAGAGGAGTGTTTACTGCTCGACGCGAAAGACACGACTGCGGCGAAGGGCTCTCTTGCGGCGGCTGCAGTTGGACGACTGCGCAGTGCTGTTGCTGCTGCCATTGACGGGGACAATCACAGGGGTAGGCGTAGCGGTAGACGCAGAGGTGGCGGCAGAGGCCACAGCAGAAGTGGCAGCAGCGGCAGCAGAGTTGGCAGCAGAAGAGGTGGCAGCGATGGCGGCAGAGGATGTGGCAGGAACAGGCTCGGGGGCCGTCTCGTTGGCGCTGCCACTGTTGCCGCCAGTCCAGACAGCAGGGCCGGGCATGGGGTAGTCCTTGTAGCCGTTGTAGATGCTGAAGTTGAACGAGGGATCGGTCTTCTTGTAGCCGCCCGGGAACCTGATCATGGGGCCGGGGGTGCCGTTGCCGCCGCCGGTGACCTTGATCTGAGCGCAGCTGCGTAGGGAGAGATGTCAGTCGCTGATTCAAGGTCAGCTATGGAAAGCTGGCACTCACGAGTTGTAGAACTCGGCCTGGCCGACGTGGGCGCCGTGGACACCGATATGCTCGATGCGGAGGAGGTACTCTCCGTCGGGGGTGTCCTTGGGAATAGTGAACTCGATGGAGTTCTTGTCCCAGGTGCACCAGGCGTCAGAAGTGAAGGCGCCGTTCTTGTTGCACACACTCTCTTCGTAAATCTTGAACCAGTCTCCCTTTTTTCAGATTATACAAGTCAGTACTACTCAATAAAGTGTAGGGATAATCATCTCTTACATCGCCTTCGTAGGCCGCAGCGGTGGTAGGGGCCTTGGACATGTAGGCGAGGCCCGGGCCGGGGTGCTGCATAGTGGCGCCAACGCCGAGCTTGAATCCGACCTTGGAGCCGGCCTTGACCTCCATAGTGCGAGTCTTGCCGGCGAAGGTGAAGGCACCCTTGTTGCAGCGGAAGTCGTTCACGTCGGGCGTCATGTCATCGCGGACATTCTCCCACTTGGTTGGGTTGTACTTGGCCTGGCGGGTGTTGTCGCGGACGTACTCGAAAGACTTGGTGGCGACGCCGTCGACGATGAAAGAATCGAAGAAGTAGTGGGCAGAGGCCAAGGGGGCAACAGCCGAAAGAGCAACAGCGGAGAACTTCATCTTGAGAGAATGTATTGGATTCAAAGGTGGACTTGTTTGTAAGTTTTGAACAGAACGAATGTGAGGGTTCAAAGGGCTGGCCCGTAGTGAACGTTGGTAACGAATGAATGAATGAATGTGATGATGAAAAGAATGACAAACCCAAGGTGTGATACCGAAGTGGATGAAGAAAAGGTATCTCTTCTCACAGGAACCGGCGTAGTCTTTATATTGTTTGCTGTCTGTATCTACGCCTCCAATGAGACTTGGCTTCGAAGCCTATCGATTGTAGTTCGTATTCCCTCCGTACGGACCTCAAGATATCCCGCATACATCTGATTCCCAGCGTGTAGGAAACATTACCTTCTCTGTTTGATAGGGCCCATGGCCGGGGTATACTAATGCCAGTGGAACGGCAGGACCCCATCTATGGAGGACACCCTTGGCTATGGCGGGGTCCTGACGATGTCGTGAGCAGTCCCTTTTCGTATTATCTGCATGACTGTTTTCTTAGTGATACAGACATCTCGACCGAGTGCCGTCACCAGAACGCAAGTAATTGTGGTGGATCCATCACCCCTTGATGTTCCCCGTTTCAAACCCCGACAAGACTGACTGCATAGGGCCCAAGTCCGACCCCTAACTTGCTTCCCAGGAAAACCTCAACTGAATTTTCTCCCCCGGCCTTGGGTCCCCTAACCGCTTGACAATCATGACGAGGACAGGACTAGGGGGAAATTCACCCAGACTTTCCCAGCGCTGCGGTGGCTACACAGGCTTCGGATCCCAGCTTTAACGTACCCCCACCAATGCAGGCCGCTTTCGGACTTTGACCATCTATCATGCTGATAATGAATAGACCCTGGTGCGACCTCCTGGACTAGTCGTTATGTGATGAATGTTCATCATGCTCAACACCAACGAGAAAGGCCTCAGTGGAAAACATCCCGCTTTACAACAGCTGCAGTCGTACAAAAGGATCGTGCTAAGAAGCAGCTTAAGGGTTATTATAAAGGGAGGCCAGCGTATAATCATCGACTCCCACTCAGCAAAAGTCGTCGAGTCGGTTGTATCCTGACTGCTCATCGTGCTTAATGAGGCTGACTACACGAAGTATCCTGGTCAAGGTAAAACACGCCACAGGATAGGACTCATCAGCCTTAAATCTGGCGCTTGAAGAAGGCGATCCCAGTTACCTTAATTTCATGGGCGACCATGCCTTGAACAGCGGTCTTCGCGGAAACCGGATAACTTGGCGAACCCCCACTCGAAAGTGCGCATCCAGAAACATGGAATTACTGGTTCACCGGCTTGTTGGCTCGGTTGCTAAGATTGAGGTGGAGCGTGGAACTTCCTGGGAGGAAGACAGTTCACCCCACAGCTTGGTCGAGAAAATGTGGGACAAAATCACGTTCATCTTACTGAGCTTTTGACTTGGATATGGAACCAAAAACACAGATATCTCGGTACTGCACAATGCGACTTTTCGGCGAGGCTTACCAGTCACCTCATTAGAACGTCGTGAGCGCTTCAGGTGGACGTAGATCATTTACTATATTCGAAACTTTGGATGTGTTGGCGCCTCACAATTGCGTAAGCTCACAGTGTCCTCCAAGCCGGCGGCCATTGCGAAATCCCCAACATTCTGAATTTGCAGTATGCTGTTTCGCCCGTTCTGCTGCTCTGCATCCACAATATTCCACACAATCTCTCCAAACAGGAATCAAAGCTCAGCAAACCTGACTGTATCACCCCTGTTGTGGAAATGTCCTTAGAGTCAAACGCAAATGCTTGGTTTTCTGCTCATGTCATTGTCACCTTGTCTTCGGCTGACGCCCATATCAAGGTCACCAGCACTCTGACCCAAGGGAGTGCACTTCCGAGGAACGACGAGATACGAATTCTAGTCAGCTCCGGGCTTGTTACCATGGCCATGGCCCACGATCGCAGTTACGTCAGAACTGGCACGGTGGTTCCAAACCTGGACAACAGTGAACCTCGCACATGAAGGCATGTATTCACTAAACACTGGTTGATTATCAATCATATGCCTGTCTAATAAACCGCTCTAAGGTAGAGATTATAATGAAACAGGACTTGTATTCCTCATTTCAGCCTCCAACTACCTTTAGTGTTCCTAAATCAGCTATAGCACAAGTATAATGTGTATATTTGGAGAGAGGTTCTGCATGAAGAACGACTGACATGCTCTCCCATATTCATTTTTGAACTTTGGGTAGGTGAGTAGAAGCCTTTGCTGCCACTACGTAGCAGAGGGGACATTCATGTTCAAATAAGCTTGACAGTTCACCCCAACAAGGGTGGAAGAAGAATATAATATCCATGCTAGTGGATATCATGTTTCAAGGGGCAGTGCTTAACCTTGAAAGCCTTCAGCTGTCATGGGTGAAGAAGATTCCTGAAAGTTCCTTGCCGGGTCATCGAATTGGGTTAGATCCAACAGATGAATGGAGTCAAGATCGTATGTTTGTGCGAGGGGCTGAGGGTCACCAGTTTAGTAGTCAAGATTGGACTAGCCCCTATTCCAATCGATGGTCGATGTCATGAACTTTGCGGTAGTAGCGTGCAATGTAACGGTTTGTTCCTAAGGCCATTTTGACTTTGATAAGGCTCTCATAGCTAACTCACACGTATATTTTGATCAAGACATCCAACCTTTACATTACCGCCCAGTCCATGTTCAACGAGAGTTTATTATCTTGATAGCGACCGTGAAAACCAACCTTACTTAGACTTCATGGGTATCGGAACCATTCAAGTTCGCTTCATCAAAATCTTCTCATCTTCGCCAGCTTCAAATCTTCTCAAGAGTTCTTCTGGATCAAACGTCGGTCCACGAGGGTCTCTAGTAAACTCCGCACTCGCCATGTACTGAATAGCCTCCTCCTTTGTCTCGAAAGCGTCGACCTGGTTTTCGATCTTGTTGCCATCAGGGTCCTTGTAGTACATGCTCATGGACACGCCATGATTGACACAGTATGCAGGCTCGATACCCGCTTCCTTTCGGGTCTTGTACGCCTGCAACAACTGTCCCAAGGAGTCGAACGTGAGGGCGAAGTGGTCCACGCCCACCGCGTTATCCTGTTTCGGTACTGCATTAGGGTCCTTCAGAATCGCAAAGCGGTGGTGTTCGTGATCCCAGGTCATAAAAGTGATGATATCGGTCGAGTGAGTGATCCTAGCGTTGAGGAAGTTCTGATAGAAGTCAATCAACTGCTGTGAGTTCTTGGTCCGAAGGACAAAGTGGGCGAGTTCCGAGGGCCGGCAAGCGATTGGAGAAGATTCCAAGGCCATGTTGATGAATATTCGAAGAGGTGAATTACTGTCTGAAGGTTTTGTGAGGCCTCTGAGTTAGGTCTATGCGGGGAAGCCCACGCTATTTGAATCTTTCTTGAAGCACCTGATTGAAGGCTGTTTGTGGCGCCACAAGGCCGAGTTTGTTTCACAAGTTTCGCTCGGTTTCCGAAGCACACCTGAACATAAGCAGCCACATTTTCGGGACATCCAGTGTTATGAGTCGGATACGTTCCTGTCTGGTAGCCCAAAGCTATCCATCACACCGAGCCGGCTGGGCAAGCATCGAAGTCAGACGTCCGACCACCTGGCACTTGGGATTTACCTGTGGTCAAACCTCTGTGGTGTGTTAAAAGACTGTTAATTGTTAGTGTCGCTGTAGCTCTGCAATCATCTGATATAGGGGCGCTTAGACGATAGTCTGGACGACAGGACTGAGGTTTCGCAATTCGGTCATTCACATGCACGTTAACTCCGTTTGCCCGCCAAGGTTTGACACAGTGACGCACGATACTAATTTAGGTTATGGAAATCGAATAGGTAGTCCATGGATAGCGATGTACCTCCATAATCTGCGTATCCCACGGATCTCCATCATTATACCCTCAAGAAGAACGTCATGCAAAGTAACGTGACCGCCGCTGCAGCCGCCTTGGCATACGAGCCCCATCCTATAACAAAAGCCCGCTATTTACTTCATTAGCACGTGTTCCTACGCTTGGGGCAAGACTTCAGAGCTTGGAAAGCAACGTGGCGTATGTCTAGCCGATGGACCTCATACATGAGAACTCGCAGTATAATCATCCTGTCTTCTCCCGCCAGTAGGGCTCATGTATCATGGACTATCTTCTGAGGTTATAACATTCACAAGGCGTCGACCAATGTGTTCCGCCAGCATTCCTGAATTTAGTTGTCAACATCGGCCCCAACTACTGTGCGGTTAAATGCCATAAGTAACTTCATTACTTCTTGATCCTTCAGTTCAAGTCCTTCATCGATAAACAGTTGATCGCTTGGGCTGATCACGAGACGACAGAGAATGAGCAAAAGACCTCGTATGCATCATTTGCACTACCTATGCCATACGCTTGCGGAACGACCTTGAATGATTCTCCGTAACTCGGAAAAGGGTTGTTGTGTTTCTCATACTCCATTTACAGGCTCTCTAGATGGGCTATGAATTGTTGAAGTAGACCATCTACTTCCGTCGGTGTAAGGCCCGGAGCTGACATAACCAGAAGGTTCGAAGGCAACCCGGTGGAAGGCATATAGAGCTTGACATGCTGTGTCAACAAGGGCACGGAGAGTAGTATGGAAGCTTTCCATACCGCTGATGTTCTCTTCGAGGCTCTTACTGGAAAACTTGAGGGTACCTAATGTCACGGGCAGTTCCGGGTCGGCTTTAAGGGTTTTTGAAACCATAAACACGCAATGAGAGCCGCCCTAACTTCCACTCAAAGTTCAGTACATGCTAACTACTTACTCGATCTTCTATCGTGAGCGCAGTCTTGTCTCAGGAGTGTACAATCAAGATAAAATGCGAGTGATTCAAGAGTAGTGATGATTTATATGTCTGAGGGCGAACCGTTGGTCCGAAGCGTCTATGTATTTAGCCCCACGGGCTGGCATTTGTACCAGAAAGTCTTATGTGACCAATGAATCTCAGTTGTGCGTTTCCTTCCACTCCTTCAGCCAGGCTTGTACGAATTCCACCTCAAAATCCTGAGCCTTCTTCACTGGCAGTGGCGGTAGCTCAGCAGTTGTTTCGTTTTTGAAAAGGCCGTTTTCGTCCCAGTGATGAACCGCGCCGCCTGAGATGACAAGGTTGGGCTCGTTGATGGTTGACTCAGGCCTTGGTAGTCCGATCTTGTTAGGAGTTGCGGCACGCCATGGATCCGCCTCTCCATCGATGATGGCAACGCGCGGGTAGCTAAAGTTGTAACCACCGTACTTATTGATGGCGCCGACATCCGGCGGTGTGGTGATGTTAAATGCCCGACGACAGATTTCGGTGGTGAAATCAATGTCTATCAATCGCGAGATCAATCCTAATTGGTTGTCTGGCACCCCCGATCCTGTTTGAAGATAGCCCCATCTGGAATAAATGTTAGGTTTCGCAGTGCCACTTAGTTCATGGGGTCTCTTACTGCGAGCAATACTGATAAGGCCAAAGGCGCCAAGATTCATTGAGGTCATCACCGACATAGTCTTCATCGTTTCCGGACCCGAAGCATTCGTCTTGAGTTTGTCTGCAGGTAGATACTCTGGTGAAATTGACGTAACCGATGTAGTTTTTGAAGCGCGGAATCAACTCCTCTATCTCGGTCTCGTAGCCGCCAGCTTCCAGTAGATAGCGGAGTGTAGGGTCTAATTTCTCCGTCGCAGGCCAGATAACTTCGTCGGATGTCATGTTACCACAGTAGCGTAAGAAAGCACGATTGTCAAGCGCCGGATCCCAGTTACGGCTTTGTAGGCCTGCAATGCCTCCTCGTATGGTGCTTGCAAAATCAACCTTCTTGGTGACGTTTTGGAGACCAAAGGCAGTCTGTAGGGTTCTTACGTCGTCCTCCGTGGCGTTGCCTTTCTGCAGCAGAATGTTGTCAACAACGTGGGTCAACTTCTGCGTAGTTTCCGCGCAACCCTCGGGAGCATAGAGCCTCGCGGCTTCATAATACTCCCAAAAGTCAACGACAGCGGCAGTCACACCGGATGATGAGATAGCACCCCAAAATACATCAGGGTACACCTTGCGGAGGAATGCGACGAACGCGCCAGCGTACGATCCCCCGTACATGATCCACGGTGTCCCGGGAGCCGTCAGGTTGAGCGTAGCAAGTTTACCAGGGAAGACGACATGCTGTGCAAAGTAAGCAGTATCAGCCAATGCCTGGTCGGTGGTCAGAAATCGGAGGTTCTTTGTACTGAAGTCCGGTGTGGGGTAGCTTCTGCCGTAGTATCGGTGCTCTAAGATGATGCCGACTCCGTTGGTCGCTTCAGCCAAGATGGCAACTATTCCCTTCTGTAAAAAGGGCAAGCGACCGTTACCACTAGTTTCGCCCGCTGCAAGGGCTATAACCGGACCGCCGGGCTTATAGAACCGATCATCGTACCAGTAGCGGAGGGGGAACGTCCCGTTCGAGTGTGGTTCATAGATGGAATCGTTATGGAAGTGGTCAATAGGAACAGAGAAGTTGTATGCCTGGTAGAGGGTAGCGGGATCTGGTGCGACTGGTGCAGAGTCGCTTGCCAACAATCGGAAGACACCTGATGTTGAAGCTGTTTTGACGATGGCTTCAAGCTCAGATTGGCGACTAAACTCCTGCCACATTTCAGGCAAGCCGAGTTGCGGTCCGAGGGCGGCCGATAGCCGCGCCAAGGCAAGAAAACTAGCAGCCAGCCAAGACCGAGCCATTGTAAATAAAGAATCCCGAGTTGAATTCTCGGGTCGACTTGTGTACACAAACTGAAGGGGTCGAGATGGGGTGAATGCTCAAGTTGAGACTATGGCGGTATTTGAAAGATTTCGTAGACAGCGTAGGGATCGGTAGCCTCGATCATTACCACAACGTCGTACGAGGCCGGAGCGTCCGGTTGTGTCTTTCCGTACCCAGCTGCTACCTACCTTATCAAGGGCAGCCTCTTATTCATTCGATACCGCCATATTTGGAGCACATACATTTGATAATTGACCTTCCCGAAAAGCACAACGTTGTATCCAGGATGGAGTCAGCCAAGCCTATGGCCCCGTCTTTTTGGGCGTCATCATTTATGAGAAAGCAAGCTGCATGTTGATCGGTATCCGCAACCTTCGCACCTCAGGCTCCATGCCACTGCTCTCTTTCCAAACGTCGCCCGTAGTGAGCTTGGTACACGATCTGATGCGCTATGACGAAATTCCGGGTGGGGTCGGACATACAGTACTGGCCCAAACATGAAAGAAGACAGCCTTGGTGCAACTCATGATCAGACTTGTCGCAGAATAAGGTTGGGATGGATTAGGAAAGAAACTCCGTAGCCTTTGTACTGGGACCAGACAAGCGCATAGTTAGATCCCCTTAGAAGGTTATACATATGCAAGTTTACGAGTTGAATCACAACAGGTAATAACTTTGCGAGACAAGTAACTCTCTACAGTCATGAGGTTCCTAGCCACTCTGCTGCTGTGTACATTCATGTCCATTTTCCAAGGCTTCGGACTTGTAAGATGATTCCTCAAGCAACACTTATTTGTTGCTAAGTTCTGATTATTTGATACCGGAGACATGGAGATGGTTAAGGAAAAGATGTTCATTATGTAACACTGAAGTCGGACCACACGGCTAGTAAAATCTGACCCACCAAATTTCATCTCAAATTGTCGATTCGGCAACTCATTCTACCTTTTAGATAAGCGGTAAGCGGGTTAGCGAGGAGTTTACTTCTAGCCTTAGGTGTTTATCCATAGATGTTATCCGCCGCTGGAAGTTTCACAGCTACTATGATTTACTTACTCACATCCACGAAAGATTAAATATAAAGCAACCAGAGCTAGGTCAACAGGCAAAACAGATGTACTACTACCTTCCAGCCTACTAGATACTTAAAAGAGACATCATGGAAGTACCCATAAGGTGCTAGAGCCTATAACAGGTGTATTAGACAAGACTACCCCAGTAGCGTAGACAATAGTACGTGTTCCCATTATTGTCAACTTGACCCGAAACTAGTCGTTAGTTTGCTATAAGTAAACCCTCAATACATTTTACGGATAGGTTACACTTGCAAGTGAACTGAGCAAGACAACCTGGTGGAAAACGGACAGCATTCAAATCATTGTGCCTCTAAATAAAGGGTGGTATATTGGTATCGCAATTGAGGTGAGTGATCAAAAAAAGTCAGCTGTCGCTGCATGAGAGGTCCTACATGCTGCTTACCATCCATGAAAAAGTAGCACGTTCCCATGATCTCCAAGTCCACCTGATATCAGATGTAGAGTTACTCTCACGATAAACTCAGACGCAACTCAGTCGACCTCTAGGAAATAATACTCGCGTAAAAGAATGTGCTAGACACTTAGACGTCTTGAACGTTGACGACATCGCCGTAGCGGTCAACAGCCACAGCCTTCTTCCGGATGGAAGCCTTAACGGGATTGGGATCAGCAAAGATGTGATCAAGCTCCTCGAGCTGTTTTCGTAATCATTAGTATGCGACTGGAAAATATTGAAGGATATACAAGAGAACTCACAGTGCGGCCCTTGGTCTCCGGAATGAAGAAGAAGACAACGGCAGTCTGAACGGCATCCCAGATGGTGAAGATGATGTAAGTCTTCCAGGCAAGCTTCTCCATAGAGACGGGCCAGGCGAACTGGTTGAGGAGACCGGCGGCGTTGACGGCCAAGTTGGAAAACGCCATACCCTTGGCACGCATCTCGAAAGAGAGCACCTCAACGGGGTAGAGGGCCTGTAGGGGCGTAATACCGACGGAGAAGACGGAGCCGAATATGAAGATCATGGCCAAGCACGCTTGAGAGGCGGCTGGGTTGTCAAAGATGGGGCTGCCACCATCGGTCTCACCAATCTGGGACTTGGAGAGGATACCGGAGGCAACGGTCATGCCAAGCCAGACGAATGTGCAGGCGGCGAAGGAAAAGAGCAAGAGAGGGCGGCGACCGACTCTGTCGACTAGAAGGGCACCAAAGATGGCGAAAGCAAATTGCTGGCAGGAGTTGATGAGAGTAATGTTCGCTTGCTGGATGGGGTGGGTATAGCCGGCTGTGTCGAGAACACTAGAAAAGATAATATTAATACTTGTTGTATTTGTCAACAATGGGATTTCATTCAAACTTGCCTGCCGAGAAAGTACGAGAGGACGGCGTTGCCTGGGAGGTGATTAGCTTTTGCCCCCAAACACTCATCAATACCACTAGAAGATGACAGAACATACCGGCCCATTGACCGAAGATAGAAATACAGACGTTGGCGCTGAGGCGGTAGATGGAAGCACGGTCTCGGAAAAGAGCACGGTAGTCCCACCAGCGCTTGTCGGCACCGTCCATGTTAAGGAGCTCCTCGTACTCGTGGAGCTGGAGCTTGACCCAGGGGGAGTCGGTATTGCCATTGCCGTGGTACTTGGCGAGAATGGCAGCAGCCTGTTCCTTCTTGTTGTTGACGAAAAGCCATCTGGGAGACTCGGGCATCCACATGCAGAAGAGGCAAATAAGACCGGAGAACAGGGCCTGCATCCAGGTGATGAGGCGCCATGAGGCATCACCCTCGATGTCGAGAGCGGCTCGAGCCACGCCGGAGGCAATGATGGCACCGGAGAACCAGAGGGTGTTGTACATGGCACCGACAACTCCACGGTAGGCGGGGTGGTTGATCTCAACAACATACATGGGACCGGCGGAAGCGGCAATGGATACGCCGAAACCAAGGAGGAATCGACCTCCCATGAACTGGCTGGTTCCATTGGCAGTGGCTTGGACGCAAGTTCCGATGACAATGATGCCGGCACCAATAAGCATACCGATTCGACGACCCCAGGTGTCGAGGGCAGGACCGACGAAGGGTAAGGCAATGACACCACCGATTTGATACATGGACGAAATGATACCAGCCCAGATACCGTCGTTTTTCGCGCCGTAGCGCTCTTTGAAAGAGGGGTTTTGCAGCAAGTTGTTGATGAGGGACCCGTCGTATCCGTTCATGGTCGAACAGAAGAAACCGACGAGTGAGAAAGCGTAGATGAAGAGTTGCGGTTTGCTCCAGGCTTTGGGGGGCTCCTTGATCATGGCCTCGTTGAAGGCCTCGGAGCCAGTGACGACCCTGGTCTCGATCTCCTTCTGTACAAAAACGGCATGTTAGTCCATGTTCCTCGAGACAGAGGCCGAGTGAGGGCATCATAATAGCTTGCCTTGTCCGACTCATTGTCATGGACGTGGACCGTGTCCACGGCGTCGATCTTCTCGCTCATAGTTGCGATATGTGGCACGTTGTTGTTAACGACGGAGAAGGGCAAGGTTGAGGTTGCTGATTACCCACGAGCCAGAGCTGCGCGCAATGGAAGTCCAGGCGGAGCGAGAGGCGGATAGGTGAGGAAGAGGATGGAGAGCCCGAGACAAGCAGACCAGGGATCGCGGGAACACGCCGAGGTTTTATGAGTTTGGCCAGCCTCGCCACAATACCTTGGGGTGACTCTGACGGGAATGGGTAGTAAAGATGCCGATGGAGGAGAAGCGGTGCCCAAAAATTGCCCATTGATCAGCTCGCCCGTTGCGAGACTGCCACCCACCCCTGCTCGACGTGGGAGGACAAGCCACTACCACTCCCACATGGGACCGAAGTAGCGGCTGAACTAGGCGAATCGTCCCTGGAGTAATACTATATTGCTTGTGGGCAGATCGGTGGTGGTTGCACCACCTTCCTCCACCCTCCCCGTCGGCCCCTTGTCACAGCATATCAGGGACCGGCTGATCGTTCCCTAAGCTCCTGTAATGGCTGCATGGCGATTTAATCCAGAGGAAATGCGCACTTCTCTTCAAGCTATCCATAAGGGCGTTGATTAAGTCCAGCCTACCATTATATCTATCTATCTGCCTTAGCACGTGGAGAAACCCCAATTGTCTCCAACAGGGGTTCATCCAATGCCGTACTCTGGGTGTGCGTATAAGTGAGGAGTTGAGTGTATTTGCCGTGTCTACGAAGGAGCATAAGTTTTCGGCTATCCAACTTTAAGAGCACAGACGAGCAGGGGTGCTAAATGAGACGTGCCATCAAGGGCTCAGAGGTCAAGTGATCGGCGTAAAGGAAGCATGTAAACGAGAAGACAGAGAACCATCGGTTCGTCCTTTGATCTTTAGCATGCCCTTCCCCCAGATCAGCGAGCGGGTCGACGGGCTCCGCACTCCGCATGGTGCCAGGGATGATGAGCGTTAAACTGTTTACCAACAACGGCCCTTGTGGAGACACGCTGGAGAGATCCGGAAATGTCAACAAAAGGTTTATCATTGGATCTGGGGGTGGGCTTATGGAAACGCTGCCCGTCTTGCCCCGAGTCGACCAGGCTGGTTTGCCCAGTCCGCTTGCAAGTGCAACCTATCCGTAACATTTTTAAGTCTTTCCCCGACGGCAATCACTGGCTACTTTCGCCATTGTTGGAACGCGAACTATGATCGCTGACCAGTGGAGTTGTTTTCGTTGGTGTGCCCGCCCCCAGGCTCCGACACCCTGCAGTAGACAGGGGACAAAACCAGCGCATGCGGACGCACTCAGGTGGTATGCAGGGTTGGCTGGGGTGATTTTGGACGGGGGAGCGAAATGCTGGAGATCAGATCTGGAGACAGCAAACGCCGAACCACCTAGGACATAATGGGTCGAAATGAGAGGATTCGGAGTCGACTCCTACCGGCCCGTCTTTCCATGTGCTCTATGAGTAACAATAACTGAGGCCCATTTGCTGATCTCCCCAGCATGTTTTGTTGCCTGAGGACTAACTGAGAACTGACATGTCCGAGAAGCACATGAGATATGTAGAGTGGATGGTCAACCTTACGGGAAAGCGCCTTGGCTAACTATCTCAACCGTAGTAGGTATGGTAACCGGCATCTTGCATTAGAAGGGCACAAATGTCACAACTAGCGCTAGCCAACTAGCAAGGAGCCATGAAGGGCTGGAGTATTATCGCGGATGCAGACATGGTAGTTTCGACACCATATCAAAAATCCTTTACGCCCACGAAGGCACGTATTCCCTTGTCCCATGGAAACAGCCTGCCCAAACCAGGTGCGTGAAGTGATGCGGGGAAGAATGCGAGCTGTTGACTGTGGTGGCAAAGGTCCAAGTTCCATGTCCGTCCAATACGCACCTCGAATCATCTCCTCATCCTTACAGCCACGACACTACTCCTATCTGGTAGACGGGCCGCCTTCCTCCGCGCTAAAATCTTTCCCAATACGGCAACTTGGTCCGCAAGACGCCTCTAAACTCTCTTGAGTCAAGTGTCTGCGATAGCGGATCCGCCCATCTGCGTCGCAAAAACGGAAACGCTGTAAATTGCGGGTAGCAATCAATGCCTCATATTGCATCCTGACAGACGGTGAACACTAGTATAATGACAACCCGTTGACCTGTCGCAAGAATTGACACATTATTTTGCTTGTTTCCACAGTGAACAATGGGCTGGGAGTCGGTATATCCAGTCTCTCATAGGATCGCGATGATGCACTGCGGGTCCTTCTGGTATCCTCAGCTGCTGCAAGCCACCCAGCAAAGGAATCCTTCTCCGGTTCCCTTGCCGGCTTCGTGATGACTTGGTGACGATCCCCACGATGTGGCACAACCAAAATCGATAGGAAGACTGACGAAGCTAGGACACATGGGAACACGCGACCCAACAACGCGAACTCGTATTAACCTGTTGGCCTACTCATTGCACTGTTGGTTGGCTGCCCCTGTTCCTCGGCCTGGCTCAATTCGTCTCGGTTGACCAACCGCTCACCTGCTTTTGGGCTTCACGTGAAGCTGCAAACATCAGGACGTGTTTGAAATTTCAGCCACGGCTACTGGTCACTCTCAGAGTGGATTCGCTCTGGTTTAGACGGGCCGACATCCAGCGCCACACTGGGGCAATCCAGTCCGCTCGCATTTCCAGGAACTTGTGGTCACTTGATGCTACCGCGAAAAACCACTGCTGCTGCTTATCTTTTCTGAGATTACGGACCTGAAAGCCGTTTCCTATATTGTTCTAGAAGCTGGATTCCGACCCAACGGGTCCCTGCCACCGAAGAAGAAGAAAAAAAGGCTCCATGTCCAGTTATAACGCTTGCAGCTACATCGTTTCCTGCCGCCTTGCATAAGAAGTATCGCGCTTCAAGACCCCTGAGTGGTTCAAGTACTAGAGGCCCGGAGGACTGCGTCGGAAAAAAGTCCAGACAACACCTTTCGCAAACTTGCTGGCCCCCTGTATCCGGCCGGATGATGCTGATGACCATTGAATACCGACTGAATTATCTACCATGATAAAATGATGAAGGGGGTAACGGGCATACCGGAATAAGAGCGGAAGCTTCTCTGAACGATATGGCAATAAATTCTTCCCAAACCAAATTTCTCACAAACTGCTCATCAAGAAAGCTATGGACACAAGACGTAAGTGCAACGTAGAAAACTGGTAATCTTGGAGTATGCTCGAAATTCTATCAATCTTGATGCACTCTCCCGTGTATTCACAGGTTCCGAATCATGTCACATTGGTCACGAAACTTCACTCGTCGTCAAGACTGGCGGTCTTCTGTGGCGGTCTCAGCCGGCTCCCGGCTTGGTAGACACTGTGGTGAGCAGCTGTGCGGCACATCTACTCTCAAGTCCAAATGGATCTCAGTACGTGGGTTTACAGCCACATTGATATTGGTAAAGACGATGGTACTTTGCCATCCCCTACATCGATCACTCCTACCAAGAGACAAGCCTTTGACACCAGAAGCCACCACTGCAAGATCGCACCGACAAGCCGACACTAATCGGCGCCACCCCCCGGCCCTCATGAGAATCGAAATGTCCCACTGCGGCACGGTGCTTATTATTGGCAACCCCAGAGCTTTGGGGGTGATCACCCATGTCGGCAGGTAAGCAAGCCTTCTAACTAACGGGTGACAAGACTTCCAAGCCTGCAGGCAAACCTGCTGTGCCTGCCTACAATGCATGCAAGACTATTCCGATACTGCCCATAACTCTATGTGTTCGGAAAAGACGAACCGACGTGGCGTCAGCTTTCCAATGAAGCCATTTCTCCCAGATTGGCACCTTAACAACGACTACAGCATATGCACTGGGCCTCTTTCGACACCACGTCCTGTGGAATGAGCGTCGCACGCCTGATATAGGGCGGCTCTAACGGGACATCTTCCCCGGATGAGACCGTGTTAACGCCTTCTAGACCTCCGAGATTGTGGAACGATCCGTAGTTTTGGAACCGAAATCTGGTGGTTGCAAAATCGCTTGAGGGCAAATGACCAAGAAACTCCAAGACCCTACCCTTTACTCAAAGGAGAAAGCATCTCCTAAGAGCTAACCCGCTTCTCTTTGTGAGATGCTGCTTCTTGGCCAAGTTTACCGTTGCTGCATAGGGTCGAGGGTCATGTATGCATCTGGTATGAGACGACATGCTCATTATTTTACCGACTAATGGAGGGCATGTTCGTGCTAAGGCTATCTGTCAGTGAATATAAGTCCACCATCATCCGGCGTACCTTTTCACCTGCATCTCACTTTGGGTGTGGTCGTATACTGCTTATATATCGCCTCGCAGTAGCGTGAGGATGCCGAAAGATGTCGAAATGGGGGAAGGGGCCTGCATTGACAGGATAAGTGACGTTCTATGCTACTATTTCAACAATGTCAGCAGCACAGTATGCCATGAATCTATGAAGGTCGAAGGGAAGGAGATCTTTGAATTTGACCAGTGTGCAGGTGAAAAGCCGCTTCTCTTGGCTTTTCGGGTGGCGTTACGTTTCTTCCGAAAGGTATTAAGCCGACCAGCTGAAGATTGGGTTTGGACCTTCCTCTCCGTAGTACTGATCCTGCCCTTTAGATGACACTCTACTGAGAGCGGTTGCGAGCTTTCCGCGTTATCTTCTATTTCTTTGTAAAACAAAGTCGGCCTGATCTCCTCAGGTTCTCCATCATGATCTAGACGTTGTCGTTTTGCTCCATAGAATAACGGTCTCCGCCGAGGAAAACAATCTTTGAATAGAGGGGTTACAATGTTGAGGACTGGCTTGCTTTGATAGCCTGCATACATATCCGGAGTGAATGCTACCAGATCTCGGGTATACTATAATTCTGATCAAACGAGTTTGACCCCTTGTCTCCCCTCGTCTGTTTTCTTCCAAATTATGTCCCACTTAGTGGCCAAAGCAAGTATAGACATTATACAGTCAAATCAAACTAGATTATAAATCGAAACCTGAACAAGTCCAATCCACGTCATTGAAGAAACAAACAGAACGGCTAATGAATGCCGAAGTGGTCTTTGGCAGTACGGGAGCTTGGCCTGACTGATGGAGGCTAGGCATCAGTTTTCGATATCAACTTGTTGGTATCACAAGATGTCGATCGGTACTTTTATCCGCGCGTGATTAGTGAGGGTAAAAGCGGTGATGAACTCATTATTTTGTTAAAAGGTGGGCAGTGGTGGGATGGCTGTGACCCTTCCACCTTGCCCGCCTACACCACTTCGTGGCTGGGCCGGGCTCACCAGACTTGGCCGTATATTGTTGTTACAATTATATCCGGCTGCGAGGCTTCACAACTTCTGAAGCGTCAGCCCGGTATTCAAAATTGGCATGACTGTTTGTGCTCGCATTTACCACTTCGCCAACTCCGACTCAACTCAACGTGGATCGATTTCCAAATGGATTACGATCGCGAACGTGGTCAAGGGATCTTTATCGCCCGACTAACTTATGCTTACATTCTTTTGTTACGATGAGTTTGCATCATCCGGCAGTTCAATGTGATTTCAAATGTATTTTGTCCTCATGTTGTATTTTGATTACTGATCGCGAGAGAGCAACGCCATGTATGATCGCCGCCTCCCCGGAGCCTTCGTCAACTTGTTGGAGTCGCCAAACAAAAAGTGAGAGGCCCTGGTGCCAAAACCCGACACGGGCTCTCCGAAGGGCGAACTCTCGATCTCGCGTCGACGGCGAAATATCTGACTGGACGTCCAGCGACCGGACGACCTTTGCCAGAATGGCGGATCCGATAAAACCTTCCTGGCCTCCGCCCTCGTCATGTTCGGCCCCTCCCGGCGACGCCGGCGAAGTCCAAGGATGGAGCCAGGTGTGGGACGCCTCATTCTCCATGGGCCGCTGCCGCCCTCTCGCAGCGGCGAATCTTCCGGTTTTGCCGCCGGTATCGGCGGTTCGACTTGCGGCCTCACGCTTTCAGCGAGACCAGCCCGAAGCCCCGCGTCATAAAAGAGCCCGGCAAGTCCGGGATATGCACTCGTAAAATCGATCCAGAACTCCGGGCTCCTAATCGCGGGAACGCCCTGGCTCGTGAGCTGCTGCTCTGGCCGGTCGTCCTCGCAGATCCGGCTCAGCAGCCAGATCAAGTCGCCCGCCACGTCATCCAAGTACACCACTTTCGTGGCAGGCCGGCCGACTCCGAGCGCATACGCGGCAGCTATCCGATTCACGAGCGCCGGCATCGTCAGAATTTTCGTCAGAGCTTTGTCTGCGCCAAAGCCCATCTCAACTGCGGGCAGCGTCCCAGAGCGGCCGTCGTAGGGCATGGGCTTTATCTTGACCTTCCAGACGTCTCCATCATTGTCTGCGATGCCAATGATGTCCGGTTCGCCTGGATAGACCAGCATGTCACTAGTAGCTGCGGCCCACGACTTGATGACGTCTCTGGCGTAGGCCGGGCACACGATGCTCACGTGAGTGCAGATGCAGGCGTAGTTGCCGTATGCCAGCATGGCTGCGGCGCCGCAGACGGCGTACTGGACGTGGGAGAAGGTCTGGCCGATACGGTGAAGGACTTGGTAGGTCGATGCCGGCGTCATCTGGCCCTGGTTGGGCAACTGCGGTGGCGGGCGTGAACGTGACAGATGTTTCACTTCGGTGTCGCCTTGGTATGTGGAATACGACTCGTTCTCCCAGGTGAGTGAATCGTCTAGTTGGCTGCATAGCAACGGGCTCCGATCAATGCAATTCGAATTTGATGAGGGCATGGGCATTATGTTTTTGATGCTTTGGCGGGTTTGTCCAAATGGCAGCCTTAACGCCTCTACGATGTCAAGTTCCTTGGGTGTTCGTCTACGCTGTTGCCCCGGGTTGGTGGAAGTATTGTAGAGATGAAAGTTGAAAAGGCCTACGGTCGAAGACGACCGACGATGATTGACCTTGGCAGATGTCAAGTTAGATAACGATGGTAACGAAAAGAAAGGTGCCCAGCGAGAATGCCTCGTGGTATAGAGAGAGGTCATGTCGTACTGGACAGCAAGTGGCGTGTCGCTTATGTTGGCCGCGACTTGAGGTTTGAGTGCAAGCAAGTCGTATTCTGCATTTCATGTCAACTATCCCTTGGTTGACGACGTTGGAGCTGGACATAAGTAGTCGATAAGATTGGCTTGTCCTACTGGAGCCTAGGAGGCAGTGTCATTATCTCAGAACAATGCCCATGAGAACAGCGCCTAAGCTTCCGGTTCATTCTGGGTCAGTGCCATTCGAATAACACTAGGCAACGGCAGTGGACCCCGGCTTTGAACGTGGTTGTTCGGCCCGAAGTATGCCAAGCAAGCCCACAAAGAGCTGTCGGCAGCATTGTGTCGGAACACAGTGACAGTCAGGACCATAATGCCACTGCAAATTTACAACAAGTTGGAGGACTAGAGCAGTTTCGTTCAAACCGTGCTGAGTTCATAGTCGTCTTGTGCCTGGCGGGATCTCTAGATGCTGCGTTCCCAACCTCCCAAACGCCTAATCGTACAGTGCTGGCAAAGTTCCGGTATTTCGCCTGTAGACCGTCCCTGAATCATGGTCTTTTCCCGTTTACAACTCCTCCTCCACATCCATAGAATCGCCATTTGAGTGGTCCTTGGTACCTGCGGGTGCATCCTTCTTGGGCATTGTCGCCTCCTTGTCGATCATTTGTCTCGATACGGACACAATGTTGTCCTCAATCAACTGCTGGCCAACATCCTCCAAGTGCTTCTTGGGGTCAAGCTTGCCGACGTAGCGGGTCTTGAGCTGGTCCTTTGTCAACTCGGTCTCTTCCTTGACGCGCTTTTCGTAGCCCTCGGCCAAGCTAACTAGGCTCTCCAGACGTTCCTTGTTGCAGTTGGCCTCGTGTCTGAAGTCATTCATCTCCAGAGCCTCGGTCCAGACGTGCTTGTGTAGGTTCATCAACATGTTCTCCTCGAGCGCCGTCTTGCGGTAGTTGATGCCGATGGAGTAGTAGTGTCTGTTCAGGCCGTGGATAAGGGCCTGGATCGAGGGCTTGTTCAAGTGACCCAGGTTACTCGTGCTTTGCCGAGGTTCTTGGCCAAGCATGAGCGACTGAGGGTTGATGAGGCGGAAGGCGTCAATGACAACCTTGCCCTTGACGGACTGGATGGGATCGACGACGACGGCAACGGCGCGCGGGGTAAGCTGTTCGAAGGACTGCTGGGTGTTGATATCGACGGATGAAAGCCAGCAGCCGAAACCGGGATGGGAATGGTACCAGCCGACAACAGCTTCGGGCCTGTCGGAGTATGTTTGTCAGTTTAGGAGGCACGGCAGCAAGCAATAGCGATGCCTCCACGTACCTTCCGGTCTGTCTCAGCATGTCCATCATCTTCATCTGGAACACGGGATCGACGGCCTCTACACTAACACCGGTACCGCTTTGAGGCATGGCAAAGACATCCACTACGCGGACCGTGAAGTCATCGACGAACTCTCCCAGCATCAGACCCATGACTTCCATGGGGACACCAGCACGACCGTGTCGCAGCATCTTGAGGAGGGCGAGGGAAGAGATGTAAACGGTCTCGGAATTATCGATAAGCTGCGTATTATCCTGGGGCAGCATGTTAGTCAATGATGACGAGAGAACGCAGGTCATTAGAGCTATCGAAGCAGTTCCCGAAGGTAGGATGCACTTACCGTCCCGGATTGGCCGCCCAGGCCGCCCAAGCCCTGGGACTGGAGCATGTTCCTAAAGCGCTCCATTCTGAGGGTATCAGTCGATAATTGAGATTCGTTGAGTGCGAAGTAGGTGAGAGTCGAAGATGCGTCGCGCGATGAGGTTGCTTGGAGGGGTGTTTTGGAGGAGGCGGATTGAGGCGATAGAGGTGGATGGAAGTAGCTGGGTTGTGGGTTGTTGACGACAGCTCTGAGCAGCCTGGCGAAAAAGGACCCGGCGGAGCTAGCCCGGTCCGGTACGTACCGCTTGTAGCTGACAAACAGTCACGTGTGAAGCGATAGCCACCAGGCGGCCTGGGACGAATGCGAAGTTGAGAAGAAAAAGCTCTTTAGATATTTTCGTTAATTCTGATGCCGATGAAAAAGTCGCTTCTATAGAGTTATAAGTTCTCCCATGTGGTCACTGAGAAAGAATCTCGAAAATATGAGCCTCGATGATATTACACTGGAGGTACCTGGCCATAAATTCCAGTTTGAGGTTGCACGGTTCAAGCCACACCGCATCCATTCATCCCAGCCACAGCCCCAAGCGTCGAGGCAACCATACGTAGCCACACCACCCTTCCCCTCAACGCCATTCTTATGTTTCCAGATGATGTCTTCGTGCTAGTGTATTCCAGAAAAGCGGCCTGATACCAAGATTAACCAAAGTTGTACTTCGTAACCACCCCCCTCCAAGACACAGCCATGGCTTCTATCTAGATGTACTGATTACCTACCTAGGTAGGTACGATGATAGTGCGCAAGCTACCTATGTACAGATACTTATCTATCCTCCAGATAGAACCAACCCCTCCACACGTCAACCCTGTCTCCCTAGTCGGCTCCACGAGTTACGGTCATTGGGCGAGCCCAGTTGGCAGCCCCTGGCTCGCTTTGACGAATCACACAACACTGTTGACCGGATCATTAGTGCTGCCGACTCTGCCCGCCAACGCGACAACGCTCCTCATTGGTCGACAACCTCGCCGTCAGCCTCTGTGCCCCTGTCCGTAATCGCGTTATTCCATTGGCCTATCACTTTGCCTCCACGCAGCCTTGGGAAATCTGGGGCCGAGCCGATCAGAGAGCTCTCGCAGCCTTCGCACCTTTTCCATTCTTCCCTCCCGCCCACCAAGTTTCCCTCCTCTCACCTAGACATAGCCGACGACGTACACCATCGCCCACTGAACACCGACCGAAGCCATGTCACCTCTCGGATCGGTGGCCCTGGCCAACGGCTCCGCGACGCCAAAAAAAGTCGCCTACTTCTACGACTCCGACATTGGTAACTATGCCTACGTTACTGGTCACCCCATGAAGCCCCATCGCATTCGCCTGGCACACAGCTTGATTATGCACTATGACCTGTTTAAGAACATGGAGATCTATGTAGGTTGAATTGCAAAAACTACCCTTTGCTCGCGCCGCGCCGCCGTAGACGCCAAGCCACTGACCCCCATCGTGAGCAGCGTGCCAAACCAGCCACTAGAGGAGAGATGACCCAGTTCCACACAGACGAGTACATCGATTTCCTCCAGAAGGTCACCCCCGACAACATGGATGCCTACCAGAAAGAGCAGGGCAAGTACAATGTCGGAGATGACTGTCCTGTCTTCGATGGTCTTTTCGAGTTCTGCGGGATCAGTGCTGGTGGTAGCATGGAGGGCGCTGCCCGCCTCAATCGCCAAAAATGCGACATCGCCGTCAACTGGGCTGGCGGCCTTCACCACGCCAAGAAGAGCGAAGCAAGTGGTTTCTGCTACGTCAATGGTAAGCGCTACATTCCAATCTTGATGTGTCGCCTCCTTCAATCACTAATCGCCGTCTAGACATCGTCCTCGGTATCCTCGAACTACTCCGTTTCAAAAAGCGTGTTCTCTACATCGATATCGACGTCCACCACGGCGACGGTGTCGAGGAGGCCTTTTACACCACCGACAGAGTCATGACTGTGTCGTTCCACAAATACGGAGAGTACTTCCCTGGTACCGGAGAACTACGCGACATCGGTATCGGCACCGGCAAGCATTACGCCGTCAACTTCCCTCTTCGTGACGGCATCGACGATACATCATACAAGTCCATCTTTGAGCCTGTCATCGAGCACGTCATGAAGTTCTATCAGCCCGAGGCTGTTGTTCTGCAGTGTGGTGGTGACAGTCTGTCTGGTGATCGCTTGGGCTGCTTCAACTTGAGCATGGAAGGCCACGCCAACTGCGTTGCCTACGTCAAGAGCTTCGGTCTCCCGACCTTGGTTCTTGGCGGTGGTGGATACACCATGCGCAACGTCGCCCGGACTTGGGCCTTCGAGACCGGTGTCCTGGTCGGCAAGCATCTGCCCAAGACGCTGCCGTACAATGAATACTACGAAGTAAGTTCCCCTCCCTGGTCCTGGTCCTGGACACGGCTGACCGGCAACTAGTACTACGCCCCCGATTTCGAATTGAACGTTCGCCCCTCCAACATGGAAAACTCCAACAGCTTCGAATATCTCGAGAAGATCAAGGCCGCCGTCATTGACAACCTTCGACACACCCAGCCTGCTCCTTCTGTGCAGATGCAAGACGTGCCTCGCCAGCCCTTTGGTGGCATGACCGACGAAGAGGAGGCCGAGCTCAACGATATGGACGAGGACGAACATCCTGATGAGCGCATGACACAACGCCGCTGGGAACAGCGCACCCGCAACGAGGCCGAGTTCGAGGATAGCGACGACGAAGATATGGACGAGGCCAATGGCATGACGCGTCCCCGAAATGCCAAGAAACGCACATTTGGTGACTACCGTCAGACCGATCGCGATGCCGACAGTGGAGCCCCCTCACCAGTAAACGGTGCCCCCGAAGGCGAAGAAGCCCCTAATGCTGAGCCAATCGTGGACGCCGACATCACTCTGGAGAAAACCGTCGACACCGAGGACGTGCCCGAGAAGACAGTCCCTGAGAAGGAGGCCGCACCCGAGGCACCGAAGGAGCATGTTGTGGACGAAGATGGTGATGTCGGTATGGGTGACAGCGTCGATGCCGAGGAGGCCACGACGACAATCAAGAAAGAAGAAGTCGAGGCAGAGCCAACCAAGGTTGCCGAGAAGGATGAAAAGGAAGATAAGCCGGCATCGCGCAAGCCATCGACCGAGCCTGCTGCAGAGCCCCTCTCGGCCGAAACCACAGAGACAGTTGAGGCCGCGGAACCTGCCGCAGAAGTTGCCAAAGCAGTCGACCCGCAGCCAGCAAAGGAGGCCGAAGTTGCCGAGGCCAAGGAGACCAAAGATGAAGCCACGCACGAGGAGCCACCTGTTGCTGCCGAGGAGCCCGCTCCAGAACAGGAGAAGGTGGTTGCTGACGAAAAGCCCGAGGAAAAGGCCCCTGAACCTGAAGAGGACAAGATGGATGTCGATGAGAAACCGGCAGATGATAGCGCCAAGAAGGAGTAGTCGCCCTCGCCTTTTGACTGCATTTTGCAGACCAGATAATGCAATGACGAGACAGTGGGATCATTCGGACGCGCATTACGGAGGGTGTGCCGAGCATAGGGCGTTCAGGGACAGGATGCTTCAAGCGTCTTTCTAGGCATGGAATTTGGGGTTTTTAAATCTGCTTGTTTGATTTGTGGTGATACTCCCATACACCTTTTGCGCATTGTTTACCGGCGAGAAATCGTAACCAACTGTATCATAGAATGCCGAACCGTAGTAGCATGTGGTGGTAGTAGCGATTTCCTTCTTTTTCCACTTTTGTTTTCAAGTCTTGACATGTAGCAGTGCCCAGGCTGGACATTTTAGCTTGGTGAGCGGCCCTATCAACAATCCCACCGTGTCCTTAGCCGTGGTGTTACGCGAGTAGCCCATCAGCCTGCGTGAGTATATTGCCAAGCATCGCTTGTGGATCCACGAGCGGGATCAGTGTTGTGTTTAGACGTTCCTCGTGGCGCAATACCATATTGAAATAACAAGCCACCTTCGACTTCATGGAATGCCCCCCAAGTGATGTTGCTTCACGATACATGGCTTGTTCATATCATGTAAATAATCACTTGCGAACGTTTGCCCTTGACCTGATTGGCATATCTGCCCCCAAACATTCTCTGCTGCTGATTAATCCAAGACAACACAAAAGAACCCCTTGCGCTAGGTTCAGGTTCTCTGTTGTCGCTAATCACAGGAGACAAGTCGGGACTCGGGAACATTCCTGCCCCGGATTCGACGACATGATAGATTGCAGAGACCATACTATTAAGGGCTTGGCTCTCTGGGGGAACACAATGAACACAGCTCAAGGGATTACCTTTCGTAGACGCTCCTCTCCGGCCTGTAGACAGAATCCGGTGCTTCCCGATGAACCTATTTCCTAGCTACTACCTATATTGAAGCTATTACAGAGCTATTGGCCACAATTGCTAGTTCGGCAGCGCCGCATGCCGAGTGGTCGCCCCAATTATCCACCTAAATAGGCTATTTGGACTTAAGATCGGTGGCTGTGGATGTTAGCAGCAGCCACGCAAGCCTTGAAAGATCTACTTGTACGATCTAGGCCTCTTATTTGTGTCTTGACAACCCGTCATTGTAGGCCCTTCCCGCTATCGCTTTCTTTGTGCAGGCTTACCTTTGTTCACTTAGAGCTCCTATTAGCGCAATCTAGACACATCTATCTCTTTGAAATGGGTTTTCTTTTTTCTTTTCTCAACCTGCCTGTTCCGGCTGGAAGCGTTGTCGGCAGTCGTTAGTTGGGCATGTAGCTTGAAATGTAACCCATTAGGGCATCTTGTAAGGGATTGCCGCATTAGTAGAGCTAGGGGAAAGCTGGCGTCTACAGCATGTTTGCCTCCAGATATCATCGTCGGATAGTATATAAGGACGATCCCGTTGGCTTCATCTCGATTGTCAATAACCATCAGGCAACAGTTTCTCAATCATTCTATAGTCTCCAGACTCTCTACTCTTTCTCACGTACAAGTCAACATACCAATCACCTATACCAAAGTTTCTCCAACCAACCCCTTCCCAACACCAACATGAAGGTACTTTAGCCCTCCCGCACCACCACCACCCACGGATGGTTCTGACCAGAAATCTAGTTCTCCCTCACCTTCTTCCTCGCCGGTTCCGCCTCCGCCGCTGCCATCCAGCAGCGCGCCGCTAACGACTGCGCGACCTTCACGCCTTTCCTGGCCCCCCTCTGCGCGGTTAGCGCCCTCGCCACCAACCTCCTCTGCCCGTTCACCCCGCTGTCTCTCACAGCCAACATATGCCAGAACATCGACACCGCCTGCCCCATTCACCCACCCACGTCGTTCATCGGGCAGCTCAACCAGCCCACGCTCAAGAAGTGCCGCATCTCCGTGTTCCCTAGCTTCGACTGCACGGGCGACTCGGTTGACAGCGGGACCCTGCAGGGGACGAACAAGACCAAATGCATCGAGGCCCCCTACTTTGGTAAGCTTGTTGAAGGAGGTGTTGTTTCTGACACTCTGTTGCCGTTCGGCTACAAGAGTGTCAAGTTGGTCTGCGCTTGAACGGTTGATGATGGTTGATGGCCGGTTCACTTATATATCTATGCAACAATTTTCACAAGGCAGTTAGAATTCGAATTGTTCGGTTAATTCAAACATTACCATCTACCTCATGAGTTGGACAGAGAAGTTTAATGGTTTCTCGGAACAAGACACCAACGAGTGACTGGATGGAGAATCGCCGAACGACCGGGAGTGTAGTTCTTGAATAAAGGCATACAGACATGTGGGCATGATCCAGAATTGGGAGTCGTCGATTTTGACTGCATGTCGGCGGTCATATCAAGATCGTGGAAGCTAGAAATAGGGTTCGCTATTGTAGCTGGCTTGATACTTTTACGGCATTTGATATCGCAGTTTCAACAGCCCAGAAACCCGCCTTCCTGCAGATGATGTGACTCGTTTCTTGTGGGGCCTTAGTAGAATGTAGGTTATAAATGCCACTGGTGCCAGCTTGTTGTGTGTTTCCAAAATATCTGGAGGTGTCTCGCATGTTGTACGAGTGTTGTACGAGTGTCCCGAATATCCCTGCCTCGTTCTCGCTGTCTTGGATTTACCTTTTTAGTTAGCTTTGCGGCTTTATTCTTTCGCTGTCGACTTTCGACTTTCGGACGAGGATAACATTGCTCGCGGCAAACAATCTCGAAGGATGACTGGTGGAAACAGAAAATAGGGAATCATTATACTTTGGGTGAACAATGCGTCCGTCCGAATTTTTCGTCGCGAGAAGCCGAACCCGCGAGGGGCAGCCTTCCGCAGCACCACTGCTTTTGTGCCAGCCTGACAATACCATCTTCTAAGCATGGAAAACGCACGGCGACTTCCATAGAAGAAAAGCCAGTACAGAGGCCAAACCATGGCAGAAACCTCAGAATCCAAGAGCAAGGGTATCTCGGTCGACGTGGCCGCGAAAACCACTGGTGACCCGCAGCCATGGCCATCAACTCCGCAGCTCAGCACCGCCAGCGAAGCGGCCGTGGCGAACCCCGAGTGGCAGGCGACCGAGAAACGGCTTGTTCGGAAGCTTGACATGACGCTCATGCCCATGCTATTCTTGCTGTATATGTTCAACTACCTCGATAGGAATAACATCGTGTACGTACAAGTCTAGCAGGATCCTGGGTTGTCTTCCAAATGTTCCGGAGTACCAGCGGCCTACTGACGAGTGTGCGATGACAAAACAGGCAGGCCAAATTGAATCATTTTGAGCGAGACATTGGACTCGTGGGGAACCAGTTCAATACAGCGCTTGCAGTCTTTCATCCAGGGTAAGGGTCTAACCTGCCCTTCCTTGATCATGCCATCTGTTCGTTTGCCGTCGCTGATCAAGTGCTTTAGATATATGCTTGCCCAGTTGCCATCCAACATGATACTAACCCGTATCCGACCCAGCATCTACATACCCTGCTGCGTCTTGCTGTGGTCCATTGTGTCGGCATCGACCGCGGCAGCGAACGGCTTTGGCAGCCTCGTCGCAATCCGTATCGCTCTGGGGCTGGTCGAAGCGCCCTTCTTCCCGGGTGTACGTCGCTCCAACGGGTTCTAGGTTGAACTGGGTCTGCCATCCAAAAATTGTTCCAGCTAACATTCTGATTCATCTCAGGCTTTGTTCATCCTATCGTGCTGGTATACCCAAAATGAGCTTGCCTTCCGGACGGCAGTTCTCTTCTCTGGCAATATCCTTGCGACATCCTTCTCCGGACTCCTCGCCGCCGCCGTATTTGCAAACCTTGACGGCACCCGTGGGCTGGCGGGGTGGCAGTGGTTGTTCATTATCGAAGGTGCCGGGAGCTTCGCAATGGCTTTCATCGCTATGGCGTTTCTACCCGACTTTGTGGGATCCAAGACGGGAGTTTGCGCGTGGCTGATGCCAGAGAAAGAACTTTTAGTTGCCGCGCAGAGGATTAAGGCCGATAGAGTGTCACTGCCGGACGAGAATGCTTCGGTTCGGCACGGTCTGGGCCTTGCCGTGAAGGATCCGCGGACGTGGATTTTTGTGAGTTTCCCCCCTGGACAGAGAAACCGTCCCCTTAGGAACTATGGTGTCTGTTAGAGATAGAGTTAGAGATGGACTAACATTAATGGCCAGGCTGGCATGCAAGTGTTCTATGTCACCTCCATGGGCTTCAACGGCTTCTTCCCGAGCATCGTCGAGGGCCTCCATCTCGGCTCTCAAACAACAACCCTCCTCCTCACGGCGCCTCCCTACCTCTTCGCTGCTGCAACATCACTCGTTGTTTGCATGTCTTCGGATAAGCGTGCTGACCGTGGGCTGCACGTTATCGGCCCTGTGGGCGTCGCCATGGTGGGCTTCATCATCACCGCTGCATCAACCAATCACGCCGCGCGGTACTTTGCCAGTTTCCTGTACATCCCCGGGGCTATGTCCTCGTTGGCTCTGATATTCAGCTGGTCCTCAACGGCGATGAGTGAGACGCCGGAGAAGAGAGCGGCAGGCATGGCGATCGTTTGTTTGACCTGCCAGCTCGGAGGTGTTTGGAGCCCGTACTTTTTCAGACCAGAAGACAATCCGCGATATCTGCTTGCCTTTATACTGATGCTTGTATTCTCGGCGTTGGTTATTGCGACGGCGGTCTTGATGAGGCTCCTACTGGGTAGAGCCAACCAGCGCTTGATTGCCGAGGCTGAGGGAACTGGTAAAAGCCCGAGACTTTATATTCTCTAGTATACAATAACGAGATGTGTGAGAAGTAGCAGATCTTAATATCTGTGTTATACTACCTTTGGCGTGTGTAATTCAGACAATACGCTCGAAACCGCAAGCTTTCGTTTGCGGACGCGGTCCGGGGAAAAGGCATCGCATTAGACATTTGAGATCAACTGGAAGTTTGGCTGGAAACTCAGCCTGTTGCTGTTGTCGTTATTGTTATTGCTTTTTTGGCGATGGTCTTACTTTCAAATGGAATAAAGGGCATCTACAAGCGTACCACCAGCTTCCAGGCAGCGCAAACCCAGCCGGCCTGCTAAGTTGGTCCTACCAAGACACAAAAAATGCATCAAGGGACAGCAAAGGCGGTTCTACTGAGGATAGATCTGTATCTCTCAACTGCCGCTGATGTGTAATGTGCCAGGGCTTTGTGTCTAAGCCGCGGAGAGGTAGTCTTGGTCAGAAGCCCCGCAGACTGGAGTAAGCCGGAAAGGCAGAAGTTCAGAGAGGTGGCACATCAGTATGGTCATCTAACTGATTTCATACTTATTGTGCCAGTTTCACGGGGCTTCCAGGAACAATCACGTATTACCTAACAATAACCCAAGCCTGTGCACCTTCAAACTAATCAGCAGTAAGAGCGTTCAACAGGACGAGGAGAAGATGAGAAAGAATGAATTATGAATTGTTGCCTCAGTTGATAGCGCAAGACTAGAAGCCGTAATCATGTCGACAGCGTGAAGATATCTCAAAATCCACTCACTGCGCTGCACAAGGTCAAGCTACCAAGACAAGTCGAACAAGCACTGAACCCAACGCCAATTGTTAGCCACTAATGAACTCTCAATCACAGCCGCCAATATCTAGACAGCAAGATATGCCCCGAGCCGTGTCCTATTCAGACGATCCCAAGATTCTACTTAGAACGAGGGTAACGACGGTAGCGTAGGTTTCTCTCAAGTAGAAACTTTAAATGACCAGCCAGCTCTGCTTCTGCCCCAGCAATATCCCGTGTGTTCAGGCGTAGAGCGAGCACATCCGCAGCGAAGACAATTCCCTGGTCTGACCGTCCGGAGAAGAGGTTCCTATGGGCCTTGACAAGGGTGCAAAGCTGTTGCGGAGTCTGGCCGCGGGATAGCGCCACTGAAAATACCGGACGGAATTCGTCGTATATCAGTTTAGCAATGTGCTGCGCTGCGATGAACCATGGCTTCTGTTGCATTTGGCCACTCAGATTCCTGTGGAGATTCCAGTCAATGTTGGGGATGCGCATAGCCCGGATATTCAGAGACTTGAGGTTGGGTGCGTCGGACAAGAGCTTGGCCACCCTCCGAGTGACGGACTGGCAGTCCTTGCGGGGGAGTTCGAAGCCCTTTGTCGATCCGAGATGCACGTTACGCAGATAGAACCGGTTTGCCTGTCCTATGCCACGTAGCCAAACGATTGGATCAGCCTGGCCACCAATGAGGATAGGCTGGGAGTAGAGGATTCCACGCGCCTCGGCATGAATGAAACGGCAGGTTCGAAGAAGAGAAGCTGCGATCGGAACACGCTTCTTCCAGGTAGAGATGATGACCATATCCCGGTGAACCAAGGCAAGGTGATAAACGATGTTCCGAATCTCTCGAGGCAGTCGTCTTCCAGTGAGTTATTAGCCAAAGCAAGGTAGGTAATTATTACATCGAAGTACTTGCAGGAATCGAAACCGGCACGCCTTGTGTACGCCAATCTTGGCTCTCTGAAAAGGAAATCAATTAGTTTCTTATGTGACCATCATCCAGTGAAGTTTTGATAAGACGAACCTTTTTCGGCGGCGCTTGCAAATTCACCGCCTCGTTGTCGTCAACTAGGTGACTGTTTGGCCGCTTCATGGGATGTGGCAATCGACGCACGAGGGCGAGACCAGTCAATGGCCGTGGGCGCCTTGGCCTGGGATGGGAAATAAGTCAAAGGTCAGATAGCAAACGTAACGAAAGGCTATAATATACCTGACAGGCATGGTTTCTGAATCCAAAGAAGATTGGCGGGTCGTTTCTCATGAGAAGGACTGCTGTGGTGGCTCCTTGACGGCTCTGTCGTTTTATCGTTTCCGGACCCAGTCCTTGGTGGAACCATTTACATACGAAGCGCATTCCTGACTTTTACTTGGAGATGGTACATGTTTCTTCCAACCATTTCGAAATGACTGTTTCTCAAGACGATCGAGAAATCAGAGGAAACAGGTGGAAAACCTAAGGAATAACTCGAAGGTGAATCTGAAACATTTCTTTTTGTTTGATCCGACCAGAATATGACGCTAGAGTTGATATGTACAGCCTTTACCTTGATCGTTGAAGTTTACTATTGTTTCGTAGTTATCGTAGCCTTGATGACAACGAGTATCACGGGGCAGACTCGAATAACCTATGACTCCAGAGGACAAAGGGGCATTATCAGAACAGGAGACTCTGCATGAAGACATAGAAATCCGAAGTCGAAAGTCGAAAACTCAGCCTGTGGGAAACATTGTAGCACCAGAATCCCTCCTTGAAATCGCCATTTGTTACGATATAGCAACACAGCCATAGATGAATACAGTCACTAAGGTAAGCTCTTCACTCTGCAATATTACACAACCACAAGCGCTTTGCTCTATGTTTGATATGTAAAGAGATATCCCAAGTGATAGAGTCAGTTCCAATTATCCGGTCCTAGTTCCTCATGAGTCCAATTCTTGACGTTTGTGAGGAAAGCGATGGCGGTGTTGCAGGTTCCTCTCCAGGAGTAGCCTTAGATGCTCTGCCACCTCGTTCTCGGCATGTTCGGCGTCTGTGGCGTTGAGCTGCGACGGGGTCAATGAACGTCGGCGACCCCACCAGTTATTCTGGCCGACGCCCAAAATGCGACAGAGCTGTTCCGGACTTCGACCACGGGAGAGCCCCTGTGAAAAGATTGGGCGGAAGTCATCGTAAACTAAATCGGCAACCTTTCGCGCGAGGTCTATCCAGCCGGATACAGGGCCGCGCCGTTGGAGACTCGACCTTTGGGATTTTATCTTGTGGTGGTAGTGGAAAACCGTTTGCAGTGACTCGAGACTTCTCGCCACGGCTATCATCTTGGCCACTTTCCGGCATACGTCTCGGTAACGGCTATGCTGCGCTACCACTCTTCGCGAGACGCGAGAGGTCCATGGTTGGGGCTCGGTTCTGATCTGGATCCATCGCAGATAGACAATGTTCCCCGGACTTAAGTCCCGCAGCCAGACCGCGAGAGTTTCCATATCCCCCACCCTAAAGCGATTGGCATACAGAATTGTGCGAGCTTCGGAATGCACTCGCTTGCAGCATTTCAGGAATGAGACTGGGATCTTGTCGTTGGGATTGCCGCGACGCGTCTGCTCTCGAACGTGGCGTACATCCTTGCGTTGCCAAAGAAACTTTGAGCTTTTCACTGTGTAAGACTCGTTCCTTCCGGCAAGATCAATCCCGGCAGGTCGAAAGAAGGCGAGCTCGTAGACAATGTTCCTGATCTCGGGCGGTAGAGACCTAAACATCAAGCTAAGCAGCAGGCAAGCAGGCGGGGAAGAGGTGCTAATTCTGGTCTGGAAAACTAACTCACAGGAACAAGAAAGGACCTAGTTGTTCGGGCTCAATCCTTTGCTTCTAACATATTGTTAGCAGTACGAAGCATCATCCTGGACATTAAGGCGGTTCTTCTCGCTTACCTTCGCTCGAGGTGTTGAAGAAGTGGCTCGAGACTTCCGCTTCATAGGTCGACGCGAGCCTCCCTTGGCGGTGTTCAGACTGGAAAAAGGGTCAGAGATTGGTGTCTCAGCTGCAAAGACATGTATTGCCCACGGGGAGGACATAGTGTCTAAGACTTTCGGCGACCCCTGATCCTCGTGGCGTGGCAGTTAGCCTGACAAATATGCCACGATCAGCAATGGCTGGAAAGTTCAACAATGAGACAGCGTAGCATAGATGGCATACAGAGCGTCTCAGTGGGCTGAGACATGCTTAACTTGTAATTCCTCTTAGATTTGTTCCGAAGCAAGTAGCATTCTACTCGGGAAGTGAAGGTATTTCTCGTATTTTCTATGATATACCAGAATCCCACGGCTCAGATACCTCCAAGACCTTCTTGCTCGTAAAACTCTTTGGCAATGGCTTTTGTTGAGCCCGAGTCGAAACCGCTTTCCGCTCTTAACCTTCAGTTGCAAACGATCCGGGCAGACAAAGACAATAATGTTGGCTGATAAGGTAATCGTCATTGAAGTGTTAGAGAAAGAGTCTCGAAAAGCAAGCATTGAAAAAAATGTGAAAAATGGAATCTACACCTCCATCTCATTCGGACAGTTTCCGCTGTATCTGGATGACTTGTAGAAGTGGAAAGACGTAAAAGTTCTGGTGGAAAAGTTGGGAAAGGTGAAAGCTTCTGTGTTAGACAACGGCGGCTTTTCTCGAAAGCTTTTTAATCTTGGTAACAACCCATGGTTTTCTAGAAACCTCAGACCTCCCAGTTTGACGTATTGGCAAGTATTCAACAAAGTCAGATACCAAGACAAGAGGAATTGAGGGAAACGAAACATGGATCACACGTGTCTGTGAATGCACCAGTTTGGGAATTCTAACCATGAAGAGTATACCACTGCAGTACAAGATCGGCTTTCAGCATTCCCAATAGGCACAACTACGTGAACAAGCTGGTGTTGGCAGAAATACGCAGAGCTGCATTGAACACTTATACCTGGAGGTCTTCATATACGACACATGTTTATGGATAGAATGTTTGGACCTTCTCCTAATTCAGGGATTTGGCTATGGCTGCAAGCTAGGCACTGGACGGCCTCGGTGTTGCTTTGGTAAATGCACTGAAGGCAAAAGGCTTTGCCCACAGTGACTCCTCCCTTTTACTTATGTATAGTATCAAGATTTAAACAAGGCCATGAATATCTGAAATGTAACAACCACAAGGTTGATTATGAGTGGGAATTAAAGGACGACTAAAGAAAAATTCATCCAGGAAATCTTATGTTCCTGGATCATTGACAACTAGCTCCAGGCAAAGGGAACATCCCTTTCACTCATAGAAACCTGTTTCCAGCCAGACAGAGAGACGTCCTTCCAGTTCAATGCATCGCATGTGATTGTTGCCTTGAACGAACGGCAATCATTGCCCGAGAAGACGATGTAGCCCCTTCCAGAGTCGAGTTTATGGGTTTCGGTCGCGTGGCCATCCGGCGTTGCTGAGGACGTCGTCACCTGTCCCTTCCACTGAAACCAAAACTTGGGGGAGCGAAAACTGTTCTTTTCGAACTGTTGAAAGCGGATGCACTCGTTGTCTTTTTGGTGTTCATCACCTGACTCATCTGCATTTTCCTGGTCGTCCGATTCCAAGTGGTCTTCTGCTTGATGAGTGCTGTCATGGACAGATCCGTCCTGGCCTCTATCGTATGACTCCTTATTTTCGTCGTTATCGAGATCAATCTCCGACCCTTGTTCGTTCTCGAACTGTGACACCAAGTGTTCAAGGACTTTTCGGCTTCCTGTCAAGATGACGCTGGCCTCAAGAACCCCCGGCAGGGTCAAATATCCTAGCAAACCCTTGCCGTCTTCGGACAGACGAAAAACATCCAATGTTGGAGATGCGGCATTCCTTTTGCTCTTCCCTAACTCTGAGCTCGTTTTGGTCGCATTTGAGCACTTGATTTCGTAGTTACCAAATGTCTTTTTGACTTCGAACGCCCCACCGCCTGCTTTCGATTTTCTGGAACTGTTGTGAACATGTCTCCTCGTGAAGGCAGCTTCCTGCCAGTCGTCCATGATGGATATGCCTAATTGAGATTGAGTGTGCTTTTTTCAGGCCGGCGGCGTCGTGTGCATGAGTCTCGACTTTCGTTCCCTACGTTTGCAGACGAGATTGGACGGCGGTCACGGTTCAACGACAAGTGAGTCCTGACGTCATTGGCGCTCGGGTGTCTTGGACTGTCGCTCAGTGATCATAAATTCCCCCCCTCCCCCCCCCCGTCACACACGAAATCAGTAGTAAATCCAAGTTATGAGCAATGTGCGGTATCAATCAAAAATACTTTACGGTCAATATTCATACCGTGTAAGATGATGCATTGTAAGACTCGGAGGCGGGTGAAATGTGGCTCATCCACATCGTTCACGATGAGCTGTGCACTCAATCGTAGGCAAAGGGCGTTGGTTGGCTGTGCATGTCTATAGATAGGATAAAGATAGCTTCGATTATAATCAAAATTCAACCTGAGCAGCTTGGAGATCTAGAGAATTCTGAACCCCAGGATGGATCAAAACCAAGATTAACTCACATGTGGCAACGGCCCCCGAATCAACGGGCGGAGCCGACTACAACGTCGCTAAACAAACACTAACGAGATTCTCACTTGATTCAAACCTCGCGTAACTCACGAGTAAGGTGCTTGGCCAGGTGACAATCCGTCCCTATGTGGGCATGTCAATGCACGCGTTACATCAGAACCTCGGACCTTTTAACTTGACAAGAACGAAGGAAAAGGTTATGGAATAGTCTAGACCTCGAAGCTCCCACCGACAGTCAAGTAGTGTAGGTAACCTGTTTACAACCCCCTGTCCTTCGGATCCCCCGCAATGAGCCGCTGGCCCCTCTTGGCCGCTGTCAATCGCTGAGTGTGACGTCAAGGCCACGGACGCCGAAGCATCTTGCTCGCCATCCAATCACAGGCACCAGACAGGCCAGGATATCCTGTTTCTGGACGTAATGCATGCCCCCAGGGCGCATGAGGCCATAGCTCTGGGCGACATCATAAGAGCTCTCCCGCCGCCCCCAGATGCGCCCGCGGCCGAGTGCGATACCAATATCAAACGCTCTAGCTTCACCATCAGATTTCGGCACCTAAACTCCTACTGGGGATCTACGGCCACCAACTTTACCAAACTCAAGCGAAACCATCTTGTAAAAAAACAAGGACAAAATGGGCGACGAAGAAAACTCTGGATCGGGAACTATCTACTCCCGCAACAAGGAGGACACGCTCGAGGCCGAGACCCTCCTCTGGCGCGCCATGTGCGACTCCAAGCCAAAGCACCTCAAGAAGTACCTCGACAAGGAGGCTGTTCTCGCCCACCCTGGCTTCAAGCCCTACTCTCCGAAATCCAAGCCGACCCTACAGGAGTTCCTCGACGAGGACTGGGAGCCCTGGACGGCCTACAAGATGCACGACGACCCCGAGTTCGTCGAAATCGACGTCATGAGCTCCAGCCTCGTCTACCGCGTCACCGCCTGGCGCCAGAAGGGCAACAAGCTGGTCGCGACCGAGGGCATCTGTAACAGCGTCTGGAAGCAGGAGCCCGGCGGCGAGTGGACTTGCTGCTGCCACCACATGAGCACTGTTTAAGCGACGATTGATGCTTAATGAGGTTTTTCTTTTATGGATTTTGGCATCTTGAGAGAGCATGATGCTTTCCCGGGTGATTGACGGTACATGTAGCCGATGCACGAACGATGCATGACCAGGCAAGAGGAAGGCGAACATCTGGTGTTTTGTAAGAGTAGCGGCATGGTTCACAGGCGCTGTTGAGCTAGTTTGACTAGTCGTTTATGTATTAATGCTTTTGTCGCTTCAGTCCATGCCGAGCAGATATTCAACAGATTCACGAATTTTGAACCCCGTATCAAGTATTCTTTGGCAATTGTAACAGTCTACAAGCCACAATAAATTAACAATCGCTTTGGAATTCGGGAAGGTGAACGAGGTTGACGAGGGCTGATTACAGAGTTATCTATAACTATCGCCCTGAATGATGGGGTTAGGTAACCGCCGAGTTCGCCAGTGTATCTCATACCCATGGCGGCTGGCGGGTAGTTTGACCAAAAACAGGAAGCGCAAAGGAGGGAGTCCTAAGTCCAGACTCCTGGCACCGACCGGATTCCACGTTGGGGTATTCGAGTCGGCGGAAACGCTCAAACAGCAGCGAAGTAACTAGGAGGAATGGAGCTGCCGAAGGGAATTTGAACAATCAAGTTCTTTGAGAAACGTTTATCATAATTCCTACACAAGGTCTAAGTATCTAATATGATGACCTTTGTTCCTTGTGAGCTGAATTATGGGATGTTGTACGGCCAGGTAATATTAATGTTCTAACATATAGTCTAACTGGGACCACAGCGGAATGAGATGGGCAGGAAGGTGATCATGGCTCGCCGGGACCGGGGAGAAAGAGGTATGGGTGTTAAGCGTTCACAGTATGCGAGACTGAAGTTGACAAACTCGTCTGCATCAGGATGTGGCAGTTGTAATCCCTTGCCTTGGCCAGAACAGACAATTGCAACCAAAACAAAAGGAGAAGATAAGAGAAGATAAGAGAAGGAGGAGGAGAGGAGGAGAAGGAGAGATTTTTCTTTTTCTTTTTCTTCTCAGGCTTTCCACGTTTTTTAGTATGTTGGTTTTTTTTTTTTGGTTTTTTTTTAGGAATCATACCGAAGTGGAATTTATACAAAAGTTAGTGACGTTGGCCTTGGCTGTTGACCGAAGCGCGAGAAACGAGAAACGGATTGACAGGCTTCTTTTCCTTGGCTCCAGCTCGTTGCAGGCCACGGTTCTGCTTAAGCTGTCTGGGCTGCTGCTTGCGCTGCTGGCCCTTCGGCTTCGGCTTCTCCGCGCTCTCCGGCTTTTGCTTCTGGTTTTCAGACTTGCCAACCTGTTTCTCTCCACTGCGGTGGGATCGGACCTTGGTTTCGGTATTGGCCTTATTGTTCTTAGAACGCTGACACTTTTGAGAACGCTCTCCAGTGAACGGGCTCTTAGGACGGCCATTAGAGCAAGAAGGATGGTAGGAGCCACGCTTCTCACTAGGAAAAGGGGTTTGAAAAGCCTCAGAAGAAGAGTAAGAAGAGGGTTCTTCATCAAGATCCATCTCAGAGGGGAGGGTCTGAGGTGAAGAGAAGGAGGGAGAATAGGCGACAGGGTCGTCAAGCTCCATCTCGTGAGAGAATTGAGAGTAAGAGTAAGGAGTAGAGAGAGACATTGTTGTTTGTTCTGGTGTTTGAGGCAAGGAAATTGTCGACGTACCTGAATGCAAAGCTCGATGGGGGGAAAAGAGAAGAAGAAATGAAGGAGGGGTGCCAGGGGAAAAGAATTTGTAGGCGTCCAGAGAGACCATAGAGGTGCCGCTCCATGAGAACCGTAGAAAGTAGTATGATGGTCGAGATGATTGACTTTAAGAATACCGCGTCAGAATAACTGTCCAACAGCCATGTTGATACTGAGGCATGGTTCAAGAGAACGCCACACGGAGCCTATTGAACCTTTTGAAAGTTGGAAACGCCAAAAGACCCCAGATACTGCAAGCCATAACGATACGCTGACCGTAAGGCTGTGGGGACCATCTGACTCTTGGAAAAAGCAGCGCGTGACGACAAGCAATTGACGTATCCCGGGACGGCTATCAACTTTGTTTTGCTGAAGTCCAGGAGGCCAACACTGGCTCCCGGAGAATGTTGGTCGAAATGAAGCTTAGGAAAGTGGATTTCGGCATGGCAGTTGCAGCCCCCAAGACATTCGCGGAATATTCATCATTGTGGTCGAAAAGTTCAATGGGAACTGTAGAAAGGCTAACGACATGAAATCAAGAATGCTGGTCGATTCGATACAGCGTGGAGAGTTAGCAGTAAGCAGGGGCTCAAGGGTATTACCAGATGATGGAGTTTATGAAAGAAATGCATGAGTTTCTGGTTTGAAGAACAGTTCCTATTGAAGAGCCATTGGTATGAGAAACTATGTGTGATCTAGCTCCGGGCTGCTTGCGATTTACGGTGAGCGGCTGGTTCACGGAAGTCGACTGTTTTTCTATTGATTGAATCTACAAGTTGACGGATTGATCAATGAAAGAAGGATACCATCCGGCAATAGTACTGAGCCCGTCGTTCTACAGCAAGCGCTGTTCTCATTGTTTCTTAACATGCCTGTTATTTGGATCCAGGACGCCGGATTAGGCGTGTGGGCAACAGTTCGGACCAGTATTGCCGCGATCTTGCATGCCCTAAAAGAAGGTTCATTCACCCAGGACATTTGAAACCTTGTTATGCGCCGGTGTTGCCGGGACACCAGCAGGAAGGAGAATCTGCGGAATTTTCGCGCACACAGTTATGATTCGATTCTTCCTCTCGGAAATCTGGAGGGAAACATTGTCACATATTAACTAGATGAGTGTGTGACAAATGGCCTTTGATGAGTCATTACGTGGAACCTCCGTTTGGAGCCTCTTCGAGTTGTCATCCACTCTTACAGAGTCAAGCCTTTTTTTCTTTCTTTCTTTTCTTGTATAACAAAATTTAATAGGATACGCTTGAACAAGGTGGTTGAATTGTTGTTATTGTTGTAGAAGACAACATGGCTCGTAAATCGTGCACATAGACATTGGGCCAGCCCCTTTAGTCTCTTAACTATTCAAGTTGCTTTATTGTAGCGTAGACACATGCTCTTAGGCACATACAACAGTGCCATTCGAGTGACCAGATGTGCAGCTACCGGTACCAAAACCTGAGAAAGACCGTCCGATTGGGAAGTCTTTATTTTTGTCACACCCGGTTCCCACATCAGCATCACTATTGCCGTCGCACTGCAAGATATTCTTTAGTTACGCATACTACACAAGAGGACACAGGAGCTTACGCAAAAACTGGCTCCGGGGCAGATGCTTTTTGGATCGTTTAGTGGGTCACCACAGCAAAGGTCTCCACCAGGGATTCCTTGAGCAGCAACCAGGCCGGTCAGAAGAGAGAGAGAGGCAAAAAGGACAGTTAAGGCGTGCATTGTGGCAGTATAAAAGTAGCAAAACTAATGTATCAAATATAAAAGGTATAAAGGTAAAGAGAATAAAGATGAGATGAAAGACAGCACCTTGGCTATGGGAACTGTACTAATTTATACGTGTAGTTTGGTTGGCTAGTCATGCGTTACCCCTACTGCCTATCCCTGGTTTCATCGTGTTACAGCTGTACCATATATGAAATGACTCAAGACATGCACCTGCTACAATATAATAGAGTAAGTGTATTATACATTACTTTAGAGCATTCACTCTAGACTCTTATGAGCAGTCTGGTGCAGTCCACCCACTATAATACATAGTATATCACGATACGCAAGAACCTAATACGCAGCACTTTTAATCTGTGCTACATTCCGATCTTACAATACCTAGAAAACACCTAATCACTGACGCAGTCCATCTGGTAGCCGATTCGTATCTGACAGGGCAAACAGGTTGTGGGAGCTCTTGGGCAGTAGCACTAGAGCGAAGTAAAGAGACGCAGTGTGGGACGGAAAGTTTCAACAAGGGTGGACGGCCCTGTCAACTCAGAGGGGTAAGTCTCAAGAGAAATTATAACGCAGCATACGTCGAATAAGGCGTTATTACGTAGGTGATGCTATAGTGTTGAGGTAGTGGACTGAACATACCTCCTGTCATGTTCTGAATTCCGAATATTTATTAACCGGAGGGGATTGCTGCTTATACTAGTTTTATTTAAGGAACCTCTTCATGTTTTCATGGACGTTGGAAAGATTGGTTGTTGTGCTAGCAAAAATTGTAATATTCCAACCGACTGCCCATGATTCTTACGCTCCGAAGCACCCCGGGATGGTGTACATTTCCAGCCAGTGATTCACGAGATAGGACCAGAATGCAGCATCTTTCATTGGAACCACGTATACCGTACCATTTATTCCGATTAGTTCCACCTGTACTGAATTTTGATGCATAGGTCCTCCTTTCTGCTATATTTCTGTTGTGTGTGTCGATTGGTGTGCCAGTCAGAAGAATGGCAATGACGAACGATGCTTCCGACACTACGGCTGGAACAAACCCCAGTGTAATGGGCACGGGGCATCGGAAGCCAGTCTGCCCCAATCAGCGCCTTTTCCCAGTCACGAACTAGCTGCTTTCACTTTGGACATGATGAATTGATTTGCCGCGTCGCCGTTCGTCTGGACGTAGCTGAGGTGAACCTGCAAGTTGCGGCCGCCGTCGCAAAACGGGTCCCCGGTATTGCAAAAGGACACCATCTTGTCAGCAACAGCATTGCAGCCGGCGGTTCGCGTTCTCGGGAATCGCTGTTTTTTTTTTTTCAAAGTCAAGGTCGGTTCTCGGTATATAGAGAGGGCGTTGGTAGGATAACTTACACCGTTATTGTGGCTGCTTCCTTGGTTGTAGGGCTGTCCAGTGACATGACTCGGATCTCCCATGAGCAGGATGGCAGCAACTGTAAGAAGTTTTAGCCACGGCAGCCAGGCACCCTATATAATGATGAATATACCCTTGGCAGCGACTTCGGCCGATTGGGGTTGCGTGGTAGTAAAGCCGTTTTCACTTGTTCCACACATGACATCGCCAGTAACCTGTGCTCCCTACAGGGTATGTCAGGGTTTGATCCATTTGGGGGGGGGGGGGGGGGGGGGGGGGGCGGTCGGAGTTCATTGACTTACCTGCGAATATCCCATCAGCACCATCTTTGTATCCGGGCATCTTGCCGCATAGTCCTGCACCAGCTTCGTCATGGCCTTGACGCCGGCCTCCTCAGATGGGTTGTAAGGGTTCAGTTCAGCCGGGTAGTCCACCGCCTCAATATCGGATCCGGGGATCTGTCCTTGGATGCTGGTCGCGATATCGCCTATGACTCCCGTACCCGGTTTCTCGGTACTGGCCCGACAAACGATAATGTGCACGCCCGTTGCGCAGGCCTTTGTCTGTCGCTCGACAATATTGGCACTGCCCTGCAGGGCGCCAAGGAAGCCTAGCGCGGCGACGGGTGAAGGAATCATACCGGCAGAATAGCTTGGGAACCGCTGCAACAATAGAAGGCAATAACTTCGGCACAGGTGTTACGTCAGCCTGGAGCAAGATGAGATGGCTTGATAAATCGCTTGGAGATAGGATGAGGAAGGCGACGCTATACGTTTATATATTAATCGCGGTGTCAGCCATCGGCTTTCTACTTCGCTTCGGCAGTACAACCAGCTGAGGCTACTGAGCCAACACTTCTCTAACTCTTTGGGCAGAAACTGTACGAGGCTTGGATAGTATGGCTGCGTAATTGGTCGATGGCCTGCATGTTGCGACCTAATCTCACAATAGGTTCTATTCTAGCAGGGCAGCCCTCGGCTAGGTGAGGCTATCTCAAGATGGAAAAGCAAAAAGCGGGATCCTCAAACAAGACTGTTCGGGTTGTTAGCCGAACACTCGACTAGGCGAACGGTGTGGGAGAAACGCTGTCCTAGTGTCGAGCGTCCTGTGTTTCACATCTCGGGGTCAATCGTGAGCTAGAGTTCAAACTTCAAGGCTGATACCTACTGACTTAACCATATATAGAGGTACCCGGGCTCCCCGCGTCTGATTAGCGTCATGAGGATGATGGTGAAAGGTAAAAGAACGAAATCCTTGAAGATGGTCTCAGGTCGTCATCTCGGCCGACATGGAGAGCCAGCAAGATTGAGATGCGATTGGTTAAATTCAATTCATCACGCGACCGCCACGTTATCCCTGTAGCAGGTATGGTGTGTGTTCATCCCAGCTTCCCGCATGAAGAATTGCTGTCCTCCATCAGGACCAAAGCCACGCACCAGGATATCTGGACAGTCAAATACATAGCAATCCACATTCCTGATAACCGCTAGGAAATCCAAGACTCTATGATCTTTCGATCGTGAGACTCCTTGCGTGTGACTTGGTCTGGGGCCACCCACCACTGCATCTAGCCTGGTGACCAGCCCAGAGCCCTAGCCTTCCCTGGGTGCTTGCCATTTTCTCGGGGCTTTCCAGAGGTTTAAGCAACTCGGCTCTTTATCAGCCACTTTGTACTCCCGGTTTTAAGTCCAAGGATGGAAATTCGGGGTGGCAAGGCTAAACTGGCAAACACTGGTCCAGAGATGGTAACAAGAAACTTTCGATAAAGACATAATCAGACAGAACTTGTGAGAAAGCTAAGCGGGAGATGATTTGCATGATTCCGGTGAATCTCAATGAGAAACTTCCGGACCATGCCCGTCTACTTACATTCATAAACAGTTGCCTCTGAAGTTCGGTCTATTTACATGGATGGCATGAAATGGTTTAGAGATTGCATTATGTCGACATGTTCTCTGACAATGAAAAGTACCTCGTTGATTGCTGGGGTTAACATCTATGCACAGTCTTTAGAGAGTCCAAATATGATAAAAACTTGTCATCTTCGTTATGTGATACGGGACCAGCCACTCCGACATCGCTCGTTGTGGATTTGGTTCTAGATGAACCCCTAACCCATTTGGAAAAGGGGGCGGGTCAGCGCCAAGCGTAAGTCTTTTAATCGATATGCTGCCTTTAATGGATGATTTCTATATCCTATTTTTTTCCAACTCTATAAGTTCGTGGTGTGGCGGATGACTTCACCTGCGAGAAAACATCAGCAGCGTAAAGTTTCGACGACAGGCTAGCACACGGGGTGTTCTGAAGCGTTCGACTTCATCAAAGCTGTCATTTAAGACTGTTCACCAGTTAGAATTGTGGCTTTCCCAATTACTTTATACATGTTTCTTGCCGGCAAGGCGAAGTGTTTTGGGACATAGAATTTACTCGTCTGCAAGTCAAAAAGGTTGGCAGAAGATATTCAAACCGAGCTTAGAATACCGTAAGAGTGAGAGATACTGAGCACTCTCGGTAACGACAAACCAAAAGAAAGACGAGTTAATAGATTGTTGTCAGATGTGTATCCTGCTGGCGTACGGTCTCCTAAAAGAAGACCCAGCCGCTTGCCCTATTTATCACGCACAGCGCGGAGTTCAGCAAAATAGGGGAAGAGCCGAAATTAACGTGCAAAGAAATGCTTCTTGCTCTTTTTGCTCTTCCTAAGTGATCACTATTCCAGCTTGTTGACGTGGTCGGAACTCTCGGACTATGATGCCGGTCCTCGACATCGCGAGTAATGACGTAACGCTGCCGCCACATCCGAAATGCAGATACGAGCGACCCGCGCCAGCATCGTCTTCTCTTCTTAACCATACCACCTCCGCCTGCATGCCCGATAGATATCAATAATTTCAACAGAAATCACCCAATGTACTCCTGGACAGTAGCATGGCAGGAAGCCCGTTGCCCAGATACTCAGAAATCGACGTTGAGCTTGAGACACTAGCCGATTCGCAGTATTTCGACAGCCCGGATTCTCCACTCCCGCTGCTTGACGACAACGAAGACGACGACGACGACGACCATACGGATGGACAGACTCTCAGGGGTAACAGAAATACAATCAGCATCATGAGCAGCACGCCAAAATGGATGAGGACGGCGCAGCCTTTGGGTCGATCTCTATACCAAAAGGCACTCGCAGCCGTCCAACCACGACTGACCTTCGGATATGTCGCTTGGGCCCTCATTGGCCTTTACGTTCTCTATTGCATCCTCGCCCGCTCGCCGCTATTCGCGTCAAACTTACCAGGGTATTCGGGCCCATACGAAGTCGGTGCGATAGACGTCGAGGTGCCTGTCCGCAAGCCTCGCAAGATCAGCGAGCAAGTCCTGGAGAGCGACGGAAAGCCAGCATTCGAACTCGAGACGGTGCTCTTCACGCTGTACTATCCTGCAGCAAAGGGCTCCAACGGCAACGGTCACCACTATTGGATTCCCAGGCCCATCAGCATCACAGCCGAGGGCTATGCCAGGGCCGCGCACTTCAACAACTTCATCTCGCGGCCGGTCTTCACATTCTTCCTGTGGGCCATCGCGGGCAGCATCAAGATCCCTGCACACGTCGACGTGCCGCTGCTCAAGGACGGGCAGGAGTTCCCCGTCGTGGTCTTGTCACACGGCCAGGCCAGCTCGCGGACGGATTACACGCACTACTGCGGCGAGCTCGCCAGCCTTGGCACCGTCGTCGCCGCTATCGAACACCGTGACGGCAGTGGTCCGGGATCTGTCGTGATGACCAAAGATGGCAAGGAGCGCAAGGTCATGTATTTGAACAAGAAGGAGCTTCAGGGCGGCAAGGAGATGAAATCGGACGACTTCAAGTTTAGGCAACTCGCCTTCCGACAGGCCGAGATTGAAGAGACCATTGCCGTACTGAAGGAATTGCATGCAGGAAAGGGGGCTACCGTCTTGGCGAACAACGCCCGCAAAGAAGGCCGTGGCCTCGCGGAGTGGGAAAGCAGACTGAATTTCTCCCAGACAGTCATCGCGGGCCACTCATTTGGCGCAACAGGTGCCCTCCAGGTCCTCAGAGGCGCCACCTCGGCCAAAAACCCTGCTGTCGGCGGCATCATTCTCGATCCCGGCAAGAGCAGCGGCAGGCTAAACACCGATATTGACGTGCCGATTCTCGTCATCCACTCCGACTCGTGGTCCAAGAAGATTACGCCGTTCTTTGGAAGGCCGCACTTCGACACCGTCAGAGACATCGCCCGGGACGTGCTCAAGCGCGTGGGTTCGAGCTGGTTTGTGACGAGCCTACGGACGAGCCACCCGAGCGTCACAGATGCGCCCCTGGTTGAGCCTTTGCTCCTGAGTTGGACGACGGGGGCTACGATTGGCGCGCATCGAGGCCTGAAGGAGTATGTTAGGATATCACAGGAGTTTATGGATTTCTTAAGGGAAGGATCCAGAAGGGGCGTGTTATCCGAAGACGTCACCCATGAAGAGTACGGAAAGGATACCATGACGGATGAGCAACGGAGGAGGATACCCAAGGAGACGAGGAACTATTGGCAGATTCACGTCGCACCCCCACGAGAAGACTAAGATGATGGCCTCATGCGGCCCGATGATAATTATCCATATTGATTAATGAACAGTGATTACTCGCTTGCGTCATCTGCGTTATCGTTTCCCGAAGCGAGGAGCCGAGGGAGCGGTCTGGGTCTCTGGCGGCGATTTACATTGCTACCGCATCTCCATCTTCTTTGGGTAACGACAGTATTCTGGTATCAGAGTCCAGACCTATTGCCATTCACGCAGACGCACACCCCCCACACGACATCGGGCCTTATCCGGACTATGTGATTGAATGCAGCCGCCTGACGCCCCCTCTCCCATTCGACCAAGTGAAACTGACTCGACCAGAGCCAGACTCGTGCGCAGTTTGGTACCTGCAAGAAATTTCAAGCCGTCTTCCCTTTTGCTCGTCGGGCATCCCACGCCAATGCGAGCAGCGTCAGGGCCGCGCCTCCGCCCTCCCACGCCGCGACCCCCACCCAGCCCTGCCGCCAGAAGACGACTGCAGACGCGAGGCGCATCGGCACGGTAGCGAGGAAGAACGGCCGATTCTCCTGGGCGACGGCCAGGGTGTAGTAGACGCCCATGGCGATGGCGGCAAGGGCGTTGCCGTTTGCGGCGGGCAGCGCGGCGGCTGGGAGGTTCAGCGACGCGAGCGCTCCGGACGGGCGCATCAGGGAGCCGACGCCCGCGATGAAGGAGGAGAGCCCGAAGGCGAGGATCGTGTACCGGGCGACGCCTGGTGCCATTGTCGTCGGCGAGCAGGGTCCGCTGTCTTGTCGATGTTGTTCATGTTCAGGTTCGGGGGGGGGGGGGGCGTGATCGAGGTGCGATGGAATGCGGGGGCCGCTGCTCGGGTCGTCGTCGTTCCGAGCGGAGGGAGAGATAAGCCTACCTATGGGGTTTTTCTTCCCTTCCTCCCCCCTCCTTTTCCTCCTGCTTCTTCTTTGAGGGGCGTTTCTGCGTGGAATGCAGCGCGACGTGCGGGTTAGCAGCAAAAGCCTAATATAAAATAAGGAGTGGTCCTTGTGTCGGTTCAACCCGTCAGCATTCTTTGCTACCCCGCCGTCAAACCTTGAACCCGGTGTTTGGTGCTTCTGAGACATCTTGATTCCAGGAATCCGGACGGCTTGGGCGATTCCATATCAAGTTTATCAATGTTGTGCATCTGGGGGAGGGGCCCGTCCGACGGGGGCTCCTCTTGGTAGACCAGTCTTGGTGCGTATTACACGGATACGATGTGGGATGTCTCATCTGATGGTTTGCTCTTGGGGTCGCACCAAAATTGGCGCGAAACTCGAAGCCTCAAGTTCTTCGTGCAACCCCCTCTCCCTCGCGAGGATGATTGCATGCTGGGGGACACCCGATGATTCGGCATGCTACGCGCCACAGGTTTCTTGTTGCGGGAAATGAGGTCTGCTTCATTGGCCGCCGGGTTCGAACCACTTGATTACCTTGTTTGGACGTCTCACTGCGGCGAGGGACGAATGAGTGGTTGTCGCCGTGATGAACGGGGAGGGGGGATCCGTTGCCTCATTCCAGATCCTCGGTTAAGAGCGGTGAAGGATTAGGCCTCCGAGACAGAACCAGTCCGGATCGCAGAGGACTTGGGTTCGAACAAACGGCTTGGCTGGACGGCGAACCGCTTGAATGGGAGGGTGGTGAGACTAGCCCAGGCAGCGGCGCTGACAAGACGTAGCAGCGTTCCTGGCGTTCATCCTTCTCTTCTACCCCCCTGCCTCTCTCTCCCTTTGTCGGCTATGCTGTGTCCGAGACAACAGTGTCCTATTATTTGCGAGACATTGGGGGCCCTCGGTGCAGAAGACGGACACGTTCAACGTCAGTGGCAGTGATAAGATGTGATGGACAAAACACGTTGATGTACTCAAAAGTCTGCCCGCCCCCACTGATGACTGACGGCTCAGGGCTCGACGGAAACATTTGCATCTGCGCATTGTTGAAGTGACTCGGAGCGGCCCAGGAATGAGGGCCTCCGTGTAGGATGAACAGCAGGGGAAAAGAAATAAGAAATAAGAAAAAGAAAAGGAGTTACCGTTAGGCACCGGCTGTAAAGATGATGTCGGGTTGGCAGTTGGAGATGGCTGCAGGGAACAGAGTCTCGCTCACCCCAGATTTGTCATATTTACAATCAGCGGCAGTTCTCTCCGTACGTATGGACGGCAGGGGGTGGGAAGGGACAGTGCCGTCCCGTGTCGTTGAGGTTGGCCAAAGATGATCTGATGAGATTTAGACATAAGACCGTTCCTCGCCGTCCGTGCCCAGCCCAGAGAGCCAAGGTGAACCAACTAGGTACCGCAGGGCTATCCATTGCCCCAGCCATAGCTATCATATCGGACGGTGTTAGATCGGCGTTCCTTGCAAGCCGACTGACTGACTTTTTGACTGGGGCCCATGGACCGCGGCCTGCCGACTCCGACGGACGAGATGCATACCCTTCTGGGTCTCGCTCCTGGTTGGGATATACCATCGAGACCAGCACGGACGACCTCGCCCGGCCACGGCTCACGGCAGCCGGAAGAAAGCCGCTCGTCCGTCTAACGGGTTTTTTAGAGCACCCCCTTTCCTTGTGCTCAGGTCGGCCGCTCACCTCGCAGGGGGGTGGGGGATGCCGTTCATCGAGGCGAGCATTCCGCTCTCCGAGGCCCCCCAATGGTCGGGTCGGTCCAGATCTGGGCTCAAGTCTTCAGGACCACGGTTCACCATAATATGCGCGGTATCTCCGACAATAGTACCTACCATGGCGCCTCTGTACCTCTCTCTCTCTCTCTCTCTCTCTCTCTATTTCGCGTCGTCTTAAGTGAGACATTATTGCATTATGGACTGGCAGCCACCCGAAGAGCCAATAGATGGCATAAGACCGTTAGGCGAGATTGGCGAGCGCGCCGGTCCTTTTCCACCCCTTCACCGGGACGTTTCGGTGTGACAGCATACTTGCTTTTTCCTCGTTAACCTCTCTGGGAGAGGTCGTCCCTCTCAGTGTACATGACATGTCGCGTTCGTGGGACCCTCGCGGACGCAAAAGCATCGATCCGGGACGGGGAAGCGAAGCTGGATTCAAAGAAAACAAAAGAAAGAGAAGAAAAAAAACAAGGCCAAGCCAGTCTGGATCGGCCCGTCGGGAGGGCATGAGATGCTGCTGCCCCTCAGAGATGCTGCTGCCCCTCAGAGATTAACGCTCCGGGCGGACACCCCCCTTGTGCCTGGCTCTGAACTGCACTACATAGTAGGTAATCGATGATGTGGTCGCATACATATAACCAGATCTCGGGGTAGAAGCCGCCCTAACCGAACGGGTCCTGCCACGACATCAGGCGCGGTTGGAGCTGATGGCGTTTGTCCGGCGTCTTTGAGGCAACGAGAGTGGCCAGGATTCAGGATTCAGCGGCGCCAGCCTCCGTCTCCCCGTCTTCCCCCTCTTTCTCTCTCTCTCTCTCTCTCTCTCTCTCTCTCTCTCTCTCTCTCTCTCTCTCTCTCTCTCTCTCTCTCTCTCCCTCTCTCCTGGGCTGACGGGGTGTTGGTGTGTGCGTATGTGTGTGTGTGTGTGTGTCAAGCCGATCCGATGTTAATGTAGCGGCCATCGACGCCGCTTATTGTTGCCCCTGCCTAATAACAGGATAAATAACCCCAAATCTCGAGGGCTGTTGGTGCGCGATCAGCAGCAACTCCACCCCCCAATGTGAATTGGAGGGGACTCATGAGTCGCCAGAGCTAAGCCGTGGGCCAAGTTTTGGTTTATCGTTTCTACGCGCGTTTGCCGCACACCTTAATTACATGTATAATACACCAATCAAAAATAAAACGCCTTCAGGGCCTCCGTGAGCCCGCGGAGCTCGACAGCCTTAGTTTTCTTCCGTCCCCCCTCTGTCTCCCCCCGTACCCTTGATGATCTGGGGCGGGACCGGGTGAATATTCTTGTTTGGTATGTACCGTACAAGACTGGGAACTTTCAACTTGGTTCGCTACGAATACTCTCTGGCCTTCCCTTGTGCACTCACAGACACCCGTGCGGCAGATATCGGTGCCTGCATTTGTATTGCCGTCGTACATGACGCCATGCACCATCGTGCATCCACTGATCTCCTCGTGATCCATCAAGTTTCTCTGGGTTCGCAGCACCCATCCGCGCTGGGGCCGTTCGGCGGAATTTCCCACCCAGAGAACTGAGACTACTATTCTAGGTCCCCCCCCCCCCCCCCGGTGATCCGGAAATGGGCGTGTGTGCGTGTGTGCCGTGGCACTTGGAAGGGGGGGAGTGTGAGAGTAAGAGAGTGAGAAAGTGAGAGTGCGAGGGCGAGAGAGTGGGAGAGTGAGTGAGAAAAAGGTTGCTCCAATCCGAGCCCATTTCAGTCCTACTACTACACTACGCACACTGAAGCTCTACATCGGCAGACGAGACAAAGTCATGTACAAGTACGTTCCTTGCCTCGGTCTTTGTTTTGGAGGGGAGGGAGTGTTCAGTTGTGGTTCGGGCTGAGTCCCGGCCGCAGCATGGCATGGCATGGCATGACATGACATGGTGGCACATTGATCCAGGCAGGAAACGGACGGCCAGGAACTGCCAGGAGGTGCAAGTCTCGCCTCGGAAATATGACAGACGCTCGTGAATGGTCACGACCTGACCCCTGGATCCCTTCCACATGGCTCAATAGGGCATCTTGCAGGCCGCAGAGCAGCCCTGAATGGCGACGGCACACACCTCCCCCAGAGCTCAGGGTAGAGCGCTCTCCCTCTCTCTCTCTCTCTCTCTCTCTCTCTCTCTCTCTCTCTCTCTCTCTCTCCCTCTCTCTCTCTCTCTCTCTCCCTCTCTCTCTCCCTCTCTCTCACTCACTCACTCTGATTCTCATTCGTGCTCTCGGTCTTTCTTATTCCCACTCTTATCCACTCTTACTCTCTCTTACTCTCATTTGTGCGTTCGGTTTGGCTCTCGTCCGTGCTCTCTCTCTCTCTCCCTCTCCCTCTTCCATCTTACTTCCGTTCCTTAACCCCCGTCCCGTCCCCGCAACTCGCCGCCGGTTTACTGTCGTCTTCCGTCGGGCTATGACTTCGCATCCTATATCCCACACCACCCGCCCACTCACACACACACACACACACACACACCATCCTCTTCAAGCCGTCACCTCCGTGTCCCGGCAATGCACACGCTGACACCGTGGAACGCTAGATCGGTGTGATTCCATCCATCCATGACCGGCCGTGCCCCTCCCCCCCATCTCGTCACCACATGTCAGCCACCCATTGAGACTGGGGCCTCGAACTGTTTCCCAAGTTGGTCCCAGCATGTCAAACCCCTCTCCCATCGTCCCCTTACCATGTATCCGTACATCGTACCTCTCTCTCTCTCGCTCTCTTTCTCTCTCTCTCTCTCTCTCCACCCCGAGCAAATCCCCAGCAAGCTAAAGTTGACTTGGCCAGCTCCCCAGCCGACAGACGAGGTATACCCTCTAGTCTGTCTGTATACATACCCAACCTACTATCCGTACTCTCTGTCCATATCCGCTTGGTGTACATGTACGGATCAACTGAGACTGCCCAAATCCACCCCGTCCGTTCACCACCGTCCACGTACACTACATATTACGCACCGCACCTCGGCTGCCGCCCAATACCTGCGTCCCGGCCGCCCGCACCCGCATCCCCGTCCCATTCTTTTCCCCCTTCCCTCCTCGGACGCGGCCGACCTCCAATCGCCTCCCCCCCTTGGCAGCCTTGAAGACATATACTTTGCTGGTTGATGCATCCGTGAGTGAGCTGACACAACCGGGGAAGGCCTTCCGGCGGCAAGAACCCAGAACCCAGAAATCCAGAAATATCCTCCCCCCGAGGTTCCCCCTAGAGCCTCATCATCATCACCATTATCATCAACAACATCAACATCAATACCAACAACAACAACGTCGTCGTCCTCGTTAAGAAAGAAGGAAAGGACAATAAGCTTCCCAAGCCAAAAAAACGCTCCTCATTCTGGTCTGCGGTGTTGCTTTGACTTTCTATTCTACAACCACACATTGCACACACACCCACGCCCCGGCAAATGGATTACGCATCATCATCATCCCCCGTGGATTCACCGACGCCGTCGTTCTTCACGTCGGACCTCGACGGCCTCGCCCAGGCGCCCTCACCTGTCGCCCGCGCAATCCTCGTGGCGTTGTGCGACGATCGCCGTGTGCGGGCCCAGGCGCTGAGGCAGCTCGGGCGGCTGCTGCGATTCGAAGCCGACGTCCGCGGCCACGACCCCGTCAAGAGCCCCGGGTCCGTCACGAGCCCGTCAAGTTCCAAAAAGAGGAAGGTGACGGGCGAGCCCAAGATATGCGTCCAGTGCGATTGCATCTTCACCGACGACGAGAACTCCTTCGGGGCGTGTTGGTACCACACAGGTAAGCAGGGACTGGGCGGCACGAGTCGGCGGACCTGACTCGGCCATCCAATTTTTAATTTTTTTTTTTTTACTTCTTTTAGTCGTTCTTTTGTTATTTGTTCTTCTGCTTCTTCAGCTTCTTCTTCTTCTTCTTCTTTTCCCCTTTGGGGCAAATCGGGAGGGGGAGGCTCCGTTTCTGTCCCCTTTGACCGTTGACGGGACAAAATAACTGACTCGCGTTGCGCTTCTAGGCCAACTAGAGCTTTGGGACGAGACCCAGATTCCCACGCTCTGGGACGAAATATCGTCAGACGAGCTTGACACGGAATCGAACCGCGCGGAGTATCCCGCGGCGTTCCGGTGGTGCTGCTGCGAGCGGCTCGGTGACAGGACGGGCTGCGTGCGCGGCCATCATGAGTCCAACCCAGACAAGAGCAAAAAGGGCCGCGGCAACGAGCTCTCCGACCTCGACCTCGAGGACGACCCGCTAGAGCTCGACGCATCGGACGACCTGCAGCCGCCGCTCCAGCAGCACTACACGATCGCGAATCCCCAGGAGACTACCCCCCGCAAGCTGCCGATGCACCACCAGCAGCAGCAGGAGGAGCAGCATCATCGTCTGCTCCATCAACCACAGCAACAGCACCCTCTTCATTAGCACTACCAACGAAGACGGAGGTCCGAAGAGAGTTCTGTCACTTGGGTCGACAGCGGCGCAGAGGCCCGCTCGCTCGCATGGGTCCTTTTAACTATTAACTGCGAACGGGGTCTGTGCCGACTGGTCTTGGGGGATCTGGGTTTGTTTTGTGTTGGCGTTTTTCCATCAGTCGCATGTGTTTCGGCCTTTCTAGCGACGGCCGCGGCAACAGCGACGGCAATGCCGCGGGCCTTTGGTCACAAACCGACACGACAAGGCGCCGTTGCTAACACGAGAGGATGTGCCGGGGCTTGCCTGTGGGATATTCAAGATCGCAGTTGATCGAGAACACTTTTGTCACAGCGAACGACTTAAAACGGAGCGGTGGGAACAAGCATTGTTTTGGGAGGCATAGCATTGGCAAAAAAAGTATGGAACACACACGTTTGACGGGAAGGCAGATCTAGGTGTCGGTGGCAAAGGGAACCCCTTTCCTTGCTCTCCTTTCCTACAGTTGGGTTATACGTAACATTCGTTTTTCACCGACTCGAACCAGGCAGGGCGAGGACACTATTCGGCACGCACCGGCACAGGAAACCGAGAGGGAGGATACCACCAAGGCACGGTGGATGACATGGAATTTGTCCAATGTATTAATGCTACCCGTTGTATAAGAACAACAAAAGTAGGAGACGATGATTGAGAGACACACACGCACGCACACAAACTCACACACAGAGAGAGGGAGGGAGAGAGAGAGAGAGAGATACCTGGCTGGAGGGCATGTCGATTAGAATCCAGCACAACGGGGCGAACCCGGAATCATCTGATGTTTTTTTTTGCATCTTTGCCTTTGCACAAGCATAGGCACCTTGCATACCACTTTTGAGCCACGGTTTTGATAAATGACAATGAGAGCGCCGTTGCTTGTGGGGATCGAGATCTGCGTCTCGTCCGTTCTGTCCGTCCGTCCGTCCTCATACGGTGAAGACTGAAGACTGGCGGTGGCGGATTCCACGTACACGAATACAATCCACATGCGCATGCGCGCCGTGGGCGACGGAAGCGTATCCGGGACCCCGATATCATCTGCAGCGCGCGACGTCTGCAAGGGACACCGGAAAAAGATTAGCCAGCATCTCACGGGGTCCATTAGGCCATGCTGCATAGCAGCAGTAGTCGTACACGCCACAAGGGGGGTAAGGGCGAGCAAACAGACAGGCTCTCCGGACTGGATCCCGCCTACCTATACCTACCTACCTAGGCACTCCTCCTCCACCCCCCCTGAAGGCGGTAGAGCTTGGGGTGCCACGGCATTGTCTCTCCTAAGGAACTGCAATCGAGAGGGGAGCGGAGGGTCCGCCTGAGCAGCAGGGGTTACCCTGACCATCCGAGATTCCCCGGCAAACCATGATCGGCGTGAGGGGTCGGGGAAAGACGCGTCTGTGTGTGTGTGCGTGCAGTCGTCCCCTAAAAGGAGAGGGAGAGAGCCACGGAAAGCTTCGAGGATGCTTCTTCTATATTACTACACTTGTAGTATATCCTATGCAGGCATCCGTGAAATCCGGTACATTCCCGTCGCGCCAGTTTAACGTTTCAGGGCGGAACCGCCCCCCCGTCGCCGGGACGTGGGTGGAACAACGTCGTAAACGCGTCCTGTTCTGGAGTCTTAACGTCACGTTATGAGGGGAACCGTTTCGATCTTTGACCCCTGAGGGATATCGGAGAGGATTTTGAAACCCCTTCACACTCTGGCCGTTAACTGACTTCAGTTGACCCCGCGCTTTTATCACCCTTTTTACCATCCAGCAAATTCATCCACAGGAGAGGTACACGGTGTGGTGGCCCTCCACCGCGTCCGATATCGCAGCATCTCCACTTGGCTTTGAGAGGGCTGCCAGCAAGCTGCATCGGAGAACAATGGCCGAGCATGCTGTGCAACGCGACGCCGTCCAGGCTGCGCGCGCGAAAGAGGAACTAGACGCCGTGGGATCCATACCGGAGGCCGACGCTCGAAAGGTGCTGTATTACCTCTGCAGCGAAGACGAGGGGGTCCGGAGGAAGGCTCTCGACTTTTACCAGGGCGCCCCGAAGAGGGACGTGTGCACGCACTGCGAAAAGGAATTCGACCCGGACAACAACGCCTCCGACGCTTGCTGTTACCACCCAGGTAAGACTCGTCTTTATTTTGAAATCAAACTAGGATTCCCAACGGCAGAAGCCCGTTTTCAGACTCAAGCTGCCATGCTTTATTACCAGTCAAGATGATACGTCCAAGCAGGCGGCTAACCCCCAGACGCAGGGGATTTTGAGCTGGATGAAGAGCTTGAAGTCTGGGACGGCATGGACGACTATGACTGGCCCCCCGAGCATTATCAAAGAGACAGCGAGTCCAATCGCGAAGATATCCCCGAGGGATTCAGGTGGAGCTGCTGCAACCGCGTGGGGGATGTAAAGGGGTGCCAGACGGGGAGACACGAGGGCAATGGGGCGAACACTGCAGCAGCCACGACATACGGACTGGCGCTCGAGGTCAACAGGATGAAAGCGAAGAGGCTCGGCGAGCTCGCCGGTAGGGCGGGCAAAGAGTCCGGGATCCATGGTCCGGGAGAGCAGCAGGCCAGCAACAAGCGCAAGGCAGACGGCGAGCCCGGCGACGGCGACGCGAGCAAGGTGAAGAAAGGCGCCGGCGCGCATTGACTGGGCACTCTTTGGTGATGGGCTACTGGGCTTGAGTTCGACAGAATTAGTAGTTGCTGCCATAAGTGGTGAAGCTACTACGTGTCCTCAGCCGAGACTTATAGATATACCGAGCCTCTCAACCCGTGAATTGATGACGGGTTTAGATTTCTTCAATTACCTATTAGTAATGCTGTAATGTTTTAGTTGATATGCCTGATTTGATCGTATTTCAGTCTAACTGACAGGTTACCTATATTCCTTGAAATAGACATGCATATGCTTCCCAAACTGGATTAGTGTATGTTTCTCACTTCAACGCATACGATAAGCTCAAGTCGAACAAGAAATCCTGGGAACTTAGTCATCTGGCCACTTTGGGAGGGCGCTGAACCATTGCTGCCTGGTGAGATGCATAACCCCTCGCCGTATCGTTATTTCATCTTCTGGATCCCGTGTCACTTGGGTTTCTGCACTCGAATGTCTGGACTCCGTGACCTTCATGACAACAAGGTCAGCTCAAGATGACAGACTATGGCTCCGTCTCCGTGGACGCCTTCACTATCGGATGGCCTTGTGCCCATCCGTTGGAGCTAGAAATTGCGTCCAAGATGATGGATGAGCGGTTGCCAGGCCTCCCCTCCCACCCTAGCGACTCCAACACCTACGCGCTTGGATTAATCGAGGGTCACTTCATTGTAGCTGCCTTTTCACCTACCGCCGAGAAAGGTACAAGCCCAGTAACGGCCGCGGCTCGCCACATGAGGTTGAGCTTCCCTTCAGTTCGCTTCGGCATCTCCATCGGCATCTCCATCGGCATCCCCATCGGCATCGCTAGCTGGGTTGCGCATCCCGGCGACAATCTTGATATCCGCTTGGGCAACGTTGTCATGATCCAGTCGCTAAATAATTGCGATGAAGCGGTTCAGTATGATCTCGGCAAGGTTGTCGATGGTCATGTTACCTATATGGAGAGAAAAGTCGCGCCGTTATCAACAACTGTAATAGCGGCGCTTGAGAAGTTACGCACCAATTATTTTCGAAACAGGACACGAGTCTCGGAGCACTTATCCAAACTCTCATTTCTCCACAGCTTTGGCACACCAGAAGAAGCACGATCAGCAACATACCAAGCCCTCTCTCACGGCAGCATCGTGTTTCCACCTGAAGTCATGAGAGACGGGCAAACGCCAAGGAGTGATATCCATGAGCTTGTTGATGTTTCGTTATTTGGTAACGAAGTAGCCGACTTGAGGACTGAAGCCTCTCAGTCTGACTTGTCTCTGGTTATAATCCGCGGTATCTGCAACAGAAATGACAGCGAGATATTGCAACTGCATGCAGTGGCTGCAGCCGCGTCATATGCCAAAGAGCTTTTGCAAATCCTCCCACCTCTGGTAGTCTTAATCTCCCCGAAAGATAAATCGGCCTGTAAGTACGAATCGCGAAGCACATATGCCCACAGACACTAAGAAAACAGCCGACAATTCATATACGCCTCCTCCCATGGACATTTCAGCGAACGTCATTACAAGGCGATGGCGTCCTTTGGTCAACGAAGAACCCTTATTTGACTCTTTTATTGGGTTTGAACAGAGCACTTCGATGGAGCAGATGCCCCGTGTTAAAGTCACCCTATGGCCCAAACTCCCTTTGAGCACTCTTACCCCTGTTTCCGACCCTCGAGCAGAAGAGGCACATATTACGAGGGCCAAAAGCAAGTCAGACATACCGACCAGTAGAGCTGACAGTCAATCAAATCTTGTTGCCATGTGGAGGAAGTCTGGTGGGCCACATGGCTCCAGAAATGTCGTTATAGACATCGACGACGACGACGAACGCAATAATAGTTTCGATTCCGGATTGGACACTAAATACAGCATCCAAATAATGAGGAATGTTTCGTCAAACTTCGCAGGCTTCCAGCAGCATGTGCTCTTGCTCAATCCATCTCTGAAAACCAGTAACAATTACCTGGTTGACCGCATCGCCCACCAGCAGGTCGTTCGATACAAAGCACTTCTTAATGCCAAGGTTAAGCATATAGAGCTTGGTGAAGATCGTCCAGACGGATTTCTCTGTCCTGCACGTGGCGGTCACCCTGTCCTGTCCAGCCAGGAGAGAGATAAGCAAGAAGTTGATCCGTTGCTCAGGAACCTTGAATCTGGCGACTCGGGCTATGCTGAGGGTTCTGTTACTCAAGATAGCTTCCCGACAGGCATTCCACTACCGTCTGCACCATGTCTTCCGGCTCAAGTCGAATGTCAGCTCTGCTTTCACTTGAAGAAGATTAACAAGCCTTCTGACTGGACGAAGCACGTCCACGAAGACGTACAGCCCTTCACTTGCACTTGGCCCCGCTGCCGGGAGCCTAAGATCTTTAAGCGCAGGGCTGATTGGGTGCGCCACGAGGACGAAGGCCACCGTCACCTCCAATGGTGGACATGTGACATCGAGGACTGCCGGCATACCTGCTACCGCCGAGACAACTTCCTACAACATATTGTGCGCGAGCACAAGTTTGTAGAGCCCAAGAATAAGACTAAGCCTGCTCTTAAGAAGGATGACACTGTTGACCCAACATGGCAAAAAGTCGAACAATGCCGCCAAGATACCACCGTAAAGCCACAGGATGAGCCCTGCCGGTTTTGCGGTCGACAATTTTCGACGTGGAAGAAACTAACTGTCCACTTAGCTAAGCATATGGAGTGTATTAGTCTTCCCATCATTCGCCTAGTTGAGGATCAAGACCTGAAGCAAGAAACCATTGCTTCAGTGCAGGACCATCCGCAGGGAGCCCCCTTCAGAGAACCAGAGCAACCATCTCACCCTCGTTCAGTGGTCGCCAGTGTCCCTACAGACTCTGGCTACGCATCTGTCCCGAAATCCAAGAGCCTGAAGCCCGGTGTCGTGGAACCTCTGAATGATCCGTTTGATGATAATGCCACCGTCTGTACAGACAGACAGGAGCTTCTCTTACCGCCAAGCCAAAAGTCTGCCTATGTAGAGAAGTTTGCTGACCTCCTTCATGGCGTCATCCCTTTGGACGATAGCCGGGAACTCTGGCTGGAGAGGTCATTGACCCCTCTTTTGAGAACATTCGCCATTAGACTTGGTTCTACCGCGACAGAACCCGAGGCTAAAGATATCGGCATGTTTGTTAGACACTATCGCAAGTAAGCCACCAGGAGCATTAACCAATACCCAGTCCAAAGCTAATCAAGTGAAACAAGTCGCATAGCTACGAGGGTGAAACAGCACATTCTCAACGAAATTTACCTAGATGGGGATTCTTCAGTGAAATCTGAGCCAAGCACGCAACATCCGCGCGAGAAGCTTCAGGACAGTGCTTCACTTACGTTCCAGGAAAAGGTGTTGCAGTGGAACCTGACGGAGCCTGACAGGTTCGAACAAGGAGAGAGATCGGTAGACAACGAACCTTCCGAGGATTCCGGAGGGGATGACGAGGAGCCAGAATTTCCCGGGATGGATGATGCGATCAACGCGCTGAACGAGAAATTCGCCAGCTACAGGGAAAAGCTACTTGCAACTACGGCCTTCTCTTGGCTTTTGTCCGAGTTTGAAAAGCAAGGAAGGCTGGATTCGGATAACGCGACAAGTATCGACACCATCAGGGCCTTTGTACGGACGACTCTGAGTGGCCCCAAGAGTATGACCACAAGAACTGCATCGTCTGTTCAGCACGCCGACTTTGAGCTCCATTGGGACCCTTCTCACTTTGTCGAACAACAAGGCTACCCGGCCGTCGCGGCCCTTCACAATGCGCTGACTATCAGTGGCTCTGCAACGAATGCGCAACTGCTTCCTTGCTTATCGTATCTCAGACAATGTTGGCCACTTTTGGGAGAAGATGTAATGACGGGTCTTACATCCGCATTAGCTGGAGGCGCTGAAACAAATGTGGAAAGTATGTCTCCAAGTTCAGTAAAGAATGTGGATCGCAACCGTAGCGTTGCAGATGCTAACGCTCGCAGAATCACTGTACGATGGCACCATCGTATCATATCATCTTAATGGTGCAGACCGTATCATTAGTTGCACTGGTATGGTCGACTCGATCGTCGACGTCGCAGAAGTGCTGGCATGGCTTGGATCCGCTCTACGTGAGGCCGGGTCAACGGGCAAGATAGCCTACATCACGCCGCATATATCCTGCGCCTCCAAAACCGGAAAGCCATTCACAAATCCTGATCCATCTGAGAAGACCCGGTTCGTATTGCGATTTGAGGAGCAAGACACGGAATACCGGGAAACGGAAGTTGCCAACGGCCTTTGTTGGTTTGGCCTTTTCGGAAATCCTGTCATAGCGAAGGGTTTTCCTGTCCTGCGACGCGGTCACGACTTTGACGGCTTGGAAATCCCGCTACCCGTCATGGCATATCTGGCTGATGCTAACAAGCTGACCCTGTTCAACAACCAGGTTCTCCTCAAGGGGTTTAACGTGGCTCTGGTCCCTTCCTCTCGTTCGGGGGACATTATTGCTTGGCACTTTGTCATAAACAGAACCGGAGAGCGGTTGCCTTACTACGATGATCGCATTTCGAAACTCAAGACGCAAGATGAATCAATTTCGATGTGGAATGTACACGGTTCACGGCACGTTCTTGGCTGGACATCCGAGGCATCATGCAATATCGGTAGGCCCTCGTCAAGGATTACAGAAGTTATGCCGTAAACTAACCTTAATTTCTTGGATATTACAGGCTCTCCTGACGCCAACTACCATAATCTATGGACCGACCCGGACTTCGTGCGTCCTGGCTTTGTGTTGGAGAAATTCATTGTACAAGGGGGCCCAGATTTCCTCACCTTTGGTGTCGAGATAGCAGTGGGGAAGAAAGACCCATCACCTGCCATCAGGCGTGGAAAGGATAGTTACCTCGAAAGTCTCGAGCTACTCGAAAACGAGTACATTGTTCTCTATGACACCGGTACCCGTCAAGCCTGGCTTTCAAATGGGGTTAATGCTTTATTGCACCTCGTCAGGGCATCACTCAAAGAGAACCTCGTAGGCTCGTCCAGCAGACACTATGTCTTCACCGATTCGAAGCTCCGCGAGAGCGCGGATCCCTGCAGCTCGAGGGCGGCACTGGACGTGCTCGAGGATGAAGACAATCTGCAAATGCCGATATTACGGCCAGTGTTTCGGGGAACTAGCCTGGCAAGCGGCCGGTCTGAAAGCCCAAGCTTGTTCATCGACCGGGTGAACCAAATCCGCCTCTGTCTGGAACAGCTGCTGGATTTCCAGGCGCAGGTCAACACCCCGGGAATGCCGTTACACCTCGCACCCAGGAGCCAGCTTGAGGGGTATGTCTTTATGGATATTGCCACTAGACAACGCCCTAAACCACGGTTTGTGAATCTGAGACAGTCCAAGTTCAGCGGTAACTCGTGGGTGGACTTCACAAGGACCATTGGGGCCATTACGCTCTTCGGGCACGGGTTCGGCAATCTCATCACCCCAGCACCAGGACTGGCGGGGTTGTGCGATAACTGGCGCCTCCTGCCAGAGGGCAAAAACTTCCTCGCCGTCAGCACTTACGATCTGATGAACATCTTGAGAAAGAGAGGACCACAGGACGCACGTCACTTCAAGCTGTGTACAGGTCTCTTCTGGCACAGGCCGGCGGAGCTATTTGAGGATTGCGTCTGCAAAAGCAGGCTCAACTGGGGCCTCCAGCGACCCTGCGACAAAGTCCAAGTCATCTTACCCGCGACCTCTTTGAGGAAGCTCGGTGGAACAACTCCACCCGGTCCACTTGATCCTCGCGGTGCCGTCATCTTTGGCCACAGCTCGCGGTTTCCATGGAGGCTACCGGACAAAGGCGACATCGAGAAAGACAACGAGCCGGAACAAGTTACGGACGACTCGCAAGGAAGTGTTTCTGTAACTAGAGTCTCGTCTCCTTCCATCTTCTCTTCACCCCCTAGTCAGGATGCTTCGACCGTACCAACACACGATACCTCTCAAACCGGAATCACAACGCCACTAAATATGGAAAAGGCAGACAGTTATCAAGATCCGCAAACAATGCGGGATGATCCCATGGCTGTGGACGGAAGCGAGGTTCTTGCCAAGGAATCTAACAGATCTGTTAAACGAAGATGGCGGACCTTCATGGAATGGACCGGTTCTTCGGGACAAGCCTCAGGCAGTGGCAATAATTAAGCATTACGTGGTTCAGAGAATGAAGAAGGAAAAGGTGTTACCCAAATGAGTCAGAGCAGTACATCTCTGTAGAAGCTTCAGTCGACGTTGCTATAAAGAGTGATTAGACGGCAAAGTAAAATAAGTTTCAACAGCTACTATAATCCACACCAATCAGTCAACCACGACGCAAATTGGTAACTGTGACATATACATCAGAAACAGGAAAAGCATCTCAAATCCAGACGTCGCTGCAAACCTCTATTGCCGGAAAGCAAATCCAAGACTCCGTAGACTCCGTGTAATATGGAAGCCACTAGTATGCGTAGAACAAAATCGCCTCCTGGTTACTCTGTCGAATCTTCCCATTCTCCTTGACGAGCATCCGCCTCATCAACCACGCGCCTGCGGTGCACGCAACGCAAAAGGCCGCGCTGCTGGCCATGGGAATGACATATCTCGGAGCATCCGACGTAGGCCACAAGTACTACATGTGTCATTAGCACAGTCCCGCACACCGCTGACGAGAACGCATCAGGGCAGAGTCTTACCGGGGTCCAGATGAAGCTGATACTGGCGCTTGTGTTGACAATCGCCAGCGCCGAGGCCTTCTTCTCCTTTGTCTGCCCGCACGTGCTTCCGACCCAGCTGAGCAAGCTAATACATGAGGGGTATATAAGTCAGTGATCACCTTTGCGCCAAAGACTCGAAACACGTCAGGGGGAAACAGATGACTTACATCGAGTTTACCCCGTACGTCCCAACGGTGAAGACGACCATGGCGAAGTAACGGGCCCCCGTATTCATCGTTGCGCACGCCAGTACGAACCCGAAGAGCGCGACGCCCTTGGCGATGGTGATGTGCCACGTCCGCTCGTTGCGCCGGCCCGAGCTCCACGCCCACGCGATCGACAGCGCGCCGGCGATGAGGTACGGCGGGCACGTCAGCACGAGCGTGACGGTCGTGCCGAAGTTGAGCGTCTCGACGATGGTCGGGAAGAAGTTCTTGAAGCCGTTGGTCGCCAGGTGCATGTGCTGCATGTAGATGAAGACCCAGACCTTGGGGTCGACGACGGCCTCGCGCAGGCCCGCCCACGTGCTGCTCGGCACGCACGCGGCTCCGACCGTATCGCGCTCGATCCGGGCGTGCGCGAGCTGCCGCTCGACGGGTGTGAGCCAGCGCGTCGTGGGGGGCTCGTCGGGGAGCGTGAAGCAGGCCGCCAGGGCGATGGCCAGGGTCACGGCACCCTGCAGGATGAACAGCCATCTCCAACCCTCGAGCCCGCTGGCGCCCTCGAGGCCGTGGAAGACGCCGGCGGAGATGAGCCCCACAAAGGCGGTGGCCAGGATGTTGCCCGAGTAGAGCACGCTGATGCGCGTCGCGAGCTCCTTGCGGGTGTAGAAGATGGACAGGATGTACAGGGCGCCGGGGTAGTAGGGCGCCTCGACGACGCCGAGGAAGAAGCGCGTAAGTACGAGGCCCTTGTAGTCCCGGACGACGGCGGTGAGGGCGCTGACAACGGCCCAGGCCATCATGAAGCCGCCCATGTACCAAGAGGGTCGGACACGGGTGAGGACCATGTTGCTGGGGATCTGGCCGAGGATGTACCCGACGAAGAGGATGGATACGCAGGTGGAGTACTCAACGCTGCTGAGGCCAAGCTGCTTCTCGAGGCCGTTGAGGCGGGCGAGGGCGATGGCGTTGCGGTCAAGATAGCTGGACGGCGTTAGCTGCGTCGGCGGAGGGTGTCTCTGACTAGAAGGAGGCTTTGCTTACTTGAGCCAGTACATGAGCCATAGCGTTGGCTAGTAAAGACGAGTCAGATAAAATGTTGAGGGGAGCTTCTGAGGGGGCTTCGGTCGGCTCACCATGATCCAGAGGTCCAGTTTCCTCACAAGCTTGATTTCAGCAGGATCAGTCTTGGCCGCGGCTCCGGAGTAGTCGACCGCCGCGGAAGGCTTCTTCTCGTCATCCAACACATGAGATTGTTCCTGGTGCAAAGCTTGCTGCTTCTCGATATCAGGCGCAGACCGAGCTGGCTGCTCCGCGGCGAAAGAGTCTGTGTGATGTGCCATCTTGGACAGGGGGGCTGCCGACTTCTGCAAGAGTTTGGAGGAATATTAAGTTGGACCTAGCCAAAGGGAAGCTTAAGGAGGATAAGGGAAATCGAGCATGTATTTTTTCCCCAAGACTGTACACTCTAGGAGGCTGGAGATCTCGACACCTTCGTTTTCCCCGCAACAACCCCGGATCTGAGATCCTTGGCCACCGCGGGGTTCCCACTGGCCATATGCGTGGAATGGCTGGAATCCATATCACTGGATCCAAATTGACGGCACCACAATATTTTACAATCACTGCGGAGGTACGAGTCGGCAAATTTTCACTTCGGCCAACGGCGCCGAAGGCCGAAAAAGGGCAGACGGTACAGCCCCGGTGGAAAGGGAACACTTGTGGACCAGATGCGTCGTCCCTTATCCGATCATCCATGGAACCAATGGGATCAAGTGCCACTGAGATGCTCGCATATCACAGCTTGGCAAACGGCAAAGTGTTGAGAAGCTGGAACTGGCAGGATGAGCCTCGGTGGGGGGGTGCTTTCGGCCTCGGCGCCGCTTCCACGGGCATACGCTCACGCATGCTGCACTCTTGGTTGGACACATTACCCTGGTCCCGCGGCTTGATACCCCAAATCATAGAGCCATTATTGGGTCGTTGAAGCTCTATCTCGACGACTTTGGAGGGCGTGCAGACAGAAGAAGCCCGTCAAGAAGTACGTGGTTCTTTGCTCGGATATCGATCCACCATCGGCGCAGGTTCACGACGCAACATAGCTCAGCATGTTCCACGAGGTTAATCCTTGTGACTCTGTGCCTCGAATAATCCCATCAGGACGTGTCAACCAGACTCATATACGAAACCTCCCACACGCTACGTCTTCACTCCGGCAGCCCTATTCTTCCTCGAACGACCTCTGTGCTACTTCTCGACCCCCACCCCCCCCTTAGCCCTTCCCGGAACCCAAAAGACGCTCCAACCATGATCGAGAAGCCGCCCGCCAGGATCGGAAACGTCTCCGGCGCGACGGGCGACCACCCGCACGCCATGGCGCGCATGATCCGCTCCGGCAACGTCCAGGTCATCACGGGCAACTGGCTTTCCGAGATGAACATCGCCTGGAACGCCATCGCCAGGCGCGACGTCGACCCGGGTCTCGTGTATGAGAACGGCTTCTACGAGCAGCTCGAGGCGTGCGTCGACGACGTCATGGCCGGGGGCATACGCGTCGTCACCAACGCCGGGGCGCTAAACACCGCCGCGCTGTTCGACAAGGTCAAGACGCTGTGCAGGGCGAGGGGGTACCCCGAGAGCGCGGTCGCCGCAGTACTGGGTGACGACGTGTCGGGCCTGCTGCGGGGCAGGTCGGGACGGAAAGACCTCTCGTTTCCGTACCTGGACCATCCAGAGACCACGCTCGACGACTGGGGCTTCGAGCCCTGCTGTGGCAACGCGTACATTGGCTGCTGGGGGATCGTCGAGGCCCTGAGGGCGGGTGCGCGCATCGTCATCTGCGGCCGATGTACCGACGCTTCGCCCGTCATGGGCGCCGCGGCGTGGTACTACGGTTGGCGTGGGCGCCAACTCCTCCGGCTTCAAGGACTTCCTCCCCGAACTGGTCGACCTCGCTTTTCTGGTTGCCGAGATCGCTCGCGACGGAGGGTGCGTCATCAGTAAGACGACGGAGGGTGGCGGGCACGTAACCCGGCACACGGTCACGGCCCAGTTGATGTATGAGCTGCAGGGCCATCTCTACCTCAACCCGGACGTGGTGGCCGACCTCTCGGACGTCCGCGTCGAGGAGTAGAAAGGCTCGGGAGAAGATCGCGTGCGCGTTTGGGGCGCCAAGGGGCTGCCACCTCCGCCCACTACCAAAGTCATGTTTGCAGCGGAGGGCGGTTATCAGGCCGAGGCCACTTTCTACATCAACGGACTGGACGTGGACGAGAAGGTGGCCATGATGAAGAACCAACTAGCTCATCTCTTTAAAGATGCCAACTTCAGCCGGCTGAGCATCGAGCAGTACGGAACGCAGGTGCGGAATCCCAGCTCACAACAGGCCGGCACTGTACAGCTTCGAGTGTTTGCGCAGGCGCGGAAGAAGGAGGACATCGCGGGCCGTCAATTTCAAGGTTCCGATATACGCCGTGCGGATGCAAAGCTAGCCCGGCTACCACATGTCGCTGGATTTCCGAACGATGGACCCAAAGAGGTTCATGGAAATCTTCCCGGCATTGACACCGCAGTCGACCATCGACCATCGTGTTCTCCTGGGCACGGGAGATTCGATAGCCGTGCCGCGGCCTGAAAATATCGCAACGTATAAGGTTCTTCGACCGTCTGCTGATACGGCAGATCCCATAGACCTGTTCTCGCTGGGGCCCACGGAGTTCGCGCCGCTGGGCAGCATAGTCCACGCGCGGTCTGGCGACAAGGCCGATAACTCCAACGTCGGTTTCTTCGTTCGCAACGAGGACGAGTACCCCTGGCTCCGGACGCTGTTGACCGTCTCCCGTCTGAAGCAACTGCTTGGCGATGACTGGTTCAACAACAATCCGGATCAAAGACTGGAGCGTGTTGAGTTTCCCGGAATCAACGCCGTGCACTTGTAAGTACTACTTGTTATCCGGTATGACTGAGAGCTGAATAAAGGTCCCCTAGCCGTATCCTCGATAACTTAAACGGAGGTATCGCGTCTTCCGATCGCATAGACGGTCTTGGGAAAAGTATTGCAGAGTGCTTGCGAAGTAGGTACGTTAATGTGCCACGAGCTTTCCTTCAAAGGAGTCAGATATAAAGGTTAGATGAGATGATACACAATCTAGATCCCTGTAACCCTGGGTATGGTGGCTTGTGGCTATGGAACTTGCTGGCATGTCCATGTCCTCTTAAAAGTAACGACTCGGAGTCTCTCCCGTTCCGTATAACCAATCTTGTGAAAGCTGGGAAATGGCATCGCTGTGGTGTTGATCGTAGCAGATGCTCTGGAGGTCCCCGAAGCAGTCTCGCAGAGTCTCGTCGACCGTCATGTTCACGAAGCTGTGGCTTGATTGCGCATATATGGCATCCTCCGTGTTCAATTCCATGGAAGATACCTGTGTGTGTCCTCCCACCTCGCTTGTGGGCTGGACTGTATATGTTGAACCGGTAGATGTTGAGGCGCGGCCGGTTTGGGCCTCGACAATGTCGGCAACAACAGCATCGCTGAGTCGATCAAAGACTTCGGAGCAGTTCCGCGCCATTGCTCACCGCTCCGATACCGCCACCAGAACCTTTGAGCAAGCGCGCGTGTCGTTGACCACTTGGCCAATGGTCGGGGTGGCCCGCAAAGTGACCTTAGGCGTGGCTGTGTTCGAAACGCTTCGGTTTTGCGCGTGCTGTAGATGATTACGCAGGGCGTAGATATAAGACAATCCGGCGATGAAGATGGAGTGCAATGTCACCCAGGTGTAGTTGATCTTCCTCGAGCGATGTAGGCTGGCGTAGAGATTGATCGCCTCCTGGGATGAATCAAACATGTGCTGTAGCACGGTGCTATTTCCCGTCGCATCGCAGAGAGTCGAAGATGGGCGAAACAGCATCAAAATGCCGTTGTGGTAGAGCAGCTTGTACCACTCGGCGGAACGGAAGCTCGATCTACTCGCGAGCGAGGCGGTTGGCGCATCGACTGGGATCAACGGTATGTTGGCTGTTTCTGCGCTCCAGGACCGCAGTTCCTCGACGACGGCGTTCCGGCTATCCTCGTATGTGATGGTGGACTCTCGGTTGGCGCTGGTACTCCGGTGTAAAAGGTTGAGAATCTTACCACAAATCAGCCTGTACCGTACGATGTGGACGAAAATGGAGGTCTCGAGGTGCCACTCAGGAGTACCAAACGATGCCGTCGACAGTGAGTGATGAAGTTGCACTGAAGTGGACGTGTCGAAATAAGGGAGATCGACATCGATGTCCTCCAGCTGAATGGCTAGTGGTCGGCCAAGGATCAGGCTGGCGATACGGTCCATAGACACCACGCTCCAAAAACATCTCCGCTTAGTCTCTATATCCACTTTCCACGCGGCAATATCTCTCTCGTCGCCGTCACAGGCCGGTGGAGGGGCATAAGTTGACGCCTTGTGCAAGCCCAGCTCGAAACAGGTCCTCGCGGCCACTCCGATAAGGTGCCACACGCTGGTGCTCGTGTCATGTGAAGTGGTACCCATCTGAAACTGACAAATGAGGAGTAACGCCTGCAGTGCAGTGATGCCCGCTCTGGAGAAGACGTCACCAAGTCGTGTCATGGCGCGGTTGTAGTGAACCTCGGCGTCCCAGATGCCATTCCAATTCAGCTTGTGTACTTGCGGTGTCCCTATCGCAAGGGTCATGTCTATCAGGAAGCCATCGACAGGATCTACAGCTTCGGGGTTCTTTGCGCCATAGACAGCATCTAGGGCCCTATCCAATGCCTTAGGAGACAGAAATGGGTAGCAAAGTCGGTCGTGGCTGCAATAAGCGTCCAGTATCTCTGCGGTGAAGCTTTTCGGCGGCAGATTAGAGACCCCATTAGTTGCCAAGCTGCTGGGTCGATTGAGATGACGAGAGGCTGAGCTGGGATGTTGGCGGACAACATGATGAGAAGACCCAATAGACTGGCTATTAGACTGCAGCAAGTTGGCGAGGAACACTCCGCTCGTCGAACCGACAAAGTCCCGGCCGCCGCCAGCGTTAAGTGACAAGTGGATGACCTGGCTCGCGATCTCTCCGCCCCCGGCCGGCACCTGGGATTCTTCGGACTGCAGACCCAGGCTCGACGTCGAGTTCGGGGTAGCCACTCTGTCGCTGGCGACTGCTTGCTGCGGTTGCTGTTGGAGACCGGCCAGTCTCCCCGTCAGGTTGTCGTTCTCGGCCTGCAGGTCTCGTATGTGCTGTTGAAGCCTCTCAACATCCTGTCGTCGAAGCTGAATCTGGTGCTCCCTTGCTGCGTATGTGCACTGGACGCTGATCCTGGCACATGGCGCGCAGGACGGCCGTGTGCGGTCACATTTGACCTTTCTGCGGTGGCAGCGCAGGCATGCGCCTATCCGACTTACGGAGCCAGACGGCATCGAAGCTTAGGCGAAGTGACGACGAGGAACAAGGTAAGATTCGATATCGATATTCGGCAGTTTAGGCTCCATTATTGATTGAAGTCTCCATGATGATGTGGCTGAAGAGTTGCCGAGGAACCCTGGGTGGATGGACATGGACCCATGAAGGTGGGAAGAAGAAGTCCGGGGTGATCAACCACCCCGCCTCTTCCTCCACCGGCTGGTGGATCTCCCCAGATCCCCCCCTCCCCAACTCCTTGGCAGTAAAGTGCTGCAGTAATGCGAGTGGTGTCGACGGGCAAAAGCGCATGCAGAAAAGGGAGTTGCATTGTTGTTCAGCACGCAATCTATCAATTAGGTGCTATCTCTAAATATGTCAACTCGATGCGATCTCTAAATCATATGTCCAATTGTATGCGCGCCGGGTACCCTACAAGTCCGCTCTGTTATCAACACCATTAAACCCCATGCATTCCCGTCTCACCTTCGATGTACTATACATGCCTCCTTCATGTATTCGAGAAGGATCAGAAACTAGCCGCGGCCTAGACGAAAAGCTTGCTGCCATGGTACTTGGTGTCCTGAGCATAGGTGGAAGCAGCAGAAGCCTTGGTGCGCTCGGGGAAGCCCTTGAACGACACGGCATAAGTGGCGACGGAATGGGAGACCAGCTGCACAAAAGGTTAGCATTGCAATAGAGGCTTAGAACAGTGCAGGACATACCTTGGTGTTAATCTCCCAGGCGGTCAGGTTGACGTTGCTAACATCGTCACAGAGCTGATGGTAGCACGGGTCGTACCAGTCACCGGCCTTGCCACCGAACAGCTTGGCCTCCTCCTTGGTCTTAACACCCTCTGCACCAGTAGCAATTCCACCACCGGGGATGCCATTGCGGATGAAAGCATCGTAGTCGCTACGGCCGTCAAAGGGAATAAAGGTGTAGGGGAGGTCGTGGGCCTTGTACCAGTCGACGTACAAGTCGCGCAGCTCCTCGGAGCCGGTGGGGTTGACAGCGTTGGTCGCGTTGTAGATCTGGTAGGCGTAGTTAGGGCTGCCGAGCATGTCATAGTCCATAAAGAGACGGATCTTCTGGTTCTCCTCGGGAGACAGAACCGAGACGTAGTAGTCGGAGCCCAGAAGGCCTTCCTCTTCGCCGGCCCACCAGGCGAAACGAACGCAGTTGTTGACGCTGAACTTGGTGAGTTGAGTGGCAATCTCCAGGAGACTCAAGCTGCCGGAGCCGTCGTCGTTGATGCCCGGGCCCTCGGCAACGCTATCGCTGTGGCCGCCGAGCATGACGCAGTTGTCCTGGTCGCCCTCGAGCGTCTGGGCGAGAATATTGGTCGTCTGGATCGTGTTGACGACGGCATCAATGTAGGCGATGGCGTCGACGGCGTCGCCCTTGCGGAGCTTCTCAAGAATAGGCTTGGCATCGTCGCCACCGAGACCAAAGGTGGCGACGTGGTTGGGAGAAGGGGTGCCGAGAGTGCCGTGGACGGTCTCGCTCTCGTAGTTGTAGACAACGGCAGCGATGGCGCCGGCCTTGCCAGCCTGCTCACTCTTGGCGCCGAATGCGCAGGTGCCACGGCGGATGAAGGCGATGTTGCCGCTCACTTCAGATGGGTAATCGGAGGCATCACACCCATCGTTCTCGACGTACACGAGGTCGCCGTGCACGGGCTCCTTGTTCTTGGTGGGCGGCGTCAGGGCCATGGGCGCGGCCGACGCGGGCACCGTGTCTCCAATGACGAGACGAGACTCGAAGACATTGCCGGAGACGGCGGGGAAGGTTTGGTTCCAGACCTTGTAGTAGTCGCTCAGCTTGGCGAGGTTGAAGTAGATGTAGTCTAAAGTTCCGGCGTGACCTAGCTCGACGGTAAGCATAAACGAAGTGGAGTTGACGGAGCGGCGACCTTACCATCGCTGCCAATGACGCGAGTGGGATGATTGTACTCTTCCTCTCCCAGCTTGGCAACCTCATAGAGCTCCTTCGCACGCGAGAGGAGGTTCTCGGCGTTGATGGTATCTTGGAGAGCCTTGGTCTCGACCAAAGGCTTCTTGGAGGAGGAGGAGGCGGACGAGGACGCGGTCGAGTGAGAGGTTGAAACGAGAGGCACTTCGTCGGCAATCATCGGTGCTTGCTGGCCAGGGACCTGCGCTTGCATCTGCATCTGCAGGGCGGCCGCGCCACCCAGCACGGCCAGTCCGGCCAATTGAAGTCGACGAGCTCCAGGCATTGTGTCTTTGTGTATGTATTCTCGGTTTCTTGGCCCAAACCTTGTGATGCTGAGATGAGGATGGGATGAGGTTTGGGAACTGTGTGTCACAGGTGTCAGGCGCGACTCAGTTGGGAGCTGTTGCGATAGGCGGCCGATATCGCGAATCGGTTAGTCATGGGGCCGAGGCCCCACTTCTCAGTGGTGTATAGCTCTTATCTTATCTGGATATGCTTACCTAAGTTACTGTCCGATAAGACACTACACAGAGGAAGCGGAGACATTGAACGTGTCCAGGAGCCCCTCGCTTCGCTACAATTACGTTCAAGGTGCTGCTGCAGTGACTCCGACCCCTGTTCTCCAGCAAATCCAAGGGGCTAAGTGGGCTCCCTCTTCCCCAGATACGGCGATGCGCATGTTTCCATCAGGGGAAATTCGGGACACAGTGTACCAAGTAGAATCTTGAAGCCTCCAGACCTAGGAGCTCCGCCTCCCTGGACTGTGTGCTACGTAGCTTGTGTGCCTGCGTCTTTCTTTCTTTGCTGTGACTGCTCACGACACTCTTCCTAAATAAAAAATACACTTCTTTCGGGTCCCAGACTTGGGACGAAGGCCAAGTCCAGTCCACCATCCAGTTTCGCTTGGTCACTCCCTTCTCTGTGGCTTCTCTCCTTCGTTCCCTTCCTCTGCATGGTCTCTGTGCAGAATCGCCATGGTATTGAGCCAGAAACCATTGCTGTCAGCTGTCCAGAATGGGTGATACCGAAGCTTCGGGAGTGTGGGCACGAGGTGTGTATTGATTGCTACCAGTTTCCTGCCAGAGATGTCTTCGGCGTCCGCCGGGGTGCTGAAGCCCGAAAAGCTTGATGGTGGCTTTGTTGGCTGACTTGCTCCTCTTCTTCCTGGGCAGATGCCGCCTCCTGGGCCTCCATACCGACCGAACTCCTCCTCGCTGAGCTCTCGAAAAGACACGGTCATAGTGGTGCCTCCAATGCAGAAGCGGCTGCCGCCAGCACCGGGGCCGCCAAGCCGCAGTGCGGTTCTTCGAGTAAAGAATCTTATGACACCGCGTTGCACATTGGTGCACTCATCCTGATATTGGCGTTGAGCACGATCTGTGAGTGACCCCTTGCGCTTCCATGGGCAGTAGACCGCAGAATACCGAGGCCATGATGGCGGGCGGGACACCGAGGCTATGCCCTGGAACTCCGTGTCGTCATCGTACCTCTTGAAGTCGCACGTCGTCGAAATGTCAAAGGTCGCTGCTAACCGGCTTCCAATAGCTTGCGGCATCCCCCTCCTTCCCCGAAGGTCATCGAAAGGCCGCCCCCAGAGCAAAATCCTCTTCTACTGTCAACACTTCGGCACCGGCGTGCTCCTCGCGACGTCCTTCGTCCATCTTCTCCCAACAGCCTTCGCCTCCCTCACCGACCCTTGCCTCCCCTACCTCTTCAGCAAAGGCTACACGCCGATGGCCGGCTTGATCGCTCTGGTAGCTGCACTCTCCGTTGTCGCGCTCGAGTCCTACTTGGCAACTCGGGGTGCCGGTCATTCTCATTCACATTCACACGAGTATGAGTACTGGGGCGAGGAAGGCGGCGCCCAATCCCCAGTCGGAAACCGGCATGCGACAGCAAGCCTGGCATCACACAGACACGGCTCTCATCGGCCGGAAGATATCAACCTCGACAATATGGATTCTACTCAAGGGCTGATGGCTGGCGCCTCGCCTCTGCCCAGTTCGACGCCGACACAAGCGAAAGCAAAAACCAGCCTCGCACACGGGCGTGATAGCTTCGACGACACTGACGACGAGGACGACGACATTGACCTCGACGTCAACGAGTTGAATCCCGTAGCTGCCGGTGAGCCCAGGGGACGACCAAGTTCGCCCGGTAGCCGCCCCAAGATTACAGTCACGCCGGGCGCACCCCACACTGTCACAAAAGAGGAGCAAAGCAAGCTTCTCCGGCAGTGTCTCCTGTTGGAGGGTGGCATTCTCTTTCATAGCGTCTTCATCGGCATGGCCATCTCGGTAGCTACAGGCCCGACCTTCATCGTCTTTCTCATAGCCATCAGCTTCCACCAGACGTTCGAGGGGCTTGCCCTCGGCAGCCGCATCGCCGCCATCCAGCTGCCCAGGTCGTCGCTTCGCCCGTGGCTTATGGTTCTCGCGTTCGGCGGGACGACGCCGCTCGGCCAGCTCATCGGCCTGATTGTACATAATCTGTACGATCCCATGAGCCAGACCGGACTGTTGATGGTTGGTTTCATGAACGCTATCTCGGCAGGCTTGCTCCTCTTCGCTGGGCTTGTGCAACTACTGGCGGAGGATTTCCTCTCAGAGAAGAGCTATAAGCTTCTGCAAGGCAGGAAAAGGCTTTATGCCTACATGGCCGTGGTTGGCGGAGCGTCACTGATGGCATTAGTAGGGGCGTTTGCTTAATCTATAAATAGATACATCCACAAGGTTTTAACTTCTGCCATCAATACAGCATCGTTGATCAAGGACTTTGTTCAGCCCACTGCCATCCTTCGAAGCAATCTCTAACAAATTTACTTCGGGAGAATGGCTACCCATACCAGCGTCTGTTTGGGTCGGATGTAGCCGGATGCAAATAGGACAATGCAGAGCAAGTGAAACTCGTATTCGCTAATGGTTCAGGCCTCAACCACAAGACGCACACAAGTGATGGCTACGGAGTAGAGGGTTGATTGATGGTCGAGTGGCCCACGCGACGGTCCAGGATACCACGTAGTCGCACCCTGGACGAGAAAGGCAGGGAGAAAAGAGACAACAACAACTAACAACCAAAAAAAGCAAAACATTAACCCGAAGAGTGGCTATGCCAATCGCGGTGAGGATTTGAGCCTCACGCGGGGGTCGAACCCGCAACCTTGAGATTAAGAGTCTCACGCTCTACCGATTGAGCTAGCAAGGCGGGTTACAGGAGCTGATCCGAGAGATCAGCTGTTGTTGGATTCGGGACGCCGTTGAGTCGTTTAAGAAGGGACGGGGCCATGGTTGTGAAGAGATTTTTTTACCCTCTGCCGTGGGTCCCATGCCGTGTTCCGTGCTCTCCAGGTATGGGGTCCGGGCACACCAGTCCACCTCTAAGGACCAACCAATGGGCCTGCCTGTCCTTGCCCACCTTTTCAGTTCGCAGCAGTCGAGTGCCAGGCAAGGTTCTCCCGCGCGGATAGGAACTCCTAGGCCGTCTGGTGTATCAGGTAGATGCGGCCGTCGCTAACGAAGACGAAGAGCCCGCGGATCTGCGACTCTAGGTGATTATGGTTGAGGTCTAGATCTTTTGGGCCCGGGCGTCCGTCGCGTCCGTGGCCAGCTGGAACGCCACGTTCATCTCTGAGACGGTGAGCGGCCGACGGGCGGCCACGACGATGTGGAAGAGGGTTTGTGCCTCTTGTCGTCGGTTGTGATTGATTCTGCCCAAGATCTTCTCGTACACTGCTGTTGTCGGAAGAGAGTCGAGCTCGCTTGATTAAGGTCTTTTTGTGCCTCTTGGTGTTACGATATACCTCGTCTATCACGAGGTAGTTCCGTAGATGCCTGCAGGCAGGCATTGACAACGTTATGTCCCTGGATCTGGCCTAAACCATAACTATTGTGGTCGGCGGCATCTTGTTCGGGCAGGTTTGTGTGGACTTGATCAAGCATTCCCTTCGCGGCGGCCGTTTCCAGCAGGAGGGCGCACACCCAGCCCACTGTATACTGCTGGGCATGGGTCATTGTATATTCAGGCCTGAATAGTTGGATTCAATAGTCGAAGGGCTCTAACGGTGCTCGAGACCGTTGGAATTGAGGATAACAGGCAGGCTCGCTTCCACAGCCTTGTTGAGGTTGCTAAACGCGAGGCGCTGTCAGGTCACGCAACGCTTGCTAAGCAACCTCCTCAAATGCGACCTATCACGCGTGCTATAAGGCTGGTTGATTGGCATTGAACTGAGCCTCATGTAGGCTGAGGCTTCAAAGCCATCAGACGTCGCCACACTTTTGCAAACGGGACAACGTCGTACTCCAGCTTGATGATCATCACCGGTGTCAACAACCAAGCGAGAATCTATAATACACGACACGTATCACTCACCAAATGTCTCGGACGACTGGCAGATTGAAATTGGTCTGCATTCTCAAGTGCGGTATTGTGGGCGCTTCTTCCGTAGGGCCCTGATTGGCCGTATCACCGACAGAAGCTACCTCGCAAACGCAGCCAGGATTGGGATCGAAAAATATAGGTCTGGATTGAAGTGGCTAATGGAGATGCAGAAGGGGAAAAGATTCCCTTTGACACAATGCGGTGAGTGCACCCCTTAGTGCGCTCTTTCCCACGGCTGTTTGCTTCGATCGTTTTGTGAAGGGAAGCAGGCGCCGGCGTGGCGCTTGCGGCACATTATGACGTCTGGAAATCCATATCCAGCATGACCTGGGATGTCAGGGAAACTGTCCACTCTTTGTCTTTTCTTCCCAGCTTGTCTCTACCTAGGGTTTGCTTCATTGTATCTTCAAAGGTCAATCCTCCAATAAATAGCGTTTTACGTCGTTGTGAGAACTGAAAAATGAAAAGGCAACCTTTCTGTATTCAGGCATAGTCGGGTAGTGAGTCACTTTGCTACCACCAGACACATGATAGCTGCTAGGTCTTTATAACCTAGACGAAATGTAGCTAACAAGAAGCCTAGCAGCATATTAGCCTATGGAGCTTTAGGCTACCTAAGAGCTGGATGGTATGTTGTTCGGGCCGGTGTTCAACAAGTCGCTGAGGATTATAGGCGTGTGGATTCGGCGATTAGGACTGTAGTTGACTAGCAGGGCTGTTACACTTGGGGTTGCCATCTTGAGGATAGATTGTGGTGAGGTATGGAATAGTGAGGTGCAGCAGTCACAGGTAAACCAACGGCAGGAGCAATAAGCTAGGTAGGGTAGATACCTTGATATCTCCATGGTATTTCAGAAACCTTATATTGTGTTGAGTACCGAGCAGGGTACCTGTGCGACCTCCGTAGTGAGTCACTTGAGGCGGCGAGGAAGGGGGATAAAACGCAGGCTCAGGCCTGACCATCTCGAGCCACGCCTCGCTTCACTCTCTTACACAACAACTTCCACCATCTCATCTCCTTACAAAAGAGAATCAAGAACAAAACCATTGCAGTACTTGGTTTCTTGTTTCCAGCTAGGGAAAAGAGAAATCGATATCGAAGCTGTTTGATTGTAGCACATACGGAGTATACCTGTACCTACATCATCTATCCACCCCTCCCCCCAAGGTACGTACCCATCCCCCCTGTCCACAGATGCGAGAATGATTCAGTGCGCCGTCGCCCACTAAAAAGTCCAAAAGGCGGGGCAACTTTTTTTTTCCCTTTCTTTCCGCCGCTGCGTCGCGCCGATCATCCTGGCCGGTCGCTGTAAACCAGCCTCTGGAATCCCACCATCGTCGCCGACCCAAGTCACTCATCCACGGCCTCGTCGCAACCTCGGAACCCGTTTGGCGCATCTTCCTCTGTTTCAAATTCCACCACAACCTACCAATGCTGCTCAATCGCTGAACCGCTAATGCCCTCGTCATACATTTCGCAGATGTAGGCAAACACCATCGACCACGACATCAAATCCCTTGTCGACGGCGAGCTCTCCCGAGGCGCAAAGGCCCCCCCGCCTCCTTTGGACATCGCAAGGGGAAAAAAATCCCCAGGCAGAAAAAAACCCCCACCATATAGTCGCTCGCCCTTGACCACTCCCGCCCAAACCCGTCGCCGCGCCACGAGCACCGCTTCCTCGTACGAAGCCTCCCTTCCCTCCGGGAGACCGTCGCCCTCTTACACGAATCCCCGTCGTAACCAAAGACCGAGACCGAAGGGAAGACGGACAAAAGAAAAAGAAGTATAAAGGCCGTAGCTAGCCGCCGCAAATGGCTCCAACCCCCCCGGCCGCGTCGCCCTCGGCGGCCACGACCTCGAGCACCGACTCCAAGATGGAGGTCTGGAAGGAGGCCCTCTACGAGCACTTCCAGAAGGCCGGCGATGAGACCCAGCTCTTCACCCAGTACGACATCCTCGACTTCGACGTCATCCCCAACCGCGACACCGTCACCCTCCTCAAGGTCCTCCAGAGCCTCACCAACGACCGCCTCCTCATCGCCGTCTCCTCCCAAACCGGCCTCGCCTGGCGATGGCGCTCCGTCGAAGATGCCGAAAAGTGAGCCACTGTCTCTTTCTTACCCCCCCTGTTTTCCCTTTTTGCGTCCCCTTCTGCCGTACCAATGCTAACACCACCACCCCCAGGTACAAGCTCTGCTCGACCGACGAGCAGCGCATGGTCTACGGCGCCATCGACGAGGCCGGCGGCGACGGTATCTGGTCAAAGTCGATCCAGAACCGCCTCAACATGCACGACTCGGTTCTTAAGACGGCCCTCAAGCAGCTCCAGGGCAAAGGGCTCATCGCCCCCTTCAAGAATGTCGAGCACCCTAACAAGCGCATGTTCATCAAGGCCTCCATGCGTCCCTCGGAGCGCGCCACCGGCGGGCCCTGGTTCACCGACTCGGCCTTCGACGAGGCCTTCATCGAGGAGCTGCAGCGCGTCATCTTCGATTACGTCAAGCGCAAGAGCACCTACCTCAGCACCGGCTCCTCCTCCTCCTCCGCGGGGGCTACTCGCACCGCCGTGCCCAAAAAGGGCGTCCTCAAAGGCGGCCTCGACGCCAAGGCCAACAGGAAGCGCGCCGCCGACGAGATGTCCGCCGCCGACGAGAAGAGCTCCGTCCCCGCCGTCCAGCCGCCGCGCAAGGCCCCCGTCAACCTGCCCCTCCCCGCCGGCTTCAAGGAGTACCCCACCGTGCGCGAGATCGCCCGCTTCATCTCCCAGTCGGGCATCACCTCGGACACCATCCTCGGCGAGGAGGACATGCAGAAGCTCATTGACGTCCTCGTCTTCGACGGCCTCATCGAGCCCATCCGCGTCGCCGGCCGTCTCGGCTACCGCGTCACCCGCGCCCCCCGCCAGAGCACCACCAACTGGGCCGCCAGGCAGGACGGCGGACCCGAGGAGGGCGGCCCCGAGCCCTTTGTCAACGGCTACACCGAGGCCCCCTGCGGCCGGTGTCCCGTCTTCGACCTCTGCGAGGAGGGGGGTCCGGTGAGCGCGAGCAATTGCGTGTATTTTGAACGGTGGTTGGGCCTGGAATGAGACAGAGACAGAAAGAGGGAGAGGGGGAGAGAGAAGGGCGTCTTTCGGACAAAGAAGGGTTTGGGACTTTACAAAAGACAGACGCGTTGTTGGTTGTTGGTGCCGGGGTGGTGGGAGGTGGTTCATTGGGTTGACTCGATTTACATCATGGGAAAGCATTGCATTGGCGTTGGCACGATGACATCAAAAAAAAACATAGGGACACGGTCGGCATGGTTTTGCCAGGGTAGTAGATCTTTTCATCCTCCCAAGCGTAATTAGTTTCAACAGCAGCCTGAGGAGCAGTGTTGCTGTGCGGATATACCAAATACATGTTTGAGCTTACAGCCTCGTCATCGTGCACGCCTATAGACGAGGTCATCAAGGCATAAAATAAGTAAGCAAGCCATTGGAATGGTGCGGGTCACGTGTGCGTCAATAGTGGCATTAACCTTTTGTCTTGGCTAGCTATGTAGCAGCAGTGAAGCTGATGGCTGCCAGGCAGCGCGTTGGCGCACTTCCCAAGTCTCAGCCAAAAAAAAATGTCCTCCCTTCCCGTCATGGTGACTCTCGCGACATTTCAGAAGCAGGACCTAACGTACAAAGAACCAAGCCAAGGGCAATTTACAACTCGCCGGACTTGACAATGGTGGGGCGCTTGCCGTACTTGACGGTACCGCTGGAGGAACCGGTGGCCTCGAGAGCCTTGACAATGTTCATGCCGTTCTGGTCAGCGACCTCGCCGAAGACGACGTGGCGACCGTTGAGCCACGAGGTGACGACGGTGGTGACGAAGAACTGGGAGCCGTTGCTGAGAGGGGTTAGACTGGAGCTTCATACAAGGAACAGAGGCTAGACTCACGTGTTGGGGCCGGCGTTGGCCATGGAGAGCAGACCGGGCTTGTCGTGCTTCAGGGAGAAGTTCTCGTCGGCGAACTTCTCGCCGTAGATAGACTTGCCACCGGTGCCGTTGCCACGGGTGAAGTCACCACCCTGGAGCATGAACTCGGGGATGATGCGGTGGAAGGAAGAGCCCTGGTAACCGAAGCCCTTCTCACCGGTGCAGAGAGCACGGAAGTTCTCGGCGGTCTTGGGGACAACGTCGTAGAAGAGGTTGAAGACGATGCGGCCGCTCTGGGCTGTAGGTAGGCAGAGTCATCGGTCAGCAAAGCTCGGTGAACGTTGGCTGGGTGACGGCGAGCAACAGAAAGGGGGGAAAGGCGAGAGGGGTGAGTGAAAGGCTCAGGACGTTCTAGAGCAAGGCATTGCAAATGGCCGAGGCACTGCAGACGCCATTCGTGATGACTGCTCGATGAAAACCCAATGGCAGAGGGAAAAACTTACGCTGAACGGTGGAGGTGGGACGGCCAGAGGCGTCGAGGACGGGACCCTCCCACTCAATGTCGAAGTAACTGAAAGAATGTCAGTTACTGCGTCATTGAGAGCTTGCGATGCTCTTGAGCTTGTCGGCGGAAGTGGCAGAGGACTTACACTTGGCCAGGCATTTTGTTGGATGCTGAGTAGAATCGAACGGATGGCTTGGTAGATGCAGGAATGACGGTTCGGAGAGGTTTGATGAAGGCAGAAGGTCGAGAAAAGGGCGAGGGTGAAACGGAGGAGCAAGAGAAGGTATGGCGGGGTAGGAGGGGTCGCAAAAGGGTTGGTCTCATTTTTTCAACAGCTGGGTGGAGGGGTTTATTGTTAGCGCAGGAGCTCCCCACTGCGGGTGCTGAACGGGCGAATAGAAGAGCGGGAGGGTGAGAAAAGAGGGGTCGCAAGTCACGTGAAGTGAGCTGTTGCTGAGGTCAATGACGGTCAGGGAGGTACCTGCCTGACCGACCTGGATCAAGTATCCGTACCTTCCACGACGTGGTGAGTGACGGAGGCGGAGGGGAGCGTGCAGGGAGGGCAGGAAGGAGGGGCTGGGTTCGGGGGTGGCGGGGAGGGGAGAGAGGAGGTAGGGTAGGGTAGGTAGAGGAGGGGCAAAGCAATCGTCTTGTCGGCTCTCTGGCTTGGTACTTTTTTGGCTTTGACCTTGGCATGAGTTCCGCCTCAGTCCAATTGATGCTGCTGTCTTCGTCCTGTAACTCCCGCCTTGTCTTCTCGTCGTGCAAGAGCAGAGTGGGATGACTTCATCGAGCACCCTGAGCCCCATCGAGCTTAGCTCAGCCGAGAGGAGAGGCCAAGAAACGGAAGGACGGCATTGAGCGAATTCCCATTGCCAGGTCGACCAGCCAGCAGTTGGCCCTGACCGTGTCGACCAGCTGGAGAGAGAGAAGTGGGAGTGATTCCCAGACTAAAATGCGGATTTGTACTCGTAACGACAAGAACTGGCTAGTAGACCGAAAGACGAAGGCTCACGGGCATGTATGTACCTGCTGCACCGCCCGAACGACCTGCCGCCGGTACCTGGATAAACACGCCGCTCAACAACGAGCGGCCAAGTACCTCGGAGCAGGACAGAGCAGAGCAGAGAGCTACAAGAGCAATCGGGTAACCCCCGGTGCGGCACGGACAGGAAAGCCAATGCACGTCAAACACCCGAGGCCGATGCTCATTGGAGCGACAGGAGAGAAGGGAGACGGAAGCTGGCACAGCTGGGTGGGAACTTGAACCGTCGGTGACGGCCAAGTTACCTTCCCCACTGGCCCACGTTGTTTCCTTGACACCTTCGGAAGCTCGTGGAATCTTGGGTAACGTATGCGGTAGAGCGGGGATGGCGTGAATGGACGAGTGGATGGCACAGCAGCAACGAGCGGCGGTGGACAATGGCATGACAAACAGGAAAGGAGGTGTAGCGAGTGCTTCGGCCAGCTGCAATCAGCTTCGCCTGCCCAGAGACGGTGCAGCAGCTCGAGCTCGTGCTTTGCTTGAAGCTATCCAAGCCAGCCAGGCTCAATAGATTAAGCTGCGAGGTAGGAAGGGAAAGCTCCTCGCTCCTTTGGGCAGATCAATTGGCCTGCATACGAGCCGCTATAGCCGCACAGCGAGCTCTTGAAGCTCCAATGGCTGGCTAGCTGGTTTTCATGCGGGATTGCGGACGGCGCGAGATGAGAAAAAGGTAGGGCTGCGGACATGTGTATGTGACGTGACTTGTGGTTTGGGAGGTGGACAGACAGAAAGAAGAGCTTTTACGTACCTCGATGAGCAGGATTACACGGGAAAGGTAATGGTACAGATGCAGAAGATGAAGAATGGGAAAAAAGGCTGTTGGTACACGCAGGTGCAGGTCGATGGATGAAGAATCGATTCTTTTTGCTGGCCTCTCGGGGGAGAAAAGTTTTGGTGAAGTCGGGGACGTCTCAAAGGGGTACGGGAGGCAACGGCACGGCGCGACGTGTCGCGGCAACCTGAGGAACACATTTTCATGACAGAGCAGGGAGGAAGAGGTGGCCCTCCCATTTGGTACATTTTGGAGCACGGGCATAGGCGGGAAGGGAAGCTCAGAGCATTCTAGCAGCTGTCGCAACTGGCAGACCGCGCTGAATTAACCTTGAAACTCTGCATGTCTATTAGGATATGCCTTCTCTATGTAGAATTGGTCGACAATTAATTGACGGGGAAAACAGCCGAAACTTCATTCACCTCGTTTGCATCGAGCAACAGCAGGTATGGTAGGTAGATACATTGGTACCTAGGTAGGTAGTACCTAGGTACGTAAGCTACTTACTATGTATCTAGGTAGGTACCTAGGTGACGCACCAGGTAAGTCTGAGGTACGTACTGCTCCGGCCAGTCCCGGAAGCTCTCACCTCGTCCTCAAATCGCTTCACATGACTCGGCACCAGCTTTCTCCACTTCCCTTTCCTTTCCTCAAGTTAGACCAATCTTATCGCGCGGCAGACGGTACGTACTCCCTGCTTACACCACCTCGATTCCAACAAGTAGCTCCTATTCAATCGCAACGAGTTGGTGATATGACACACTTCCTTCCCACAATACTTACATACCGCGACGAAGATCCTCATCATCGGCGCCCATCTCGTAGGAAACTTACTCCGTCTAATCCCGGCGTATCGCCAGCAATCTAGATCAGGCTACGAAAGGCATCTCGCATGGAGGAGTTGGACAATGCAAGCGGGGTGGCGGAGATTCCGCTGTTGCTTAAGTCTGCTCAAGAAGCTTTCGAACCAACACCATCTAGCTCAAAAGACCCGAAAGTGACGGTGAGCTCTACGTCCTCTGAGCTGAAATTTGTCACCATCTCCCACCCAGATGACATTCGTCGGCGCAAGGATGTGCGTACCGACATTCGCCGTCATGTCATGAAGAAGATAGGTCAACAACGGCGGCGGCCAAAGGCACAGGCAGAGGGAAGGGTATCATCGGCATCATCATGCGCCTTGATGAACCAGGGAGTTCAACATCATAAGATCCCTCCGAATAACAACACGGACACGAGCACGCCGCTCGGCGCCCCGTGCATGCTGCTACCACTACTATGGGACTTTCCCATGGAGGCGAACGATCGCACCGTAGAGCTTATTCGATTTTGTATGAGAGGAACAATCGTATCGTGCTCGTCTTGTTGGTCATTTGCTTACAAATAATCATCCCAGTGAACGAGCAGCGTTCCGTCTACATACCCTTTCGCGGTATCTGGTTTGACATAGCAAGGATTGATAAAGGTGCATTCCACGTAACGCTAGGGAATGCTGCCGACCTTTTCCTTCGGGTGCGGGGAGGATCAGATCCTGATAGGAACCCGGAGATGCTGCAGTACTACTCCCTCTCCGTGGCCCATTTGAGAGAACGTCTCAACAGTGCCGTTGACAGCATCAGTGATGGGATGGTAGCCCACATTCTGTCCCATCTCTGCTTCTGTGTATGATCATTCATCCAAACATGTTGGAGTTATTGCTGACTATTCGGTTCAGATGAGACGCCAAGACTGGACAGCATGGAAAGCCCACATGGGTGGCTTAGCAGCTATTTCAAGGCTGCGAGACGGTCTTGCTCATCTGGGCCGCGGAGTACATACCTGGATTCTTTTGTGAGTCTCTATGTCTCTGTATCATCCATCCAATCAATTGGAAACAAAAAACGTGTGCGAAGCTCATCACATAACAGATCAGACCTGGGTGGAAGCATAGTGTATGATACAGTTCCCTGGCTACCCTTGCCTTCCTATTTTCCTCCATGCAAGACGTCTCTCAAGAACCTTCCGATACGACTGCAAGAGCTTTTGTCACTATTGGATCCGAACTCAATCACCGTGACACAGACAATTGAAGCCTTAGAAAGACTCCACTTTGTCGCGAACGAGGTGAACACCAAAGGTCATTCACCCTTCTTCTGGCGCCAAGACGAAGATGCCATAAGCGTTCTCGGACCGTGTATTCATTTCCTGCTGTCCATGCCTCGCCTTCCGGAGAATCTGGGTGCAACTCTCAGGTTGGATGAGATCGTCATGGAGATGGTGAGACTGATCAGCCTCTGCCTCGTGTCAAGTCTCAAGGCCATGTTTTCGTTCAATGCGCCCGAGAAAGCTCAGCTGGAGAGTAAGCTTTCCAGATTCACCGTCTCATACACAAGATATCTCGGTGGTCCCTATCGCGACCTTAAAGTCTGGACGCTTGTCACAGCGTCTTTGATGCAGAACGGCGGGAGTCGAGATGTGTACCTGGACGAGATTCGGCGAGATATGGTTGGCACAGGCGAAACAGATGCCACTTCTTGCGTTCAAATCGCAAAGGATTTCATCTGGTTTGTAGTTTTGGGGAAAGCGGGTGCGGATAACTTAATACGGGACCTTGCATTATGCAGCGATGGACCGGCCGGATGAAAAGAGTCTACGTTGTGACGAATGAATGACTACGCTTCAAGTCATCTTAGTTCAACCTAGAATATATGACCATGTTGGTAATGGTAATTGAGAAAGCGCCTGGACCACCAGCCAGGAAGAAGAAGGAAAAGGGGAGTGAAAACTACACCCTGGCTGCCACTAATTCTACCCGAGTATACGAATTGATAAACGTTACAATTCGCAGATCTAACCTGCAACAAACGTTCTCTAGCAGCTGAGCATTGATACGGATAAATCGAACAAATAGTAATGTGTGCAGAAGCATTGACAATGGAAGCAAATATACGGTAACGACTGTGTGTATTCTGCTGCTATGATTAGGAAAGTGATGATAATAATGATGCCCCTTCCTGTAGCAGCTGCTATGCCCTTCTTATACGGGTGGTCTTCTTCCATCTTGCCTGGTATCTAGCTGCTAGCCAATCCACCCCCCTCCAGCATGCCCATGACTTCAATGCTAGGTTTGCGCCAGTGGCTTGACATTTCATCCACCATTGATGCCGCCACTGGCGGATATGAATTGCCCGGTGATCCAACGGCTCTTCTCGCTTGCCAGAAGAAGCACAGCGTCGGCAACATCCTCTACCATTGTCACTCGCTCTTCGGCTCTGGTCCTCGAAAGGAGGAAATCTTTCATCGGTTCAACCTCGGGAACGGGTGGCAGCGTATCTGTCAAGGTTGGGCCGGGCGCGACTGTGTTCACCGTGATATTCTTGCCATCACGGCCGACCTGGATATAGTTAGAAAATGAGACTCATCAACCTTTGTAATTCTGAGGCTGGAGCGCTTTGCAATGGAAACCAGAGAAGGCAATCTCACCTCTTGAGCCAGCGTCCAGGTGAGCTGATCCATAGCCGCCTTGACAGCTCCATAGATTGCCATCTGGTGGAATCCCATCTTTCAAGCAACGCTGCCAATGTTTATTATGCGGCCATTTTGAGACATATGGGTGTAGGCCGCCTGGAGGAGTAGCACTGGGCCGACGACAGCGACCTGAAATGTTTTCATCATGTCTTCGGGAGAGGTTTGTAGCGCCCCTCCCGGTACCATGTATGAAGCATTGTTGACTTGTTTACGTTAGCACCCCAATTTTACTTGCAGAAGGCATACCTGAGACTGAGTGTAATTCATAGTTGGAACTTGGAGCTATTGCACTTACCAATAATGTCGATGTGGTCAACTCCGAAGCTACACAGTGTCTCTTCCACGATCTTTCTGCTACCTTCGGTGGTAGAAACGTCGGCCCTGATAGAGGTGGCCACACCCTTACCGACGGCTGCCTCAATATTAGAGACGACTTGTGCGGCACGGGTAGCAGAGGACTCGGAGATGTAATTGATGTACACGCGGGCACCTGCTCTGGCAAGCGCTAGGGCGATGGCCGCGCCGATACCGTTTTCCCGGCCGGAACCGGTAATGATGGCCACTTTGTTGGATAGGGAGAGACTGTCGGTCGACATTGCAAATGATGTGTAGAGATGGACGGGAAGGTGAGCTGGTATAGAACGGATTGGTTGTTGCTTTTCGATGGCCAGATGGACTTTGGACAGACAACGAGTTCGCACGTTTATATATTCCACGGCCATGTGAAGAATCGTACTCAGACTCATCCCCTGCCTGATTGCTGATTCATATAACAAATTGGAGCTTTGCGCAAGCTATGATATGTCCTCCATTCAACCAAGGGCTTATACTGCATCACAACCCACCCAGTGTTACGAAGTACACGCTGTAGACCAAGACCTGCGGATTAGCACCTGGACCCTAAGCCGAATCGGGGCATTGGTCCCCCCTGCAACCATCTTTGTAAGACCGGCAGATCGGGCGCCTGGACCCTAAGCCAGATCGGGGCATTGGTGCCCCTTGCAACCTGAAGCTTACGTGCTGATTTAAGCAAGTGTTGATGCATTCACGATGTTCCAGTGCAGGTGATTCGAGTGGAATCTCTAGAATGGTTTCGTTTTTTACACATGCATTTCTGGCCTGTAAGCAACAGGACAGACGCAAGGATGGGTATTAGTAATTAGTCACGACGTCCGGTGGCTAGTGACGTTTCGCAGATGGTTCGGCAGTTTGAGGTACAAGAGAAAGGAGGGAATATAAATGGTCCTCAAGAAGACTGCTCTTCCGTATTATCTTGATCTCGACGCAGACACACAATTCTATCGTCTTTGCTTATAACATTATTAAACGTTGAAGCCCTTCTTACATCCCTTCTCGTACATATCAAATCCAACACCACCCAGAATGTCGAAGCTTATCACAATTCTAGGTATCACTGGCGTACAGGTGCGTTGCTCTTCGCCCTTAAACTTGGACTAGCGTAATGATTTGCTGAAATGTGTAGGGTGGCTCTGTCGCGGACGCATACCTCCAAACTCCAAGATGGAGGATCCGTGGTATTACACGGAATCCAGGGTCCGAAGCTGCACGGGCGTGGGCCTCAAAGGGCGTCGAAGTCGTCCAGGCAGATCTCGACGATGTGGAGTCACTCAAGCGTGCCTTTGTCGGAGCAGACGTGATCTTTGGCGTCACCGACTTTTGGACCATCATCAAAGATCCTGCCAGCAGCGCCAAAAAACGACCCGGTCAAGAACTCGTTGAATATTGCTACGAGGTTGAGCTACAGCAGGGAAAGAACATAGCCGATGCTGCTGCCACTGTACCGGGCCTCCATCGCTACGTGTTCAGCTCAATGGCAAATGCGGCCAAGGAGAGCAGGGGCAAGTACAGCAAGCTGTACCATATGGACTCCAAGGCGGAGGCCGCCGAGTATGCGCAAACACTCCCCGCTCTTCGGAACAAGTCTTCCCAGGTCCAAGCCCCCGTCTATTTCAATCTTCTCTGGCAATGGGGCCTTCCAACGACACCCAAGAAGGTATGAACGCGCAGATGCGCTCGCATTCTGGTACTGGCTTTACAACGACTGACATCCGGCGTAGCAAGCTGATGGAACTTGGCGTTTGAGCGGAATCGGCCCTGGTGACAAAGGCATTCCACTCGGCCACGTCCGAAAGGACCTCGGGCCTTGCGTCAAGGCCGTCGCGGAGGCCGAGCCTAATGTGAACCTTTTCGCGATCGGCGAGTACGTATCGTGGACAGAATGTCTCAGGATCTTTTGCGAAACTCAGGGACTCAAGTATGGCGGGTATGACGAGCTCTCATTCGACCAGCTCTGTGACCTGCTGCCCGGTGGCATCGGTCATGAGTTTGGCTTGAACATGCTGTTCGCTTTCGAGTTCGGCTACGCGGGAACTGACCCTGCACTGATCACACCCGACAAGGTAGGTTACACTGCAGAAACTCGGCTGCGTGCACCGTTACTGATAAAACCACTAGCTTGGCGTTCGAATGACTTCATTTCTTGATTATTGCAAGGAGACAGACTTTTCTGCGATCCTTTCGTAGGAGCAAGAGACAGTAGGAGTTGGGTGGGGGGGGGAATGGGCATTGAATACTTCTGTCGCGATGTCGGGCATGGCCGTAGCTGTCGGCGATAGTAGAGTTACCTCCGATGATCCTCCTCCGTTCTCGGTATTCACCACGCGATGGTTATCCTGCCTTTCAATCAGGCAATAGTTACTTTTCTTTACGCATAATCGAACCAGTACCCCTATTATTCGTCACCCTAGATCAACAACCCTGTGATACTAACAGGCTTTGTGTGGATGATGGTTCTGACCAGTTATCTGTTTGTGTATATACATAGTACCACTCGGCTTAGTCATAGGCATTAACCTTGTCTCTCTCGAACCCACTCTATGCTTGCCGCTCACGTGACTCGGCATCATCTTTCTCCACATCCCCCTTCGTCAGATTGGGCCAATCTTATCGCGTGGCAGAGGGTACGTAGCTCCCTGCCGTCGTCCCGTCCGAAACCGATCGACCTGACTGAGCCTGAGCCTGAAGGTTCCAGGGTGGCCAGGTTGTCAGGTCGCCCGAGTTGCGCATCCATTCCATCGTTCTCCGAAACGTCGACAGAGAATCGCAGGGGAATCGACTTTTGCTATCCTCACCTACGCCTTTGGGCTTTCCGACTGCCCGTCCATCTAATTGATTTCCCAACCTTGTTTGCCGAATCCTCCAAGATGGATTGGAATAACCTCAAGGACACGGTCGCTAGTATGACCCTGTACGACGTCAAGGCCGGCGTTAGGAAGGTCCAGAATGGTAAATCCCCAGTTGTCTGTTCAATTCGAGATGCCCATGATCGCGTGCTGACCGCGTAAACCCCCCAGCCGTCATGAACTACACAGAAATGGAGGCCAAGGTTGGTACCGTCCATATCGCGCTTGTTGTCGTCGTCTGTTAACAGCTTCCAGGTCCGCGAGGCGACCAACAACGAACCTTGGGGCGCGTCTTCGTCACTGATGCAGGAGATTGCCAGCGGCACCTTCAACTAGTACCTATCCCCCAATCCATACAAGACAGCCTCTTCCGCAACGCTGACGAGCTCCCAGCGCTACGCTCAACGAAATCATGCCCATGATCTACCGCAGATTCACAGAAAAGTCCGCCGAGGAGTGGCGGCAAATCTACAAGGCCCTCCAGCTCCTCGAGTTCCTCATCAAGCACGGCTCCGAACGTGTCATCGACGATGCCCGCGGCCACATCACACTGCTGAAGATGCTGCGTCAATTCCATTACATCGACCAGAACGGCAAGGACCAGGGAATCAACGTCCGCAACCGCGCCAAGGAACTGTCCGAACTCTTGAGTGATGTCGAGCGGATCCGGACGGAGCGCAAGAAGGCACGAGCGACCAAGAACAAGTACATCGGTGTCGAGGGTGGTGGTGGTGGTGGCTTCTCCAGCGGCAGCAGCAGCCGCTACGGCGGCTTTGGAAGCGAGTCCGGTGGCTACGGGGGCTACTCTGGCGGTGTCTACGGCGACGGCGGCGGTTTCGGTGGGCAGGAGGCCAACGACTACGGCAGAACGCAGGCACACAACGACAAGTTTGAGGAATATGACGAGTTCGACGACGAACGCCCGGCTGCCAGCTCCTCGGCGTCTCGTTCCAAGAGACCCGAGCGAGCGGCGGCGGCCCCCAAGGCCGAGCCGCCCAAGAAGAAGGAGCCCGAGGTGGACCTCTTCTCCTTCGACGACCCCGCGCCCTCCTCGATGCCCGCCCCTGTTGTCGCCCCGACTCCCTCCACCGGCGCCGGCATCGTGTCTCTGTCAGCCCCGTCTGCCAGCAACGACGATGACGAGTTCGATGACTTCCAGTCCGCCGCCCCAGCTCCGGCCCCCGCAGCCGCCACCCCGCTCTCTCCTCCCGTCATGACCGCCAACTCTGCCACAACCTTTGCCGCTCCCCAGCCCGTGTCGGCACCTCAGCAGGCCAACATTGGCAACATGGTCAGCATGTCCTCCATGTCTCCCGCCCCGAGCGCCAACTACTCGGCGTTCAGCACTACCGCTGTTGCCTCTCCCGCAACACAGGCCAAGCCCACTGCTTACCAGCCTTCGGGACCCAACTACTTCAGCTCCGTCCCGGCTGCAGCACCCCAGGCAGCTCGTGGCTCTCTCGCAGCCACCCCTGGCGCGGCTGTACCAAAGGCAGCCTCTGCGGCCGCGAAGCCCAGCGCTGCTGGCGGCGACGCTTTCGGCGCGCTGTGGTCGCAGGCCAGCTCCGGCGTGAAGAAGACGAGCACGCCCACCACTGGACCTGCCTTGGGCCAGCTCGCCAAGGAGAAGAGCAGCGCTGGTATCTGGGGTGCTCCTGCTCCCGCGGCCTCGGCACCAAAGCCCGCCGGCGGCTCATCCTCGACCGGCGGAAACCATGGTTTGGACGATTTGCTCGGCTAAACAGAGTACGCGACAACAGGACGCAGAGACGACGACCGGGGGAGAGACAATGAAGCTCGCCATCGCAACGCCGTTGACCCGACAGTCAAAACAACGATGCGGCGACCAGGCAAAAAAGGTTGGGAGAACAAACAAGGGTGATTTGTGTGCTGATAGGCTGCTATTCAAGGCGCACCGGCGGGCAAAAGAAGAGTGCAACGCATGAAACCATATACTGAAATTTGAAGCGAACCACATTTCTCAAGTCTTGTGTGATGTATCTGCTCACGTTGTGAAATGTGACATGATTTTCTTCTTCTTTCTTTCAATGGGCCGACTACTCGACGCACCTGGGCTCCACGTGTGGCCGGGGCTCGTCGAATGTGCCCCATGTCTTGCCCTGGCATTCGGAACGTAACATAACACAATTGCAGGACTTCACAGCCCTGTGCGGCCGCTGGCGCGACCTCATGTACCCGCAACCTGAAGCAAGCCCGTCGTTGTGGTGAAGGGTTCGGTCGAAGCAAAGTCCAGACCGTCACGCACTCTTTCGCGGACGGTGGGTGGGTGGCATGCATGATCCCAACCGGCGCCAGGGCGATCGACAAACAAGGGCGCGGCCACGCGCGGACCAACCACCGCTGTTCCGCGGCTACGGAAGGTTCAAGAAGCTGAAGCTGCAGTTCGCGGTCCTGGGCTGGCGTTGGTTAGAAGCAACCAACGGGAGGCCCAGGGACGGGGGATCAAGGGATGGGGTGCTGCCCTCAACATACGCAGAGACGCGCATTGAAGCCAAGATATGCGGCCCAGGTCGGCAGCCGCCAGACCAGGTTTCAGGGCCGGTGCCTTGCATGGGGACATCCGGGCTAGCTCGTATGAACAGGCGCCTCAGCCTCCGCCGCCCGTCGCCGTCGTCCCACACCGGCCGCGTCTGCTGGGCCTCTCCTTTCCGGCTTGTCCCAAGACACTGGCCAGGCAAAGACAGAACAGGCCCGGGAGGAGAGAGGTCCACCAAGCCCAGGCTCTCAAGCTCAAGCAACCGGGTGAGGACAGGCTCCGGGTTGAAGCAGACCCAATCAGATCCCGGCCAGCCCCAGGCGAGAACAACCGCGCCGCCGTCCAATCCCGAGCAAGAAGAGAGAGGCCCCCTCGATCAGACATGTCATCGGGCGCGCCTATCGAGCTCCACTTCGCTTTCGTTATGCAGTGGACTTCGTACACGGTATACTTGGTCCGTCCCAAGGGAGCCTCCAATCTCCTGGATCTGTGCACTAGCTTCGTAACGATTCGCAGCCGCGTGTGTCGCTTGTCCGACCTCTCCGGGGTCCTCCCCGCCCTTTTTTTCTTTGCTTTTAGTGTCTTCTAAGCGCCGCACGGCTAATTACACACGCAACCCCGGCCGGGGGCTGCGATTGGCCCGCCCCAGCGGCTGCTCACACCTAGCCGAACGGCTTCGGTCCGGGATCTTGTGCCGCCTTCCAGGGATCATTGGACGAACCACTTGGGTCAACAACCAGTCTCATCTTGACCCGGCCTTTTTTTTTTTTTTTTTTCCACGAATGGTACCCGGATTGGTGTGTCGCAGACGCAGGAACGGCCATGTATCTTTCGTAAACTAGATTGGGTGTTGTCTACGGCCGCATCCATCCATCCATCCATTCCCTCACAGAGGCCGGGAAAGGGCCCCCCCTCCAAGAAGCGCGTGTGGGTTTTCCGCTTGATTTAGCAACACAACAATACAATGCAGAGAAACCTGATCGATGAGGTTACCTTGCCTTTCCTGGTGAACCAGCAAAGGGGAAAACAAAACACGAGGTCGGTTGTATCATTCGTTCGATTGCCTCGAGTGATCTTGAAGGGGGGGGGGGGCTGAGATGTATAAAGCAAAGTCATCTTATCCGCCCCCTCCCCCGACTACTCTTCTGTTCTTCATCCAACACAGAACCACAAGAACAATCCAGAGACATCTGCCGTCTTTTCCTTTTTTCCCTCTCTCTTTGTTTTTTTCCTTTTTTCCTTATTTCCTAGGTCAACTTTCCTTGGTCAATCAAGTTTTAAGGGTCTTTCAATCTCTCTCTCTCTCTCTCTCATACACACTCTCACCATCTTCCCCCCCCCCCTCCCCCCCCCCTCTCGTCTTCGGCCCTCGGTTTCTCCTTTTCTTAGGTCACGACGAACGGATAACGGAACGACTCGAAAACGAAACAAACACGCTCTTACACGATCTCTTCTTTTATCGATTCTCTCAACCACTGAATCCTCTTTTTCTTACAAAAACAAAAAAACCCCAACTCCTCTTCCCTTTTCCTCGTCAAATCTTATAAAAAGCCTCCCATATATATCCAGGTCGCTTCACCCAAAAGCGGCTCCGACCCCCATCGTCCAAAATTCCCTCCTCAACCCCCCCCTGCATCCCCTTCCCGCCCCGGCGATTCCCCGTCCGCACGGCCCTCCGCCTCGACGCCCCGCGCCCGAAGCTCACCCTCGTCACCCCGGCCTCCCTCGCCCGCGACTCCCGCCGCGCCCGCACCATGGGTTCCTCCCCCCGCCTCGGCGCCCTCGGGCACACCTTCACCGCCATGCGCGCCATGCAGTTCCTCTCCCTCGTCTCCATCATCGGCATGGTCGCCAACTTCATCTCCGAGATCAACGGCGCAGACGCCGTCTCGCCCCCCGTCCTCGTCGGCACTCTTGTCATTGTAAGCCAGCCAGCCGTCTTTGTGATTTCTTTTCATTCAGATGGAGACGCACCACCTATGTATAATTATGGACTCGTCAGGACTAACAACCCCGCCCTTTTCCTAGTCATGCATCGCCACACTCTACATCTCCATCACCTACATCCTCTACTACGACAACATGCTCCCCCTCCTCCTCGCTGCTGCCGCCGACTCGGCCCTCCTCATCGCCGTCATTGTTGTCGCCTGCCTCCTCGGCAAGCCCCTCTCGTACCTTAATTGTGCCGCCCTGCCACCAAAGTCCGGCAGCACCGCCAGCTTCATGGCCTCCGTCACGGCCAACATCAAGGCGGGCTCCGTCCTCAACTACTTTGTCTGGGTCGGCGCCGATCAGCCCACCTGCTACGCCATCAAGGCCGTCTGGGGCCTGTCCATCGCCCTCTGCGTGCTCTTGGCCTTCAGCGCCATCACCGCCGTCTGTCTTTGGCGCCGCCTGAAGCTCGCCCCTGCCGCCCCCAAGGACATTGAGGGATGAGGGTGCGCTCGTGATGGGGGGGCTGCGGTAGTGGTCGGCGGTGCCTGGTACGGTTCTTCTTCTTCTTTCCCGCCTCCCCCGACGAGGGAGGTCCGGACCGGTTACTACGGCAGCAAGAAGAGCCTGGGCACCGCCACGGTGCTGGCCGGGGAGAAGCGGTGGGGCAGCGGCGATTCGGGTTCCGACTCGGACGATGCTGCCGCCGCCGTCCCACGGCCGTGGTTCCCGCCTCCTCCCATCACGTCGCGAGTGCCGCACAAGCGCGTGCGCATTGTCGAGCGGCAGCAGCCCGTTCACCCGATGCCGGTGCTGCCCGAGCTGGTCGTCTCGCCGGTGCCTCCCGCGTCTCCCGCCGAACGCCAGGCGACGCCGATGACGCCGACTTCACCTCTTGGAAGCCTCCTTGCGCGGGGCAGGTCGAAGCGCAAGACGATTATGGAATTCATCGACGGGTGGTGGGACCTGGGCCTGCTGGAGCAGCAGAAGCAGACCAAGCTCGCCAAGGCTGCCTCCCAGAGGAAGTGATCCACCCGTGTGTGTCTTGGGATTTGTTTTTTAACGTCTGCTCTGCTGGTAATAGAGAAAGGTGTCGAGACCAGAGCGGTGCAAATCGGGGGTAATGTCTACTGGATAGATTTGCTTTTTGACAACAGGCTTGGGATTTGTAGCGAAAACGCGCGGTGACAGACTGCGACTGCTTCTTTGTTTGGGCGTTACTTTTTGGTAGTCTGGGCCACTGATAATAAAAGAAAAATAACCGCGAGTCTTTCGGTTGCTGCCTCTCTCTTTTTTCCTGCATGTTGAATGAACCGTGTCAAAACGAAGAGCGTCTCGATCGCCGGCATCGCGCAGCCTAAGCGATCGCTGATGAGAATACCATGGGAGAAGGACTCTTGCGTGACTCCCTTGCTGGCCAATGTGGGATTTTGAAATTCAGCCATGCCTCAATCACACTCTCAGGTCAGAAGCACGGGATGGCCAAGGATCTTGAAGCAGGCGGCGAGGTCCCAGCTCTCATCGATGGTATCCCGGCGGGCCCATACATTCTCCATGACGCCGAGGGCGCCCGTGAGGGACCCAAAGACCTCGAGCGGGCCCATCCGGGCGGCCATGTCGCGGAACATATTCTCTTGTCGGGGGTCGGCGAGGCAGCCGATAACGCAGAAGGGCCAGACGACGGTGCGCAGGCAGACGGGGCTGCGCAGCGTGTTGAGCAGGTCGAGCGTCGCCTGCACGCTCGTCACGGTCTCCGGGCACGAGGGCTGCCAGCCGGAGACGACGGTGGAGAGGTACGTCAGCGCGGCGTAGGCCCAGATCTTCGTGTGGGCGTGGGCGGCGTCGACCGCGTCCTGAGTCTGCGAGTACTGGTACAGCGTCAGCGGGTCAGGGGGCAGGCGCATGGTGTCGGCGTGGGTCGGGTGCGGCGGCGGTCGGCCCGTGCAGGCGTTGCTGCAGGCGGCGACGAGGTCGTCAGAGCCCATGAGCTGCGGGCACTGGTTGTCGATGCAGGAGATGCCCTCGCGGAGGGCGAGCTCGAGACAAGCGGCGCGGGAGACGAGGTGGGTCATGGAGAGTGAGCCGGCGCGGCGGGCGTCCTTCTTCCAGGCGTCGAGGGCGGCGATCTCGCCGATGATCTGGAGGACCCAGCTCTGGCAGCCAAAGTACTCCTCGAGGCGAAGGCGAGGCTCGAGCTCGAGGCAGTCATCCTTGCGGGGGGAGAGCAGGTGGTAGTGGTAGGCTTGCAGGGTGGGGGGCCGCTCGAGGGCGGTGGCGGATATGATGTCAAAGTAGAGCAGGGAGGCAGTGAAGAAGCGCAGGGCTGCCTGGTCGGAGCTCCAGGCCGTATGGGAGCCGGGCGGGAAGCGGACGCCGGAGAAGAGGGGTATGGCCATGTGGTCCATGGTGGCGTCCCAGTGGTCGGGCTGGGGGAGGATCTGCTGGAAGACGACGGTGGCGGCGTCGAGGTGCATCTGCCAGTGGTCGTTGGAGGCGATGGTGACGTCGAAGATGAGAAGCTGGACGATGCTCTCGAGCACGCGGCAGCCCCGGCGCAGCTGGTTGTCGACGCCGCCCTCGTTGATGCTGGCCATGTCAGCGCGGAGCTCGCGGAGGGCGAGGTCGAGCTGGTGTTGCAGGCTGGCGACGGACTTCATGCGGCAGGGGGCGTGCTCGACCTGGGCGCCGGTAAGGACGACGCCGAAGAAGTGGGAGGCGAGACCGAGAGCGGTGTGGTAGAGGGCCTTGTTGTGGTTGAGGACATTGAGGAGCCAGCTGCGGCCGCCCTCGAGCAGGGCAGGCTTGTAGAAGGGAAAGAGGAAGGGGAAGACATAGTCGAGGTAGATCATGATGAAGGTAAGGTTGGAGTCGTCGGAGAAGGGCGGGGCGTTGGAGTGGTCGGCGGAGATGGGCACGGCGGGGTGGGAGGCCGGCAGAGTCGCGGGTGCGGGAGCGGGTGCGGGAGCGGCGGCTGGAGGGCTGGAATGATTGGAGTGGCTGGGCCATTCGGGACTGAGCTGTCGCATCTGGTTGGGTGAGGCGGCGGGGGCGAGGTCGTGGAGAGAGGACTTGACGGAGCCCATGTGGAAGGCCGGGCTAGAGGTGTCGCCGGGTGTGTCGTTGACGGTAGAGGGGCTGTTGGAGTCATTGGCCTTGGAGGAGCCGCCGTCGAGGCTCAGCGGGGGCACGGGTGGGATGACATGATCGGGGTCGTCAGAGGCGGGAGTGTGGTTTGGGTCGACGTCGAGGCTCTGGAGGTACTTGCGCTCGCGGCGGTTATTGGCCTGGATCTTGACCTGTTTCTTGAGGCTGTCGGCCATTTCCTTCTGGCGCTCGCCGCCGTCCATCCAGTCGGGCTTGACGTCGCTGTAGTAGCAGGTGATTTCGAGCTGGGCGCAGCCGTCGCAAACGGGACGGGCCTCGTCGCACTTCTTACGGCGCAGGCGACAGGTCCAGCAGCCCTCGGAGCTCCGAATCTTGGCCGACGAGGACATGGTGTGTTTGAAGCGCGACCGCAGGCCTGAAAGGGACGACATGTGCGAAAGGTCCTTGTTGCGCGAGAACATGGCGAATTACTTTGGGTGTCGCACGCAGCGTCGATATGGGGTGGGCGGGAGAAATCATCCAGGAGGGTCGTAGAGGGGGTGGGCTAAGTATCGCAGTAGCTAACGGTGGCGGCGTTCGCTGGAGGATGACAAACCAGAGTCGAGGTTGAGAGTGAGAGCCGTCGTCGTCGTCGTCAATAAGAGAGGGAGAGGGATGGAGAGAAAGTGGACGGAGGAACGGAGGTGGACGGCGTGGCTAATTACGGCGTTACTCTTCTTCCAAAAAAAGGCCTGTCGAGCCTTGCCGTGCCTTTCCTTTCCCGCCTTACGTTGCCTCGCCTCGTCTCGGGGATGCCTATCCGTATTTGGGTGAACTTGTGGTGCTATTAAGTAGGCAGGTGGGGTAGGTAGGTACTGCTATATGTATGTAAACACTACGTAGTATATCCGTACCTCGGTAGATATAGGTAGAGTGACTGGGGGCACCTACCTTATAGGCAGATACAGATAGATAGGAAGGAACTTCAACGCTCGGATTTGTAATCCACTTTTGAAAGCGGCTCCGGCACAAGTTCGCGTCCATCAGCCTTGTAGGTGAGAAACAGGAACATGGCAGGAAGGAGAGGCCGACGAAAGGCCCACGCGGCGCTGTACCTACATTTTTCTAGAATGGGACAGGGATACCGGTAATACGGGATCCACCTTTCCACTCTATTTTATTTTCTTGGACGATCAGATCAGTTGATGAACCTGTCTGTCGCTGGTCATTTCCATATTCTCACCCTCACCTCAGCCCCCCTTTTGTCTTGTCTGTTTTCTTACCCAGCATTACGCTCTTGTATCCGTACTCGTACCATGCTTGCAGGCCGAGAGTAGGTGAATGGTAACATATACATTAGTGTGATGATTAGCGCTATGTCCTTGTTCAGGTACGCTACATAGTAGCCACCGAGAGTACGTTCCCCACCCTCATTACTGGGACGATGTGCGATGTACCTTGTAGCATGCTTTGATTATGTCAGCTGATGGGGGGCGAAGGGGGGGGGAAGGAAGCATATGGAACTTCAAGCTTGCCATGCAGTGTACGGAGTACACTACGTGACTACGTACTTACACGTGACCGGGGACGTTATCCGTCACCCGCGATCATTCATCCATGGTAATATGATGATATACGCTGTGAAACAATCGCGGGAAGCTTGAGCATCACTCACAGGGGAAGGGAGGGGGGGCGCTGTTCGCGCATCTCGCTCATTCCATGTATCTCATCACCCCTTTTTGGCCGGCCCCGGACCGTACTACTACTACTTTACATCGTAGTAGGATCGACATGAGAAAAGCCACTCGTGTTTCCGATGTGTGCCTTTCTGGCCTTTCAATCTACACAAAACTCATGGACCGAGTCTCCCTTGACCGCCTTTGCCTCAGTCCGCACCTTAACACATGAATTAACTACAGCTGTCCGACGGCCGTCTGACAGCGAAGCAGGACATGACACTCGGCACGTCTAGCTTAGCTGTCCGCGCCTATTGTCCACCGTCCCCTCTCCTGGTTTCAGCCCTAGCACCGGATGCCCGCACCCACCTGTCTGTAAGGCCACGAACGATCTTGCTTGGCACCAACTACTGTCGTCGCCTGCTATTTCACTCACGACCCCGTTATTATCGTCGTATCGAGCTGCCCAACACGGAGACCATGCCTCTAATCAAGCCCTGCCCATATCGCATTAGCTTCGTCGCCCCCAGGCCACCATGTTGAAACCCGCGATTACCGACAGTCTACAGTCGACACTCGACGGCATAACTTTAACTTGCAGATAACGTTTCAACGCCAGCCACGTCGTTTTCAAGCCTGACTCGAGCCGCCAAGCTGCTCAAAACCCCAGTGCCAGCTTCAGAATCCAGGGTGTCCCAGTATCGAGTCATGAAATGCCAGGCACCGCAAAGGCTCGTTGGCTCGGGGGAGGGGAGGGGGGTCGTTTCCAATTCTTGTTACTCCGGGTAACCAAGCCGGCCAAGAAAATGAAATCACCTCCTTGAAGTCCGCAAGGCAATCCCCATGTCGTCAACGATGCTCAGCATGCCATCCTCGGTGATTGCGCGTGAGGCTATAGCCTAGCGAGAACTCCACAACACTGGTGCTGATGCCAATGATGTTGTCGCTACTTACTGGCGCCTACCCACCACTCCGTTGTCGCTTGCGTTTATATGTTGACCATCTCATACCGGATGACTGAGCTCGACTGTTGATAACATCAGGAAGAATAACTACAATGATCCAGCTCAGTTACTTAAAGCAGGCCTATGGCTTCGTGCTCTTTTTAACGTCTCTGCTGGCGACGACTTTCCCCTTCGGCTTGCTATTTTACTAGAAAACAGCACTTATGCTACACTACTTAGACCAGTGTGACTCGAGGTGTAAAGCTCTTGACAACCTTAGTAGCCGAGTTTAACAGAGTCAGGGTGTGGCTGGCACGTCAGCGCCCCCGTAACGAAGCTCTTAGTACTACCTACACCACAAAGGCTATTTACACTATAGGTAGTTTGATATAAAGTCTAGTTTAATGGTTATCATACCTGTCGTGAAGCTGGGACAGCTTCGTGTGGCTAGTACCAGTGGTAAACGCCACAGATGTGGTATACCGACCAATAGGCCCACATTGGGAAGACTATTTCTACCCGATTTCCTTCCTGTACTTGGACTTAGAAGAATCAACTACTTCTCTACGAAATGATCAGACGCTTCGGTTTATCACAATACCTTATCCAGCATCTTATAATGTGTGGGATTTAGATGTGGTTTAGGCTAGAGGTGCTGCGTACTAGACTATATGAATCATGGTATTTCTATACCAGGTGAACTGGGCTATATAAGGGACCAGAGCAATTATATTCAACAGATTACCTATAATATACTCCAAAAAGTACGAGAAAAAAGTGGAGTAAGGCATAATATATGTTACACGTCAGGAAGCCATTACCACCGGAGAAACAATGAACACCCCACACCCACCCTGGTGTTACATAGTCATCAACCGCTACCAAAAAGATATTTCGCGTCAGTCACGGCTCTAGACACTATTTTTTCAAGGCGTTCAGAGAGCTCCTTGGAGCTGAAACGAGCTTCAACGTCGACTTTGAGCAGATGCCTCTCGACGGTATCCAGCAAGTCGCCCAGCGCCGTGCCTGTTGCGCTCCTCGGAAGACGTCTGAGCTTGGCCAGGGTCTGGAACACCTCGGGATGTACCTTGGCAGACGCTCCAATGCCCTTGTAGAAGCGGGCCCATGGCTTATTTTCCCCTTGCCTCGCCCTCTTGGACGTCCTAGCGTTGTTGAAGGATTCTACGGCATCCCAGCTATCCGCGAACCAGAGGGTGAACTCGAGGAAGATGCAGCCCATGGACCAGATGTCGTACTTGCGGGACCTCGCCTGACGCAACGACTCTTCGGGGGCCTCATAGGACGGCGTCGTAGATCTCGTCGTCGTGGCCTTCCCCAGCCTCTGGAAAGTTGTCTCGGTGTGGATCCGGGATATCCCAAAGTCGGCAATCTTGAGGGTGCCGTCGCCCCCGTCAGTCAAGAAATGAAGTATGTTGCCGGGCTTCAAGTCGCCGTGCCGGCAGTTTTTGTCGTCCCCGAGGAACTCGTGAAGAACTTGAAGCCCTCTGGCGAGCCCGAACATCTGCTCCAAGCACCAGAGAGCCAAACGTCTGTTCCGTGGCCTGGACTTCTTAGTATCCCAGAAGTTCTCCAGGTCTCCGCCCTTGGCGAAAGGAAAGATGATGTAGCTCCTGCCCTCTTGCGAGAAAGTCTCAAGATACTGCGTGATGTGCTTGTTATCTCCGAGACCCCGTATCGCTGCGAGGTTGTTTCGCTCGATCTCGAAATCTTTCTTGTTTCTGGGTAAAAACTCCTTTAAGACGATTTCGTGGCTATGAGACCCCGTCTGGTCAAGTTAGCATGTGACGGGCTCGGATGCGCAAGGGAGAGCAACTCACCATAGAGAACCGTTGATGGGCGGGATGAATCTGGGCATGAAATACGACGCTATTGGAACCACCCTTGTGGGACTCTTCCATCTTCTGAAAGGGCATCGGGCGCCGCTGATGAAAAGTCCGGTGTTCCCCAGAAGAGCCAAACACAGGAGCAAGCACCCGCCATTGGCTTTCAAGGAATTGGTCTACAGTTTGACTGGACCATTTCGGCGGCAATGAGAACCTTTTGCCACTGTCTGGTTCGGACCTAAAACCGTGCCCATCCTTGAACAGCGGGAGGTCTCTGTCGGTCAAGCCACTGTTGAGAAGTTTGTCCGTATCCAAACACTGGTCCAAGAGCACAAGAACCACGAAAAGCTTGCGCGCATTGGAACCCACCACCCTCTCGGCCAAACGCCTCCTTGAGCCGCCCTTCCCCCAGGCCTGATGCTTTGGATGCCTGCAGAACTCCCTGTAAATACCTTCGGTGGTGACCAGCTCCTTCAACACATCAATCGGGACATACTGTCGTTTTCCCTGGAGGTTATCGTCACCATACTTCGCACTGATAGCTTTGTACAGGCTTAAGGTACCTGGTTTCGCACCCATGTCGGCAGGTTCCGGGAGCCTTTTCAGATGGCGTGTTGCAAGATGTAACGGATATACCATAGCCTGAGAATTGTTAGCATGTTGTGGTAGTTAGTAAGCAACAAATGGGCTGGAAAGCTACTACCAAAGACTTGTATGTTTAGCGCCTTCAGAGTTGTGGCCAGCTACACCATATAGGCTCTTGTAAGAGGCGGCTGCTTGAATGGGGATGTTTAGGAAACCAAAGACGCATGTGGGCGATACCGGACTCAGGAAGAGTCCCGAGGATTTTAAAGACAGGGCGTGGGTTAATGACTACCCTGTCGTAGACAAACTGGTTCGCGGCAACGGGGGCGCAATTTCACAGCAAAGGCAGCTCATGAGCCGCAGTCTAGCTCGCGGCGCCGGTCAAGGTCTCGACACCACGCAGTTTTTCGACGCCTGTATGAAAAGGACGCAACCCTCTCATTTCCTCGAACCAGGATTGGTAGGATGAAGCCAAGGGTATGGCTCTCGATAAGAGCTTGCATGTGTATGGGGAGACCAGGTGACTTCGCCTGCGTGTCATCCTGCAGATTTTGGGGAGCCTGAGCACGCGAGAACTGCGGCGGGGTAGTTTGAGGGGATCGGCTATGCCAATATGTCTCATCGTGGCTGTGATTGCGACTGGCATGCATGGAGTTAAGACGTGCCGCCACGGTAAGCGATTAAGTATCAGGCGACCAATGGCAGATATAGATACGTGCTTGCAAGTATAAGAGCTCTACCATATTGGTCAATGGATAATTCCCACCAACGCTTTTCGAAGTGGTTGCATAAAAGGCAACCTGCGGAATGGTTGCCTTCTTCCAGGCATCAAGAGGGGAGACTGAAGCGACGCCCTCAGACGTGATTGATATTGGTGAGTGCTAGAGATTTGATCGAGCGCCACAAGCATGGTACCTTGGCAGAAGCCATGCGAGTCGTCATGCTGCAGTCTTCACCCAAAGACAGAGGAACACGTCGACGAAACAACCTCCCCCGAGTCCGCCTCTGAAGATAGCCCGCCTCGGAAGGTGACCCTTCGTCGGGCACAAACGGAAGGGGGCCATCCGACATCGATCCGTCCAAGTCACATAAATCTGGGTAGTCAACCGAGAAGGCATACCTTTCCAGCTAACGTTGCAGAGCTTAGTCGACGAACGACATCGTCTTTCCGACAATCCACGAACGGCTTCTTCAATCAGATAGCACCAAGAATGACGGCGATTAGATCGCTCAAGCAGCGTATTTCCAGAGAGGCGATAGACGTGGAGTACGGAAGCACCAACAAAACAGAAAAATGGATCTCGTGGGCAAGCATCAGGAGCATAATCACGGAAACGGCTGGTGATGTAGTCGGCGAACTGACAACGGACAAACGCCTCGCCAAGAGTTTGAAGACGTTTGCCCTCTCAAAAGCACGGCGACTTCTTGCTCTTCTGGTCTACACAAAATGCGAGGAATGGTTCGAGCTGTTCTACCGCAACGACTTCGGCGACGAAATGTTTCCTATCGAAATCGTCGGCAAGGGCAGCCAGCGCGCCGTGGAGTCGACGAAAACGGGGAAGAGGGCTGATTTCCTCGAGGAGCAACTTGGGGATTGTGAGATCGAATCGATATGCGATATGTGGCAGTGGATGTTCTTCGTCCCAGTCTTCAGTCCCAACGACAAAACTGCGAGCGTCTTTCATTGGCGGTGCCGGCTGCCTTTTATAAAAGAGTACAATACTTACGATTCAAACTTCAGCTCCGTCACACATCTTGTCATGCATCGCGATCACCTGAAGTTCGAACATGATGATCAGATTGTAAGTAAAGTTCTGGTCGCCCGACGTCGAAAGTGCTTTTGCCTAAGATGCTAAAAATGTATCAACCACTAGGGTGCTGTTTTAGACAGTAATGGAAATCCTCATGTGGCCGTTAAGAAGCTTCTAGCCCGGGGCACCCCTGAAAAGTTTCAGAAAGTTGTCGAAAACGAGGCATCGGTTCTAGGCCGTTTCCAGGACCACAACCACCCGCACTTCATCAGAGCGATTGCAAGATACACTCAGGAGAACCACCATTACTTCATCTTCCCCTGGGCCAAAGGAGGAAACCTCCGAGAGTTCTGGAAGAATCAACCCAGCCTGAGCAGTGCATCGCCCAACTTTAGCTCCCACGACTGGGATGTTTACATCAGGTGGTTCTTTGACCAGTTAGTTGGCCTTGCCGATGCCATCGAAAAGCTACACTATCCAGCCAACCAGTATGGTGTATCATGCCGCCACGGAGACCTGAAACCGGAGAACATCCTCTGCTTCGGCTTGCTCAATTCGGGCCCCGGGAAAATCCCCAAGGGCGCTAAGCTTGTTATAGCCGATGCCGGACATGCGAAAGTCCACGAAAAGGTTACGGAGCTTCGACATGACACTACGAATACGCCAACTGGCACAAATACCTACAAACCGCCAGAAGTTGTGTACCTATCCAAGGACGCTAGATCAAGACGATACGATATTTGGTCTCTTGGCTGTTTATACCTTGAGTTTCTCATTTGGATCCTGTATGACAATGAAGGGCTCCGAAAGTTCCGTCGCGACATTGGAGTTAATGAGCCCTTGTTCAGAGAACACCCAGAAATGGCGGTAAAGGACATGGTTCGAAAGTGGATCCAATACATCAAAGAAGACCCTCGATGTTCATCGGCCGGGCCGACAGCACTCAGACGTTTTGTGGAACTCATTGAAAGCAGGCTCCTAGTCGTCAAAATCATAATACGCCACGACTCAAAATCGGAATTTGAGGCAACAGATTATTCAAAGGAACATGCTGAATCGTCTTACGCAGAAGGCAGTGTTCCCTGGCCTTTGGTGACACGTCCAACATTCGAGATTGATGCCAACGAGACGGAGCGGGCCGATGCGAGAGAAATGCTCAAGGAGATGCGCAAGATACGCGAAGCAGCAAACGGCGCTTCCCTCCCGTGGATCAATTGGGACGGTATAGCAAAACCAAGGTCACCTTGGCCCACGGCCAGCCTCGACACTCGCAGCCGAGCGGGTTCTCTCAGGGGAAGTGACAGCCTGATGCCGCAAGCAAGGGTATAGCGCTTTGCCAAGTCAAACCATCTGTCAATGCATCAAATGATAATTTTGGCAAGTAGGGGAAAAACGAGGTCAGTATTTGAGAACTGTTCACAGATTCGAATCGTCTTTGCCGAGCCGCTAACATCTGCCAATCTCAAGAATGTAAGTTCAACGCCTCGCGGATCTGTCCCCCTCCATTTCATGTCCAGGGTGCAACAACTAACTGTTGCAGTATGTGCGCCTTGCCTTTCGAACGCTAGGGGGTGACATAAACTGACCGTGATATCACTGTGATAGATGGTATAGCCTCGTCAAGTCTAAAAGTCGTAAACAAGCTTGCTAATGGGTCGGGTGCTAGTTTGTAAGTTCTTTCTTGCCAATCTTCCTTGCGTGCTGGATATTTTCTGACCATAATGCCTTGATTGCAGACCGTGAGTTCAACAAACCCTCCGTGCCCAAGGATTATCCCATCGCTTCATTCTGCAACTTATTGAACCGGAAACTGCGATCTGACTTATGAGAAGCCGGTCAGCTCGTTCCAAGAACAGACGGCTGGGTAGCCAGCCGATACATATTTCTTCATTACTGACCATAACAATGCAATTTCTAGCTGGACAACAATTGGGAATATACCACAGACGAACGATGTGCTTGTCTGATCGTACCGAGTAGTAAAGAGATCAACGACACAAGTGCCGACTCTTCGTTATGTGAGAGATGTTGCGCGTTGGGAATATGGTCAGAAAGCTGCGAGTTCACCGACTCACTCGAAAACTTGGACACGAGACGACATACTTGCGACTTGTGTCAGCTACTCTATCTATCTCTATTGAGAAGGGCAGCTCGAAGCAAAGAGGTTGTCAAGTTTCTCAGGTCTGGTTCATCTCTGACATTTGGAGAAAAACACTGGAACCCAATCTTTTCCCTTTGCACTACCGAAGGTGAGCGCTTAATATAGTCTCTGGAGGACTTGGGCGGTTAGGTGGCAACATCTGGTGGCCAACTCATATACCTTGATCCGCATTTTCGTCCCATTTGGCTGATTGGTGGAACCCACCAGACTCTGATTCTTTGAGATTAAACAACATCCAGCTTGGTTTCCCCTCCCAATTGGATCCAGGAAGCAAGACACATGCCGATATTCTATTGGAATGGATCAAGACATGCGACGATAGCCACCTGTCACCACCAGATGATGAGCCTTTCATACCGAATCGGCTCCTAGCGGTTGGGAACGAACAAAGCAGCCGAGTTCAACTGATATGCAGCCGTCAATACGAAGTTCCGAAGACCGAAAAGTATGTAGCTCTGTCGCATCGCTGGGGTTCTCCAGACAAAAAAGAGCCACCTGATGTCAAATTCGTATCCACAACCAAAGAAAACATCAGCAAGATCATGAATGAGGGAGTGGACGATGCGGACTTACCCAAGACGTTCAGAGATGCCATAACCGTTACTAGAAAGCTCAAGGTTCACTACCTGTGGATCGATTCTCTGTGCATCATGCAGAAGTCAGGCCAGGGAGAGGACGAAGAAGCAAAGGCAGACTGGCAACGGGAGGCGAAACTAATGGAAAAGGTCTTCAGCTCGGCGTACCTCGTCCTCGGAATCGAACACGATGTCAACCTCCTCACCTCCGTCCGGCCCATCCCCCTTACCAGCGGCTTCCGCGGACTCGGCATCGTCTCCCCAGCGCCTGCCGCCGTCTCTCACCTTGTCGCCTTCCCCTTCAGACTCCTCCTCCTCCTCCTCCTCCTCCCGCGCACTTTCGCGCCGGACGATACACTTCACACAGAACCAAGCATACTGGGAATGCGGCGAGGGCATTCGCTGCGAGACTTTTACCAAGACTGAAAAGTAAGTGAGGTCTCGACAACCATTCACATATCAGTTCGCCACGCACGTTCCCTGACCCGAGTTGCAGCCGAAAAGCGTCTTTTCTGGGCGACTCAAACTTTCCTTATTCGGTGAAATCCCATAAGCAGGGCCGGCAACTCCAGCATTACCAAGGCCTTTACGAGCGCTACTCAACACTGGGTCTATCGTATGATACCGATAGACCGATGGCTATCGCTGGTCTTGAGAAAAGGCTGATGAGTGCCCTCGAGTCTGCCGGCGGGTTCGGCGTCCTCCAGGCCAATTTCCATCGGGACTTGTTGTGGCAGCGGCGAAACTCCGAGAGCACCCTGAAGAGGATTGACTTTGGAACGGCAAATCACGTCAGGATTCCATCGTGGTCCTGGATGGCCTACAGCGGAGAGATCCGATACATGAACGTTCCGTTCGACGATATCCTGCGCGCGGACGACATCCAGTCACCTTTCAAAACGCTTCCGCCAGGGGTGTCGTACGCCGATTCCGACCGGCGGGGCCGAGCCGAGCTCCGGGCTCCTGTACACACCATTGCAGTGCAGAAACCGGATTGGCTCATCTTGGACGAGCCGGAACGGCCGCTGCCCAGGCCTCTTAGCTGCATCATCGTGGGTAAGAGCAAGCACCACAAGAGCGAACAGCCGACATGCTACGTGCTGGTTGTGTCTCTCGCCGGCAAAGAGGGGAACGAAGACTTCTTTGAGAGGGTTGGCGTCGCGTACCTTAAAGCAGATGAAATTGTGTGTCAGGAGGCTATGGTTGTCAGTATCCGGTAACCAACATTTTGCAGCCTGGAGCGAGACTGGCAGCTACTCCATAAGTTTATTTCAATTTCACTATATGCGCGATCGAATTGTATGAGCCCTGCTTTTCTTGAATTTCTCATCTCACGGAGTGATGTACAAACCAAAGTGATTACTGGTAAGCACTTTCAACTGGGTGTTTGTGATGGCTTACGTTACGTTGCCCTTAGCTGGGCTTCTTCGGATGACCAACACCATAAACCTAACAAAACACTCCTAAGAGTGAAGTTGGTATTACAAGGGTATTGTCCTAGGTTGAAGAGGTGGCGATCGGTTGGGTTATTGTAGTTATTTTTCATGATTTCTGAGTTTCTCGTGTATCTTAACGTGCTGATTGGCTGCGTTGTTCTTGTCTTTGTTGTCTTGAGTCGAAGTCCCTTGTTGCCGGAGAGGGCTTGGAAAATGAATCTCGTGATAGCTGGTTTTAGTGTGAGCGGAAGAATAAGGTATCTTACACTGTGGAGGGAAGCAGGAGACGGCAGCAAGTTTGAAAAACGGAAGTTTCAACAGCGGATGTAATATGTGGAAACAGATGGATGAAAAAGAAGGACGAAAGAACGGATGATATATGTGACGAAAGCTCGGTCAAAAGTAAAAGTGAAGAAGTATTCAAATCAGTTAGCTGTAGACGTATAGATCAAAGTGTTTCACTTGTGTATTTAGATTACTTCAACGTCCTGGTTACTAAGGCAATTTGTAAGAATTAGTATTTTGTGTCGTCACACCTAGAGAACCTGTAAAGACGCAACTGTGACGAAAGGGACACAGTGGGTGCCCATTAGTGCCTAGTTCTACATTGTTATTTAACTTCCGAGCTTATGAACGAACTAAGGAGTACTCAGTTGGTACTTTGAGGGTTCTTTTCGACAACAGCAGAACACTCTTGGCCTTTTGCGCCTTCCGCTCCCCGACTCTCCACATCAGAGTCTACCCCTATGAGAGTAGGCTCAAACCCTGTGACGACAGAAGGAATGAGGGTCTCCTTATGGGGAAAGAAATAGTTCAATGTGTAGTATACGAAAATGGAAAGAAAGAAGCCATATAACCAGTTGAAGCTGAAGAGGTTCTTCAGACCACTGGCCAAGTTGACAGACGGAGCTACCTTTGCCACGAGACCCGGCAGCAAAGGGATGATGACGACGAAAGTCGCAGTTGCTGCGCGCCAATTGGTGCCATATTTGCCGTAACGGTAGATCCCCTGCGGATCGAAGAGTGCAGGCACGTCGTACCTTCGTCGCTTTACCAGCCAGTAGTCCGTAAACAAGATACCGGCCATGGGCGCCATGAAGATGGAGTAGGCCGACATGAAGTTCATGAATGCGCGGCCTGACGCCACGATGATCCAGGGGCACAATGCCCAGCCCCCGAGGAAGGCGACCAACACGGTGCCTCGGCGGTTGTTGAACCACTTGGGCGCGAGCGTCGTGATGTCATTGGCGAAGGATACGGCGTTCGCACTGATGTTGACGCTGATCTGCGCGAGGAGCCAGATGGCGGCGCAGATGAAGGCCGCGGCGCGGCCGCCGGGGGTGTTCTGCCACGTGGCCACGATCTCGAGCGGCGTCCAGTAGGGGACGCCCCAGATTTCCTGCGCGGCCGCAGCTGATATGACACCAAACAGAGCCAGGATTGTCTTGAAGAATGGAATGACCGGCAACTGCCAATACTGAGCGCGGCTGTCCTTGCTAAAGCGAGAAAAGCCGGAAATGTTCACGGCGAGGGTGCTGTATCCTCCGGTCACGCTGGTCTGAAGGGCATTAGAGTCTGCTGGTATCTCTTGATACAAAGGGAATGACGCCGGGTCGGGACCGCATACCAGGCTAGAAAGCCAAAGCCAAGCTCGTTCGGAACCATGAACCTGGGATGGCGCATGAAAGAAATCTTGGCTGCCGGCTTGGACGGCAACCCATATAACCGTTCCTATTGCTACAGGCAGAGTAGCAACTGTCTTTACCCAGAACACATATTGCAGTTTGTGCGTGGGAACCAGTAGCAGCGGAAATTGAATGAGCCAATATAGGAAATACGAGATCATCCCGGTCGTCGTCAAGCCTGCCGAAGCTGGCAAGTGATTCGGAACGTTTCGGAAACTGGGCCAAATAGAAGTAATCATCTAGAAATGCCGGATCAGTATCGCCGTAGGTTCAGTCTCATAAGCCACGGACACGGCAGGAACAAAAGACTTACAGCTGTAACGCATGTCGCGCCGTTTGCGGACTGCACCCCGAACCAAAACATGGCCAGGACGCCTCTGGAGACCACGGCAAAATAACTAAACCAGTAGCCGAAGCTGGCTCGCGAGGCAATAGGAAAAGCAATGTGGAGATTCGAACCGATCGCCCCGTTGAGAACTGTAGGGATGGCGTTGCAAAAGCTGGCCAGCAGGACGATGAGGATTGCATCTGTTGGAGTCAAGCCTAGGCGCAACGCTTGTTAGAGTTGAGCTCAAATAGGTGAGATTGCTGTAATAGGTACCGACCTGCTGCCACAATTGCCGAGCCCGTGGACCAGGTGCTGATCGTGACGAGATCAGAAAACCAATATGTGATGAAGGCACCCTTTCCCCATGTCCGTCTTTCAAGTGGTACCGGGTCCATGTCGGAATTCGTCCATACGCCAGGCGGTGCGATGCTGCTGGGTTGCTTGGGCAGCTGCCAACTCCGTGGCTGCGTGAGTCTGAGCATGGTTTTCCCTTTCATGGAGCGAGCTCGTGCTCGCAGACTGGTTTGATCGACCATTCCAAAGATCCGCTCCCAGAACGAGTTCAAGGTAAATGAGCTAGTCAAGACGGAGATGATGAGTTGCGATTCGGACGTGACAGTGCGAAATCACCAACAGGCGGGGTGAGTTTCTGAAAGCTAAAGCTTACACGGACACAAGGTCTACCACAATATAGATAGATTGCCTTCACCATGACTATCTGACCCATGCCTTCTTGAGTGTTCTGGGCGCATTGGCCCACGAGGAGGCGGATTTCCAACAGCCTGGTCTTATCTTGTCAGCGATGCATGCGGCAGTTGTGGAGTTTTGGGGTTTTGCATTAGTCCGGCTAACGGTATCGAAAGGAATCAAGAGATAAGGCACGTTCCCCGCATCAGCGCCGGATCTACTCCGTACACGTCGAGTGATCCCATGCTCGGCCGGGACTCTATCGTAGTACAAGGGGTCCTTGCTGGTGTAATTCGACCAAGCAAATCAGCGGCATGTATTACGCAGCGACGAGCTCCTAGTTAAATGTAATCAGCCCATTGGTGCTTATCGTGACACACGCTGTATCACTCCCTTTCCGACTGTCGGTTCTTGCACTTCGGACCAGTGCTATTCGCCTCTGCAAGATAAGCTGGCTAGACTGGTGACACCTTCTGATAGGGCTCCAAATCCCCCTTTTACTTATCTCCCAAGAACTAGGGTGTTCATACAAACTCACACCACCCCGGCCGAGGGTATCCGAGTACTCTCCGAACCTCGGTCAGATCTATGAACTTTGAAATGCTGGAGAAGGGCAGTTCTGTATGAAACACCATGGCATCGTCCCTGACGAGCCGTAGCAGACTAGCCTGCGAACCATGTACACGCCGAAAGGTCAAGTGCAGCAAAACGGTTCCTTGCACGAATTGTCTAAGGAGGTAAATGCTTACTCAGACTCTTACCCGCACCACAAATTGACCAAGATCCAGAGGAGAAGAACAGTCCTGCACTTCTGATGCAGTCGATAATCCGCGCCTTACTTCCCCAACATTGGCGAGACCGTCTACAACACGACCACGTCGCTCAACATCCTCTTCGAGCTCTAGGACTAGTATTGAAGAGATTGCTTATCTTCGTCGCAAAGTTTCTGAACTCGAAAACGAAGCACGAGTCAGTTCTTTGAGTAGTCTGAGGAATCATGGCAGTCCAAGCGGACATGCTAGGCCCGGCCCGCAAACTGCCTCATCCGAATTCGACACCATGCAAGACAATCCAAGGGCGAGCCAACCATTGCTGCCGCAAATTGCTTCAACTGAGACTGCCCCAGAGAGGGCTGAAGTTGACGACCGATCCATGAAAGATGCTGCTTCGATTCTTGAGTTCCTGGCTTGGGGTCGGAGGAAAGACCCCGAGTATCATCCAACTGTGTCACCTGAAGCAGCCATTTTTGCCCCGGGATCGGAGGGGCCCAGAATCCCTGAAGGCGAAAGAGACACAGTCCTTGATTTCAATGAATGTTCCCAGCTAGCCGTTGTCCAGCTTCTGCTACCGGACTCGCGGCAGGTGTGGGACTTGGTTCAGTACCATACCGAGAGCCTCTTGTGGTACCATAACTCGATTTTCGCATCGACATTCCGGACGCAGCTTGCTGCATTTTACTCGGAGCATAACGGCATAATCGAGAGCGAAGGAGTTGATCTCCAATGGGTTTCGCTTCTCTTCTCTGTCTTGACTGCAAGCTTGGTATGTGCGCCGTCACGACGAGCGCATGCCTGGGGCTTTCAGGACAGCGAGCGTGAAACCCTCTCTAGGCGCTGGTTAGAAGCAATGATCGTATGTTTGAATCGCGCGGATTATACGACAAACTTAAGCATCTTATCGTGTCAGGCCATCGCAACTGCTACGATATCAGCCCATCCTTTGGGTCACAGCAACTCCCAGAGCATACACCTCGCTGCGGCTGTCCGCATTGCACAATCTCTTGGCTTGCATAGACTAAAGTACGATGTTGCTGAAAGCAGTGTGGAAAAAGAAACAGGAAGGCGTGTTTGGTGCCAGCTTTGCAGCCAAGATTGGTTCGGCATCCCCTTCTCAGAGAGCTATCTCATCAGTCCGCTGTATTCGACCTCGGAGCCTCCTCAGAACTGCCACGATCATGACCTTTCGCCCCTACCAAAAGATGTTCCGACGATAACGAGCTACTGTCGTTTTCTTTTGGAGATTGCCGAAATCATGCCGAAACTACAAGATGGGCTTATGACCAACAATACGGCATACACACGCTATAAACAAGTACTAACGTGGGACGCTCGTCTACGCACACTTGCCAGAGTGGAGCGTCCAGCTTTTCTTACAAACACTCCTATCGAAGCGGACTGGCCTATATGGGTTCCTTGGGCCCGGCGAACTTTGGCCATCAGCTCCAGTCATAAGATCATCATGATTCACCGCTCGTTCTTGTCTGACAGCTTCACGAACCCGGCATTCTCGTTTACCAGGTTGACCTGCCTCGCGGCATCCAAAACCATAATCAAGGAATACAATTTTGTATCCCAGGAGGATGGACCTGTTCTTTGGGTACATCAAGCATTTGCGGTAGCCGCTTCCATAATCCTTTTGCTGGACGTACTGCATCGGGCACCAGGGGAGGCAGAGCACGTTGAACATCGTCAGCTGGCCGAGAGCGTCATCGGCATCCTGAAGTCATATGGCAACAGCACCATCGCCGCAAGGGGAATCAAATTGCTTCAAGCCCTGATCTTAGAAGTTTCTAATGCCACGAGCTTGAGGCCGATACCGTTGCAGAACAGAAAGCGCCCGAGGGAAGACAACGGTCCTTGCACGACAAGGGGGAAACACACAGGAAACTTTGATGTGCACAGCTTCGTCAAGAGATTTTGCGAAGCTAACACGAGCGACCAATATCGGGAGTCTGAGAACGACCGTGCAACGCCTAGACCCAGAGAGCCTCCTGTTGAAGCTGCTGTGTCGAACACGGTTCCAACTCGCCACGGAGAGACTCATAGTCATGGATCGGACATGTCGGATCCAGGCCGAGCTGACGTCGCATTCTCTTTTCCTTTCGGTGGCTTGGATAGTGGAAACAACTTTGAGAACCTCCTGTATCTAGCAAACTACGATTGCTTTCCTTGAAATGCGAGCGTGTATGCGCTTGTCTTCAATGCTGTTTACGTGCTATGTACGGCCATCGTCTATTTCCATATCCCAAATCAATCGATGTATCCGAATAGGAGAAGATTCAAGTTCAAAGTAAAGGTCTTTTTTGACAATATGCAAAATCCTTTTGGTAGCATTTAGTCTATGGAGAGCCCTCAATTCTCGCAAAAAGTTGTACCAAAGCTTCTCCGACACCTTCCGGGTCTTCCAATGCTTGCTGATGCCCACTCTTGACAGTCACCACCCAGCTTTCACCGCCCATCAACTTGCTGAGTTCATTGGATCGATCCGTTGGACTGATCATGTCTTTATCGCCGGGAATGAAGACTGTCGGGCATTCAATACTACTGTAGTCGGGATCCGTGTGGTACAAATCAACCAATGCTTCGCATACCTGAGCGTATGACTCAGTGTCGGAGGCAGCCACGGCTTTTCGTACACTCTCTCTTGCAGATGGACTTGCGGATCGTTCCGGAGTATCTGTATAGAAGTTCGACTCAGCGGCAGAATTAGCCGCAAAGTCTATGCCCAAATTCCTCGCGTTGCTTGCAAGTTGTAGCATGCGCTGCTTCACCGCAGGAATGTGGCCAGCAGCTCGTCCGGCCCCCAGGAGAGCAAGGCCGGCAACTGCATCAGAATGCTTGGCAGCGTAATGAAGAGCAACTATGGCGCCAAAAGAGTGCCCGATGAAAATGATCTTTTCAGAGTGTGAAGTGCCGGCGCTCTCTTTGATCGACGAGATGAGGCATTCTATGTCCAAAACTGTGCTGGTAACGGTGATCGGCTTTGCTGCTTTGTTCAGGACTGACTTGCCGAATCCTGGAAAATCAACGAGGACGATATTGAACGATTTTGGCAACGCCGGGAGTAAAGGAAGGAATGTTTCGGTTGATCCGCCAAGACCGTGAAGGCAAACTAGAAGGCCACCCGAGATTGAACCGGAATGAAGAAAATGTATCGTGTGCCCAGAAGGAGCTGTGAAATAAGAGGAGGTAGTCATTCTGGCTGTCTTGCTGAGTTGAGTGTACAAGCGTTATGGGCGAAAGTAGGTACTAGAGAAGGTTGTATCCGAGATAACAAGCTTTATGTACTGACAAGAAGTCTTGAAAGCATCAAAAGCGATTCGATCTGTATCCGTTCCAGGACCGCTCGGTTGGGGACAGTCGATGTCTACAGACGTGCCCCAGTCCTCGGCCGAGGTGGACCCTTTTACAATTCCGGGCCCGAACGTCGGTCGAATGGTAGACGCTCCCGAAGCAGCAGCCCATTTACTCACCATCACTTTATTGTGTCCATTAGAGGATATAATCCATTTAAAAAATAATGATACTAGGTGAAGCCTTAGATGTGATTGTCTACTGTCAGAAAACTGCTCTTGTCTTTCAGATCAGAGAAAGATTTTCGCTCTATCAAAACGTAATCTTAACTTTTGCCAATCAATTTTGACTATTACTATTGTTGGAACCTGAACAACCGCAAAACCGAGCATCAACCTTTTCAGCTCGGCAAAATGGTCATCGCTTCAGTTGTTGTCACAGAACAAGCCACGGACTTCCATCTTTCGGTGGGAAAAAGTCACTTCCAGCTTCCCCACGCCGAGAAAACGGCACGACGGGTGGTTCCGATCCAACACCCCGCAAGCAGCAGTGTCGATTTTGGCGCCGAAGTTTACGGAATCGACTTGAACTCTTTCACCGATGCCGACTATGAACTAATCTCCACTGCTCTGCATACGCACAAGTTACTCGTCTTCAAAGAACAGCCGCAGATGCTTACGCCGCAGCAGCAATACAGACTAACCTCGAGGTACGGTCGCTTCTCTACGTAAGAGTTTGATATCTGGTACTAATTTTGTCTAGCTTCGACCCTGATGAAACGACTGGTGGTTTTGCGCATGGAAAAGATCCCTTGTTGACAACCCACAACGGTGTTGACATTTACGGCATTCCCAAACGCCCGGCGATTCCCCAACAACCACAAGTACACATTCTCGGTCGCGGGCCGTTGCCTGACAACCATTATGGCTTTCCGCCTGGATTCGAGGTTCAGGGCATTGATCATGAGGAGTTCCATCTCCCACCACACATCCCGGCCGTGGATCGAGAGAAAGGTGCTTCCCGTTTCTATCAATGGCACTTCGATGGCGCCTTATACGCGATCCCCCCACCACGAGTAGGCTGCTTGCTGGCCGTTAAAACACCCAAGGGGCCCGATGTCACTGTGAGGTGGGATGATGGTAGCGGTACAGAGATGAAGATGACACCCGGTTCAACCGCTATGGTGGCCGGAAGCAGGGCTTTGGCTTTGCTTGATGAGGAAACCCGGAACATTGTTTTGAACAGCCGGATTGAATATGCACCTCATGCATTTACCTGGATGGCCGGAGCTCACAGCACGCGTCTAGGACACCTGCTGGAAACGGAAGGATTAGAGAAGCCCTTGGACCAGTTGCCTCGATGGGAAAGCTGCAAAATTTGCGTGTATCCCATGGTGTGGACCAACCCCAAAACCGGGGAGAAGTCGTTGCAAGTACATGGCCAAGGGGCTTTGAAGCTCTACTTGAAGACCGAGCCAAATGGTCCGGAGACAGTAGTGGATGATTTGAAGGAGGTCAGATCTTTCATGGACAAGTAAGTACATGGGTTACGGTTACAGGTCCGGCGACTAATAAAAACAAACAGGATAATGAAACCGGTACTGCAACCGGAAAACATTTACGCCCATCCCCACCAAGAACAGGACGTGATCCTGTGGTATAACCGAGCTTTGTGGCATAGCATTGTAAGTCAGTAGCAATGAGGAGTGCTAAACATTTGCTAACTGTTGAATAGACAGAGTTCCCCAAGGCCTATGGGCCTCGGGTGATGCACCAGTGCAATATTGCCGCCAGTGATCATCCTTCAGGGTAAAGCATTGAATCGGTCACGAAACGATCCCGTAATCCTCATCTTATTGCATTAGGCAAAGAATGTAGTTATGTATTTGAATTGTGTTTGGCATTTTTTGCAGTTGTTTGAAACCACCTCATCTCAATTCTTGGCCCATTGCACTTCTGCATTTGACCACTAAAATCCAGTTCATTACTTATTACGGCGATAAACTTAGACTTGCACTGTATAGTATCACGGTTCTGGTAGTTTTATTTCGAGAATCAATCCAACGAACTGATCCTCCTTTCAAGGTAAGAATTCAGATGCTAATGCCAGAGAGTCTCATGGAGGGCGAAAGCAAAACAAAGTATAGCTGATGATCAACTGGTCCGAATGAACAGCGGTCATTTCAGACTTCTCCGGGCCCCCTGCGTGAACGGATACTGGCTATCACTATAATTACTCAACCAGCTGTTCTTTCCATGCAATACAGCCTTATCCTAACCCACACATGTGAATGGGTGGCAAAAGATAAGACCACTGGCCATCGAGATAGGATCCCATGCTGCACGTTATCAAGTTCATAGACCCTGATTGAGTGTGGGCCATAAGGTGAAGCAGGCCACCCACCCTCAAGATAAGCTCGGCCGAGCTCGCGGGGTATTACTAGAGCCCCTGCTCATAATTAGTCGCCGACTGTCCGAACATCATCTTTCTCCCTTCAACGGATCGAAGTGACAGCAATCCATCACTGAATTCCATCGCTTCGAAATTAGCTGGTTGGATCTTTCCACTAGACCAGACACCAAACACTTGTTGTGTTCATTTCGCTGCTATGTCAGAGAAGACGAAGTACGTTGAGCGGGAAATTCCCGAGGTATGCTACGACTACTTGCCAACGGTCTGATTTCTGCAAAAAACATTTGCTGATATCCGTATTACTCAGATTTCCCTCCAAGATTTCGAATCTCGAGTCGATGAGATCACCTCTCAGTTTTGTAGCGCTGCCGAGAACATTGGATTCTTCGCCATCAAGGACCATGGGATTACTGAGGCGGAAGTAGACGAGATGTTTTCGTTGTCCGAGTCCTTTTTCCGACTCTCGGACGAAACCAAAGCGACCGTGCCATGGACTCCGCAGAATGTCGGCTGGGAAAAGATGTCACAGGTCAGACCGTCCACCGGCCAGCCCGACAATAAAGAGTCCTACCAACTCCAGTTCGGCGAACACATGGAAGGAAAGTGGATGGGCGATGAAAATCTACCCGGATTCAAGAGCCGGTCTTTGGCTTTCATGCACCGTGTGCAGGGCGTTTCTGAAAAGCTCATGCTCTGCTTGGCCCGCGGTCTTGGCTTTCAGGACGACTACTTCATCAAGTATCACGACGCTAGCCGCCCAGACTCCCAGTCTTGTCTCCGTCTCTTACACTACTACGAGACTCCCAAGGTCAGCGACGGCAAGATATATCATCGAGCGGGAGCGCACGCAGATTGGGGCTTTTTGACGCTCCTTTTTCAGCGGGGTGAGCAGTCCGGCTTGGAGATTTGCCCTGGTCGAGAGGTCGTGACTGAGCACGCTCTGGGAGATACATGGACGAGAGTGGAGTTCAAACCAGGTGTCATCGTGTGCAACATTGGCGATCTTCTGATGAGCTGGAGTGACGACCGGTTCAAGAGCACGTATCACCGGGTAAAGGCACCATGCGACGAAGCAGAGGATTATTACGGAGAGCGATTCAGCATGGCCTTCTTCAACCAGCCATGCAAAGATGCAATCATTCAGGGGCCGAAGCAAAAGTATCCCGTGGTAACGGGGGAGGAATTCAACAGAAACGCGATGAACCGGATGTACGCGGCTTTGCAAGCAAAGATGGCCGCAGGAGAAGAACCGAATGGCCAACAGATGAAGTTGGAGACGCCATTGACCAAGTCTCAATAATAGCAACTGTTTCAAATGTTCCTTCAATTCTGCCTTTCGTTGGTCCTTTTGTCATGCTTGATCAATGAAACCACTTCTTCGGCCCAGATCACAGGTGTTTTGCAAGAAACCTGATAGACTGACTGCCTTGGACGAAGCGTTTCAGTAACTTTGGTTACACCCTATAGTATAGTGTTATCGTTGGCGAATGAACTCCTGTCAACAACATGCATTTGCTCTAAGCTGACCAAGAACCACTCCGTACAATGCAGTTGAGGTCGACCACAGGTCTTCCAAGCTTGCAGATGGTCGTATTTGGCCACCTTTTTGTCGGTGGCGAGTCTTATCAGTACGGCAACCGGTGCTTCCGATGGTGCCGAGGGAAGCGAGCACATTGGCTGCAGGTATCGGCCGAGCACAAATGTACCCATTGCTGAGAACCAAGAACCTCGGCCGAGGCTACCGGCACGTAGCCATCCCATTCCAGTGAGGTCGTCATGCATTCGGCTCAGCGCAACGTGCGGAAGTCTGTGTGAGATATCGAAACTGTGATATCTGACCAGCTTGAAAAAGAAAAGCCGCGATGTAGCAGCAATTCCAGGGGTTGAAAATGTTCGACTCATCGGTAAAGGATACCAAGGGGAAAACCACTATGGTCTACTGAACAAGACCATCAAGAAGCCGCTCTCGCACGACTGGCATGACAAGGAACTCCCGGACGACCAGTTTGCCTCCGGCCATACCCGCTTCCAGCGGTGGCATATCGACGCGCCTCTGTATGGACGCGACCCAGCCTGGTTCACGACGTTGCGCTGCTTCAAACGTCCCACCTCGCCCGATGTCACGATTCATTGGGACGACGGAAGCGGGCATACCATGAAATCGGAGCCCGGACTGACTGCCTTTTTGAGCTGCACTCAGATGTACGACCTCATGACCGAGGAGGAAAAGCAAATAGCGGACCACTCGTGGATAGAGTATGCGCCTCATCCCTACATGTGGATGGGCAAATGCAGAGCCAATGCCAATGGTCTTGGCGTGGTCAGCCAAGGGAAGGAGTTGGCACTCGAGGAGCTGGGTGGCTATGAAGAGGCTTCCATCAAGAAGTACCCAATGGTCTGGGTAAACCCCGTCACAGGCGAGAAAGCTTTCATGGTGCATGGGATATGCGCTCGGAGGATGTTTATGCGATCGAACGCGGATGAAAAGCCCCAAGTCATTGATGACGTTGTTCGGATTCGGGAATGGCTCCGACCAATCCAGGAGAGGGTCCTCAAGCCCGACTACATCATGTTACCCAAGGTCGAGGAGGGAGACATCGTCATGTGGGCGAACTATCAGATGTTCCACACAGCCGTGGATTATCCCGATGACTTTGGACCGCGGACGATGCACCAAGCAAACATTGGGGCGAGTTCAGGGCCCGTGGGTCCAGTTCCTCTTCCGTTGGTTGTATGAGAAAGACGTGGTCGACTGGTGGTAAAGAAAAAGATATGAAAGATAATTACTGGGCCACGGTGGGAACAGTGCTACGTTGAGTCAGCTGGCGAGATATGAATCTCTCAGCATACCGATATCTCGCTGGATAGCAATATTCAATCACTTTGACAAGGGGTGCCTGTTGAAAATTATTAAAGTGCCAAAATTGCCGAGGGTTTACAGCCCCTCCCTAATTATATGTCATCTATCATAAATCTGTTTCATCAACTTTAGCCAGATCAGATTCGGCTCTGTTTACGCATTCAACTCAGTACAAGAATCTGCCGTATGCTATAGATCCGCAGTCACATGCTGAGTGAAGCGACACAATGACCTATTATGACGGCGATTGATTCGAGCGGGGAACTTAAAACCAAACACGGCCGGGGGGCACCGTCTAGGACCATTTTCTTTGGGAACATACTGATATCGTCGATGCATCATACTCTCCAATTCCTCGCAGAGGTATTAAAAAAACACTCTTGAAGGCAAAGGACGGCGCCGCCTCGGAGAAGAAAACGCCAGTGTCACCGGAAACCAATTAATACCGTTGCTGACGAGGCATATATTTCGCCGACTACTGTGAACTTTAAACTTTCAGTCCCATGTTGTAAACAACATGGGACTCTCTGCTCGGTAGATGGCCAATTCTAATGGAGCGAAATTTCCGGTGCCCGCTGATCACCTCCGTTGAGCCAAGCCCATAACTAGTGACCTGCAATAACTGGATCAAAATGAGACGATCTTCGAGCGCGCTACCGGCTAGTGACTTGTATTAGACAGTCCGGTCCACCAGCCCAAGCAAATGTAACGTCGGAGCAGCAGACCGGTTGGGCTTTCATGGGTATCGCCGGAGCGGGAGGGTAAACTCACCCGGTTGTGCGGGGTTGCTATGCACTCTGGGGTTCCCCTCGTACCAGGGTACTGATTCAAAGAGAACCCCGTAGGGTCGCACGGGATGTTCCCTCGTACGACGAGAAGGGCCTGTCGGCTCTTGCTTCTGACATGGAAACCTGTCATGGATGATGGGGGGGTCGACGGAAACTTTTCGCGGTGACTGAACAAGCTTTGTGGCGTTCCAAGCAAACATACAGCTTTGTGTTTTTCGCACATCACTCGAGATTGGCTTTAACTTGCCTGGCCGCCGTTCACCAACCGGTACAAGTAGATGGAAGTCGGGCATACGAAGTGCGTCAACTCGTGATCGAAACCGCTTCCGGGATGGACTCGACCTTGGACACGAAGGGCTCGCGCGCCCCAGACCGCAGTGACATCGAGTCAGCCGCGGTGAAAGAGGTGTGTGTTCGTCTCATGAGAGGACCAGGGGTTCAGACGCGATAGTAGGTCTAACAACACTTGCTCAGTATTTCTCGCCTGCCTCGCCGCCCCAGAGCGACGCCCCCAGCGACGACGAAGAGGAAAAGGCGCTCCTCTGGAAACAGGACAAACGAATCATCCCGCTGTCGGCGGGCATCTACTTCCTCTGCTTCCTCGACCGGTCCAATATCGGCAACGCAAAGATCCTTAACTCGTCCACGCGCCACGACATGCAGACGGAGACGCACATGTCGAACCGCGACTTCACCATCGCCCTCATGGTGTTCCTCATCGCCTACGCCGTCTTCGAGGTTCCGTCCAACATCCTTCTCAAGAAGCTCCGCCCCTCGCGCTGGCTCTCCTTTCTCATGTTCTCCTGGGGCACCGTCACCATCGGCCTCGGCGGCGCCACCAACGGCGCGGCCGTCACGGGCGTGCGGTTCCTGCTGGGCGTCTTCGAGGCCGGGCTGTTCCCCGGGCTGGTCTACTACCTCACCTTCTTCTACAAGCACAACGAGAGGAGCGTGCGGGTGGCCATGATTCTGGCGAGTGCGACGCTGGCGGGCGCCTTCGGCGGCGCCATTGCGTACGGCATCGGACACATGAACCAGGTGCACGGTATGTCCGGCTGGCGCTGGTTATTCATTCTAGAGGGCATCCCGTCTTGCCTGTCGGCCATCCTCGTGTGGGCTTACCTACCAGACTACCCCGAGACCGCAGGGTGGCTGTCGGAGAGGGAGAAGGACGTTGCGCGGCAGAGGCTGTACTACGAAGGCAGCAAGAGCAGCGACAAGAGCATGTCGTGGGAGGAGGCCAAGGTGACGTTGACGGACTGGAGGCTGTACGGACACTACGCCGTGTACTTTGCCATGTCGACGCCGTTCTCGTCTCTGTCGCTCTTCATACCGTCCATCACGGCCGGGCTGGGCTTTCACGACTTACAAGCGCAGCTCATGACTGTCCCCCCATATGCGGCAGCGTACGGTAAGCGCTGCACTCACTCCACCCCTCCTGTCCTCCGACAAGATGTTGACGGCCTCCCCAGTCGTGCAGATCCTCGTCGCGTGGTCCGCCGACCGCCTCAACGCGCGCGGCGCGCACTCGGCGGCGCTCGCCCTCATTGGCGGGATCGGCTTCCTTATCTCAGCCGTGCTGCCACCCGACGCATACCACGCGCGGTACGGGTGTCTGATCGTCGGGGCATCGGGGGCGTTCGCGTGCATCCCGCCGCTGCTAGGTTGGCTGAGCTCCAACGTGTTCAGCACGGGCGCGACGGGGCTCGCGATCGCGCTCAACGTCAGCTTCGGCGGCGGGCTCGGGCAGATACCGGGAGTCTGGACCTACAAGGCCGAGGAGAAGACGAAGGGGTACCCGACCGGCCACTGGGTGAACGCGGCGCTGCTTTTTGTGGTTGTCGTCGGGTGTGCCTGGTTGAGGATATACTACGGGGTGAAGAACCGTCAGATCTTGAGGCGGGCGGCGGAGGACGGGACGCACCCGAGGCTGTACAAGTTGTGAGATGTCGGCGTTGTCCCTGCGACGGACGTTCCAGTACATTCTCGTGTGTGGTCAAAGGGGCCACGGAGTTCCAAGAGCGTACGCATATCTGTTGTCAAGCGATCTTTTGACTGGTGATCACACCCACATATTGCTTGGGGAAAGCTATTTGGCCGTTCTGTAAGGTGTGAGAGTGGTTGAAGTGCAGCACATCGAGGCGTATTGATTTCGTAGTGTCTCTCGACCATCATCCCCGCAACCAAGCGGTTCCAGCATGTAAGGGCGTTGTGGCAGAGTGGTCTAATGCGCAAGACTAGAAATCTTGTTCCTTCGGGAGCGTCTGTTCGAATCAGGCCAACGTCGATCGTCCACCTTTTTGCGTTGGCCGCGCATATAACTAACCATCTGGAGGGGGGCATATGTGCCGGCGACAAGCCACAACGGCAACTGTGCAACCTCTAACAGCGTAGTCTCGTAAGCACACAGCTTTTTTCGGAAGGGAAGTGCTCCGTGACGGGATTGGGGTCTTCAAATCAGACGAGCTGCCAAGCCTATTATGTTTCTCGGCTCTAGGGGTCTCATTCCCATCTGAGATGGATCAAATGCAGGGATGACAGTCAACCACGAGACGCCCCATGTCTAGTGTAGCTAGTGTAGTCTCATGTAGTAGGTCTGCTAAGCCGTGGCGTCGGGGCTGAAGTTAGGTAAATGGAAGTTGAGTTCGTCAGCCCATGCTGTTTTCCTGATCTCGACACCGTCGCCTAAACCCCGTGGCGTCCCGTTCACATTCCGTCTTGTTTTTCCCCTTAGGAGCTTTTAGTGTGCCATCCCATTGATGGGAAAAATGAGGGGCCAACATTACTGGTTGGTTGTGACCCCCAGTTGAGAACTTGAGATTCATCAACCAACGCACCAGCAAGGCTTAAAGTTCAAGGGAGGCGAAAAGTGTAGGCCCAAAAAAAGCCATACTTGCTCGCAACAGCTAGAAAGGCCCCGTGGGAGAGCGGGAAAACACATCCTCGGACGGCGCCAGACAGACGACACCATGCCCGCCTTCAAGGTCCTCGGCGGCGCCTGTTTGAGCCGGCGCGTCCGCTTCCTTGCCGTCGCCCTCTTCTTCGTCGTCTCCATGATATTTCTTAGGAACTCGCGACTCGGCAGCGTCGGCGGGTACCTCAACCCCGCCCAGGCATCACGGCCGCCACAAACCCCGGAAAGCGGGCATACCGCCGCCGGTGGCGATGCCGGCAAGCAGACGCATCAACAGGACAAGGACCAGAATCCGCCCGCCGCCCACGGCGAGCCCGACACCGCGGCCGACCAGTTGAAGGCCGACGCAGAGGGCGAGGACTCGTACCGCGATGAGGACGAGGAGCTCGCCAAGCCCGGTAACCCGGCGCACATGACGCCGCCTGTAGACTGCGTGCCATTCGAGGAGTGGATGCGGAAGCGGCCCGGGCCGGCGTCCGAGGGCAGGCGTAAGTTCCCCTCCGTCCGGCCGCCGCCGGAATGTCGCACATTCCGCCTGCCCGCCATGGATAACCTCATCACGCGGATGAAGGAGGTCATCAAGGACCCGGACATGTACCGGCTGTTCGAGAATGCGTATCCCATGACGCTCGACAGCATGGTCAAATGGCGCGGCTTCGCGAACAAGACGGACGAGGAGACGGGCGAGACGAGGGTCACCGACCAGGAGCTCACCTATGTCATCACGGGCGACATCGACGCCCTGTGGCTGAGGGACAGCGCCGAGCAGATCAGCCCCTACCTACCCCTCCTCGAGGCGTCCCAGGACAAGGACTCACTCGCGAGCCTCTGGCGCGGCCTCATCAACGCGCACTCGCGCTACATCATCATCTCGCCGTACTGCCACAGCTTCCAGCCGCCGCCGGAGAGCGGCATCCCGCCGACCCAAAACGGCGCCTACGTGAACAACAAACCGATTCCGCCCTACGACCCGCAGCTGGTGTTCGACTGCAAGTGGGAACTGGACTCGCTCGCGTCGTTCCTCAAGATGTCCGTGTCGTACGCCGAGAAGACGGGCGACTGGCAGTTCTTTTCCAAGTACAGCTGGGTCGAGGCCGTCGAGGCCGCCGTCGACGCCGCGGGAGCCATGCGGCTGGGCACCTACTCGGCCGAGGGCAAGGTCCAGGACTCGGCCTGGAAGTTCACCGGGTGGACGAACCGCGGCAGCGAGACGCTCACCAACGACGGCCTCGGCAACCCGAGCAAGGAGAACGGCATGATCCGCACGGCCTTCCGGCCCTCGGACGACGCGTGCATCTACCAGTTCCTCGTGCCGGCCAACATGATGTGGGCCAAGTACCTCGAGTCGGCGTCCGAGATCATGGCCCGGCTCGACGGCGACAAGGCGCGCGAGCTGACGGGCAAGATGCGCGCGCAGGCGCTCGGGATCCGGCGGGGCATCGATAAGGACGCCATCGTGCACAAGCCCGGGTTCGGCGACATCTTCGCCTACGAGGTGGACGGGTACGGCAGCGCGAACCTGATGGACGACGCCAACGTGCCCTCGCTGCTCGCCATGCCGCTGTGGAACTTCACCCGGTCGAGCTTCCAGCTGCCCGACCCGCCCGCGGGCGCCGAGCCGCGCGACTACGCCGAGGTGTACCGCAACACGCGCAAGTACGTCCTCAGCGACGCCAACTCGTACTACATGAAGGGCCCCGTCATCTCGGCGGTCGGCGGGCCGCACGTCGGCCCCGGCAAGGCGTGGCCGATGGCGGCGGTGATCGCGGCCATCACGGCGTACGACCCGATCTCCGGCGTCGAGGACGTCGAGAAGGAAGTCGCCGAACAGCTGCGGATGATTCTGGACTCGACGGCGGGCACGGGGGTGCTGCACGAGAGCGTCAACAGCTGGAACCCGAACGACTGGACGCGAGCCTGGTTCGGCTGGGCCAACGGCCTGTTCGGCGAGCTGATTTTGCGGATCGAGGATGAGGAGAAGAAGAAGGGGCAGGGCGGCACTGGCGGGCTTTTGGGAAGAGCTGGCAGGATCCGCCTACGTCGAGCTAAGTGAGACCGGCACCAGTGAGTCTTAGTAGCAGACATATAGTTGTCATATCGATGTTGTTGTTTATTAGATGGATTATCGCATGAGATGAGTTTGCTATAGGATATGTATATGGCCAGTCAAGAGCGCAATACGTCGTACAAGGCCTCAGCTTTAGGTATTGTAAAATTGATGATATTACTTTATAAAACTTCGTATAAGAGTCGTTTTGATAACGGCCGAGAAAGTGTGGCATTAGGGGGATGTTAGACGGAAAAAAGCAAAAAAGTCGACGTTGGCCTGATTCGAACAGACGCTCCCGAAGGAACAAGATTTCTAGTCTTGCGCATTAGACCACTCTGCCACAACGCCAGCTGTTCACTGTCGAGATATTATATCATTATGTACTTAATCTATCACCACTTCGTACGACTTCTCTCTTGCTTACCCTGATACTTGTCGCAATCATCTCAACTTTTTACATGTTCTCATCTGTCCTAATACTTTGAATTCCCTTTAACTCTGTAAGTGATTGGCACAGTACTTATCAATCTAGTAACCTCTTAAGATGCCCAACTCAGTAACAAATTGAAGGCGATTGAACGGCTTGAGTCGCCTGGTATAAGTCTCTTACACGAGATTCCTCCTTCATATCGTTCAATACCACCTGCATCACTTCATGTCTCTTGTTCCATTTACATCCACCTATTCATATCTCCACCTAGCTGACCAAACCCACCCATCCCACCCATCGCAACAGACGACCAGTTTTGTTCACCCGGGCTCACATCCTCCCAAAGCTGCTCATCTCCCGGCATACGGTCATGATACCCCAGCAGGTCCCAGACCATATTCGCATCCCAGTCCGGCATCTGCAACGACGCGAGAAAGTCCTCCTGCATCTCCCCTTGGCCGACGACCCCTTCATGGTTCCCTCCTCCCCTGCGATCCTTCAGCTCTCCCACCTCCGCCTGCGCCGCCACCATCTTGGACCACCTCGCCTGTCTGAGCTGCGCGATCTTCACCTTGGTCGCCCCGAGGCTCCAGATGTTATCCCGCCACTCGCCGTCGTCGACCGACATCTCCCGGTACGCGGCGTCGACGGCCTGCAGCTGCGCGACGACCCGGTCGAGATAGCCGTTGACGTCGAGCATCAGGCCCGGCTGCGTCGCGAGCTGCGCCTTCAGCGCCGCCAGCGCGCGCGGGAGGTCGTCGTCCGGCAGCGTCGTCTGCCACGGCGAGGACCCCTTCGGCGCGGCCGACGGGCTTGCCGGGCTCGTGCGCGCGTTGGGGTTGATGGCCGCCTCCATCGCCGCGAGGGCGATGTTGGAGTGGTTCCGGAACGGGTCGACGGGCTCCGCCTGCAGGAGGGTCGAGGGGACGTTCTCTCTGGACGCCAGCCAGGCCCAGCGGCTCAGCATCATGACGCCGTAGACCATGTGCGACACCATCGGGAGCGCCATGCCGCAGAACGATTCAGCAGGCACGGAAAGCCAGGTGTCGAACCACGCCTTCAGAGCGGCGTTGGATTGATAGAATGCATCCAGAGCGTTTGTGGAGCCGGAGCCGGCGGATCCCAGGGACTTTGACAGTGAGGCAAGCAGCTCAGCGTCGATGTTGGGTGGTTCGTGGATGCGAAGGCGCGCAGTGGCTGTCCGTATCTTGAGGTGAACTGTGACACGGTTAGTCCATCGGGTCTGAATGTTCAGAAGTCAGACTTTCCATTGTTACGCAAGCCCGGGGGCATCTCAGCTTGGAGCTTGTTGAGCTCTGCACTGAATCCCATCATGTGAGCCGAGAAGGGAGCCCGGACGACCATGTCAGCTTCCTCGTCGTCGTAGTCTCTCGACCTCAAATCTGCCACCCTCTCGCATAGACGTTGGATTCTGACAATGCAGATGAGCTGCATGTCCGAGTCGTATTCCTGGGTTTCTTGGAGTTCCCTGGTGCACTGCTGCATGTATCTCGAGTACCTCAGCGGGTCAAACGCGTGGATGTCCAGGGCAATACTGCAGCTATTAAGTGCCATTCGAACACTATCTGATGAGGGGCGTCTACTCACGAAGAGCTGAGATACCACACAGCTAGCAACACGCGCCTTTCCTCGTTCGTTCGCTCTCTCATCTCCCAGGGCCGCAGGACCAATAGTCTAGTTCGCTCAGGCAAACAGGGGCTGTTCTTCAGACCCAACTCGCCCACGAGACACGCGGCCAGCGAGATAAGCTGGTGGAGCTGTGCGTGGGCGACACAGTGGTGGTGGAACCAGGCCACAACGACTACCAGACCGAGCAGAAGGTCGAAAGACCGCTCAGCACGTAGGACCATGTAGTCGGCAATGTAGTTCAGCAGACGGTACATCTGGCCGCGCATAGATCTCATGCTCCGGAACGACGACACCATCCGGATGGCAGCCATGAGGAAGGGCCTCGTCGCGCCGAGTGTGGCGGCAGACACGCCCTCGGGTACCAGTACGAACGGGAACTGCGGCGCCATGACCGTACGGTAGACCTTTAACAGGTTCTCGTCCGTATCGGGCGGCGGTGGCGCTTCGCCCGGCTCGGGTCTGCAGATGCATGTTGGCGGCACAAAGGCGTTGTAAGACACGGGGATCTTGACGGGACACACGTCGGCAAGCTCGATTGCCCTGCGTGAAGAAACGTCGTTTTGCGCATGAAGGTCTGGGCCTGGATGATTAGGAGGCAGTGCCGAGTAGGTGTTATTGGGGACCAGAGGCGTTGGTTCTGTACAGGTATTTATCTGAGCGGTCTCAGCGTGAGACGCCAGGGCGGAGGTGCCGTCTGATACCCGAAGTAAGTTGACGAGACGGTCCAGCCGCTCTTCCAGCTGGCTGGTCTTCCTGCGGAAGCGGAAGTTAGGGATACGCGAATGCCGGCTTTGGGACACACTGAGTCGGGCCACGCTCCATGGGCTATGCCGCATCTCGGGGACGATCCATGGGCCTTGAATCGCCGCAAGCAAAAGAGATGATCTACTTACGAAGGCCGGCTTTGTCTCTTCTGCCTGTTTGTGTATCTGGCTCATGCACTTCTTGGAAAGGCGCTCGCACCTAACGACAAACACAGGATTTCGAGTTAGATAATCTCTCTAAACTGTAAGATATATCGTAGAAGCCGACGTGCCATCTCCTATCCATTGGTCAAGGCGGCCTCAGCAGTTGACAGATGGGAATGCAGCCGGCGATAATGTCCGCAAGTCCAATCTGGATTGCAGGGTCCGGAGACCTCATTGGATCTCCGTCCCTTGGCAGCCGGGGACAGCAGGACAGGGAGCGGACGTCGACGACGCACTGAGATATGGCTTCGACGTACCTATCACACTTGGACCCCTGTGTCTCATTCGTGCGGAGGCATTTGGTCTTCGCCGCGGCACACTGGGCACAAGCGGCGCCCCAAGTCGCAGTGGATACGGCCCGCCGCCGTTCCGGCTGGGGGCTGCTTGACGATAGGGACGGCGACGCCGACGACGAGGCGGTGGAAGCCATATTCCGTACGGGGTGTCATGCAAAGCGGCCCCTCGGGGAGGAAGATGTGTCTGCGCCTTCGGGTATTGCGGAGTTTTCCGTTATGGCGCAAGGCGGACCAGAGGCGGTGATTCGGAGATTCAACAAAGAAGAGGCGGCCCCGGGGTCGCCGGGAAGATAAATGATGAGAGGTCGAGTTCTTCTCGAGGGACATCAAGCTGGCCCTCCTATCTCCCGCTCGCCATACCTTCGAGCCGATGTCAGTGGCCGTTGAGCTTTTCAACGCCTTTGCAAAAGTCCCTTGACAAAGTGTATGGCAGGGTTGTGCAGAGCGGGGGAGAGGTCACCCTAATCCTGTCAGCCCAACCCGCATGCAATCAGCCTACATGGAGCCGGCCCATGGCTAATCAGCCTTATGTAAACCACACCCGCAGAAGGTGCTGCAGGAGACGGGCTTTTTTTCGGGATTGTCTGTCCGAAGCCTTATCGTATGCTTCCTGCTATACACCCAGAACGGGTGTCAATGGTGGGATCTTGCCTGGCACGACGCATAATATGATGCGTTGAGAGGCCCAGACTTCAGTCGATGAAGATCCGGACCGATTGATATAGCTGGCGAGCGGCGACGCCCAGCATGAATGGCCATTGGGAAACAGACTTTAGCGAGGTTCTTCAGATACATACGTGGCTCGCCGTGTTATTTCCGTTTCACTCGGTTATGTCCATCTCTTGGTCAAGCGCCGGGACAGTATCACGCGCACGCCTTTACTACCCGTGGCCGAGCATATACGTAAATACCAGTCGGCGCATGCAAAGAGCGCCCATCTGAATGCAGTTAGCATCCTCGCTACCCTAGCTTTGGCCTCTGGCTACACTACTCCCTTATCGGATGTCCGTAACATCTACTTGGCTATAAGAGCGATGAGTGGCTTTGTCGGATTCTCTGATATTTCGGAACATTTAGTTCTAAATTCATAACCACCCTCAAATTGATATTATCATTGGCGCTGGCATCCGTAATAGAACTGGTACAGCCTGGCTCTACTAGCACGAACTAGACAAGGTGGCAACGCGATCATGATTGGGAGCGAACACCCGGCGGATAAAGCCTGGTCCTGGACAGAAGTCGCCGCCGCAAAACGAGCGGCTCGAGATGCGCAACTTGGAAAATACGAACTGACGGACGGGGTCTCGTCCTCGGCCACACTGGGCGCTGACGAGGTTGACATCGAAACCTTGATGGACCTCCTAAGATCGGGACAAGTCTCGGCCGAGGAACTGATTCGTGCCTACATTGAACGGTGAGCACGCGACTTCAAAGCGCACGCACAATGTCCATGAGCTGATCCGCCGGACAGGGCCTGTAAGGCGCAGAGCAAGGTAACGAATGAAGTCACAACCATGATCAGTGTCAACATGCACGTCTAACGGGTCGGGGGACAGACGAATTGCCTGACAGAAACGTGCTTCGACGACGCCATCGAGCGAGCTCGCGAGCTTGACGGATTCCGGCAGACGCATGGCCGCATGATAGGTCCTCTACACGGCGTGCCCATATCGGTCAAGGACCAGGTCAACGTCAAAGGACTAGCCTCGACGTTGGGCTACGTCAGCAACGCCTTTACTCCTGCAAAGGAAGACGCACCGCTGGTGCATACCCTGAAGCAGCTCGGAGCAATTATAATCACCAAAACAAATGTTCCACAGAGTATCATGGTGAAGCCCCTCCTCCCCTCCATTGCAGAGTCGTCACCACGTACTAACTAACGTCTGGTGGTGCGAAACCAATAATCCGCTCTGGGGCTTGACCACGCACCCGGCCAACTCGAAACTCACCCCTGGGGGCTCCTCGGGCGGAGAGGCAGCCTTGCTTTCTCTCGGCGGCTCTTTGATCGGTTGGGGAACAGACATTGGAGGCTCGATTCGCATACCAAGCCACATGAATGGGCTGTGGGGGTTGAAACCTAGTGTAAGTCGGGGCACATGGCGGCCGCGTCTGCCACGATGACTCGCTGACAGGCCCAATCCATCGTAGAGCAGGCGATTGTCGTACCGGGGCGTGATGAACTCCATGGAAGGCCAGCAGTACGTGCCGTCGGCCATCGGCCCCATGGCAAGGTCCTTGAGCTCCCTCACCGCGGTGACCAAGCTGGTGATCGAAGCCGCGCCCTCGACGACAGACCCCCAGATCCCGCCACTGCCGTGGAGAGACGACGCCTTCCAAGAGGCGTCCTCGAGGTCGCTCGTCGTCGGTACGATGCTGGACGACGGCGTGGTCAAGGTACATCCGCCTATCGAACGGGTATTCCGTGCGCTTGCCACAAAACTGCAAGCTGCCGGCCATGAACTTGTGGAGTGGGACACGAGCTTGAACGAGGAATGCATTAAAATCCTGGTGAGAACCGGTTCACTCGCACACTCTTATCCAGAAAAACTAACCTCACGGGCTCAGCACGAATGCTATTCGGCCGATGGGGGCGAGGACATCCGACACGCCGTCGCCGAGGGCGTCGAGCCACTCATGTCGGGAGTCCAAGAGTTCGTCGACTTGGGCCCCGCGATCACGGTCTACCAATACTGGCAGCTGAACAAGAGGAAGGTCGCCATGCAGCAGTCCTATCACGACATGTGGAACGGCGCCAGGTCGCCGTCCGGACGGCCGGTTGACGTGCTGCTGGTTCCCACCATGCCGCACACGGCTGTGCCCCACGGGTCGTGCCGCTGGCTCGGGTACACGAAGCTGTTCAACCTTCTCGACTACACAGCCTTGACTTTCCCGGCCGGCAGGGCCAGCCGGAAGCTTGACGGGGACACCCCTCCACACCACACCCCACGCAACGCTGATGACGCTTGGAACTGGGGCCTCTATGATCCTGTGGCAATGGACGGCCTGCCTGTCGGGTTGCAGCTTGTCGGGCGCCGGTTCGAGGAGGAGAAGGTATTAGGGGCGGCTCAACAGATCCAACGGCTGCTGTAAGCCCATCTGTGGATGAAACACCACTTCATGCGAGGCACCATCCTCATGTCTTGGTATTTCGGTTTATTGCCCACGTAATTAGCACGTAGTTGGAACATTCCACAAGCATCTCTAGTGGCTCAGTTCAAAGTCCATCTCTAGCAAAGTGGTACCACAACACTCTCAGTGCTGTTTCCTAGTCCACCCCTTCTCCTCATCCTTGGTCTTCTCCTTGCGCCCCGTCAGCGCCGCGAGCCTCTTCCGCACGCCGTTCCTCTCGGCGGCAGCGGCCGCCGTGCTCCCCGCGGGCTGCTGCGAGAGGCTCGACCGCCCCTGCCGGCTCAGCTGCGTCGACGCGCCGACCGACGACGACGGCGGTGACGACCTGTCGTGGCGCCGCCGGGCCGACAGCTTCTCCAGCCCACAGACGGCGAAGAAGTCCGTCCCCCGGCGCCACAGCTGCGCCGCCTTCCCCTGCGTGACGAACTCGTAGATCTGCAGCGAGAGCGCGATGAGCAGCACGGTCGCCACCAGGCTGAGGACTGTGAAGCTTCGCGTCAGTCTTCTGCTCTGGGGGGTGTTGGACTGCGGTGAACAAAGAAAAGAAAAAAGGGAAGGAGGGGGCCTACAGCATGCGAGGAGGAGGATCCCGCCGGTGGTTGGCTGTGCCAGTCCGACGACTTCGATTTGGAAGATGCCTAGAGGCGCTTGTCAGCATCTGATGTTTTGTATGTTTCTGTTTCTCTACGAATATCCTCCACAACTCACCAGTAGCCCAGGACAATGGCGCCTGTGGACGTCACCGTTAGAGGGAGTCGGTCGTGCAGATACGAGAGGGAGAGGGCACTCACAAAGACGACAGTCGCCCCCGTAAAGATGAAGAGGATCTTGGACTGCTCGCTCGCAGAAAGCGCCTCTTCGATGTTGGCCTCTCTCTGTCTTAGGTCTAGCAACGTAGTGATCTGACAGAAGCCGCTTATTATCAGCCAAAGAAAACATCTCGCCACATGAAAAGCTCCCTCGGCGTCACGGGTTGGAAACCATCAGAGTATGCAAGAGACGGGATTATCACGGGGCTCAAGAGAAGTTGAGAAGAAAAACTCACCGAGTCCCGCACCCGGTTCGCGTCCTCCTCCAACCTCTTGAAGAAGTCGAGCGTCGGGTGCTTGTACGCCTTGGCGGGCGCGTCGGGCGGCGTCTCGGCCTCGCGGAACTCGTCGAGCACGCGCTCCTGCGACCGCAGCACCCGCTTGATCATGTTGATCTCCTCGCGCACGTCGTCAATCTCCTGCAGGAGCTCGATCTCGGCGCGCAGGTCATCGAGCACCGTCTTGGTCGTGCCCATCTTGCTGATGGTGGCCTTGAAGTCGGCGTAGCGCTTCATCGCCTCGTTGGACTTTTGTTTCGCATGCGTCAGTCCTTGTTTCCTCACTAACACATCCTGCCCGTGCCTGGAAATCTCCCGGAAGCGGTGGAAGGGAGGAAAGGGGAGGCGGACGACGACGACTCACAATGTTGGCAATGGACGCCGCGAACACGCTGCAGTAGCTCCGGGGCCCCTCGAACTGGAAATGGAACTCCTCCTCGCTGTACCCGGCCGCGCTCTCGACGATGCTCTCGACGATGCGCATCATGTCCGCGTCGCCCGACCGGATGCCCCGCATCCCCAGCACCCGGTGCTTGATGCCGTTCAGCAGCGTCTTGGCGTTCTTGTCGTCCCACCGGTCCGGGAACGCGCTGATGACCGTGTCTGTGCAGTCGTCAACGTCAGCCCCTTTTCTCTCCAAAGTCCGTTGTTGTCCCGATCCCCCCGGCCCCTTTCCCGAGAACCCTCCTGGGTCGACCGTTGATGGTGACATATGACCATGTGCTGCGTTTGAGAAGGGGAGCGGAGGGGAACTCACTCTCGTCAATCTTCCACACCCAGAGCTGCGCAACGACCAGGATCTGCTTCCTTCTCTCCCGGTCCATCCGCCTCTTCTCCCGCGAGATCTTGGCCTGCACGCTGCTCGCCTGGTCCTGCCGCCCCGCCATCCGGCCCAGCTCCGCCTTGGTCCCGTCCGTCTTCTTCTGCTTCGAGCTGCTCTGCCGGGACAGCGTCCGCTGTATGTGCCTGAGAAACGGGTCCGCTTGCTGCTGCTGCTGTGTCGTAGTCGTCTCCGTCAGGCCCGCCTGTCGACCTCCCGCCACCGACTCCGTCGCGGTCGTTCCGTCCGCTTCGGGTCTAGCAACAGCAGCAGCTGCTGCTGCGGCGATGCGGGCCTCCACCCTGCCGAGGTATCGGATCAGCACCTGGGTATCGTTGCGCAGCGCCAGGTCCGCGGCGTCCAGCGACTCGTGATACGACTGGTCCAGCGACCGGGGCACGTGGAGCTCCGACTTTGTGAAGCTGGCGCGCAGCTTGGCCATGGCGTCAAAGTGCGCCAGGTGCGGGAACAGGTAGTGCTGGAGGTTCGTCGGCATCGCGCTGAGCGGGTGCCGCCTCTGCGCCGGCGCCGGCGCCGCCGGCCCGCCTCTCCTGTCGTTTCCTGAGCCGTCCCTCTGGGCCCCGGCCATCTCGAGCGGCGGGAGCAGCCTGGTCTCGTCCCCGATCTGCACGTCCTGCAGGCTCCGCTTGGTGCCCTCGTCGATATCGACGTCTATGACGGGCAGCACGATGGAGAACATCTGCGACTTGGCCGGCGCCGGCGACGAGGCCGCCGGGACGCTGGGCCCTCCTCCTCCTTCTCCGGTCGTCGCCCCCAGTCCGCGACCAGCAGCAGCCGCCGCCGCCTCCATCTTGAAATGCGGCTTCCGGTACGGCGCGTTGATGCGGATCTCGAGAAACGTCTCCTCAATGAAGGCGACAATCCGGTCGCGCTCGGCCTCGGTCCGGCGGTCCATCGCGCAGATGCGCTGCACCAGGTCCGTCACCCACGCAACGTTATTCGCCGGCAGGTGAAACCACCGCTTGACCGGCTTCTCGTCGGCCCGGGCGCCCGCTCCTCCTCCCCTCCCCCGCGACGTGTAGGAGCTTTTGCGCCGCTGCTGGTTGACGTGCCTCCGCATCTGCCAGCTATAAGAGTGCGGTTATTTCTTATGGTTACCGTCTGGGACTCGCATACTAATAGAGCCGGGTGAGCCAGTGCATAGTACTTCTGAGTGGGTCAATCGCGCGGAGTAATATAAAAGCTCGCCGCGGCTATTATGTCATCGTGTGGAAGGTTTGAATCCTTTAAGGATCTGGCTTCTCAGGCTGGGGTCGTGACAGAAAGCTTTTCAAGTTTGAATCTTGCCGGATCGGCGCTCTGGACGAGTGGATGGGTGAGAGATTACAGCTGATTGTCTGTTCAGTCACCGAGTGGGTCTATGGTCGAGTAGAGGCCTGAGGGAAGAGTCCCTATTTGTTGGTGAGTAATGGCTTGGTACCACAACTTTAATCATACTCGCGGTATCCCTTATAACCGGTTTAAGTGTGTTCCGCTCCCATGAGGCGGTGGGCAGGAGTACATCAACACGACAGTTCTTACCTGTTGAATATTTATGGATGCCAAAAACCAGCATTGTTATATTACTGTGGCAATTGGTGTATGCTTCTGCAACTCCAACGCCAGATTTTTAGTGAAATGGTAGTTATCGTCGAAGCATGATCCGGACCTGTAACTCCTTTGCTTTGGTTAGATCCTGATCTCCGTCTCCGGGTCGTACAGCATGTCCCAGACGCTCAGGCTCGCGAAGCTGCACTCGCTCGTCGGGCACCAGAACAGGCCCTGGAAGTGGCGGCAGGCGTCGATCTCGGCTTCCTGGTTCGGCCTCGACGGCGGGCGGGCGCGCCTCGGGCGCGGGTCCCACGCGGCGGCGACGCCCGGCTTGGGCACGACGTGGGGCGGCGCGTCGAACAGGTCGGCGATGGAGCGGCGGTTCAGCAGCTTGGCCAGGCTCTGGGGCGTCTCGCCCGTCGACGAGATGACGGTCGGGTCGGCGCCGGCCTCGAGCAGGTCACGCACGAGGGCCTTGCTCTCGTTCTTGACGGCGTGGTGCAGCGGCGTGCAGTCCTCCGTGTCGCGGAGGTTGACGTCGGCGTCGGCGGCCAGCAGCGAGGCCACGACGGCGGCGTGCTCGAACATGACGGCGGCGTGCAGCGGCGTCTGGTCGTCCATGTCCTGCGGGTCGACGTCGGCGCCCGCGGCGATGAGCACGCGCGCGACGCCGTCGTGGCCCTCGGACGCCGCCTGGTGCAGCGGCGTGCAGTACTCGGCGCTCGCGGCGTCGACGTCGGCCCCGCGCTCGACCAGCGCCCGTACGATGGCCTCGCGCCCATGCCGCGCCGCCACGCTCAGCGGCGTGAAGTCGTTTGCGTTCTGCGCCTCGATGGACACGAGCCCCGTCTCGAGGAGCATCGTCACGACGCCCTCGTGCCCTCCCCGCGCCGCGTCGTGGAGCGGCGTGTCCCCAACGCCGTCCTTGGTGGCCGGGTTCGCGCCGGCGTCGAGCAGCACCCGGATGGCGGCCTCGCAGCCCCTCCGGCTGGCAATGTGCAGGCTCGTTGCCAGGTCCTGGTTCGGCGCGTCGACGACGGCGCCGTTCTCGATTAGCACGCCCACGATGCCCGCGTGGCCGCTGCGGCTCGCCTCGTGCAGCGGAGTCTCGCGGAAGCTTTCCTCGGCCCTCACGTTGGCGCCTTGGGCGAGCAGGGTCCTGACGACATCCTCATGGCCGTTGCGCGCGGCGAGGTGGAGTGGCGTGCACTTGTCGGCGTCCTGGACGTCGACGTCGCACTCCGGATTCGTCTCGAGGATGGCGAGGACGATGTTGTTACGGCCGAGACGGGCGGCGTGGTGCAGGGCTGTGCGCTGGTCCTCGTCGCGCGAGCGGAGGACGGAGGGGAGGGAGGTGATGAGCTGGCGGACGTGGGCTTCTGCCGTCTCGGGGTCGGGCATGCCCGTCGCGATGACCTCGATGAGCTGGCCGTATGCTAATTACTTGTTAATCGCGTCTGACCATGTATGAGACTGTGAAAATGAGACCTTGCCTTCTCTCATGGGAGAGTCCATGGTGTTGATCCAGAACAAAGGTGGATCCGAAACAGCGAGTAGAAACAATACAACAATGGTACCATAGGTAGGAAAAGAAGACAAAAGAGGAAACAAAATGATCAAGAGAGCCAAGCCAAGCCCTCTTGAACAATAAGACCGGGGGCCTGAAGTGGCGCACTTCTAGATGAGATGCACCGATGGGAAAGTGATTGATCTTCTTCCCCGGTGACGAACCATCGGGAACGGCTGACACTTAACACGAGCAAGAAAACAACCGGCCTCATTCGGTACACGACTGCCGGCACCTAAGCCATCCATCGCCATATGCTCAAGGCACGGCATGTCTCAGAAGATTCGACAAGTCTGGTTGACTAGGACATCAGTGGCCGGGTTATTCTATTTTCATGGTCGACTGGACGCGCAAGTCATTCAGCGTAATCATTCAGACATCCAGGGGGCCCTCACGTGGAATATTGCTGGTGTTGGGGTCACATTGCAACCACTACGAATGACCTAGTGAGCCGTTGTTAACATTTCTTCGTCCAACCATTACGCATGACCTGTTTTTGGAATTTTATTTCCGCCTCCCCAGCCGTCTCTCTCCAACACATTACGCCACTCCCGCCTCTCTTTTACCGGCCGACGCGGATAACTCCTGCCGCTACCAGCTTCTGCACCTTGGTCCTGATGTCGGGGTTCTTCATGTGTTCCGTCAGCGCCGCAGGGTCCGACTGCGCTTGCTGGAGGATAGACTGCATGATGGGGTCGTTCATGATGCTCATGATCTGCAGGGTCTTGTTAGCAAAACTGGCTGCGCACTAAAAAGGGAAAACCCGGGCTTAGCGCCGCCGGCGGGTACGTGTTTACTCACCTCGGGGTCGCGGGCCAGGCGCTCCTTGGTCTGTTCCTCCGTTTCGTTCTCGCGCGTCGCGTACATGGCGTTGAAGGCCTTTTGCTGCTGCTGCTCAATCTCGCGCGCGTTGGCGCCCTTGTGGTGCTCCAGGTCGACCTTGGCGGCCTCGGTGCAGGCGTCGACGGCCTTGGAGTACTCGCGCATGCCGTGGAAGGCCTGCGCCTTGCGGATGTATGCGCGGATAAAGGTCGGGTCCTTCTTGATGGCCGTGTTGCAGTCCTCGACGGCGCTGGGAAACTCGAGCAGCTTGACAAACGCGGCGGCGCGGTTGCTGTAGCCCCTGGGGTCGTCGGGCGCGCGCTTGATCATCTCCGAGTACGACGCGACGGCGCCGGGCCAGTCACTCTCCTTGAACTTCTTGTTGCCCTCCTCGCGGGCCTTCTCGGCCTCGGCGGGGTCGATGTAGGCCAGGCGTGCCTGCTCGATCTTGTTGCGCTCGGCGGCGCGCAGCTTGGCGTTGACCTCGGGGGTGCGGTGCTCCGTCAGGGACTTCTTGTAGTTCTCGATGGCCAGCTCGAGGTTGCCCTGCTTCTCGTAGGCGGAGCCGATGCGCGCGTACGACTTGGCGATCAGCTTGAAGTCGGCGTAGATCTCGCGGCCCTCCTCAACGGCCTTGGTGCAGGCCTCGACGGCCTTGTCGTAGTCGCCCTTCTCGAAGTAGGCGGCGCCGAGGTTGTTGAGGTAGGTGATGTCCTTGTACAGCTCCCAGGCCTTGCTGTAGTGTGCGATGGCCTCGTCAAAGTTGCGCTTCTTGTAGTTCTCGGTACCCAGCGCCTTCTCCTTGTCGGCCTCCTCCTTGGCCTTCTTCTTCGCCAAGGCCTCCTCGTCGAGTTCTTCGGGTTCGGGCTCGGGCTCGGGGGTGGGGGCCTTCTTGGGGGCGGGCTTCGGCTCGGGAGGGGGGGGAGCATCGCGCATCTCTGCGTCCTGGGGAATGTCGTCGGGCATGCCCATCTGCATGTCGACGCCCATCAGGACGCCGAGAACCTGCAGCATGCGGGGGTCGGTGAACAGGTCGGGCGAGCCCTTGGGGTTCTCCTTCATCTGCTGGAGCTTGGCCATGAAGGCGGGGTCTGCGAGGAAGCTGGCCGTCTTGGGGTTCGCGGCGAGCTTCTGGATAAGTTGGGGGTCGTTGAACATGCTGCCGAGGCCGCCAGTCGGGTCGCCGGCGTCTGCAGTTAGTCAGTCAGTCAGCATTTCCTGGTGCTCGTTCAACAGGGGGTAGGTGGGTGGGCGATTGAGCGTACCACCACCAGCCTCGGCCTTCATCGCCTTCTGAGTGGCAGCGAGGTCCTTCTTCAAGCCGGCATTATTGGGGTCGACCTTGAGTCCCTCCTCGTAAGCGTCGTTGGCGGCGAGGAGGTCGCCGAGGCCGTAGTAGGCTGTGCCAAGACGTCCCCAGCCCTTGGGCCAGTCGGGCTTGATCTCGGTCGTCTTCTTTGCATCTTCCAGGGCGTTTTGCCAGTCCTTCTTGGATGCGTAGGCGGCAGAGCGGTTACTGTAGAGGATGTGGTTGTCGGGCTGCATCTTGATCGCCTCGGAGAACTTGGCGCTGCAGGACGTCAGTGTCTGGATTGTGGAGTTGCACGAATGAAGGGATTGGGCAGGAGAGAAAAACGTACACAGCCTCGTCAAAGTTCTTTTCGGCAATGGCCTTGTTGCCGAGAGCCTTAAGCTCGTCTGCGGAAGCCATGGCGAGTTCGGGCGTGTGCGGGGTTGTGATTGTATATGTACGACTTGTTGAGAACTCGGATTGGACTTTTTTTGGAATATGCAATAGTTGCGCTTTTTGGGGGACGGGGTATCTGATGTCGTCGTCGTATAATTGGGGAGAGGGAGAGGGAGTGTGAGACGGAGAAGAAGGAAAAAAAGGTCCAATATGTTATTCTCGACGTGGGGTTTCTCGGCGGGCAGCCAAAGGCCGCGAATCCGCAAAAGAAAACAGCGACCAACTGTACCTTCTAGCTGTTTCGATGGTGGGAGCGGTACCACCTTCTGATTGGACAGATGGGACCGGGGTGGGGTCGGTTGGGGCCTGGACCGTGCGGTGGAGGGGCTCAAGGCTGAGGCGGAGGTGTGCCCCACTTCTAGGTGAGAGCTCCGGGTGGTCCCCGGTCAACTCGGTGAGTTCGGTAAAGAAGGTATGGATGGTCCACCATTCATTCGATTATAGGAGAACGACATGTATGGGAATTGACCTGTTTGTGATTGTCATATAGTCCATCTATAGGACACTTGCGAATTCTGCTTCGGTTCTTAAGAACCAATGCAACGTCAACGGCTCCAGCTCCGGCTAGCTAGGTGATAACCGCGTTTCTCATGGGCATTTTCACTCCTTCTCGGCCAATGCAACGATACTAAACTCCAGGTTCCCGTCGGCATAGTTCAAGAACTTCTTGACGCCCTTCTCCAACGCCCCCTCGCTCAGCATATCCTCGCCCTCCTCCAACAGGCCCCGATCGACAGGCCCGTCCGACCCGCCCTCCAACTCCCATAGATGGCCGTCTTTGCCCTTGACGAAGGCGATGAAGTGGTATCCCGGGCGCTCCTCCGCAGGCGGCGGCGCCGTGTCCCCCTTGCGCGCCGCCTTCATGTGCGCCTCCTCGAGCTCCTCGCTCTTGTACAGCACGTCCGCCCTCGCCTCCCACCGTAGCGGCTCCGCCTCCTTCAGCAGCCCGTCCAGCAGAGACCCCTCCGTCACCAACGTCCGCGCCTCGCCGTTGCCGACGGCGTGGATCAGCGCGTACAGCCCGCACGCGTTGCCGATCGTCTGACGAAACCAGGTCACCGGCTCGCCCGGGCCGGCCCCCCTGTACGTGACCCCGTCCTCCTTGGCGATCCTGGTCCCGTCGGCGGCTCGGACCTGATAGTACATGGGCGCCGGGGCGATGAAGATGAGCGCCAGCGCGGGCCGCGGCACGAGGTCCAGGAGGGCCGGCTCGTCGAGGCTGTAGACGTCGAAGAAGCCCAGCGAGGGCGACACGCCGAGGTCGTGCACGAGCGAAGTGAAGACGTCGGGGTTGTTCTCGAGCGGGATAAATGTCTTTTTGCCCGTCGGGGAGTAATAGACACCGTCTGCTGGCATGGCGTTCCTGCGGGTTGCAATAGAGACTGGTGTTCTAGAGGCTCAGGCGATCAAGGCCAGAATCAACAACGGATTCCAAAAGTCGGGAGTTCTGGTAGTTTATTAGATAATACCTCGGTTGGACAAGATACAGTTATTGTTTTCCCGTAGGTTATAGCAGGAAAGAGGCATGGAGTTGATGCCTGAGAAGGTGCAGCTGCTTGACTTACAAACGGCAGTTGCACGGTTGACGCAAGCCCGCTGCCTGCCTACCTGCCTGCCTGCCACGGGAAGGGAAGGAACCCCGCACGCTCATTCGCTCCCACTTTCCACATTGGGTATCGAGGGTGAAGAAGGGGGGAATCCAGCTTTGAGTATCTTCTTACTAATACCTACCTAGAACCTACAGGCTACTATTAATGCATCAGCGCGTTCGCTTCTCACTTTAGCTACCAAACCCTCTAACAGTAATGGTGGGGGATCCAGAAAACGGTTGATTCGAAGAGCTCGTCATCCCGCTTTGTAAAGCCTGGCCACCTTAAGTATATCCTGTTTACAGTCGTACCAGATCAAAAGGAGATTGGTCCTGCCTGGTGGCTGAATGGGCCGTGGGTTTCATCCGCGTTCAGACGGGCGACTTGTCGGATTCGCCAGCCACTGTGTCGGGATCTGAGCCAAGCGGAATCAGCATGTGGAATGCCGTGAGAATCATGATTCTGGATTGGTTTTATTCGCTAAAAAACGACATAACCGTCGTGAAATGTATCATGTCTGCAAACGGCGTGGTAGGCAGGTGCATCTAAATCCAGATTCTTATACTAATACCGCTTTATATAAATGACCTGATTGTTCAAGCCTTCTGAACTTTTATTCGCTGCTACCTTACCTTGAGCCAAATCCAGGCATTCGGTCCCTTTAATTTACAGCCACAGGTTCGACTTGGCATTGGTGGCAATCCCCTCGTGTACGTACGTAAGCATGTATTAGAGCCCAATGCAGTATTCTATCACCACTTCTGGTCGGCTATGATAGCCATTGTGGTCTGATCAGGTGGTTCGAGACGTGGATGGACGAGACTTTGAACTGGAACATCACGATGCTGAGTCCCGTATAAAATTCAAATATAAAAGAACATCGTACAACCCCAAGATTTGGTCCCCTTAGAAACACATCACTCAACATCTCAAAACTCATACCTACTATCAACCCCATTGCCAGCCAAACACGACCACCCGACGGGAAAATAAAATGCATCTCTCCACTTTCTTCACTGCGCTCATCGCCGCGGCACCGCTTGTCGTCAAGGCTTCACCTCTCTCAATCGTTGACGGAAACGAATACGGGCCGCAAGATATCGAAGAAAGAGCCATGTTTCCGAGGATCAAAACAAAAGTCTTTCTCAGTCTTCTGCCCGACGACGTGAAGTTTACCGTCAACGAGATCAAGATGGACAAGCCTGATGGCTCGCAGGCTTGGCGAGAGGGAGGCCCCGCGGTCCCGTTCACAATCGCCACCAGCGAGGTCACCGCGGCCATCGCGAAAAAGTGGAGGGGGGTCTATCTGGGCGAGCTCGCGATGCAGAAAGACAAGGCCGGCGAAGGATCCTCTTTTCACATCAAGTACACCATCAGCAGCCCCTCGTCCGCGGCCAAAGTCGTCAGTGGCACGCTCACTATCGGAAGCACCACATGGGGTGCCGTCAGTCGGCCGGACCATATCACCTACTCCTGGCAACTCGGCGACTCTGGATGGGGCACCTGGACATCAGAGGTACTCGGGCTCTCCTCCCCCGACGACACCTTCATCACTGTTGGCTATGTCCCCGAGAAGCAGATCTATGCGTTTGGCCTTACTACCAAGACCGACGCCATTACCAAATTTCTAGGGAGTGTAGTCAGAGGCATTATCAACTTCCACACGATTGCTCTGTCTGCCGGAAGTAGTTCTCTGGGAACTGTGGCTTCGGTCGGTATCAAGGTGGCTCTCGCTGGAGCTAGCAAACTTTGATAGCATGGTCTCATAGTTTTCTTTACAACTTTTATAATTGGATCCGTATGACAGGGGATTTAGGACATGTATCTCGACTTGGTAATCAAGCATACCGCAATAATTCAAGTCTGTATATGTCAACACGCTTCCTACTTTCCGAGATTGGCATGGGTCGAGGGTAACGGTGGAAAGAAAACAGCTATTGTAATTTCCCTCTCCATAATCGGCGTCGACTTTCTTTGCCGTGAGTCCCCTGCTACATGGCCAGCAAGCGTTATCTTGCTTGATTAATTAACCGTGGATAGGCAGAAGACGACGCAGAGAAACTGAATCGTCAGGTAAATAAAAAGAAGAAGAAAGAACCCCCCCCCGAAACAAACCATAAATCTGCCGTTTTCTCGTTGACTTACTCGCCTTGGCCTATGACTGCCACTTCTTGCCGACAGCTTACAACCCGCCGAGATCGCCGTGCCGGAGGACGATGGACCTCCCGGAATCACCGACCGTTTCGGGCCGGTCCCTGGCCGGCTATGCATGGACCGAGGCCGACCGTCCGTCTTCGTGGAAGAACAGGAAAAGAGAAAAGAAAGGGGGGGGGCTATATTACAATTGCTTTAATCAAGGGGACCCAGTCGGCGGGTGTGGTGTGCTGATATACAGTTACTACACTACTGTACAAAAGCACGACAACTCACACTTTTGGATCGGGAGGGTGGGAAGCTTTGTCCAATGCCCATGCAGCTCTTCGAGTCCAAACTGTCCGTCGGCATGGCGGGGGCGACGCAGAAACATTGGCTTGGTTATTAAAAGGCGCGTCATTATTGGCCCGTGTCGGGGGGATTGCTGGGGGGGGGGGGGGGGGAGCTCTGGCGCGGTTTCACCTGGGAGCTCCCGCTAACACCGCTGCGCGATCATGGCTCTGGCCGCCAGCCGAAAGACGTCAGCCAGAGCCAGTCAGTCGTACGACTTTTTGTTCTCCCTCCCTCCTCTCTCCCGACAAACCCGTCATATCAGTCTTGCCATTCGCTCCCGTTCCAGCCTGGCCCCAGCTGTCGTCCTCTCAAAATGGCCGGATATCTCTTGCTTGTGATCCCAAGCATCCTCATGAGCTTGCTGGTCTCCAGAGCGCCCTTCATGATGACTACCACGCCGCAGACGACGAGGCCCTGGGCCGACGGGCCCATGAAGCTCATTACGACGCCGCAGTACGAGACGAAAAAGGTTGGTTGGTCATTTGCCGCCCCCGACTCACGTGCATGTGCATGCCAGTTGCGGCTCTCTTTCCCCCCCGCTCGTAGATGCTCCGACTGACTGGCTATTCGGACAGACCGATCTCTTCACGCTAGGCTCTACTCACATGGCTTTGCTACACAATTCCATCTTGCGCGGTTATAACTCCATCTACCAGCAGGCGCCTTACATCCAAGAGGCCGACAAGGCCGACTTCATCGGGTACTCCCAGACTTGGTACAAGTTCGTCAAGTCCCACCACGATGACGAAGAGGAGTCCCTCTTCACCAAGATCGAGAACCTCTTGGACGACAAGAATGTATTTGCGGAGACGCACAAGGAGCACGGTACGTACCTAATATTTTCCATAAGACCCCCAAGAGGAGACAATCCCCACTGACATGCGGCTTACAGAGTCATTCCTGGGCGGCCTCGCCGAGTTCAACAAGTACCTGACGTCGCTGTCCTCGCCGTCCGACTTCTCCGGCGCCAAGCTGCTCGAAATCATGAAGGGGTTCCAGGAGCCGTTCGAGAACCACTTCCACAGCGAGATCAGCACCATCGCCGGTCTGGCGGCACACCCGAAGGCGCCGAAGGAGGGGACACCGGAGGCGGCGAACGCAAGCCTGACGTTCAAGACGTGGGGCAAGAGCACCGTCACCAAGGCGGGCACGGCGGACGTCGTGCCATTCTTTTTGCTGAACCTGGACCGGACGGCCGAGGACGGGTTGTGGTCTAACTGGCCGCCAATGCCGGCGCCGATCAAGTGGGGTCTGATCAACATCGCGGGTGCGTGGCACTGGGGATGGTGGAAGTTTGCTAGCTGCGACGCGGCCGGGCAACCTAGAGAGCTGTACGCGCTGCAGTCCTCCGGCACGGAGGACAAGACCAAGGCTGAACTGTAAAATGGGATTTGAGATAGACGGACTGCTGTAGTTGGTCATCTGTGGGACGATAGTGCAGCGTTTGGGGGTGGAATTGGCACCTGGATACTTGTAAGAGAAATATGGAATATTGAGATGAGCACAAAATAGTCGGATTATTCATTTTAATCGTGTGATATCCGACGGATGCTTCGTCGCCAAAACTTCCGCCAGGATCCGAGTCGGCATTCGTCCCGGATAGAGACAGGCAGGGAGGCCCCAATCCGGCAACGGGGCCTCTTGTCGGCGCGAGCCGAGCGATCGTCGGCGGGATGAATAATATACAGCTCTGTCGCCGTTTGCAAGAGGGCGTGGGTGTGGGTGAGAGTCAGGAACCAGCGTGTCGACGAGATTGCCACCTAAATGCTAGGCTTGGGGATGCAGCAGGTTTCCCTGTCGAGCTTCGTATCTATCCTCTTGGCACAGAGCGCCGATCTCTGATCTTTCCACCGGTGCTCTTTCCTTGGTACAGAATACCGGATAGATGCAGCGGTCAACGATGTAGTGCATTTGGTGAATCAAGACGGGATCGATCGGGATAGGCGCTAAGTCATCGTGCAACGGCGGGATGGTGGCCACTGGTACCCAGCGATGAGGCATCCACCCAACGGGTTGCAGAGAGTATCCGTACGATATAGTATAGTGTAATTTGGAGGGGCGAGGCGAGCTGCAATGTAACGCAACACCGCCGGCCGGCGCAGGTTATAAATTGCACATGCAGACGCACTGCGCCGGGGCGGCGGAACCCTCGTTTCGTCCCCTTCCCCCCAATGGACGGCCAAGGCGATTGGGGCTCTTCATCGCTTGCTTGCGGCAACTACGACGGAATGGCACGTTGGACCCTTAGTTGAGTATTAGTTCCCGTGGTTCACACGATCCACACTTCTCTGCTAATGGACCAGAATCCATCCATCCCATCCCACGCCGTAGAATGACATGGGAAGATGTGCAAGTGGGCAGGCACCGCGTTGTCTACAGTATCCCTGACGGTGTTCCGCATGCTGGTTGTTGTACAGGGCCAAACAAGACGGCAGGTGGGGGGCACAAGGCATGTGCTGAGGCGGCAGCTGATAGGCAGGCAGATCGACTTTCTTCTTCGTTACAATCAGCTCCATGGTGAACAAAGCCCGATGCCTAGGACGGGAAGGTCGGTTCATCAACTCATGCGGTGCTATCTTTGGTGGCGACATCTCCCGAGAAGACGAGGCGTGCATTGCCTCGTGCCACACCTTGTGCTTCTGGTTTCTGAGTTGGATGTCTCAGCAAGACGCGGGTACGGATCAAGTCGCTGCTGCAGGTTGAAGCTGGGAAGTTGTGGGAATCGTCTGGTTCTGTCGTGCAGAAGTCCGACGTGGGGTGGAGAGAGCAAGGAGGAGCCGGTGAGGGATCCTATCATTTGAGGGCTGCAATTGGACGGTTGGCCTGGTAAACTTGCTCAAACACACGCAGGTTGCGTGAGGCAGAGGCAGGCAGGAAGTGATAGTATCTCCTTGGCGGCAGGAACGAACCGTCTTTTTGTGGCGTGTCGTCTTATTTTCTTTCCTTCTTACCCACCTAGGTAGGTAGATACCCATACCTAGGCAGCTAGGTAGTTGTGTAGGTACCGTGGTAATGTACACCCCGCCTTCCGCTTCCGCTCGCATACCTTCTTCCTTGACCAAGTACTGTTGGTACGTATATGCGCCGTCTTAAATATTGGCAGGTTACGATACCACTGCTGGTTTGAGAGAATAAGAGAGCATTTGCTACACAGAAACCCGTGTTAGATCAAAGTATAATCATGGCGAACCCACTCTAATGTGCAGTAGCCTGGATTTATCTTCCATTGCTCCCCCCAGCATCGCTCGTCCTGGATGCGTGCATTGACTATTACCTACGGTAGAGATCTCGTCGAGTGGAGTTCCTCGTCTGACAGCCATCGACATATCCACTTCTATGCATCTACCTACCTGCACTGGCCATCCCCACCACTTAGATACAACAGAAAGAAGAAACAGAGAGGCAAGAAAGACAAAAGTGCTGCCGAATCTTACACCACCTACCTTCTTGGACCCTTGCTTGCCTTTCGGGAAGGAACCTGCCCCGTATCTCCTCACTCCTTACCGTGGAAATCTAGCTCAAAGTGGGTCCCCGTGGCTTTCTATCCATCGCAGCAACGAGGAAAGAACGTCTCTCCCACTACCCTGGGGGCATACCTTGATTTTCTAAAAAGGTCTGCCTACCTACTTGGGCAGGTACCTATATAACTCTTTTCCCCGACTCAGAAACTTTGTTTCCTTCTTCCTTCTCCAGCTTCGCTCCCTGACCAAAACAAGCGGCCCATTCCCTGCAGCTCGGACGACTTCGCCAGTCCCTGTTCCAAGAAGCCCGTCTGAAATACTACGGTATCACTGCATCTGAACATATTCCTCTTTACATTTCAAGTTCGGCAGTCTACTTACCCCAGGATGGATCACGGCGGCATGACGATGGCCACTACCACGGCCGTCATGGCTGCCACCGGCACCATGAACATGCCCGCAGCCACAAGCAGCAAGCCTGCCATGTCCATGGGAGGCAGCGGTTGCAAGATCTCTGTGAGTATTCGGCTCCCAATACGAAGCCAAGACGGGGGCTTTATGCGTCTTCCAACTAAAACCGCAAAATCATAAACTAACGCCTTCTCCGTAGATGCTTTGGAACTACAACACCGTCGGATCGTAAGCAGCATCATCACACGCTCGGCATGGACTATGCACTAACATGCTTGCTTTTTTAGTTGCTTCATCAGCAGCTCCTGGAAGATCACCTCCAACGGCATGTTCGCCGGCTCCCTCATTGGCGTCATCCTTCTCGTGATGCTCCTCGAATTCCTCCGCCGCGCCGTCAAGGAGTACGACCGATACCTAATCCGTACCCACAAGGCCCGCTACGCAGACGCCGGCGCCAACTCTCCGAGATCCGTCAGTGCCGACGACCACGGCAAGGGTCCCTCAGCCTCCGCTGCCACCGTCAGCTCCAACGCCGTCCCGCGCTTCCGCCCCACTATCCTCCAGCAGGCCGTCCGCGCCTTCATCCACGTCTGCCAGTTCGCTGTCGCCTATTTTGTTATGCTGTAAGTCTTTGTCTGCTGCTTCTGCCACTACCTATGAGACAGTGCTGATTCTGTCGGTCCACAGGCTCGCCATGTACTACAATGGTTACATGATCATCTGTATCTTCATCGGCTCTTACATCGGCGCCTTCATCTTCCAATGGGAGACCCTTTTCGACGAGCCCACTTCTGCTGCCAGGGAGGCCACCGTCTGTTGTGGTTGAATGATGGGGTCCGGCACGAATCGGATTTCCACAACACCAGGATAAAACATCGAGGAGGCACAGTACTATACCCATGCGGCAGTCAGTTGTCTCGATGCCTTTTCCAATAATCCGTAGTTAGTAATGAGAAGAAGATTTTCAACACTTGTGCTATATCGCACTTTTCCCTTGTCTGTTTAAATTGCGTGGTAGGACATTCGCTGGCCCTTACCATTGTGTTTCTGTGCTAGCTGCTGAACATTCGTTGGCTAGACCTTAAAGTGTCTTGTCCGCATAGAAGCCAAGACAGGGACACGAATACGTGCGCATACATCCTTTCCGTCAATCGCTATCAAGGAACTCTAGACCAAAAAGATATGAAGGAATCATAGGAGACCGTAGGAGAGTCAGCCAAAATTCAATCTTATTTCAGGACCATCCTATCCTATGTGAAAGAGGCTCTTCTGGTGACCTTGGTCGGTATTCTTTGTTTCCAGTATGAGTAAGAGCCTGATTATTAGTTCCAACTTTCAGCTAGAGCCTACAACGGAAGCGCATTCGACTTACTAAAGCTTGGCGTTTTTAAGACTATAAAACAAGAACCGATTGTGCTACGACTTTTGCTAGTATAGCATTATTATCATCCTTTGAAGCCAATTTCAACCTAGTGCCTACCGTGTATGAGGTTCCACTCAGCCGTTTTGTAACAGTAACTGCCTCCGGGAATCCTTTTAGAGTTACTAAGAGCTGTATCCAAACAGGCTCAATGCCAGAGTTCCAAGGCCCACAATAAATAGCTTGTTAATGACAGCAGGGTCTAGGGAAGCAGTCATGCTCAATTTACCCAAATTTCCGGGTGGGCTTGTAGAGTGTGACCATGTTACCTAGTTGCAGCTGAATCATACGCCGCACGAACGCCTCGTGGGTCTCACATAGATGACTAGGATGGGCGATGTACCCTCCCCTATGTTAATCAACAAAAACTTTAATTTTTACCTCAGCAGGTAACAATCCCTTTTTTTGTGGGGGAAATGAAAGAAGGGAAATAAATTAAAACAGTCGCTATACCCGGCCTTCCGTATGACGTCCATATCACCTGGGCATACCCTGAAGGTCTGATGCCATAACCATCCTGCTATAGCTTGAAGAAAGGTACGAAGGCTCGTCGGTCAAAGTGGGGAAATCGGAACTGGCCATTCTGTTTCAAATACAAATCCCTATCGTACAATAATATTTCGAGCATCAATTTCAATCCAGCACCCCCCTTCAAATACTCCGAACACAAACCCAACCTCAGCTTCCTACAGCTGTGCACGTCAAACACGCAACTCAAGCCTTTGCTGAGATGCTCGTTTAGAATGCAGACGGCACAGTTAAGTTTGCTGGTTTGCCAAAGAGACCACCTGATGGTGTGATATTGGTGCCGGCAGGAGTCGTCGAGCCGAGGCTGCCGAAGATTCCGCCCGAGCTGGACGATTTGACTGCAGTCCCTGAAGGAGAGCCGGAGCCGAGGCCACCTGTAAGCCCGCCCGTGCTTGTTGCCGTGCTTCCTGCAGCTGTCGACGAAGCTGGTTCTCGGGAGCCAAAAATCCCAGATTGTCCGGGTTGATTAGCGGAAACCGTAGGATTGTTCACCTTAAAACTGAGAAAGTCGGAAGAAGAGAAGGCTGGTCTCACTGACGACTTGGGGGCGTTTGAGAAGATGCTGGACGTCAAACCGGTTGTCGGAGGCGTGTAAATGCTACCGAATAGCCCGGTTTTGCCGTCGGGAGGGTCGGCGCTCGACTCCTTGTTGTTCGGCGAGGCGTCTGCCTTCTTGGCCTTTTCATTACTGGACGATTCGCTGTGTGTTGAAACCTTTGAGGGGGGCTTTGGGGTGTATGGCGCTTCTCGACCTCCCTGGCCCGTACCCACGGCAACTCTAGGCTTGTAACGTCGGCATTGTTCAAGGCCTTTCCTGAGAAGGGCTACGTGGTGCTGGAGTTGTTCACGGCGTTGGCTAACCTCCTCGGACTCTGCAGCAAGTTCCGCCAGCCTTTCATCGCTCATGAGGTTCACGTCCTTGGGTGTGAAAATGGAAGGCAGTTCACGGATGAGGCAGCTTTCTACCACAAGGTTGATCAGGTTCTCCGTGAACGTCCGTAACGCCATCTAGAAGAGGGCCCATGTTAGTGTCTTGGACCTTGATGAGAGCTAGGGAGACGGCATTCTTACATCGTAAAACGTCTGCATCGTGTCTATTATGCGGTCCGTCCCAAACTCTTTGGTGCTCTGTGGCTCATTGGTCCGGCCGAGAGAGAAAGAGGTATTGTCCACCCATTCCCCCTGGCCGGCGGTGCGCCCGGCCATTCTAGCTTCCATGGCCTCTTGGAAGTCGGCGTCGAGCGGCATTGCGTAGCCTTGCTTGAACGGCCGCAGGATCTCCTTCACTTTCTCTGCCAAAGTCTCGTCTCTTTTTTCAAAGAAAGGATCCACGCAAGTGGACAGAATGGCGTCGGTTGTGTTGTTTTTGCTGGATGGTCCGATGACATGCTCAAATATCTGGTCCACAAAAGCCTTGGCTGCGACTGAGACGTGGCCAACATGCTTTTCAGCGATGTAACCCCATGGCTCCGACTGCTTTTGGAACAGCTGGATCATCAGATCCATATTGGCGTACCCTGGGAACTCGGTACCCTGGTTATCGGCAGCCTGTCGCTCAAGCTGAGTAGCCAGTTCGGTCCAGATGATGACTTCTGGGGTACGAAGGTTGTACTGGTGTGCATTGATAAAACTCTGAAGGTGCTTGGGGATGGTGTGCTGCCGCCGTATGTCACCGAATGACTGGATTATCCTCTGGTTCGCACCCTGGTCCAACAAGACTTGCCGGATCGCTCGGTTAAAGTTCCGCAGCTGAGATCGGAATTTTTGCTGGGTCCCCTCGAGCCCGCCAAAGAAGGGATCTTTATAATGGCCCTCGATACCGTCTTGAACTATCTTTTGGAACCCGCCTGCGATGTCAATGAGGTAGGCTCTCATGTCTGCTGGAGTAGACCGAGGTTGCCCCAATCGTTTGAGCTCGTCTTCTCGTTCCTTCAGCTTGTTTTCGATGTCATCGGTGACTGTGGGCAGATTCTGTTTGAAATGCGTGAGGAGGATCTGACTGAGCTTCTTTCGGAGGGCCCCGACACCTTTGTCTGCTTTGGGAATTGAAGCCCAGGCCCCTGAGTTGAGGAACTGTTCCTCAACTTCATCTCGAGTGCCAGTCCCTTCCTCGTAGTCCGCCTTGTTGCGTAAGACGTGCCAACCGAGAGAAAGGTTGTGACACTCCTCGCGGCCTCTGATGATTTGAAGGTAGTTTTGCTCGTTCGCTGATCCAGGGTGTAGAAGGTCGGGTTTGGTGATGACTCCAAGTGTGCGCTTCTTGGTAGGGTCGAACTTCTTTGCCTCTTCCAGGACAGCTTGGTTGACAAGCAAATTGCCGGCGGAAACGATTGCAAGAATAATGCTGTTCTTCTTCTTCATGTAGCTTCTCATCAGCTCCATGACAGTTTCCTTGCCTGCCTCTGACTGGTTTTTCCCTGCGGTGTGGAAGATCCCCGGGAGGTCGACCAAGGTGAGAGGGTACAAGCCCGGGCCTTCGACTTCTAGACGCAGCACATCTTTAGAGAAGTCTCGACCAGTATCTGAAACACCCATCTGTTGCTTCGCGGTGCTGATGATGTTGTCGATGTCTTCTTGTTTGAAGTCGGTGACCTGCAACTCATGGGCTGGCTTGCCAATGTCGGCGAACAGCACGGTGGCAGTCACTCGTCTACGACTGCCCGGGCAGAGAACGAGCTCTGTTGCAAAACGAGTGCAGACATTTGCTTCAGATGGGAAATGGATATGTGAAATGGCCTCGAGCACGGAGGATTTCCCAGAAGATTGGTCTCCAACAACAATGATTTGGGGAAGGTTGACGATTCTTCCTACGCCCAGCATAGAAAGCTTGTCGATGGTGTCGAATAGCGTCCGAGTCTCGACACTATTTAGTTCTCCAAGAGCTGTAGAATCAAGATCGATCTGATCCATGGTGACGAGAAATGGAAACGTGGCGCTGTTGACAACGAGAGCTTGAGAATGAGCAATGAATCAGAAACGAAAAAAGTTGCCACGCTCGCATCTCTTTAATAGAGTCATAAACACCTTTTGAATTCTATTTGTGACTATTACCGTGACTTTACTGTTGGTTGTAAAAGTGAGCAGAGCGGCTAGAGAAACAGCATGATAACCTGACACAGCAGCTGAAATGCAGGAGGTCCGGCCCCGGCTACCCATGATAACAAGGACAAGGTACTGCAGTTTTTCAGAGAACGTCATTTAGTCACTATTAGATGTATGTAATGAGTTTCCCGGCGGACCCCTTGTGACCTCGCTCAACTTGGTCAAAGATCGCTGCAGATTTCTGTTCCATTAATCTCATTCTGTACGGATTTGGACTTGCCCGTTCCCGGATAGTTTCATCCGGGTGAAAACACCTTCCCCAGGTTGTGACGACCCCCCTTGAAGATGCCATCTTACTACCTACGCAATTTTATTCAAGATATTGACTCATAATCCTTGCTGGAAGTCTGCCTATCGTAATGACGCATGCATGGAGGTGCATTGTGCGCGACCAACGGTGTTCCAACCGACCAACCAACGTAAATGACACTAGACTTGCCACGATTAGTGTGCCGTGAGTAGGCGGCATTTCGCAGGCCATCTTCTGGCACTTCGAAGACCTCGCAAGAAAGGGCAGCGGTAATTCAGAATAGCGGCAGAACAGATGAACACAGGGAAAGTGAAACCTTTGAATATTGTTGTTTCTGTACATTGATTGGGAGGGCATAGCTTCCAACAGCCCGATGTGGAGTCGGTTGTTGGACGGCCCCCGGGCAATATAGTCGAGGATCGCACGTTTCACTTCAAATCTTGGCAAGGCAGATTTTCTGTTCATCTGGCCACGTGTGTTTGTTGAAACGCTGCGCCTGTCCAACATCGGACACTCCGAGGTGAACGTCTGGCGCACCCGCTGCCGGTAAAAGGAGGCTGCACCTAACACGAGTACAAAAGTCAGGGGTTACTCCTGAGCTAGCATGTCACCTTCCCGGAACAGGATGCAAGACCGGGGGGTCACCAGCGACTAGAACAGCACATCCCAAAATGGCTGTTGGTAGTATTGCAGTACCAGAAATGGGAAATCGACGGAGCCGTGTTACCCGCCCGACGTGTGTCCAACTGTTCTAGGATCATTGTAGTCAGTTCTGTGCTTAGAGAATTTCTAGTACGGCTCTATGTGGTCACGGAAAACAGCACAGGGGCGAATTTCTCAACATGAAGAATGTAGTAAACAAAGATTGGTATAAGATACATAGGCAGCTATTAGCGGCTTTCAGCGTTCGTCCCCGTCTTATTGTGATGTACATCATCTTGTAGGGCGTCTGAATGCTTTCTCTCCCCTTATCGATACTGCTCTATGGGCCGAATCGTTGGCTTCTATTGGATTCATTCTGACGATGTTTCGGGCCTACCACTTGCATAAGGGGTCAAAATTCCTAATGTTCTTCGCAATGGCGTGAATAACGCGGTGAAGCTAACCGATGTATCTTGATTGAGTGTGTTTTCTGCCCATCACCAACGTCAATCTGAACCTATAATCGGACACACTTTATGAGGCTTCCCGTTAATACACTAGTCTCCGACATGGTTCATAGTCTACATGCTGGGCCGCACGATGTAGCTGACTGTCAAAGGAGTTGAGGCATCTGTACCGACATGTGACCAATCGGCTAAGAGTTGATAGAACATACATTGTCCATCCCTCTTCCAAACTTGAGGGGTAACTTTATGAGCGCAAATTTGCTGCTTTCGATTATTATCACAAAAGATTGACATGTATTTGAGCAGTTGTGATCCTAGCTGGTTTGCGTTAACAACACAAGTATCACGGATCATAGCTTGACATGCTGGAGTCACTAATCATCTGGACAATTGCTCGACATCTGTGTCACCTTTTCCGAGATCAGATCCACGTTCTCATTACAAATATCTCCGAACTTGTACTATGAACTCACGTGCGTCTACATGAAGCATCTTGCCTTGGGGGCAGTGTACGCCACCGGGCAGTTTCGGAGGTCTAGCCCGAATCTTACAAATCAGCACTGTTACTCGATACCTACTCAGTATTCAACCTCCAGTGCATAAGCACTAGCACTCTGCGATATCACTACAAATACAAATGTGGAGAGTTCCGCACTAGTAGACCACCTACCCCATGCACGCTCTCGCTATAATGTCAATATCTTACCTTAGGTCTTTGCTGTTTGGACGTAGTCCTGGAACTGGTGTGGAGATTTCAGCACCAACTTCTTCCGACAGTCAATTAGTTCCGGAAAGGGACACTTCTGATACTTTGGCGCTTTCGGATGGTCGAAAACTCGGCTTTGCACAGTTCGGAATATCAACGGGCAAACCCATATTCTACTGTCATGGCCTCCCAGGCTCCCGCGTTGAGGCTGGGCACCTTCACCAGGCAGCCTTAGATGTAGGCGCGCGCATCATCGCGACAGACCGACCAGGTATTGGGTTGAGCACGTTTCAGCCTCAAAGAACACTTCTCAATCACCCAAAGGATCTGGAACACCTTGCCGCGCACCTTGAGTTGCAAGAATACGGCGTGTTGGTGCGCAATATCCCCTCTCTGTCACTGAATGTTCATCGCTCACGCTTCGGCCGAACAGGGCGTGTCGGGCGGTGGACCGTATGCGCTTGCATGCGCGGCATCAATGCCTGACGAAAAGCTCAAATGCGTATCCATTGTATGTGGCATCGGCCCGCCAGATATCGGCATGACCGGAGCGGGCTGGTTCCACTGGGTCGGATTCACATACGGTTGGCGGTATGCACCTCGCCTTGCCGGGTGGTTTTTCCACCGGCAAGGCCGCTTTCATCTGTCGGATGAAAAGAGGCTTGCACTGCAACTAGAGGAAGCGGAGAAGAACAAGGCTACTTTCCCGAAGCAAGAGCTCGGGATCTGGGCCGACAGTGAGATCGTGGGACGCATGGTCAAAACGAGTCGACAGTACTACGCTCAGGGGATCGATGGCGTGAGTCATGACGGCCACCTGGTTGGTACGGAGTTTGGTTTCGACATAGAAGATATTCGTTCTGATTTGCCGGTGCAGCTGTGGTATGGGAAAGACGATACATTTGTTCCTCTGAACCATGGGAAACAAATCGCCAAACGGCTAGGGAATAGTGCCCATCTTAGGGTCGAGGACGATACACATGCGAGCATCTTCTTCAAATGGAGGAAAGAAATTCTGGCGGACCTAGTAAGATGTATGTAGAATTAGCGCCGCGGGATTTGTGTCAAATATAACCCCACTTTGTCCTTTATTATTGATAGTAATTGGTCTAGACTTCTATGAAGGAGTGTTTACTAAGTCTCAAGAGTATGACTGTTCTGCAAATTAGCCAAAAGCTGTTTTACAGTAACTATTTCCTAGTTGCCGCTGGAAAAGTGCCTAAATGATGAACGACCGCTTTTTAGCAGCGGAGAAGGTAGGCCTGTGTACAAGCCCAAGTAATCTCTGAACAACTGGAGGTAACCACAAAATTCTGTCGTCTGAGATATCTGACTGTATGATATACCGATTTAGTGCTCAACAGTCGCTGGCATAGTCTTAGCTTGAAATTAGATACAATACTTGAGCATTATGTCGGCCGTTGGCTTATGGCGAGGTCCTGGATGGGTTGTCTAAATGATGCCCCTGAATTCGCTCTAGAGAGCCATCTTGTATTTTCTCGCTGTATCATTCTCCAAGATCGCTATTGGTCGACGATGGGTTATAATTCTAAGCGATTAGAAACAGCCCATTTGACTGATAACAAGGCCGATCCATGCATCCTACATGTCTAGCTTCGCCTATGCGCTTAGGTATGAGGTATTACACCACTTGTCTCCCTCCCGTTGCGAGGCACAGCCGCAGGCCCAAATCAAGGCCCCAGTGACACAAGACGTACATCTTCTATGATGGGGGGTCAGAACCTGGCTTTAAATCACTCTTCCTATTCGTCTGCCATAGATACCCCGTCGTCTCTATGTTTCCAAGCACTCCTCCCACCCCCTCATTCTTGCCAGGAACACAGCATCTTACAGGCAACCACACGCCAGCCCAGTCAAACCAACGATTGCCACTCGACTCTAACGGTTATTTGTCTACATACCGCGATGGCAGACCCATTCACAATCATCCGAACCGTTTCGGCCATCCTGACGTTCGTTGAGTTCGCCGGCAAATGCGTCATGACGGCGAAGAACCTCCACCAGTGTGGGAAAACCGATGATAATGCCCGGGACGAAAATGTTGTGACGAAGATGCAGGACCTTATCGACACGGTCGGATTAGAACGGGCTGCAAGGCCAACTTCGAAGGCAGAGGACGGCCTCTCTGAGATCATCGACGAGTGCGAAGTCCTGGGCGAAGAAATTCTGAAGCTGTTGCGCAAGGCGACCAAGAGGGAAGGGAGTGAAAAGTCACGTCGCGAGACGCTACGGGCAACGTTTTCAGTCGTCTGGAACAGACGGAAGGTTGAAGATCTGCAAAACAAGCTGCAGCGGTGCATAACACACCTCAGCACGCAAATGCTGGCAGCCATGAGCTCGGCCCTTTCTATTGCAGATCATCTACGACCTCATACTAATAGAAACTCAATTCCAGGTCAGAGACCGGTCAAAAGCTGGAGCAGATCCTCGCCATGCAATCATCTCACTCGAATCAAGTAGATTCTTTGCATCATTATATCAAAAACCTCTTGTCGCCAACCAATCAAGAGGGCGTTCTTGATAACCTGTCTTCCCTCGTCGGTCTTTTTGGGTCTAACGATTCGATATTAGAGCAGACCAACCGACAACGGATTCTTGACGCCCTACGAGTTCCGGAAATGAGGCAGCGATACGATCAGCTGTCTGACGCAGCTCAAGGCACGTTTAACTGGCTCATTCAAAGCTCGAAAATACCTGATCATCCCGAGCTCCTTGTACCTCTCTCAACTTGGCTTTCAGATGGCAAAGGGATCTTTCACATTTCTGGAAAGCCGGGGTCCGGCAAATCTACTCTGATGAAACTCGTTGCCGAATCTAGAGACGCAGCATCTTTGCTTGATTCTTGGGCTGGAGAAGAAAAGTTCGTCAAGGCCAGCGTCTTTATTTGGAAGTACGGAGATGCCATTCAGCGGACTGTCAATGGAGTAGTCCGGTCACTTCTATGCAGCATCTTAACCGAATTGCCCTAACTATTGCCAAAGGTATTTCCAAAATACTGGGAGCCACGTCAGCACTCTCCATGGCTGCCAATGCCGGATTTTCATATAGCACCTAAAGATGTGCTTGAAGCGTTTGAACACTGCATCGATCCCAAGGGCCCAGCGCAACATACACACATCTGTCTCATGTTGGATGGTCTAGATGAACTGAATGATCCGCACGAGTTACATACGAGTTTTGTGCAACGACTGATGAGATGGAGAAATGACAATCCGGACAAGTTGAAAATTTGTGTATCCAGTCAGGAGGAGAACGCTTTTATGAACAAATTCCCGCCACAACAAAGATTGAGACTACACAGTATAACCCAAGGAGACATACAACAGATGGTCACTACAAGGCTGAACTTGCATCCCCGTTTTCAGACCTTTTCGGAAAGAGACCGCCGCCTCTTTTGTTCTCGGATTGTCGAGAAATCATCCGGAGTCTTTCTGTGGGTTAAATTGGTTCTGGATGAGATCTATGAGGACCTATATCAGCAGAGGTCTTTTGAGACGCCGCAGGCGACACTCAGTCAGGTTCCAGAAGAGTTGGAAGATTACTTCTCCAGAATCTTCAGCTCGATACGCAAGACGGATCGAAAAGAAGCCTCTTGCTTGTTTCTTCTTGCGTCAGAGTTCGAATCTATGCCTGCTCTGGTCTTTTCATTCCTTGAAGATATCTTGACGCTTAGAATGGACGACCATCAAACCGACGATCATCCGATGTTGTGGGAAGACTTGGAGCTCCGGCATGCAAGCTTTGCAGCCCGTTTGCGAGGCCACAGCAGAGGCTTACTGGAGATTGTTGGAGCAAAGCGTCCAGGCCAACAAAAAGAGAATCGATCTTTATCTTCTTTATCTTCTTTGGCCTGTGAATCCAGCGCGATGCCAATGCATCAGTCCATCAAGGATTGGCTTTTATATTCACCGCCGGAAACATTCAAGGCGTTTTAAAATACTATCGACAAGGAGGATGTATTCTTGAAATGTCCTATTCGGTACTCACGACTTGTCCCATTGAATTGCTTACACACCGGGCCTTCTCTTCGTGTTACTGTAAACCTCATCATGTTGCTGTTACATTCCCCCGTCTTCAATACCACGGAAAGCGTTCATATGGCCCGTTTGGGTGAGTTGGAAGATATATTGTATAAGAGAAGACAGAAAGCCGAGTCAATCGACACGAGGAATACTCGGCATCGGAATAGGTCATTTGCTTTGGAAGGCTCACTTCTCTATCATAGCTGCGTCTATACCTTTATCCCTTTCGTTGACTGGGGTTTGCGAAACCTTGCCTGGGCGCATGAAACACGGATTCGAATACGTCTCTTGTGGGAAACCTGTGATGGAGTTTGCACAATGGATCGCTGGCGAATTCGCGAATTCGAGTTATGTCTTGACGTGTTCGTCGAGTTGGGCGTTGATCCCAACGGCCAGTGTGGGGAAAGGAGGACCACCCCTTGGCTAAATTTTCTTTTCAACAAGTTGGAGACTGGTTTTTACTCATTCGCCATTGGTATGAGACAACTGCTAGAAGCCGATGCAGATCCGAGAGTATATTTTGTGTGGCGAGCAGCAAGACAATCTGGTGTTGAGCTCACTTGGGATGCGGACTATCGACGTCATATGGACACCTATGAAGGCCGTTTTTCTGAGAATAGCATCAGAATAATAGAACTGGATAAGAGCGAAGGATATAGAGTGTCAGCTTTGGATAAAACCAATTTTCTAAAAAAGGTGAGTTATCAGTTGTCGTTCTCACCCAAACTAGGCCTCTTGGAACCCCAGCCGCGTACCTCATTCGTTATCCCTGACGCCAAAAGTAACGAACCACAGGCCTTTACTCAGAGAAACCAATGATGAAAATTCGTTACAGAAGACACTCAGGGAATTTGTTCAGGTGCGCCTACCCGAGCACGCCGGTACACTTCTGCCGCTCATCGACCGCAACCTGGCACGGCGAGAACCGAACTACCACACTATCGTCGACGAGGGCTCTGCAACAACACAGCCAGGAATGAATCACATACAATCTCAACACCAAGAATGTGGAAACAAAACCAACGTCGAGGTGAAGGATGCAACCGATGACTTTGTGAGGAGTGAGACGCAGCTCGGTCTCCTTCATACTTGGAAGATGGCTGTCATAATCATGGTACTCGTCAGGCTTGATACTACAATGATATTGGGTCCAGAAGCAATGCAATACATTCAATATTAATGGAGAATATTGACACAGATGGCCTACATCCATCTGGTCTTACCAGTGGCGAAATATCGTCATGCTCCTATGTAATTTGAGAAGCATGTTCCAGTGCTTACGCAAATTCCGCAGGACAAAACCCGCTCTCTACGTGAAAACAATGCCGCCGTCCACAACCTGCGTCTGGCCGGTGACGTGGTCGCTGTCCGGCCCCGCCAGGAAGCTCACGAGCTTGGCCACGTCTTCGGGCACGCTCGTCCGCTTCTGGGCAATGAGGTCGCGTGATTTCTTAAAGGTCTCGCCCCTCTCGGCGCCCGTCCGCTCGCCCATCTTCTCGTCGATAAGGTCCCACATGGCGGTGCCGACGATGCCGGGAGCGTAGGCGTTGACGGTGATGTTGTGCTCGGCGTACTCCATGGCGCTCGCCTGAGTCAGGCCGCGGACGGCCCACTTGGAGGCCGAGTAGTGCGAGAGCAGGGCGAAGGGCCGAAAGCCGACGATAGAAGAGCACTGGAGACGTTAAACGTCATTTTCTAACGATAACTAGATGGAGTGATGAATGGATAAAATGAAGGGATGTAAGATTGAGAGCTTACGCCAATGATCTTCCCCGGATGATCGGGGCTACAGTTGCCCTGCTCAATCATCTGCTTCGCGGCGGTCTGATAGCAGTGTTGGACACCAAAGACGTTTACGCGGAACATGTTTTCAAAGTCATCCTCGGTGATTTCTAATAGGGGCTTGACCTGGGCGATGCCGGCGTTGGCAATCCTGTCTAGGTTTCAGCATTTCCGCTCTATCCATCCCCTCGCAAAGGTAGAAGGTCTGCCGGGAAGGACCAACATGGTATTCAAGGAGCCCAGCTCGTCGACGGCCTTCTGGACCATGCCGCGGACCTCGCTGAGGTTCCTGACATCGGCGGTGGCGACGACGGACCGGCGGCCGAGACGGCGGATCTCGTCGGCAACGGCGTGGGCGGCGGCCTCGTTTCCGGCGACGTCGTTGACGCAGACGTTGTAGCCGTCATGGGCGATGCGGAGAGCGATGGCGCGGCCGATTCCCTGTGCGGAGCCGGTCACTATGGCAACGCGGCTGGGACGAGGTCAGCGAGGGATGCGCGCAACCTCCTCAACAACGATGGTAGGCAGCTCAATGCCATAGCAAGGCGGACATATGGACAGACCTAGCTTGCGCCGCAGCTCTGGTTGCTCCTGTAACCGCGTTCATGTCTGCCTCTGGGTTTCAAGTTGCTCTTGGAACGGACGGCGATAATATAGGACTGAGAACCGTACGATCACGGCCATCGACTTGTTGTCCCCCGTCTCCTTATGAGCAACAAGTCACACCATAGGTTACACCCCGCATTGCACTGACTGATCATCATGCGGATCCGCTGGTAACGCGGGGAAACCCCAAGAGTCCCTACGTTGGGCCAAAAACTCCAAGCCGCAGACACCATCGTCATGCATGCAGAGCTATCTGGCCATATGTGTGGGAGAACACAGTGCGGTTTAGTATCATGCAAGCCCTTTAATACTGTCCCCCCATCAAGAAGCGGGGCAGAGAGCTTGAAGCTCGGAATTGCTCCGCCGAGGGGCATACATTCCAGTACCTACGGATACTCGAGCTGGGAAAAGGATCTCCGAGCTGGCGCGCCGCCGATTTGTCATGCACTCCACGTTTTCTGCCCAGGTGGGGCGACCACTCGAGCCCCCTGAGGGTCCAAGTGATGACTTCAACACTTGTCATTTTGTTCAATTCCCGCCTCCCGTCCCGTTGTGTGTGGTTGTCCCGACTGCCGAAGGCCGATGTGGGTGGTGGCGCGGGTTCCGGTGCTTTGGAATCTTTCGAATGTTTGGAGTCAGGAAGTGGCGCAGGTGGCAGGTTCCTGGTTATATGTCTATCTGCATTACCTACGTTAGGTTAGTCAGTACGCTAAAATGGTATAATACCTGGTGGATGCTCTTCAGTTATTTATCATCGTTATCGACCGCTCTTCACAACTCCTCTTACAAACAATCAAAGTGTATCCGTAAACCCGCCCCATATTCAGGGGGGAAAATAACACCTTCCCCTACCATCCAAGCGTCATACCGCCAAAAATCACGATTGCTCCGAGTCGCCCGCCCGCCCCCACTCACCGGCGGCTCCAGCAGTTGCCCCTCCTCGGCCTCGCTTTCGTTCTCTTAACAACCTCCCTCCTCCTCTTCCCACGACAACACCAACATCAGGCAATGGTCCTTAACTTCATCTCTCGCCTCGCCCGTCCCTTCGCCTCCACAGCTACAATGTCCGCCGCGCCCTCCTCCTCCGCCGCCGGCGCGGGCCCCACTATCCCCGAGGACGCCCAAAAGGCCACCATTGCCGCCGGCTGCTTCTGGGGCGTCGAGCATCTCTACCGCAAGCACTTCCAGGGCAAGGGCCTCGTCGACGCCCGCGTCGGCTACATCGGCGGCGACCTCTCCAACCCGACCTACCGTGCCGTCTGCGGCGGCGACACCGGCCACGCCGAGGCCTTGCAGATCGTTTTCCGCCCCAAGGACGTCAGCTACCGCCAGCTCCTCGAGTTCTTCTACCGCATGCACGACCCCACCACCGCCAACCGCCAGGGGCCCGACACGGGGCCGCAGTACCGCAGTGCCATCTTCTTCCACGACGAGGAGCAGGAGCGCGTCGCCCGCGAAGTCACCCGCCTCGCCAACGAGAAATGGTACAAGGGGAAAATCGTCACCCAGATCATCCCTGCCGGCCAGTGGTGGGACGCCGAGCAGTACCACCAGCTGTACCTGAACAAGAACCCGAGCGGATACGAGTGCCCGAGCCATTTCCTGCGCACCTTCCCGCCTCTGCAGGGCTGACTGGCCCGGGGTCACGATGACCATGAATACAATCACGGTGATAGAGATGAGGGGAAGAACGACGGTGGCAGCGGCGGCGATGTCGGTGGACAAGCAAGAGAGGGACAGGGCGGGAGTCGACTGTAACGATAACGGGTTTTTCTTTTTCAACTCTGGGAAATCGTGATGTACGGATGCTTTCGGGATGGGGCGGAGCCGGGTTCCCTTTCTATTATGGATTATAGGGGTGCCGTCCCCGAAGCGATGAATAGCGCTCAACCGCTTTTGAATTTCACATTTTCATACCTCTTTGGCTCGTGTGGTACATTGCATGCGACTGAATTGTGGGCGTATCGTGGAGATGAATCTAGGCTAATGAATGGTGTATCCTTGTGATTGTGATTGGCTTGCGTCAGATTTGCAAATTTCATCAGAAGCAAGTGACACACTAAGAACATGAGGATCCTATCCTTCAACGACCAATGCGGTCGACGGGGCTGATGTTATGAGAAAAATTTGGAATGTTTTTTTACTGATTGAGGTATTGTACAAAATAAAAACAACTTCTAGCCCGTGGGCGTCTTTTGAAGTACTAAGAGGGGTGTTTCTTCTTCGCCTCTTGCGTTCGACCCAACCCACCGTGGGTGTAATAACGTACCGTGTCTCCCACCGATCGAACCATGATTATTCATTCCTTCGCCGCTACAATCCCTCCAAAACGCAAACTGCCCTCTACTTCCTGCGGTTCTGCTGCATCATCAGGATCTGGACCATGCGGACAAAGATGTTGATGAAGTCGAGCTCGAGGGCGATGCTCTCGTTGACGGGGTCCTTGGGCATGAGGCCGCGCTCGGCGAGCCGGGCGTGGTACAGGATCTTCTGGACGTCGTAGAGGGTGAAGCCGCCAAAGACGGCGAGGCCGCCGTACAGCGAGATGCTCTCCGTCAGCGCGAGGGTGCGGACGGCGGTGACGGGCAGGAGCATGGGCGCCAGGCTCGAGGCGAGGACGACGCCGAGGCCGGCGAGGAGGGGCCCGCCGATGTAGAGGTACTTGTCCTGCTTGGCGGTGGCGCCCACGACGGACAGACTGCCCATCATGGCGACCGTGTAGAGGCCGGCGCGGGCGAGGAGGGCGCCGGGCACCATGGTCAGGAGGGGGGCGATCATGGCGGCCTGGGTGGCGTTGAAGGCGGCCCACATGGCATACTTGGGGATGTAGCTATTCGCACGTCAGCGTCATGTTCCGTAGTCATAATCGTGGCATTAGCCAGGGAAAGAAGGTTTCCAACGTACTTGTCAGGAGAGATGGCCCGGGTGCCGTACATGGTGGCGAAGCTGAGGGCGAGGCCGCCGAGGCCGACAACCCAGGGGTTGGTAACCATCAGGCGGTAGACGAAGCCGGACTGGATCATCTGGCGGGCGCTGAGGGCGATGATGCCGACGCCGAGGCCGGTGTGGAGGAAGGTGTCGTTGAGGTACTCGCGCTCGTAGGTGGGCATGCCGCCGTCGTCGCGCGTCTCGCGGTTAAAGACGAGGTTGATGGCCACCAGGGAGCCGCCAAAGATGGCGCCGGTGACCAGGAGCTTGCGCATCGGGTTCGGCTGCTGGGCCGCGTAGGCGCCCGAGTTGTACGCCCGCGAGGATCCGCGGAAGGCATTGCGAGCGGCGAAGGAGGTCGTCTTGGCGAGGCTGGAGGGCCGGGCCTTGGGCGAGGCCTGGTGGAAGGCCCGGGTGGCCGTCGTGCGGAAGACGGAGGTTGAGGGCCCGGAGAGCTGGGGGAGGCGCTGCGCCAGGCGCGCAGGCCCTTGACGGAGGGCGATGCTAAGTGACATCGTGTGTGTGTGTTTTAAACGCTGTTGTCTCGATGCAGAAGTAAAGGGAAGCGTGTTGCTGTTGTTCGTCTCGGGATATGCAGTTTTGTATGTGCGCGTCGAAGTCGGGACCTTTCTTGAAGAAAAAAGACAAGCCACGGAAGACGCAGATGACGAATGACGTTTGTCACTCTTTCACGGGAGTTCGGAAGGGGAGGGGGGGCGGATTTTCGCCTCAGCCGCTTTGCTGCCGTTGGCTGACGCAGCAGCAGCAGCTTAGCTTAGCTAAAGCTTTTTCTGGTCATGTGAGTGGCCTGAGAGAAGCTGGTGGAAGTTCCCGCAGCTTCCAGGCCGTTTCCCGCTTAACTCCGATCCGGACCTGGGCGGGTTTTGGGAGCTTAGTCAGTCAGCTGTCACCATCTGTTGGTACCATGCGGTGACGACTGGCAGGCAGCTCTCACCTCACTTGATCTCTCTCTCTCCCTCTCTCCCTACTACTCTCTCCCTCTCTCGGATGCAACGCAACGCAACACCGGTAGCTCGACCTCTTGTCATCCTATGCGCTATTCAAAAGCATCTCAGATTAAACCACTACATAGTCGTGGAAGTCTCATGTGGGAGCTTCAGACGGATAGGACGGCAAGCTACACACTAGTCATGCCGCTGTCACTAATGTCGCTGACGAACAAGAAGAAAAAGAAAAAAAAAAAGAAAAAAAAAAACAAAAAAGCAGAGATGTCGTGAGAGGCTGCTAAAGACGTTTTTTTTTTGTTGTGCTTTCCTGTTTCACACGAAGCCAACCCCGGGCCTCGTCTGAATTACAGAAGCTTTCCCCCCGTCCAAGACTTGTTGGTCAAAGTCCATGATCCTCCCTCTCCCTTCTCAAACTTTTTTTATTCCAACGTGACCGCCGCCACGGAACTCAAAGACGGCTAAAGACACTAGGTAGGTTGCCTAGCATCTACCCCTCGCCGTGCCTGACCTGTCCTTCGATGACACCTCCATCACCGCCGTCGTCGCATCTACTAGTGCCTAGCTCTCAACGGCCACCACGATCTAGACCACCCAAAGGGGGGGCGGGGTGGAGGAACCAACTGCAGTCTGCCGCCGTTCGTTGCCCTCCTCCCATCAAGAGGGGTTCCTGACTAGACTCGGAAGAAGCAAGCAAATCCCCCCCTTCTGCAATAGCCACGCCGTCTAATTCGCCGGTGTCAAACCATAGAGCCCATCCCCAAGACGCAAACTTAATCCGCCTTGCCAGAACAAAAAAGAGGGGGAAGGGGCAGGAGGAGGAGGAGGACTTCGTCCGAATCCGCGCGAACTTGCACGTTGATGGATGGGCTATCCACTCATGTCAAAGTGCGTCAACCGAACGTCGTCCGTCTTGTCCTGGCCCATCACTCCCCCTCCCAACCGCCACTTGTGTCGATGGGTGTAATTACACATGAGATGAAGGTCGCGGAAGCTCAACGACATGTGTATCATCGCGCCCGCGTCGGCAGACAGCCCTGGGAGAGGTGGAGGAAGGTAGATCATTAACCAAGGTACTCACTCGTACAAGGCAGTCCCTCTTGAGGTCGCACAGGCGCAGGATCGCCAAGAAGAACACTCGCCCCCCTCCACGTCGATCCGGGAATAAAGAGGTTAAGACAGAAGAAGAAGAAAAAACCACACACATCATCTGCAAAACACGCCATAACTCTGGCAAAACAACCACAATGCGTGAACTAAACCCACACACACACACACACACATGTCACACCCCTTCTTCCTCCTCTCTTCATCGACCGGGTCGATCCATCACCCGCCCCAAGCTCAGACCGTTCGGAGTCGTTGCACGTCTTGAGCTGGTCTTGTGAGACAGATGATCCACCCATCGGGGTCTACCTTCGGGGTCTACCTTCGGGGTCTAGGGACGTGGAGTGGGGAGAGAGGGGGGACATTGCTTGAAGCTCGTTTTGTGCCATCACTCCTGTCCGCCTCACGATGCGTAGGAGGGCGGACCTTTTTTTTTTTCTTTCTTTTTTTTCTACGCAGAGTCGGCTTCGTCTTTACAATGTCTCTCCGTGTGATCCTTCTCCAATAGTCCCGGAAAAAGTCGACAAAAGGCAGTTCTAGAAATACATACATTGTACAATACGGGGCAATGCCCGCCAGCCCGCCACAACCAACTGACTCGACCAACACTTACATACTATGTACAGATACAGGTACGTGGTCAGTCACACGTTCCGGCCGACTGAGGTAATTTTCCACCCCCCCGGAAAACAAAGCCTAACTAACCCCTGACAAATATTGTGCCGGGATAAGGGGGGAAACGGCATCGCAAGCGAACCAACTAGCCAGCTTACCGTCCGGCTAGCGTAGCGCCAACACTCCGTACAGCGGTTAAGCACAAAATCATGCATGATTCCCCAATACTTGTACCGGGACGACGCCGAAATTGCATTTGCATCTCGAGCGAGCACCCGGCCCCCCCAAGCCTCTTCCCGCTCCCTCCCCCCACAGAGGAGCGGTCCATCGTCACACGAACGTCGGCCCAGCACCGCTTGCTCGCCTCTCGTTTCCAGCCCCTCCACTGACTGCCGTTGCTGCGGTTGCATCAGATGCTTTGCACTGCTCAAGTCTGCACCGCCGCCTCGGGTACGACGTAGTAAATATCGGGGCTAGGCCAAGCAAACACTGCCTCGGAAAGAGTGAGTTCCCGGGTCGAGGACCGCGGAATATCGAGGCCAATGCAACCCCGGGGATAAATCGAGTAGAAGAGTCGTTCGCCAGGGGGTTCGGCTTTTCTGTCATCCGTATCCGTACATAGCCAAGCATCCGCTCCCGTACCCTCTCTCTTTCAGAAACATTAATAAAAAGACCACTTACGCTGGTCGTTCAACGCTCTCTTGTCCTTTGTTGTGAGCATTAGTCCTCCGGCTTTTCAGACCTCCTCCCTACCCCCCGGTTTTACTCTTTGGTGTGCCCTTTGAAAGCCAGCCCCGCTCCTTTATGGTGCGACTCAACTAAGCCACCGGCGCGTCTCCTAGTCTCTCCTCCCATCTTGGCCCAAGCCTGTTTGGCAAGAAGACAGCGTCTGGCACGGAGATTCGACTCGGCCCGGTCCCTATCGTCATATTACGAAACATATCAGCCAACACCTTAAGAGAACATTTCTGCACTCTCTCGGTGTCTTCAAATCCTTCAAAAGCAACCCCTCTGCCGTCCGTCATCTGGCGCATCCAGGAACTCACAAGTAGCCGACAAGTCCACAACGATCTCTTGTAATCCACAGTTCCAAAACACAATACAACATGAAAGCCGCAACCATATCATCGTTGCCCGTCGCCATTCTGGCTGCAACCACCTGGGCCGCACCAGTCGATCCGGAACAACACCCCATGGTGTTTATTGGACACCCACAGGTCCCCGTCGCCGCAGAGCTAGCAGCCCCGGGCAGAGCGCGGCCGAACCCGACATCGCCCGTGAATCTGATCACGGCCGTATGGAACGCAATCGCCGCCGGCGATGAGAAGCAACAGAGAGGGGACCTGGGTCAGGCGTGCTTCTGCTCGAGCGGCTCCATCTGCTGCAAAACATCTTCGGGCCTCGACTGCACGCATGGCTTATGCGGCCTCTAGAGTCGACTCGCATCGGTGATAGGAACGTGGAACCCTTCACAGGGGGAAAGACCGATTTTGCCGGAATTCACGCCGATGCCCTCATTGTTGCCGGACTCGAGCTGAATACAACCCCCCCCCCTTTCCAAGCAGTCCCTTCGGAAGCTCTGTCGGTCGAAACCAACAGGCCGTTTGCCGACAGCCAGGGCAACATAAACATTGACATTCCGGAGAAGAATATAATCACCGAGTAAGCCTCGCATGCTATTTAATCCGGTGCCGGAGTGATTTTTATTGCGGAACGAATCATTGCACCTCCACTCGCAAGCTGAGAAACTCGGTCCCGGCCAACGACGCGCGAACCACTCGCATCGCACGCCCATGTGGCAAAGCACAACACACCTACATCCAATGGTGGGTCACATTTGCCGGCGGCATCGGTTCGAAACACGGGAATTGACACTCTATGGTATCCGTGTGGGTGCCGCGCCCAACAAGCTTTTTGTCGGAGCCACACTACGAGGGGCTTGGCAGATAGCGGAAAGCTTTCTGAAATGGAGTGCAGCTGTTTGAACACGGCCTTGTAGGACGATAATATGAAGATGATTCAAAAGCCGGATTGGCGAGACTTTTTCGCGACTTGACCTTGCGCCCGCATCAAGTCGATGCCGAATCAGGAACGTGTGTTACTCACCGTTGCGGCCCGGCGAATATTCAGTCATTGACGAGAGAACCAACGCGTCGAAACTTTCTAGCAAACAACATTAATTCGTAATTCAAGCATCAGACCATTACATCTTGTAGTGCTCACAATTGACCAGTATGGACCACGTTTGCCGAGGCTTCGCAGAATCCTGTATGATGCAAGCTGGATCCCGTCGCTCATCAGCATTGTTCAGCTTATCTTGGCCGCTCTTGGATGATTACAAGGTGCGGAAAGGACAGCCCTGGCTGGCGGGCGACCTTGATATTGGCATGACTCCAGCTCCAACTGCAAGTCAGGCGAGTAAGGGAGGGTTGCTTGAGGCTCACTGCACCGACCAACGCTTGAATTGTTCTGGAAGGTTTTTAGTCGAGTATGTAGCATTCCGAACCTCGGACCGGAACAGTCAGGGGAGAAAGTGAGGCTGCAATGCTCTCCTGCATGCTTGAATTGCGCAACTGAGAATGATAAATGTCACGGGCGGCCCTGCGCTCTCGGTGTCAGCGCATAAATCGTCAATGACGCAGGGATCCGTTGCAATGATGGGCCACTGGTCCTCTGATGAATCGCGAAAGCTGTTAGGCATACACTTTGACAAACATCTTTACACGCCGGTCCCTCGGGTGCTGGAGTGGACAAATAGAAGAGCACAAGGGCCTCCTCCCGTCCTCGGAGCAGAGACCCTTGATTTCGGATCTCGACACCGTAAACCTTGGAGAGGACGGAGTTGGAGCCCGGGGATAGAAGTCTGGATCTTGAACAGTGATCAGACCAAAGATGACCACTTGTGCGCCAAGGCGTACAGTATAGAGTCTAGGTGACCCTATTTTTAGTGCTTGGCCCGTAATAGAAGCCAAATGGCCATGGAGCGTTGATGGAAGCTAACTGAATCAAGTGCCTATTACCGTCGCCGTTTGTCCAACAGGTGGTCCTGGAAGCACCACCGAGTCGTGTGAGCACGCGAGAATAAGCGTCGGATGTGGTAGTGCCGAAGCTATCAAGGTCGGATCAATGCTGGGCGATCCCCTAAAACCTGTCAGACCATAGATCCCAGGCAGCCGGTAGAGAAGCGCACCAAGTCGTACCAGGCGGGAAGATGTACTTGTACAATGTGATCAAGGTTGCCCAGATGTTGGCTTCTTCAGGGAGGCCCACAGGATGTTCATCACTCAAGATTGCATCTGTTGATAACGTCAGGCACCGGCGGAGGCCCGAGGAAGCTTGAGTCTAGACAAACAAGGCGTCGAAACGGTACGAGTAAATGTTGAGGGATTGTCTGTTGGTTCGATGGAAGGGAAGCGAGAGAGCAAGCTGATAGGGTGGCTAAAGGCTCGAGAGACCAGAAGAGATATCGTAGTGGCCGTCAGCGATCGACCATTTCTGGCAGCCGGACACTAAATTAAAGTTGCTGAATGATTGTCGCATCCTGGCAAGGTACCGTTGTGTCGAGAGTTGAATGAGAGAAGCGTATAAAAAAGAACTCTCCGCAGAGGTAGTGCCTGATGATGATGATGATGATGATGCGATTTGAGGATGGGCGGGAATTGAGAGTAGCGGATGCACTTGCCGTCGCTACTCAAGGAGGCTGGCTGGCCATGGAAAGGAAAGAAAGTACGAGGAGACGGAGAGATCTTTGAAGGCGACGTAGAGGTAGGCGGTCAGCGAAGTCGCTTATCGGAAAGCATAACGCTGCGGGGTCCTTCCCTTGGCGGGGGCGGATTTGTACCTATGGCTGATGGTTGAGGAAACCGCGCCCACTTGATGCTTCCTCACCAGCAGGAACGAACACACGAGGGAAGGGACCATTGTTGACCAAGCCGCTGCAGGTCGACATTCCCAGGGGCAATATACCTACAGTCTTTCTCTCTCTTCTCCCAAATCAACAGAGTAACTTCTCGACTACTGAGATACAAATCCGTATCCAAGGCGATCTTTTCCGCCTTGACACACGACTTGCACCAAGTTCCGACTGGTCAGCAGAGTTCCGCCAATAGAATAAGCGCAAGAACAGCAGGCCCTGGTTCCGCAAGAAGCGTTGAAAAGAGCTCTCTGGAATATAGCTTGCGAAATGCGGCGACACGACACACAGGACTCGCAAACACCTACCAACCTAACTACCTGACCTAGGGTTCTGCGCTGGACCCCTCCGGCCACGGCAGGCTTCTAGGCGTGTTACACGGAACTTCCACGCGGCCAGCTCCCTGCTAAGAGACGGCCCCTACCCGGCCAAGCTGCAGTAGGTACAGGGTTGGGAATAAGTAACTTTAAGTAATTATTTCTAAAAAAATACTTACTTAAGTATACTTAGGCCTATAAGATACTTACTTAAGTTTACTTAAGCTAAGAAGGTACTTACTTAAGTATACTTAAGTATTTGCTTTAGAGAATTTTACTTACTTATACTTGGTAAGTATTTTTAACCCTAGACTTATACTTACTTACTCAAGTATACTTGTACTTTTACTTATACTTAAGTATTTTTTCCTAACCCTGAGTAGGTATCTGCCTAGGTACGGAGTAGCTCTGGCTGGCATGGTCATGGTGGACCGGATGCATCCTCTTATCCAGCCGTTGTGGACTTTCTCCCTCATACCCGGGGCCATCAAGTGCACCGTGCTCGTCATCTCGGGTCCGATGGGCCAGGGGTCCCTGCCTGCAAGCTTGAGACACGCGGTGAGATGGTGGTCCACTCACACATACCTTTTTCGTCCTGGCTGACGAAGGCAGAGCATCGAAAGAACCCAGAGAACTCGACCGACCAGGCATAGACCCAGGACCGAGAGGAGGGACAAGAGTGGAGGGATCGCTGTGTTGCGAAACAGCCGGCCTTCTACGGCTGCACGCTCCCCCCTCCCTGATGGCCTGCGCTCCTCCCACGGAAACCCCATTCCCAGCCCAGAAGCATCAGGGAGCTCACCAGATTCTCTGGTATTGCCGACGATCATCATCATCGTCGTCGTCGTCGTCGTCATCATCATCATCGTCTTTGTCGCCAGCATGTCACTGTCTGGGGCGTAAGAGCTTATAGCGCAGACGAAGCAAACATTTCGACTATGTGGACGCGAGCCTCCCCATTCGTCCCCTGCGAGGTACCCCTACCCGTCCTACCCGTGCAACGGCGTGACATCTTTCGGCAAACCGAATGGCCGTGCTGTTGGGGGTCGGTGCGGGCTTCTAGAAGGCCTCCATGGTCCCTTACGCCGCATTGATTCGATCATGAGGAGACTCAAGACACGAACCACGGAGCGAGACGGGAAGCAGACGAACCTGTGCGATTGAAGTTTAAGAGGAAACATGATACACTCACTACCCTACCGGCCGGAGCAGAAGGGGAGGGGGGGGAGGCGGCGTGAGCAAAAAGCAAGTGCAAAGCCAAAAAGAAGAAAAAAGGAAAGGTGGAAGCACGCATGGAAGCAAGGCCAGAAGCCCAAGAGAACAAAGAAACACAGGCGTCAGCAAACCGTTTGGTTTGGTCTTGCTTGCCCCCGCCCCCCGCCTCAGCTTCCACAGCTCTTGTGCTTGTTTTCCTCTCCCCTTCTTCCCCTGCCTAACTTCATGGCGCGGCGTGACCCCCCGCGAGCGTGGCCATGATCGACCATCCTGGAAGAAGATGCCCGCCTGCCCAAGGGAGATAAGCTACCTTAGTCAGTTGTCCACTGTCATACCACGCACGTGGAGTGGCCGGAAGGAGGCCACAGATTCAGGTAACACCTCTCTGTAGTCGCTATCTAGGCCAGCCCTAAGCTAACGTCTCACGACATGCAGTACAGACCGATTGCCAGCATTCCTGGACTACCAGGCCCACGTCCTTTTACAATGGCCTGAAAATGGGCTGTCGGCCATTCGGACGCTGTGTCATACCACGTCGTATCGCGCCTCTGCTGACATCATCTCTGGAGAAGACCGGCAGGTGGATGAGGAAGAGTGGTAATAAGCAGCGGTAGTTGAGCGTCACTGTTCCCGGCAAGCCTTTGGCCTGCATCCTGCTGCACCTTGTCGTTCTTGTGTTGGATCGCTGGCGGCAGCAGAAGAGTCAACATCACCTTCATGTTTGCCTTTCATGCTTTTACGTCCCCCAGAGCATCCGAATGGGGTACCGTTGGTCACAGTCGCGGTATTTCCAGTCTGTCACTCCAATCCCGGCCCACTGACGGGGTACCCAGGTCTCTACAGTCCAAGGCGTACCTAGGCAAAACCATGAATCCCGTCGTGTACGGGTGGCGAGGGATGCGTACGTACGCCGTACACCTCGCACGAACGGACGGAAATACGAATACCGGGACGCGCAGCCTGACAAGTGGAATGCCTACGCCTGACTGAGGGAACACAATATGGCGCTTGACTAAGAAGGTAGGCCGTGGTCGCAGAGCCAAATGCCACGGTGCGTGTTCCAAGCAAGGCCAAAAAGGGTGCTTTTTCGATCTGACGAGTGCGTTGTATGTACCTAGCCCGCTCTAGGTGCTCTGCTTCTGATCTGCTAGCTTCCTCGACGCCGCAATGCTGCACTAGAAGTGAGAAACGTGGGCAAGAATGTTCTGTAGCTACCTACCTACCTTGGACAGGTACGTCAAGCAGCACGAACGACTCTTCTCTTTGGGTGTTAGCGGGCAGTTTAAGCTTTGGCGTCATGTTGCTCAGATGTCTCGTCACCTTGCCAGTTACATGTTGGCGGCCCCCTGAGACAGCAACCCGCGGGTGCCCGTGTTCAGTAGTGAGGTACATGGGCGGTACATAGGTATGTTCCGTTCAATGCCCCACCCCCCTAGCGCGTCATTGTGCGAGTTCGCTGCTGCGGGAGCGGTAGACGAATGCCGTGTGTTTCTGCCCTCGGCTCCCCAAGTGTTTGCTCTGGTCATCCTACAAGTATGTAGGTGGCTGGTTCCTGAGGAAACCTCGCTTCGATATGGATGAATCCAAGCACCGACCTGCCAAACTCTTGCTGGCGGTCTGATCAGACTGGGTGGTCATGCCCACCTCAGCTACTTGCCGTGCATACTCAGGTATCTTGGGTACCTACCTGGGGTATGTATCCAAGGTATGTGCAGGTATGTCCATCCGTCCGGGCGTTTTCCGTACGTCTATGGCTCTTCTGGAAGTCTGCTAGACTCTCCAGTGGCGGCACCTAGAAGACTTGTCAGCTGCACATGTACATATGCACAGGCGCGGTTGCGCTCGGGCTACGAGAAACGCGAAGCAACTCAGCCAGTCTTGCATGAGTTCAGTTCGGTTCTCTGTTCTGTTCTTTCAGTCCCAATCAGTTGAGTTCACTCTTGTATCCCTTCCCCATGGTCAAGGTAAGGGGCCACGGTCATCGACTGCCACGGTCGCACACTTGTACGGATACCTAAGTAGGTAGGTGTGCACAAGTATATGGGTGGGAAGAGAGTACAATAGGTGGGTGTAGTAGATAGGTGCAGTACACTCAGTAGTGTACACGCCCACCCCCACCTCCTGCCGGCCTTTACGCAGTAGGTCGGTCGCAGTCCTCTCCTCTAACCTGGCATGGCATGGCAGGCACGTCCCACGCCCCACGTCCCACGTCCCACCATCGAGCCTTCCGTCGCACCCTGTCCCGTCGCCCCAATCCCCGTTCCGCCTCCTTCCCGACTAGACAGACCCACGACCGCTTCTTTTCGTCCATTACCGTCCCTCCTCCTCCTTCCTCCTTCCTCCTCCTCCCCTCCTCCTTCTCTCCTAACTCGCACCCCCCCCCTTCTGATTGTTTCCTTCCTTCTTCCTCCTGCAGACTTCTTTGCTGGGAAGAATCAAAGATACGTCTCGGATCCAATCGCGAATCGGTCCTTGTCGGACACCGGAAGCAATCACTACCGCCTGTGGCGACTGCAAACAGACTTGCATCCGCTACCGTCCTTTTCCGCCGTCTTTTTGCGACCGAGACCCCAACCGAGACCCCAACACCACGACACGACGACGAGAGCTGCATTTCGGTCCAACACGCGCTCCATCTTTGTCAGCTCCTTCAGTTCGCAACACTTGGACACTTGGTCAGTCTTTGAATCGCGCCTTGCCTCCAGAGTCCGGAACTGACCGTGTCTTTGCGCCATAGCTTCCGCCCGCACAAGCTACTAGCGAACCCGGCGCCGATACCTCCTCCGTCGCTGCCACCACGCGGCAAGCTTCTTGCCTTCGCAGCCAAAACACCCATTATCTTGTTTCCGATCCAAGTTCTAATTGCACCGCGAATGAGACAAGTTCCTACTCAATAGCGACATCCGGCGTGATACCTCAACCGTCCCCCCGCCTCCGAGTTACACACCTGACGTATACTCGCTGCACGCGGACAGAAACGAGAAACACCAAACGCCTACAGTCCGAAACGTACGCAGATTCTTTCAAAGCGCACCGATCTCGTTCGAATCAATTGCCGTCTCGTTACCCTTCCCCAGGGTGGATTCAGTCGTCCGCTAGGCCGTAGCATGCGCCAACCCCACCAGCCCTTTCTTGTCTCGACTCGTTACCCCAAAATCTAGGACAGGCAGCACGTACACTTCACCGGCAAGGAGAGGATCCCCCCCTCGCCAGCCTTTCGGAGCTCAGGCGATAGGTTGGGAGTGCAGTCGGCCAAATCTCGTAGAAGGAACCGTTTGCTTTCTGCCCTACCCCGGGGCGGAGAGCTTAGCCGTCAAGGCAAGTCGGAACCCTGGCGTCGACACGACCACGCACGCGGCATCCCTCCCGGACCATGAGGCGGAATCGCTCCCCTACATCGCCTTCGCCCTATCGCGCCCTCGCCCATGGCGCCGGCGTCGGCGGTGTGCCAGATTCCATCTCCCTCCTCAGGTCCTTCAATGTCGACACAAACCCTACCCGGCCCATGCGGCCTTCCCCGCTGACCGCATCAACCATACGCGATATGCCACTCGACTTGGTTGACCGCATTAGATCTTTCCCCTTGTTCGTGTCCGCACCCGATGAATTCTTGGCTGCCATTGGGAACCACCTAAGGCCGCAGGTTCATGCCGCCCAGGACCATATCCTCACCGAGGGCGACGATGCACGAGCAATGTACTGGCTGGTGCGCGGGGTAGTGGCCGTCACCTCGCGCGATGGCGAGGCCATATACGCCGAACTCAAGCCCGGCGCCTTTTTTGGTGAGATTGGCGTTCTGATGGACATTCCCCGGACGGCAACCATCGTGGCCCGGACGAAATGTCTGCTCGTCGTCCTTAAGAAGGAGGACCTCCAGGCCGAGTTGCCAAAGTTTCCCGATATGGAGAAGGCAATTCGCCACGAGGCCCAAGAGCGACTCAACATTCTCAAGAAAAAGCGCCAGGAAGGAGGGCATGCCACCAAGCCGCCGCCGACCCTCATTAACGGCGCCAGAGAGCCAGCGCCTGGTGAGGTTTCAACGGGCGAGATAGGCACCATCAGTCAAGGCACAGTTATCAATTCGAAGAAGCGGAAATCCCCCAGCCCAGGAGCCATCGAGGACCCTGCCGCGGGCAGCGCTCTGGGCAGTGGTTTTGTCAACGTGCGCAGGACATTACGGGAGCTGCCCCTGTTCTCAACGTTGCCTCCCGACATTCTCCACCAGCTGGGCTTGAGTGCCCAGCCGAAGACTTATTCGCCCTTCACAGACATCGTCCAGCAAGGATCAGCGGGCAACGAGATCTTCTTCATTGTGCGCGGCGAGGCGGAAGTCATACGCGAGACGCAAAACAGCAACGAGCCCTTCAAGAAAACCACCCGCGCGACATACCTACGGCCGAGGCTGAAAGCCGGTCAGTACTTCGGAGAGGTAGCCAGTCTGGGGTTGTCCGAAGGCCGGACAGCAACTGTGCGGGCCATCACGACGGTTGAATGTCTGATGATACCCGGCGATGCACTAGACACGCTCTGGAGCCGCTGTTCGCCCGATATCAAGTCTCAGGTGGAAGAGACGGCTCGCAAGAGGTACAAGACGTCGGACGAAGACGTAGAAATGACATACGCGGACCCGAGAGAGCGGCCCAGCAAGTCAGACCCTTCCACGCCGACGACGCCCAGTGCTCTGCCGCACTTGACCTTCACAACCCCTTCAAAGCCCACATCCCCCACAAAAGATGATGGCGAAACCATGGAGCCCAAGGACCCGGATCCCTTCTTGAGCGTGGACATGGAGAACATGCGGAACAGGAGACGCAATTCCCTGGCCCCGCCCACGCCGCAGTCTGATCCCTCGTCGCCGATATCCCTCAATGGCTTCAGAGTGCATCAGGTCGAATCGACGCCGCTGCGCTACTCAATGCCTCAGTCCCCTCCCGACTCGGAGGTGCCAGTCAAGCGAGCCCGTACGCTGCCGAGCCGGCCTCACCCGGCCTTGGTCCCCGCTCTTCCCGACGACATGCTCATTGCCGTCTTCCGGTATCTGGACATTGCCGAGCTGATGCGGGCGCGACTCGTTTCCCACCATTGGCGCAGATTGCTAACGACACACCCCAAGGTGTGCCTGGATCTGGACCTGTCCGGGCACAACAGGCGAGTAACGGATGTGGCCATCAAGACAGTAATTGGCCCTTTTGCCGGTACGCGTCCCGAGGCTATCGACATCAGCAACTGTTTCCACATCACGGATGATGGGTTCCGCAATTTGTGGGAAAGCTGCGGCCGCAATGTCAAGCGGTGGCGCATGAGATCAGTGTGGGACGTGTCGGCGAACCAGATACTGGACATGGCGGAGAACGCGAAAGGCCTCGAGGAGATCGATTGGAGCAACTGCCGCAAGGTCGGTGACAATTTACTCGCCCGCGTGGTCGGTTGGGTGGTTCCCGAGCCGCCGCCGCCGCAGCCGCCGAGCAAGCAAGTGGTGATATCCAGCTCGACGGCGAAGTCGAGGCCTCAAAAAGCGGTGATGCAGCAGCAAGCCCAACAGAGGGCAGCAGCCAACATTCCCAAGCCGGGCACCGTCATTGGCTGCCCGGCCCTCAGGCACCTCAACCTGTCGTACTGCAAGCACATCACGGACAGGTCGATGGCGCATCTCGCAGCGCACGCGTCCAACAGGCTGGAGACGCTGTCTCTGACGCGCTGCACGTCCATCACGGACGCGGGCTTCCAGTCGTGGGCCAACTTCCGTTTCCTGAATTTGTCACATCTATGCCTGGCGGACTGCACCTACCTTTCGGACAACGCCATTGTCGCGCTCGTGGGCGCGGCCAAGAATCTGACGCACCTCGACCTGTCATTCTGTTGCGCCTTGTCTGACACGGCGACGGAAGTGGTGGCGCTCGGGCTGCCGCAGTTACGGGAGCTTCGGCTCGCCTTCTGCGGCAGCGCCGTCTCGGACGCGAGCTTGCAATCGGTGGCGTTGCACCTGAACGAACTCGAGGGGATTTCTGTCCGGGGCTGCGTTAGAGTCACTGGCGGCGGAGTGGAAAACTTGCTTGAGGGATGCGGGCGGATACAGTGGGTGGACGTGAGCCAGTGCCGCAACCTCGAGAACTGGATCCGAACGGGAGGCGTCATGCGATGGGGCTTCGACGAGCGCGGCGGCAATGGCCTTTTGCCTGGGCAGATACCCTTGCCGTTGCCCAACCCGACACGCACTACCAACCACGTGGGGCTGGGCGGCCGACCGCTGAGCTTCCGGCGGAGAACGAGAACGCCGGTGCGGTTCATAGTGGAGAAGGGTTCCTTGGGACTCCGATGAAAGAGGTCGGGAGACGGCGGGGGAGGGGCACGCGATGTCATCATGAGAGATGCTTGTATAATGCGGCTGGCGTCAACGGAGTGGGCTTTTTTTTTTCAGGCAATCTAGCAACAAGCCTGGGGTAACGGGAGAAGGACAGTTAACTGAATCTGTCACGGGATATTTGTACAGGGTACCATGTTTCTCCTTGTTAGCAGAGGTGGTTGGCAAGGGTGTGTCAAAAGAATAGACTGGATATGGCGATACCCTATTCATCTGATTACGGAATGGGGGAAAATATAAAAATGAAAGCACATGATGCTTCCTTGTGGAAAAGTTTTCAATCATTTGGTTTTTTTCTCCCCCTTTTTTGGGGGAAACATTTTGTTCAAGCCAGCAAGCAATAGGCTATTGTTGGTTCTGTGATGGGGTGTGACGATGTCGTTCGTGGTTTCGCGGCCACCAGTCCCTGCGTCTTACTGCAGGTGAGAGCGCCAGGGATAATAAGGGGGGGTAGGGGAGGGGTTTAGTTAGCTAAGGGTCCCTCTTCTTTTCTGTATGGTCTGATCTCTTGGCGGTGGTGAAGAACTGTTCCAAAGGGCCGACTTGTTAGGAAGAACAAGCGGGCAGTGAGTTGAGGACAGGTCGCGAGGAGACCGTATCGACCTGTGACTACCAGTTCCCTGGGGGAGAGGTTTTTTGTGCGAACGCGAGTGCGAGCCAAGGGAAGGATTGGAGAGGGGAGGGGAGGGGAGAAAAGGCCCCGAAGAGGAGATGCAGGGAAAAAGGTCGCCGGGTGATCCGGGCGCACCTGCCCTGCTGCTTAAAATCGTGGGGGCGGGATAGGCGCTACGGCAGGAGCTCGGGCCATTGTGTCTCGCGTGGAAGTCTGATTAAGTCAGCTGGTATTTTATCGCGCAGGGTACGTACATGCACCTGTCATGTACTATACATAGGCAGGCACGGGTAGGGCAGCCTAAAGCCCCTCTTTTGTGGGTTTGAGATGTGGCGCGTGTGAAGCCACATTCGGTTTCCACACATTATGGCGCATATGGTTAATGGCTATAAACGATGTAACCAATCGGTTAGATAGGTACTTTGGGTACTTGGGTATAGAAGGAGGGGCTCCGGGCCGGGTGCGGGGGAAGGGTCCGTCTCTCGGGCCCGTTTCCGACTTCAAACTTGGTCCTAGCCGGGACTCGCAGTCGCCGGTTTCCGTACTGCGTTGCGCCAATTTAACTCGCATGCGGCGCAGCTCTGGCTAGGTAAACCCCTTTCGGTCATGAGACTACTCAACACGATCACGCTACAGCTCAGCGAATTCTACGGACAAGTGCCGCGCTATGCCATCCTATCGCACACGTGGGCCAAGGACGAAGTCCTTTTCCACGACATCGAGGGAGGCCCGTCGCCAAAGACCGGCTGGGCCAAGGTGCAGAGCGCCTGCCGCCTAGCCCGCAGCCAGGACCAGGTCTGGATATGGATCGACACGTGCTGCATCGACAAGTCCAGCAGCAGCGAGCTCTCCGAGGCCATCAACTCCATGTTCAGGTGGTACCGCGACGCCGACGTCTGCTTCGCCTACCTCGCTGATGCTCCCTACGCCGAGCCCGGCACCCCCGAGTGCGCCGCCGCCCTGGCCGGCAGCCGCTGGTTCACTCGCGGCTGGACCCTGCAGGAGCTGTTGGCCCCGGTGGCCCTGGAATTCTACTCGTCCGACTGGCGCCGCATCGGCTCGCGGCCCGACCTCGCCCGCGTCATTGCATCCGTCACAGGCATCGACCCCGCTTACCTCGACGGCGACGGAGCCCTGCGCCTGGCGCAGGCGAGCGTGGCCGAGCGCATGAGCTGGGCCTCCCGCAGGCAGACGACGCGCGCCGAGGACCTCGCATACTGCCTCCTCGGCATCTTCGACGTCAACATGCCGCTCATCTACGGCGAGGGCCCCAAGGCCTTCCGCCGTCTTCAGGAGGCCATCATCCGGGACACCGACGACCAGTCCATCTTCGCGTGGGGCGACGTCATCGTCGAGGGGGATGCCGCCGCCGCCACCCTGCCGGACCGGCGTCCGCGCCCGCTGCTCGCCGAGAGCCCCGCGGGCTTCAGAAACTCGGGCGATATCGTCCCAGTCTGGGTCCCCGCCGCCGCCGCCGCCCGCGTGCGGATCGAGCACAGCGGCGTCACCGTCGTCACGCCGCTCCTCCGGGAGAAGCCGTCTAAGTGGGTGGTGTGGGGTCGCCCCGCCGTCTTTCTAGCGCCTCTCCTCTGCCGCCGGCGGGGTGACCCGTTCAACACCCTCGCGCTGTGCCTCCGCAGCACGACGCCCTCGGACCGGGCGTCGGAAGCCGCGTCGTCGTCGTCGTCATCGTCATCGTACTATAGGGTCTCGGACACCCTGTTTACCTACGCGAAGACAGCATGGACGGGCGAGAAGCTGCGCCCTGCGTTCGTCTACTTCGACCCCGCGCGCGTGCGGTACGCGGTGGGCGCAAGGTCCATTTCCAGTTCAAAGGAGACTGAGCACAGCCCCCGGCCAGGACCTTCGTCAAATAAGTTATTGGTACGGTAAACAAATGGAATTCCCCTTCATCAAGCCCGGATCAGCGCGAGGGTCCTGATTGTGGAGGAGCTCTGATCGTGGAAATATGCAATGTTTTCCCCAATACTGTTCGATAAGGCGCATGTGGGTAACTTACCTCCGCCTACTAAAGTAATCGCCCAACCCAATCTTGATAAAGCCTCTTCCTCCATGGACCGATGTACTGCGTTTCTTCTAAGCGCGAACACTATATCAAGCTCTTATTACGCAGCAATGCTGGCCAGGGCCGTATTTGATAATTCCCGTAGGAGGGCACTCAGTCATTCTTCGCCGCCTCTATGACACTAACGCACTTTTAGTATTGACTCATCCGGTACCGACGACTGCTAGTCGCGGATATCGCCACCAAATTGGACGTGGCGGCGGTCGCGCGGGCCGAAGCCGAGGCGTGGCCGGCCGAGTACGTGCGTCAGCTATCCTCGGCGAGGAATTGGGACGTCAACGATGACGCCTCGGCGGCGGCGGCGCCGGACCAGGCGTTCCGCGAGAGCCGACTCGAGACCTTTACGCGGTTCCGCGTCGGGGTCTCGCAGGACGCCGGGACGTACAGGGACCTGCTCCTGGTGGATGTCGAGGACCGGGAGGGTCCGAACGTCTCCCGCGAGGTGCGTCACGAGGGGTTTTTCGAATCCGTGGTCGAGGTGGGTGATGGGGATGGGGTTGTCTAGGGGGGGCTGTGCGTGGTCCTGGCAGGTCTCTTGTCGCTCTCGAAAATGAGAGTTTTGTCAAGACCTGACTCGCATGCCTCCTACCTACCTATCTACCTACCACTCCCAACTAATGTCTATACAACCTGGGCCCGATACCGGCCACCCGGATCGGAAGACGAGGGACCCTTACGCAAAAGGCCGTGCGATGCTGTCACGAAGAACGTTATGATGATCAGGCTCTGTGCATGCAGGTAGCCTTGTGTTGGGTCACATGGCTACCTACGAGAACAGCATTTCACCGGGTCTAGTCTACCAGATACTGTTTTATTTATTCAAGGACTTTTCATACGCCTCTCTGTGCTTTCTTGTGAGCGACAAACAGAAGCCCAGTAGTTTTCAGAGCTGTGACACCCCGACGGTATAAGGTCAGCCAATACAGTCCTGCGTTGTTATAAACTACATATTTGCGCCCTACAGGTATAGTCTCCTAGCTAGCTATAGAAGTGACAGTTAAAAAAATGGCAGGGGCCGGAGATGCTGTGTATCGAGCTCTTACGTATCGCAAGACACTAATACCAGAGAACTACACAAGACTGCTCATTTGGGGTCTAGAGCGACCATTGTATTCATCAACAGAGGTGACTGCACTAGTCATGCTCCAAGGTTGCAGCCTTGGTTGATTCATCATATCTAGTTGTGTATCCTAGACTACGAAAGAATGTAAGTTCCGACGGTTTGATTCATCTCGCGAGACAAGCAACGTCGACTTGTTCATGCGTTAACGGGCCATTCATCTCATCTTTCCGGTTCTCTGGCGTTGCTGGGCGTTCAAGTAGATATGGCATGTTGGGGCTGGATTATCACATGTTCATATCAGGAAATATCAACCGTTGTAAGTGATGATTTCGAGTATATTATAGCTGCTTAATAATGGTATGCTGGGGGCGTTCATGGGGACTTTGTATTCCTCCTGTCATCAATAACTCATCCAAAACCAACCCTGGTATTACGCCGACAAAACCAAGCAAAAGCCCCGCCCTGTCGCGTCTTTTTGGTGAGAGTCCGTATCTGTGTAGATGATGATGGGGTCTTCACGGCGACTTCTTGTTCGCCGGGTATCAACATTAACCCACCCAATAATGGCACAATGCCAACAAATTTCCAGCAAAACGCCCAGCGCCATTGATGAACCTTTTCTCTTCTTTTCCTTAAACGCCGCGGCGCGACACAAGCGCGCTGCTCATGCTCTGAACAGCACCTCGCCACCCTCGTTGTCCTGTACGATCTCTCCCTCCTCCATGTCCTCTCTGTCGTCTTCGAACTCACCCTCGTCGTCATCCAAGCCAGGCGGCAGCGCAGCTAGGGGGTCGAAGATTGGCTCGCCGTAGGCGTCAAACCCAGGAACGCCGGCGAACGCGCCCCCGTGTGCCTCCGCCATGTGTTCGTAACACGCCAGGCTGTCCGGGTAGTACTCCATGCAGAGCCAGCAGATGTGTGCGTGGCAGCACCCGCACTCAATGTGGTTGCAGCCCTCGATGCGCTCGATGAAGGTGCTGCACCGCGGGCACCCCTTGATGTTGAGGGCCGCCATCAGCTCCGTAGTCGCGGCGTCCTCGGCTACCTTGCATGAGACGGTCTCGTCGTGGGGCTCGTGGCAGGTGGTGCACAGCACAACGAAGCAGTCCGGGCATCGGGCCACCGCGTTGATTTTGGCCTCTCTGGGCGTCGGCCGGTAGAGCTGCTGGCATTTTGCCGTCGGGCAGCTGCGGTAGTCGAGGGGGTTCTTCCTGACGTGCGCTTTCGCGACCGACTCGAGGAGCTTTCTGTAGCCGTTCATCTGCAGGATGCCCCTGAGCTCAGACAAGGGGAGCGGCGCCTGGCAGGCTCCATCCTCGCCGATGCATCTGAGAGAGGATTCCGTTCCCGAATTGGCCGTCGACTGGACCATATGCACGTAGCATTGCTTGCAATAGACGTGGCCACAGGCGGACTGGACAGGCTCTGACGGCTCCGCCGTGCAGACGGGGCATTCCGACTCGCTCGAAACCGCCGCCTCGCCGTCTTGGGGTCTGCAGCACTCTTCAAGCCGGCGGTGTTCTTCCTCCTCGGCCATGCGGTGATAGTGGCCAAAGACCTCCTCGAAGAGCCTTCTGATGCCGGTCACGGGCTTTGATTCCGTGTTCTCTATCTGAATGACGACGTTGTCGCTGCTGCTGCTCATTTTGAAGCTGATCATGGAGTATCTCTTCATGACTGACTGTAACAGGGGGTCAAACATCCACTGTTTGGGGACACAGAACATCGCCGTGTAGACGGTAACCACCTCGAGGTTGCCGTAGCGAACGAAGCTGGGAGCGGTGCCGTCCAGCTTTCTGACGGCGCGCCGGGCCTCCTCCTCGAAGTCGAAGCGCGCCATTGCGCCCACCATGCCTGCTTCGACCTCCTTCTCAGGGATCAGCTCGATGGTAGAGCACCCGATGGTGTCCAGCAGATTCTTGAGTGTCGTCAAGTCATTGCACCTCTCCTTATCGCCGTAGACCCGCGGGGGGCCACACATAATGCCGTTGGGCATGAGGTCTTTGGGCATCCGACTCCGGATATCGTTTTGGGTGACGTGGGACGGGAGGTCTCTCAGCCGGACCGCGTATCCCGAGTTCTGCAACGGGAGCGGGTAGCTGTATACGTGGCCGCCAAAGAGGTCGACCAGCCCCTCGCGGTAGAGCCCCGTAAGCTTCTCCGCCTTGTGGTGATCGAAGAATATAAGGTGCGCGTTCTTCCGGGGCTGGTTCCACGTCAGGCGAACAGTGCGGGCTTCGGTGATGCCGACGTGTGGCTCGGAGCGCCAGCGGATGGAGGAAGGGATCCGCTCAAGGTCCTTCGAGAGGGATGTGCGCATCCTGTGGTCGAAATCACGGAAGTCCTGGCAGATATTCTGGGCGAAGTGGGGGTCCTCAAGGGTCACGTCGATGTAGCGGACGCCCTCGACTGTACCATACCTTGCGATTTCCATGCGTTGGTGGACATCATAGCCGGAAAACGACTTGAGATTCTCCCAGAAGGACGGGCCTGGGACTTCCTCATCGACATTCCAGATTCGGATGGCTGTGAAGTCGTTGGGTAGGGAAAACCTCTTGATCTCGGCGCCAGGCCCGAAGCTGATTTGGGAGCCCATCAGGCTCTGGAGAGCGTACTCATTTGAGCGTTCCGGAAAGAGGTGCGTGAATCCTGAGGCGTGAGTAGTCTCACGTATGGGCTGAGGGGCGATTGACAATTGAAGGCGTTGGTCGGCCATTGTCACGGAAAGCCCAGCAGGAAATATGATGGACTAGGAGTCGTCTAATGAAGGATCGGCTGATGAAGAGTCGGTGGAAGAATAGTCAGTAGAAGAATGGATGGTAGAAGAAGAGTGGTTTGGTCCAGTAGTTGAGTAGTAGTCCTCTCAGTATAAACGGTTGCCTCAAGCACGAATATGTACACCGTAAGGGAAGAATGATTGTCAAGAAAGATGAAGAAGAGAAATGTTGCCGGGGGAGGGGGGACATGCTAGAAATACCGGTCATCGGAGAAAGGTTCGCCTGCGCAATCACTGCCGGGAAAACGGTGGCTGTAAGAAAAGCTTGAATAGATCCAAAGCTGTGTGAACCATGGAATTGTCAACCCTTCTGGACTGGAGAAAAGCCTGCAATGCTAGGGGATGAGGGTGAAGCGCCTTGAGAGGAATCCATCAAAGGGGAGGGCGTGGGGTCGGCAGCGGCGGTACAGTGGCTCGGTCTACGATCGTGATAGGGCGTCCGGTTTACTATTTAAGCTTAAAATGGCCGATAAAAAGCTTATTGAAACAAGTTTAATTAATGATTGGCCGTATACTGAACCTATAGTTTGGTGAGACCTAGATGGCAGCCGCCTGAAGTTTGCAACATAAGGCTTCATCCGACCGACAATCAGCCCTTCACCAGGCCTGTACTCTAGAACGAAATTCCCGTGGTGTGGGCTCATATCAAGTAGTTCCGTAGTACTTTGAGTGACTTATGTAGAATTTTGCTTGGAGTATAGCTCTGAAGAACCATGTTTTGCAAAAAGCTACGATATTTGGCGCCAGGAAATTGCCCTGTTGTCGGAGGCTATGCCTCGCCCAAGTGTGGGTGATCTCTGATGTACTTTCCCAACACATATTACAATACACAATAATTTTACTACAAGAGAATAAACAAAGGTCCTCGAAAATAACCAATATCTTTCAGGTTTTGCTGTTCAAATCTTGTCATATACGTGAGACGTCATTGGGCATATACTGGTATGGGGAACGATTGAGAAGGTGAACAAACAAAACCGTTATCTAGCTTTTGGACAGTTTTCGACTTAGGCATGGCCCGCTATAATGTCTAGTGGGACACAAAGGCACAATAGATCTGCTATCCAGACATATGTTTGGACAAGCCGGAAAGATATTGGGCCTCGGGCATAAAAGAATCGGTAACAACCTAGCTACTACAACCTTGAATATCGCGAACTCACTGTACCGATATTTTCGTTCACACCGAACGTCAGGTAGCATTCATTTCCATTTGGCAAGCATATTTCTGCTTCTCCTGGAGACCGGGTAGATAGGTGCCGGGGCAGCTGTCGACGGAGTCAAACCATCATTAGTACAAAGTAAGTCATACCATATTGTGGCTCACTATTGATGAGGTTCGGACGAAAGTTTGACCAATTCGTAGTATGTATTGAGGCTGCAAGGCCAAGATACTATGTACATAGAAGTTTTCAAGTCGTCCGGGCTTAGTCCCGGTCCGACAGCGATGAAGTAAATGCACGCTAATGGGGAGGTTTCCACTCATATTCCTTGCTCAAGCTCAAAGCTGCCAGCCTCAAAATCTGATTAGCAGGCAGAGAGGGAGGTCTGGCCCTTGCAGTTGGCCGTGGTGGTGACCTTGGTGCTGCTGCCGCTGCCCTTGTTGACACCCTTGTATTCTTGGCAGACCTTGGGGACGTTGGAGCCGCAGGTGCTGGAGATGGTGGCAACATCGCCGTAGTTGGAGTTGATGCCGACAAGTTCCTTGACGTTGCTGGCCTTGACATTCTTGATGACGACGTTGCGGGGGCCGCCGTTGTTGGTGCAGTCGCCGCAGCCGCGGTACAGCTTGCCAGCGGTGACGACGGTGAAGCCGTCAATGGTGACGGTGCCGCGGCCGTTGTGCTGAACGACCTTGTCGACAGCGTTCTGGGCGCCGCCGCCCTGGATGAGGACGTTGCCGCTGCCGAGGGCGGAGATGGCGTCTAGAAATGAGTGTCAGAGTTCGAGCCGAGAAGGAAACGAGGTGAAGCAGCGCGCGGATGACTTACCCTCGCAGACGTCACGGAACCAGACGTTCTTCAGGGTGCAGGCAGCCTTGCAGTGAACACCCTCGAGCTGGTTGACGCCAATAATGACGTTGCTCAGGGTGGCGCCGTTCTCGAGAATGAAAACTGCAGACTCGCTGCCAGTGTCATCATCAGTGTTGCAAGGGCGACCGCGGTCAAACTCCTTGTTGCCAAAGTCCTTGGATCCCGAGATCACTGAGGGAGCGGAGAGAGAGACGATGGAACCGCTGCGGGTGGGAATGTTAAGGGTCTGAGCCGTGGCAAGGGTAGCCAGCATGGCGGAAACCAAGATCTTGGTCTGCATTTTGGAGGATGAGACGCTGATGTTACTGGAGAGGCTGGTGTTGAAAGATTGCAAGGTGGCAGCGAGTTTCGAGTAAGCGTGGTGCGGAACGAGAACCAAGTCTCTTATGTCAAGGGCGCTTGAAGAGAATTTATGGTCTGCAAAAAACCTTTCGGTATCGTGAAGATCCTTACCGGGACAAGTGCCAATGATGTCCTCGCAGTATGAGTGTTTCAAATTGATCGTGCAAGTCTAGAACCGTCCAACACATGTGCCAGTACCCTTTAGTTTCCCCACATCACTATGTCTGATGAGAGCTGACAGTCGTCGAATCTCCTTGGTGGAAATTCCACAGAACAGCGCCGCCCCCCCCCCCCCCCCTTCAAAGTATAACCAACGTGGGCATGTCACCGTGTGTTCTCGCTCAACTGCGCGGGTGGCTATCGAGTGCGCCCCCCCTTGCTGAACATGCTTACCCGCCATGTACTGGTCTACCAACCCACCAATGGGCTGGCTTTCTTTGGATCTAAGCCGCCAGCCTGGTCCCTGTATCCGAAAGACCCCCTGGGCATATGTTGACTGGCATAAGTGCTGCGGCTAACTCGAGTATATAGCGCCGTCTTTGCTCGGTGCCAGCAGGACACAGCAGCTGAACAGACTGGGCTTGTCATCCCTGTAGCCAAGTCTTTTTCAAGATTGCAGTCATGTGTTGGAATCTTGAATGTGGTTTGAGCCACATTCGTATGATAGTAAGTCGCCTAGCTGCCATAGGTCAAAACTGCCCCGGTTCTCAACGCACCGAAGAAGCCCTCATAGATGGCGAACCATTGCTGAACCAGCCAACTTCTTGCCAATGAGGGCACACGATCACCGCACAAGTTGCTTTTGTAAGGTATGGCAGATAATATACCCAGCATGACCATTCACGGAACGTTCATCTTCTGGCGCAGCCCTCTTCGGTCAAAGAAGCTCTAACCATGTTGAGGAAGCATGCGCTATCCTTCGAGGGATCAATCATTCCCAATACGTGCTTATTTCTTACTAGGGACAGACAGGAAAACAGAGCGAAATGCTCGAGTAGTAAGGCGTGGACGCCTATCTTTCAAGGTATGGTAAATTGATATTAAAGCGGGTGATAGGACGGGGCGCCCCGGGCTTGAATTTCTGACTCCATTGTCTGGGTTCTTAAGACCCTGGACCGAAGACCATCCCCTAGGACAAAAAATACCGGGGTAGTGGTCGCACGGTAAGAGAATTTGGCAGAGGTCCAGAAGATAGCAGGACAGCCTTGACGCGGCGGATGGCCGACAAAACACGGCTGGACACGTGGTGCGAGTCGGTGATTTTCCGCAGCGAAACATTTCGAATGACGGTGTGCTCGAGGATAACCGGAATCGGCAGGTAGAAATTCAGCAGACTCTCATCTGGTATCAGTGGACCATCACGAGGCGAGAAGAATCACCCCCAAACTGCAGCCAAGATTCAAGCCTAAACAGTACGTAGATGTTGCACGCAGAAGAGGTTGGCAGGCCCCTGGCGTCTCGGAAAAAAGAGTGGCCTCCAGGGTTCTGTTTGCTTCGGTAGATCATGCGTTTCCGGTGCCATTCTCCGTGCTATGGGGGCTGAAGACTGGGACCGTTGCTTGCGATTGTGTTGTGAAATAGAAGAAATTGGACGGACAATGCCAAGTGCTTCAAGACAGCTTAGGGTACTTGGCGGTGCAACCATTACGACTGGAGTCTCGCCGCACCCTCAAGGCTAATACTGCTACCAGATTAGCCATCTAGCCATGGGGAACGTCACTCCTCTTGTCTTGGCGCTGCGACAATCCTTGTTTGCGTGAAGTCCTGTGGAGCCACCAACTCATTGACGGAAATCGCTTTTTTCCATCGATCAACGGCTTTCCAGCTAGGCCTCATGTCACCACTTTCCGACCTCTTAGGAAACGGTAAGGGAGCGAAAGGGGGTGTTCATTTGACGTTGCTTCAGGACTGCAAGGAGAAATAATTATGACATAAAGTTCTCATCCTTTACCGTTAAGCTAAATAATCAATCTAGCATGCGTGGCTACGTACGCTCAGAGACTTGACAACTCTTCCTTTGAGATAAGAATGACTTCTTAATGTTATCTACAACGGCAAATAAGGAACAGCCCAAGAGTACAGGTGCCTTTTCACTAGTTTTAGCATTTGGAACATCTTCGTACAAATCATATTCTCTCAAATAACTTCCTTGCTATTCTGAATTACCAATGACCTATGCATGCTCGCTTAGTCAGAATGCATTGCGCCGTAATTCACTTCATGAAAGTTAGTGCAGCCCAGACCCAGACCTTTAACTCAAAGGAACAGCAGACAAATTAGTCACCAACGAAGCCATAAAATAACCCAGCTCTCTGCAGCTTTATAGGCGTTTGTGCTTCTGTAACGTTGCCATTGATTGGAACATAAGTTTCAAGAAAATCTATACCGTCTTTACCTTAAACCAATCAGCCCCTCTTGAAACAACGCCGCTCAATGCGAAGTCCATGCTATTACTCTAGAATAACTCCGTGTCGATGTTTCTTCCTTTGGAAAAAGTCTATATGGTTCCCCTCGACACAATCCCTTCTGGTAACCCTCGTCCGTTCTGACTCTGTAGATTACTCTTTGTGAGTAGTATCCTTCTTGGCTTCAGCACGAAACTGCTCCTCCTCTTCTATGAGCTGCGCTATCAGCGTTTCGTTTGCCCTCCAAACTGGCTTGATCTCAAACAGTCTATCAATCTTTTCAAGCGGAATACCGCTAGTCTCAGGGATGAGGAAGAAAGCAAAGAAGAAGGCGAGGAACGATAAAGCCGCAAAGAAGAAATAAACGCCATAGCCCATGGCTGCAAACATTTGCTCAGTAAATCTTGAAACGAGAAAGTTGAATAGCCAGTTGCTGGCTGTTGTCGCGCCACCGGCGAGAGATCGGAAGTTTGGGTCGAAGAATTCCTGTGAGGCGGAAATTGTTAGTTGCCGCCCAATGGTTATAGATCGCGACTAGAGATATACTTACTGAGTTCAAGACCCAGGGAGTGCCGTTCCATGTCGGCGTGTAGACTGCCGTCCAGAGATAGAAGAATATAATGGCGGCGTAGCCACTACCACTCAATTGATCCTGAGGATTCTTCGTCGGTTCGACAATGCAAACATAGGCACCAATGACCCACATGCAGATTGATCCAGTGACCGCACCAATGAGCAACAGTTTTCGTCTTCCAAGTTGATCGACGAGGAACAATAGCCACACGAATGTCATAATGGCCTTGACAACACCGAATATGCCAGTCATCAGGTTTACTGTGTTGTGGTCAATGCCGATACTCTGGACACGCAATGGTTAGTTATCGGCGGTCTCTAAATGGATAAGTCCCAGTTGCTTACCGAGAAGATAGTCGGGGAATAATAATTGATGGCGTTGATGCCGCTGCCGTTTTGCCAGAAGAACAGCATACAGCCTATGAACAATCGCCATTGCAGCTTTGGCCGAGCAGCCAAAGCTTGGAAAGGCTGCCAGAAGCCGATTCCAACTGTAGCCTTTTGGGTTTCGTAGATCTTGTCGATCGCGGCAATCTCTTCTTGGATATAAATATCGCTTGGTTCTAGTTGACGAATCCAGCACAAGTTGTCCCTGGCTTCTTTGCGGCGATCCTTCTGGAAAAGCCACCGAGGCGACTCCCGGATCCACATCGAGCCTAGCAGGAGGAGGCCGGAGGGGATCAACTGGACAGCGAAAGGTATCATCCATTGCGTATGACCCGGCGCTACGTGGGCTTGAACACCATACTGCCGCTTGGATTAGCAAAGGCAAGCCACGAGAATTGGTGTGCCATTGTGAACACTCACGTTGATCCAGAAACCGACCATTCCGCCTATCTGCCAACCCAATTCGTACAAACCAACGAGACGACCGCGAATTGCTGGTGGCGACAACTCTGAAATGTAGATGGGAATGATGTTCTACAACCTCGTGAATTAGTATCTTGCATTCGCCATAGAAGCGCAGGATGTGAGGCACGTCCTGGGCGCCATGATGTGCAAATTTTCAGACTGTTTACTCACAGAAGCCACTCCAGTTCCCAAGCCCGAGAATACGCGTCCAGCGTAGAGAATACCAAGCCCCAAATTACTACTCGCGCCGCATGTTAGGCCCGCCCCCAAGGAGAAGGTGGTAGCTCCGATCGCTAAGCACCACTTGCGTCCTATGGAGTAGCTGAGACAGTAGGTTAGCAAGGCGCCAAAAAAGGCCCCAGCCACGAATAGAGATACGATATTCTCGCTAATCAAGTTTCGTTCCGCAGTTGACAGCTTGTCGATACCAAACTCCCTTCTGAACGAGTCAAGTGCAACAGTTGTTCCGATAAAGGCACTTGTGTAACCAATCATGCAAGATCCGCAAGAGGCGATGCATGCTAGGACGTATATGCGCCAGTTGTAGACCGATGGCGGCGTCGGCCTCTCTTCGACAACTGTGAGAATGCCCATGGCCGTTCGGTATGGCGGCTCACAGATATGGCGGGTGGTAAGAGCAGGTTCAGAGCGCGTGCGTGTTGAGTCAGAGGATAGAAAGTATGCAAAGGGGAGAAAAATTCCGGGAACCAAGGGTCCCAATTGTCAATAAAAGTATCCGGTGGTCCCCATAACCTGAATCTTCTTGCCCCATAGTTTGGAGCCAGCATTCTGGGGCTCGTGAGTTCATTTCTGGGGAACGACGGCAAGCATGCCGGTGTCGGTGGTAGGTAGTGCAAAATGTGATCGTCTAGCCTGCAACAACGATGCGGCTCTCTTCGTCATTTGCATACAAAGTAACCTATCAGTGCATTTGTATTTGGAGGAGACCCCTCAGGGTCCACAAATGGCCCGAACAGACCGAGCCCCTGCTCGGGGATGCGTTTTCCCCCGTGGAAGCGTCCGCTTCATGATTTTCCCCATGGAGAGCAGGACACTTGACCTGGGGCGACGAATGGGCCTCAAGAGTAAACTCCCTAGGACGAAGGCCCATACTTCTCCATTCTGGCAATGGGGGGTGGTGGGTTGCTGAGTACGGATAGCCTGGTCCAAATTTTATGCGTTCATGGAACCCCTTCCCCATACCAATCGCGGCTTGCCGGCACAAATGCATTTGCTCGAAGTGTTAAATGTTCACCCGGAAACGCCCCAACGTCACAGCACTCCCACACCGTCGCTACCTGTAGATAAGAAACGTGGGAAGCAAAGGTGGCACAAGATTCTTCCGATTCCCATATGTGAACATGCAAGATTGAGAATGTTCTCCCTCGCTCAAATTTATCGGCTCGATGCTTCGTCATTGATGGATAGACTCCACAACACAACCAGAGGTATGGGGTTGATAATATGGAGATAGCGTCTTCATCTTAAGAAACTTTCCCCTGAAGAGACAGCCCGGTCCCTTCGTTGGAAGAAGCTTAGAACATATGCAGTTAATGAATTGGCCAATCAGAGGCTGTGGTGAACAGCATTACAGTTCCTTAATGGAAGGTTGATTGGAAGTCACAAGGAAACAAGGAATTACAAACCACCCAAGTGACCAGTCACTACTGCCGACTCATCAACTGGTTTGGCAGCTAATCTGCAGGCAGAAATTCTTGATCGACGTCCTATTGATCGAATATAATCGGCCTAGACCCCCATGGGCATTCTAGCGCAGTTCAACCGGTGCACGAATACCACGATACGTATCACCCGATACGCAGCACCTCTGGCCTGTGTCGCATCTTAATCACTTAACACGGTACGGACACCTGATAATACCAATCAACTACAGGGTTAGACTTCACTTCAACTATGCTGCCAACAGCCTTAAGAATGATGTGGCAGGTGGGCGCCGGGACGTTGGCGATAACAGATTGACACCTAATGGTACTTTTGAGTCTTCATCGACTTGATCAACGGTCATATGATCCTTTAGGTTTCTTCAGTCATGGATTGTGATGTATCCCCTCGGCCTGGCATCAACGAAATGGCCTGTTCCTGTTGACCGTAAATGTCCTCCTTACATGCACACGCAAGACTAATGCAAGCCCCTGCGCCGTCATAGACATCACTGTCAGAAGTGTGGCTTCATGATGCAGTTCGGCAAACAGCAATAAAGGTATAGACCACAAGACCGCAATTGCCGGAAGCGTTCTTTGTCACTACTTAATCTATCTCATCAGTTCGAATAAGTAATAATGTCCGATTTACATTGATGATACTTTACGCATAATAAACTGGCATTAGTAATTATCTGGTCAGCGGGTAACGTGAAGTGGTTTGAGTTCTCTGTTTACTTAAAGATTTCCGATTGCCGTATACTAATTTGAGAACTGCTTACTTGCTACAGTGAATAAAGTGTGATAATCCATGCTGCTTCCTATGAAGGGATTCCTGTCGACACAATTGTCACACGAATCAATCTCATGGGTGCGCTAGGTCAACCGCGTTAATTATGTAGCTGTCACAGGTGCGGTGACCTAGGTCGAAGTGGTAACGAATAATAGGGGTTGAAAGGCAGTATAACCACTGCTGCAATGGCGGGGCAGGTTGGAGGTAAGCCCCGTCATTGACGATAGTTGGCGATGATCGGCATTGCAATAGTAGGATGGCATGTAGTATGCAACAAAGCGAGACAGGCGTGTATATTGGAACTGTAAGATGCAAGAAGCATGCAGTGTCTCATATTGAATTGAACACATGAGTAGGAGATCAAGTCATCTTCACAATATAGCATGGCTATTGTTATCGTTTTGGTTATGTTTACATAATTTCCCCCTTTAGTCGAACTTCATTGTACACTCCATACTGAGTACACTTTTACCAAGAACACAACAGGGTGCCCATGCAAGCGATATCGGCCTTTATGCCGACCTTTAAGGTTTTTTTTCTTTCTTTTTTTTTCTCGGACAATGGAAGAGTCAGATGACGTAATCAGTGGAGGCAAGGAAGTTGAGTCTGGCACGAATCTCGTTGATATGAAGAGTATTTCTCTCTGGGCTAAGCCATCCTATTGATGGTTTGTCGAACCTATTGTGACCAAGGAGAAAAGAATAAGCTACAAACAGGAAATCGGCACGGATACAAGTTATACTCGACCACCTCCAAGGTTTTGCAGCTTCGAATAACTTCACCGAATTCGTTTAGCATACAAAGGCTTGATCAGTAGATTGAATGACTTGACGCTATAATATCATAAAACTATGTAGTTAAACACGGAGATGTTCCACTTCGCCTCAAAACTCGGGCCTGACATTGTCAATGGATGATGTGACATCTTGTGCTCATAGGATTAACAATCTTCAACTAGAATCACCTCAGATATTTGGAGATTAATCTAGCCTTTTCCACCAGAGCTCTCCTCGATTCGACCCATCCCTCTGCGACGTGATACGCAGCAGCGTCCCATTCTCAAATGTTGTGTAGTTACGTCTGTGAACGGCGCCAACCATGGTCGGGACGTTTGCAACCGTCAATGGGCCATGGAAAACCTGGCCGTCGGTAGCAGACGCAGGGATATCGCCACTAATCGAGAATGGCCCGGCGTACCCGATGCTATGCTTGCCGACCAAGGCCCACTCCACGTCTGACTGGCCTTCCTCGAAGGGGAATGTAAGGCTCGCTGGGCGGTGTTCGGGGTTTGTAGATGTGAGGGTGGCCGACATGAAGCCGGTTTTGCTGTATGTGAGGATGCCGACGGGGTTTGAACCGTATGTTGGGTCATCTACAGGCACGCCATCGCGGGTTCTACAAGCTCTCTGGCGTCAGCAAACGTGGCTGCCGATGGGGGCCAGTGGGAATATGATGCACGTACGCTGATGTGTTGAGAAGGGTGTAAGTGCCTGCCAGGATGGCAACAATTTCTGAAGGTTGCATATTAACTGATGGATGGAAACGCTCAGATGACAAAAGAGACAAGTCTTACCTCTTTCACTTCAAAGAGAATGCGACGGAAGACGGGCATAATATAAGAAGTAATGCCGTCAGCAGAATAGCAGCTCTTGCAAAAAGTACCAAAGGGCAATCAAGATTTGAACCGCGAGATATTAGGTGAATGAGTTTAAAACATGGGTGTCAATTTGGGTTTACGCCATAGGGGCCGTACCTGAGAAGGCCGGGGAACTCCAAGGGGGGAAAGGGGCACAACTCCTCGGATATGGTGTCAGAAGTGGATCGTAGGCGCCAAGCAGTTAAGCTTATGTAGTATTCTGTGATATGACTGCCCCCGAAGCATTTGGCGTTGCTTCTTTTGTCCGTGGCAAATGCAAGTCTTTTAGTAATCTGTTACTCTAGCATTCAGTTACATGCTTTGGAGCGCTGACTCGCTAACAGTCCAAAGAAGTGTTTTTTGGACATTTCGGAGAGCGATAACTTAGCGATTGCGGTTCGGCTCTTACAACCAGGGTTTAGACCAAACAAAGCAATATTTAATGTTTTGCTCCAATATTGGTTCTCGCCTATTGATTTTACTTCAACGACTTGTAATATGGTATTCTTCACGTGGCATCGCACCAAGGTCATGCCACCAGACGCGGACGGGGAAATGGGGGAACGCAGAGACGAAGCTGGCAGCTTGGCTTGGCTCTGCTTGGCCTAGCTTGGCACGATGCCGCGCGGGTTGCGGGCGACGGGGAGACTCGTGGCGCAGCCCGTTGGCATTCGTGTTCCATGAAACACAAGTGGATGGAGTTCTCGGAGACACTTCATGGACCCGGCGCCCCGTTCCTCTGAGGAGCCAAGATCGGTGCCCAAAGAAACTTGAAGCCCTCGCAGGCACCCTATCGCCAGAGGAACGGATGAACTGCAGAGTAAGCCGTCATTTCCCAAAAGGCTCTGAGCAAGATATTGGCACATCCATTAAGCGAGAAGGTTGTCTATGGCACGAATCAAAAGAAGCTGACCAAAGCTATGGCGCCTTGGCAAAATCGCGGGGTTCGGGGATATGGTACTTGAGGGTTAGTACTCCGACCGAATGGAATCTTGTTTTATATATCCAAGCAACTTGTTTTGCTCAAAGTAGTCAGGTTTTGCTCAGGGTGGTCAGATTGGTTAGGGGTTGTGGCCTACCACCCCGATAGAGAAGACGCAACCGATGATTTAGGCAATGGCGGAACTACGGATAAAGTAGCCACATAGCGCGGGCTTTTTGTACTTGGACAAGACGGTGCCAAAGCTAGTTTTCATATGGATGACTAGCAGAACGGCACGTAGTTAATGCGTGAGTTGTTGATATTCTAACTTCTTGAAACGATGGGCCTGCACGCTGGTGTTGTAGCATTTGACTCTATGGTCCCTTCCACAGGCCTCCTCTCCGCTCTGAAGTATGGGTATGCATTTCTTATATCATCCAAGGAATTCGCCTTTCGGCTTTGACTCTGCAGCACATACTAGCGAACTTGGTCTAGGGTACATTTGATCATATATGCAACTTAAATTATCGCTTCAACCACAGATGGGACAATTAAGGCTGTCAATGTAACTTCGAGATACATCTTGTGGCTGTCTGATTTTACAACGGCACATATAACCCGTGCCAGAGGTCGAAAAATTAAGAGGGGCCGCCATAGATATTCACCTAATATGTTGGTACCGGAGATATGAGGAGCCCAACCCGATCAAACCCAGTAAATGCTACCATGGCGATGCGATGGCTCAACTCAGAATTTGAACAGGAACGTATCGATAATCACTTGGTGTGTTCTGTCTTTCATCGTCAGATGACCTCCAGACTCCAACTGTTGGTTTCACCAGGGTGGTGATACGGTTAACCGTACGTATTAATAAGCAAGTGACAAATAATAGGGGTAAATACTGGTCCTGAATTATACGTAAAGAAGGAAAACTATTGTAGGATTACGCGGCGAATTCACCACGTAATATCCCTATAGATCTAGTGGATCTACAGCAAATTAGCTATAGTTATTCCAGCTAATTAGCGTTAATCTATACTGCTAATATCTAGGCAATAGTTAATATTATAACACTAGTAACCTTCTAAAGTGCTATAAATTATCCCTATTTTCTAGTTATCTATAAAGGGCCTAAAAACGTAATAAAAACAAAAGGCTAAAAAGTATTTAATACTTTTTATATATATAATTTATTACGTATATAAAACCTATCTATTTATCTATATCTCTAATTAACTATTATTAATTAACTACTTTAGCGCTTTATTAAGTAATACTTTTATAAATCTATTTACTAGGTTATCCTCTCCTTATATCTATTAGATCTTATAGATCTTATGTTATTTATATAACTAGTAAAGCGCTATAATATTAATTATAAGTTACTTCTCTTTAGTAGTACTAAGCTTTATAAGGCACTTATAAAAGGAGTATAAGTTAGTATAAAGGATTATTAGGATTTATAGTAACTTAAGGTAGTTAGTAATTATTATAAGTATAATACTAATTATATAAGTAATATTAGTGCTAGTAACTATACTATAGACTTTAGAGGCTAGTACGCTATATATAACTTTTTTATACTTTATTAAGCTAAAGTAGATAATATTACTAATAAGTATAAATTTCTTACTATTAGTAGTAAGTTATATAATATTACTTTTATTAGTAAGTATAATAATAAAGCTAAGTTATAAGGTAAAATTATAGTTATTTATAAATAAGCTGTTAATAAAAATAAAAAGCTTTATAGTTATAAGGTTAATTAGCTAAAAAAGTAGGCTGTAGTTAAGGTAATTTATTTACTACTTAATTTAGTAGTTAAGAGCCTTAATCTCTTTCTCTATAGGTTCTTAGTGTTATATAGTAACTAAATAGCTAAAGTAAGCCTTAGGTTAGCAGATTAATATAATATACGCCCTATAGGCCTTTTACTAAATAAAATCTTACTTAGTAGTAGGCAAATTTATATTAGTAGGCTAAAGCTTTTTACCTTAATCCTTTTACTAAAAATTTATTTTACTATTATAGCTAAGGGAAAGCATACTACTATTAAAGGTAATAAAATTATTAATAGTTAATAGTTACTTAGGCTTTATAGTAAAAGTTACCTTCTTAAGCTTTTTCTCCTTATAGGTAGAGAATTTATTATCTATAAGGCTAATTATATTATCTATTTATATACTAATAAGGCTAAAATCTTTATTATTAGGTAATAAAATAAGTAGGTAGGGGTTAAAGGTTAATAAATTTATCTAGAGATTCTTTTTATAATAGTAGTTATATATAGCCTACTAGTAGGTGCCTGCCTTAGTAATACTATAAAGTAGCTTTATTACCTTTATAATAAAGTTACTAGGGTAAAGATAGTAAATTTATATAAGAAGTCTTATAAGAATAATGTAGTTAAGTAGTGTTATAGATTAGGTATACGCCTAGGTAATATTACATAACTAGAGGTAAAACCTATATTATAAAAGTAATAAAGTAAGGGTAAGGATAAGTTACTAGGCTATCTATTAGATAGTAAGTAACTATATAAGGACTATCTCCTTACTATTATTAGTATAACCTTAAATAACTAACTATAATTTCTTATATAGTTACTTATTCTTCTCTTTAACCTTATATACTATATATAACTTAAAGATCTATATATTACTATATGTTTTCTTATTATAAGTAATAATATAAAACACACTATAGTTAATAAGGGCTTTTACCTCTACCTTATTAGATTCTTTAAAAGGCTTACCTAGCGTAGTAATAATACCTTTTTTATATAGTTTAATAGTAAGTATATAGTTAGCTTCTTCTTTTATAGTAAGGTATACGTTAGAAACGTTAACAGTAAGGTGTATCTTATAAAAGAATATAGTAATTAGGTTCTTTTATAGGCGTCTATAGCCTTATTATAGTAGTTACCTATTATTAATAATAATAGTATTATATACTTCCTTTATAGATTTACTAGCTATTATAGGCTCTTCTTTTTATACTTATATAAGATTATTACCTTTTTTAGCTGTTATAGGTAGTAGTGCTAATTAGCCTTCTTCTTATACTATATAGTATAGCTTTACTATAGTAATATAAAAATTATATAGGCTATAAGGTAATTTAATAATATAGGTAGTACTATTATTAGTAAGTAAGTAAAATAGGCCTTACTAGCTATCTTTCTTATACTATATATAGATAAGTAATTAAAGGGGTAGCGCTATAGTATTTATTATATTTAGGCTGTTATATATTACTAATATATTATATACTTATCTCTTTATATAGATTTATTATACTACGTTTATTCCTTTTTTTACTACTTTAGTACGCTATATAGTAGAAGGGGTAGGTAGTAAATTATTTATAATATAGGGGTATACCTTAAAAATAAGTAGAGTTAGCATAAGACTATTAGGGCTAGTAGTATTATTAATAGCTTTAATAGCTAATTAAAAGGTAACTTTAGGCTTATAATTACTATTTATATAAATAATCTTATACGTATAGTAAAAGGCAGTATAGTATTACTTAACCTTACTAATAGATTAATAAGCCTTAATAAGCACTTTATTAACCTTAATAAATAATATATAGGTAGTATATTTAAATTTAGCTATATAAAAATTTAGGCTAGTGTTAGTAGTAATTTAATTAGGTAGCCTAAGATATATATTAATTTAGTATATTTATAGTGCCTCTTATATATACTCTATAGTAACTAAATATAAAAATCTTACTATATTAAATATAGTAGCTAAGTTAACTATATAAAGTATAGGCTTATTACTATTTATATATATTATATTAATAAAGATTTTATAATTAAATTTATAGTTATTATATAGTATAAATTTAAAGTAGCTAGGCGCTTTTACGTTAAGTTAGTAGTAATAGTAGTACTTATTAATCTCTTTAAGTATAGTAAGGGAGGTAGATTTACCTACTTATTTAAGTAACTTATAAAAGTAATTTACTAATAAGTAGCTAAACCTATAGTAAATTTAGTGTAATTTACTATTAGTTAAGTGTTACTCTATAATAGCGCTCTTAGGCAGCTCTAAAAGTATCTATATATAGCCCTATTTTTAGGTAATAGGCATAATAATCTTATTCTTAATAAGCTAGTTAGTAAGATTATTAAATTTTATACTATAGTAATTTATATCTTATAAGTAAAAAAGAAATAGTATATTACTTATTATTATATAAAAAATAAGCTTACTAATTAGTATAAGTATATAAATTACCCTAAGGGATTTATAGTAATCCCTACTACTAAAGTAAATTATTACTTTACTAGTATAGGTAGTATCTAGTAAGATCTTTTTACTAAGGTGTTTTTTAAGGGTAAAGTACTACTACTAGCTAGCTATAAATATCTTAGCTACACCTATATTAGGTATAATACCTTAAAAGGTAGATATAAAGTAGTAGTTATTAAATATAAAGATATTACTACTTTTTATAGTTACGTTAGGTAATTCTTCTTTATATAGATTTTTATAGGTAATAGTATAAAACGTTACTTAGTTATATAACTTCTTATAGGTTAATAGGCTATTAATTAACTACTTACTAAAGTATATAGTTATAGTAAAAAACGTAGTAGATCTATAGTTTTTACTATCTAATAAGTAAGTCTTACTATCTTTACTTACTTCTTTAAGATAAATTAGCTTATTACCTTTATAGTTAATAAGAAAGTAACTAAAGGTAGCTTATAAAGCCTATATAAAGTAAGTACTTTTATACTATATAAAGGAGGCTTATTATTCCTCTTTAGTATGCTTAGTTAACTAACAGCCTAATTTACTATAGATAAAGCACTTCTTAGACAGATTACTATTATATAGTGCTTTACTACTAGCTAACTATAAAGTGCCTTATAACTAGCTATAAGGTATATTAGCTTATAGTTATACTAGCTATTATACTTATAGTTAACTTAATATTAATTATTACTATTATTATTACTAGTAATAAAGTATAACTATAATTTATAGTAAAAAAGTAAATTTACTATACTACTATATAGTTATATATAGAGGCTACTAAAGGTTAGGGGTAGATTAAGGATAGTAATAAAGTATTTAGGTACACTATAGTAGTAAGTAAGTAACTACTTATAATAATCTTTATTATATAAGGTGCTATTATAAGTAGTTACTTATACTAGCTAGGTAATTTATGTAATAAGTAATTTAAGCACTTTAAGCTTACTCTTACTAGTGTTTTCTCTAGTAATTAAATTAAATAAAGTATAGTAAAGCTTAGTAAGGCGTAAAAGGTATACCTTATCCCCTTTAAAGCGTTATTTAAGCTTTACTATTATTATATTAAAATTATTAGAATAACTAAGTAATAAGGTAGTATAATACTTATATAGCTCCCCTTTAAGTATTACTATTACTACTACGCTATAGTAGTTTTATAGTATGCCTATATAAACATAAAGGTTATAGAAAAACAGTAACTTTAAGTTAATAGTTTTATATAGGCTACTATTATATATTAAACCTAGATTATTTATATAGAACTTTATTAAGTCTATTAATTACCTTAGCGTTAGGCTATATTACCTACTTACTATTATAGTAGTTATAGCAGGCGTTACTACTTATAAAAAGCGTAGTTAGACTTAAGCCTTATATATTATTACTATTATTTAGGGTTTCTATAGTAATAAGGCTTAAGGAGAGATAAATAATAGGTTATTATATAAAGTTACTTTAGTAACTACTAGTAATTTATAAGTAGTTACTTATTTATCTGCTTTAGCTATAAGTATAGCCTTAATAGGTAACACTACTATATTAGTAATATCTTTATAAAAATTAGTATTTATTAGCTATTCTTTAAACCTTTTTATTTTATAAGTAATAGCTACTATTATTTCCTTATCTTATATAACTTACTTATTATTATAAGTAGCTTTATAAATCTATAACATAACTATTAAATTCTTTAATTAGTTAACTTATAATCTTTAGCTAGTAAGGTAGTTATATAACTTCTTAGTTACTTTATTTAGTAATATAGTAAAATCTTTAACTAACTAATCTTTAAAGTTAAATTATATCTTCTCTTAAAGGATACTATATAGATAGTTATAGTATTTATACTTAGAGATATAGAACGTAGTAATAGTAGTAAGCGTGTTCCTCCTCTTAGTAGCTATAAGATCTTATAGCAGCTTAGTAATATAGTCCTTTTACTATCTATTAGTAAGGATAAATTCTTTTAGTCCTTTAGGCACTTAGTATCTTCTTATAATTACCTCTACTTACTTAGTAGCGTTAGGTAGTAGCATGTACTTAGGGTAAATTACCTTAGGCTGCCTAAAAGCGTTATTACCCTATACGTTATTTACGCCTTCTTTACCTTAGTAGCTTATCTTAGTTACTTACTTATAATTACCCTCTATTAGCCTAACTACCTCTTAGTTATAGGCGTTTCCCTTAACTATTATTAAAGGGCGTATATATCTATTAGAGGATTTACTACTAGTAGTATAAATAATTATAAAGACTTATAGTTAAATAAAACTTAGAAAGAGAAGGCTTATAATAGGCTTATAGATAATAAAGGCTGTTACGTTAGTAACATAAAATAACTTAGAGGAAATAGGAAAAGATATTTAAAAAAAAAAAAGTTAGTAAGCTTTATAGGCTTATAATAAAAGAAGATAAAGGGTAAATAATTACTAATTAATAATAAGTTAGTACGTAAAGTAAGGTGTTTTTTATAGTTAAGAGTGCTTTTTATAAAGTAATAAGGCTTATATATATAGACGTAAATTACTAGGCCTTTACTAACTATAGGAGGTTAGGTATTATTATCTTAGTAATTAACTTATAAGGGCGTATAGTATAACAGCGTTATAAGGGTATTTATAGTAACGTTTTTTAGTAAAGCCTACTCTAGGCCTCTATAAATAGTTAACAGTGTTATTACCTCTTTTTATAATACCTTACTAATCTATAGTATTTTTAGTAGTAGTTATAGTAAAGTTAACTACTAATTAGTATTAGTTTTACTAAGGTAGTAATATAGTTAACTATACGTATTAATAGGTAAGTAATAAATAATAGGGGTAAATACTAGTCCTGAATTATACGTAAAGAAGGAAAACTATTGTAGGATTATGTGGCGAATTTACTGCGTAATATCCCTGTGGATCTGGTGGATCCATGGCGAATTGGCCGTAGTTATTCCGGCCGATCGGCGTTAATCTATACCGCCAATATCCAGGCGATGGTCAACATCGCAACACCAACACTTCGCAAACCGTTCTATTGTTCTGCAATCACACCTCAGCAGAAGATCACCTAACAGCCCACAAATAAACCTTTCACCGAGTTCTCTCCTGAACTATGTCTGTAGCAGTGGTCTGACTGTATTTATGGAAGCTTGCTTGCTCCAAGTACAGCCATTCCATATACAGGTTGACGAAGTCGGTATCGGGTGTCGTGTCGGCGGATGTAGATACCCGGGCCCAATATCTGTAATACGAGCCTTATCAGTAGGCTTTTGAAAGTAGCCTTGGCGAGTGTTACCTTGCAATTATTGTCAAATATCCAGCTCTTCTACTATGAGGAGCTTTGGAAGTCTAGGATTGATTGTCAGGCTATTGATCCAGACTGGCATTACGGAACATGTATATCTAGTGAAGAAACTCGTTAAAGTCTCTGAGCCGTGCCCCTTCACAACCGGCCAAGACTTCAATCTCCAGTCTCAAGACTGGGCTCCTTGATGAGAGCCGAGAGTCTCGCAGTTCGTTGTCCTTGAACACAGTTCAGTCTCGAGTAAGTTGGCTAGGTTATTGCTTGGGCACGGGAAACCGGATATGCCGCGATCGAAGTTGCGGAGGAGCAAGCATTATAGACGAAGTGGGCGCGCGTGAGGCTATCTCCACGTAAGGACCTTCTTGGTTATGACGAACTCTTCCATTCCCAGTCATGTTCATACAGTTACATCGGCTGAGCGATTTGATCGTACTAGCAACGGGGTTGTGGGAACTTTTTAACCCAACCGGCTCTACTTGGCCTTTCTCACACATGCATTCAGGGATGCTCAACGCCAACTCAGGCTCGAGGTTAAAATATGTTCTTCCTGGGCAGCATCTCTATTCAAGTCTGAGATGCTGTCAACTGTAACTCACATAAGATTGCTTGCATCTGCGAAGACGTCGCCGTAAACGGCCTTCGACGTGATCTTGGCAAGTCCTGAGACCCTGCACACGGCTTTCATGAGGTACCCCATCTCCGCGCGGACGGACGCGTGGACCACATCTCGGCGAGGTCTACGGAGCAGACACCTACCTACCTACCTACCTACGGAGCCACGGGCTTGGATGGCTTGAATATCACACTAGTGTATTCTGGTACTATGCTTGAATAAGTGCGATTCCGTCCGGATAGTAAAAGAAACTTATCACCAAGACATAACCAAACATCGTAATGTGAGCGTGGCAAACAATCCCATTATGAAGGGCAGCGGCCACTGAGGCAGCGGAGGGAAGCGAAGCTGTCATGCCGTGTAAACAAAAACAAAACAAAGACGGTCACTCACCCTCACCTCAACGTAAGACAGGCCACATGACCTGCATCGTAAGATCTGAAATGGAAGCAACGAGAAGACTTTGCCTCGTTTCCTCTCTCGTACGTCATCACATCCCCCCCAAGGTGAAAGCAGAAAATAGAACATGACAAGGGAAGGGCCTAGTGGGTATTAAGGTCACTCGACACCACCGCGACGGGGGCAAGGTACAAGGGGACCACCTGACACAGTCAGCCGGGGCGGGCTTACCGAGAGACCGAGACTGTCACGACACCGAGATCACGTTCCGCGCGGGTTCGCACAAACGGATCTGATAAAACGGTATGGCATCGGCGCGATTGGTACGCACACGCGATACCCGCGTGTCGTCTCTAAAACATACTTATCCCTGGACAAGCAAACAGCAGCGCTTCGACTATGTGGCCATGCTCACTTCCGAGTCATATCTCATCATACAAATCGCGTTTGTGGAGACCACTCTGAGCACAAAACGGACGGAATGATCGCTATAACTGGGGCTTAGCCTACGGTCATGGTCATGGATAAACTGGGAAAACGGATTAGAACTCATGATACAGTTGTATGTACACTTGATGGACATATATACAGCGTGCGCCGTCCCCGGCCGCCGTGCATGCTAGTCCAGTCCTCTCCTCCGCTCCCTGGCCACCATTGCCCGTACGCGTGCAGCGTCAGGCTGGAGCTTCTGTATACGACACGCTGCTTCTTCAGGACTCCTCCTACTAACAGTACTGCTACTAATGCTGCTCTTGGCGGGACTCGCGTCACGGCGGCGGAGATGGGGTATCTTTGGTGAGAGTGCGCGAAAGGATTGGGGTATCGAACGAAAAGAAGATTTACTATCGAGGTAAGACGCCGCCGCGGCTGCCGATGTTGTTGTTCTGGCTGTTGTTTCTTGTATAGGAGTTGGGGTCTCCGAAGACTCCATGATGTCGTCACAGAGATCGAAAGGAAGCTGGGTCGTGGGAAACTCTTCTTCGCATTCGTAATCTTCAATGGCATTCTCGGTGTATTCGTTAGGTTGCTCTTCCTCCACAGTAGATTCACGCGTCAAATGATCATCATGTAGGTCGGATACCGATGTCGTCAGGGAGTCAGGGTCTTCGGACTGTGAGGTATCTTCCTCGTCGTCGTCGTCAACACACTGAAATTGTCTCCCTTGGAAACGGCCGGATTCCGATCCGGAGAACGATAAAGTTCGCGCAGGCGTGAGGTTGTGAAGGACATAGCTGTGTTCCTGGTCGATGGGCGATGATGCAGCGGTTTCGGACAGGGTCGTCATGGAGCGGGGGGAGGGAGGTAGGTCGGTAGTGATGGCGGAGGAGGAAATGGAAGTCGAGATGTGCAAAGGCTCATGCGTCATAATGGGCTTTTGGTCGTCATCGTGAAAGAAGCAGGGACCGTCGACATCGTCGAGGCTGCTCAGGTTGGTACTCGCGGTACGAGAGCTAGAACGATCGCTGAAGGAAGTGCCGTTGGACGAGGCCGGGTAGTAGCCTTGCGTGCAAGAGTAGTCGTCAGGCAGGTAACTCGAGAACAGTCGCACGAGGGAGTCGAGCGAGCGTGTCCGGAATAGCTGCAGGGCATAGGACCACTGCGCCGTGCCGACCAGTTTGGGGTTGGCAATGATCTCGACTGCAGCGAGATCAAGGGAGGCATTGAGTTCCTGGAGACGTTGCTCCTTACGATCAGCCATCATACGGTGGAACTCGTCGGCGGTGACGGCAATACGAGAGATCTCGCAGACATCGTTGTGGAAGGCTTCGGGGTCTTGGATGTTGGACGGGAGGGTGTTGTATTTATCTTGTAGCTTGGTGGAGAGATCGTCTCTCTTCATCCCAAACTTCCAGAAAGGCCATGAACAGCCCGGGTCGTCCATGTTATTGCGGAGAGTCGGAGGAGATGGTGGTCAAAGGGGCGTTGTCGATAGAGAGGATGGGTGGTAAGGGGGTTCGAGGAAGGGCAGATGCTGCTGGGCGAGGCCCTGGGCTTCGGTGTGTAAATTCGCAGAAGGTGAGGATTGTGTTGACGACATGAGAGGCATTTCAGTAACTGAGGAAATCCATTTTTGGCAATAGTGTAATGGGTGAATGGCGAAGACGCGAAGATTGGTGGTTTGATGGGCTAGATGATGATGACAATGGACGGTTTCAGGGCGTGGAGACACTGAGGAGTGCGGGAATGAGTTGGTCGGGGGGGTGCTGGACCGCAATGTTGTGAGGCAGAGCCGGACGAACATCAGGCCGACTCAAAATATCGCCCAAAGTCACGTGCAGCCGGACTGGATTGTGGAATGACGGGCAAGAGCAGGGGGAAGGCAAGTAGGTGGGGGCCGCTAGTCAGCGCTTGCGCCTGGCACACCCCTGCGGAAGCCGAATGACCCCTGTCGATATTGGCGAAATGGGAACACATGGTCGGGCTAGCCTGGCATTCTTAGACTCCGCCACTCTAGCGACCCAATGAGGAGCGAGGATAAGACGCAGGGTGCCATGGCAATGACGAAATGAGCCAATAGGATCGCTGACTAAGGCTGCAAGTGTCACAGCGTGTCCACCGATGCACGCCACGAGACGAGAATGTCTAATCCGGGCGCAGGCAGGCAGGCAGGCGCAGCCGGCAGGGCAGGGCTTTACCTACTGGGTAATACTCCGCCTGCTGAAGCAACTGAGTGCAGCCCGCCCCGCCCCTCCTACCAGGAAGGGAAAGAAGGAAGGAAGGGAAAGAAAGTGGAAGAAGGAAAGAGCTATGACGAGAACGGTGAGAGTAAATTCTTCTCAAGGATCAAGAATGGCTCAGTCATCCGGCGCATCGCTTCCTGAGCCAATCACCACATGACTCTTCTACTATTTACTACCTACCTACTACGGATACTATGGATTGATTGCTTAACCAGGCTGCTCTCATCCGTTCCTTCATCCAGGGCACATACATTCCCGCCCATCACGATTCAACCAACATCCATTATTCGTCATAACCCGTCATCGCGATTCAGCCATAGCGCCGTCTTGGACATCTGGCTTTCGATCTGAGTCCGGCAGTCAAGCTGACTGACACTCGAGGATGAATCTCCCAACAAATGCTCCGTACAGTCTCTCTCATAAGAGGCCTCGTCCGCACCTGTTCCAGTCACGGACGGCCCGCTGTCTCTTATATCCCTATTTCTTCATCTCATCGGCCTCGACGCGTGAAGGCACAGAGGTCAAGTGACCATGTCCCATTCGTGAGATTGCGTCAAGTCGGGTCAACTGTGAGGGACCTACCTGACTGGCACTGCAACACCTGCAGACCATCAACTCGCTGCCACTTACTCTGTCGGTCCGCTAGCGGGAGGCCGTTGTCCAGAGGCGTTTGTGGCTGGGGCCGCCGCCAGCGTTTCCCGGTTTGGCCGGACGGATGATGAATCGGGGACTGATTGACGACTCCCTCATCTTCCCTCATCTAGCCAATGTCACTCTGCACGGAATATGTGCCTCCAAGGTACTTATGCAGCTCTCGTTGACCGGGGCTGATGAAATGCCAGATCTCAAATGAGAAACGATGTCCCTCCCCCAGCACAGAGCGCCTTTTGTTGGTTAGAAACCCTGCAACGCTTCAGCCCGTAATTCAGTTGATTTTCCTTTCCCCCTCTTCCCCCCCTCCCCAATTCTCCAGGCACCCGTCGCTTTCCATAGGGTTAGGGGACTCTTTATTCTCGGACGGATATGCGCCCTCCCTCACTCGCTCAAACATACCTTCATCTTTATGCTCAGAGCGCATCTTTGCTCTTCCTACGTTGATGCACAGACGCTGCTGTGCTAACCCCCGACTTGACAGTCTCATTCTCTCATACACTGCTCAGTGCCGTATTATACATAGTAGTAAACCCGTTTCTCTGCCCTGCTGTTCAGCGTCGGCCGGCGGATTGACAAAACCACTTGAGGCTGAGCCTCCATCAGCAGGCACTCCCATAAGGTCCCGAGGTCCCTCTCCCCCCCCATCCATGTCAGCTCGAACCCCGTTTCCTCCCCGTTTCTCCCATCATCCGTCGCCTGGTTCCAGCTGGACGTTTGGTTGCTCATCTGTCCATCTGTTCATCTGACGTCGAGTCTAATCTCAGGTTGCCCTCTTTCTCTCTCCCACTATCCGATTGTTTGGTCGTGCCTCGGAGGCTCATTAATGCTGTGCTGTTCCTGCATCGGTGCCTCGCAGATTGTTTCTCTTGTTTCTTTTCCCCTTTCACTCTTTCACGCCTCCAGCTGCACACCTACATCACGATTCGAACCCTGCCCCTCATTACCAGCCTGACCACGCTCAGCCTGTCAGCCATTTCTCACCACCGACCTGTCTATCTGCCTGCCTTGCTTGCCTGGTAGCTCCGGAAACATACGCCATTTCACACCAAATCCACATAGCCGAATCAACAAGCCAATCTTGGCTGAATCCTACTCCATCTTTAACTGCCACATCGACTCTATTGAGTGACCTTGGAGTGTGAGTGAAGCGCATGGGCCACGCTGGCTAGGCAAAAACATCGTCAACTCTATCTTGCTTGATGGGAGACCGCCGGGTCCGCGGCTCGGAGGAGCCGTCGGAAGAAAAGACGGAACCGTTCTCGCAAACCGAAATCGACGCCCGCATGAGGAGCATCCGCGTCGAGGAGCCCTTTGAGCTCACCCAAGCTGATCCAGTGCCGCTCGATAGGCTGCGTGTCGAGGAGCACCACCACAAGCAGGGCATTCGCATCCTCGTGCGACCACTCACCCGGAGCCGCTCTGTGAGCCCAGGTAACTACAATTGCCAGTGGCTCGCCCTCCGCGCCGAGGTTGCGTCCGAGCAGGAGCCCCAGCACAAGGTCCTCGCCGTCTCCCAGACGTCCCGGGACATCAAGTTCTCCGTGCGCATCCCGCCTGAACGGCTCGACGACGATACCCCGCGCCCGCCTCTGTGGTGCGAGCTCTACTACGACCCAACTAGTGACAACCAGATCCTGTTAAACCGGTCAGAAGTGCCCATATCATTAACAAGAATCTCCGACGGCCCGGCTTCCGCCGCCAGTTGGAGTGTCAATCCCGGAACCCCAAAAGCCCTGTCGCCTGGCACATGGAGGATCAACGTCCGCGAGATCGAAGTTCTCGACTTTAGGATATTGGAGAAGCGACCCGCCTTCTTCAAGCAGGCGGATGCCGCCGGCAAAGAGGAGCTCACTTCCAGCTCAAATGCAGACGCCTTGAACGCCTCTGGTAAGCGGTCCTTCGCCGCCGACGACGGAGAGCCGCGGTCCGAGAAGAAGGCGCGTACCACGCAGGAGGCCGTCACGACGAGAAACGACAAGGAAGACGGCGTCATCATGTTCCTCAGACCAGCAGCCGAACCTCTCGTGTTCCCCCTCCCGACTGAAGCCAAGAGCAAGGAGGTCGTGCCGACCAACGGCCACGCCCTGCTCGACATGCAGCGAGACGAGGCCGTGGTGATCCCGGGCGGCTGCGAGATCGACGAGTACACCGTTAGCAAGCGCGACCAGATCGCGTCGACGGCGCTGTCGTCCGTCTTCACGGCCGAGCACTCCAACGTGCCCGACGGCATCGTCACCGTCAAGGTCCTCAAGACGCGCTCGGCCAACAACGCCGGCCCCAAGCCCCAAGACAACGAGCGCAACGTCATCCGACAGGCCGACATGTGGCTGCGCGAGTACCAGAGCCAGGATGACCTGCACCACGAGTCCATCGTCAAGCTCTACGGCGGCGACGCCCGCTACCTCTCGCTCTACATGGAGCACGTCGATGCCAAGGACCTCTCGGCCAAGGGCGTCTGGCGCAGCCACGTCGACCACAGCTTCCTCGGCACCCGCGCCGATGCCTTCGCCATCATGCGCGACATCAGCGGCGCCCTCCACTACCTGCACGACAAGCACCTCGTCCACAACGACATCAAGCCCGCCAACATCCTGTACTCGCCCGCTCGCGGCGCCGTGCTCTGCGACTTTGGCTTGTCGACGCACACCAGTGGGCCCGTCACGACGGGTGGCACGCCCTACTATATCCCGCCCGAGTTCATTGGTAGGAAGCTCCGCGGTCCCCCCTCGGACGTCTGGGCGCTCGGTGTGACGATGCTTTACGTGCTCGGCAAGATCCCCTTCCCGGACGCCCGCTCGCGCAAGGGCGCCAAGCCCGCGTTGTACTGGATGATCGCAGACGTCAACCGCACGCCGACCCAGCAGCAGCAGCAGCAGCAGCAGCAACCGCACCAGCAATGGGGGTCGGCCGTCGACCTCATGTACGTATGGCTGAGCGAGGTCGCGCTGGCGAGAGACAGGCTCTACCCGCGCGACAAGCTCGAGCGACTCGTGTCGGACATGCTGATCGCCGTCCCGAGCCAACGCATCACCATGGCGCGCGTCGTGCGGGAGCTGTATCTGATGGAGCAGCAGGCTCTCGCCAAGAGATGATCTGATCAAAGATTTTCTCTCGTGTGTTTTTCCCCCCTCCGCATCAAGGACTTGTTTTACAGTCGAAACTATACGTTGATGACTTTGTTATTGTTTTTGTTTTTGCTCGGATAGACGTCGTTGGGTTTACGACTATGACGCGAGATGTTAAATGACGTTTACCGCGAGAGATACCACTTGTTGTTGAGGAGAGCATCGTTTTCTTTTTCCTGGAGCTTCATCAAATTACCCATTTGTGTTTTCGCTGGCCCTCTCACTCCGTTCACGCGGGAGGAGGCCCAGATTGCATTGCATTTCCATCCGATCTCGTAGACATATACAAATATTCTAAGCATAGCATGGAGATGTATTTTCTCTTCTCTTTTCATTATCAATATCTGGGCATGTTGAGGATGGGCTGGTATCAAAGCATACGTGTACATTAGAAGGCCATTCGCGCAAACTCAACGCATTCCTCGTGACGACCCGTCATCATCCGTGATGTTTCATCAGACTTCAGTCGCCCTTCTCCACCCCGCGTCTTTCATCGTCTAGCACATGCAGGGCCGCCGCTCCTTACAAGCTCATCCCAAAGACGAAGGCCATGCTAAGACCAACGACGGAGGAAAGAGCGAGGAGGTGGGAGCCGCTGCGGGCCGCGCCGCTGGTGCCGTCGCCGCCGCCGGTCGAGTTGCCGGTGCTGTTCCCGCTGCCGCTGGTCTCGTTGGTGGTCTGGTCTGTAACGGCGTGTAGCGTGACGCCCTCGGTCTTGCACTGCTCTGAGGACAGGGTGGTGGCGTTGGAGGTGAACCGGAGGTCGGCGCACTGCGTAGCGTCCCAGTTAGCATCTTAGTCCACTCAATAAACAACGCTGCCGATTCGAAAACGTGAATTAGAGGGTGGGGGAGCGGGGAAACACGTGCGTTGTACAGGCCCGAGCCCGAGTCGCCGACAGTGACGACCTGCAGACTGCCCCGCTGGCCGTTCTGGGCGGGCTCGGGGAGGGGGAGTTTCTCGATGCAGAGGGTACCGGAGCCGGTGGCGTTCCACAGCTCCGGAGTCAGGGTGATGTTGTACGTCGTGATGTTTCCGTTGGCCTCCATGCCGAGGTTGATAAAGACGTAGGTCCAGTCGTGGTGCAGGTCAAGTGTGACGGAGCCGCCGTCGAGAGGCCAGTCGGTGACGTTGCCCTGACCGTAGGGGACGCCGGCGCCTGAGGTCTGTCAGCCATGCGAGGTCTTTCGAAGCTCGTACCTCTCCTCAACGTCCACGTTAAGAAGAAGAGCAAAACGGGGAGAACGGGGGCTAGGGAAGGGGAAGGGACATACAGGGGTACGTCCACTGCGAGTAGATCTCCTCGTTGACCTCGCTGAGGGTGTCGGCGCGCCACGAGGGGTAGACGAGGCCGAAGTGGGCGGACGCGAGGTTCGCGGCGCCGAGGGCGACGAGGAGGGTCTTGCAGGCCATGGCGATTCGAGGTTTCCGCTTCTGTTTCTGTTTTCAAAGCCCTGTACGGCGTGATCGAGGATGTTTCGAAATAAGAGAGCGAGAATGCCAAGACGTAGGGAGAAAGAAAGGCGAGATTACACAGACGACGAGAGTTGGCGACCGAAGCACTTAATATATACGGGCGCCCGATCTCTCATGTCGAGGCAATACATGGCATTGGTAGCCCCCAAGCGAGAAAGCTTATCCCCTCCGTCGGGAGAGAGACATGAACAATGACGCGAGCTGTAGCTGCAGCGGAAGATGAACTAAAGCAGCCCTAGGGGGGGTCCCCCAGCTTCTCTCCCCGTCTCGCTGGCTCGCATGAGGGGCGGGAAACCACCTCGAAAACGCCACAAGGCATGCCGCCAAGCGAAGAGAATTTCGCCAAAGGGACCTATGGCAATCATCCGCCTTCGCGGGTTATACAGCGACAAGCCATGGTCGTCACATCTTAGCCCGAGCTGGTTCGGCCGTTCGGCGGGGCTGGGCGGCGCATCTTCATTGCAAGAGGCACAAGGAAACGACGGTGAGTCGATTATCCTCCCCCCCGCAACAGGAAGGTGAGCCAATAGAGGGCGCCAATTGAGCAAGTTTTCCTTTCTCACCCGTCTTGGCGTAGTGGGGAGAGGGACAGCTGTCTAGGCAAGATTCAGCGGCATAGTGTTTGTTCTGCACAGGAAACAAAAAGGCTAGACATCGACGAAGGAACGATGAGAGTTGATAGAGGCTCAAGATGTGGCATGGTTTCCCCCCTTGCCTGGGCGACGAATCAGAGGGGTGTGTGGCGTGGGATGGTTGGCGCTAGTGCGGTGTCTCTGGACGCAAGTATCTTGCTCAAACTCCCGCACCCGTGGCCCGAATGGGGGAGGGGGGATGACATGCGCGCGGGATTGGGCCCAGGACGAAAGAACGTGGTTAGAGGATGGAGGGAGTCGGAATGAAGCCCCGTCTGTTGTCCGGGCGATTACACGTGGCGACGGAGTGAGTTGTGCCAGATGGGCGTGCACTTTCAAAGAGGTGGTGGTATTTTTGTGGTAGAATGTTTTTTTTTTTTCTTTTTTTTTTTTTTTTTTTGGATTTGGAAGAGGGCGGATGAGGTTTGGCGTCTGTGTGGCTTCACAGCTACAACTACAGTGACAGCCGGGTAAGACTGTGCAATTTGACACAAATTCTTAAGTACAGTCCTTTGGACGGAGTTTGATATAGGTTGTGTCGATTATAATGGTCGGACATGGATACCAGAAGCGCATGTCCGTCCCTTCACCTGTCCCACCTCGCGCCATCAGAACGGGACTTGTTCCTTCTCGAGGAGGCCGTCCGCCGCCCCGCTCCGCAGATTCGGGACGAGACCGGAATCCCCTGCCACCTGTCCGGGGGTCCGGATCATCTCCACACGACCCGGCGCGGGTGCGGCGAGAGTTTCGGTGGTCCTTGAGCCACGCCCCAGAGAAAGTGGGGGACGTGTACGAGGTGACGACGCGAAGCTTGGCCGACCCCGCCGGCGAGTCTATCTCGACTGCACCCGCTGGCTTGGGAACCCCTCATGCCTGATGGAGGACAGGGACTCCGTGCATTAGGCGCGGTGTAGTCGCAGTCGTCTTGGTCTTACGCTCGATGTGGTCAGAAACATTGCTAGTTGAGACATCACGATGCAACAATTCTGGTCATGATGAGCTTGATGATCTCAAATGTGTTGAGCTATCTCAACAGCTGACTCAGCGGTCACAAGCGCCGATGGTTTAGTGGTAAAATTCTCCGTTGCCATCAAGCAGCGTCGGGGAGCCGGGGGTTCGATTCCCCCTCGGCGCATCGTCTTTTGCATTTTGCTGGCTGGTTCGTCCTCTAGGTCTTAACAGTGAGTGAGTGACATGTATGTATGTATCGTATGCTTGTGTAATTAATGTGTTTATTGGTTTAGTTATTTGCTTAGCTTGACAGGAGTTGACAGTTGCATGGAGAGACGGGTGGCCTATTTATGGGAAGGCACGATGTATTTGTGGTCGGCGGGTTATTAGTAGCGCGTCAAGTCGCGAGGGTTGATCCTGTCTGAAGGGCCCGACTGGAGGAGGGATAGCATCTAGACTTGGCTCGCCGCGCTGTCCAATACGATGTATAGTAACGTATGAGAGTCGGCAACGGTCATCAAGCATTAGGACACAAGACTACCCAAGTCTAAAAGTTGAAGTCGCATCTGTAACACAGACTACTCTCACGGATGGACTCAGCGTAAGGCGGCCAATAATGGACAAGCATTTGGAGGTCCCCTTGGCAAGTTGTGGAGAACGCCGCGGCGGCCTCAAGTAACTTGTATCTTTTGATTTTTTTTTGGGCCTAGCCATGTGGGGCAAAGCTCGAATTAGCGAGCCACTGGCCCCACCCAGTCAGATTCCGCCTACCGTTCTGCCCCGTCCGGTGCGGATAGGTACTTTAGCGTTAGATGTCGAGATATTATCAAGTATTTCCATCAAACGCGATTATGGCTTTCAATGGGAGAGCAGTCTGGTATTGATGCCGAGAGTATCTCAAAAGTAGTGGTAGTCTACCACATGCTCATTTTATGTCGCTTGAGCTCGCTATCGACAAGAAAAGAGCCGATTAGCCTTGCTTGACATAACATTTAATCTGGGCGTGAAGTCACCGTCTCTGGTGGACCCCGATTGTGGCAGCGCACGGGCCACTGAGGCCAAATCGCTGCGCCCCCGCGAAACGGCACAGGCAACCACTCAGAAGCGACGGGGTCGAGTCACTGGATCGTTCAAATCCCCAGGCAGCCCTCGCGCATCTCGAATCCGAATCTCTCTCTTCCTCATCCGACTACCTTCAATCTCTCTACCCCTTCTCACCTTTACCTTATCTCATCACAGCTGACCTTACCTATCGATACAAGCTCTCTCCAGCTTTCCTCGCAACCCTCGACCAATCTCATCCAATGCGCTGGTTGTAGCCGTTGTATCAATCGTCGCCAACATGGCTTTTATGAAACCTCCACCCGTCCTGGACCCATGGGACTGTCACGACTTTGATAGAGGTCCCGCGCATCGCCTCGACGGGAATCGACACGCGTGCAACTATGTATTGCTTGCCCTTCGCCGACAGCCAAATCGCACGGAACTTGGACAGGTTAGTTAACGATGAATAGAAGGAACTTCTTCTCTCGAACCGAGAGGCTAACAATACCCTCCTAGCCCCAATGCTGCAAATCCGTCCTATCCAAAGACTGGAACCCAACCCAGCCTTGTGACTCAGCCGACGGCATACAGTCCTTGGCCCCTGTTGACAAAAACCTCGCCGAAGTCCACACTTTTGACCTAGCGAGCATGGAGCGTCGAACTCCAGACATCAATCCTACTTCCCTTGACGTGCTCCCAGAATCGCTTTCCGAATTCAATGAATTTGGTTCCGAGTTCGACGAATTCGGAATAGCGACTTTGGGTGCATGCAGTAACTGCCTGTCCACTCCAAAGCGTGAACGCTCGAGAGGACGGGAAGATATCATTATGGCTCTCTCGGTTGCTCTCTAATGTGGTGACGATGTTGTTGCTTATTCGCACTGGTAAGCTTACCGCTCGCTCGCAGCATGCTCGGCTTGTGATATGATCCTGACGACAGCTTCCAGGTTGGCCAAGGACCTGAGTATGTCGTAAAACTTCTCGATCGGCCATCTAAACCTGATAGCGCCTGTCTACAAGATTCCACGCAACCAACGCCTTTCGCAAACAACCTGACTCAGCAGATCGCCGAGTTAACAACGCTCTGCCACCACGACCCCCTTTTTCTGCATCTTCTAGCTTCTGAGACGGATTTGAGTTCCATGCCTGTTGCGACGTTCGACGTTGGCAGGCTCGCAAGCAACGACACCACCCCTTCCCCCCAGTCCAACCCCCCCTCTTCTCTTATGGCGGTCATTACCACGGCCTGGCCCTACGGGGCCCTGCCGGTATCCGCTGCACACGACGACGATATGGACGGCAACATGGCCCAGCTCTCGCCCCTCTCCGAGCTCTATGAGATGCCGGACGAGACCGACGACTGGGCCGTGCTCATGCAGCAGGACACCTTATTCACCGGCGCCTTCGAGATGGCGAGCTTCGACTATCCCGCCCTGAGCACCGACTATCTAACTACCGACTACCAGACTACCGACTATCAAGCCGCCGACTACCTGACCAATGCATCCCCCCAGGACATTTTCACCTACCCTGCCGTCCAGTACGACATTGAGCAGAGCCTCCAAACCGCTGTCTTTGACTTCAATGCCCCCCTGCCCGACGTGTCCGCCTCCGGCTACCTGTCCGGCGTCGACCAGCTCTCCTCCTACTTCGGGAGCACAAATACTTCCCCTTATGAGTCCGCCCTCGACTTCTTCCCCGAAGCCGGTGACTTCTCCTCTTTCGTCTTCCCGGACAGCGCCGACGGCTCGTCCCCTGAGGCTATTACTGCTCCTACTACTACTTCAGCCGCCACCACCGCCTCCCCCGACTCGGACGCCGGCAGCACCGGCGCCAGCGCCGCGTCCCACCCGTTCCGCTGCGCCGCCGACGGCTGCGCAAAGACCTTCCGCAAGGAGGCCCAGCTGAAGCAGCACCAGCGCGTCCACCGCAAGGCTCTCGTCTGCAACATCTGCCGCGCCGAGGGCCGCCCCGAGCACAAGTTCGCGCAGGTCCGGGACCTCGAGCGCCACCTGCAGGCGCGCCACCGCGACGTCGCCGCGCGGGCCAACGTCCGCTCCGAGATCCGCCGGTGCCCTCACCCGGGCTGCGAGCACGAGGGCCGCCGGGACAACGTGTCGAGGCACCACAAGAGCAAGCACGGCAAGGAGCTCAAGTGGAAGAGGGGCACCCCGCACGTGGTGGGTTGAACACACACACGCATACACATACACGCGCACACACAAGGAAAGGAACCAAATTCAAGAGCGTTGCGAATTCTAGGCGTTTTGGTAATTTCTTTTTAACATGCACTTCGCATTGGAGACCTTTTTAGGCTTTGGGAATATCTCGGTCGTCTAGCACAATGATTTTAGACAATAAAAACACTTCAAATAACTTGGGCTGCTTCCTGTGACATGTCTTTCACAGCTTGTGGTTATGACGGCTGAGTATGGGCGTCTTCTCTCGCCGGGAAATGAAAAACCGCACCAGTGATCATTGGCAAGGGTCTGGAACCGGGTTATTACTTCTTGTATAATAACCTGCCGGTGAGCTGGCACGAACATCCCACGCCCGTCAAGAGCATCCGGGACAATCCCGAAGCATGATTCAAAACATAATACACCGAACGAACACATAAATACGATTATAACGTGAGTCTTTGGACATGTGCCGCGTGCGGTCCAACAAGGTAAGAGGGTTGGCATGCATCACACTAGATCAGCCGGCGGGGCTGGCGTATCCACAGGCCGCTTCCGGGCCGCTCTCCCGAACTGAACTTACATCTGGCCGACTTCCATCCACACTATTGGTATTAAAGCTCTCATTAGTACGAAGAAGCAGTGTAAGAAACCAGTATGAAACTAGACACCGGTAGAAACGTATTCTCCAAGTGCATACCCTTGATACCATCTACTCGTGTAGAAAATAGCGCAATACCCCATGTCTAACGTCCAAGCGCGGGAATGTTCTTCTGGCCCTCAATGTTTCCCTCGCGTTAGTGGTATAATGTGAAAGAGTGGAATCCTTCTGGTGGCAGCGCTGGATGGCCTGAGTTGTACGTATACCTGCATATCTGGTACCGGGAACCCTCCAATGGAGGTCAGGGCCAGGGAGGCAACATGCTCTCATTGGTTTTCAATTTGACAGACATTGATAACACCCCGCTGTTGGAGCATGTCAAGTCTGCAAGAAACTTCAACCCCGGACTCACACCGGAATTGTAGACAAACATGGAAAACGAACCGATCATTGGTGCATCCCCCATGATCACGCGACTACTTTCGCCAATACTGGCTGCCCTGCCAAGGTCAGGAGTGCGGGGACAAAAAGCAGCTACAAGTACTGATTTCCTCTCTATCTGGGAAAAGCATTTCTTACCATGTTTCTCTCTCCAGCATTGAATGTGCAGTATCCATTGCCGATAGGTTGAATGCCTACCATCTTCATTGGACCATCAGACTATTAGAACGATAACTTCGCGTATAACTTGTACTGATTTGACGATGGCCGACCCAGCGAATAGCCTACCAGCAGTCGCCAACCCTACAAGGTTGGAAACGGCCTCACCAGCAGGGGAAAGGTCACCCGAAACAGAACTCGAGCCAAACGTGATTGAAGTCGAGGATACTGACGATGTACGTAGCCTCAGGCACAGTCCAACCTACAACTTGTTCTGATCAAACCACTAGCTGAACGAGACTGCATCCAACATCGACGACCGAATGTAAGTTTGAGAATTATCGTTATTTGGCAGAATCTGATAGTCCAGTTCCACGTACACGGCGTCTTTGTCCTCAAGTGTCGTGGATTATCCTACCGAGAATGGTCGCCGGTATCACGCCTTCAGAGCAGGAGGTGAGCATAAAGTGGTTGGCCTATCTAGTACGGGATACTAATAAATGAGTAGCCTATTACGGTCCGAATGATGAAGTGACTCGCTTTCCTGTGACCTGAGAAATACGAGTTTGGAACTAATCGGTCTTGATTTGACAGAGCGAACAGGACCGCCTTGACTTCCATCACGCAATGATTGTGAAGCTGATTGGGAAGAAACTGTTTCTGTCGCCCATCAATACTGAAAAATCTCAACGGATACTCGATATCGGTACTGGGACCGGTGTTTGTATGACGCCTACTTCAACTTCCGCAGTTGGTTGCTAACGAACCCAGGGGCCACGGAAGTGGGAGAGCTCCTTCCTAACTCAGAGGCATATGCAACCCTATATTACCAGTCGTTGCTTTACTCTGAACAAGACTAACTTGCTGTCTAGATCATCGGCAACGACTTGAGTGCAAACCAACCAACTTGGTAACTGCCAGCCGCCTACTAATTTCGGCCAAGAACCTAACGCTGACCTCTGCAGGGTTCCACCCAACGTCAAGTTCGAGATCGATGATGTTGAAAGCCCTTGGGTGAACGCTTATAAGTTCGACTTTATCTTCTGTCGGTACATGGTAGGTGCCATTGCCGACTGGCCGAAGCTAATGAACAACATCTACAAGTACGTTTGAATGTCTCCCATACAGACGGACCTTTCCTAAAAGAGAGCTCAGGAATACGAACCCTGGTGGTTGGGTGGAATTTCAAGACTACGACCTTCTTTATACCTCAGACGACGGCTCATTGACAGAAGAGCACCAAACACTCAAGTGGATTCGTCTCATTCTTGAAGCTTGCGACAAAATGGGCCGCGATGGTCGCCCGGGACCTAAGTTGGAGAAGTGGGTGAGAGAAGCCGGGTTTGTCAACATCGTCCATGAGAAATTCATAGTGCCGATAGGGCCATGGCCAAAGGACCCGCATCACAAGGATGTTGGGATGTGCAACTTGATCCAGATGCTGAATGGGTTGGAGGCGTTTAGCTTGAGGGTGTTTTGTGGTGTACTGGGATGGACAAGGGCCGAGGTACTAGTGTTGCTTGCGATGGTGCGCAAAGAGTTGAAATCTTGCAAGTTTCACGCCAAGTATTATTTGTAAGTACCGCATGCTCACACTTCCCAAGCCCTGTACAACAGCTGATAATCGATGGGGAAAGCCACGTCGTGTATGCTCAGAAGCCAGGGGCCACGGATGAAAAGTAGCGGTGGGCGGTATAGATGTTGAGTTTCTGGAGGTCACCCCACGACTTGAACCTTTGGTGGACTAAGAAATGTGCCAAATAGCAAGGCAAGAAAATAGTACTGCGCACAGGAACTTCGACTGTTACTATGGTCCTTGTCATGGCTTTGAAGTATCTCTTGCAAACTGAATTGGTGTTTGTGTTCGTCTATGTTTTCATCATCATATTTACGATATATTTTAGAATATTCTTCACTAGAACAACCGCAACCTAAAGAAAGTATTTGAATTGCTACGTTTCTCGATCCCATAATATCAAAGTTCCTGCGTAATCCAAACGAGCCTTGTTGAGCTTTTCAACAAGGCTGGCTGCTCATCATTCTATGATCCCTTGCCCAGGGTAAGATTCTTTGATGTTCTACTCCTAATTGCAGTAAACCAAAGCAAAAGTCTCTAAAAGTGCTGCTCTTTTGTCACATGCTCCATTAGCCAGCTTTCGCTCTAGGCAGCTCGCCCTTCATTCTTCTGTGACTTCAGGTCTCCCACATTGCAACTAGCACCCATGTTGGTGATTCATAGATCCTCTAAGTCAAAGCACGAGTTTATTCGAATAACTAAAGACAATTTACTGAAGTGACCCGGGCTCATAGATTTATAGGTTTGATAACCCCATACACTGGTCCTATATGTGTGCACAAGCTCATTCGTATTAGACTAACCGGAACAAACATAAGATAACGCGAGTTACCAGTCCAACAAACGCTCTGTGTGTCAAATTCGATCCAGAATCGTTTGGCATGGCTTCATACCCGCCCTCTATACGACGCATCCTACTTCGCGTGATGCCCAATACTCCTTCGAGATTGCACGATGATTTCCCGCAAGCCATTTAAATCGAATAGTGACCGTCCTCCTCAAACGAGTACCTTCCATAACGCTTAGAATTGTTCCCGAAGACGACTCTGTATATAAAATCAGACGTCAAGCCTCTGAGGAGACAAGTTTAGGAGTCTTACCACGTCTATCTGTCGCTCTGTCACTGGGTACTTGATGGAGTAGACATTGTGCCTCATTTCCACCCTGTAGTTGATATCGCCATATTTCTGCTTGAGAGCTGCAGAAAGCTTGCTTGGACTTGACACAAATTTACAGCTTATCTTCTGCTCCTGGAACATCTCACTCACAGGGGTTGAGGGCCGAGTATCCATATCTGATTCCGAGTCGCAAGGCGTGTGGTTCCACTTGAGTTTGTTGTCTGTCGGCAGTCCTGGTCTGTGTCTACGCTGTAGAACGGCTTGACAGTTGTATCTTTTATGATTACGAGATTTGCTTGTTGGATATCGATGACATAAGTGCTGATTGAGTTTAGACGTAGATGTTGATATGAACATTCGGCGTTAATAAGACTTTTTCCAGGGAGATAGCCTCGCACCTACCGAATTCCAGCACCGAGGTGGCGAGCTGTTGTGAAACCCGAAAAAGTGGAAAAAGTCTATGATTGGTCGCCTGATCATCATTCCTTGCGCATCATTCCTTGCGCCATGTTACACTGGGAAGATGACTATTGTCTTACACGCTGCAAGCCACGGGCGCTCCTGTCCAATCCTCCGCCCCCATTTTATGTTATCAGTGGTGGGGGCTGAGAAACAGGCAGCGAATCTCAAGTTCCTGGCTGTGCCAGCTTACATCCCTGAATTTTCATGACGCGGTATTGCAAAGCGTCTCGCCCCCATCAGGCTGCGGTAGTGGATGGAATGCCAACATGGAATCCTACACTACACCCTCATTGATGCAAGTGAAAGCCCATACAACACGCCACATTCTATTGGCAATCTGTCTGCTTGAATAAAACCAATCACAGTAATTTTCTACTTCTGTTCGGTGTCTCAGGCCCATCACTTTGCCCACTCTTGGCTTGTAGCTTGCCTGATAATTATTTAACATAGCCCCTCTGTACATGCATGCGAGAATTCAGTCTACTTACCTCATCTGCATGGAGTCGCCAAAGTGCGCACATCCAGTTCCGGGATGGCTCAATGGCTTAGTCACCTAGCTGAGTTGAGACTTGCTCGGCTAGGTCATAGTGAACCGAACATTCTTAAAGACCACAACTGGATCTTTCTAGTCGTAAGAGTACTATAGATGAGCCTCATTACCTCTCTTCAGAGAACTAGATAACATACTATGTCAGTTTAAAATTCGTTATTGAGTTTACCTCTATAATTTCATTGTTCAGAACAAAATACCTATTCCCAGTCAACGGGCATCATTCCCAGTAATCTGTGATACCTCTTGATCCTTTGGTAAGACAAGTAACATACTTATTATCATCGTATCTTCTTCTTACTCTACCGAGGCCCAAAGGTATATCCAATGGAAACCTGGTGAAGTATGGTGCTATAATCATGCGAATAATTTTCTCCCAGTCATTTTCCTTTCATTAAGTCTTTCCAGGACGGAAGCATTGTAGCTCTAGCCTAGCTAACACCGTAGCAGATCTCGGGTGGAAATAAAACCGTAATGAGCCGCATTCGACTGATACAGCCTGACGGCACTGAGGTCGACATTGAAGACACCGGCAATAATCACGCCAGAAACCGTCCAGACTTAGAGGCCGCAACGTCTTGGCGAAATAATGGGGGCTCACCCTCTACGATCCCGCAAGATGTTCCCCGAGGGATTCCGTCGGATGGACAAACGGAAATCAATGATCATGGCGACACCGCACAGTTGAAAGCCGAGACCACCAAGAGCGAGTCAAAAGTTCCTAGGTCCTCAAAGGACGACATTTCGCACGTCGGCGGTGCACCTGGTCTCGACGATCGGGAGCCCGGCATGCCCTTTGATGTATCTGAATCAGAGAGTGAACTCGACTATGACGATCTTTGGGATTCCATTGACGAGCAGCTTATAGAGCCCCCTCCAGAGAATGGGAGGAAGTACCTTCCATTGGACCAACTTCGCAAGATAATGGTCAAGCCGAGAGTTCGACAAGAATTGAAGAAGTTAAAGGGTATGGACCAAGATACGATTCACAGATACGCCAATGCAGTCTGCGACACTACAGACTATGGAACCATGCAAAGGACGACGAGACACAAGATGTTTGCCACTCTAGTCCACATTGAGCATATTGAGGCATTGTCAAGTTTCATTGACGAGAAGATTCATGACGTCCATTTGCCATTCATCTTGCAAAAGAAGCCGCGTTGGCATTTAACATACACCACGACAGACAGGACGACTAATGAAAAGATTACTGCCAAATTTCAAGGAAGCTACAGTTGGAGTAAGGCAAAGATGAACTCGTTCGTCGATCACCAGTGGCTATTTATGGCTCCTTTCTTCGACATGAAGGCGAACAAGCCCCCCTTCTATCCGCTTGAAGCAAGAGTTGTGCTTCCTTTCCGCAAGGAAGAGAAATGCGATCCGGCATATGGGGGCTTTAGTACCGTGTCGAGGACACATATACATGAAGCCCACCACAACTCTAAGCATGCAAGTATTCAATGCTTGTTTGATTTTTTGACAGTGTTTGCTGACCAGTTATCGTAGGGAACTGAACCTTTCTTTGCAATCAAAAAGCTTCACTCCTTAGACCGGGCGGCTTTCGAGCGGGAGCTTCATGCAATGAAGAAGTTCAACCGACAAGGTCATCCACATCTCATGAAGCTTCTCGCTACATATCAGTATCAACAACATTGGTATTTTATTTTCCCTTGGGCGAATGGAAACTTGAGGGAGTTTTGGCAGCAGCATCACACACCTCAACCAGACCACCAGCTCGTCGTTTGGATTGCAGACCAAATAACTGGCATTGCGTCTGGTCTAAAGTTGATTCAACACCCTCCCAAGGACCCTACATTAACTCAAGACGCGAGAGACTCTGGTAGACATGGTGATTTACGACCAGAAAACGTGCTTTGGTTCAGAGATCACGACAAAGATAAAAGCATCATCGGTAGTGGGGTTCTCAAAATTGCTGACTTTGGCCTCACCAGTTACCACCACCACAGCTCCAGATACGACAATGCCAAAGACGTGAATTTTGCCCAGACTTACAAAGCACCCGAAGTGGATGTGGCTGAGGAAGTTTCGCAACCTTACGATATCTGGACTTTGGGTTGCCTCTTACTAGAGTTTGTTACGTGGTATCTCAAGGGTTGGCAAGGGGTGGATGAATTCTCCGGCGACCGGGCCAAGAATGACGCGAAAGAAGACGAAATCCCTCTGGATACGTTTTATAACATCATAATGGTGGACGGTGTCAAACAAGCTGTTCTCAAGCCAACTGTCAAAGAGGTGAGAATCAACGCAATTTAACTCACTTCAAGGTGCTGACGAAAGAGACTAGTGGATACAGAAACTCCACGATCATAAAAATTGCTTATCATACTTTCATCAGTTACTCACTTACATCAGCGATCATCTCCTCCGAATAGATCCCAAAAAGAGACAAAAGTGTCTCGATGTGGCGAATACGATGAAACAAATGGCTGGGGATTTCAAGCAGAATCAAGAATACGCTGTTTCTGGGTGCAAACCGCCTAACAAGTCCGGTACGACCGAAATTACTCGAACTGAAAAAACGGTCCCGGATTATGGACACGCCGAAACAGAATTCGGCACTCAAACAACGTTGGTTGGGTCCAGAGATCCTTCTCCGAAACGAAGCGAAATCCCCCAGGATCATGATTCTGTGCTGCCAAACAGCACCAAAGGTCATAATGGCCACGTGGTGTATCAGAATGCTTCGATAGAGTATTCAATTGAAACGCCCAATACCACCACTACAAAGGTGATACCCATTGAGACACAAACCGTCTCTAACAGCGGCGGTGAGACAAAACAGTCTGATACAATCGAAAACGGAGGTGGGGGGGATTCCAAAAGGAGAGGTGGTCACTCAGCAGGAAAGCGCTCTACGTTATGGAGGAATGAGTCCACCTTGGTCGAGACGGGTATGTGACTAGAGATAATTGTCGCAACTCCAGATCGCGTTTCTGTTGTTCAATTGTAATATTCTGACTCGGCAATACAAGAACATCGCTTAGTGATGTAAAGGCGGGAGGTTTCAAATTGATTTCAGTTCAATGAATATTGCGTTTTCTAAGTTACTTCTTCAAGTCAACATCTGCTCATTATCTATTCCGATCCTTACTTGTGAGTACCAGGCGGCGGCGGCGGCGGCGGTGGCGAGATGCATGTTATGTCGCCAGGCAGAGCATACACACAGTAGAAAATATGAGAATACGGATGAGAAAGGCTTAATTCTATGAAAGTGACAGTCGAAAACTGTGTCTTCCTGTAGTAAAGTGTTGTGACGGTAATTAAGTGCAGTTGTAGCAGTGACAATGTGTGGTCCTGTGGTTTCACTTTGTCATCACATGAAGTAATACGGGTAATGAATCAAAAGCCACTTTATATAGCATATGATAAGGCGGGTACGAAGCGCCAATGATGTATGAAGCTAGCGTGACCTATCACTATCATCAACTCAACTCTGATATTAGATGTCCTCTAACAGTATCGGACCCCAATTTCAACCCTTAAATCACTGCTCCGGATGATAGTGAACCTGCACTCTATCATAAATATCATTGATTTCAGTCTTGCATTTCACGTCAGTAAGTGAATCGTTGGCTTGTTGATGTATATAGTCTTACTGAGCCAAGCTTGCGAGTAGCATCTACTACAAACTGTCCATGCCGAGTCTTTCAGGATATAAGCATATGAAAGTAGTGGCAAAGTACATAAATTACATACCGAAAGTCGGTATCTATTTACACCCAGTCGTCGATCAAGCTCTTCTTTGACGGGTGCAGAGTTGGCATAGCTCCATGGAATGATGGAGCGAACAAATCCAGGCTGTGGCCGAGTCATCTCTCAGTGACGCGAGAAGCGAGTTTGTATGGCTGCAAATCTGCAATATTAGGAATTATTGGAAGAGCGTCGAAGTTCAGGGGAATGGGACACGGCGATGACAGAGCCGGCGAGACTGAAGATTGCAAATTGTATAAATAAAGCCACGATGGGATGGTTCAAGTCATCAGCTGGTCAAGGCATTTTAATGGGCGGATTTCACGTGCTTCTCCTCACAATCGTCTGAATACTCGCGATTGAGGGGATGCTGGTAAGGCGTCCCAGGCAGCGAATCGAGATGTGCAATTAATAATACGCAATCTCCTTCGTAGACAGACAAATGCTAAGTTTGTGCAGAACATCACTGCAGGCTCTGAGCACCATGACTGTTAACCTCACCGAAAACCCCGCACTCAAGCATGAAATACTCAGCCTGCTGCCAAATATGCCTTGACACGTTGGCAAGGTGGCATGCTCTTCATGAAGGTTGCATAGATATAGAAGATGTACAAACGCAGTGGGACACACCTCCATGGGAATTGCGTCTAACACTGCAGATAACGATCATGCATGCTTACATGAGTAGTACAACATGCATGGCATAGTACTTGGACATCCATGCCGCTGCATGATGCATACAGTGGCTCAAAGGGATTTGCGCAGCCATCGCGAGACGGAAGCTGTCGCTCCACAAATACCCACCCAAGGATTGAGGGGGAAAGTCCTCCTTCATGTGTCTACCACTCGTTGATCCATCTCACCGGGAAGGCATGTCATAGGCTGTTTGGGAAGAGCACGAGGCTGTGGATGGTACACCACCCCGCTCATGGTTGAGGTGAAGTATCACACCGATCCTTTACTGAGGGGTCTCTTCAGATCAACATTTACCTGAGATCTTCATTCTTAAGCCTCGACCGTTTACAATCACTCAAAACTTAATTCACAAGTCTGTACCTCTTACACATTGGGCGATCAGTCGACATATGCTCGAAGCCTCAATCTTTCCGCGACATATTTAATTCGGGAAAAATGGAGTGGCCGTCGAAAGTAGCAAGGTTTCAATCACATGACTTGAAACTATTTCAATATGAGGAGCGACCGACGACTGTTGTCACCATTCGACTCGACGATGTACCGGAATCTCAGGTGACAACATCACATTCCACAGTAAAGGGGCTTGAGACTTACTCTTCTTTCAGGAACTATTCACTGAGCAAAGATTAACGTCAGAAATGGACTGGAACGCATGGCTCAAGAGTGTTGTATGTAAACCCCCAGTCGCGTTCCGGGTTTGCCCTGTATGAACCTCAAACCACATAGGACTTGGACCTCAGTGATGATGAATCGACCACTCTGAACCTTATGTAAGTATTAGTATTGACCATTGTCAATAAACAGTGCAGTCTTCCAACAACCGCCAACACCGTCAGTGCTAATGCTATGGATAACTGTAGTTTGTTCAGACGCACATCCAAGACAGTCTCCGATTGTCCTCCGGAAATCCATTATCTTCCGGTGTCAGAATCAACGTTTAGGAAAGTTACTGACTCGTTTCGGACGCACCGATCTCTTGCCCGAATGATGAACCGGAAAGATTCCGAGTTTCTTCATTCTGTTGAGATTGATCATTGCTGCGAACCACGGAAAGTTGGTTAGTCTGGGACCGAAGACCCATGCTTTCTTAAAAAGGCTAATAGGTCCTATCTGTAGTATACAACTATCGAACGAGCGCCGCCTATATCGACGATGTGGCCGTGTCTGTAACGCACGAACCGCGTAGCTGTTCAACAACGGCAATCTTCTTCGGTCTGAGCGAGACACAGGAACGCTTACTTTTACAAAGAATGAAGGGATCACTGGAAGACCTTTGCCATCCACTTGCGTTGATTGGCGCTGCTTGCGAGCTTGACCGGGACCGATGGATCAAAAAGGAGATCCGCCCTATTGAGTCGACGTACATTGAGAAGAACTACCAGTGGAGCAATACTAGCAGTGAGAGCCTTGCGGCTGACCCCGAAGGCGAGACAATGGGGGACACGCTCAGTCTGCGCTTTCAGTCGAGCTTCTTGCTCACGGGCCTGGCAGCCGCGAGGCGGCAGCTCATCCGCATCGGTGACCACTTGAGAGAGATGCGCAAGGACCCGGACATGGTTTCATTCTTGAAAGGCCCTGGCGGTCATCACGGCAAAAATACCAACCCCGGCGGCTACGGAATGGACTTGGGAAAACAGCAGGCCCACACGGCCGGACGTCTGCAACACCGCATCGATCAGATCACTGATGAATTCGACTTGAAGCTAGAAGGCTGCAAGTCGTCCATGGAGGACATGATGGCCACGACTCAGGTGGTAAGGGGTTTCTGAATCGTGAAGACGATACCAGCTGACCGACGTTGTACAGGTCATCAGCCGCATCGCGAGACATGACACGAAGACTAACACGGCGATATCCAAAGCTACCAGAGAAGATAGCTCGCAAATGCGGTCCATAGCATTCGTGACCATGATATTCCTGCCTGTCACAAGCATTGCAGTAAGTTCTTGACCATGTGGCGACTTGCGAAAGACTGATGCTGACTGGAACAGACCATCTTCTCGATGAACGTGTTTGACTGGCAAGCCAAAGACGGGGAGCATCTAATCACGGTGCACTTCTGGCTCTACTTGGCCGTGGCTGGAGCATCAACGGCCCTTACGGTCGGTTTGTGGGTTTTCTACACACGAGTGAGGAAGGAGTTGTGTTCTAGGAAGGATGAGGAAGCCGGTGTCTAGATTGTGTTCCTAAGGTCGTGTGGCTGTTCGTGGATGAAACTTGCTGAAAGACAATTGGACTTCCCAGTGTATTTATACATGTATATCTCATAACAGCGGTTGAAGATGTCCTGCATATCTCAAGGAAACGGTAAGAAAGCCGCCAACTCAAATTTGAGCTCAGCCACGTAGACAACGAAGAGTTCGCGGCCATGCCTTAGCCCGTCACCAATCGAAATCACCAGCCCCATCATTGTAGGCAGCCTCATTAGGCTTCCGGTCAAGCGAATCATCATCAATGAGTCCTTCGATCTCAAACTGCACAAGAACTCTGTCACCAGTCGCTTTGTTTGCAATATATTTCCGGATCCAGTCCTCGAAGTGTTGCTTCATGGCGTTGAATTCATCCTCTCGTCCCCGGTACACGAGCTGCTCTGCCAATGACCCCGGGGCCTCCAGAGAGAATCGTAGGACTTTGGTATGGGAGGCATCAAGATCCAGTTCGTTCTCCAAGTCTGCGAGCGTCTTGCTCCGGATCCTTGCTGATCTCCAGGGGACGCTTCGGTGGACGGGATAGTGAGAGATTACACGGTACCTGAACTCAACTCGGGCTGTACTAAGCGGAGAGGGTCCAGGGACTGTCCCTTGCCCTTCAGACCTGCGAATACCGGTCACCTGGTCCGCGTGTCGAACCTCAGAGGAGTTCGATGGTACCGCAGGTGAGTGAGGCTGGAGAAAGCCTAAAGGGTTGTACAGGGGCGCCTTCCCTTTATCCAGAGACAATTGGGTGTTTCTCTCCGCGCTCTGAGTGGTTCTCTGTTCCCTCACTTCGCTGTCATTGTGCAAGTTTGTCGTGCCAACTGTAGCATCCGCAGGGCCTTCGTTGATGAGGCTTCCTGTTGTAATCTTGGGATTGTCCATTTCCTCACGAGCGCCAGTCAGCGGATTGCCTGGCGGTACTGTTCCAGAAGCAGATGCTGCACCGGCAACAACATGCTCTGGGACAGATGAGCAATCGGGAGACATAGCTGTTTCTTCAATCTGCTCTGGAGTTTTTCGATCATCTTGCCTGCGTGTTTTACTTCTGCGGGACGATTCTCTGTTGGCGTCTACGACAGCTGACCTTTTCTTTCCCCTCTTTGACGACCTTGTGCGGGCGAGGGTGGAGTTATCAGTCTTTTGGTGTCCGGTATCCGTAGAAGGCTGCATGTTTGCGTAGGGTGCAACTGGTGGGTCCTCGCTGAAAGGTGATGTCCAATTGTTACTAGGCTGCTATGTACAACTTGGTTAGACGGATGGGATGGAATGGCATCAACGCAGGGATATGTGAGGTACCGCTTACGCATCTATCGATATATGTACCCAAGCCCGGGCTTCTGTTCTCTTGATAAGAGTCTTCGTTGGTCTCCGGTTCACTTGAGAGCGGGGACTGGACTCCAAGCCAGGCAGGGTCCATGGCGACCACGTCTGGAGAGGTTCCCGGAAGGGTACGAAATTGGGGGAGAGTTGCTGACCTGAGATACGCGTGTAAGCAAACAGTCTGGGGAGGGTTCCGCAGGGATTGCGTCACTTACCTGGCCGAGCGATTGGGCGGTGGAGGCCCCTCGCCGTCGAAATCAGTCAAGTCTATGGGGTCGTTGAAGTTGGCTCCTGGTCCGTCCGATACTTGGGGTTGGTTCTCTTCTGTCTTGATCTGCAAACTGTTGGCGCTGCGTGGGCTACCTTCGTTTTGCCTCCAGAAAAACTGATGCAAAAGGTCTTTGATCCTTTCAAGCTCGTGTCAGTACTCTCTTTGCCCACAGGAGACTGCCAACTTACTTTTCTCTGTCTACCGAATACCTCATGGACTCTGGTTGATAGGTTGGCTCATAATCCGGCCAAAAGAAGCTGCCGTTGTTGCGATGCTCTAGAAAAGCCTCGGTCATCTCTTCCAAAGCTTTCTGGTGCCCAGGGGACTTCCAATCAGTCAAAGAGCGGCCATTAAGCCTTTGCTGCTAGAGAATGTATCTGGAAACTCGCTAATACGCTTCTTAAATTCTGGATATTTTGGCAATTTCTTATCGCCGTACCCAAGCTGACGCCGCAGGGAAAGCTTCGTCGGCACGCTGCTAGGGCTTCTGGGTACCACCATAGTAATTAAGGGCATGAAGATGAACAGACTGGAGGTAGTAGAGGAGCAGTGTACAGTTCTTGACTGTATCTGCAACGCCTAGGTGGTCAGAGTAAAAGGCCATGCTGAGGAAGATATAGGTTTCCCAGCTATCCCCTCATTGAAGATACCAGCCAAAAGAGCTCGGCTTTCGTTCCAGATTGAGTCTTTTTGCCAGAGGGAGCCTTGAGCCAGAAGCCGGACCCAGTAGCGGGCTTAGTCCCCTGCGTTGGCCGATGCGGTCCCTGAAGCCGCGACCAACAACTCATCGTGATTTGTTGGACACAGGGGCACGCCGCCCTTACCCTGCACCAAGGCGTTCTCTCGACTATCAGGTCTGCAGGCGGGAGTTAAATCACATCTAGAGCTGAGGTCGAGAATGGCGGCCACTGCATCCAAGAAGTGGGATGTTTCCAAACTGATACGATGGAAAGCAGTGAGTTTCGAAACACGGAGTAAAATTTCGATTGGAGAGTCTGAGAGTAACGAAAGCCAACGAAATTGTGTATCTCAACACGTGTTTGATTGGCTTTCGTTTCCAATGAAATCTGATAGTTGATATGCAGCAGGGTGAGATGGACATGTCAGTTGCAAAGCGCGTGAAAGCTGGCACACGAGGGCGCTATAGGGGCAAGATCGTCGCAAGACAGGGGCTTCGCTCACCATTTGCGATTCAGATGTATCGTGTAGCGATGAAGAATCAGACACCCATGCGCACATCTCTTTAGCTATTCTGCCTAGACGGCTGAGCCGATCGGGGACACGCGAGGTCGAAAAGGCTGAATGCTCGACCGGTCTGACTTCCAGTGGCATGGCGAGTAGCGCGGCAAGGGCCTTACGCTTCACGAAAAACGTCCAATCGGCCCGGGCTCTCTATCCCCCTGATGTTTGTCGCGGATATACTAGAGACTGTTAAGGTCGCCAATCGCCGCTCCCTGACAGGAACCGAAACCGGAGGCCGTCAGACATCCCTTGCCATGCGATAGGGTGACGTCGCAAAGTGTGGGCGTCAGAGGAGCGGGTAACTAACTCCAGAGATAGGCCGGGGAAATCTCCAGTTCAAACGACGGCACATCACATCGAGAGCAAGGCTGAGTAGATTAAAAAAAAAGAAGAAGAAAAAGGTAAGATTCTGCCTTACCAACGCACCGTCTGGGGGTGAAACGTCGCCAGCCACTAGCTCGCCCATCACACCCCTAGTCAAGGCTTTAGTTAGTAGTAATAGGCATCGGAGGTAGTTCCGCGATGACAACTCTCCGGGGGCAACGGGCTGTGTACCTGTCCTCAACACTATTCTTGGCAATGTACAAGGTCTCGATGTCAGTATCTGCTGAAGCATTTACTCAAGCTGCTGCGGTCAAGCCGGACTGTTCTTTTTTTCCGCAAGGAAAGCAAGCTACCATCGCGCTCTAGGACGATACTCCAAGTCAACCAACCAACCAGTTCCTTCCACATGGCTCCCCACAGCTCCTATAGTCCTCCCTAGCGCCGCCGGACAGGTAGCTAATCACCTCTCGATGTCCAACGCATTGAGGCCACAGCTGAAGTCGGCATTTCTGCCCCATTAAAAAAGCCCGAACACCCGAGGCCTGGATCTTTTGAGTGCCGAGCAGAAGGACCCTAGCTCTTGGTAAAGTTTCTGTGGAGAACGTTTTTGGTTGTTGTTGTTGATGTTGTTGTTGTATTTTGCGCCAGCGTATATTCCTGTAGAGGACAAAAGGTGCCTAGTGGAGCTAGTATTAATACATACACAACTTCGCAGCCGCCAAAACGATCCATCGTTCCAGATATATACCCGCTAACCATGTCTAGGAGTTCAAACTTGAAGCGTTCCTTGCTATCAAGAGCTCAGGGCTCTTCAGCGTCCAGGAGAGCCATGCGGCATCCTCCAGTCGCACAATTGGGAAATGATTGAGGGCTGTAGTGAACCGCAGCGTCTGCTAAAAAGTGTAGTTCTCTGCTTATGGAATGATTTCAAGTAGAAATACCCATACGGAGTTGGCTTGTGCGTGTGGTAAGCCACATCTGCGACGGCCACAACCGGTACTGGCCACAGGAAGCCATTCCTAGCTTTATGACAGGGCCATAAAGCTCGGCGGGGATATTTCGTTCAGGCCCGATCGATCGATGGCTTCTCAAGTGCTCGATCCATGGCGGCCTACCACTTTCTCGATACAGACTCAAGGCTCATGTGAAGACCCTACAGAGCGGAGAGAACATTCTAGACCATTGGAGACTTTTGCATGAGTTCTGAAGGTTTTGTGGATATACAGTCTATTCCAAAACAGCTAAGCATTAAAATTATGAACTAAACAATCCTGACCCAGATAGGTCCAACAACGCCGGGGCGCCATTATGTCGTGCTTGAACATTTTCGGCTCCCGTCTGCCCCCCAAAAGCATTGCTCAGCTCAAAATCAAGGCTGATAAATTCGATTCCATTACAGTATTTATTTTGGTCCATTCATGGACCCTCAGTTGATGCCCAGCATGGACGACTTTCTGCGGTCAGGCTTTTCCTCAAGCTGTCTGCGGTAGGAGTCCAGCTCCATTGTGGCCCAAACGAGGGCGATCTTGCCGTTGTCGTAGCGATACATGCAATGCTGGTGGAACTTGACGCTCTTGCCGTTCGGCTTCGCGCCGGCGAACTCGGCAACGGGCGTACCCGTAATCTGCAGTCTAGATGCAACCTGCTGCGTCTCGTCGTCGACGAGAAGCTCCTGGATGTGGAAATGCAGACCCGAAATGGCCTCTTTGCTGGCCTCCATGCCGCGCCAGTACTCCTCGAGGGGGAGGGCGCGGTTGTTGTGGCGGACCTCGCGCTTGCAGTAGCGCGGGAACTCTTTAGCCATGGTGCCGTGGTTGATGCTGGCGACGTACTTGCGGTAGGCAGCGGCCAGGTCAACGGGCTCTTTGGGGGCGCTCCTGGTGAAGAAGCGCGGGGTCACAGCAGCCTCGGGAGTCTGGAGACGGATGCCATCGTTATCTTGCAGGGTGAGCATGCGGGCCATCTTGCCGCGATCGTCAAACCAGACGAAGCACTGCTCGTCGAACTCATACGTCTTGCCGGCGGTGTCGGGAAACATCATGTCGTCATTGAGGGTGACGCGGTTAATGTAGCGCACGGCGACGGCTTTGGCCTTCTTGTCAACCAGCAGGGTATCGATCTTGATCTGGAAGGTGGTGAGGCCCTCGACGCGCGAGCGCAGGCGGTCAATGTGCTCTTGGCGAGTCTGGATACGGTTGTTGCGCTCGATAGTGTCGGCGATGTGGTTGCCGATGACGTCAAACTTGCGGTTGTTGAGACAGTCGAGGTACTCGCGCAGGCGAGCGCCGATGTCGACCTGAATGCCTTTGCCATCGCCGTTCCAACGCTTCGAAGTCGGGCTCCTGATCTTTCGGCCGGATGCATGGGCAGCGTCGGAGGTGGGGGGCTCGAAGCCAGGGGGGCTCTTGTTGTCGGGAGAGTCGGGGGGCGTCAGCATGCTCTCGTGAGAGAAGCATGGCGCCTCGTACTCCTCCATCACAACTGTGGACATCTTCATGATATCTTTCGGTGCGGTTGAGGGCGGGGGTCGGTGTGCGCTGCAATCGACTGTGACGACAGCATGTGTTGGCACAACGGGCTGTGTGAGGAACGAACAAGGGGGATGGGTGGTAGAGGAGTCGTTGGGGTACTGTGGTATTGCGAACGGCGTCGGCGGCTTGAGCTGAAGTTGAGCTTGCTGCGGCGTGGATCGTATTTAAAGGTGAGGGCCGAGGGGGCGACGGTAGGTCATAGGTGCAGATCGCGATCGCGCTTTTTGATCACCTCAGGCAAAATAAGGGGAAAGGGGGAGGATTACGGATACTTCAACGTGATTGCACTCGGAGCAAAAGCTCAGTAATAGCTGTTCGCTATTTGTAGCCATCTACTTAAACCTACCTAGGTAAAGTATCTACCCACCTAGGTACCTTCCTCAGGTAAAGCCACCGCCGGGTCCGGGCCCAACAGGATAATAGGTACAGCTACACACGTATGACAGGCGACAGACATGGTACTATTAGGTAGCTTCGGTGTTGGGCAGGCACAGGCGACGAATGGGGAAAAAAGAAGGTGCGATGATCTTCTCATGACTTCTCAGCTGTTCCCAACGCCACATCTCACGCGTGCATGACGTACGGGGCCCCACAGTTCCGACATGATGCTGTATCCCTGCAGCGTGGCAACGGGTGGCTCTTACCCTTCCAAAATCGAGACTTTGGCAGGTAGTCCGTTCGTCCCTCTCGTCCCTTCTTTCCTTTCGTTTCCGCCAAGCAGCGACGCGCGGACCATAGGCACCTTCCCATGCTAAGTTCGCAAATCATGATATTATTAGGGAGGAGCTAGTTTATTCCAGTACGGTGATTACTACCCTACCCAACCACATACCTATCAGCAACCCAACACTGGATCGTGATGGGCAGGAGACGATGGTCCGCCCGCCTTCCCCAGCTTCGCTTCCCCTGCCATTTTCATAGCTCCGCCACTCGATACATCGGGGACGACGCACTGGGTACGATGCTCCAGTTCTATTGCGGATGACCCGGAGAGAGAGCTTTGCCCCTTTGAATTGACTAATGTAGTGTACCTACGGATACTTAGTGCAGGTAGGTAGGTATCTGAAAGTAAACTAGGTTTCGAGGTATCCATTCGCTAGTGCCAATCCCCCCGCGTTCCTTTGAGTTTGGCTTCGCTTAATCGCTTAATCGTGCGTGCATCGTGTGTCCAGTCCCCAGTGCACTACATCGGCGGGCGTCGGACGATTTGTTTGGAGTATCACCGCCACTCACGCTGATACTCATACTGACACACTGAATCAGGTACATCAAGCTCAACAAAAACGAAAAATTCTGCTGATCCACACCCTGCCTCCCCCTTTTGCTCCCTTCGTTGCCGCATCGTCCGAGTTTCCTGTGTAAACCACCACTTGCACACATCCCGGTTCCCCATATGCGACGGCGAAGTGGGTCCGGCCCCCCCCTTTTTTCTATCAGCACGTGAACGGGGCCGGGCCCGGGTTCGTGTAGCTGGTCGGGATGGGCCAGTACAGCTTAAACAGGATGCCGGGATCCGTCGCCTTGTACGCCCCCGGGAACGAAACAAGCCCCGACGGCGTCGTGCTGCCCCCGCCCGAGAGCGACACCTGCGCGCACGACAAGTAAAACTGCGCGCCGCCGGTGTCTCCCGCCGCGTGCAGCGCCAGGTGCTCCACCCGCACGAGGTACTCGCCCGACGCCAGGCACGACGGGATCTTGGCCGAGAGGACCAACGCGTCTGTAGATGGTTAGCCTAGTGGTGAATATGGGCGAGAAAGGATAAGAGAAGGGAGGGAAGAAACAATTGAAAACTTCAGTCCCTGAATCAGCCTTGTGGAGAGAGGAATACCGTCGGGGTTCATCATCTCTCCACAGATGCCCACACAAATAACACCCATCTTTCTGAACCCGCAACCCCTTCCTTAACCTGTTTTCTGCATCGTCTGAATAATTCCCCATGTCTGCTCCAACTTTTCGTCGCAGACTTTTGCTCTTTTCCATCCATTGTGCCCTTTTTCTCTTCTCGTAACCCGTTTCCAAAATGTGGGTTCCGGCTCAGCGGAAAAGGGGGGCAAAGTGAACGAAAGAAAAAAAGACGAAAAGAAAAGGGTAAAATCAACGGAAAAACTCACTCAACGAAGCCCACTCCAGTCCGTTGCTCGTAACCTTCGGCTGCTCATGGTAAATTTTGAACCACTGACGAATGAGTTAGACACTGGCCGCCGAACAAATCGCACTGGCATTCTACCTGTGACCCCGCGCCGTCCCACGTCGCCGCCGTCTGGCCCGCTGGCACCTTGGCCATCCAGATGCTCGCCGGGCCCGGGTGGCCGACGTTGGAGTTGGCCGCGAACCCGATGGTCGAGCCCGCCGTCACGGGCAGCGTCTGCACTGTGCCTCTATCCTTGGCGTCCGCCTCGTAGCACCGGATCTGCGTCGACGACACCCCGTCCGTCGGCCCGTTGCTGTAGAAGTTGAGCGTCTTGCGCACGTACTGCCATTCGGGGTACGTCGTGCCGCCGTAAACGAGCCGGCCGAAGGTGTCTGGGCCGGGGGGAGCAAGCAAATGTCAGTCCCGTGCTTCTCATGCGAGTCGAGTTTGATGCGTTGCTGCGTGAAGAGGGGCGAGTACTTACAGTGAGCTTCGGCCGAGGCAGCAGCCAGGGCGACGAGAACAGCGGAAAACTTCATCGTTGCTTTGGAGAACGGGAGCTGTTGATGGGCCGGAGAGATGCTGCTTGGGGTTTGATCGTTGACCAAGAACTGACCAGCCTGACTTCAATCCTTATATACTCCTTCCCCGAAAGGCGCCAGAAGTGCCCACCCCGTCCATCGCCTCAGCAGATTGAAACCGCCGGCAATCTCGAAGTCACGACGTCGTCTCGGCGGCCGGCGGAAATCGCTAGGGTGTCGCGTTCCACGAATCTCCATCGCCCCCGGGACCTCGAAACCCCATGCCGGGCCCGGAGTCGAGCCTCCGAGAAAAGCGTGACACTACCACCCTGACCACTTCCCCCCTCCATGTGGACGCCCGCAGAAGGTCCATTGTATTAACGTGTGACAGCTGTTCATCGGTGGCATATTTAGATTAAAAATTGGCACCCACCGATCGAAATCCGCCACTCTATCTTGTCTTCTGTTCGACAGCCGTCCTCTGCCAAGGGCGACATGGGGCTTCGCGCCGTTGCCCCGACGGTCTGTCTGTAGACTAGCACAATGTCGGTGCCGCCGCATTCTCGTCTAATGACCTGTTCTTACGGCGAGCATTCAGCTATGGATTGTCTCCTAAGCCGCCTTTGATCCGGTTGCCGCCCGCGTTCAGTGTTGGTGATACCACCACGCTCTCTTCTGTTCCGGTTCGCTCATCGCATGAACCTGGCACCTCGCTCCCTGCTGGTCGACACGACCCCTTCCAATCCCTCAGTTGTTGTCCAATCCGGACCCTCCAACCCCAGAAAGTGCCACCCATCCAACAACTGGCGACCTTCCCAATCGATGCGTAGTCGTGAAAGTGTATAATACGCTTGCCCTTATCTAGAGTGGCAGATCAACATTCATGCCTACAGAATCTTCTATTTCTGTAATAAAGAAAGGCCCAATCCACAGGAACCACAATCTAATTGATTAAGGCAGTCAATAGTCTCATTGTCGAGACCACAGACTGGCTTGTTCTTCGTGTCAGACGATCAGTTGCCGACGCCATTCGCGGCATGACTTGCATACTTACGCGTCCAGGGCAAGATAAACGCCACTGGAGGTTTTATTTGCCACATTCAGTCTTCCATTGATCGTGGGACACGGATCTATGCCGCAAAACTGGCAGACTGCCAGCTGAATCCTCCATAGACCCGAACGCTCTCTTGCGGTCCAAATGTGCCCTCTCCAGAGATGGTGATTGCACGACGACATAGGACAATATTTATGCAACAGTTCAACGTCGTCGGGTGTTACGCTTGTTGACACGGTATAATCAAATACTCTAGGGTGTTTGTTGGGTAACCAGTTGCAGAATATCCCCATCGAACCCATTCTCAGGTTCTCCTCGGGCATATAGAGATAAGTTCGAGGCTGTCAGATAGACTCGGTGACCCCGGTTGTTGAGTGGCATACAGGAGGCTAGCTGCGTATCGTTGGAGGGGGGTGGCAAGGCTTCTCACGTTCCAACTAATACCCTGCACTACAGCCGGCTGTATAGGCCTTAATTACTAACAAGGCAGTTCCAAGTACAGCAACGTAGTATAGATATAGAGACGCTTCCAAAACGTTTGCGAATCTTTGGAACATATGTAATTTTACCTCTTCCCACCCTTGAAGAAACAAAACATCAACCGTTATTAAACCCGATGCTTGGGGCACTTCAGCCGCAGTCTTCGCTGAAACCCTCAGTCTCCCAGGCTTTGGCGATGACGCCCCCTATCTCGAGCCCGGCTGCCTTGTACACTCTGCTGATGTCCTCCAGCTACTTCTCCAGGACGACTTCGTACACGTGATCGGACCCGTCGGGCGCCCTCTCCTCGCACGCCTGCAACGCGCGGCCGGGCCTGTTGCCCCGGTCGGTCTCGATGATCTTGGTCGTCGTCGCAGCCTCTTGGCCTCGTACGCCCGTAGCGCCCCCTTCCACGTCCCCGAGGGTACAGATGACGCATATGGATGGATTGGGATACAATAACAGTACCCAGGCTCGGAATTGTCAGCCGCAAGTCCTCCAAGTTGATTTTTATATATATTCCTCACTCACATACCTCGAAGGACAGTAACTGGGGATACATACTGAAATTCGGAGCCACGTGCCGTGATCTGGGCCCAGATTATGTGGACTTCACGACGGATAGTAACTATGAAGACTGTGTTCGCCTCATTAAGATGGCAGAATGGGGAGACTAATCAAACCATGCAGTTTGATATGATCACACTGAAGATGTCATTACCCTTGATAGTTCTATAGAATTACACAGGGTTGATTACTAGAGCCACCCTGAACCAAGACATTACCGTCAGTTCTGTACAGATGGCGGATAGACAATACCTTTAGTCTCTGTGCTGCTCTGAACTTCCAAGATGGTTTGCTGTAAATAACTATCTAAATAACCGCTCCTATCCGAAATTGCAATTGAGAGCTGTCTAGAATATAAATCAAGACAGCTCCATCTAGCAGCCACCAGAGTAAGTAGTCTGATTAGTCTACATGAATGCAAACCTTGAATCGTGCTGTATGTTTGACTTTTTTAAGTTTCCACCATCCGACGCTCCGAGTTGTTGACCTCCTGGCCTCAGAGTCATAAACCATGCATATTTTGACTGTTTGCAGACAACTCAAGGTTAGCCTGCCTTATAACTACCTGGTAGCAGTCTCGCTTGACGTTTGTTGCAGTCAAAGACATGTCATCGAATCTGCCCCCACGGGGAAACATCCTCCTCCCAGGGTGCGGTTCAGATGACATCCCTATGCTACATTCTTTCATCTTCTTCTATGCGAGATCAAACTCTAAAAAGCCGAGTCTAGTCCCATGGACGAAGCACGAGACGGAAGACTTGAGCTTCCTGTAGTAGTGAACCTGGTCTCTAGATAGATTGTCCTCATCGCATGGTTCCTTAACAACGCTCCCAGACGCTTAACCGACTCTACCGCCAACTGCCGGCTGGCATGATTCGGTATCTTTAGTGTCCTTCTCACGAGTTCATGGGACGCGGGTTTGTCGAGTGTTGGAATCGTTTGGTAAGATATTACTTTAGTGAATACCTGACACTTCCTTGATCTTTGCCTCTTCAGCTCCCATCCAGTCTATCCCTCTATTACCAGAGCCAGTGAAGAAACCCCTCTAATCCATAAGTCTTACTCCCCCGAAACTGCCATTCCTTATGAACCCCGGACCAACCCTGCTGTCCAAAGTGGGGTCTGGGTGGAACGCGGAGATCTCCCGGCATCCTCGTTCCCCGTCAAAAAAGTCAATGACGTTCCGTGTCCGACAAACCCATGCAACCACGGGTCATCGCGGACACATTTCTGGGAGAGAATAGAGAATTCACCAGAGTGTGACGTAAGACTGATATGCCGAATCCCGTTCATGAATCTAGAACCGTGCCAAGCATAAGTAAGCGCGACATGTCTAGCAGCAGGGTGAAAATACCATCCCGTATCGGTATAACGACGATACGCCGACAAAAGAAAGAAACAGATAACAGACATGTCAAAACCAGTCCTCATCGTTATCGGCACCGGTTGGGGAGGTTTCACCCTCACCCAGAAGGCCTCGCTGGCCAAGTACGACGTCAAAGTCATCTCTCCCATCCGCACGATCCAGTACACGCCGCTGCTCGCCAGCGCCGCCTGCGGCCTCTTCGACTTCCGCCTCGCCGAGGAGCCCGTCCGCCGGAAGCACAGGGCCAAGCAGGCGTACTACAATGTCATCGCCGAGGACATTGACTTTGAGCGGCGCGTCGTCCGGTGCAAGACCGACCCGCCGACGACGACGCCGGCCTCCTTCGAGATCCGGTACGACAAGATCTGCATCGCGCCGGGTTGCGCGACGCAGGACTTTGGCACGCCCGGTGCAGCGGAGCATGCCGTCTTCCTCCGGACGACAGATGACGCCCGCGCCATCCAGCGGCGCATCCTGCAGATGCTGGATACGGCCTCGCTCCCGACCATGGCGAACAGAGCGCAGGACCGGCGCGACAGCCTCAACATCCGCATCGTCGGCGGCGGTGCCGTGGGCCTCGAGGCCGCCGCCGAGCTGTGGGACCTGTGGTTCGAGGAGCTGCGCTTCCTTTTCCCCCACCTAGACGGCGAGCTGACCATCACCATCCACGACGTGGCGCCGACGATTCTTTCGACATTCGATGCCCGGCTGAGCGAGTACGCGACGCGCTCGCTCGAGGGCAAGCAGGTCCGGATTATGACGAGCTCGCACATCGAGCGTGTCGAGGCGGACGCCATCTACACCAAGGAGGACGGCCGCCTGCCGTACGGCCTGCTCATCTGGGCGACGGGGAACAAGGCCAGTCCTCTGGTGGACCGGCTGCCGGTGAAGAAGCCCGAGCATGGGCTGCCACGCATCCTGACCGACAAGTACCTCCGTGTGCTACGGCCCGACGGGAGCCCGATGGAAGACGCCTACGCGCTGGGGGATGCCGCCGACATCGAGGGGGAGTCGCTGCCGACCCTGGCTGAGGTGGCCCTGCAGAAGGGCGAGTACCTGACCGGCGTGCTCAACTCGGACGACGACAGCGTCCGGCCAGCGCCGTTCATCTACAAGCAGCGGGCGCTGCTAGCGTACCTGGGCCGCCACGACGGCGTCATCGCCGGCCGGCAGGAGTGGACCGGCGCCAGCGCGTGGATCGCCTGGCGGTCGGGCAGCCTGGGGTGGACGAGGAGCTGGAGACGAAAGATCATGATTGCCATCTACTGGGCTTTTGTCTGGGTAGCTGGCAGAGACATTGCGAGGCCGTAGTTGTCGACTGAGGGCTGGTATCTACAACAGGGGCGTACGTTCAAGTTGCTCACAAATCCAGGGAGAGGAACTACCGCATCTTTGTTCTCCGGCTACATCATGGAGTTCTTGGCTCTGATGCATTGGCTTCATTATCCTATCATAATATGTCCTTAGAAATGAAATTATAAAACTCGAAAAGAAAGCCGAGGCTCGGTTCCAGGGCAAAAATCCCTATAAACATCTCGTTTCCATCACAAGTGGACCGTGCTCCGTCGCCCCTAAGAAGGAGGTTCCCAGATCTTTACATATGCACAATGGGCACGTAGCGGCTCTGGTCGGGTATTTGGGTTCGCTAGACAGATTTCGGGTGATTCGCTTACGCACCACCAGCGCCGTTGTAGGCGATGAGGTTGGGGCTGCTTCTGAGGTTGCCGGTGACTCTGCCAGTGGTGGCGAGGGCCTTAATGCGGGCGACGACCGCGGCAGGGGTACCCACGTTCTCGACGGACTGGAGGTAGTTGACCAGGCCAGCAACGTGAGGAGAGGCCATAGATGTACCGGAGATGGAGTTGGTGGCGGTGGTAGAGCCAATCCAGGTGGACAGGATGGAGCTGCCAGGGGCGAAGAGGTCGAGGGAAGTGCCATAGTTGCTGTAGGAAGCAATGGCCCAGGTGCTGGTGATGGCACCGACGGTGATAGCGTTGGGGGCGTTGGCGGGCGAGACGTTGGCAGCGTTCTGGGCCTCGTTACCGGCGGCGACGACAGTAATGACGCCGGCGCTGTAGGCGGCATTGATGGCGGTAGTCCAGGCGGTAGAGCTGGGACCTCCAAGGGACATGTTGATGACAGACTTGCTAGCGCGACCCTTGGTGGTGATGTCGTTGACGGCCCAGTTGTAGCCGGCGAGAATGACGGAGGTGGAGGCGCTGTTGCCGACGAAGACCTTGACGGAGATCAGGCTGGTGAGCTTGGCGACACCGTAGGTGGTGGAACCAATCGTGCCGGCAACGTGTGTGCCGTGACCGAGAGTGTCGGTGTGAGCACCACCGGCGGCGTTGTAGCCGAGCGTGGCGCGGCCGCCGAAGTTGGTGTGGCCGACATTGATGCCAGAGTCGACAACGTAGGCAAAGGTGCCAGAGCCGGCGTTGGTGTCGTAGAGGTACTGGGTAGATCCCGAGGTACGGCGGGAAACGGTACCCAGACCCCAGGGAGCACCGGTCTGAGTGGCAATGGCGGACAGAGTCCAGAGCTGATCACGCTCAACAGAGGCAACCTATCAACGAGGATTAGCATGGCGCCTACGGCGTGAGTGTCTCAGAAGACGGTCTTACCTCAGGGCTGCTCTTGATGATGTCGATGGTGGCGTCGTCGAACTTGCCAGAGTATGCTTGGAAACTGTTGAAGGAGAAGGTGCGCTCAGCTCCGGGGAACTGACGCTTGTCGAGACTGCGGGAGTGGACATCGTTGATCCAGCTCAAGTGGGAAGTGAGGCCCTCGACACTGACGGTGTTCTTCAGGGTGATAATGTAGCTGCCTTCAATAGTCTGGGCGGTGACCTCGGTAGCCTCCTCCCGGCGAGTAGGGGCTGCCATGGCGCAGGCCGCAGCCGCGAGCATAGCAAAACGCTTGAAGCCGACCATTTTGACTGAGGGTACCGATATGCTGGAGTGGGGACTGTTGTGAGAGGATGAGGGGTGAGTGAGGAAAGGGAGACACGGATTGTCGTGGGATATCCAAGCGGATTATATATCTCTGAATCTCACGAGTAGAGCACCTCCTCGTGGATGCGATGCGGCTGGCTCATCCCTGCCCTTGATGGTGTCTTTGTCGCTGCGTGCATCTGGTACTGAGTTCTGAGGCGTTCTTCGAGAAGCAAGCAGTACGTACACAACCCTGGCCCCTGTCAGCTAATTAACAGCCACAGCCGCAGGACCGGGCCAAGCTAACGTTAACAGGACCAAGCCTCGACCGGCCAGGATACCGAGCGCCGTCACGGCTGGTGCGGGAACCAGATAAACGGATGGGACGATGCAAAAGGGGGAAGGAGAGGACGGATGGCGCAATGTGGCGGACATAAAAGACTCGTTTTGGGAGTTCGTGTAGCTGAATCAGAAATAGGAAGCTGATTGACAATGTTGTTGGCGACGCGGTAGGACGCACAAGGTTGGAGGCTTGCTAGATCGACTTGGCAATGCAACGAGGCTATCAGAGGGGTTGTGAAGACCCTGGATAATTGGCCAGCACGCAAACATTGGCGAGAATTCGGGCAGTGTGTAGTCACATGCTTCCAGTGAACCAATGGCCCAAGACGGAGTTGAATTCGAAGATGAGCATGAGAGACATGGATCCAGGCCACGGGAGATGCCCACTTGAAGGAGCGAAGGCCCGATAGCATTGAGACTCGATAGACGAGAGGCGTGTTTGGTTTGTGATGGGTAACTTCCGCTGCTATAGAACCGGCAATCAAATCGAGTTACACAGAGATTGTTGACTTTGGGCCGCAGGGCAAGACATTGGCAAAGGATGTCCTAGGACAAGGCCAGCCAATTGGAGAGGAGGCGAAAGGCACTATTGAACGTCAGCGATCCGATCTGGCTGAAGACGGCCAGTACCATTTCAAAGAGAGCGCGCCAAGCTTCTTTATGCATACTTGCGGACCTGTCCTAAGAAACCTAGCGAGTCGTGCCCAACCCCTTTGTAATTGGTCATGAGTGAAGCCTCTCTCTGGGGGGAGGGGAACGTTGAAGCATACTCCGTCAATGGTCATTCCTATCTGATCTGCGGATGTGTTGGTGATGGCGATAGCGTCAGTAATTACCAATCGGAAGACACCTAGCACCTTGCAAGATATTCGTATGCGTGGCGAGGAACTGGTCGTCGTGCATGAGAGCAATGTAACGGTAACTAAGATATCTCGCCTTCCTCTTTTGGAAGGAGGATACGAAGCGTGATCAAGTTCTTAATCGTGGCCGGCTGCCAATTGCGGCCCAATGTGGCTCATGATGAGAACCGCGCAGAGAATGGCGATTTAAAGTCGTGATGGCTATTGCAGATGAGCACAGCGCCAGGATGGCGGCCTCGTTCCCTTTTGGGAGAGCTGCGTTGTTGTTCGGTGCATCTCGGTGATCGTGGGATGGTTGGGAGACCTGAGAACAGCAGGTCGATAGCGCGTCGATGCGCACGATTATTGGCGGGGATTTCTCGCTTGTTGTCGGACAATCAACCACCCCACATGGTGACGCGGATACGCAGTCAACAGCAAAGATGCGGTGAGCTGTCGAGGATGAATTGAGACGGTCTTGCTGAGCGTTGCGGGCTGTTCTGATTCGAAACAGAGTTGTGGTTCGTTGGTCTTTAGATTCATGTTTAATTAGCGCCTGCATGCAGAAAGGAATCGAAAAGGACGTGCACGAGGAAATCGAACTTGTGTGAAGAGGAAGGAAGGGCAGGAGGAGGCATGATAGCGCCCCTAGAAAGAGCCCCTCCCAGTCAACTCACTTTGTTATCCGTACCTGCCAGAGCTTCTTAGCAAGAAAGTGCGGGGAGAGCCTCTTCCCCACGGAAACATAGCTATTGGTACGTCACTCCTTTGGGCAGCATGTACTCCGTAACTGAGGAAGAGGAAGATGCCCCCATGCCGATAAGCTAATTGACTCACAGCAGATCTCGGCAGCTGTTTGTTGTGGCTGGGTGCACCTGCCGGGGCTGGACTTAATGCGGATGCAAGCGCCACTTGATACGTACTGCCACTGCGTACATTCGTGCAAAGAATGTATAGTCCGAAAGAAGGGAAGTGCCTCATCACGTTTGACGAGAAGCCCCTGGTTCCTGGCCAAATAGTTGTAGTAATAGTACGAAGTACCATACACTGAGGTTTTGTACTGTGAGTTTTGCTTGGCAAGACATGCGTGTTCAATCTCCTTGCGTGTTACGTTACCACTCTTGGGCTTCTTCTGTAGCGGGGACGGGGGGAGCACCAGCTGAAGAAGACAAGACGAGGGCGTCTGACCCACGGAGGCGAACTCGGACGTCCCTGAGACCACTTGCGTTGAGATATTGATCGGGGAAAGCGCAACAGCCGTATTGAATCCAGAATGGGAAAGAACTTCGTGAACCTCATCAAGGGCAAGAGCAGACCTAATGCTAACCTAGCACGCGGAGCGCAAAAAAACATGCACACTTTAGCCCACCCACACCAAATGCTCCCTTTCCCTACCCCTATGACTAGAACCATAATAATCCAAATATTGCCATACAAATAAGCGATTTTAAATGCTTATAACATTATCTATTAGAATTATGTTATTTTGCCCTCTCTTATAATAGTCTCTTTAAGTCGCTAAGGCATTTGATCTACCTACTTGTTAATAGTCTCTTACTATAACTTTTGCTCCTAGGCCTCTATAGCTAGCTTAGTAACTTTACCCTTATCCTAATATAAATACTGCCTTATAGTCTCTTTTAGTATAGACTAGTAATTCTTAATAGGACTCTAATCTAGGCTGTTATAATAATTAAAGTAGAACTTTAGACTATAAGCTATCTTTTAGTCCTAGACTTTATTTCTTTATAAAGGACTATACCCTAAATCCTTATCTTCTTTAAGAATAAAGTTATTACTATATTTAAGCTAATATTTAATATAAGGCTTAAGAATTTAGTTAATATAGTAGTTATAAGTTATCTTACTATTATAGTTACTAGTGTTATAAAACATAAGGTTACTCTTAAAGTTATATCTAATAGCTGCTTATATATAGACCTTTTTTTAGTGCTTATCTTAAGGGGCGTTAACCTCTTAGTAGTAGTTATTATAGTATCTCTTACTGTCTTTTTAAATAATATAAATTCTTCTTTTTAGCCTAAGGCTAAAGTGATATTTATTAGAAAATTAGATTTAGCGCTAGTAAGAGATATCTAGCTACTTTAAAAGCAGCTCTTAGGCTTTCTTAACGTAATCTGTTATAGTGTAAGGGCTAACCTAGTTCTTATAGTAAGTAATACACTTATAGTATCTAAGTGTACCTATTACCTAGCAGACAGTCTACTAGTAATAGTTAACTTCTAGGCTAGCCTTAGTAGGTAGGGACTACTAAGAAAAGGTCCTTATATCCTATCTATAGTCTTATAGTAATCTTTTTATCTTCTAGATATTATTAGAGGATAGTATCCTCTTTTTTTTTTATGTTTTATTTATATAAGGATTATTATAGAAGTAGTAAGAACTATTAGTAAGAATGTTATACCTAGACCTCTAGCTGACCCTATAGTAGTTAAAAATCTGCTGCTTTAGGTACAATAGGTTAATATACAATAAATAATTAACTACCCCTTAGATCTTTGACTTTCTTAGGGTATTAAAGTGCTTGTAGCCTATTTTGTATAGATATAAATTGAAGAAAAAAATGATGATGAGGGTGCGATAGTGTGGCAGTTGTGAGGGGTAATAATAGGGGTTAAGTGGTGATGTAGTCTATAGTGTGCATGTTTTTTTGCGCTCCGCGTGCCTAGGTAACAAGCTATACATACCATGCCACCCGATCCCCATTCGGCCGGGCTGCCTACCTAGTCCGAGTACAGCTCGGTAGGTGGGCAGGTGCCGATAACGTGATAAGCTAGTGGGTCCCGTCTTCTCCCGCCCGAACCCCTGCGCCGCCCGCCAAGGTTTGCTCCTGCCTTCTGCCTTGGGAAACCCAAACCAGGCCACCAAGGAACCCTGATCGGGAAGTCACTACGCAGTAGGCACTCTTCGCTCCTGCTCCTCGTCCTCGTCCTCACCGTCCTCCTCGGCGTCTTCTTCTTGTTGTTTTGTTGTTATGGCATATCTCCTCGTCAGATGCAACGGCGGCGTGCCACGAAACCCTTTCCTCTTCCACGCGCTGCATCTAACGCGCCACCACATGTTCTAAGCTTCTTCCAGAACCCTTCCGGCCCGCTTGTAAGCGACGCAAAAGCTCACAGGCAAGACATTGCATCAGGACAATAAGAGTGCGCCACATCGAAATCGCAAAAGGACTTGGCCGAAGCGTCATCTCAGCCCTCGTCAACCCCGCCCCAGAGACACAGAATCCTGAGCTCTGCCGCGCACCGGTCCGCTGTCCGATGCCGAGATCCAGTCCGGCATGCGGGGGTGGGTGAGCTGTTCCACGCCTAGCCTCAATGCGTCCCAGTCTTCTCCCCCGTTCCTTTGTCCTTGATTTCTCGGCTGATGTTTGACACCCCGCCAGCACCTTCCTCGTGGCCTCGTACCCTGGCCAGCTGCAAGGGCTTCTTGCCCACGATCGACTTCCCATTTGCAGCTTTCCCAACAACCCACCCAGCAAGGCCCCCCCGGCCACATCCCCAGCACCCTTTTCCGGGACAGTCCAGTCACACGACAGGCGTACGGAGCATTTACCATTGCAACTACAGTACTGACGGTTGGGTGCTGTATCGGCTTTTTATTCTTGCACTATATGCCATGTCGCGTCCCTTTTGATCCAAATAAGGAAGGACGAAGGAGATGATCATCAAGGTGAGGCTCTGAGCGGAACGGGTCCAGCTACAGCGAGGCCTGTTGACCTTCTGAGAGCAACCTGTCTACCTTTAGCCTCTTGGCGACAATGACGCACCCCTCTGCTGTGATGGCGGCACGATCTCAGAGAGGTGAGATGACGGCCCCTGGTCTGGACCTCTACCACCTGCCACACTCGTCAACTCTATCCTGGCACGCCCGGCAATGGTGAACTTATACATTACTTGGCATTGAAAACTGATAGGATTCTTCCTCTCGCCCGTATCGCTGCTTTAAGGTCATGTTGCCAAGGCAGACCCTCAGGAGACTGAAGCGCTTGCAACCCACCTTCCCTTCACGATGCTCGGCCAGATGAAGTGCTCGGACTCATGGACATTCCGTCATGCTCCTGTACCTACCAAGCTGGCTCATTTTGCCTTAGTTGCAGACACTGGGTGCCCAAATCTCCGAGTCCAGGTCAATTTAACAGGGGAACGCGGCTGGCGATTTGGCCGAGGCTGTCTCTACATCCATTGCGTACACCTACTCACCCAGCCAAGACTTTACGTGCGACGGTCACATTAACAGACGGCCGATGGCGTCCCGACAGAACAGGCTTCGCCACCCGATCCATGGCATCGGAAATTGTCTGTCCTTTGGCTTTCAATTGTCTCGGCATACTTACCCTCCGTGATTGCTGAGACCTCGGGCTTGGGCACCGTTACATCACCGTAGATGATGCGATGCGGAAACCACTCGCCATTTCGGACGACAACGGCGAGACCTCATGCGCCAGTCCTCTAGTGCTAGATCTTCCGTACCAGACCGGAACACAAATTCACACGACCTTCCTCTTCTAGCAAACGGTTCACCCAAACTTTGTCCTAAGCAGCACCACGTCGCGCGCCTCCCACTAGACCTCGATCTCGTGCGGTTCCCGGCCCACCCACCACGTCGTCTCTGCCGGCCGAAGCGGCCTCCCCCGTCGCGGTAGACGACGTCGCCCACACCCACGCCCTGGCCGCGGCAGTCCCGGCACTCGCCCTCGGCCTCGAACACGCCCCGGACCCACTGGTGCGTCGTCTGTCGGCGGCCGCACTCGTGCCCCCGGAGCATGGCCGCGCGGCATGGCCGGTGACGCCAGTGCACACCCAGGTGCAGGCAGCCGTACTCGGCCGTCACGTAGAGTTTGTAGCACATGTTTTGGGGGCGCGGGTAATGACTTTTCTTTTATTGTGCTGTGTTTTTGTGGCTTCTGATTCAATGACGCTCGGGGACCGCGAGGTTTCGTTCTCCGTGAGAGTAGAAAATGCCGACTTTATGGTTTGCTTGAACGGTGGATCGCTGTGAATTTTCGACTCTGGCAATCCACAGCTATCACACTCCCCTTTAGACGGAAGCTTTTAAACCAGAGTCGACGTTCGCTTCGCTTGAGTGAATAGAACGGTTCACATTCTATATACGTTAGTCATTCACTTTACTGGCATCCACTCGCCAGAAACTGGGTTCCAGCACTCGCGGTGAATTTCTAGTCTTTGGTTTGTCTGGGAAACCAACGACTTCCTTAGGCTCTCTTGGACACCAAATCTTGCCATTCCCAAGCGGATCAAAAAGGTATACTCAAGATGACTGAGAGTGTAGCGAAACGACAAGGGCGCCCAATGTCGCAAAAAGGGGCGGCTAATTATAGGCGAGGTTCAAGACACGATGCACTGATTGGGACGGCTACGCAATGCACAACTAATTTGTGGCGTGGTATCTGATTAGACCGCTTGGGAACGGGAATACGAAGCTGCTGTAACTCTAATATATGGGACAATCTTCCCCGCATGATATTCATCCATTGACACCTCTGCGCATGCCCGTCTCTATGCTTGGCCACAGCAACTGATCACTTGTAGGTAAGTTCTCAATTGAAGCACAGGGTCGCCGAAGGCTGAAAACAGCGAAGCGGATGAGGCGGATCTTGGAGCATGCAGAGTTTTCGCGGTGAGTTGTCGCACTTCTCGGGCAATGCGCTTGGCAAGTGGCGAAAGTGATCTATATTATTCTATAAGTTCCACGGTGCTTGAATTGACAACTCTGCTCTTTGCTATGTGCACGGGCACTGTTTCGGTTTCTTATAACTGATATGAGTTAGGAAACCTCACTATGAACTGCAAGACAAAGTTTAAAACACGCCTTTGACTGCATCCTACTTCATTACTTCTCCACTATGGCTCGTATTCAAAGTTTATACTTCGTTGTTTACTCGATCCGGGTAAGGCGTGGATTATGTCGTCACGCGAGTGCTGACTGAATATCCCTCGGGCAAAGAGTGGCGCGGTTCCTTGTGATAACGCCTTTCCCTGATTGTTGCACCAAGCATCGTCGATCGTAACCCCGCTTTCGGCGGCATAACTCCGTTGCCTTGAAAGAGACGGAAACCAACAATTCGCGGCAGCCATGTCCGTCGCGACGGAGAAATTTTCCCCAGACCCGGAGCGCCGGCAATGATCCTCGTTTGGCAGAGGACCGCGCTAAGTATAGATATCCCCACATATAGAATACCCTAACCAGGCCTGAGCATGGATCATGAAAAGGTTAATATATAAGAAAGGCCAGTCTTGGTCTTTTTTTTTTCCATCATCCCTTTAGCCATTTCTTCTCCGGCCTGGATTAGGAGTCGGACTTAGCACCCGCTATCGCCGATATGCAGTTTCCGAAACCGTCGTCGATGCTCGGTCGTATTGGTGGCCTCGTCCCGGCCCTGCTCCTCCTCGGTGCACTCCTGGACGGAGCCGGCCTGTGCCGCGCCGACAACCCCATCGTGCAGACAATTTACACCACAGACCCGGCACCCATTGTCTACAACAACAGGGTGTATGTCTTCACCGGCCACGATGAAGACGGGTCCACGACCTTCGTCATGCGTGACTGGCACGCCTACTCGAGCAGTGACATGGCCAATTGGCAAGACCACGGCGTCGTGGCCTCGCTGGCTACCTTTAGCTGGGCTAATGCCAACGCGTGGGCAGGGCAAGTCATTGCCCGCAACGGCAAGTTTTACTTTTACGTTCCCATCCGGCGCACCACGGGGTCGATGGCCATCGGCGTTGCCGTCGCCGACTCCATCACGGGACCGTACCGGGACGCTCTCGGCAGGCCGCTCGTCGACAACAACGAGATCGACCCTACCGTCTTCATCGACAACGACGGCCAGGCCTACTTGTATTGGGGAAATCCGAACCTGTCCTATGTCCGCCTGAACCAGGACATGATTTCATACTCCGGCTCTGTCAACCGCGTCACTCTCACCCCGCAAGGCTTCGGCACTCGTACCTCGGGCGCCACCGCTCAGCGGCCTTCCGCCTTCGAGGAAGGGCCGTGGTTCTACAAGCGGGGGTCGACTTACTACATGGTATACGCCGCCAACTGCTGCTCCGAAGACATCCGCTATTCAACCTCATCTTCGCCTACGGGTCCTTGGACGTACCGCGGGTTAGTGATGGCGACTGCCGGGTCATCCTTCACGAACCATCCGGGTATCGTCGATTTCCAAGGCAACTCGTACTTCTTCTACCACAACGGCGCGCTCCCGGGAGGGGGCGGATACACGCGTTCCGTCGCCGTCGAGCAGTTCACCTACGGGAGCGACGGGTCCATCCCCACGCTAAAGATGACAACGGCCGGCCCGGCCCAGATCGGCACCCTGAACCCCTACGTGCGCCAGGAGGCCGAGACCATTGCCTGGTCGTCTGGCGTCGAGACCGAGACGTGCTCGGAAGGCGGCATGGCCGTCAGCTGGATCAACAACAACGACTACATCAAGGTCAAGGGCGTGGCATTCGGCAGCGGCGCCCGGACGTTCAGTGCCCGCGTGGCCTCGGCCAACAGCGGCGGGAGGATTGAGCTGCGGCTCGGAAGCACCTCTGGCGCGCTCGTGGGCACCTGCACGGTGGCCGGGACGGGCGGGTGGCAGAACTGGACCACGGTGACGTGCCCTGTGAGTGGCGCGACGGGCACGCAGGATCTATACTTCAGGTTTACCGGGGGCGGCGGGGAGCTATTCAACTTCAACTGGTGGCAGTTCAGTGCCTAGGGGCTAAAACATCGAGGATGCTTGTTGCTTGGCAAATAAAGTTTTCTTCCCGGCCGACTGACCGTACGCGAGTCTCACGCTAGAGATGATCAAAGTCTGAATGGATGAGCGCGTGGATCCTGTTGCACGTAGATATGTTCCTGGATAGTGACCTCATTGTTGGTTGTTAGCAACAAATGGTAACCTGTGAGGCCAGAATTTCCCTCCGCCAACCTTATATGTCGATTGTATTTGCCACGTGAAATATCTATTGAAGGATATGGTGGCTCCAAACCCCCATTAGCGGTCTAGTAGAACCCACCCGGTCGATATGCAATGTCACGTTCCGTAGAAACCCAATGTGCGGCATCTCTGAGCTGTGCGATATCTCACTCTCTCAATACGGCATAGAATACCCTATGGCACAAAGCAACTGATGAATCTGACTCTATTTCAACGATGGCTATCGCTGGTGAGCTGGCTGGCAGGCCGATGTGAAAGTCGTTGCCAGCAGAAGCTCTACACACAGAGGCTACGAGGGCATAGGTCATTCCCATCGCCGACGCAACTTCATAAGTTGATTTGCTGAAAGATGTTGAAATCCAATTTAGCATCCGCGAAAAGATTCCGTCATCTCATCATTTGGAAACATGGAAATTTCATTCGCTGGTCCTACGTATGTTCCGTTGTCCTAATACTGATATAGCGTAGAGTCAAGAAGCCTAGAGGGTGCCAGGCTAGCAGCAACTGGGTTCAACGACCCGAAACGTTCAAAGATGGCCGAGAGAGTGTTATGTGCCGATTGCAACCCGCCGTCCACCCACCCACCGAGGAACGAGGTGCAGTCACTGTTGATCAGGACCCGACTGCTCGCATCCTTGGCAAGTTTCTGAAAGTCGTAGAAAAGGGACGCAATGTCCTTATCCTGTCCCGGGTGTCCCAGGGAGAAAGCACCGTAAGAGTGTCGGTCGAGTTGCCAATGAATAAGAAATATGTCGTCATCCGTAACAGGCGTAAGATAGTCAACATACTCGGGATATTTTGTTTTCTTCATCAATCTGGCGATTTGTTCCTTGAGCTTCCCTAGAAGCTCTTTGGGATCTTGTATCGCCATCATTTGCAAGGATAAGTCCTCCCAGGCATAAGTGATAAGAACCATGCCATACTCTGGATGGCCATAATCCAGGGTGTATGTTTGCGGGAGGTTCGTGTCGGATAAGATAACTCGAGGAAAGTCAGACGTTTGATTCTCCCAGAACTTTTCCGTTCTGATGAACAGCTTCGAGGATGCTGTCATGTGTAAATCGTGGATGCCTCGTTGTACTTGAGTGGAAAGGATTGGTTTGCCAGTAGTTTGAGAGACCGGAGCCACTGCGTGGACCATAGCCCGACTGGTGGTTCCAACGATGACAAGATCATACTGAACAGTGGTCGAGGTGCCGGCAGATATTTCCCGGACGGACACGCTGGAGCCATTCGGGGTGTCATCGCCGCCACTGGTAACTTCAGCAACTGTCCCAAGCTTGGTTTTGACCCCAAGTGCTGTGGCTGCATTCCAGATCTCCTTTGCGAGCTCGTGGATACCCGCCGGCAGGAGGCCTTCATCAGAAACCTTTGCGAATACAGCCTGGTCCGATTCGAGTCCATTGACGACCAGCCGTAGTACAGAGTTGAATCCAGCCGTGAACACTGCGCCAAAGCCGCCAGAGCCAATGCCCAGAGTACCAAACCGGTTGAAATCGTCTTCACTCCACTCTTTGCCGCCTGGGATATCCCACTCATGTTGATCGCCAAAGATGCGCTGGAGACCAGTGTAGAAACTGTCGTCTCCGAATACATCCAGGTACTTCTGCCATTCCGGAACAGCCAGCATTCGGGTGGCCAGGTCTTTGGAGCTGAGCCACTCCGTCAACTGAGCAGGCGGAGTGATCAACAGTTTACCGTCCTGGCTCAGACCGCCAAGGATAAGCTGTTTCCAGCCATTGTCGACTGTTTCGAATCCAGAAGGAGGGCCGTCCTCATCAAGCCACTGATTGGCAACTCCCTGGTAAAAGATAGTCGTGGGAACCTTGCCAGGATCAGGAAAGTTCTTTATGAAGGCGAAGCCAAATTGTTCCGCGTAGTAGTAGAGTAAGTCCTGGGAAGGCGGGAAGCGCATGGCGCCCATCTCGGCAACGTTGACGCCATCAGAAGCCTCGCTGGACCGCAAGCGGCCTCCCACTTCATGACTCGCTTCGATCAGTGTGACATTGGCTCCAGCCTTTGCCAGGTTGAAAGCCAGTACAATATTGGTAATTCCCACTCCTACGAGACCAATTGTTAGGCCTCTGGGAAGGGATCCAAGTGGCTGGTTGATGTCGCCAGCAGCTTGGTTCCATGCTGAGTACACAAGCTGAGGTGTGTCTACCCAGGCTTGAGGCCGCGCTTCCTGTCGGTCAGTGAAGGAAGATTGCCTCTTGATACCAAGAGGGCTTTGGGCCCTCTTGGTGGTGGCTAAATGCTCGAACCAGTCTGCAAGGGCCCAAAGGGTGGCTTTATCGTTTAAGGTGGAAATATGTGTTCCGCAGTAAGTGAGCTTCAGGGGTTCTACAAACGTTTCGATCCAGTTCAATACTGTTCCAAGGAATTGGGTCCAAAATGATAGCATATTGAAAGGTATGGAGTAGTCGACACACACATAGTGTCCATGAAAATAGCAATTTTACGGAGGGTGGGTAGTTCAGTGCTCTATGTATAAGAACAGGTGGACCGTGTAGCCCCTGTACGGATCGCCTAGTCATTGCGAATTATTTCACTTTACAACAAAAAAGGTAGGGCAGTCTCATAGCGTGACCTCGTATTTGGGCAACCCTGGCTCAAGACTATCGGACTGCAAGAAACTGTTCAAGTAAGCTTTCTAGGCGTATTCGAGTGCCCGTTACACTCCTCGAAAGATGATCGGCATCTTAGTGTAAGTGATCATTCTATCAAGCTCGGATGGTGCATCTTCGCAGGATGTCTACTGCGTAAATGGGAATTTCTTTTCGGCCAAAAGGAGGGCATGAAAGCCAGACAAGAGACCCTGAGCCCGTCGGGTCATGTGTGGATACTCTGCCGTGAGGCAGGGAAACAAACCTGGAAAATAAATCGTAGCCGGTAGGCTGATGGCCCCCTTCTAGTTGGTTGCCTTTCTCTAACCGCATTCAGGAAGCACCAGCTTCACTATAAGTTAATAGTCTGTGCAACCAGAAAGGCTATATCGTATCACCAAAATATATACAGTCTATAAAAATCCTAATCCTAATCCTAACGACTGTTCCAAACATCGATGTGTATATCTGAACTAGAATCGCCCACTCGGCTTGGGAGATTGGCGAGTAGGTGCGAGCAAGTTGTTCAGGTAGTCACTGACACGGTATAATACCTTAATCTACAACCCCATTGTGGAGCTTACCATAAGATTTTGTAACCTTGTCCCTGAGGTGTGGAGTGAACCATTAGCGGGTATTATGTGTAAGCCGATGGGATCGTAAGATTGGCTCGTCTCCACGTGTCGACTACTGCCAATATTATGAACAAATATACACCTCCGCTAACGGAGAGAACTGCGGACTCAGAAACTGGGCCGTCGCCCAGGACTCTGACTCGGGATGCGCACTCTCAATGGTAAATATGTGTTTGATATCCACAATGACCTTTCAACTTCCCAAGTAAACTTGACACTGATTCAAGGTAGCTGCAACGTGATTGGTTCACCGCTCTTGTTCGAGGGTGAAAAGAAAAGAGAAACGGCTAGCACGGAACAAGGTCATGAAGATATTTTCCGGTGTACACGAGTCGGGTCTATGAAGATCTACAACCACAAGAGATAAGCGGTCAAGCATGAATCTTCAATTACTGTAGTGGGGACGTGAAAGTGTGGAATCACTTGATACTCTTCACTCTTTGAAAGCACGAAAAGCACATGTGCGGGTTCATCATCTCGGAGTTTCTCTCGGCGCTTTAGGGAGAGGTCATATTTCAATATATAAATTTGTAAGTGTCTGGCAGCAAACAAATAGAGTAGTTGGCCTATTTGTATTGAAGTCGTCCGAGCTGAAAATACGCCTTGTAAGACCAAAGTAGACGATATATGATAGATGCCATACCGGCAGGCAATGCAGAATTTCTTTTGTGATTGGTTATGGAAAGTTTCATAGATTATAATCACGCAGTCACTCGTCCCCGCCAAGCCAAGTTCCGTGATTCATGTGTCCCACTTTGGAAAATATCGCCGTCCAACTCTGCGGGCTTCTCGGGAACTCATACAACTGCAGGGGTCACTAGTGCAGCAGATAGTACACTGGCCTGAGAAAATACGACAGCCCAAAATGCGATATATGATGGGTCCTAAGGGCCAGACCTCCAAATGTATTGACAGTTATAAAGTACATGTGTAGGTAGAATTGCTTCCAAGACCCAACAATTTCAACACGCACATGCCTATCGAAAGTCATGGATCTTGCAAATCTTCTCGTAGCGCTTTGCGCGACAACGAAGTATGCTTTGGAGTTACTGCCAAAAGTAGCTAGAGTTTTCGTGTCATTGGATGGCACTCTTAACACAAATACGTTCATCTCAGAAACCCAAGATTGGAGTTTCTCCGTCGGCAATGCACATTATCTGGCCGTTGCCTCAAACCCAGTTTTGTCCATACCGTACAGATTGGACCGGTTTTCCTCGGGTCCAATCACATATATTTCCGCACTTTCCGGCAAAACAACGGGAGAAGAGCTTCGACAAGTCATCAATGACTCCTTTAGACAGGACGACGTCTTCATCGAAGGCTTTCTCAACGATATCCTCGTCAGTGCTGCTGGCCCCGACGATCTGGATGTTTCGGTCATCGATTACCTTGGTAGTCTGGGATCAAAGATTATCTATGCTGACACCGACGGACCTAATACCTGCGGTAGTTCAACATTGACTCCATGCCCTCTTTTCGCAACAAAAGTTGGGAACAAACTCTCTTTGAGCAAAGTTCAGCTGCTCTACCCCGATACCTACAGGACTTTCGTAACTGGCACGTACGAGTCGAATGGCACCTACAAGTCCTTCACTCAAGCCGAAATAAACTCAGGGTATCCCTTAATCCCTGTCCCTTCAAGACTCTACAGCATTGAGGACAGGAGGCCATTGGCAGGCCAGCGCATCGGTGTCAAAGATATCTACGATCTCGAGGGCATCCAAACCACTGCCGGCAGTCTATCATACGTCGCAGTCAATGGCGTTGCTAGAAAGACTGCGCCGGCTCTTCAGCGGATCATCGATCTTGGTGGAATCGTCGTCGGCAAGCAAAAGACGGCACAATTCGCTTCCCCCGCGTACCCCTGGAACTGGAACGACGAGTACTACCCCAGAAATCCACGCGGCGACACTTATTTGAGCTGTTCAGGCTCCTCATCCGGAGCGGGCTGCTCTATTGCCGCTTATGACTGGCTTGACTTCGCCATAGGAACCGATACTGGTATGTCAGTCCGGCAGCCAGCTGCATTTTCCGGAACCTACGGCAACAGGCCCTCGCAGGGTATGATTCTTATGGACAATATTGTAACTAATGCGTACAACACCGATACCGCGGGAGTCATTGCTCGCGACCCTGGGAAGTGGGCTTCCTTTGCCAAGGCTTGGTACGGTCCGTCACTCCATGAGCAAACGTCTCTAAATGGCTTACCCGCTCTCTCATTGCCCGACGATCATACATTTCCAAAGCGTATCCGGTATCCGGTGGATCATCTCCCGTTACAGAATCCTGCTGCCGAGGCCATATTACAGAAGTTTTTGAGCGATGCATCGACGGCGCTGGGTGCTACTATAGAAAACTTTAACCTGAGCGCGACTATCGAAGATGTTGCCGGCCGACCCCTCTTGAAAGTTTTGGATGACCTACTTGTCCTTTGGACACACGATTTGATCAAAGAGACCGCCAAGCCTTTACTGGCCAAGCACGCTCCAGTCTTCCCCCAACTCGACGAACCCTACCGCCAGATCTTCCATTCTTTGACCGTTAAGAACGAAGTGTATAAGGCGGCCATGACGAACCGGACCCGTGATGCGGCAGCCTGGCATGAAAAGGTTCTCTTCTCCACCGATCAATCCTGTTCAGAGAGCATCCTCATATACGACATCGGGACTGGCGGGATGCCGTCATTCAGGGAACGAGACCTAAACAATATGCCGGGTGCCGCGCTGCCTGCAGAGCCCACAGGTCCTGGTGCCGCCTCGATGGTCTCTTCATACTTTGGCGACGTTGACTATACCATTCCCCTTGGACAGGTGTCCTACTTCAGTAATATCACATACCAGGCAGAGACGATGCCAGTGACGGTTAATATTGTAGCAAAAAGGGGTTGCGACTTTGTCTTGTTCAATATGGTTAATGAGTTAGCGCACCGCGGCATTGTGAAGACCGTGTTGACAGGACAGACTGCCTTTAAGAGTTAGGCCTGGCCTTCACATTGAACAGTTCCGTAGGCTCGAACCACAGTGCCATTTCTATAGAAGGAATGTAGGACCTTGTATGTGTTAATCAGAGAAAAATGCAGCTCCTAAATCTTGTGTGTATACAATGCATTCGATCAGTGAAGCATGATGGTCTCCACATAACTTCGTCTTATTTTTTCATGCCGTGCATTGGCTCCCTGTTAACGAGTTCTCAAAATGAAGTTGCTGAACAGCTCACAAGTATATCGAGATTGCTAGTATGCACTACCATCCATTTCCTATACCCACATTCGAAAGTTAAATTTAGACTACGCTTTCATATCTTACCTACATAATGCAGGGGTTGGTAAAGCATCACATTGATAGTAGCTGCATTGTACCATAACCTGTATAATTTATCCAGGCGACTCTGGGTTCTTGCTCCTGATTGACAGGTCAGAGATGCGGGCAAACAAGAATTCCTCTACAAAAGCCGCAGTACTGTACGGTGCTCAATTCTAAATCAATTGTAAAACAATAACTGAGTCTGTGCTTCGTTCCACACCAACCTTGAATCCTTGTTATAACTCATCCATGAAGACCTTAAACTATTACCACTAGTTCAATCAATGAAATTGAGGAGGAAACTCGCTAGCGTTAAAGACAGCCGAAAGCTTCTCCGTGTAGTCAAGCTTGACATTGCTTTCAACATCAAGGTCGTTCTGTATCCACAATGCTGGCAGTAAGAGTGTCATGAAGTGATGCCTTCGCCAGGGACTCCTACTGTCTGGGGCGGGTACAAGATCTAGAACTCGAAGCCTCTCAATGTCTGTGCGCGCTTCGCAGCCGAGGATGAGTAGAGGTAGCGGTCTCTCGCAACAGCCCACGTACTTCATGAGGGAAAGTCCTTTATCGACAAGCAGCTCTAACCCTGAAGAACGTGATAGGCCATGATCGGTGGAGCGGCTTAAATAAACGAGCGTCGTAATCCGGAAAACTTCGGCCCTAGCAGCGACACTTTGTATGGCTGGGTCCGCCGGCGTTGGTATCTCGAGATTCCTAATCTCTTGTTTGAGATGCGCGACCTTGGTCTTGTATGCCTCTTTGCGGGAATTGGGATCTCCAGATGGTAAGACCTCGGACACTACTCTAGACAAAAGACGAAGAGGTGCGAATATTGTGTTGTGGACGATGGATCCCTGCCACTGGATAAGCGTAGTCGCAGAATTCCACCGCGCTCTCTCCGCTGCTAAATAAGATGGCGAGTCTGTATCATATTGGCAGCTTGATACTCCAGGATGATGTTGTCGCCAGTGACGTAGGCTGAATCGAGCCATCACTTCGTGGTAGTAAACCCACTCCAGCAAAATTGGGCCGTCTGTCGCCCTACCAAAGCTTTCGAGTGAGACGCTTTCAATCACCTTTCCTGCAGCCCGGAGATAACAGAGCCACTGATCAGAAGCCGTCGAGTTTTGCTGACTCTTGAATTCAAGTCAGCATAAAGGGTTAGAACTCGCCAAGTTGGAAGTGCCAGAGAGTTGCTGAATGACAAACCTCAAACAAACAAAGAACCATTACTGCTGCAACATGCTGAATGGCACTCTGCGATTCGATTCCCTGAGAGGCTGAAGCAGCAAGAGCACGAATAGCAGATAGCTTTAGCTCCTCACCCCGCATTCCAGGCCCATGTCGATACTGCGAAGCAATAGCTAATAAAGAACGCCTTAACGCAACAGCGGCAATCGATTGACCTGAAGCGGCAAGGCGGAGCAGAGTAGGCCCGAGAGGTTTGTTGCTGAAGCTCAATATCCAGGATGCCATTTGATTCTGAACTAGATGTCGGCTATGTAAGAATTTTGATCACTAAAAGAAAGGGTAATTCAAGAAGGACTCACAATAATGGAAAAGATCATGCTCAGTTGCGGATAATCCAGATGTGAACCGCGGTAAAGAAGGACGTAAAGGCGGGAAATAACCATTATTTGTTGACATACGGTTTCGGTGCAATTCTATATCCCAAAACGTCGCATTAACCATGTGGAATTGGTCCGAATAAGGATCTGTGTGCCGAGTCTGTTTGAAAAGGGGCCCGGCTTGGCCAACGATGATTCGTTTGCCATCGTCTTTCCTAGGCCAGGATAGACGAAGTCCGTATCCCGTGCAGACTCGGTTTGAACGAACGCAACTAGAGCAGCGTGGAAAACGGCGATCGCAACTGATTTTGCGCCCTACCATAGTCACTTAACGTTAGTAGGAGTCCCGCGAAAACAGCCAGAAGGGCCGACCTGTGTCATGCAGCGCAGTTCATACCTATGCAAGTTCCACATCGTTTCTTCGGCAAAGCAATTGCGTCACGCCTGGCTTTGAAGGTTTGCATCATGTGTACGCACTCGACGCTCCAAATCTAAATGGGTCACAAGTCGTAAGAGATGGAGCCTTGCCAATTATGAGTTCGCAGAAAGTTGCTCAATGATCAGTGCCAAGCAACTTGATTGCTAAGCTGATGATGAACCATGCAAGACTATCTTAGCCGCTGCATTAGCGCTAGGCAGCATTCGGCTCGTACGACGAGTCTGTTGGCAACTTTTTGCGAAAGAACTCAAGTCAATATTAGCCAATCGGGTTCTATTATTACCAGTCGGTGGAGGCCTTGGTGGCTGTCTATGTGCGATGGTATCTTTTTGCGAGACTACCATGGGCCCTCATAGCCGCAGAATAACTGTAGTCGAAATAGAATTACGTGGCCTTTTCAAGGTGTTCATGATCATTCTGTCGGATTATCTATCAAATTTGTTAGCTAGACCTGTACGGGATGATTCAAAGTTCCGAATATATAAGTCGCCCCCTCCAGCGATGTCATTTCTTGAAGTAACAGACTCTATTGAATTTCCATCAGCTACTAAGGCTCAGATCCAAGTGGTCCAACGAAAAGATCCTATTTCGAAAATCTGATTTCAAAACATTGCAGCTTCATCATGCCTTCTTACCTCGTAACGGGTGTGAACCGTGGTATTGGGGTATGTTTCTTTGTGGCATAACTGAAACCTGTCCAAAAATATACTAATACCCATCACCTAGTGGGAATTCCTCCGCCAAATTTCCGACGACGTCAACAACGTTGTCATCGGCACTGTTCGCAACAAAACTGCCGTTGAGAAGAAGATATCCGATGAGCTTGGAAGCCGATCCAATGTGCACCTCGTGGAGCTCGAAATGACTAGTTACGACAGCATTAAGGCATGTACATCGGGAAACTCGGGGCTGTTACACTTAAAACATCAATCTTACCAATTTCACATAGAACTCCGTCAATGTTGTATCGAAGATCACTGGAGGCAAACTCGATTACATCATTGCAAATGCGGGATACATCTCGGACTGGTCAGGGTTTGACGCCATCGGCAAATTGTAAGTTGAAGATGTAACACAAAACGTGTTGAGCAATGGGTACTCGCTAATGCCTCCTCCATCCAGGGGAGATACTCCTCAACAGCTTGAAGAGGATCTCTTGTACACCTTCAAGGTCAATGTCATTGGCAATGTTCACCTGTTCAACTCCTACATGCCCCTGATCCTAAAGGGAAATGCCAAGAAAGTTATAACCCTCACCTCTGGGATGGCCGACCTTGACCTGATCAACCAGTACCATGTGGATTCTGGTGCACCTTACTCCATCAGTAAGGGGGGTATGAACGTTGCAGTCAGCAAGTTTCACGCCCAGTACGCTAAAGACGGGGTTTTGTTCATGGGTATCTGTCCTGGACTGGTCGACACGGGCCATGCCGACAACTGTGAGTTGTGCTCTAAATCATGTTTACTGACGACCTTTACTAACTCCCATGAAGTGAGCCAGAATCAGTTGGAAGGTGCCATGCGAATGGTAGCCATCTTTGAACAGTACGCCCCTGGCGCCAAACAAAGAGCTCCAGAGGACGCTGTCCCAGACGTTATGAAAGTCATGTACGAGTCCAGCCTCGAGAATGGCCGTGGGGGTGCCTACATCTCTCACTTGGGCAGCAAGAGATGGTTGTAGTAAACATGAGAGCCGATCAAGCATTGGAAGCAAATTTTTCATTGAGTAGACTCTTATGTATATTAACAATATCGCTGGGCTAGTAGCACCGATGCGGCTTGGCGTATGAAGAGTCCTCAATCATGCCACGACGATGAAAGGTAGTCTCGTATAGAAAACACTTACAAAGCTTTGTATCTTGGATGAATTATCGAAGACATCAACTCGATGACATACACCAATATTGTTGCACTCCGCTGCCCGCGCCACCATTCCATCCGGCGTAGCGATCAATGAACCGTGCTGGCCGCCATCAAACTATGGCGAATTAACAACAATGATCCTGTTTTAGATGGAGCCATGGGTCCCTTTACGCGCGAATCTCGACGGCACATGGCTATGTTTGAGTGGAACATAGGGCGGTAGGTCCTCCTTGGAGACGGAAGCTCGCTCCGTAGTCAGTCTTTCATCAGTGATCCTCGGCCCGCTCCATTTGCGGAATATCAGTCGTCCGACCATGTTACATCCTTACCGCTCTATGGATAGTCGCAACAGCAATTGATAGGATCCCATGTGTTTGTGTAAACAAGCATGAATGCCAGCTCGTCTCTACAACCATGGAGGACGTATTAAGGTTTGGCTTCGGGGATCTTCCCCACCCCAGCAGTATGTTCCAGGCATGGTGCACGTTTCGCCTGTTCGTGGCTGACCCTGTTCCTCAGATATCATATTGCGATGGTGCACGTCGATACATTTTGTTGTTAAGCATTCCGGACAGCAGCATGATCAACCTGAGTCATAAGTTCATGCTTATGTCGAGAATGTCTGTTATCAAATCGTCTATTTGCAACCTGGCATGATACTGAGTCTTTATCGTAATGTATTGAGAAACAGCTCGCCCAGCATACTAGAGCCACAATCATATGCGTGCTCTAGATAATGCTAAGATTGACAATATTGGTATTTTCTTTCTAATTATGCACTAAACTCGCTTCAAGTTGAATCTCGGTGACTGGAATTTAGCGCATGTCTGGAATGAAAATAATTGCGAGTCTCTCCTCCTAGAAGTGAGTCAAATCACCAAGTCCTCATACTTGTTGATAATGCGCCGTTCCCACAAACGTTTGGCCGTCAACTTAAGGAAATAATTCTTCTAATACCCGAAATGAAGCCGATTCTCGATCAGCTGTAGTTCCAAGCATTACAAACGAATGTGTCACTGATTTCTGGGTACCTGTCTCATTCACCGGCCCATGGAAGTATGAAACATGTAGAGCTTGAGATCGTGGAGTCTCAACGAGCAGTTCTAAAGGTAGTCACGGTTAGAAGTGTTAGTTCTTCATCAAACCTGAATCTGCGAAATTCTCGGGAGTTTAGGCTCCGGAAATACGTCATAACTACCGGGTCATTGAGTTTATGTACCATGCTAACTGTTCGAGAGGCAGGCATCAGAGGTGCGCAAGGTGTTGCAAAAGCGACGCCGTCTATTGCGGACAACAATTAGCGCTTTATATCACTACACCAAGAATATCAAGATCAATAATGCAAGCCCCGAACATCACCTGGGTATATAGCGTGGGGAACGCTTAGACGTCTCAGGGTCGGGGCATACACAAGGATTGTAAACTCTCGATTACGTATAATGCTGTCGCAACCAATCAATGAAGAGCGCCTTGAATCAGACTGCACGTTGCAATAAAGTTGTGGCCTGACTTGTTCTCTCGATCTCCATGCAGCGTTTAAGCAAACGCAACAGAGTTCCGGCAAAGTCCTCGGTGCCTGTCGATCATTCAACTTCAGGCTTCAAAAAACCGATTGGCGGTTTCAAACGTCATAAGTGACCCAACGCCACAGCGAGAGAACAGAAAATCGGGGAACGCCTCATTCAATGCACTTTGACGCTTGATTGAGCCAAAGATGCACTGCGGGAAAGCTTGAAAAGAGGATCCCGGGGGGACCGGTGCGCAGAGAGTTAACAAAAAAAATACAAATTTAATACAAGTGTTAAGGACTTTTAGGTATAGCTAAAGTATATATATATATAATAGCCTATATAGTATATGTAAATATATATAGAAATATAATTTAGACTAAACCTATTTTTTAAATCTATTATTATTTTTATTTCCTTTTTAGGAAGTAGACCTACTTTTATATTAAAGATACTAAAAGTTAATTTTTAGTATAGACACTAATATGTATTATATTTTGTCGAGAGGAAAATATAATATAAATCTAAGGTGTATTACCTTAAATATATTAATATACTAGTATAGTTACTAAAAATAAAAACTATATTAAAAACCCCTTGTAATAATCTTTAGATCTATACTACATATTAATTATAGAATTTATTATCTTAAGTTAAGCCCTATAAGTACTGTATTTTAAAAAAAATACAAGTCTCTATACTCTGTACAAAATACACTTTTTACTCTCTGCCGGTGCGGGTCAAAAGTGGATTAAAAGACGTAACAATAACTGCTGAATTTTCGCCCATCGTCCCATCAGCAAGCGGAGGTTCCGTATCCAGTAACACCTTTCCATCGTCAACCATGTCAGAACATCTGGTGCCGACCTTGGTTTGCATTCTGAGTGTCAGGTGGAATGGAAGGGGACCACACGGTGAGTCAATCCACACTCAAAAAAACGAGGCAAATTATTGCAGGCGTCATTTCTTTTAAAACGTATTACTTCTCTTAATCATAGGCCGCCGAGGACCGTCCATCAACACATAATCCGGGGCCCCTCAAAGTTAAACCCTGCATGAGAAAAACCCGATTTCTCCACTAGCCCATCCTCCATCTCATGTTGCCTTTTTGAGTCCTTTTTCATCGAATTACGGCACTCCACCGAGTGTGAAGGGTTCCACCTCGGCGGTCTAGAAGGCATACTCGTGAAGGAATCGTAAGCAAGCCGGCTCCTAGTTGTCTATCCCATATCAAAATCCAACATCGCCATCATCATGGGCAACGAGACAGAAGGCAAGAGGGAGCTGGTAGACCCTGAGCTACAAGGTGCTGTCAATCGCCGTTCCGAGTCCAAGGACCTTGAGCCCACCCAAGATTTCGACGCGCCTCCGGCGTTTCCGAGCCATGCCAGCGGCGTTATTGAAGGGGAAGACGGCGAGCTGATCAACTTCAAGACATTGCACTGGCTGTAAGCCTTCCCGATGAGGTATAAATCCGCTTGAGGAGTGCTGACCTCGACATAGACAGGGGGGGATTTTGCTTGTCGCAGAGACTGTTTCTCTAGGGATCCTTTCGCTGCCGTCTGTTCTCGCCACAGTCGGCCTCGTCCCTGGCGTCATTCTCATCTGCGTGATCAGTGCGCTAGCCACCTACTCTGGCCTCCTCCTCGCCGAATTCCGGAAACAGTACCCCTTCGTCCGGAATTTTGGTGACGCGGTTGAACTCATCGGACGACCAATCGGCCTGGGACGCGGCTTCAGGGAGGTTTTTGGTTGGGCCCAAACCATCCTTCAGATCTTTTTGATCGGGGGGCATATTCTACTTTGGACGATATGCATCAATACTCTTACGAGCAGCTCCGTCTGCACGGTTCTCTGGGCTGCTGTTGGCATGATGATCTTCTGGGTTTTCAACATCCCGAGAACCCTGAAGTGGACAAGTTGGATGTCGGCGATGTGTAAGTCCGGTTTGCTGTGACTCATATTATCTGTGCGGCCGTTGACCTTATTCAAGCCTGCATCTCCATCCTGGTGGCTGTCTTCATCACTCTCATTGACGTTGCCATTGAAAAGCCCATTGGGGATGGAGCCATCGATATCTTCAAGTCCCTTGGCTTTTCTCCTGCTTTTCTAGCGGTCATCAACATCGCCGGTGCTTTTTGTAAGTGGCCGCTGGGCACATGTGAAAACGAAAACCCCTAACGTCCTCGTCCAGCAAGCCACTCCATATTTTTCAGCATCATTGCCGAGTTCAAGAACCCGGACGACTGGCCCAAAGCGCTTGCGTTTCTCCAAATCACGGACACGACGCTCTACATCATTGCCGCAGTCATCATTTACGTCTATGCTGGTCCTGATGTGCCATCTCCTGCGCTCTCCGCAGCAGGTAGCGCCACCATCCGCAAAGCCATTTGGGGGGTTGCGATCCCCACCATTGCCATCGCGGCGGTGATTTACGCGCACGTCGCGTCGCAGTACATCTTTACGCGCATCTTCAGCAACACCAAGCACGTCGTGAGGAGAACAAAGACATCCACAATTGCCTGGTTGCTGATTACTCTGGGAGTCTGGGGTATCGGCATGGTAATCTCCGAGTCAATCCCGGTTTTCAACAACTTGCTGGGTCTCGTTTCCGCTGCATTTGCTAGTTGGTTTTCCTTCGGACTACCTGGGATATTCTGGCTCTGGATGCACAAGGGAAACTGGTTCAGCACCTGGAAGCAGAAATGTCGGTTTGCAGCCACCTCGTTGTTGTTGATTGTGGGTATCCTGATCTGCGTCCTTGGCCTCTGGGTTTCAATCGAATCCATCGCCAAGGGGGGTTCGACTTCTAAACCCTGGACTTGCGCCAGCAATGCCGCAGAGTAAAACCTGCATGTAGTATCGGGGGATTGGTTGTCTGTCCCCGTGTATCAATATGATGTGATATTCCTGTTTTTTGCCTACGGCAAGTTTGAGGCTGAAGTCGACCTGGTTTGAGTGAGACCAGTTGGTAGACGTGAGACCGCCCTAGCTCGCTCCACATATCGCTACGTTTAATGTGGTGAAGTGGCAAAATCTCACCTTATGTGCCGAGAGTCATGTTTGGGGCTGAGAATCAAAACATGAGGTTAACAAATGGTACGCCAAGTCGTTGCCGAAGCGGCACGGCTGCGCCATTTTTGCGCTGTTTCTGTAAGCGAGAAGAGCGCGCAGTCCCTTGCGTCCCTTACGGTTTCGATTGTCAGTCAGCAACCAGGAAGCGTCTAAGACTACATGTTCTGATTATCTCGTGGCGATCAAGCTTCTGGTGTTTAATGAACAAATGAGACTGTCTAGGGGGATTTAGCCCGATGCCATGAGTGAATTAACGAAAAAGTCTCCTGAGGTCCTGCGTCACTAACCCTCTTTCGGAAAAAGAACTTGCGTGACTGATCATAAACTCCGTTATTGCATTTCCGGATGACATTGTCAGCATGAATACGAGCCGTTTTTATGTCAGGGGTCGATGCGGCTTGGTTGCATCGTCCCATGTGGGTTGACTGTGATACCATATTTTCTTTTGCTCTTGATCGTCTCCAGGTAAAAATCCCTGCGTGCGCTGCCGTCAAGCAAAACGCTCTAAACCATCCCTGCAGTGAACTTAATTCCAGCATGATTAGTCACGTCTACTGTCCGTGCAAGACATAACGCCCTGATGGAGCAACATAACACGGGACTGATGAACACTGAGAGGATGATCGGCTCCAAGTAATGCTTAAACTCGAGTTGAACTTCTTGTTGGTATCGACTATGTGACTACACATTAATTGCATGAAAAAGGCCCCACCAGCGAAAGTAAATCATGATATCATCGAGGTGCCCCCGAGATAGAGGTAATCTCTTATACACAAGAATGTCGGGCAAGCAAGTGCGAAGTTCCCGCCCCGGAGGCCCCCGCGTCTTTATTGTTTGCTTTTATCCGTCGTAAACCGCAGATAGCGAGCTTACAGGATGAAAGCGGCGACGGCGATGGCCAGGCCGGCACCGGAGAAGGTCATCAGAGCGGCGCCGGCAGTGACGACGGGGCGGATGGTGGAGGTGGGCGTAGCACCCTTGGTGCCGTTGCCGGCACCATAAGTGGGGACAGCAGTGGGAACAGCGACCTTGGTACCGGAGCCGACGGCCTTGTCGTCGCTGCCAGAGCCGGAGCCATAGCCGGTGCTGGAGCCCTTGCTACCGGTGGTGCAGGTGGAGAGCTTGTCCTGCATCTGAGAGAAGATTCCGTTAAAGTGGGCGATCTCGTCGCCACCCTTGCCGCCGGCGGGGAACTTGGTGGAGATGGTGGTCATGAGAGTGTTCACGTTGCTGCCTGGTAAGAGTTAGCCATCACGTTTGGTGAAGGCATTGTGAACATTGTTCAACTTACCAACCTGAGCAACCCAGGAGAGAGTGGAGTCGCAAGCACCGCTTTTGGCAAAGAGCGGCACCTTGGCATCGAGATCGACGAGGAGCTTGTCGCCGGCGGCGTTGAGCTGGTCGGAGAGGGGCTGGAAGGCGATGGCCTCGTCCATAGTGAGGGGCAACATGGACGCAGCGTTGTTGGTCGCGGTACGGATAATGGTGAGCATGGTGCCGGCAGCCGTCTCCAGCTCGGCGCCGGGGCCACCGCCATAGGCACAGATGGAACCGTCAAGAGCCTGGATACCGTTGAGGACGGTGGTCATGATGGTGTTGACGGTGCTGAGCTCGCGCTCGCAGAGCTCGCTGGGGCTGGGGGCCGCAAGGGCGCCGGCAGCGAGGAGGACGATGGGAGCGAAGAACTGCATTGTGATGGCTGATTAGGGATTGGGTGAATGAGTGCGTGTTCAATGAGCGACTGAAGATGAAAGTTTATAACGAATGTGGTTGTGTGAAAAGAGTGTAGGAGGTTGGCTGGCTTATGGAAGCGGGTGGCTGCGTTGGAAAGCTGTGTTGGCTGTGATGTCCAAGAGACGGCAAGATCGGCAGTCCAAGTGCAGCGTTTATATATCCAAGCAGAACTCAGGAAGCGTCTCCCGACTGCTCTCTCATTCCGACCTCCTGAGTTACCCCGGATCATCTCAGCTAGCAGTGACACCTCCCTACGTGTTACTCGCGGCGGCGATAGCCAAGGGGGTGGTGGATCGTCAAACCGACCGTGCAATCTTCCTTCTCTGATTTCCCTCCTCCTCTCCCATGCGCCTAGCCGTGCGCTCGGACGAGCCTATGATCCGAGTCCTGGATGCGCCTTGCAGATGGTAAATGAGCAACAGCGCGTGCTGACTGCGCCATGGCGCGCGCTAGCGAGAAAGAAGCATTGCTTTTCCCGCTAGAGATGGTGCCAAACCCGGCCGAACTGGATCAGCAACGCGGCCGTTGTCTTGCTCGCCTCGAATCCTCCCCCCTGGAACCGAGTCAGAATTTGAGAAAGTGGAGAGGGGCATTTCTTCCCTCTAACCACTAGCACAGATGAAAGTCTCAGTAGTGCGGCTTTATCTTCCTTGCAGGCTGACATTTCGAGGCCCCCCGACGACGCCTCTAGACGCCGGGCCTTGGCATATGGGACGGACCACTCAGGGTTTCTGGGGCAAGAGCTCGAGGAGACGTTTCTCTGGGTATCAGAATGTCTTTCAGCTTACGCAAAGACCACGGCCAGCCGCCCTATACAACATGACACTCATCAAATGACTTGACTATGTCGGTTCTAGGCCTTCGCCCGCTCAGACTGTTGTGGTGGCATTAGTGGCAAGGGTAGCGTTCAACGGTCAAGAACTCAAAACCCCTCAATTTCGGCAACTCCCAGCAACTCTCACTGGAAGTCGAACCATTCTGTAATGAAAAAAAAAAAAAAAGAATGACCATCATTGCGGGAGAGCTGTAAAAATCGTGGTTGGCCGGCTCGTGACTCGGTTATTCCGACTTGTGCACAGAACCTCAGCCGTTCCCGCAACGCAACCGCCCTGCGTTGTTTTTTCCCACGAGATGCCACTCGGCCGGTAGACGAGATCGGCTTTCGATGAAGCGACCAATGCGTGGTCCCGCGGTCGAGGCGGGCTTGGCGATGGCCACCGCCTCACGAGCTGGCTAGCCACCAGGTTTCTAAACGTTTGGATAGAGTTAAGAACGGGGGGAGGGTCTGTGAGGCTTTAGCTCCGTCTTCTGGGCGAGATCGAGGGCTGATAACTGGGAGAAGCAATCGGCTGGCCTAGGAGTGGTTCGATCGTTGGAGGCTCTGATTGCTGTTTTGTTTTACCGACTGGTTTCTCCGCAGACTCAGACATGTAGTCGTGCGTTTTGTGGCCACGCACTGAACATGCGCCACGTTCGACACGATGGTAAAACCCCCAAGGACTCAGCTCATCATGTTTGACTCGAGACTAAAAGCATTCTGGATCAAGGCTAACGATACTTTTGGCGATTCAATTTCTCCTTGCTGTGGAGTGGCGACAGCCGCAGCCCTGGAACAGCGCGCCATGTTTTGGAATATGAGTTGGTGTTTATTTCAAGGCGGGAGGTCTGACATCGGGCTGGAACATTCGGGGACGAGCGGTTTAATGACCTTGGTCTGGGCCTCAGTTGAGTCTGGACGCTCTTCAACAATCTTCTCCATGTATGGGTGTTAAGCTCATCCACCATCATTCCGATTTGGGATTCAACCTGCGCCTTGTTTTCTTCTGCATCATACGATGTCGGAAATTGTCCATGGCAGGGTTCAGTGAGCACTCAAAGTTAGGATACTAGACATGCGTACCTACTCTGGCTTATCGGTAAGGGCCGTGGCTGCAGGGTTTGGTCTTGACAACTTTGTAAATATAACGGTTTAGTTATAATATGAAGCAGAACGTTGTGAAAAGCTTTGAGGTAAGAAAGTTGGGGGCGTCGCAGCTTGCTTTTTGGATGCAAGTGATGGTGGTTGATATTGGTTGCATAGAGATAGCCAATAGGGACAAAATCTTCACCACCTCTTAATTATTATATGTGTACCGATGGATATTAGGTGTCCTACACCAGAGTTTCTAGTTACAAATATGGCGCAGAGTGCTCTGCCCAATGCCAGGCCCTATAGGACTCATTAAGATGCATGTGATATTGTGCATTTGACAAACCTTCTACTACGTAAGAACATTCAGTTGAAAAAAGTCGCAGCAATGCGGAAGTCTTGCCCATTATCTCGCTGTGAACCGCAACATCTTTCAAAGCCAACTTCACATGCCTTTATGCTGCCCGGGCTCAAAAGAATCTTTATCAGTAAAAGTCAAAGTATTATCAAACACATGTAAACATCTAAAAAAAAAAAAAAAAAATCCCCGTTTTACATCGGATTTGCATAAATATCATACACATTGTCTTCCAGTGGAACAGTAATATTATCCCGAACTGTTAACGACAACAAATGCCTCCCTGATTTCGTAAGGAAAAAGTCATCTACATCATTACGCGTCCCGCCGGCACATATTCATTCTACAATCAAAGCTTGGCTATGGAGCCGGTGCAGTCCGACATGCTGCTCTTATCGTTGCCGAATAGAGACATCCTGTCCATCCTATTCTGTGGTCAGCGCTGGACGCTCGCAACGCACGTCGGAACGGGACCCGACGACGGGCTTCCCACTTACGACTTCTTGAAGCTCTCGCTCCACTTCTCCTGCTCCCCGATGAAGCTCTGGAACCAGCGGCCGACGCTGTCGGCCTCCGAGGTCGCGACGCCCGCGTCCGACGGGAACACAAAAATGCCGGCCGGGGCGGCGCCGGCTCCGGAGGTGGCAAAGTCGTGCGTCTGCTTGTAGTAGGCCACGTCCATCTCTCCCGGCCTGCGTTTACAAACGTTAGCGAAACAACCTTGCCGGCGGGTCTTCGCACCACTGCCCCTCCATCCCCTTCACCGCGACCGAGGAAATCAAGGTTTTGGGCCAACTTACGTAGAGTCCTGCGGCGCCCCCGCCTGCGAGGCGTTGACGAAGGACTGCGTCGAGGTGCTGTGGGCGCCGAGCAGCGCGGCGAGGGCCTCGGCGTCGAGCCCCTTGGCCTTGAACAGGCCCAGGAGGGTCTCGGGGGGGTCAAAGGGGCTGGGTAGCCCTCCGGCTTTGGCCGACTTGGTGCTATCCGCGCGGCCGATGTAGGTCGTGACTTTCGGCCCGCCGGGACACAGGAAAATGGCAGCGTCTGAAGAAAAGACGGACAGAATATGTTAGTCACTCAGTCCATTACAGAACCTCAAAAAGCCGTTGGCCAGACCACTAAAGGAACTTGAGGGAAGAAAAAGAAAAAGATGTCAAAAAAACTCACTCCCGGCAAAGACAACCATATCCGCCGCAGTCGTGTTATACTTCGCGGCCAAGTCCCTCAGCGTGCCCGCGACGGCCGGCAGACCCCTGTTCTCGATCCGGTCGAGCTCGACGTCCGGATCGGCGGCGATGAGGAGCGAGCCGTCGCAGCCGCCGGACTGCCCTTGGGACTCGTCCCAGGTGCCGCAGTCGTGGAAGAGGGCGCGGATGGCGCCCCGGGCGAGGGCGGTGCACCGGCCGCCGTCGTCGAGGAAGAGCCCGTTGAGCTCGGCGTTGACCTGCGCCCAGACCTCCGGACATTCAGGGCCTCGCGCCTCGAGGCCGCGGACCGAGGAAGACGAAGCGTCCTCTGACGACCCGGGCAGTGCGACGGCGGCGGCTGTGGCGGCCAAGAGGCCGGCGAGTACGAGGGTTGTGGCGCGCATCTTTAAGAGAAGACGTGCGCGGTAGACAGTAGAGAGAAAAGGGAATCAATAAGTGTGGCGATCGTCAGCGGGCTGTCTGGTGATACTGTTCCAACCGTCGAATAACACCAGATATCACACAAACACCTTCACCTCTCTAGCCATATATATATATATATATATATATAAAGTCTGAGGATTATGTTCACACCTCTCCTTCCTTCGCCACCTTTCGTGCCCCTTGACCGAATGACGAAAAAACAAACAAACTGTATCTTGGCCTCACCTGCAGGCTCCTGCGGACGCATATTTCATATAGCCTCATGCCGGCGCCGGCGATTCCCCATCACGTTTCCGTTTTTACCACCGTCTGTGCCTCGAGAGCTGCAACTGCTGGGCTACTGCTGCTGACATGCACACTGCCTGAGCCGCGAGGTGCTCGCGAATCAGATCCCACCAGCACAGCGCGAGGAGGATGCCTGATGTCTGCCGTCCGATAAACCGGACATTGGATGCTTGGTGCCTCTTGCTAGGGGTGGGGGTTGGATAAGCCAGTCCCGCTGCCGGTAGTGTCCGTCTCCGAACGGAGCTAGGTCTTGGCGTGCTTACATCAGATCGAGGAGGGTGACAATGGGCCGTTGTATTTCCACAAAACTAATGTAAGCATAAGGGGAGCCGCTGCATCTTGCCGCTGAGGTAGTCCCCGATACGACACACCAGGCGGGAACCGGGTAGAAAGCAAATAGCCGACCCGCGTGGTTTTTTCCTTTCTTTCTTTTTCCCCTTCTTTTATTTGTTGCTATGTGTTTTGCTGCTCTGCCCCAGGCGGGGAGAGTAGCATCACGCCCAGAATGCATGCCTCAACGGCCGAAGCCTCACACCGACGTCCCGACGTCGATGGGGCCACCTGCAACTCCAACGTCCCCCCCGCATGTCCTTGAAATCGTGCATCGTATCTGCGCGTACGGGAAGATATTGGCGAGAGAGTTTACGGATCTTGGCAAAAAGCCCACACCACGACTTGGGCCCCCCTGCCTCCTCGCCTCCCCTCCACGTAGGAAGTCGGTATATTCTGTTTTCCTGGCATCCATCTCCAATCAGGCTCACCAATACATGCACTGCCCCTCCCCCCCCTCTTTCCAGAAGACCGAGACAACGCCCACCGTAATGGCCGTAAGCGAGAGACGATGTGACCGACGCAGCGTTAACAAGTCGCCTAATTCGCTGATAGATATACGTCTACGTGGGGATATTGATCGTAGACGCACATACACACCGACAGCGGAAGGGGAGATGAGATGGAGGCGTTCCCGGACATCTGGGCCGGAGATCTCCAGCGGCGGCCCCGCGCGCGCCCAAAAGAGCCACACCTCAACCAGCCCTTCCTTGCTTTGGTTGTGCTAACATGATAAGCTATGACACTGTTATGTCAGAGTCAGGCATTTTGTACCCGGACACCCGGGTGAATGTTGGAACTTGGAAGAAGCAAACACATTTAGGTGTCCCCCATTCCTTCTAAAATCCCTCGTCCTCCCCCAAAAAGGAGTCATGCGGTGTGTGCGCTGTGCGCAGTGCGCATGTGGCGGGTATATTCTTGGCGCATGTGTCAGCGGACCATTGTTTTTCTTTTCTTTTTTCTTAGATACTTCAGATGGGCGCCGTTAGCCGGGGCGAGCTTTCGTCTGGTCTTTGGAAATCCGCGCTTCGGATACGTAGCCCAGTACCTTAAATACCGACCAAGGAAAATCAAATTCTCGCCCAATTTAAGCATCACTAGGTAGGCGGTACACTGGTGTGACAACGCTTAGTCCTCATATGTCGCCATCATATACCATGCTTAACAATTTTTTCCCTGTCCATGCGCTGTCGGCCCCCTTGCCATTTCCCGTCGTTTCCTGTCATCGACTGTCGCCGGAGACTGCTACATCTCCTTCAAGAAATCGTCAAACTCGGTCTTGGTCTTGAGGTGCTTCGGCATCAACAAATCTTGCAAGACGGACGCGATGTTGCCAAGCGCGTCGAGCTGCTGCTGTTCCACGAGCATGTAAACATGGTGGCCGCGCACCATCTCGTCGGTCCACTGCTTATGGTCGGCAGGGTTGGACAACAGGTTGCAGATCTGCTGCAGACGGACCTTGAACTCGTGAAGGGTTTTGGGGTCCAGGTGGCTGAACTCTGCGTGTGACAACAACCCGATCTGGGCGCGGCCGAGGTCGCTCTCAAGCCACTCGGAACCGTTGTTGGTCAGGGCGAGAGACGCGGCATTGATCGTCGACCCCAGACGTACCACGATATCTGAGGCAGTCGCACATGCAGGCTCGGAGAGGAAATTCTGGCCAATGGCGAGGATCTCCACCGTCTTCTGAAGTTGGTCCTTCAGTGAGTACATGGCATTCCGAACTTGAGAGAGGCGGTCTGTGGGCCGTGGCGGGATATTGCCCCCGTGCCTGGGAGATTTGCACTCGTCATCAATCTCGTCGATGGGGAAAGGCATGTTTTGCGTCCGGTAGTCGTTGTAATCGCTTTTCGCAGGTTAGCCTTCACTCTCGCTCAGAGAAAACAAACGCATGGCAGTGGGGCCATCGAGGGCTTACACTTGGATAATGGGCAAGAAGTCCTTCATCTGTTTGATGTGGTTATCCAGAGCCGCATCTAATTGGAGCAGGGCCGAATGGACCTTTTTGCCCTCCTCCGTATTGGCATGTCGCGACCAACGTCTACTCTTCCTCCGCAGTTTCGAGACGATGGTCTCTAGGGATGACAACCACAACGATAGGCTGGGGTCGAGTGGTATGTCCGTTGCCCCCGCTGACTTCTCCCATTGTATCGCGTACTCGGCAAGGATGGGTCGGAGCTCATTGATCTGTCCCATCAGAGCATGGCAGCTGCTGTCGATATTGAGGCTCCCGTTGAGACCAGCGAGCTCCTCGTTGGTACGGAGGAGAGTGTCGGCAATGTAATCGTACAGCGACCCGAGTGTCTTGCTGATGCAGACAGGGTCCATCAAGGAGTCATCTAGGTCGAGGGTCTCGCCCAGTGTGGCTTCAGGATTGCCTAATTCCTCCTCTTCTTTGGGAGGATTCGCGTTGAGAATCAACCGATCAAACTCCCCAGCAGCCTCCTCCATCTTGCTTTCGGTGGATGGCTTGTATGTGGGTTCGATGGTGACCTGTGCTTCGTTCGAAGTTGAGGGCATGGGGAGTGAGGATGATTGGCGGCGTATGGGCCTCCCTAACCAGTCAAACAGCATTGAGTGGCCACCAGAGGCGCCATCAGCTGCTGTAGACGCATTTTGACAAGATATTCCGACGTCTTTGAAGGTCTCCATCTCCATCTTATCCCCGGTTCGGGGGGTGTCTGTTGTGAAAGTCTCATCTATGCCTGTAGCCTTCCCGGCAGGCGATTTTCGTGGAAATTTACGGCTCGCCGACGGGGAGGTTGTAGAGCCGTCGAGGGATGCAGGTGAGGTTGATCCAATGTCGATCAAGTTGTTGTTCTGCCAAGCCTCGGTGCGGGACAACGCCTCCCCAGCGGCCTCTGATGACAGACATTGATCACGTGCGGTATGAGGATGCTCGACAAGTGTGTCTGGGGCTTTCTTCCTTCTGTTTTCTGTGTAATCGGGAGGAGGATCGTGTGGAGGGTTCGAGGATAATGCAGCAGGGGGGTTGTCTACTTCGTCGTCTGAAGACGAGAGTGACAAGATGGAATAGTTGTCAGCGACCTCCTCCCAGTCGTCGAGGTCCTGCTTGGCGGGACTTTGGCGGTCAGCCATGTCGGTTTCGATGTCGTCGTTGCCGTTGCACCGGAGCAGTGGCATATGATAGGAGGGATATTATCGAGATGGACCGTGGTCGTTGAAGATACAGGTCTTTGTTAATCGGTATCCCTGCGATAAGATGTCAATCGATGTTGCTGTGGTAAAGGAACGAAGGAGGTGATCTGAAGCAAAGCCAATACCTCTAGCAATCAAGGCAGCCTCTAGAAAAGGCGGGAACAAGGCAGTCGCGTTGCTACGAGGTGAAGAAGAATCGAAATGCAGCAGGGCACGAGGATAACGTACCAAGGTAAGTCCCGATGCGGCGAGGCAAAGATGACGTGGATATAGGTCGATGGAATGTGTAGCCTGATCCGTCTTCCGGCAACGGAAGAGAGAGTGCGAGAAAAGGACGAAAGGAGCAAAAAGAAAAGGCAAACCGGAGCCTCAGGCTTGATGTGTGTCGATGGGAAGAGAAGAAACCATAACCCTCGACGGTTTCTTGGGTGAGGCAAACCGTACGAAGGGAAGCATGGTGGGAGTAGAAAGATTGGGGGAGGATGTGCGGTGAGGTGAGGTGAGGTGAAGCGGCCCCTGATTGATTGATTGACTGCCTGCTGGAGACCGTCAACCAACAGCTGCTGTTCGCCAGAGCTCCCGCCTATCAGTGAGCTGATGCGGGGTCGACGGCGGCGATTATGCCTGCTCTCGGCTCATGGCACATGCAGATCTAGTGCCCCCGTGGGGGGGGGGAAGGGGCGGAAGGCCACTGGCCTGTGCTCCCCACCTCGCCAAAAAGTTAACTTAGGGTCCCTTATCGGAGACGAGTTAAGCGAGTGCTGATAACAAACGATAAGGCATTGATCGTTCTCTGGTATGCGCATGTCCATGTAATGTATCAAACAAGAGGGGACGCGCAATCCGAGCCCCATACCAAGACTATATATAGTAAACTCGGATTCGCTTTCTTCGTGATATTATATATGCAAGCCTCAATCGTGATGGATGATGGCGAGAGTGGCCTGAACTGCGTCCTATATTCCTAGTATCAAGTCTCGACGCCCTCGAAATACAGCTGAGCGTCCTTACCTATTTGGGGGCCCCGGAACGGTGGGTCGCCCGCGCCCCACAAGCGCCGGGAAGCCCGCCCAGGTTACCTAGGCAATTACGCCTCCGCTTCGAACCTCGATAATACTGGCTGCCTATCTCATCCAGGAACCCGGTCCTCCACCAGTTCCCTTGCCGAGAGACATCTTCAAGGAATAGCTCGAGGGCGGCGCGCGCGACGACTGAATCGCTGGATCCGGGAGGGTGTGGTCGGGAAATTGACGCCACATACGCTAGCGGTCTCGACGGTATGTGACCTATAGCGAACCCGTCTTCAAAATGTCCCTGTTCGTGCGAAATTGGTTATATTACTGAGACCAACATGTTCAGATTCAAGGTTGGTACCGTTGACAAGCCCCATATTCCGTTCCATAGTATTCTCCAGGCCATGATTCACTCCTCTTGTTCCAAAATCGACGATAAGAAATGTTGAATCAACCTTTCAACCTCAAGAATGCCCCGGGGATATATGTAGGAGAGGTTTCTTGCAGATTTCATTTCATCGGCAATTTGAAATGCAGAAAATTCCATGATGTCGAGAACTCGACGGAGACATCGCATCCTTATCAAATACCAATTGGCCAGAGAACAATCATTGTGAGAAGCTTGGAGTCGCTGATATTGAATTTCCATACAAAGGATGTAAGATGCCAGTGAGGTCTTGACATGCCCGGTGGGATCCCTTCCCCTAAGGAAGTTGAAGTTCAAAATAAACTCGAAGCAATCGTTCTTGTAATCTATGTGAAATCCGGACTACTTCCACTGTTAGTAAGCCTACCAGCAAAATGATAACAATGTTTTAACGTGCCTTTTTACCATTTTCATCGTTTTCGACCTTCTTGTCATACTTTACAGCCTCTTTGCACAAGACAGCTAGTGATGACTTGATATGTCGGACCCATTCATCAAACAACAGTTCGTACTTCTGGACAGTGGTCTGCGTCATTTCCTTTTCTAGGATCTCGATGAATTCGGACTCCTCATCCAAGATATCATCGATGTCATCGTCGGGAATGCAACTTGGACCGCCAGAGACGAAAGAGGGGCCCCAAGGAAATGGGGGATGCCTCCGACAACAGATATGCGTCATTCCCATCTCTTTATGTTTCGTCCGTCGCAAAAGCGAAGCTATAGCTGTCTTGGCCCCATCCGTGCCCCTGCTCTCGTAGACAAGGCAAACCCATTCTAGTGCCCATGCAGGGAAATGCACATGACCCCGAATTTGATGAACAGTATGCATGAGTTCTACACCGAGAAGGCAACCCTCGGGGGAACAAGGACATCTACAATTGTCTCTGGATAGGAGATCCGCCCCGTGAGTCACCAATATGAGGATAGTGTCAATAGCTTCATAAATAGCTTCATATGAAACTTTTTCTAATCTGGCTAAAGCGTGATGAAGCGCTGTGCGATGCCAATGGTCTTTTAACGCGATATCGGCCCCATTATCAAGAAGACCCTCTACAAGGCGAGGCACAGCTCGATCAGCAGCTTCAATGAGAGGATGTCGACCTGTGCTGTTCCTGTGGCTGATAAGTTTGAATCCGTTGTCGAGCAACGCGTCCAAGTCCGATCTCGATGAAGCACTGTGAAGGAGGGTGTTCTCCTGGCTTTTGGTACGAAGATTGTCGTAGAAGAAATTGACGTCGGGGCATTTGACAAGGAACTGACGGAATGTCACGTTCCTGTTGTTTAGTGTATTCGGATATTGGACGTGAAATAGCAATGTAGCATGCTCGGCCCAGTTTTCCGCAACTTTCTTGCCCATCAAGGACTCGATTCGCGAAAGACAGTTGAGAACAAGCTTCCAATGATCCCGCAGAGCCCCGTACTCAATGAAGGTGCGATTGTATCGGCTTTCCTCAGCATATACATCCGCACCAGCATCGAGGAGCATCATCGCAGACTCTTCTTGATTCTCTGCTGCCGCATACATCAGTGGCGTGTTGCCATAGTTGTCGGGGGCGTCGAGGTCGGGGTTAAATTCCAAAAAGACTTCCAGGTGCAGGTGATTCACGACAGCAAAATGGAGAGGAGTCTGGCCGAGAAAGTTTCTCCCGTTGATGTCAAATCGTGGGGCCAATTTTCTGATCGAATCTGGGGAACCAGAAACGATGGCTTCGTGAAGAGGCGTCAAGCCGGCAAATCCTAAAAGGTAAGGGTTATCTTCGCGAGAACTTTTGAAATCAAGAATGAAGCCTTACCTTGATTATCTTTGCACAACATACTTATATACTCTAAGAAGAATGGGTCGGGGGTCATTCCCTCGGACCGCCAATTTGGTGAAGACACTTCCGGCCAGTTCTGGGTGTCGGCCACAGTTGCATCAAAGCCGAGGGTGAAGAGTGTTTCTAGCAAGTCTATATGAGGGCCTTCTCCTATCCATTTTGCACAGAGTGAGAGAAAGCTGTAACGGCATGACAAAAATTAGCTATGCTCTTCGAATGTCGGTTCTGACCTTTCTCATGCCAAAGGTTTGCTTACCCAGGACGTTCGGTTCCCTTTGACATCTTGAACTCCTGCATGAAAAGCTCGAGTAACTGGAACTGTTTCTCAAAGCCCCACCACGTATATCGTAGAAGTTCCTGGCCAAATAATCAGAGTGCGAAATCGATGTCCTGAGGAATCATACCTCAATGTAAGACTTTCCATCTGGGTTGACATGTGTATGGAATGATGGGTCCGTCCTTTCCAGTTCAATAAGTCCCCTTTTAGCTTCTTCAACCCCAATTAGATCTTGGGCACATTTCCAGAGCAACTCAAAACCTGGAGACGTATAAGGTACGATTCGTTCCATCTCGAAGCAGGGCCGCATGGAGAACTTTCCCGATTCCGCAAGGATGTAAAACTGGATGGCCGCGGCCCACCGGACTCCAAGCTGCGACAGCGCGATCCTGAACGTTCCGCCATACTTGGAAGTATTACAGGACGGAGAGTCACAGGTTCTCCGGAAGACTGTTGGATGAGTGTATTCGAGCGCCCAGAAGCGTCGAGAAGTCTTTTGCGTACGATGGCATGAACATGAGCAAGACCTAGACAAGCAGTTACCGCGAGCCTTGGGTCTTAGGGCAACTATGTCCCGAGAGCTGATCGCAGGAGCAAAAGACCCGGGGGATTGGCGGGAAGAAGCATCCAGCGGTGTTGGAGACACGGCCGAGTCGGTCCTGGTGGCAGGAATTGATACTTGAGCAGACGTGATATGAAGCTGGTTCACCAACATCATCTCGCTAAGACATTGTGAAGTTCGATGCGAGGTGAGACTATTACGGAGAAATTGTGAGCTAAACAAGTGCGGATCATGTGTGTGTTGGGGGGGGGGGGGGGGGGGTTGACACATGTGGGTACGAACAGGATTAAGTTAATTTTGGCCGCTTGGATATTCCGGAGCAAGTCTTCGACGTCCTTTTTCCAATGTCGAAAAGCCAGGAGCGTCTTCATCATCTTTGGCCCCTTTACCTTCTCGCAATCCATGAGCAACTTCTGGTACAGCCTTTCCAGCCCCTGGACGAGGAGACTACAGGTTGCTTCGCAGTGCTCAAGAGCGGGGTCGCGGGACAGTCCCTTAGCTCCCTCCATGAGATGTTGCAAGAACACAAGATCACTGAGGAGTTGTTCCAGCTCCGCGGGAGCCTGTTCTGCGTTCTTGAGGATGTCACGGAGTTTGTTGATGCCAGAGGCGATTTGTATCAGCAGCGAGACAAACCCCGCAACGCCGGACGCTACGCCGAAATCCATGTTGACTAGCAATTGCAAAGAAAGGACTATGGAATTAAGATGATGGAAAATCTATCAGCATGCAGAGAGGGGGGTTTTGAGCCTCCCGAAGAGCGAGAAAATGGGGCGTGGTCAGCGCCAAGGGTTGGTTGCCTCGCAGTCTGCCTATCAAGCTGCGCGGCAAGTTATGCATACCAGGCGGCCAATGAACAATTGACAACGCAGCATAGCCGGCACAGTGACATTTGAAACGTTCAATATAGGACCAGTATTGCAATAGTCACTTATTGTTGCGTAACCGTTCCCCAAAGCATTGTTTGGCCTACAGGGTTATGTACCACATCGGTCAGGCGTGGAGTCCGGAACATACAACGGGTTTTTGAAAGTAAAGAAGAACGTATCTAATGCGGTCTCTAATTTATGTTTATTCTCGGCAGAGGGACTTTTTCATCAGCTCGATTCTATTGAATTTATTCGAGCTCTCATGTGTAAGCAACTAACTTCCAAAGTCACTTTGTGATAGAATAGAAGCAATGCTGCTTGAATCATACCGCACTGTTGTAGCGGATTTCTAGAGCACGAGACGTTGGCGGGGTGAGCGAATCTTGTTAGTCCTCAACACTATAATAGTTATGTTCTTATTCGTGTGAATGTAGTGTCATTAGAGCAGTTAGCTCGCATATTAGTGTATGATTTTGGCCTCTTTCAAGGTTGCATAGAAATATAATAATAGTCTAACACAAACGCTGTAAGGGCACAATTCACCAAGCTAGAGATGTGTACTTGAGAAGGGCTATAAGCAGTGTTGACAGCAGGGCTTGTACGCCTGCAAGGACTGATAGATCCTTTGGGTTCTGGGCCCGACCTTGCAATAGGCACCACTGTCAGCGTCTGTAAATACACCATCAATGACATGCCTAATACTTAACACAATACAACGAGTTTTCTAGACATAGGTATAATAGAATCTTGTAGCTGAAACTTCCTACGGTAGGCCTAGTGAAATAACTAGTGATAGTAGTAGTAATAATAGTGATGATGGTGATTTGGATATACATAGTAGGGGTGATTTATACCTGGGGTGGGTTACATGGAAAGGGATTAATAAATATCCGGTGGCACCATTTTGCGCTATTTTTCTCGGCAGCTGGCTGATATGTCAGATCATTTGAGCTGACCTGTTCTCCTGTCATTATCTCTACATCATGAGTACACCTTCAATAGCCACAGATTCCACAGTAGCGGGGACCAGACGCTATCGGTCTAAGGCACAGCGACCATGTGACCTATGTCGCGCACGCAAGGCGCTCTGCAACATCCCGGACCCGTTGCAACCGTGTCACCTGTGCAAGAGGATAGGCCGGGAATGCACCTTTATTAGTAACCCCGGTAGGAGGCCGAAGGGTCGTCAAAATGCCTCTCCCTCGGCGGCTGCCGGGCCACAGAGCCAATCACCCACCCAGGATGTGATGTCCTTATCCCCGGGTCTAATATTGCAAGCACAGCAAGACATGCTAAATATGACAAGTACCTCTACCAACCAAACAATATCCCGGCCAAATATGCTGATCACCCTGCAGATAGTCCTGCTGAGGACCAAGATGCCGTCTCGAAGTTTATGTGGCCTAGTAACAGCCCCTTGAACTGGGATTTTGGAAACGGCCAACTCCCTCAGACTCTAGAGTTTCAAGACTCGCCGGCTGCCTTTTTGCAGCCATCCCAAGGACGTGATGTAAGATCTGGCGGTGAAGGGGCCCCGCAACCTGCAAGAGATTCAACTGTGGAAGAACCAAACATGAAGTGTGCCCACGAAAGAAGTTCATTAGACGAACGCCCTAACCATTCTACAACATTCATAGGACTCTCGAACGAGTCGGACCCATTTCTGGTTAATCATTTCCCTTACAATGACCACGATGAGATTGATTTCTTCAGAGTCACATACAGAAATGTCACTGGTGACAAAAGCCAACCACTCCATTTCTTGCAAAGTCAGACTGGGACAGCCACTGAGTCGCAAAGAGTCCTCAATGATTGTCTTCCTCAGGTAGATGAGCGAGAGAAATTGGAAAGCATCGTCGATAAGGCCACAGGAGCCTCGCTTGTCAGGCTGTAGGTCTCCTTTTTTGGCACCCACAACAACATGGGCAGACTGACTATCAACAGATACTTCAGATTCGTCTTCCAAGCATTACCTATCCTGTCCCGGTCGCGCATCCTTCCAGACATAGAAGGTTTTGTCGCAGAGGCGTCGACTGGTCTGTTGGCAGGGATCTACATGCTCGCTTTGTCCTTCACGCCATGGGATGAGACACTGTGCATGACCAATGCTGTTACGAAGCCAAGCGTCGATGCTCTTTGGCAAATCTCATACGTTTGTCTTCAGAGAGAAATGAACTTCCCACGGCTCTCGACTGTTCAGATATATCTCTTGCTACTGAATCAGGTCTCCTTTGATTCCGTCTCAGTCGAGAACCCCTCTGCTTGGTCGATGGCTGCTTCCCTCCTCGGGATGGCGCAGTCATTAGGTCTCAATGCGGATCCAAGGGGCTGGAACCTACCACCTTGGGAGATTCGACTGCGGAGGAGACTGTGGTGGTCTGTCTATGTCGAACATACTTGGAGGGCTGTCACACATGGTCGGTCATCTATGATAAGGCATGACGACTGGGACGTATCACCTCTTACCGCAGATGATTTTGTCACTGACACTGCAACACCGGCACTTCCCGATGGATGTCAATCACCAGACTACATAATCCACCTTTGCTCATTAACCAGGATCGCGGATGAGACATGCCGATTGTTCTTGTGAGTCTATTCGCGTCAGGACCATGTCGGTCATGATGACGCTGCTGACACTCTCAGCACTCTTCGCGCGATATCACAACGCCCGGTACTAGAGACGCTGATATCTCAAGCACGTGGCCCCCGACAGCAACTTCTCGACTGGTTGGACCAACTACCCGAATCTCTCTTGTGGCATCCCGAGACGGAACCATCTGCAGAGGACTTCATAGAAGGCCATGCTCCGTTATATGTTACATATTATACCGCTCACATTCTCATCTTTCGCGCCCTTCTGCGCCCCATCATAAGTACCAACATCAACCCCAGTACGCTACCGGCATTCTCGGCCTCCATCCTCCAAGCTTCGCGTAGCTTGGTGCAGACCATAACGAAATTCATCTGTGGGCTCGACGTAAGGCATCAGTCCGCTTTCTGGCCGGCTTACACCAGACACTGTTTGTCATACCCAGGTCTGTTTTGCTACATGCTGTCACTGCAGCAAAGCGAGCCGCACATGGTGTCGTTCGATCGAGCTTTGCTGGATACTTGGAGAAAGGCTCTGCGTAAAAGAGTGCAGTCATGGACATTTCTGCGATTTGCCATTGTGAAGGTGGATGCGATCTACTGGAAAGGCCTTCGGGAGCCCGTATCGGGACCCTGAAGCAAGAGCCAGCATTTACGTAAAGGCCAATTTGTTTAGGGGAGCTTTGTCAGAAGCTTTGATTAATTTATTTGTGTCCTATAATGTTCATAAGAGACCTGCGTGGCAGAAAAAACAACGTAAAGGGTGAAAAGGGGCTATGGCTCTACTCTAAGAAAAACAAAAATAGAAAACGAAAATGAAAAACATGTTCATAAGAGTGTTCAATAGCTTCAAAACACATACTGGAAGGTCAATGCTTGGTCGCCATCCTTACCGTTGCTCTCCTTGCCCTCGGCCAGCAGACGCTCCTTCCGGCGCATGCGCCATTTCAGAAGCATGTAAATCAAACCTACGCAAATCAGTGCAATAACCTCTCCTCCCAGAGAAACGGCATTGCCCATGATGTATCTTGGGGCGTCGTATGACGGGTAAATCTGGGACGCGGCCATTCCAGAAGCGTTTGCAAGAGAGATGAGCATGGCGATTGCAACAGAGCGCTTGTAGTCAGGTTGAATGTTGTTCGAAACCCAGCTAGTGGGAGTCAGCATATAAACCTTATTCTTCCTCAAGACGGGAGACTTACGTGACGAGGACAGTGTTGAAAGAGTAAACACCGGCGCCCACAAGAAACATGGCAAAGAACCCAGCGCCTTTATTGCCGGTGCCAACCGCGATGGCATACCCACAGATGACCAACAGGGGCGAGTGTATGAGACAGACTGCGCGGCGGTTCATTCTGTCAGAAACGAAGGTTGTGATTGCGGTTGAGATGGATGCCAGAATATAAACGGGGATACTCAAGTAGTTCGCCTGAAGAGAAGTGTACCTGGAAATCGTCAACGAGCGCTCTACTCTAACACACGTACGTCCTGGAACTTACCCGAGTCCCTTGAGCAGAGTAGGAAGAAACGTGCCGAAACCGAAGAGGGCGATTGAGGAGCAGAATAGTGCCACAGAAGCGAGGTAGACGAAGGGGTCGGTAATGGCCATGACAAGCTGCGGCAAAGAAAACGAGCTCTTCTCCTTGAATGGCTGCCCTCGCTCCTTGATGCGCACCATGACAGCTTTCTCCTCTTCCTTGAGAAACCAGGCTGTCTCTGGTGATTTCGGCAAAGTGATCCAGCAAAGGACACCTATGACCAGCGAAATCACACCCTCTACAATGAACAACCACCTCCAGGCAGACAATCCGTGGCGTTTTCCCATACTCTGCACACCGTACGCGAACAACCCGCCCAGCGCACCAGACAGCGCGATGGTGATGTACAGTACGGCCACGCGCTTACCCTGCGACGCGGGAGGGTAAATTTCCGAGATGACGTAGATCAGGGCTGGGAAGAGGCCGGCTTCGAAGAAGCCAAGGAGGACTCGCAAGGCAATTGCTTCGCCGTAGCTGTTGATGAAACCGGTACCGATGGTGATGGCGCTCCAGCTGGTGATCGCGACGGCAAGAACGCGACCCGGACCCAGCCTCTTGACGGCCATGACCCAAGGCGTCTCGAAGATTACGTAGGAGATGTAGAAGTACATTGAGATGTCGTTGAAGTCGGTGCCTTTCATACCGGTGTCTTCTTCCAAACCAAATACGCGAGCATTTCCTGAGATTTATCAGTGACCATGTCATTGAAAAGACGCCGGTGGAGCTGCAAACCAATGTTTGTTCGGTCAAGATAGGCGAAGAGGCACAGAAGCGCCATCTGCGGCATTACAAACTTGTCGAACTTGGACAATACCGCCCGTTCCTGAGGGTCAACCGCGATCTCCGCAGCATTGATGCTACTACTGTCATTTTGTTGTCGGACCTCTTCGTCCTTGCCCGACAAGTCTTTGTCCGAGTTCGTCATCGTGACGGGTGTGGTACGAGACTCTGAAGTTTGGAGGGATGCGCAAGTTGGCCAAGGTATGCGGCAAGAATCCAGGCCAATGGCAACATTTTCACGAGGTATTGGTTGCTGTATATACTCAATCGATAACTGCAGTTTCTCTTTTCCCGACGTGGTAGATAATGAACCGATGAAGTGGAACCCATTGTAGAGATACGGATCTGGGTCTGATAACCGGCAAAGCTACAATTGGCTATCTTGATGCATTAATCTGGGGATAAGTTAGCCGATAAGTAGAGCTGCCCCCGCATCGTCGGGGGTCAACCGGGGTAAATACCGACGGCGGACCACGGCCGTCGGTGGATAATCACCTCCTAGTTGGGTTTGTCCTATCGCCTGGTGTGGGGCATCCTCAGTTGCCGTTGACTATATGCCGATTAGAGCTGGTATATCACTCCACGTCGTGAAGCCTCATGAATTATTTCGACCACACCATGTTAGATACATCATTTGACTCGATTTGACTCAGTCTCACTTAGCCGACTGCGGACGACAGTAACATTTCGCGGAAGAAACAGCAACAATGGGTTCTCTAGCCACGACGACTCAACTGAAGATCAGCCAAGAGAGCTTGGCGGGACTGCTCCATGAGAGTTGTCAATTCGGCGCCGCACATCGATATGGAGAGTGAGTCTCCTAGATAACCATCCCAAAAACACGCGTCCACAATCTCACAATATCAGAGCATCCATCGATACCGGCATGGCTCGACTTAGCCTGAGTGACGCAGACAAGCAAGTAAGAGATTGGTTCATGCAGCACGCCAAGTCGCTCGGCTGCGAGACCTTCTATGATGAGATGGGCAACTTGTTCGCAATTCGTGCTGGAAAGAACAAGGATGCGCCGCCAATCATGATGGGATCCCATCTTGACACGCAGCCTACTGGAGGTCGCTACGATGGCATATTGGGGGTCATCGCGGGTCTCGAGGTGTTGCGAGTGCTGAGCGAGAATGGCTACGAGACCGAAGGGCCAGTTGGCGTCGTCAATTGGACAAAGTATGTCTACTTCCAGGTAGCATAATCCCCGTTCCCGACCGAGTACTGACCAAACCTAGCGAAGAGGGTGCGCGGTTCCCGAAAATGGCCGTAGCTTCAGGTGTATGGGCTGAAGCCATCCCACTTCAAACAGCCTGGGACCTGAAGGAGGTATCGTCACGGGATGGTCAGCTCAAGTCCATGAAGGAGGAGCTCGACAGAATTGGATACACTGGCGAACGCGCGGCTTCGTATCGCACAAATCCCTTTGCCGCACACTTCGAGCTACACATTGAGCAAGGACCTATTTTGGAAGATGAAAAGGAAAAGATCGGCATCGTTCAGGGTAAGATCTCCAGGCCTGGCGACGACAATAAAAAAAAAGACCTTGGTATTGACCATGAATCCAGGCGTGCAAGCTTTCAAATGGTTCAACATCACAGTCAGGGGTCGTGATAGTCACGCCGGAACAACGCCATTGTACGCGCGCAAGGACCCAGTGCTCTGTGCAAGCAAGCTCATCGTTGCGGCTAACGCCGTCGCTCATGAGCTCAACGGTCTCGCCACGACGGGCATCTTCACTACAGACCCAGGAAGCATCAACACAATGGCGCACACAGTCAAGTTCACCCTCGATGTGCGGCACGTAGAGGACGCAGTATTGGGCGAAATGGTGCGCCGCTGCGAGGAGGAGTTCAAGCGTATCGGCGAGGATGACAGCGGGAAAGGATGCACTGTCGAGTGGGAGCTGCTGGTTGACAGTCCGGCCGTTCGGTTCCACCCGGATTGTATCGCTGCTGTCGAGGCGAGTGCAGCTGATGTGTGCTCTACGCTTCCCGAGGCTGGGGACCGGAAGATGTTCAGGCCGATGATTAGCGGCGCCGGACATGACAGTTGCTACACAAGCCTGCGGGTGCCGACAAGCATGATTTTCACACCGACAAGGGAGGGTATCAGTCACAATCCTACAGAATTCTGCTCATCGGAGGATTGGTACGATTATTCCCATAAACCTGATTGATCGAATGCGGCTGACTTGTGCATAGCGCGATTGGTGCTAATGTGTTACTTGGGGCGGTGCTTCGATATGACAGACTGCGTGCCGGAAAATAAGTGCCACCATAGGCTCCAGGTAATGACCGAATCTTGCGCAGAATACAGTCAGATAAATCTCAATCAAGGGGGACCCCTATATATGTGAACTACTTTCTACAGCATGAGTTACCGTTTAACTACTACTGTTAGGTTTCAGCAGTTCCATTCAACTAGTGTTGGTATCTATGTGTTGAAGTGTGGGCAATGAAGCAAATGGGCCAACTGAATGGATAAATTTCAACACCTAAAAGTGAGAAATCCAATGCCACGTGCACTTAACCCATACGGCCAGGCATTCCAGGCCAAAATAGGGGATAGTTACGTACGCATTTACACACATGAATTAGACAAGGGTTATCGCCGTATTACGCAGTTCAACCGAATCCAGCCATGGGAAGGTATGTGAAAAGTCCAATGACTGCTTGACGCGGTCTGCATCCTTCCACGGTTGAGACAAGCTCACTGGTTAGCCATCCTCTGGCATAAAAATAAGCCTAAGCCCTAAGCGATCTTAGGCCTAGGGCGTGTCTTAAAGTGCCAGGGTGCATGCATAGTACTATGTAGTACCTAGCCATCAAAGTCATGAGCAAATGGGTGCCCATTTGCCCACACTTCAACAATAGCCGCCTAACGCCCAGGTGGGTGAATCGGTCAACTGTTATCCTTGTATACGGGTCGTAGCAATATGTGGGAAGCATCCCGAGTCTTTATGCTCAGAGCATATGATGGTTCGCTGAAGTAACTGATATCTGGTTGTCTAATATACTGTCGTGAAGCTAGAACAGCTTCGTGTGGCTAGTACCAGCGGCGGCTGCCACAGATGTGGCATACTACCCGCCGGTCCATACATAGATTCTTAATAGGACAACTACTTTACTATCGAATGACTAGACGCTGCGGTTCATCACACATACTGTTTCAGCCTTTCTCCTACTGCTAGTTGACACTGATACAATTATTCAAGGGCCATAGGTATTTAACGAGGTGTCTTGGCTTGCCGCGCATGGAATGCACATCAGTGATTGGCAATGTCTCATGCGAATCCAATACGAGGACTTGGCGACTTGATTGTATTTATTACTAGCATGTTCTCCCTCCAAGGGTTTAGTACCCCGCCTGGAACTTGTTGGTTCGAATTCCCGTTCCACTCAGCGTGTGAATCACCACTACTCTGAGTCGCTACGTGCAGCAATCCAGGCAACAATTTGTCGCAAGGCATTGCTCTGCCTCATAACCCACTCCCGCCTCGCTACTTCGACAACATCAAATGCTGTCAGCAATATGGGTTTCGTTGTTGCTGGCTGCTTAGTATCTATCGGCGGTGTGCGGTGCCCAGGGTCTCAGTGGGCTTAGATGGGCTCGATGTACGTTTATACCGTGCTTTCCCATCATTTTGGATGCGCTGGGGTCTCTCAACACACTAACAAGAGGCAAACAGCTTTGGTTCTCGGGTAATATCTATGCATCGACGGCGGCGAGATTCTCCAGCGCATTCAAGGGGAACCTGCGGGAAAGACGAGAAAAGGTCGGTCGCAAATCCCCCCAGAGCAGATTCTCTGAGGCTCATCTCTTTGTCAGTCAACAGCACTTTTTCTATTGATCTCTCAACCAGATGGTCGCCGGACACGGTCAATATGCGCGAGATCCAAAAAGATGTCCCGGTGATTCTGAGACAGGCAATACTTGCGGATAACTCCTCTCAGACTTTCTCCACTTGGGGAGGCTATGTCCGCGGGGACTTGCCGCCGGAACGGGTATTCAAATTCGAAGCCGACGGCAACGGAGGTGGATCCTGGAGCAATGCTACCGAGCCCCAACTCATGCGCTCCCACGGCGGCGCATTTGTGAGTACTCCTGGGTCGGGCTTCTATTTCGGAGGGCTAGAGGAGGATACAGATACTATCAAGAAGGGCGATTACGTGCCAGGCTTCCTCCAGGTCAACTACACCTTCCAGGAGGCTGTCTGGACCCAACGTCCCAACGCGCCTTACTCTCAGCTCGGCAGTATCAACGGTGGTAGCGCCCATCATGTCCCTGCATTCAGACTTAACGGGTTGGTCGTAATCTTGGGCGGAATCGAGCTCGGAAACTGGGAGCATGAGGATCGTAGCATGGACACAATCTGGTTCATGGACCCTGCGGCGCCGGACCAGTGGCACTCCCAGAAGACACCCGCTCCTTTTCCACGTCCGCGGAGGTGGCAATGCGTGGTTGGAGCGCAAAGGCGCAACAACACGTATGAGATGTATGCCCACGATATATGCGCGCCAATTGACGTGACGAGAGAAAACGCACTAACGAGAACTGTAGTTTCATATTCGGCGGTAACAACGATGTGGTGCTGGATGAAGTCTGGGTCTTGAGCCTCCCGGGCTTCTTCTGGACGAAATACGATGGCAAAATACCGTGCAGCTTTATGTCCGGTGTCGTTGCCGGCCAATGCCAAATGATTGTGGTCGGAGGTTTGAAAAGCAAAGGCAATGCAGCGGGGTCCTCGCTTCCTCAAGGACTCGGGATTTTCAATCTCACAACATTGGAATGGAAAGGCGACTTCGACCCGGGGGCTGCCGCTTACGACTCACCAGATTCCGTCAAGTCATGGTACAACGATGGGCAAGTTCCCGCCTGCTGCTCGCAGCCCCCCACTAGCACACCCTACGAACAGAAAACCAGAAACCTTGCGCACGTCAAGTACCACCCCGGTGTGGAAGAGTTTCTGAATCTGCCTCACAGCCCCGCCGACAACTCATTAAGCCCTGGTGAGATGGGCGGCGCAGTTGGAGGGGGCGTCTTGGGGGCTGTGTTGATCGGGGTGGCCGTCTTCCTGTTACTTCGGCGGCGGAAGAAGAAGCAGGTCCGGAGGAGCGGGACTGAAACCGGATACTCAGCTCTCAAGCCGTCGGGCTCCTCGTGGCCGCCGACGTCGACAACCCCTAAGCGCTTCGAACTGCCCGAAGGGCATGGGACCTCTGAGGTCGGCGGACGCCTCCCTTCTTATGCCACCGTAGAATGGCAAGCATACTAGGCACCCGTCGAGCTCGATGCACAGCATCCACATTCACGCGCTGTATAGCCCATTGTCCTCATGCCGCCTTAAGGCGGCGGGTGATACGACCGCACCTGAGCAACATAGTGGCATCGGGGCGGTCAACACATAAATCTCCTTGGCTTGAGTTTCACACACATACGGACGGGTGCTGAAACTCGGACCTAATACATACGAATTGCGATCACTTATGCCTTGAAGTTTTCGTCGTGTTTCGTCTTGCGAGCAGAAAAGTACTTTTTCACTCGAACCATAGGACGGGGAACACATTAACACACGTACAAACCGACTCAGCCCTACCGCTGCTACGGCGGACGTCGTTTGACACCGGGGTAACTCCGGAGGTGTCAACCACACCAAATATATGCTTCAAGCTTCACTGGTGAAAAGACGAGCCTTACTGTTGGCTCATCCCGGAAACCTTGCCATTCTACTAGGCATCTCTCCCTGTCGACAGCTCCCAATAACTGGGAGCTGCTGCGGCGAAGCCACGGCTGGTAGATCCGCGTTCCTGATACCTACACCTCGTCATGAGACGCAGATTAAGAAAAGGGGGCAAATCTCTTTTTTCTCTCTCTTTTTTTTATTAAAAAAAAAAGAAGCAATATGAGCATACGTGTCTGAGCGGCAAGACACAACCGGGAGATGACTGCAAGATGAGAGACACTTCCCCCTCCCTTCCCGTCTCCCCCTGTCTTGCTTGCACCATCTAAAACCTACAATCGGCTCTCTAGGCGTGCATCGGATCCGCGTCGAAACTGACGTCGGCCGTTGATCACTCTCTCTCCGTGACTTCACCATGATATCACCCGCTCGTCCGCCCACGCCCACTCGCGCGGAACTTGTCCTCAACAATATTGACTTTTCTTTCTTTTCGGACGTTGAAGAAGACAAGCAACTTGGAAATGGAAAAGGTACAGCACCAGGTCAAAAGTCTGACAACAGCAATAAGGATGGCCCAATAAACAGCAACCGTAGGGTGGTGAGACACACGTCCTTTGGCGGCGCACTGTGAAGTGACCCCAAGCTGATGGGCCCCCTTTGTGACTCCCAATTGGGTAGTTCTTATTGCTGTTGCCAGACCTTTGACCCAGTACTGTAGGAAGGGGGATGGATCTCATCCACAAACGGGGACGGTAACCGAGACGACGTTCTTCTTCGTCGTTGGGCCCCCGGAATCCTCGTCCCGAATGGAATTTGTCGATGTTGCCTCCTTCTAGACCTAGACAAGCTATATCGAGGGAAGGGGAAGGTGCTGACAGGCCACGCAGTGTAACTGAACATCCTCTGGCCAACGGAGCAGTTAAGGAGGCAGGATGACCACCACGGACTAACATAGATGAGCGTCAGAAGAGCCTTATCTTGGCAAATATGACAACGGATACTCGGCCAACCCAATTATGGAAATACGTGACCCTAACCCTCACCATATGGATGAGGCAGCTCGACAGTAATCGTCCAAGAGCGTGTTGGAAACAAAACAGACCCAGTAGCTACTTAGCATGATGCTGACCTAGACCTGCATCCAACATTCGTCTCCCACACCACCGAGCTTTCGTGCCCAGGAGACAGAAAAGCATCCTATCAAGATCAGGCGCGATTGAAGTCCCCAGTTTCCCGTCATCCAATGTTAGATAGCTAGGCGGGAAAAAGACAACGTCATTTCGGTTTACGGGAGTCTGCCGCAGAACACCACACCACGCCTTCCACAGCCCCCCCGGCTGGTGTACCCGAGAGAAAACCTGTTCGAGGAGAAACCCGGCCTTCTCCCAGTGTTGGAAACAACCTTCCCTCCTTTTTATTCCTCACCTTTTGGAACTGTTAGTTCCTAAGCGTGCAAAACACCAATTCAACTAACAGACACATTACTCGCGCAACACTACCCCCCTTACTCTAATGCCGGCCCAAGGGCCGGCGACACCCGCGCCACGCCGGCCAGGCCTCCGGCCGCCGGCGCGCGCGGTCACTCTCGACTCCAGCCCCTCTAAGGTCACAGAAGGTTCCCCAATGAAGCGCAAGAGAGTCGAGTTCTCTTCACCAACTGCTATCACCATCACATCGTCACCACCAGACGCCACTCTCTCCCAGCTCTCAGCCAGTCTTAGAGCTAAGCTTGGGATTAACGCGTCTATGCACAGACCAACAACAAACACGAGTCAGGGGAGCGATACCCCTAAGGACACTCTTAGCGAGATTACCAACCTCAACGACAGTTTTACATACGTGGGGAACACCCTCATTAAATCCCTACAGCAGTCCCTGCGACAGATACGAAAAGAGGGCAGACACGATCAAGCAGTCACCTACTACGCCAACCTACTCATCAGCGCGCTCAGTAATGGAACCCCCTACCAGCGACACACCCCGCAACAACAACAGCAAGCCCAGACAAGCAACAAGATCAAGGGCTGGTCTTGCCCCCAGGAGGGGACTCCAGCTCAAGGACCAACAAAGGGACAAGGCACTCAGAGACCTACAGGAGGCAAGGAGAACGTACGAATCCGATCTTAACAACACGATACAACAACAGATAGACGACTCTTCATCCGTATCCCAAACGCCAAAGTCCCTACTTCCACTATCCACCGAGACATTGTTAAGATCTGCAAGATCCAAGACACAGATGTTGAAAAGACGACTAGGGTACCAACCGGTTATGCCATTACCCCAGCAAGCGAAAGAATCCGACAGACCATACTTGATTGCCACACTTAGCTATCTGAACAGCTTGGCGTAACTAATATTGACGGCAAACAATCCTGGACCTTCTACAGAGTCAGGGGAGTCCCAGGACACACTTATGACTACCAGGGCAACAGAATCACTATAACAGACGACATCATGAAGTCAGAAATCTTCACTACAACAAGACTTAACCCTAAACGACACTATGTTATAAAACGATTAGCAGAGGGCGAAGACAAGACCTAGATTATCGCCCTAGAGACACCTGTGAAGCTATTCCGCCTCTTTGACAGCATGTTATCCTAACAACTCCACGACAGATACCGGCCAGTATAATGCACTAAATGCTATGACTGGCACGCGAACCGTCCATGCCACAGACCAGGGGTCTGCTAAAACTGCGGGACACGGAAAGACGAACATAACGACCAGCCTTGTAAACAACAGAAACAGTGCACAAACTGCAAGGGCCCCTACGAGAGCAGCCACGAGGGCTGCCCACTACAGCCTAGAAAGAACAGCAACGGGTTGATCGAGAGGCCCACAAAGACACAACGACAGAACATCAGACAGAAGGGAATAGCCCTCTACAACAAGGCACAAAACACACCACCAAGATCGCCAGGGACAGACGTAGACGACACACTAAGCCCTAGCAGACAAATTACAGATAAAACCCTATACATATAGGAACACAGCGTCTTTAAGATAGCAATTAACATAGAGGTCTCCAAAGGAGGCACTACCCCCGCGCCCGAGCTGGGGACACCAATCCCAGCCTCTTCCCCTCTATAAAAGAACAACTAAAGATCTTCTAGGCCAACACACACAAGTGCGGACCAACACACGACATCGCGCTACACTATAGCGACTATAAGGGGGCTAACATTATTATGATTTAGGAACTATTCTGCAGCACAAACAGAACCCTAAACGTAACCAAGACACACCTAAACTACCAACTATACGCCCTAGTGACCAGCTGGACAGACACTAGCACCCGCCCTAGGGTGCTTACATACGTTAGAACAACACATTAGATTAATAACACCTACTATATTAACTAGCTACTGTTAAGGGACATCCTTGGGGTTATTGTCTAACAGACGATACTACTGAACGTGTACTGGCAACTGGGGACAACAACTGTCCTAGACTTACTAGAGTCTTAGAACCCCCTAAGGAGGACACTAGTAGCAGGAGACTTTAACGCAAAACACTATATGTGGCAACCTAGAGTCACGCCAGACTTCGGGGGAAACAGGATCGCTGCTTAGGCGGACACCCAACAGATGGCCCTTGTTAGCCTACCAGGAGTCCCTACATACAATAGAGGAAACACACTGGATCTAGTCTTCTTAAACATCCCCTGGGCCATAACCTAGGTGGTAGAACACCTTTACACGGGCTTAGACTACTTGACACTACTAACACTTCTGCCCCTAATCACTACGGCAACAACTAAAACACAAGCTAAAATTACAGTTAGCACGCTAGAACAAATTGCAGCGTTTACAAACGAGGTCGCTGAGAGCCTCTGGCTTCTGCCAGAGGAAACAGACACCCCACAGGCCCTGGACAAGGCTGCTGCGACACTTATCGGATTACTACAGAGAGCAGCAGCCATAGTGGGGAAGACATATCTAAGGGTAAAAGCGACAGCGTGGTGGACTACAGACTGCTCTAAGGCGAGGGCAGAATACCGCGCCGCCCGACGGCGAGGCGAAGAAGAGGAGAGAATGGCAGCTAAGGCCTTCCGGAAGGAAGTAAGGCTAGCCAAGGCAAGATACTGGACAGACCAGATCGACAAGATGGACACAGACAAGGAGATGTACCGAGTCATGGGATGGCATAAGCCCTCCAGCCAGCTCAGGGCACCCCCTCTACAGGACGGTGAAAACATAGTCACCGCACCCATTGAGAAGGCTAACGTCTTACGGAAACGACTACTGGAGAGATTTAACGCCGACACAGACATCGATCTATACACGCTAGTGGTCCCTAGACGGAGGATAAAAAGGTCTGACTCTATCCCCCTAGAGGAAGTGGAATCAGTACTGCTTGGAGCCGGAAATACTACCCTGGGGGTAGACGGGATAACGATGACCCTCCTCTGGGCCGCCTGGCTACAGATACAGGGGTATACACACAGACTCTTTGCTGTATGCCTAACGTAGGGGCACTACCTACTGCTATTTAGGGACGCTGAGACCGTGATGATCCTAAAGCCAAACAAGGACATTAGCCTTCCTGGCGGCTGGCGACCTATATCGCTGTTATTGACTATTGGGAAGGGCCTTGAAAGGCTGGTGGCCAGAAGGATGGCGCAGAAGATTGTCAAATACAACATACTACACCCCCAGGTAGCAGGAGCACTACCAGGACGCTCAGCCACGGACATAGTAGCCGCGCTTACACACGACGTCAAAACAGCACTGGACTAAAGAAAGCACTGCACCATAGTGACAATGGATATAAAAGGGGCCTTCGACACAGTCAACAGTGGCCGCCTGGTCAGGATACTGCGGGAGCAGGGCTGGCCACATAACCTGATCCAATAGGTACACACATTCACAACTGGGCGACGGACACGAGTACGATTTAAGGGAAGCACTACCCCGCTTAAACAACTCCACTGTGGCCTCCCACAGGGGTCACCGGCTTCACTAGTGCTCTACCTCTGTTATATTAAGCTTTTGCACAGATTCAGGCCAGCCTGGACAAGATTCGGATACGCTGACGACTGTGCAATTCTCTGCGCGGGAGCTTCAGAACAGGACAGTAGGGACCAGGCCTAACGGATCCTAGATGAGACAACAGACTGGGGACACTAGAACGGAATACTCTTTGACACGGGGAAAACAGAAGTACTACACTTCTCTAGGGCCCGGACTACAGACAACCTTACCATACTACACGATAGGGAAGAGATCACCCCGGGGAAGACCATGAGATGGCTGGGCGTACATCTTGACCGCACGCTCAGTTTCAAGACACACATCGAAAAGCGCACGGCTACTGCGCGCGCAATGGCCGGGCATATCCAGGGACTAAACAGAGTATACCAAGGTGCCCCCCTAACACTCATGCAAAAGGCTATTCACACAATTGTTATCCCTAAAGCGCTGTACGGCTCTAAGGTGTAGTACCTAGGTAGGGATAGGCCTGGCCTAAAGATAAGAAAAGGGGAGCACCTAAGGGTACATCACGGCCTCTCACAACATATTAACAAAATACAGGCGGCGCTAAACAGAGCCCTCAGGAGCTGTCTACCTGCGTAGAAAACCACCCCGTCCCCCGTAATAATGCAAGAAACCAGCACCCCGCCAGCCCCTATACTTCTGGACATAACGCGACAGCAATACAGCCTAAGGCTTAGCCGACTTAACACAGCCCATCCCCTAGTACAGAGGATCTCAGGAGCCAGACAAACTAACCAGAAAGGCGGCCTAGTCAGGCCTACAACACTAGTAGAGGCAGTAAGGGCGACCCTAACCTTCCTACGCCTAGAACTTTAGTTTAGAAGCTACAGGCGTATATTAACGTACCAGGCAATAGACGCTACAGATAAGATACAGGCAGCATAGGAACATAAGGCGTAGTTTATCGCCCTCCCGCACGACCACATTACAGCCTACATAGATAGCTCCTAAAAGAAGGAAGACAAGACAGGATATAGCTACGCAGTATTCTGGGGTTAGACACTAGTCCACTAAGGGCAAAGGAGGCTACCTAACGCCAAAGTATATGACGCTAAGGCAGAGGGAGCACGCGTAGGGCTGCACGCTGCTCTAGAACACGCGTAACAACACGGGGCCAGTAGGATCATAATATGTCTTAATAATTTAGCGGTAATCTACGGCCTTAACAGCACACCAGCGGTCTCATCACAAGAAGCCTTCTAAGACTCCCTTAACACAATTAACAGATACAGGATACCAGTTAACATAAGATAGGTCCCTAGACACAGAGGGATAGCTAGTAACGACCTAGCAGACAAGCTAGCAAAGGAAGGGGCCAAGATAAGGCCGGCCGACCTACAGGCACGTGCACCGACATACTCTACAGTAAAACGACAAGTAAAACGACAACAAAGAGGCGCTTTTAGGCAGTAGTGGGACAACAACCAACCAGATAGATACCAGCGGCTGAAACTCACGGCGTGCCTAAAGCCTACTTCAGAAATCAAAAACCTTACGAGGACCGAACTCTACTGGCTGGTTGCCGTAAGGTCAGGCTACAGAGATTTCGCACAATATTACAACAGATTTAACTATCCTGACGCTAACAAGAGGTGCTCATGCAGGAGGCTTAAGGCCCCCTTACACCCCTTCTGCTGCCGCAGGATCAAGAAACAACCCCTTAACGAGGACACAGTCAGACAACGCTTCTTCGAGATAATTAGGGACAACTTCTGGTACTATATACAGTACCTCCAAGACAACGACTTCTACTCCACAATATGCCTACAATAGGCAGAAAATATGTATCTAGCTTGTTACCTAGTAACCCTATTGTGGCTAAAGGTCTCCCCTGCGTGACCTCTAGACGCATAGCACAAGGCCGAAGCCGAGCGCTAGTGCGGGCGTTTATTGGATGGAAGCGACGGACCACAGGGCGCTAAGCTCTGTTATGGATTATCTTTGATCTAGCACCTCTGTTTATGATACCCCCTAGCCTACAGGGCTAGACGGCAGTGTTAAGTGCAGATGGAGGACACTACAAAGTCCCCCTCTTCTCTCCTTTCTCCCCCCCCCCCTCCACCTCTTTTACCCACCTCTCACCCCTCTATAACAACTCAACACCGGCACTGTAGATATGTACACAGAGTAGGAAACCCGGCACAGAAGTACCAGCTCAGAACATGGATGTGCGAGTAGCACTGTACGACAAGGTACACAAAAACCCCCCCCTTCTCACCAGTGACAATGGTCACAGGGAAGATGGGGAGGGGCGCAGATTGTGTAAAGGCGTCTGGCAGCTGAGGAGCCCATAGGCACCTGACAGCAACGACCACTCTTAAAGTTGACATCCTAGACATGGTTGGCCTGAGACATATAATGGACGGATGGACAGTTGGATTTGACGGTTTGGCTGGACACACCACGTTGTATATAGTTCAGAGCTCGCTGCCCTAGGCGCCCTTTGTCCTTTTCAGGAACGTACCAGGCGTTAAATACTACAACAACAACAACAACAACAACCCAGTGTTGGAAAAGGGTTTGGTTTCAGGTACCTAACCCAGAGGTGGGCAAAGGCTAATCTGTGGAGCAGCTTCTGGTTGTGATTGCGGCCCAATGATACCCCAATCTTCAACGGCTTACAGATGATTCGGGCAACCAAAACCAACCCCATGGCAGCAGAAAACAGCGTTGTGGGGGGGGGGGAATACGACCCCTTGGTTTTCTAGTCTGGCCTCTTGCGTGTTTGGCCAGCCCATTTGAAAGCCCAAGGTGGGGAATCTTGGAAGGTGATCCAAGGCATGGCCCATCTTGCCGCCGACCTTTTGCTCGAAACAACGGCGCAATGCCGTTGCGAATAATATCTATATCACAGGGCCCCCATGGCGCGAAGCCAAGCCCGTCCATCGGGCTCTGGCTGTTATCAAGCAGTGGTTTTCGATCCGGATTGCCGGCAGGAAGGGGTTTGCGGGGGGGGATCAAGATTTGGGGAGGGGACAAGGGCATAAATGACTTCATTGTGGAGGCCTTCGCAAAAACGTGGAACCGGCGTGACGGCCTGGGCTAATGTTAAACTTGCTCCCGCGATGGTCAGGCAAAACTTGTAGCATTGTGTGCCTGTGCGGCGACCTTACGGGGGGAACCAATCGTCCACGGCTAGGCGTCTCAGTCTTTGCCAGGGAAAGCTGCATGAAAACATGCTTGCAAGGGATTCGAAATCAGGGTAAGAAGGCCGCCGAAGGGGGGGCGATCCCAAGACGTCAGGATAGACTAAGCCGCACATCCAGACACGCCGAGCCACCAAGGACGTACGTAGCCTCGCTTGTTTGATGTTGTCAACCGGCACAAAACGGGCAGGCATCCGAGACAGCAACGGCCAAGTCATGATGACAATGCGGGTGTCGATTTGTGCAGGCCTCTCCCCCTTATGTCACCTTCACACACCGTGGAAGCCCTCGTGGGAAGACATGCAGGCCTGTCCAACGGTGGGATGACGTCAAGGTGTGTTCTGTATCGCGCTGGCACCAGCACGGGATCCTCTCCCGATTCAGCACGGGCGCGCGCACGCTCTCATGGTGGCTGGATGAAATTTCAAGCAGCCGTCCCAGCGGGAGGAAGATCGGCATGGGAATTGAGTGTGGAGTGCCGACGATGAGGCGCGCTTGATGTCGTTGATGGTGGCAGGTATGTGGATGACGGCCGAACCTAGGGAGGAGCAGGGCTACGGATTCGGGTGAAGTCATCCGACGCTGGGTTTGTCGAGCGCGCTAGATGAGCTGAAAAACAGGCGAATACTGGTTGTATAGTATTGTTAGGCATGCCGGCCGGCACCGCCAACGTTATGTAGGTCGGTGATGCAATGTCCCAGTGCGTGTAAGTCGACGCTCTTCTGCTCCCTGGATAACCCTCATTCGCCACACGCATCAGCCAACCAAGACGAGTCAAGACTGGGTCTAGGCCGGTGGGAATCGCGGGGTGGCTGACTGGATGGAATGCTCAAAATGCTTGTTGTCTCGAATTCTTGGCCAGGGCTCGCAGTAGGACAGGATTCGACATTTAGGTAGACAAGCGAGACCGAAGAGTGGCTGGTGACGCCCACGAGGCAGTGAAGAGGGTTGGGTGTGGCTGGTGCTGCAGGAAGGCCCTGATGACGCTCACCTAGATAGGCAGGTACGGATACCTACCCACCTAGTAACTTGGTGTGATTGATAATTGTACCGTGACGCCACATGGAATGGCGGAACAAGGTGGCTCGTGCGCGGGCGGTGGTCTGGACCAGTCCATGAGGCACTCTTAGCCTTATTCTTTTTACCTATTTTATTTTTTCGGCTGCGTGAGGAATTCAAAAACGTAAATGGAATGTCTAGGATGTTGTGACAAGTGCGTCGATCTCGCAGTAGAGGGAGGCTCGTCGACAACGTTGTGCTCTTTCTCTGCTGCACGGTAGAATGTCCGCCGATCAGAGACGAAGGATCGGTTACTACTTACTGTGCGTGCCGTTGCGAAGGCCGGCTCGAGTTGATGAGGGACGAGGTATGAGATCATTGCTGATGAGGGAGCAAGGCTTGCGCGCATGCGCATGCAGGCAAGCAGGCAGAGGAAACGGGGACCAAACGGCCAATAGCTCAATCCCGGACTCGGCCGGCCCCCCGCGTCGCGTGGATGATGAGCCAGAGGCAAGGACTGGACTGGTTGGTGAAAGACTGGCTGCACTCTGGCAAACACAAATCGAGATGTGTCCGTTTGTCGTCAGCGAAATGATGATGAGCGAAGATGAGCAAGCCACAGAAGCCACTCATCATCTTAAACCACCTATTTGTTTGTACCATACGGTCATACGGTTACATGTACGGATAGACCTGCGGCTTGCTGCGGGGTGTGCTTCGGTAGGTGCTAGAGCGAAGCGAAGAAATCAGGTATGATTGGTCAAGGCGGACGGAGCAATGCTACTTGTAGTATGGAGCAGTGGACGTGCATCGTGACGCGGGTAGATGCGAGGCGGATACGACGGGAATCAGCACTTCCACGGCGGCGAACCAGGGCCGGTACAATAATAGTAGTACGATGTACTCCGTAGGTAATGATTGATACACTCTACTCTGTATCCGTAGTGTATGGAGTAAAGAGTGCGCGGAAACACCAGGGCAGTGACAGACAGACCAACAGCGGCAGCGACTAAAGGCGGATTACGAGGAAAAGAGACGATCAAAGAGGAAAGGGGACCCCGGCAGAGTCACATTTTGGCGACTGAGAAACGAACGAGGGTCCGTGGGGCTCCCGGCACGTGCCTTACTCGGGCTGAGTAATGAATCATGGGTCTGCACGCACCATTTCCGAGCTTTGGCCTCAGGCACATGTGGTAAGGTCCTCCGATGGGGCCCTTCCCTTCCCTCTCCCTGGTGCCTCCCTCCACTTTGGACGGCGCACTTGCTTCCCATGATAAAAATCCCTGCCAGGAATGGCGGGTATGACGATGAGGTAGACGTCATAACGGGGGCCCCGCCATCCAAACGAGTGGAACGCGCCATTGATCCAGAATTGGGAAAGCAAGACGAGCGAGCTCTGCTCGTGGGCTCTCTCTCTCTCTCTCTCTCCCTCCGCTCGGATTTTGGGTCGATCGGTTCCTTGCCTGGTCCTGCCCCCCCCTGGCTAGGCAGACCTCTCCAAATCATGGAGAACAGGAGAATGCGGTTTTGGGCATCTCACGAGTCATCGAGTCTCTTCCATCTGGACTGGCTCTTGCAGGAACACCCGCCCAACTTGGCTTCTGTCTGAGCCAGGTCTCGAGTGACTTCACTTACAGTGGATGAGAGATGGATAGAGAGCGCAGAATATACACAGGCAGAAAGATCAGCACGATCCTTTTTTTTTTCTTTTTTTTTCTCTTCTGTTTTTTTCTGAAAATTGACAAGGAAGGGTTCCTTCATGTCCAATACCTATGTCAAGTCCCCGCCTGTCACAGACGCACAGTGTCATCGCCGTCTGGCTGCGCACCAGCGCCCTAAGACAAGCGGCTGGCATTATTAGCGCGCTGTCAACGCCACCCGAGAATTGCTTTCTTGGCATGATGATGGCGACGGTCCGTGGCCGGAGCACAGTGTCCTCAGTACGGTGTGCCTCGATGCGCGAGCTTAATTCCTACCCATGGTGCTATGTCATTACATAGTACTTTTCGACCTGGCGTCCGGTACTTGTGAACTGGAGGAGGGCCGGAGAACGTGAGGGTGGATTAGCATGGCCTTGATTCCCGCGGAATTTCCCCTCATCCCGTTTCCTTGCTTCTAGTGCAGCAAACCAGAGTACTCTACCCTGTCGGTCTGTGTCCGATGCTGGATCTGATGCACGTCGGATGGATCTGGGGTTGTGACGGGCGTCTTGGGTGATGAAAACCACGATTTGAAACGAGGGTGGCCGCTGAAAACATCACTGTCGGGACAGCCGGAGGGGAAGTGGTAAAGGGAAAGAAGGAAGCTACTACGGAAAAGGCTGGGAAAGATGCCTACCTGCAGTACACACGTTCGTTCGTACGCATGTGCGTGTACGGATGTACTTGGACTTGTGTATGTATGCCGTGGAGAGTAAAAGAGCAAGACAGACCGATCGATCAATGCAGTAGGAGAGGAAAGCACAGTCCTATGTAGTGTACTACACAGTATGTAGCACATTCCGTCTTGCGTGTTGGGGTGTTGGACGGATGGGAAAGGAAAGGTTGGGTCTCTGCGGCGCCTGCCTCGGGTGCCCCCCCGCCTTTGTTTAACATGACGGGGAGGAACCAAGACGGGCGCACCTGCGGTATTCGTATCTCGAGGTACCTACCTAGTGTGGGCCGGCCAGTCATCAGATGTGTTTCCATGGAATGCTGACAGAGAAGAAAAGGGAAGAAGGAAAGGAGGGTTTCCAGTCACCGTGCACGCCCACTACTGCGCGTAATCCGTTGTTGGTACTACTGCCGGTGCATCCAAGACGGGGCCGCCCTCCATCACTCATTGCTGCTGTTCCAGCTGTGTTGTTAGTGAATGTTACTATTGCCTGGCCTGCTTTCTGTTGGGCTCCCTCCTCCTCCTCCTCCCCGCCCCGAGGCCCGCCGCCGCTTCATTCCTCGCTGTCTTTTTTTTTCCTACCACGATCCGCCTCTCATCGACGTCCATTATCCACTCCATCCCAATAGTCTCATATTCCTCTTTCTACTTTCCATTTCCCGCCTTCTTCATTCACCCTTGCCCTCCTCTTGCAAGAACGTGTATGTATGTATGTATGGATACATCGAGACGTATTGACTGCCACATCGATTCCATCACTACCACTGATTCGGTAACTGCCTCTCTTCAAAACATACTCACCAGGTATTCATTCTGGTACTCACGGTACCTGTTTGACTTGCACAGTCTCACACACACCACACGCTCCATTGACACCATTGACACCATCCACGCCACTCCCACACACCTTTTTCTTCGCCTTCTGACGCCTACCTACCTCATCATCCTACCAAATTCCCACTCCGTCATCATCGTTGGCCTGCGCCGTGCAGAAAATCAGCCCGAGCAGAAGGCATCCAGTCCAGCCCCTGCGTTCGCACAGTACACACAAAACACCCACACACTCACCCTCACACTACGTGCCGCTCAACGCCGTCATCGTCTGCCATTCTTTGCCTGGCCCTGTCCGGCCTGAACCATCCACCCCGGTTCATTCCCATTTCTTCATTTTCCCGCACTTCTTGCTTTGGTGCCTAGCGTCGTCGCTTTCTGGCTTGCTTCCCCCCCCCCAGCTCACTCTCTACACAGCCTAGCCTAATCAATTCCTCCCTCCGTTGAGACAAACGTGCTGCTTGCTTGCTTTCCTGCAGTCCGCGTTCCCGCCCCGTCTTTTAGTTGGCCTGCCTATTCCTTCAGCTGCCGTCATCCGAGTCCACGTTGCCCCTCCGTCAACATCACCGTCCGTACACAATCCACAAATCCCCCCTCGCAACAATTTCTCCCTTTCAGCTGCCTTCTCCCCCATTTCACAAAGTGTTCAACCTTGCATTTCTTCTCTTTTTGACTTGGCACCAATCTTTCCACTCTCCCCTTCTCGTGATACAATCCACTACAGCAGATCGCACCGTTCCGAAAGCATATACTCCCCACGACTCGTCTTTCGCCGTCTCCGCATTACCAATCCACAGGGCAATCAGCAAACCGCCCCCCTTCGAAACCCGGGGCACGCTGCGACTGCCGCCGAACGCCTGTTGAATTGCGACTTACGCTTCACTCTACACGTACCGGATCGCGGATAACTTCACGTCTCGATCGCTCCTCGCAGCGACCCCAACGATCAACATGTCGACGATACAGCAGCTTAAGAACTTCATCCGACACGGTACGACAGTCCCCCCTTCCTCTGACATACTGCGACGTTGTCCCGTCCTCCTACGACTAGTCGAGAATGCAGTGTAGTTCCGTGCTACACTACTCGACCCTATGCTTCTTTTTCTATTTCCCTCGTTCCTCTCCACGGCGTTAACGTGTATCGCCTATAGGAAAGCAAGCTCGAGCCGCCAACGGCGAAACGTCACCCAAGCAGCAAAACTCACCGCCCCAGAAGGCGCAAGTAGGCATCACCGAGCCAGCGATCGGCGCTGCCAACCCCGTTCAACCGGCCCCCGAAGCATACTCGCTCGCTGGCGATGACCAGCAGAACCGCGTCGCGCAAGCCGGTCACGCTGCCGCCCACGCCGTCGAGCCGAACCAGAACAAGACCTCCAAGGCGGGCAAGAACATTGACAGCGCCCACATTGCGAAGCTCATTGCTGAAGAGAACGAGAGCAAAAGCAAGTTTCCGAGATACCCCGGCTTAGAGAGATGGGAGCTGCTGGAGAAGATGGGCGATGGCGCCTTCAGCAATGTCTATCGTGCCCGAGATACCACGGGCGAATACCCCGCTCAGTGCGCTATCAAGGTTGTTCGCAAGTATGAAATGAACAGTATGCAGGTGAGTGGTGTTTGGGTGGTTACGGCCGCGACCATGATTTCTTCGTTTTATTTCTTCTTCAGCAATCTATTCTTGTGCTTGTCGCCTTCTCTGAGCATTCCCATACCAACAAGAGCGATCTTAGGGAAACAAGCATTTACACCCGGACTTCAAGAAGGTCCCTAAGGCTGCAGAGGTGCGAAAACTTTTCAGTATTTCATTTGTCTTTTCTCGTTGGGCCATCCTCACTTTACGACACACCTGTTGCTCTACTATTGTTAATCCGAGGATGGCTCTCCATTTACATCCCCGAACAATCCTGCTGACGCCACCACAGAGAGCCAACATCCTGAAAGAGGTTCAAATTATGCGCCAGCTCGACCACCCCAACATCATCAAGCTCATAGACTTTTCCGAATCGAGGCAGTACTATTACATCATCCTCGAACTGGCTCCCGGCGGCGAGCTGTTCCACCAAATCGTCCGCCTCACATACTTCAGTGAAGACCTTTCCCGGCACGTCATCGTACAAGTGGCCAATGCTCTGGAATACCTGCACGAGGAAAGAGGTGTCGTTCACCGGTACGTTCCCCTTTGCTCGCTCGCTTCGGACGGTCTGGCCGTCGAGCACTCCTCTAAGTGCATTAGCGACTGGAGGGGTAAAATGCCCGTCAGCATAAGCCTCGTGACGTCATCATGCTTTGACTACCGTCATTTGCTGATTCGATATTTTCTAGTGACATCAAACCGGAAAACATCCTGTTCAGCCCGATTCCCATCGTTCCGTCCAAGACCCCGAAGCCCAAGCAGCCCGGCGACGAAGACAAGGTCGACGAGGGCGAGTTCGTCCCCGGCGTTGGAGCAGGTGGCATTGGCCAGATCAAGATTGCCGATTTTGGTCTTTCCAAGATTGTTTGGGACAATCAAACCATGACGCCCTGCGGAACGGTCGGGTACACAGCTCCCGAGATCGTCAAGGATGAGCGGTATTCCAAATCCGTCGACATGTGGGCTCTTGGATGCGTTCTTTACACGCTTCTGTGCGGTTTCCCCCCGTTTTACGATGAGAGCATCGAGGTCTTGACAGAGAAGGTTGCCAAGGGCCAGTACACGTTCTTGTCCCCTTGGTGGGATGACATCTCCAAGTCAGCCCAGGATCTTATTTCTCACCTCCTGACTGTCGACCCTGAGAAGCGATACACAATCACCGAGTTTTTGGCTCATCCATGGATCAAGGGCTCCGGCCCCACTCCCCGAGAGGAGAAGAAGTCCCAGCCTGAAATGCTCCGCGCTTTCGATGCTACGAAGCTTGTCGACGGCGACCGCCGCTACGACTTCCGTTCCCCCGGTGCCGTCAACCTGCGTGAGGTATTCGATGTTGGTTACGCCGTGCACAGACAAGAGGAAGAGGCGAAACGCCGAAAGCAGGTCGGAACGAAGGGTGGTGTACCGGCTCGCTTCCTCAACAATCTCAACGAGGAGTCCGAGGATGAGGACCAAGAGATGGCTGACAGCAAGGAGGCCGAGTACGTTCACAAGCCGTCGCAGGCCACGCAAGCTCTCGAGAAAAGCATGCGCAACGCTCAGATTAGAGACCAACAAGAGCAACAACGCGGGCGCGAACGCGAGCGCCAAGCGCCCATCAACGAGAAGGGCTATGGCCAGCACTCGGCAGCCATCACCGCAGCTGCTCGCCAGCAAGTCAGAGACCGTAACAGGCAGAAGGGTGCTTTCGAGCTTAGCCTCGATGGCGCCACGCTGCTGGGCAGGCGGAATAAGCAGCCTCTTGCGGCTCAGGCAGGTGGGGCTTAGGAGCCTCGAACCCCAAGCTGCACTCCCCCGAGGATTGAGGATATCTCTCTAAGAAGCCTCGACACCACTGTGCAGACCTAGAAGTAGTAGGCAGGCAGAGTGATCCAATGTGGTTTTTCTGTTTTCGGCGTATGGTTAAAGGGATGGCATATCTCGGTCAAGTGGCCGAGGACACTAGCGCAAGTCATGATACGGCCGTCGTGGATATCCAATGTGTGTGTGTCAAGTTGGGCTTTGTTTGTGGTGATTTCTGACGGGGATGGATTAACCAGGGCTTATTTCCTTTTCGCAGCATCATACATAGGCTTGGGAGTTCATTGGCAACGGGAACCCTAGTTCCTCCTTGCGAACAACAATGAATGATATTTACTATCTGATTCGAACACATATTTTTGTGCCCATCGCGCCGCTTCCTAAAGTGTGTGGACTTGGTACCTTCGCAAACTGGGGTCACACCCTCGATCAGACTGCTTAGGAGGCATAGGACACTAGGGTGTGTGTGCGGTGGATATGGCACTCGGGTGTGTAACGGAATCGGCTGATGCGATATACGACTTTGTACGTTAAATGGTGTATGTCCTTATGGTTCTCGCGTTCAAGAATAGCGAACGGAAGGAGCCGGGGGGGGGGGCTCATGAACTGCTCGAAGTCACCGGATTGCTTCCATATTCTCCTCTTCCCCTCCCCGCTCTCTGTAGCTCAGTCTTTTCTCTCCCCCCGAACCGCATCCCCGCTACTCAACGAGCGATCAAGGCCGATGGAGGTCTGTGGCGGCCTCGCATTGCGCGTCTCGCCGGACCCGGAATGGTCGATCGTCGTCGATGGGATTCGCTCGGGCTTCGGGAGTAACGCGGAGTCGGGTGTGTTTGTCGTCAATGAGCCCCCATTATAGCATGTGCTCCTGGGCTACTTTGTGCCCCCCCCCCCTTCTAAGTGTTCTGAGGGCTGACTGTTTGTTAGTAACGTTTGCAGGGCCCGTTGAATAATCACTCTCTTATTCTAAGAGATGGTGCAGACAACGCAGAATGAATCTCGTGCGCGGATCCAATCCGATTCCTCCTCTTCGTAGGATTCACGAGGAGCACGTGAGCCGCGGTAGTGGCCGTCATTCCGACAAGCAACCCCTTGACGGTGTTTTGCACAAGTGTATCTTCGCCCTCTTGATACTCTTGCTTTTTTTTTCTCTTTTTCTTTTTCTTTTCCTGCTACTCGACAGAGGAAGCGATGCCTTGACATCCATGTGCAGAGAGCATCGAAGCAAACAAGGATACCAACGTCTTGGCTTTCGCTGGCTTGGAGAACCGACCACACGCCGAGCATGTCGCTGTCTGTTCGGGACGCGCGCCCACCAAGAGATGAGTCGTTCTTCGCTGTCACCTCGGACTAATGTCGCTTCAAGGACGACGACGGTACCATGATCTTGGCGACTGCGGTGGTGCTTCTCCGATTTTTGAACTGCATTGCGCCGACGAGCTGCAGTCGACCGAACCGCAAGCGGAACGGCCCGCGTACGGGACCATGTGCCTGGAGGAACCCGCCCACTGCCGTCATTGATGGGGGGGGCCTTCGTGGATCTGGGGTTCGGGAGTCACGATCTGGGAACAAAGGGGCGCTGTGCCCTAGATGGCGCCATTACGGGGTCCTTGGCGCGATTGTCCCGGGAGTTTGCATAACTGCGGGTCTTGGGCGGGGGGCTCGGGATATATCCCTCCACGACACGATGATACGGGACTGCAACTTGCAACTTGCAACGTAGTGTTGTTGAGGTTTTCTGGTGTTTTGCAAAGACAATGTCGTGTTTGTCGACCCCTTGCACGGGGGGCCACTCTGGGCGAATATCAAGATTCCCCATTCGGTCATGGGCTTCCTGGTGTAGTCGGAACCAACGCAGGCTTTTTCGGCTGTCGATCGGTCCTGAGCGACGTTATATAACGCCAGAGCCTTGAGTTCCAACAAACCCATCGCGACTCTGCTGCCGTCCGCACGGCGTTGTCGGCTCCTTGAAGGAGATCGGGCCGGAATGTGCCTATTGACAAGAGTTCGCTCGTCGTCGTTGTCGCCCATCAGTCCGGGGACGTTGATGCCTCGCTGTCGAGCGTTCCATTCTGATTCCAGGTGCTATTTCTGTATGGTTGAAGTCTGACTTGGTCAGCCTTCCTTGGGCCACTTTCCTGGGCCGACTCGGACCAGGCAGGGGAAACGGCGTGTCAGTTTCAATAGTTTGGAAAGATGGAGGCGCATCAACGCGAGATGAAGTCGATGTTTCTGTCCGGGCTTCGATGACCGAGGCTCTGTTATAATCCACTATTAGCAAAGAGGGTTGCGCGGACAGATTGATGTCTGGCGGTATTGAAACTTTCAGCTTTCCCGAATTGGACGGCTTCCCCATTTCGACACAACCACAATCCTCACGGCCGATTACCTGAAGAACAACCGTTCGACGGATTACCGTATACTACCTGCATGGAGAGGGGGGAACATCTCTTTCGCCCTTCAGACAGGAAGAGGGCCGGCACGCAGCGCGAAGCTACCAGACTGGTTACGACCAAGAATTGAGAACCCTGATGGCCTTTGCCTGCATGTCTCAAGGACCCGGATGGCCAACCTTGATGGCCCATCCTCACACACATGATGAATCTCCCGCCATGTCATCGCCTTGTCGCCAACCATCGCTAGCGATGCTGCTGCTGGTCTTGGTCAAGACAGCCAGCGCATCCACGGTTGTCATGGTTGTGATAAGACAATCTTTTTTTTTTGCCAGCCCAGCGCTGCGGCTCCCATTCCCAGGTGCCCCCTGAGGAAAGAAGCTGTCGGGTGAGCGAGCACATATAAGGACGGCCGTCCTCTCCCTGGTCTTGTGCTCTTTTCCTGGTTCTTGACCTCTTTGCCATCTCCATCATTCGGACGCAGCCAACGCGTTCGAGCTGACCGATCCGGGTATTGATGTTGACCGACCGACCGAATGGTGTAGGCGAGAGCTTCGAGTTGCAGAGATTGAAGAGAGGCGAGAGAAGAACCCGGCACACACATACACGCACACACACACACACTCACACACACACACACACACAGTATGAGCCTGGCTCTGCTACTCGTCTCTCCCAGTGTCTGGGAGGATTCTCCGCTGGGCAGACTTGCGAGAACCCCTTCCCCCCACGGTAATGAATCACAATTTCCTTTCTCTCGCTCTCTCTCTCTCTCTCGCTTCTCTCGCTTCTCTCGGTTTTCTTCTTTTCATTTTGGGCCAGCTAGGTGCTGGCTGATTGGGCAAGTCGGCTCCATCACGAGTCTGTCTCGCCGCCGGCCGTTCTCGATGATTGGACATCTGATGCCTCTTAGCTAACAGTTATCTCTTCTTGTTTGTTCACGCCATGTCTGATAGGGATTTACCGGGATCCTGACCACCCGCAAGGTTACTTGGAACCGAGGCAGAGATGAAGTTTACGCAGTATGGGGCTAGCCTACAGTTTCAAACTGGTGAGACTCCACCTCTGCGTTGGCTTCGTCTTCTCAAAGAGCCTTGTTTTGTTTCTCAATTGATTCTCAATTCTGGTTTCTTACTCCCTGACGGCGGATGGCAAGGTCATCCGGCGTGGTTCATTCTTAATCGTTTGACACCGCAAGTCTTTCTATTTGCTCATGTGTGTCTAAGCTTGCCCGCCTTTTGGCTGATACTGCCTAGTAAGCAGACGGATCCCAGTTGGCCCAACTATTAGTGCCGACTCTAGCCAATGCGGGATGGCTGGGGGTCGCATCACCTGGGAATAACAAGTGTGGGATGGCGCAAAAGTTTGTTTTCGCGCGGGTGCCGCTGCCAAGAAGCATCACAGGCAGATTTTCCCTCTCCGTCGTCCTACATAACATTGTCACGCATACGCCAACGGACACACGCCACACACATCCAACCACGACGGACAACGCCGCCGTCTGGTTTCCCCCATCTGGAGCAGTCCACTTGGAGTCTTCCACTCCCGAGGCTTGTCGAACACCAAAACCGAACCCCCCCCCCCCCTCATTCGACAGCCCAAGAGGATCCAGCCCGTCCCGAGTACAACCCCTCACGCCCATCTAGGACCGAATATCTGACCGACGATGGGGCGGGGCGACACCTATCGGGGACATGTCGTCCAGTCGCTATTGACGATCACTCCAGGCTCATCCTCGACATGCCATTCACGCGACCACGGACTGCCATGCGCACTCCACCCTGCCCGCCGCCTTGCCGTAACACGCCGTGAGTATGGCATATTCCTTACAGGTAAGATGCCTCATTAGCCCGGTCCTCCTGGTCCAATCACGACAGCCCGGCTCCCCGTCGACGGGTGGGCCCAGGCCCGAACGTGGCATCCTGCCCACCCTTTCTCTCCAACCTCTCTCCAAGGTTGCACCACCCACCACACAGCTCTGCAACCCGTGAATTCGGTTCCAAACCACGGTTGGTAACAGATCCCTTTTTTCCAACCTTTTCCGAGGCCCCATGGAGAGCTAGCTGGTATGGATCAAAGCCTTGGCGGGGAGTGCCGGCCTGATTGTGGCATCACACAACCCGCCATGTAAGACCTATCTCTCTACGCCAAACAAGCTCCCCCCCTCCCCTCCCCCCGCCGCGAGGCATTCGCCATCTGCTTGTGTGTGCGGCTGGCCCTACCAAGATGGGCAATGCGCACTTTCTCTCCCACCCGCGCCCGTTTTTTTCCTTTGCCTCCACGTAATCGCGAATGAAATGGCGCTTCGCCGGATAGCCGCCTGATGGTCCAGCTGACTGATACGTGTGGGGGGAGGGGGGGGGGGGGTGAAATGCGTTGAACGACAGCTATATAAACCGTAGGATATCACGGATCAAATCGAGTCTTTTTTCCCCTTCTCTCTTCATCCGACTCATCAGCTTTCAACCCTTCATATCTCAACTTACAAACACTCAAGCACTTTTCCCGCTTAACCCCACCACACTCTCAAAATGGCCCCCTGGTGAGTGTCCAAAACAAGCGTCGTCCCGCTTACAGCTTTCCTCTTTGCCCGTGACTGTGAAGCGGACATCTTGGCAAGGTTCACCTCAAGACTGATAGTTTTTGATTTTCGAAAATATAGCTCTTGCTCCTCTTGCGGCTCCAGCTGCGCTGGCTCTTGCAGCTCCTGCTCTTGCGGCTCTTGCTCCGTATGTTGAAACCCCCGCCTCTTCCGGAAGCCCAACTTCATCCTCCGAGAACCCAGCTCCGTAAGACGGTTGAGCTGACTCTTTGTTTGCGTTTTTTTTCTTTCGCAGCACTAAATCCAGCATGAAGGCGTCCCGCCCCGTTCGTATCTGACGGCCCCGAAAAGAAAAAGAGGCTCGCTCGCCAAAGAACAAACAAGTCCCATACAACAACCACGAGCTGTGTGCCCTCCAGCCGAGAGACCATTGGATCGCCGGTCTTACAAATTTCGCTTTCCGGGTGGAAGAGGGTTTTGGAGGATACTCGAACCGGGACGAGCGGGAGGCTCATGTAAGGGAAAGAAAGGACAGACCTTGTTTGTCTGGTTTCCCATTCTCTCTTTCTCGTGGGTTTTATTTTCTTGCGAGTAGTATTAGTCTTTCTGTGTGTGTGCTTTTCTTGCTTCGATGAGATATGATAGTACGAAATCGAAATGCTTGATTCCCGGGACCTGCGCGAGAATATCGCAAGTTGTCTTTTCCACCTTCGGTTGTGTCTACGCTCTTGTGGTGACGAGTGTTTTACACGCTTCACAGAGCACTGTGCACACTTGATACGCACTACTTGACCCGCGAAGTGTGATGTGATGTGCGGGGGGCGTTGGCTGTGAGTTTGGGGAACGGGTCACATTTCCAGGCCATCTCCACAGTTACTACACTCCAGCATTATGACCATGCAACTATTTGCTGTCGCCCGAAGGGGAGGACTGGAAGAAGCTGGAGAACGCCGGAGGAAGCCTTTCCCCCCTCACCCCACTCGCCGAGACGACGGAGGTTAGTTCGTGCGGGCGGAGAAGTGGGGGGGGGGGATATCGGAACATCAGCTGACAGAGTTTATCTTTCGGCCGATCTGCGTGCGTTGTCCTCTTTTGCTTTGTGGTGTGGACTGTGAGACGAATGGAGGGGTGGGTGTGACCGGGGTGTGCGGGTGGGAGGGGGGGGTGGGACGGGCGAAAAGGGCGGCGGCGTTGGATGACACGCAGTAGATGGAATAGATAGCTTTAGAGGTGTTAAGTGGAGGATTCGCTTCTGTGCTCCGTCTTCGAATTTGGTCGTCGAGCGGTGCTGGGCTCTGACGGTTTGCGCGCCGTCGGCGAGGTCTGAACTCCCGGCTTCGGCGGAAAACAAGCAGGAGAGCGCCAACAGAGATCTCTGGCGCGCCCTTTTGATGGCCGCGTTGCCCGATCCGGAGGAGGGGGAGGGAGGGAGATACCATCGCGGCTACACGGCAGAGAATCGTACAAACCCGCTTGACGTGGAGGAAGATGCCAGTGTCGGACGGGGGGTTATCGGCTCGATGCTGTACACTGCTTTCTTTTTTCTTTTATTTTTTTCTTTTTGGCTGTCAAGGTCGCCGCCGCTTCGTTGTCATGTCATCATTGGGGGATGGTTGAAGAACGAGTCTTGTGATGTTTTGTAAAGTCATGTCCCAGAAGATGGTATTTCTTTTGGGGTCTTTGCTCTTGGCCGTTTACTTCGCCGACGGCCAGGCAGAGACTACTTGTTGTTGGTGTTTTCGGCCCAAGATGGCTGCTGACTTTGATGTCAACCAAGAAAAGGAAGAAGGACATAACCCTGCCTTACACACGGGCCACTATCGGCATCAGGACGAACGGTCACCGGCGGCGGGTATCCCCCGAAAAATAGTCTTGGAATGTGCCTTTCCCCGGCAGCCTTGCTTGTTTAAGGCAATGCGAATCTGGTTCTCAAACTCCTTTTCATATGTGTAACGCATCAGCAGGCCAGCAATGCGTTGGCGTAGCCTCCATATCTCCGGGTGGCGCTCCGCCATGCCGGTCTTTGGCAACAGACCAATGCCAAGTGCAATATCTATCTGACGTAGTGCAGACTTCGCAGCTCCAAGCCGTTGGGCCACTGGGGCTGACGGCTTTGGGGTTGCCCCCTGAAGGTTCTGTAACTGGGCCGAATGGCCTGGTGTCGCCATCGACACCCGGCGTGCCGCATACAGCCCACGCCCTACTGCTTGTGCATTGCGCACCGTTGCTGATGCATAAGTTTGTAGAGTAGCCAAGAGGTGAGCGGCTATCTCCGTTCTCACACTTATCCATCGCAACTGTGGACTTAGAATCTGTTCCGAGCTGTGTGATGTTAGCGAATCCCTGGTTATGAACCTCATAACCTAGTCATACCACAGATTGGTTGTGGGCTAATGTTGTAAGCTGTATATGTATACACACCATCGCCGTTAAATGTGTTGCAATATCAGTCTACCCATAATGTGCTGAGAGTGTTCCCGGATGAATGACTAAAGTTATTACTCACCTTTAACAGATGGGTCATTGAAACTATAAAGTAAGTAAGCTTGATCGGTAATCTCCGTCTAGGTGTCTAAAGTAACCACATAGTTACAGACATCTCTCCCAGGGGAATATACATAGTATCTAACACACACAGTCATGTAGTAACTATAGTCAGTGGTTCGGAATTACGCCATAGCTTGACTCTGTGTCAGTATACGGGGGCTATGCATCTATGATTCATTAATAGGTGGCTCGCGGCCCGTGTCGTTCCCTGTTTGAGCTGTCAAGCCCCGCGCCGATCCCCGCCCATTCCTCGGCAGGGGAAATACCCGCACCCGGGTTCTTCAACCACGCGGCGAGGACGGGCGAGGTTAACGACGTGACGGAAGAAGGCTTTGTGCAAGAACCGATAGGGTGGGAGACGGACAGGGAGGGTTAGGATGACGCGACCGCGTGTTCGTCCTGCTGCTAGGCTGTCTCGAGATTGTCCGGCAATCTACTCGACTTGTCAGCGTCCGACACGCCAGCTCGCCCCCCTTCCCGGGATCGTCGGCCCGCAATAGTTGATGGGTGGACAGAAACTTCTCTTCTTCATTCGTTGAAGCATGCAGTGATGGTGGGATACCTTTGGCAAGCCTTGGGCTTTTCATTGGTGGGGGAGGGGCGTGAAATGGCGAATGATGCGATTGCTGTGATGGTACGGCAGGGTTCGGTTCGTCCGTTGATTCCTCCTTTAGGAAGGATTTCTCATGGCGCCATCTGCCACCGGTGCCGTGTTCTGACGGATAAGCACATGCGTCCAGCGTAGCAAACGTGGCCTTGTGGCGTCGCGCGGGGGGGGCCGACGGGATGCAGTCCTGCCTGTGGCCTGCCTGGCTGTGTCTGGGTAGAAACTCGAATGTGCGACCAAGTCCAACGTTTTGCCAGATTCATTGTGTAGGACATTGTGATGTTTCTATTTTCTGGTGTGTGTGTAAAGCCGATTGTTCTTACCGCCGTTGAGTGTCAGCAACATGTATCGATACATCTCGGCAGAACAGTATTAACCTGTCGCCGGGTCGTCGAATCACATTGCGGTCCGCGGTGTAGGACGAAGCGAATTGTACCCGGGAGTTGAATTTTTGGAGTTCGTAGTTATCTATCGGCACGCCGAGTGCACTTCTCGAAAGCTCAGCAGTGTATTCTTCTTTGGCGTGCCCAAAGCCACAGATACGCTTGTGCGAGGCCAGGATCTCTCATCTCGACCTGAAGGACCCTTTCGTATTTGATGGCATCGGAATGGCCCAGCCTTTGTGCCATCGACCTGCTGGACGTTGTTGACTGTGTCTAAACTTTTGATATCCTTAGGGTGGTTAAGATGCTGTTTGTTTGGCCTCCGGAAGGGAACCGAATCACTGTTTGAAATTTACCACGTAAACATCCAAGTCGGCATTCCCGCGAGAAGCCAGGCCGCTGAAGAGCCCACAGGCACTTGACAGCACGGAACAATTTCAGTTTACCTCCTGGGAGGTTGGCTAGATGGACGACGATGCAGGATGACACGTGGTAGTTTAGCTGTGGGGGCTGGACAGGCAGGTGAAGTTATGTATTGCTACCCAGTAGCTAGTTGCCGCAGGCGCCTTTTGTCCTCTATAGGAACGTCCCGGCGTTGAATATAACAACAACAACAACAACAACAGCAACCCAAGTCGGCACGATGTCAATGAATACCAGCCCACGGAGTCATTGAAGGAGGGGTGAGGTCACCGCTTACTTCTGTATCGGTTCCTCTAGTTTTCAGTGATCACCGCTCAATATCCCAGATTCAAAGTCATATAGGACAAAGAAAACCTAGGCCCTATTTCCACTCTCGCCATTTGTGCTTTGCTTCAACATCAACTTGATGCTAGCTGGTAAACTATAGGCAGTTTTGACGAAGAATATGAATAGGAGAGTAGCTGGTACTGACTGTAGGAATGTTGGTTTAGCCGCCCATTGCTTCCGTCAAGCGAAGGATGGCATAGGCCAGAAAAGCGCATGAAGCGATTTCGGAATCATCTTATTTCCCGTCCCTAGATTTGCATTTCTTTCCTATATACGGAGTACCACCCCCCTTCATTATTAACCACGGCGGCAATTGGTACAACCATGATCAATTAACGGCAACACATAGAAGCTACTGCCTCCCTTTTGCACTAATACCTTACATTAGTCTGCTGCATTACATCTTGTAAAAATAAACAAGGGCTTTCTTTGTTTGGCTATTTTGCCGCCGTGAGAAACGCTGTATAACTGATTTCTAATTTAGAGACACCACCTGGGTGCTGCTCTGGTACTGTCCCTTCCTTTCAGACTCCGCAAAGGGGCTTATCAGCTTCCTCTCGTACCCGCACACGTCAGATAGTCGCGCCGGGTGTCCTAATGCGGCCTTGTTTGGCTCATCCTCGGTCGCCGCGCGATTTGCCACCACACTGGCATGTTCCAGGGCCGTTCTATCCATTTCCCCTGCGTCTGGAGGTCGCTGAGTCCTCTCAATTTGAATCTCGTGGGTGACAACGATGCCCAGGGCTTGCCAAGTCTTAGCGACCACGGGCCAGAATACTGGGATCGATGCCAAAGCTAGTGATAGTCGGTTTTCTGTCTCTCCCAGGAGTATTATGGGTGGGAAGATCCACATTGGATCTGCGCCTTCATCTTCTGTCGCCTTGTTGGCCACTATACGCCACGCAGCGATTGCATTGATTCTGGGAGTTGAATCGTCAGTCAGTCGGCTACGCAACACGCTGGAAAACTAGGGCTTTCTGGGCTCTCATACAGTATTCCGATAAAAAACAAACCAAGCAGCCCTTTTCTTGTTTGGCTGATGGTCTCCTTGCTGAAAAGTAGGGGTATAGGCACTATGAGGATCAAAACGTCTAGCGCCATGTTCGTTCCGTTGGATGCGACAACGATGTCATAAATTTCTACAGGGTTAGTAGAACCGTATCCATAACAGTTTGATTCCGACCCCAGTGTGTAGAATTGGTATGGCGGAAAGCAAGGAAACCAGGCTATGAAAGAAAAGCCAATGCCCCATGCCGAAACAACAACCATCAAGATGATGGATATGATCCTCAGGTGTGGCATGCGATCTTGGAATACTCTTAGGTATTGCAAAATCATTGAAAGTTTTGTTAGGGCATTGGACATGGAAAATGACGCATTAGATATATAGAATAGCTGCATCACATGAGCTATGTCTTTGAACCATTGCGGTTGAGAGAGGAGGCAACCTTACCATGAAGAATTTCTCTCTATCTCTATCAGGTACATCTTTCATTCTGTGGCCCATGCCGTAGTTGGTAGCTGGCTCTGTTACTCCCGCGTATCCACAGAAATGCCAGAGAGCAGGTATACTGGGGGTATAGTTACTCAGACAAAGTCCAATCGCGCTCGTAGAGCCTGCTAACTGTAGCACCAATTCAGCATTTATAATCTTTGAGACGTCGTGGGTAGGGGTCCTACCAGCGCAATTACGATCACGAAGTCGTCCCATCCGGGCTTTCGTAGAACACACACTCTCGTATATACTCGCAGACCAACGGAAATCCAGGCAGCGACCTGAGAAAGAAAGTCATTAAGAAGCCCGGGTGATTGAATCTTACGTGTCTTCGCACCAATAATGAGACTATCACGCCCACAATTGTGCCTTTGCGGTTTTCGAATGGCAACCCTTCGTCCGTGTAGTGTGCGGGGAAGTTTCCAACCCTACTCATATTCCCGAACATCGTTTCTTGAGAGACAGTCGCATAAGCGACGTGAGCGTGAAACTAGGTGTCCATTAGCCCGGCATCAGCATCTCGCTTGAAATGACAAATGACCTACTACTCAGGCTGATCATGCAAACGGCAGGACAGCACTCATCGCGGAATTATAGATATTGCCCTTCAGGAATTGACCAGAATTCCCACGGAATGAAATTCCATGGGAAGGTTTAGGTGAATTCGTTGGCTCGATTTGGAATCGTTGACAGTCCCGGCCAATCTTGATCACATGACGAGGTGAGGCGGGGACTGCACACTGATAAAGTATAAACTTGAAGTATGCCGAAGGAATGTAACAAGACGCAACTCAATATTACGAAATCCAACCATCTGAAAGCACACGTGTTGGTTAGCAAGGCTTGTATCAGTGCTTAACCAGGAGTGCCCTGTCCTATGTGTAAACAGTTCAAGCAAACTGTCACAAGCAGGTCAGGGCAACCAACTCTGGCACAAAGCAAAAGCTTCGGTGATAATACACCTGCATTATTATCCCCTTTTTTGCACTATATAGCTACGTCAGCTAGCACCTAACTAGTTAGATTATAACACTATATCTCCCCTCTAAGAGGCATGTCCCTATGCCTAGTAACTAACTAGGCATATTACAGGTATAAGCAGGGAAACTCTAGTAGGGGTATAAGGGACTAATCCTACACATACTGCTTATAGTTGGAATGCTAAGGACTCTAGAGAGGATCCTACCTGGCTGGTAGCGCTAGGATTTAAACCTAGACCCTCTACGTAAGGTAGGTGCATTATTATGTTATAAGTAGGTTAGGGTAACTAACTCTAGCATAAAGTAAAAGCTTTGGTAATAATGCACCTGTATTGTTATCCCCTGTTCTACACTATATAGTTACGTCAGCTAGCACCTAACTGGTTGGATCGTAACACAAACCTTCCAAACATTGGAGGTGATCTCGCCGCCTTCGCAGCAAACGGTTTTAGGCTCCTATGGTGTAGGTAGGAATAAACTCTCTCTAGCCATACTTCCCATCTTAACCCTTCCCTTATTCTTTCTTATATGTCTTGAACATTCTTAGTGCTTACGTGGGTACTACACTAGAAACCTTAATACTTCCAATCCTTATGAAAGGTTCCACAAGGCTGGGCCAAGGGACTGCCGCTCTTCCGGATTGCGACTCAACCAACGGCTTCTATGACAGGCAGATCTCTCTCAACTGATAATATTAAGTACAGCTGAAGGCCCCCTAGCAAAACATGTGAAGGTTAAGGTTCTATCAAGCTCACTGTCAGTTAAAAGCTAGAGAAAAATCTCTTTACTCCTGATTCCAGGAACCTGAGAGGCCGGGGAACAGTAGGGGCGGCACTAGCGGGGCAGCCGGTGGGAGCGTCGGGCTAGGTTACCGACTACTCTACTCGGTCCGATCGCAGCCTCTGATATCCCACTACAGAGTAGCATCGTCATGTAAGTCTGCCTGTAATGTTATATACTCACGCACGCTCCCTATTCCTGACATTAAAAACACAGATCTCTATGGCTTTCTATCGCTACCTGGCCTAGAGCAGCTTTCATACACTCCGCGCTGTTTTGCCTGACCATGGAAGTTCTGCTGAACGTAATCCTCTACTTACAGTAAACCTAGAGCTACTAGGCCGTTAGTGGGTTAGATAGCTGCTGTAATACTGGTCGGATATTGTTATCACGATCTCAGTGATGTAATGGTGATCATAATTCTTATGGTTATGTTGGTGGTGATAGTGGTAACAACAGTGACATTAACGGATAGGAAAGGGAATTTTATAAACAGCTAACAAGCTAGTAAATGTATTGTGAACGTAAATCAAAACTAAAACATTATGGAGTTTCAATATTAGAGTACTGAGCAAAGGGGTTCATTTTAGCCTGCAACCACGTAGTCATAGATATAATTGTTAGAACAGCAGTTCTAATAGTTCGTACGCATGAGTCAGCAGCCCAGAAGTCTTTAAGAACATCCACTTCCAGCCGGCCTGGACTTGGACAATTTAAGCCTTTTACACCCTTATATCCTCTAATCGATATACGCTTAGGTAAGTCCTGCTGTGTATTAGTGAGACTTGGCCTGATCGCCCCATCCAGTATGCCTGAGCATTGTGGTCAACCAGAAAGATACAATGAGTCATTGACTATCTAGTCGCTCCGGAGATGAGTACCTCAGTCTGCCTGGCAAGAATGCTCAAGAACCGTGTCAGCTGAAAGAAGTTATGAGTCGATGCATGTTTCCCCAAGAGCTGGAGCCACCATTTCAAATACAAGCAGGACCTCAATGAAACCGACCAGGGTTTTGTGTTGATAATACATGAAGTGATATTTCGACCTTACCCAAGGCAACGAACAGATCCAAGCGAGGAAACACCATTATGAAATCTCCCAGTGAAACTTTTCTGTGGTTCCTCCAATGGACTTCGGGTAGTTCATCATGTCTTCGGACGCATGGTTGTGAGTCTCGTATTCAATCGCAATCATTCGGAGCTGTGATACATGCCTGCTGTAGGACAATGGGCCACACCCCGAGACATGCTGATATCAATCCTGAAACAACAGATTAGGATGTGCAGGACGAAATTTGCGATCCGCTTGATCACTATTGTACTTTATGGTCAGAACCCGCAGTTAATCGGGACCTGTGTGTGTCTGCAGGCAAGGGAAATGAAAGATTGCCGGAAGATGCATGCATGGCTTTATCATGGACTGCCCCCTTTACTGGCATCTCTGGGTTTTCGGGCAGACGACGGAGTAAAAATGAAGGAAGAATTGGAATGTAAACCATGTCTGGTTGTACATCTGAACTCCGTAGAGGACCCATGAAGCGATTTCCTGTCTGTAGCTAATGAGGGCCAACCGATGGGACGCGTGTCAGGCAACCCAGCCTCACATCACTCTACGTTCTCAGAAGGATAATCTCTTGTAGCATAGCTTGATGACGTGCAATTTCGTTCCACGTTGCAAGCTGAATTCTTTCAAAGCATTGCATGATCAAGAGATTACGATTCAGGCAAAGCCTTAAGGCGCGCAGAAACCAAACTTTACAGGGAAGGAAAACATCAACTATAGGCCTTTAGTCTACTACAAAGGAGCACTTTACTCAGCATTTGCTCTCCCGGCCATGTTGTAGCGAAAAGAGGACACGATAAGGCACAAAGAAACAGTGATCTGACGGTGAGCCCACCAAGCGCGAAGCGCCGAGCCTCACCAAGAAGCGCCAAGCGCTAGACAGCCCCAACGCCAGTCAACACCCCTGTTGGCTAAGGAACCCCAAGAACGCGCAAGAACGGAGGGGCCCTATGAAAATGTCCGGCCAAGACAGTCCCGCCTTGGCCGGCTCGGCGGTTGTCGTCACATCGGCACCGCTGTCCGGCTTTGGCCAACTCTGCCAGCCATGCCGCTCTCTGCAGTCCCTTCTCTCCACACAGCGGAAAGCATTGACAGAGCCCAACAACACCAAAATCCTCCGCTTGGCGCCGAGGCTGCGGTGAGACCGCCGCGAAATGCGGGCCCCTCCGCCGAGAGTATGAGGGGCGGGCCACAAGCCTACTTGAACTACATTTCGTCCAATGGCCGCCCTGCGGTCCGATGAAAGCCCTGGACGCCCAGTCACTTTGTTAAGACACTAAGGCTCTTGTCCTATTTCGCTGTTCTGGGCAGTCCACTCTATTGCTCTGGGCAGGTTTGGGCCGACGCCTCCATAAACGAAGGCTACCTGTTTCCACACAGGCAACAAGGTCGTACGCGGTTCCAGTAGTCCTGGCCCCCCCGGCAAAGTTGGCCGTTGTCTCCCCAGGTTTCCCATTCGTCCTGTCTTCCTCCCGCCTCCTCTCCGCCGCCAAATTCGTGTCTTGGCAATCCCGGAAACAACGACGTGTACAGTCCTCGAAAGCAACGACAATTGACCCTACTGAGGTCGGTTGACCTTTTTGCCAAAACGAAAACCAGTGTTTTCGGTCGAAGAAACGGAGATTGAAGTTAGATGACTGAACCACTAATTATTTCTCAGGCACTCCAAGAAGGGGGTCAGCTGGATTTGACGCAACGGTAGAAAGGCCGTTTTAGAGGCCACTGCAATACCGTGAGCCATCCTGGTGACATCTCTGGAAAAATGTCGGCGGCAAGAAGTCACCCTCGACCCCAAGATCTTTGACCGAGTGGCCCGCCACCGGCTAAGTCTATGCGGTTCCCGCGGTCTCCCCACCTTCGACTGCTAATAAGTTTCAAAGTCTTCAAGGTCTATCACCCATAGGAAGCCGGGCACGCTCCTGTCACCCCCCCCCCCCCCCCCCCCCCCCCCCCCCTGATGCTTGCCACAGAAGCACGAACGACGGCCAGTGCCTCCTTGACAGGACTGATAGTTGTAAGACATTCCAAGCCGAGTGGCCTAGATTGACCAGCAGCCTGGAAGACCCTATCGTCGCCTCGTCAGAGTCGACGTTTCGCCAGGCTATGTTGCATTCTTGGTCTACCAGACACTGTCTCGCTTGGCTTCTCTTTCTTTTTTTTCCTGTCGTCTTACTTCCCAACGGAAGGGAGGACGGCAGCGGCTCTTCAGTCCATATCTTCTTGCGAGATGTCCCATCCCTTCATCCTGTGTGTCTTCGGAGGTCCCATACTGGTACAGATACAACGCGTTCCCTCTTAAGGTCGCACTTGTACACGATGATACTCTAACACAGTCGGAAAAGTCCGGAGGTTCCATACATAGCCACAGCAGCAATAGTCCGCTATCGGGATCTACAGGGCGTACTTGGCCTTGAATCAGAAGCGTTTGTGATCCATATCCATTACCAAAATAACACTGACCGTCTGCGATCTGCGGCCAAGATGCCCCTATTTAGTCCGGAGCCAAGTACGTCTCTGGTAAGCACACAACCGTTAAATAGATCGACTCTCGGCGCTACGAAGAAATCCATTATCCCTTTCCCACCGCCCACCAGACAGACCATTATCCATCAGCAGCGCTGGGATACCAGGTGACCGTCATCCCACAAGAGGCTAAGACCCATATTTTGCAGCTCGTTATTTCAAGTTTTTCCTTTTCTGGCTTGATTCTCTTGTGAGATCTTATCTGCCTCCCTAGACGCCCTTTTAATTTTTCTTATATCCCCCGCGAAGCCTGGTTGATAGCTGCTGTTCTTTCCGTCGTCCATCAGACAAGTTTACTCCATCATCATATGAGCGATAACTAAAGAGATCCTCCCCTTACTAAAAAGACCTTGCCGGCCAAGGCGTCCTTTCTCGTCACAAACGTACCATAGGCCCCCCGACGTACGGAAACCACAAGCCCTTGGAGGTGAAGCCACAATCAACAAGCCAAGATGCCTACTCTTGATCCCAGCGAATTGAACATCGTGTTGGCCGTCTTTGGTGGGTACCCCAAGCCTTGGTCCGTTCAGTCGTATGTGACTAACTGTTCTGTCCCTTTTCTTTCCTGCAGGCGCGTTCATCATCCTCTTCGGCGTTCTCTCTGTGAAGATCAAGAATGTGTGGTACTTGGGCGAGGCCTGTAAGTTTTGACCGGTCGATGCTACCTATATCGCATCCACCTTGCATACACCTTGCATACCTGCATCATGATCTGCAAGATGAACTGACACGTTGCCTTTTACGCAGTGCCGGCCGTCGTGTTAGGTATCTGTCTTGGTCCACTAGCGGCCAAATTTCTCGACAGTGAACGATGGGGGTCGGCTGTCGAGGGTCAAACCAACGATATCACTCTCGTGCGTATACCTTCACCAAGTACTCAATATGAGAAGCCTTTTCCAGTGTGCTGACCGGTGTAATATATCCATAGGGAGTTATGAGAGTGATGATCGGTATCCAGCTAGTCATGGCTGGATACCAGCTCCCGGCAAAATATCAGAGGAACAGATGGAAGGATATGCTCGTCCTTATGATCCCCATCATGACCTTGATGTGGTTGGCCACAACCATCTGCATCCTGGCGACGATCCCCAAAGTGACGCTTCTGGGCGCCATGGTTATCGCTTCCTGCGTTACTTCGACAGACCCGGTGTTATCACAAGCAGTTGCCAAGGGACCCTTCTCCGACAAGTTCGTCAGGCGTTCTCTGCGTGAAATCATCTCCTCCGAAGCCGGCGCCAACGACGGGTTCGGGTTTCCGTTCCTGATGCTGGCCACGTACCTCATGCGGCATGCCGAGAACCCCGACTTGTCCGCCGGTAGTTCGACGGTAGAGACTGTTGCCCGAGCAATCCTTCCCCGTGCAGGGGACGTTGCCCGCCAGGGTGGCGGCATTGGTATCGCGATGATGAACTGGCTCCTCGAGACCTGGCTCTACTTTGTTCTGATGAGTATCGTCTACGGTGCAATTGTCGGAACAATGATCAGATTCGCCCTCAAGTTTGCTGTCAGGAGGCAAGTCAAACATGTATGAAATGAAAAGACAAAAAAACTAACATCAGCACAGGAAATGGATTGACTCGGAGAGCTACGTGCTCGTGCCAACCGCCATCGGTGTAAGTTGCAACCGCAGCTCTACTGTATCAAGTCTATGGCTAACAGCAATGGTAGCTCTTCCTAATGGGCACATCTGGAGCGATTGGAACCGATGATCTTCTGTCCTGCTTCGTTGCTGGCAGTGCACTCAACTGGGATGGCGAGTACCTGGCCGAGGCTCAGAAGCGACACGACGAGGTCAACGCCAGTATCGATGTTCTTCTCAACTTTGGCGGCTTCATCTATCTCGGCACTATCATCCCCTGGAGCGAGTTCAACTCGGACATAACCGGCATCAGCCCTGGTCGTCTCTTCGGCCTTGGCGCGCTTGTCCTTGCCTTCCGCCGTATTCCTGCTGTCCTACTCACCTACAAGCTCATGCCCAACACCATCAAGGACTGGAAGGAAGCCCTTTTCATGGGATACTTTGGTCCCATAGGTGTTGGTGCGGCTTTCTATGTGGAGCATGCCCGCCATCTTTTCCCCACGATCACCGAAGCGGCAGGTGACAATGAGGTTACGGATATGCTCCGAGCCATAGGGCCCGTTGTTTACTGGCTGGCGCTTTTCTCCATCATCGTTCATGGTCTTTCCATCCCTACCCTTAATATCATCTACGAGTACATGGGCGTGAAGCCTATCCAGGAGGATGCAGTCGCAGTCAGACGCAGGTCTGTCCGCGTACCTCCGCCTTCCAACGCTGTCGAGGGCGACAAGGAAACCTTCATCGCCTTCAACCGCTTCTCGCGACCTAACCTGTCTGCGGAGTCGCTGTCGCACCTACGGGACGACGATTCTATCACAGACGAGAAGGTCAGGTACCCAGACCTTGAGACGGGCCTAGAGCAAGCCAAGCATAACGCGCAGTTGTCGCCGAAACGCAGCTTTAACTTCCCATCAGTAAGCCCGCCTCGGAGCCATAGCCGACCAAGAACGAGCGCCAGCCAAGTCAAGTGGGACCAGTCCCACGCCACGCAAGGTTGACATGCATGACGGAGGAAGAGATTGAGAACTTTGGAAGGATGTTACCTGATACCATTACCGCACTAATTGCGACAGCAATGAGTTCACGTGTGTTGGGTTGGGTTGGAACTTCGAGATATACCAACAGGCTCATTGCTGTCATTACCATACCAAACGTCCCAAGTCACTCGTTGAGCAGTTCCGATAGAGATTTTGACAGCCGACGCGCAGTCTGGAACGACGCGAGGATGATAGAAGTCTATCTGAAAGATTAAAGAAGCCGAATAGTGTCCTGATCGTGAAGGCTTCACTTTTTCTATATTCTAGATCACAGACACACGCAAACCAATGCTTCAGCCAATGCGAGCTATCCCTTGCCTCAGGTCAACTTTTCCAGCTGTAATGCCCCAGAGTTAGATGGCTAATTGAGTTGGGCAATATTTCGCTGGAGATGCATGCAACAAAAGCCCCTGTGGATCGGGATCCCCAGCAATGGTTATTACGTTGGTACAGTGCCTTGAGCAAAAGCGAAAGGATCATTTGAGCAGGATCGTTTTTGCTATGGTCGACATAAGCATGGAACGAAAGACCAATGCCGACTCAGTTTTCTTGGCCGGATCTCATCCCGGAGAAATGAAACAACGCCGTGTCAAATATGACTCGTAGGTAAAGCTCATGACCATGGCCTCAGATCCAACCGAGTACACAAACCCGCCCGGCCTGCGAATGACGGAACCGAGATCTTAACTCATCTCGAGAGTTCATGTTGAATGTGGGCTATGATTCGAATATTACCAAAAACTGGGATGAATGTAACGTCGCCTCACCGGGAATGAGACTCGTGATGTGTGTAACTCATCATCAGACCAACATGCAGGTTGCCATCGGCCAAGCCTGGCCCTTTTGTACATGCACTAACGGCTCCCGGCGGCAGCACAACGGCTAAGAGGTGCAACCTCGGGACGGCACGCCCGAAATGCATTCAAATGCCCAACGTTGGAGCTAGAAAGTCAAAGAATCATGCGGCCAAACGATGTATCGGTGCGGGGGAACGGACGCTATGGACGGCGATCCGGAGACATTACCCCACTGGACTTGGCGCATGTCATTCCTTTTGGAGCTTGATCGTCTCATGAAATGATCCGTTTCACACAAATAAACCTCCATATGTGAGCTCGACTTCATGAGTGAGCAACCGGTAGCCCGAGGATCATTCCCATTCATTGTGGGTTGAAAAATATCGCACAGACTCGTTCCAGCATCTCGGTTTCGTCTGCCAGAAACGCTTTTAATAGTACACTCAAAGCAGCGTCTGTTCGTGGGTCCTAGTGCTCGCGGCATCTGATTCATCTCTTGATTTGGTTTGGAGACTCCGGCATCCAGCCACCATGATTGCCTTGACAATTATCGCATTGCTAGCCGCAGGCCTGGCCCTCGGACAGGAAGCCCCTCGGGCCTTTAGCGGCATTCGTCTTTCGGAGGCTGGTGCGGACACCCCAAGCCCCAGTGACTGGGCCGAACGAGCGGAGAAGGAGGGCCGGAAACTATGCATCATAGAGCCGGACGCCAATGGCGGAGACGATGCTCCAGCGCTACTTACCGCGCTGAACGACGAGTGCCGGACCAAGAGCATCATAGTGCTACCGGGCCCTGTTTACCACATCAACTCGCCAATGGTGACTACGGATCTGGACGACGTGGTGATTGACCAGCGCGGCAGGTTGCTTTGGAGCGATGACACCTCATACTGGCTCTCCGTGTCGATGCCCGTGGGATTCCAGAACCAGAGCACGGTATGGCACTTTGGCGGCGACGGCGTGGTGTGGGAAGGCCACGGGGTCGGCACGCTCGACGGCAACGGTCAGGTTTGGTACGATCTGAACAAGGGAGGGTCCAACATGCCTCACCGGCCGATGAACATCAATTTCCGGGGCTTTTCCAACTCGGTCGTCAAAGGGCTCCGGTTCGTCCAGAGCCAAATGTGGACAATGAACATTATGTACTCGAACAACCTGGTCTTCGAGGACATGTACGTTAACAGCACGTCGTCCACGGAGAACAACTCCCTCAACACGGACGGCGCAGACACCATGTACTCGGACAACATCACCTTCCGGCGGTGGGTCGTGGTGAACGGCGACGACGCCATCGCTTTGAAGGCCAATTCGAGCAACATCTACATCTACGACAGCGAGTTCTTTGGCAGCACCGGCATCGCCATGGGCTCCATCGGACAGTTCCTCGGGCAGTTCGAGTACATTGAGAACTTCTCGGCGAGGAACGTGACGCTACACGACACGCTCCGGGGCTGCTACTTCAAGACGTGGACCGGCAACCAGATCGGGTACCCGCCCAACGGCGGCGGCGGCGGGACGGGTTACGCGCGCAACATCGTCCTGGAGGACATCAAGCTGGACCGCACCCGCGGGGAACCGCTCTTCATCACCCAGTGCGAGTCGTACTCGGGCCACGCGGGCGAGTCGTGCGACACGTCGACCTTCAAGATCTCGGACGTCGTGTGGAAGGACTTCAGCGGGACCGTGACGGACGCCGTCCCCAGCGCGGGCTTCTTCCGGTGCAGCAGCGCGGCCGCCGGCGGGTGCAGCAACCTGACGGTCGAGAACTTCGCCGTCAAGCCCGTGGGCAAGGACGCCGTGATTGACAAGTGGCTTTGCAAGAACGTCCTCGGGGGTGAGGGATTCGACTGCCAAGAGATAGAGGAGAGTGTCGATGAGCTATGAGCAGCGGTTTTAGGTATCGCTTCCCGGATCCGGGAATGGTCCAGACTGCATCATGTCGCGCAGCTGGCACCACGTCATTCTTGAACGAAGGCGCGAGCTCTCATTCATAGCCGCTTTACCTTTAACACAATAATCAGACGTGACTGGGCCACGGCCCAGAGGATGGCCTCATCATGACGGCAGGTCCCGCTAAGCCCGGTGACCGCAGAAGAGCCGCGAAGCAGCGGCAGTGATTCTGATAAGCGCTTGACACTGCCTAATCAGCGCCGAGTGTGGCTTAATATCAAGCTCATGTTCTTAGCCGCGGATTCTGCAGCCTGAATCCTATCAGAACTACGTGGTTCGTCTACTGGCCCTGGCAATATGTAGGCTTGTGGCACTGCAAAGTCGGTGGCAAGACAAGCAGTGGTAAACATGTCCCGGTATTGAGCCAAGGAAAAGCTTACCACTTTGCGGGAGGTTTCCTCCTCCTTGGGGTTTTGTGCGGTCGGACGCGTCTTTGAGCTGATGTTTTCCTGATGAGGGCGCGACGCCAAGCCGCACTGCCTCTGTGCGAACCTCATAACCTCGGAGAGGCTTCACCCATTGCATGAACCGACTTTGACATAGTTCCGGAAAATGATCGGTGCTGTGCATGAGATGTCAAAAGACTTTCAGCTTCGAACGCTTGGCAGGTATCACAACACGCCCTAACTATCGTCCTTCTGGAAAAAGCCAAAGACGTTCCGTGTATTTCCAGACTCTAATGCGTAACATTGATTGCGAGAATCCTCTTTCTTTCCCAGGCACGACTTGGCGCTCACGTACGAACCCCTGGAATCGATCCGGCTGTTCCGACTGCCGAGCGATGAATGCGAAGCAACGCAGTGTGCGCCCACTGAATGAGTGGATAGACAGTAACGCGAAAAGATTAAGAGATCCACTGGAATTGCTCCGGGTTTCTCCCTCATCCCCCCGTCTTTCTCACCCACCGCTCCGTTCATGTCGATTGCAGCGGGTTCAACATGGAGTCAGTCCTGGCTGGGCATGAGATGGATGGAGACGGAAAAGAAGCTGGGTTTGGCTCACCTTGCAGCGTGTTGCTGGGCATAATCACACGCGTCAAAGGAGGACTTGGGTCGCGTGCCCACCTACCTACGCCGAGACTTTCGGGAGGAGGAGGAGGAGGAGGAGTGAGAGTAAGAGGAGCATCTCATTGGATGAGGAGGAAATGGGTGTGGGACGTCAGTCGTGTCTCCAATCCCGCTCTGCCTCTCCTTGACGACGCCCCAAGAGTCCTGTCAGACGAGCTCCGTGCGGCCGCACCGCAATGTGTGCCCCAAGTTGGACGGCATACCCAATCTTCTGAGGGCCGATCTGATATTGCTTGGCCTGCAGTCCTGACAGGACTTGAGGCGATCTTTTACGCCCGAGTGGGCTCATTCCATCATGCACTGTTTTATGCTGTCTGCCTAGCGAATGCTTATTATTAGCCTCGTCGTCCCTCACTCTTCTCCTTTTCTCTCCCGCGACTCTGGGTGGATTTGGCATCTTGTGTTGAATTCACGAACCTCACTTCCCTTTAATATATATATATAGTTGAAAGACACGGGCTTCTTCATCGTTCTGCTTTCTCCTATCAATAGTACTGATTTCGGTCCGCGTTTTCTTTCCGGGATACCCACCAACAGTTTGTGTCTTCACCCCACCCACGTACACGTCCAATCATGAGTTCAGGGCTTGGCGTCTTGAGAAATGTTATTGAACCAGCATGTAAGTTCCGGTCCCGTTCCCGTTTCCGAGTTGAAGCCAAACTGCAAGCAAGCAACGATTTGATACTCTGTCGACTAACGATCCGCCGTTGCTTTCCAGTCATTGTCTTTGCCTTCACAGTCGGCACCCTGATCAACCGCCGGAGACCGCATCTCGATGATGACGTGGATTCCTGCGAGCGTGGATCGGAAGACTCCGGCTCGCCCCCCGTCTCTCCACTTCTCAAACCGGGTATGCACGCCGTATCGTACGAAGAGTCCCGCATCAACGCGAAGCTCCTTGTGCGCTTCTACCGCACGTTTCCCTTCCTCGCCGAGGTTTGGTACTGGAACGCCACGTACTGGTAATTGGCCTAGCCTGCATGGTTCCCTCACTTTACCCGGATTCCCCGCTGACGGACCAAATTTGCCTGAAAAAGGGTGTACCAACTCCTCCGTGCCTTCTCGGCGCGAATGATCGCCGGCAACGAAGCCGTCTTCATGCGTGCGCAAGAGCATGCCATCTCCATTCTGAAGCTGGAAGGGGTGTTTGGGCTGGACATTGAGCTCGGCGTGCAGCGATATGTCCTCAACAACGTGCCCTGGATGATGCCGTATCTCGCCAAGATCTACTACTTCCACATCAGCTTGGGCATCATGTTCATCATCTACTGCTACACGTTTCTGCCGTCCGGCACATTTCAGAGGATCCGACGGACCATCGCCATGGACAACGTCATTGCATTTGTCATCGTGACCACGTATCGTTGCATGCCGCCGCGCCTACTGCCAGCCGAGTACGGATTTGAGGACGTGCTTCATGGGAAGAAAGGAGGAGGCAACGCGTGGACTCACAACAAGTTTCAGTTGACCATTGCCGCGATGCCGAGTCTTCACTGCGGAACGGCCTTGTTCCTGGCCTGGTCGATATGTCGCTTCTCGCCTCATCGCCCTCTCCGGCTCGTCGCGCCGCTGTGGCCCATGGCCATGTTCTTCACCATCGTTGCCACGGCAAACCATTTCATCCTCGACGCCGTGGTAGGTGCCATGGTCGTCACCCTCGGATGGAGGTTCAACCGGGCCGTTCTTGTTTTGTTGCCGTTGCAGAACTGGGTGCTCGAGAGGCTGGGTCTCAAAGTCCCGGAGGAGGAGAAAACCTCGGCAGCCATGACCAAGGGGTGGCGATGAGCATAGCGCTGAAGGATGTCGGGGAGCGAACGGCGACCACTGATCGTCGATGATTCGATAATCGACTAAGTAATATACTACTGTAATAATAATCCGGTTTGGCCGCTTCCTTGGCCGTTCGTAGCCGAGTCCTCTCGGAGGCGGTCCGCGATCCTTGGAGCCTCGCGAAATCATGCGTCTCAACCTAACAGAGCCTTCTTCACAATGTCCACTTCCTCCGCCGTTCCGCAGATCAAACCTGCTCTTCCGTCACAGTCCACTGATACCTTGTCGAGGAGGGGTCTGCCGTCCGCGGGGTCGATGGCCTTGCCTCCCGAGCATTCCACGATCAGAGCGATCGGGTAAAGCTCGTACAGGAACCTCAGCTTGGGAAGAGTGCCGGGCGAGACAGGCGAAACGTAGACGCCGTGCCCCTTGACTAGCGCATGTACAATATCAGGAACGAGGCCGCCGCAGTATCGCAGGGTGTACCTCTCCCGAATGAAGCGCGTGATGAGCGCATTGTACTTTTCGTCATCCGCCGCGTGGCGGAGGTTCGCGGGCGCAAAGTACCGCGTCCTGAAAGGCGCGTCGGCAAACTTGACGGAGGCGCGGATGATTTCGCAGTCCGCGACCCCGTTCGGGCCGAACCCGATCTCGAAACAGGCCGAGTCGGCGCCGGGGATCCGCAGCGCCACGAAGGCTGTAGTCCGGGGTCCGATCACGCCCATGATGGCGGCGACCTGCTTCTCCGCCGGCGACTGACCCACGGCCGTCCTCCCGTCCCAGATGCCGACGATGGTGCCGACAGTCCAGTTCGGCGCGATGATGGAGCTGCCGTCCAGGGGGTCGAAGGCGACGGTGTACTCCTCCGAGGTGGCAGGGGTGCCCGCCGTCTCGCCCTCTGGTCTCGCCGGCTTTTCTACGGGGTCCTCCTCGCTGCTGGCTGTGAGAACCGACGGGCATCTCGCAATGGCCTCCCGCATGACATTCTCGGACAGGACGTCGACGTTTAGTTGGTCGTCCCCGAAGGCGTTGGCGGTTCCGGCCAGGGAGACGTGTTGAGAAGCATGCAGCGTCTTGGCGATGCCGGTGATGGCGTCGAGGACTGCCGGGATCACATCCTCGCGCAGTGACGAGCGATTATCCTGGGGAATGACGCTTTTCAAGTGCTGTACGAGAGCTGTGGATGCCGACATGGTGCTCAATGAAGTTGGCCGAAAGCGTTGAGTCAGGGCGGGATTGAGCTATTTTGGGGTAAAGTATGTTGAGAGAATTTCAGAGCGGACGCCATCCGAGTGGCTCCCACGTGTTTTAACTGGATTATCCCTTTTCTCCACCCGTGAAGACGCTGCCATATCGGCTGTTTCAAACTCTATCTGACCGTTGTTCCATGTCGAGGTTGACACTTCCAGCAGGGTATTCCTGATGGGTTTCTAATCACACCAGCTCATTCCCGTGCTTTCCTCTCATATACAATCATCGATTGTTCTCACTTGGCCTCGGGGATTGGGTTAGTTTTTGACTTCACCCACGCGTCTCGTGGCGAAGACTGGATTGGATCTGGAAAACAGCTCTTATCGCTACTCTGTCTCTGATTCGCCCAGTCATCGTGCGCATACAGAGAGGGTTCTCCGTTACGTCTGTGAGCTTTCCTCGCCATCATTTCGCCCCTGACGTTTAAACCCGTCGTAAAAGCGTCTCTCTTCAAACACCCGGATGTCATTGTTAAAGTTGACTCCCCTAGCCTTTCTCGCTTTGAGTATCTTCCTCCGAACTCTCATCACGTCGTACTCCGTGTTTCTCGTCAACCACCACGTCCAAAGGTTGGCCAGAAAAGACGCAATCGTAGTCGCCGCCGCGATGGCAAAGCTGGTCTTGTAGCCGTTGTACGCGAACTTTGACTGGAACAGTTGCGGCCCGATAACGCCGCCCAGTTGAGCCATGCCGGATTGCAGGCCGAGTGTAAAAGCGGTACCGGCAGAACCAGACAATGTGGCTGATCTCCACGCCCAGAATGGAACAAAGTACGACTGATAGAACAAAATGCCCAATATGCACGAAATGTAGATGCCGTAGCGGTCGGTATTTGTGAAGAATAGCACGAAGCACACCACCATCCCAGACATGAGAATCCTTGAATTATTGTTAGTGGAAGTCTGACTAGTATTAATATCAACCGGCCTAGAACCTACATGATGTACGCTGGTCGTACGATGTATGCTCTTGACATGAACCACGCCGAGAAGACCAGACCGACAATGGCTGCAAATGCAGGCGGCATGTTAAGTAGCTGGTTTCTCGGCAACCACGCGAAGCCGAGATTCGCCACAATAGTCGGCAGATACCAAGTCAACGCGTATCCGCCGATGTTGATGAGCGTTTGGGACAGCATAAAGGACCAGATGAGCGGCGTGCGCAGGACGGCCCAGATCTCCCTGCCGGCGAAGTCGGGATCGCTCGTCAGCGGCGCGTTCTCCGGCAGCCTCGCTTCGACGAAGTCCTGCTCCCGCTCCGTGAGGAAGCGGTTGCTTCGAGGAGACTTTGGGTAAGACGATCGTCGCCAGGCCCTCGAGGAGGTACACCCACCTCCAGGCACTGAGGCCGCGGACCCCGTTCAGGTAGCTGATGCCGTAACACAACAGGGAGCCGACGATGCCGGCGAGGTTGGACCATGCGAAGAACCAGGTCACTGGCTTGCCGATTTCATCGGTGCGATATCAGCTTGATAGCTGGGCCATGACACCTGGAAACATGCCGGCCTCGAACATTCTGGTGCGAGGCAGAGTCAGCTGGTGTGTCATGGGCGCGGGTGCCAAAGCAGTAGCATCGGCGAGCAAACACATACCCAAGCAAAAACCGCATGGCGTAGAGTTGATGTCGGTTTTGCGCTGCGGCTTGGCAGGCGGTGATAACCCCCCAGGTGAGGAAAATGCGGGATTGCCACACATGCGGGCTCATACGCTTCAACAATAGGTTGCTAGGCGCTTCAAAGATGATGTAGGCGATCTGGTACAGCGTTAGCTTACGGCACCGACGACGTGTCCCCCGATATTCGCAATATCCCACTCACACCGTAGATAGACCCAACCCAGTTGTATTGGTCCGAGGTCATGTCGAGTTCCTTCATGATTTTGCGCGGCTGTCCCACCTGCAAAACTCTTACATTTGCCGCATTGGTTTGGTCAATCTTGACGATGTATTGTTAGCTCGCGTTCTCATGGATGTACTCCCCGAGTCACTTGCCTGTTTTGATCATGTACATGATTCCGATGAGAACCAAGAAGGCTTTATCGACCTTGTTGATGACGGATCTCTCTTCCTCGGCCGAGAATGTAGAAAGAAACGCCGCTCTGGCTCCCGGGTCGTCCCGGAAGTTGTCTACATTGGCCCTTGCGACGCCTGCGTTGCTTTGCAGTTTCCGACTCGTGGCGGTTGCACCGTGGTCGACCTGGACCTCGTCCGGCTGGATTGGCGCACTCATGGCGTCGTAAGCTTTCTGGTTCTTTCTTCAGCAGCCACTTTCAACCTTTTTAAGCGGCTATACAAAGCCATTCTTATGGTCGGCTAAATAGTCTTATTGAGGAGGAGCCATGCCGGGACCAGTTCTCAGGCCGGTCAGCCTCGATCCCATATCTGCATCCTTATCGGCGGGGATCTAGCACCGCTTGCATGATGTGCTCAAAGATGAGATGGCGATAGGCCGTCTGTATGGTAAGCGGTTGGCCCAAATCATTATCGAGGAGGTGCTGCGATCGTGTATCATTCGCTGAGGCACGCCGAGAGCGTATGGCGAAATCACGGTCCACCATTCCATCATCCGCTCAACGGCACTTTATCAACAACCCGGCTCCTGGGTCGGCCAAAGCCCGCACTCGCCGGTACGAAATCCGCAGGTAGAAAGTCTTGGAGATTTACTCTCTCAATGGCCAAATCTCGTTTCCCGGTTCCGATGCGGACTTCTGCCGCCTTCTTGCCGACGCCTAGACATTCAGCAGCAGCACGCGCCTTTCGGATTATGGTGCAGGATCACTGCACGCAACATGCGGGTGGTATGACGCCAAACTAGGGGACCGTCATATAAGAAGTCACCTTGACCTGATGCTCTTAGAAAGGGTGTGTGGCAGTGCGCCCTTTTGCTATCTTCAGGAGTCCGGTCAGAACTTCCTCAACAGTTGTAGCGCTCTCTGATTTGTATTGCCCACCATGTCATCGGAGAATCAGAACGGCGTCACAGACCCTAAGGCGAAGAAGAAGAAGATTCTTCTCAATGCCTTCGACATGTTCACTGTCGGACACCTGTCCTTCGGCCAATGGAGAAATCCCAAAGACAGAGCGAAAGACAAGAGACGGGATCTCACGTACTGGACCGATCTTGCCAAGTTACTTGACAAGGGTGGTTTCGTTGGCCTCTTTCTGGCTGATACTTTCGGGCCATATGATACGTCAGTCTTGCAGTTTAACTTATGCAAATTTCTGAGATACCCCCGACTTACACACCAATTTAGATACAAAGGCAGTGCAGAGCCGTCAGTACGGACGGGCGCTCAGTGGCCGATGGCTGATCCGGTCATTGTAAATCTCCGCGCCAACACAATGTCCTGTCCGATGCCATTGAACTGATTCAGCTAACATTTCACCAGCCAGTTTCAGCGATGGCTGCTGTGACTAAGAACTTGGGCTTTGCCATCACGACATCGACATCGTATGAGCAGGCCTATGTTGTGGCCAAACGATTCAGTACCCTCGACCATTTGACCAAAGGTCGTTTCGGATGGAACATTGTGACGAGCTGGAAGGAATCAGCCTCCAAGGCGGTATGTGAGCCACTTGGTGCGCTACGTTTTCTCCCATTCTAAGATGAATCAAAAGGTCGGCCTGCCGTTGGTTGAGCACGACACCCGCTACGCTAACGCTGACGAGTATTTGCGTCTTCTATATAAGTAAGTACTGTGCACCTCGGTCTATTGAAATGTACTTGCTGACAGATGTCGAGACTTTGGGAAGGTTCCTGGTCGGACACGGCCTTGGTGGAGGATGCCGAGAAAGGCGTTTACTCCGACTATTCCAAGATACGCCCGATCCACCACCATGGTGTGTTCCATGTCGATGCACCCTTTCTGACTGACCCGTCTCCCCAACGCACCCCTGTGCTATTCCAGGCTGGCACGTCTCCGTGAGCCCGCTTCCTCCCTAGCAGTTGTGAACCTACAGCTAATAAACGTTTCAAGCGCGGGCATCAAATTCGGCTCAACCCATGCAGAGGGAATCTTCGTAGCCGGCCTCTCGCCGCATGTTGTGGCGCCGAGAGTGAAGGCCATACGCGAAGGAGCCATCGCTGCCGGGCGGGACCCGTACTCGGTCAAGGTCTTCGCCATGATCACCCCCATCATCGGCAAAGACGAGGAAGACGCCAAGAGGAAATACGAAGAAGCCCTCAAGTACGTCCTCGTCGAAGGCGGTCTCGCCCAGTTCTCGGCCAGCACCGGCATCGACGTCTCGCAGTTCGACCTGGACCACGAGCTCACCGACAAAGACGTCGCGAGCCACCTCCAGCGCATCCACTCCTCGCTATACAACCTTCGCTACCGCGGGGACGACGTGCCCAAGCTGACGCCCCGCAACCTGGGCACGGTCGCGGCCATTGGCGGGAACGGCGCGATGCCTGTCGGGACGGCCTCCCAGGTCGCGGACGTGTTCCAAGAGTGGGTCGACATTGCCGACGTGGATGGCTTCAATATCGGCTACGTAATCACGCCAGGCAGCTTTGAGGATGCCGTCGAATACCTTGTCCCCGAGCTCCGAAGCAGGGGCCTTCTGCCGGAGCCGATCCCGGAGGATGGCCCGGCGCCCACCTTCAGGGAGCAAATCTACGGGCTTGGTCAGAAAGGGTTGAGGCCTGATCACCCCGGCTACAAGTACAAGTACGATAGTTATGAACAGACCGTTGCCGAAGAAGAGGCCGCGAAGGCTGCGGCTGCGTAGTAGGAGATATACACAGTAGTCTGGGGGTTTCCAAGTTTACGACTCATATTGAAGTTTTGGGTGATGCAATATTTAAGAGCTCATTGGCATGCCGGACTCAAGATATACTCAATGGTGCTAAATGACGGGTCCCGATTGGTGCGCGTGAGGACCATCCATACCTTGTGCCACTTTGAGTTTCTTCTACGTAACACATACAAGGTATGACCACATGTAGCGTAACAACCAATTCCATTTAAGCTTGATCACAGTGACAAACCTTGTGTGGATTAGGGTTCTTCACTAAGCAACTACAGATGAGTGTTGGAGCCGGGCTAAATACCGCGAGTCAGGACGGATACAAGGGGGGCAGACTCAAGTAGGTAGACGTAGCGCAGGGCTATACTTGATTGACCACCAGTCATTCATCATCTTTCCGGGCTTGACCTGTCATTTATGGCTACGACTGGTATTTCCGCTCGCGGTGTGGCCCGGCTAGACTTGGGAGCCAGGGATTGTCCAATGATGCTTTGAGAGCTAAAAGTTCAACCCGTTGATATGCCAAATGTAGTCTTTGTCATGACGTCAAGTGACGGACTTTGGCTCTGCTAACACTACAGTGTGATTGCCGCGGAAGAGGATTATCTCCCATGATGGCGTGATATCATTCCCAATCTCGAGACTGAATGTGCCCGTGGGGCCGAATTTTCCCTCCCCCTTGGAAGCGAAAGAAAACAAATAGGTTCGCACTCTGACGACAAGTCGAATCGTTAAGATCCCCAAAGTAGTGGGTTATGGGGAGTTGCCAAGCCTTCAACGCATGCCGAACGTAGAGCCGTTTAAAGAAAACAATGACAGGTGACCATCAACCTGGTTGCGCCAAGATAATGATGGACTCCACGCTTCCCCGCATCACCCTCGCATCGGAGCACCTACAGTCAGTCTAATCACAGCATCTCGTGCTCATCAGGCCTTCGTGCCCACTTTGGTGTGATTAGCAATACCTTATTTCCCCCCATATACACGACCCAGGACCACGGCGAGCATCCCAGTAGTGGTCTAGCTTGCGGGTAAGAAGAATCTAGAGTGCTTGGAAACCCCGCTGCGTTAGAAGAAGGGCCGATTAAGGACCTGAGCAGTGTAGCTTGGCATGGTTGTTCCCCATACACAAACAAGGCTTGTGGGTGCGCCCTCTCGTGATGGTGGATATGCCGATATGGGGCATAGGAAAAGTCCGGGGCCTCCGCATCGGTTCCATTGGGCTGATGATCCGAACAAATCCCGAGTTTGCAAGCGACAACGGCTGCCCTATCCCTGCCGGCAACGATTCGTCGTCGTCATATCATTGATGGGATCGACTTGGGGCTTCATGTGAGAGGGATTCTGCACAATTCTCTACGCCCGATATTTCAGTGCCTTGATGGGCTCCCAGAAAGCAGTGACAGATATCAACGAGACAGAAATCAACGAGAGTGATACTAGAGTTGAGCGTGTCAACCGTAATAAGGCTCGATCGTTAATGAATGTTGCTCGGGTTGATTTGACGGATGATAAGTGAAGGCTTCAACTATCGGTCGACTCGGTGTCTGTCAACGATCTGCTGGCCGTATGAGCTCCGAGTTCCGAGCTGGGCCTCCGGCTCAACGACATTGTCACGCCACCTAGCACGGGATCCCACAAGACCCCATTGTGAGGATTGTGACCGAATCAAGGCCGCTGGATAGCTTGCCAAGAACAAATACGTGCAAGTTCTCTTGCTGTTTCCGCTTCCCACAAGCCGAGGTAGCGTTCATTACCGAGGCGATGACCAAATACCATAGCAGGTCAACCGTCGTGCCCGTCGGCGGCTGCTCATAAATAGCTCAGGTCTTTCCAGTTTACTCAGAATGCCTTGAAACACGAAGCCAACACTTTACACTAAACCTCCAAACTTGGAGATCGGTGAGCAGTCATTGGTCTATCATGAGGTCCCAACTGACAAACTTGGCCTTGGCCATCATCCCCTTCGGAGCAAGCTGCACTTCCCTCCCCCGGACAAACCATCGGCAACCCCTCGCCCACCGAGATGAGCCTCTTCTCATTTATAAGAACTCCTCATACTGCGTGGACGACCGCGTGGAGGACCTTCTACAACGCATGACCATCGAGGAGAAAGCCGGCCAGCTCTTCCAGAGCTCGCTCCAGCAGGGTCCCAATGGCACTCTCGACCCCGGCGACGCGACGGTTCGCCGCAACAGCACTGAAAACTTGCTCGGCGAGAAGTACATGACGCACTTCAACCTGGTCGGTGACGTCGTCGACGCGAAGCAGGTCGCCGAGTTCGTCAACCGTGTCCAGCAGCGGGCCTCGGAGACCCGTCTCGGCATCCCAGTCACCCTGTCGACGGACCCGCGCCACAGTTTCACAGAGAACCTAGGCACCGGCTTCCAGGCCGGGGCTTTCTCTCAGTGGCCCGAGTCCTTGGGTCTCGCCGCGTTGCGAGACCCGTACCTGGTGAGGCAGTTCGCCGAGGTCGCCCGCGAAGAGTACATCGCCGTCGGCATCCGGTCCGCGCTCCACCCGCAAGTCGACCTCGCAACTGAGCCTCGGTGGGCGCGCCTGGGTAACACCTGGGGCGAGGACGCCAACCTCACGAGCGAGCTTCTTGTCGAGTACATCAAGGGCTTCCAGGGCCAGGGCGAAGAGCTGGGGCCTTATAGTGTGACGACAGTCACCAAGCACTTCCCCGGCGGCGGCCCCATGGAGAATGGCGAGGACTCCCACTTCACCTACGGGAAGAACCAGACGTACCCCGGGAACAACTTTGAGTACCACCTCATCCCCTTCAAAGCTGCGATCGCAGCGGGCGCGAGGCAGATGATGCCGTATTACTCGCGCCCCATTGGCACCGAGTACGACCCCGTCGGCTTCTCTTTCAACAAGCAGATCGTCACGGGTCTCTTGAGGGAAGAACTCGGCTTCAAAGGAATCGTGGTGTCAGACTGGGGCCTGATCACGGATACGGTGATTCGCGGACAGGACATGCCGGCCCGCGCGTGGGGCGTGGAGCACCTGACGGAGCTCCAACGGGCCGCCCGGATCCTGGACGCTGGTGTAGACCAGTTCGGCGGCGAGCAGCGCGTTGAGCTTGTCGTCCAGCTGGTGAAAGAGGGCAACGTCACCGAGGACCGCATCGACGTTTCCGTCAGGCGTCTCCTCCGCGAAAAGTTCCTCCTCGGCCTCTTTGACAACCCCTTCGTCGACCCCGAGGCCGCGGCCAGGATCGTTGGAAACGACTACTTTGCCCGTCTCGGCAACGACGCCCAGAGAAGGGCCTACACGCTCCTCACAAACAAGGACGATATTCTGCCCCTGAAGCACCTGGGCACCGATACCAAGTTCTACATTGAGGGCTTCAACGCCACCTTCCTCGAAGCGCGCAACTACACCGTCGTCGAGACGCCGGAAGAGGCAGACTATGCGCTTCTGCGTCTCCAGGCGCCGTACGAGCCCCGCCCCGGCGGGTTCGAGGCCGCGTACCACGCCGGCTCCCTCGAGTTTTCGGATGAGGAGAAGGCTCGCCAGGCCGCCATCTACGCGGCCGTGCCCACCATTGTCGACGTGATCCTGGACCGCCCCGCGGCCATTCCCGAGGTGGTCGACGCCGCCGCCGCCGTGCTTGGTAGCTTCGGCAGCGGGTCCGAGGCGTTCCTAGACGTGCTCTTTGGCATCGCGGCCCCAGAGGGAAGATTGCCTTTCGACCTGCCACGGTCGCAGCGGGCCGTGGAGGAAGCGAAGGAGGACGTGCCTTTCGACACGGAAGACCCAGTGTTTAGGTTTGGTCACGGCTTGAGATATGCCGGAAAATGCGCCGCGTGACCTGGCGGGGGTGTATGGGGTTGACGAAGATATGAAACGGCAATTATGTTGGAATTACCGAGGACCAAGTTGTATCGTGTGATGCCAACAAACGATGATGCTTTGCTTTTGCAATTCAGGACGGGTCGGTCTAGGCCTAGGGTCGCCTGATCAATACTAGTAATGGGAAACACAGTGCATACAATAATGCCTCTTCCAAGCTCAACTCGTGGCCTCGCGATGGTGAAAGTTTCTACCCTGTGCCATCTCTTCATTGGCCAGAATAGTGACTAGATACTCACTAGGCGGTCCTGGTGGTGTAAATTCCGGTGATAGTGAAATCACCTCTTGATAGATCCCTGTGGAAAATATAGTTTGCCTGTCACTTTGACATCATGCGTCAGGCGCAACGAGTAATACTTGATACCCGGGCTCCTATGGCTCTTCGACTCACATGAGACCAAGAGGAGTGTATCCTTTAGTCTAGCATTATCTAGCATTATCTATCTCATGAGAGAAACAATGTCATCAGCAATTGTGACTGGAGCGACCGGTAAGTATAAAATCTTCCAACAGCCTCCGCTCATAAGCCGGACAATGCCTCTTATGCGGCCGGCTCGGGGCAATATCTGACTCAGCTGTCGACTGACCCGGATAGGCATTCTCGGAAGAGAAATTGTCGACCGGCTCGCTCAGAACCCGGAACAATGGAAGACCATATATGCTATATCGCGCAGCCAGAGGGACCAGTACCCACCCAACATCAAGCACGGATTCGTCGGCCTCACTTGATCCCCCGACGAGATAGCCAAGGACCTGCAAGGTGTCGAGGCCGAGTATGTCTTCTTCGCCGCATACCTTCAGAAGGACTCTGAGAAGGAGAATTGGGATGCGAATGGTATGCCTCATTGGAGAACAACCCGTTGACCTCCAACACCCCGGGGGCCGTTCTGACAGTTGACAGGCGACATGCTCCGAAACTTCCTTGCGGCTCTCGAGAAGACCGGCGCCGCGGACAAGATCAAACGAATCCTGCTCATCACCGGCGCAAAGCAGTACGGTGTGCACCGCTGCGTCCCCAGCAACCCGATGGAGGACTCGGAACCCTGGCACCGCGAGGACCCGCCGCTCCCGCCCATCTTCTACAACCTGCAGCAGGATATCCTCCGTGCCTTTTGCGAGAGGCACCCTAACGTCTCGTGGACGGTGAAGTATCCGAACGACGTCATCGGCTTCGCAAAGGACAACTACATGAGACTCGCCACGACGCTCGGCATCTACGCCGCCATCACCAGGGAGCTCGGGAGGGACCTCGAGTTCCCCGGCTCCGAGACGTTCTACACAAAGTTCGACTGCTTCACGTCGGCGAGGCTGCACGCCGAGTTCTGCGAGGGGCTCGAGAGGGATGCTTTTGACAAGGCCACTTGGTCTTACCTCGGCTTCGTCCTGGGTCGCAACTTCGACTTGGTCATTAGCATGAGCAAGGCGCGGGAGATGGGCTGGACAGGCTGGGCAGACACTTGGCAGTCTTTACAAGACTTCTTCGGACAGCTGGAGACGGAGAAGATCTTGCCCAGGGCTTACGGGTACGCCCGTTAGTATATGGGATGAAGGACTCTATGGTGGGCATCTTGGTTCTTTGGACAATGGAACAAGAATAAGGGGGAGAAGAGAAAAAAGAATACAAAAAAGGGACTCCCTAGTGTACTTACGCCGAATCGAGTCTACCATCAACGTCCTTCGCAGCTTTGATGCTCTGCTCCAAGACCCCCCTCTCGTGTCCCGACAATTCCTGCGCCCCCGTCCCGATCATGCAGCTCATGTCCTTCTTCCCCCCCCCGTTGACCCATTCCTGGTCAATCATCCAGTGCGTCGGCATCTCGAAGGCTGGCGGGTCGCCCATCTTGCTCATCTCCAGCCCGCCGTTGTACCACAGCAGGCCGCCCGCCTCGTTCACGTGCGCGATCGCCAAGCTGCACACCTGCGTCCTGCCCGCCTCCTCGCCCTCGACCGGCTTCTTCTGCCAGCCGACCACGCCGCCGTAGTGCCTCGAGAAGGAATACGCCGACCCCGTCGCCTCGAGCCCGATCCACCACGTCTCCTTGTCGCCGTAGGTGATCCTGTACGTCCACGCGTTCCGGACCTCGTCGGTGTTCTGCCAGCAGACGTGCAGCAGGCCCATCAGCACGTCCAGGCGGCCCTTGTTGAGCACGACGACGCCCGAGTCCCCCTCCTCGGCGTATTTCTCGGTCCACACCAGAGACTTCTGCATCTCCCCGCTCGGGTGCTTGAACGTATCGTGGTACCACACATTCCTTTCCGGGAACTGGTCCTTCCAGAGGAGTCTGTCGTGGAAGAGCAGCGCCCCGTTTCTCCGGTAGGCCTGTTGCTGCAACAGCTTTTCCGGAGGCTGCAGAAGGACGACGTCGGCGTCCAGAAGGATGACCTCCTCGTACCGGCTGCCCAGCGCAGCGAACGGTTTGATCGCACACCCGCCTTCCATCAGCTGCAACGTTGTGTCGTTGAACACGGTCAAGACGTCCAAGAACTCCACATGGCCATTGTAGCTCACGGCAGCGGCCTTGACGATCGTGTCACGGTCCTCCTGGGGGAGGTCCTCGTCGCCGGCGTACGCAATCTGAATCGGTAGCGTCGTCCGATGAACGTGCGTCAGGGACGCCACCAAATGGCACGCCAGACGCAGCGTGCTGTGTCCCGCGGGGATGACGATGCCCGCATTCAGGCTTGCGTACTCCTTTGCGGTCTTGTTGCCGTAGGCACCATCACCGACGCGGGGATGCCGTGCTGGGTGCCGCGCCGGGGTGCCGGCGCTTTGGAAGCTTCGCCTGAGGTCGGCCAGCGGCGTCCGAGTCTGCACGTTCCTCGGCGGCGATTGCAGGTAAGGAAACAGAGACGCGGCGACCCGTTCTATCGAGTCGTCGAGGAACCGCCTCTCGGCGCCCACGACGCGCAGTTTGCCGTCGCCGTCCTTCTCCTCGAGCGCCTCGATCCAGGACCGCAGCACCTTTGTCCGCTCGCCGAGCTCGCCAAAGACTTTCTTGTAAGGGGGGCCGACGGGATAGTCGACGAAGTACTGGGCGGTCGCGTTGATCGCTTCGAGATTGGGATCGGGCGCCTTGGAGGGTCGGAAGCCAAAACTCGCTGACCTGAGGGGCGTGATGTGGCCGTCGAAGCGGAAGTAGTAGACGATGGTGATGGCGATGATGGCGGCGGCGGCGAGCACAGACGTCGACTGGACACCGGACCGCGGCGAGACCAAGAGGCGAGACATCCTCGGCTACGTGTCTTTCGTGATGAGCTGATGAGCTGATTCTCCAGCTGCAAGACGCGCGCAAGGTGTCGAGCAATGCTTCCAACGTCGCCCGAGCTGGACGGGCAGCACTTTAAAGAGTCATGGCTCTCACTACGAAGAAAAACCTATTTTAGGACATCCAATCCCATCTCTCCCTAGCCAAAGCTAATTACGGATACACCGAGGCCAACTCCTCACGCGACAACGACTAATTTACCTAGGCGTTGCCACTTGGGTATTGCGGCTTCCGTGGCCCCCGGGGGGGGGGGGGGGGGGGGGGCTCGCTGCGTACCTCGCCGTGCCAGGCCGATCCTTATTTCGTTAGCTTGGCCGCGCGAGCCGTTTCAGGGTCCCGGTCCGTCGGTTTCCCTGGCGTCTTTTTTTACACAGTGAGGAGTTTGACAGCAGCGAAATCCGGGGTATCCCGAGGTGCCGGGGCCGAAATGTGTTTCGAATGTAGCGTTGATCCGCAGCTTCGACGGGCCTCCCCCGCATCTGGAAGTTTTTGATCTTCATCTACAAGTTACAGCATGATGTCATTGCATTTGTATCAGAGATTGAATGATTCGTACTCATCTGTCGTTTGTGAGAGCATGCATGCTGTTGGATGGGTTGGTTTCAGGCTTTGCCTCTTCTCTATCTCCAACAACAACTCGACTAATACCTAGTTAACAACCGCAGCCAAGCCAATAGCGTTTTCATGAGAGTAAATAAACCATCAAACACGCTTTACCAGTTGTACTGCCCCCCGAACCGAGCAATGAACTTGCCAACCTCTCCATCTCGCTTCCCCTCCACAATCTCAAGTATGCCCTGCGCACTGGTCTCGGAGCTGTCTGCACCGTTATTGATTCTGTTTTGCCTATCGCTTTCTCCCGACAGGTTGGTCACAACATAGCCGGGACAGTACGCCCACACCTTGGCACCCCAGCTCTTGAACTCGTACACCATATGCGCCGTGGCCATGTTGAGGGCCGCCTTGGAGATGCGATACGCCTCGGCGGGGGCGTTGTAATACGACGACTCAGGGTCCACGCGGTCGGAAATCGATCCCAACCCGCTTGACACGTTAATGATGCGTGGATCCTTGGACTTCTTGAGCAATGGGACTAGTGCTTCGGTGAGGATGAGAGCGCTGGCAGCGTTGGTGTTGAATGTATCGAGCAGTTCCGAACGGCGGTCCTTAGGTTGCGTGATGGCAATACCGGCGTTGTTGACAAGCACGTCAAGCACGCCAAACTCAGTGGTGAGGCTGTCAACGGCAGCCTTGATGGAGTCGTCGCTGGTGATGTCCAGTTGCAGCAAACTCACTGTGCCGGCTGGGTTGCGGGCGCGGACTGCTTCTACCGCCTTCATACCCCGCTCTTGGCTCCGAGAACCGATGATAACATGGTTTTCTGGATATGCAGAGGCGAGAGCTATGCTAGTGTCAAACCCAATTCCTTGGTTGGCACCTGGTACATGTCAGTTGTCAGTCTCTAAATTTATCTTGTGGCGGAGCAGGAGCCTGTCTGCCAGGAGGGGGGGGGGGGGGGGGGGCTATATAAACAACCCACCAGTTATGAGGATGATCTTTTTGTTAGACATGTTGAATTAGAAGGTGCACGTGCTGTAATGGATGAGGAATGCTCAAGGATGATGAAGATAGTCATGGACTTCAACGGCCTCAACGTTTAATATGTGTGGGCGAACTCTGTTTGGTCCAGTCCTTTCGTTCTGATTGCTAAGCGGGCTGATTTGTGAAACAAGAGTCCGGACTCCGTAGTCAAATCCCGTCCTTAACCCCCCGTGAATATGCCACCACTCTTGGTTGCTTCGTAGTGTTACATAATAACAGCTGTGTATTAATAACACCGTTTGTGATCGACATATGGTTCACCACAGGCACAGACCCCAATTCTTTCCGGTATTTCTACCCGGCGTCATCTCACAATATGAAGATTCTAGATATCAACTACTCAGCATTCTTTCTAGTAGACGAAGCAGTTCATCGCATACGTAGCGATATAGATATTTACTAGTATGCTTCGTTCTAGTCCATCCTGAAGAACGTCTTAAGGCAGGGTGACAATTAGCAACAGCCTACAGACAACACGAGGGAATGACGTATTTGACTTTACTAGAACGCCTTCGGATTTAGGAATTAGCGCAAATAGGCAATATTCGTCTCCTGTGGGTTTTCACATTGTAGCAATCGACATACCATAGCATTTGTAAGCTTACAGCATAACGTCATTACATTTATATCGGTAATTAAATGCTTTGTACTTTGGTGTTGTCTTCAAGAGCATGACTGTTAGATGGTCTAGTTTTATGCTTTACCTCGTATACATCTCCAACGACAACTTGACTACCCAACAACAAGTTGTAATTTTGGTTTGATGGATACTGGATTGCTAGTTACCAAGTCTCATGGTGCCCCCTGCTGATTAATACTGATTTGCATGATTGACAGCGCTAGCAAAAGCTTAGCTGGGCGTTATCGACCCATTGGGCACAGAGACTAGTCGTGCTGTCAATAGTGCCCCTCACGAAGTCTTCTCATTTTATCCAAAAATCGTGATCGGCCTCGTCATTCCGCGTCAGCATTCTGTTCCGGACCACGTCATGGATCGAGGTGCCACGAAACTACTGTCGGAAGTCTCTCAGAAGGGGTGCTGATGCCAAGAAACCCGACACTTGCGCCAAGAATTGCCGGAGGCTCCGGCTATCTCTCAGACGTGAATGACTCGTTCGGGTCAGATCTCTCACTGGTTTCGGGCGGAACTCACTGAGTGATCAAAACAGCACACCATGTGCCTCAGGTAATGGGACTTCTCGGATGCCTTGAGCTATGTTAAACGTGGTTTTATTGACTGCGTAATTTACACTAAACGCTGCGTCAAAGCAGGCGTACTTTGGGACACTCTCTATATCAAACAAACATATGCAAAAAGACTACACTTTGTCGTAGTTGCACGCATAAGTATAGACGGATTAGGTCAACGTCAAGTCATCATTAAGTGTTCAGCGTCGCTGGGAAGATCCTGATTAGGCGTAAGAGACGGTGCATGTACGAGTACGTGTCTACATCTTGCCGAGTAATCCCATAAACGGGCCTCTATGTCTAAGACTTTACACGGTGTGCGTAAAATAAAAGACACACACACAAACACATCTAGCACACCTTGGCAATGGAACTTAGAGAGGGCATCACCTAATCGAATATCTTGATCACCCCGCGAATCATATATGCATGTACTGGAGTGGGGTAGGCTGGATTGGCAGCCAACGACCCGGTCAAGGAAGGTTGTATCCAAGTACAACAATAGGGGTACCACTGTAGTTGAGGCACAAGAAGAATCCATAGCATATACAATACACACACACAGTCTTTACAACCGTGCTATTACTTTATTCTCATTATGTGATGACAAAAGTGGATCCACAGTTGCCACTGCTAACAACTGCACTTAAGTACCATTTAATACTGTCACGACACATTACTTCTGTACAAACTTTGTTTTCCACCATCTCTTTGCTAGTCTTGACTCTTCTGTAATCTTCTTTCGAATTAGATCTTAAAATCACGAGATCTATCCATTCGTGCATGTTTGATCTAGATCTGAGCACGTTGGAGGTTGGTGCGGTTTTCACCCCTGTTTCTTTCTCCTTCAGACCAGTGGTCCACACCCTTTCTCAGTACCAGAGCCTATTCAGCAGTACCTGGGACATGTATAAGCGCTGAACGGAACAATCTGTCTACCAAGTCAACTTCTGTAACTGCCACAGCACAATTCCTGCTGGATATTTCATGGTTAGGTAAATAAGGTAAGGATAACTATGACTATTGCTAGGCCGGCAGAGTTGCTATCAATGCTGTTGAATGTTAAAAACCCTCCCGTTCGGCCGCTAATATATGCGACGTAAATACATACACAATACCAACTACGGCCATTCAACAAAAGGTCATAGACAGTTTGGAATAATAAGATGGAGTCTATCAACACTACAAATGGGAATGTGGGGAAGATTTGCTGTTATCGTGCAACGGCCTATTTTTCGGACAATACAGGCCTGAGAAATGATAGCCGTAAGCATGACCATGATCCTACTCAAGGCCAACTTAGGTCGAGCCTGCACCTCAGTTGCCATCAAGCTTGGTAATCAACACATTGTCGTGCAATGATTCGCCAGCAACGCGCGGTGCAGCCACATCAGACACAATAAACCCCTCATTTCCGTCAGCATGGAGCAATTATGATATTCTCTATCCCATCGACACCCCGCGACAAGTCGTGGATCACAGCGTACTCAGATGCTATTTCACGAAGCGATGTACTTCTCGACCTTTGACAGCCTACGATGACCAGCCACACTCAACCTGGCGGTCCTGGCCGTCTCGAAGACGTCCGCGTCGCCGTGATATGCGCGCTGCCCCGCGAATACGATGCCGCCATCTTGACACTCGACGAAAAATGGAAAGCTGTTGAAAATACCGGTATATTCACAAGAGGAAGCACACAGAATCATACGATAGGCCGGGCTGGAAACCACATTGTTGTTGTTGTCCTCCTCCTAAACATGGGGAAGGTCGGCGCGGCGACTGAAACCGCTCGACTCAAACACATCTACCCTGGACTCGAGCTAGCCTTCTTGACGGGTATTTGTGGCGGAGTTCCCAGTCCGGGGACTGCCAACGAGATGTTGCTTGGTGATGTGGTCATCAGCAAGAGCATTGTGCAATACGACATTGGTCGTCAGTACCCTGGCCAATTTGATCGGAAAGACACCGTCGAAGACAACCTTGGCCGGCCGAACAAAGACATCCGCACTCTTCTTGTCGTCTTGGAGACCCAGTCCGCTTTGAACGAGCTACAGCAACGTGCCAGACAGAATTTGGCACACGTCCAACAGGAGGCCGTCAACGCAGGATACCGAACTTCTTACTCGCGGCCCTCAACTGCAGAAGATGTGCTTTTCGAGGCGAGTTATTCTCACCGACATCGCACTCAGTCGCAATGCGATTGCGATGACTGGGTCATCTGTGACGAACCGATTAGTACGTCATGCGAGGAGCTTCAGAGCGAGGCGAAGCCTCGAGTCCCGGGGAGACACCTCGCAACCACGGGAGGAAGTCAAGCAGAAGATGTGCTTTCCGAGCCGACTTGTTCTCACAGACACCTTACTCAGTCGCAATGCGGTTGCAATGACTGGGTCATATGTGACCAGGCGATTAGTGCGTCATGCGAGGAGCTTCAGTGTGAGGCGAAGCATAGAGTCTCGAGAAGACGCCTCGCAACCACGAGCGGAAGTCAAGCAGAAGATGCAGAAACCCGGATTCATATTGGACGTGTCGGTTCAGGTGACACGGTAATGAAATCTGGCGAACACCGGGACAACGTTGCCAAAGCCCACGGCCTCATCGCCTTCGAGATGGAGGGAGCGGGTGTCTGGGACGAGATCCCATGCATCGTAGTGAAGGGAGTATGTGACTACGCCGACAGTCACAAGAACAAAAGGTGGCAAGACTTTGCGGCTGCAATAGCAGCGGCAACGACGAGGGCGCTCCTCGAACGCTATCCTACCAAGGAAAACTCCCAGAGGGACGACGCAAACCGTAAGTCGATACATAGACCTGGTGCCATAACTTAGCTGATTCGAAAACATTCAAGTGATGCCTCAAAGACCTTTGTTTCTGATGCCAAAACCCAGCCAAAACCCCAATCGTCAGTGTCGAAATGCCCAGTGCTGTACCTCTCAGTCAAGGAAGATACTAACCGCCCACAGATCTCTCGCACTACGTCATCCCGCTTGCAAAAAACAAGCGCTTCGTCGAACGAACCGAGACATCTGAACTCAAGCGAATGCTGTTTGACGAGTCAAACCCAACAGTTGCTCTAGTAGGACTAGGCGGTATGGGCAAGACGCAGATCGCCTTGGACATCGCCTACTGGGTCAAGGAGAACAAGCCCGAGTACTCCGTCTTCTGGGTGCCAGCCGTGACCCTCGCAAGCTTTGAGCAAGCATACGCCGACATAGCCAAAGAGCTTGACAATTCTCTGACAGAAGAGGACAATGATGATATGAAGTTGTCCGTCAAACAGTTTCTAAGCTCAAAGAGAGCGGGTTATTGGTTTCTGATTGTCGACAACGCGGACGACAGCGAGATCTTGCACGGATCATCAGACGACGACGATGGCCTAAACAGCTATCTTCCACAGAGCGAGAATGGCACCACCCTGTTTACGACACGCTTGAGGGACCTGGCGATGTCGGTTGCAGACGACGCTGTGGTGGACCTCGATGCGATGAATCGAGATGACGCCATGAAGCTATTAGAGAGATCGCTCCACCAGCAGCGACAGGGCCTCCTTCAGGATTCCGACTCGACACTGAAGCTCTTGGATTTCCTCACACATCTTCCCTTGGCAATCACGCAAGCCGCTGCGTATCTGAATCGGAATCGCCATGTGTCTCTCGCCAGATACCTTCAACTTCTACAGGGTACAGAACAAACCCGCATGAGTACATTGAGCAGAGAATTCGACGACCGGACTCGATATCCAAAATCACGAAACGCCATTGCAACTACGTGGTTGGTGTCGTTCGACCAAATCAAGCAAACAGACAGCTACGCCACAGAGTTGTTGTTCTTTATTTCACTCATCGAGCCAAAGTCCATACCACGCTCAATCTTATACTGCTCTGGTTCTGAAGATGACATGGAGTACGCTATTGGCACTCTGTGTTCATATGCATTTCTGGTTGCTCAAGAGGATGCAGAAACTTTTGATATGCACAGTCTGGTGCACCTAGCGGCACGTTTCTGGGCAAAACAACAGTCAGTCGAGGAGCAAATCACAAGAGCTGCTGTCAAGCATCTTTGCGAGATTTTCCCACCACATCACTTTAGTAACCGTACTGTCTGGAGACATTATATGCCACATGCCCTCAAACTTTGGAGGACAACAACACAAATTAACGAATCAGAGGCTCAAGCCGGTCTGTATCTCAAAGTCGGCCAGTGTCTCTTGCGCGATGCACGAGTCAATGAAGCTGTTAAGCTACTAGAACACGTGGTGGAAATCAGAGCGACACTTGATGAATGGCATCCAGATCGACTTGAGGCTCAGCACCACCTTGCAAAGGCATATCGATATGATGGACAATTCAACAAAGCTATCAAGCTACTAGAACACGTAGTGGAACTCAGAGCAACGCTTGAGGAATGGGATCCAGATCGACTTTCGTCTCAGCACCAGCTTGCAACAGCATATCACAATGATGGAAAAATCAAGAAAGCCATCAAGCTACTAGAACACGTAATGGAAATCAGATCAACACTTGAGGAATGGGATCAAGATCGACTCTCGTCTCAGCACCAACTCGCATTAATATATAGAGATGATGGACAAATCAAGAAAGCTATCAAGATGCTAGAGCACGTAACAGAGGTTGAGGCAACAACGCTTGACGAAGGGCACCCAGATCGACTTGCCTCACAACACGAACTCGCATTAACATACCACTCAGTTGGGCGTGTCCAGGAGGCTATTAAGCTACTAGAGCACGTAGTGGAAGTCAGAGAAACAGTACTTAACAAAGAGCACCTAAATCGACTTGCCTCGCAACAAGTACTCGCAGTAGCATACCGCTCAGATGGGTGTGTCCAAGAGGCCATTAAGCTACTAGAGCACGTAGTGGAGGTTAATGCAACAACACTCAACGAGGAGCATCCAAGGCAACTTAGCGCGCAATACGAACTTGCATTAGCATACCGCTCAGATGGGCGTGTTCAGGAGGCTATTAAGCTACTAGAGCACGTAGTAGAGGTCAAGGCAACAACACTTAACAAAGAGCTTCCAAGCCAACTTACCGTGCAATACGAACTTGCATTATCATACCGCTTAGATGGGCGTGCCCAGGAGGGTATTGAGCTACTAGAGCACATAGTAGAGGTCAGGATAAAAACACTTGAAGAGGTGGACCAAAAACGACTTACCTCGCAATACAACCTCGCATTAGCATACCGCTCAGATGGGCGTATCCAGGAGGCTATTAAGCTACTAGAGCACATAGTGGTGGTTGAGGCAACAACACTTAACGAAGAGCACCAAAGTCGACTTGCCTCGCAATACGAACTCGCATTCGCATACCACTTAGATGGGCGTATCCAGGAGGCTATTACGCTACTAGAGCACGTAGTGGAGGTTCAGGCAGCAACACTTGACGAGGGGGACCCGAATCGACTTGTTTCACAGCAAACACTCGCAACATGTCTTGCGGAATTGCCTCCAGGGGCAACTTAGTAGATGTCCAGAAAGAGGAGACGCGATGAATTATGGTAAAGAAGTAATCAACGCCTTTTCTATTTTCCATGAATGAGCGAAAGTCATGCTAGCTGTTCCCAACAAGCTGTTTGCAATCGGCGCCGAGAGCAAATCTACCCAGACTCGATAACAAAACAACGATTAACTATAATCACCTTTATCTTACATACCGTCATGCGTTTGGTGTTTTCGATCCAAAGGCACCGAACACTGTGCATGGGTTAGGGCAACGGTTATCTCAGACGGGTCAGCTCACAGTGAGGGGGTTGAGTGCTGACCTACGAAAAGTCCATCAGCCCCGGCAGATCTAATCTGATAAGCCGGGTTTCCGCTGTATTCCCATTGACAAGAATCAAAATCATTCACAGGCGTGGCAGTACGGCTCCGCACGGTTTCTCCACAGCAAGGGCTGACGGGCGGACACGTCGGCGGCGGTGCGGGGGCCGGGAGATGAGGCGGCGATAAGTAAGAGATCTGCTCCAGAACCGACCCTGTTTTCTAAACTTAGTTTGCTAGTGAGTAAACTACATCTGTACATAGTACTCGTATTCACAAGAATGGGGGACAGATGCAAGGCTGAAGGTGGCTGGCTACCAGATGTTGTTGTGCTGCTCGGCCCAGACGCCACCGTCTAAGGGGAAGATGCCCGAGGGAAGATGCTTGACAGAAAAGACCCTGAAGAGAGATGGGTGACGTAATGTGGGTGTCAATGTGGGCGAGCGTCCCCTGCCAAGCGAGTTCCAGGTCGTGATGTGATGATGCGCGTCAGACATGACATGTCACGATCTCACCTCATCACCCTCTCTTCCCACGCGCCCTGAAGCCATCTCTACAGATTACCGAGGTGTGGCTCGAGATTCAGCTGACAAGATTGTCGCAAATCATCATCTTTCCATCCATCCTTCATCTGAGAAGACAGCCATCAAGCTCCAAACTCAACGCAAAGCAACGCAACGCAACGCATCATGAAGTCAATCGGCATCTTCCCGGGCTCCGGCGCCCTGAGCGGCAGCACCTACGACTACCTCTTGAAGCTTCTACCCGCCGATCACCTCATCCTGATCAACCGGCACCCAGAGAAGGTGCCGCAGGAACACATCAAGAACGGCGTGCGAGCGCGCAAGGCCTCGTACGAGTCGAGCTCCGCGGACCTCGAGGCCGTCTTCTCGGGGATCGAAGTGCTCTTCCTCATCTCTTACCCGAGCCATGTGCACGAATATCGGAGAAAGGTAATAAGACTTTAACGGCGTCACCTCCCTGCTCGACTCTCACCCCCCCCCCCCCCCCCGGGTCTGAGTAAGCTGACTGACCGCGGGCCCCCAGGTACAACTGCCGGCGATCGACGCGGCGCGCCGGGCGGGCGTGAAGCACATCTTCTACAGCTCGCTGGCGTTCGGCCGAGACCTCGGGGACTCGTCGCTGGCCGAGGTGATGCAGGCGCACCTCGACTCGGAGCGCCACCTCGCCGAGGCGGCGGCGTCGGACCCGGGCTTCACGTACACGGCGGTGCGCGAGGGGCTCTACTCGGAGTCGTACCCGATCTACACGGCCTTCTTCGACGTCAACGCGCCGGCCGACGAGGTCCTCGTGCCCCACGACGGTTCCGGGCCGGGCGTCGCGTGGGTCAAGCGCGCCGAGCTCGGCGAGGCGACGGCCAAGCTGATCGCGCAGTACTCGTGGGACCCGGACCACTTCCCGCACGTCAACGCCACGGTGCTCCTGACGGGCCCGCGGGCGTGGTCGCTCGCCGAGACGGTCGCGGTGCTGGGGCGGGCGGCCGGGAAGCCGGGCCTGCGGATCGTCAAGGTCGACGTCGAAGAGTTCGTCAGGCTGCCGCAGGTGCTGGCGCGGTTCGGGTCGCCGGACAAGGCGCGGACGTGGGCGACGGCGTGGCGGGCCATCGAGGCCGGCGAGACGGCCGTCGTGACGGACACGCTGCGGGAGATCATCGGACGGGACCCCGAGGAGTTTGACGTGACCATCCAGCGGCTGCGGCAGGGACGAGATTAATAAAACAGCGATCTGGCTTTTTTTTTTCTCTTTTTTTAGTCAGGATACAGAGATAGTCAGACTCTGTGACGGAGAGGTTTGCAGTCTAAGAACGAATATCAGGTCGTGCTCAAACAACACACAGATGGCGGCCGTCGATGGAGAGAGACTATCAGCGCAGCAATAGTTCAGTGCGATCCAAACCGGGAGAAAGGTGGCCCTGACAGTAATGTTTTTCTTCGGACTATCGGATGATTACAGATAGGATAGTAAGCGCTTTGTTTTTGGCAGTGAATAGAGATGAACATGTCATGGTTCAGTCCAGCCTACCTAGCTCAAGTGCCATTCGGCATTGTCAAATGAGTAAGATTGGGACTTCTTCCAGCATCTGAGGGATTGATTCGGTGCCTCTTGCTTGCAGCCTGTGGAGATCATTTTCATCTTGGAATTCGTCTATTGTCTAGGTTTTCAACACAACGGAGAGGTTGGACGGCGCGCGCCCACCGAGTCAAGCGTCCCCCCCTGGCTGCTGTAACTCTTATCCATGGCCTTTTCTTCGCGATCATCACGGGCTCTGCCACGAGCGTTGCATCAAGCCGACCCAGTCGTATTCGCCGCTGGCGTAGATGGCCATGTGCGTTCTACGCCAAGCCCGAAATAGAAGCCCGTCGAGGCCTGCATGGAAGACGTGCTTGGTGACTGGACGGCCGTCAGACATGGCTACAAGCCCTTGATCCATGCTTCATTTGTGCCCCCAGGGCCAATACGCCTACGATAATGCCATCCCTACAGTCGGACCCCGGCTTGTCTGGAAGCGAAGTGACAAGGCTTCCTCCATACCTGTATGTAGGTATGTATGTCTGGGTGCCGAGTGTGAATCAGGGGCGACATGCCACTCGCCGCGGCAGCCAAATAAACGTTTTAGACTTAAGTCAACCGTGCCGCCAGTAAATTTCCTATCCCAGCATTAATCGCCTGTAGCCCCTCACTCACTCTCGACGCTAGAGCTGAGCCCCCAATCTTGGCTCTTGAGCTTCGCTGCATCGGGCATATAACACAAACAAAGCATTGTCACGCTTAAGCTCATGGTATTCTTTATCGAGGACACAACTGATGCATACGGGCCTAACTAGGTACACTAGTCCTCTGCCCATTCTTCCTCCCCTCCAAGTCCAGTCCGCGATCGCCAGCCTGGTGGATGGGGGATCTTTAACCGCTGCGTTAGTTACCCCGGTTCCGGCAGGTCGGCTGCGCGCATTTCGGTACTCGACCTCCTGGATCTGTCCAAGACTCCCCCGCTGGGGTGGGATACAGTTGGAGTCCGTGGGGGAGTGCATGCAGTCGAGGGTGACATTGTCCCTTCTGCACCTACCAGTCAATCTATCTTGATTTTGGCGACTTGCTTAATCTAGGCGTGACGGCCGAGACACAAAAGGTCCATTGGTGTGTTTGGGTCTGATTGTCCCTAACCCCCCCGTCCCCCGTCAGCGGTGAGCCTGTCGAAAGAAGCCATGGTGTGTCTCTTTGGTTGCGTGCTCGTCTGATGGGGTTGATAGGTCTCTGGCCGACGCACAACCATTTCCCCCTCGGCTTTAATAAACTTTCTCCCCCCCCCTGGGGGATTCCCCAAAGACAGGGACCGGAGCGCCATTTCAACGCATGAGCCGCGGGCTGATCACAAGGGGGTTGTTTGGTTTGGTTGGTTTCTCTAAGCTCTTGGTTGTTTAACTTCCCCACCGAGAACCGTCGAGCGAGATGCGGGCTGGTTAGGCTGGGGTCGCATAGCTTGTGGATTGCATGAATGCGGAACTTTTGTGCTGCCAACCCGCACCGCCTCTTGTTTTGATCGGGCAGGTCTCCTGTCCATCAGTTCACCCGATGGGGAGGGGAGAGAGAGAGATCAGTTCACCCGATGGGTACTACGTAGGGGAGAGAGAGAGATAGGTATGCCGGACTATGGAGAGGGCGGTACACTACGGAGTAGGCAAATAAGATATCGCACATGGCCGCGGGCCGCAAGGACCGAACGGGAAGGTTGTTAGAGACAAGTCGGACCAGATGACACCCGACGGCTCGACCCTCGTCATCTATTCGTTCCTTTGCATCCGTCAAAGAACTCTCGTGCTCTAAACAATACCCCTCTTATCTCGTCTGTCTTATTACCCTTACTCACTCGCGAAACATTGGCATGCATATAACGGCATCGCCCGCTCGGCCTACCATGGCAATCTTTCCTCTGCACCCTCGTTGACCACACTCCTCAAGGATCCTCTCCCTTCGTTGGCCCCCCTCCCCTTACGCCCACGATGAAGTCCCTCGCCACCCTGTCCGCCCTCGTGGCCGCCGCCTCCGCCGCCTCTATCGCGGTCGAGAGCCCCGAGCCCGTGAGCTACGACGGCACAAAGGTCTTCCGCGTGTCGGTCGGAGACGAAGTCGACCGGGTCAACGACGTCGTCGACAAGCTCCAGCTGAGCACCTGGAAGGGCGCCCCGAGGGCCGGTGCCTTCGCCGACATCGTCGTCCCCGCCGCCGACGTGGGCGCCTTCGAGGCCTCCGTCGCCGGCATGAACGTCACCACCATGCACGAGGACCTTGGCGCCTCCATCGCCGAAGAGTCGACGTTCTCCATCTATGCCGGTCCGTGTGTGCCTTTGAGAGTCAGGGTTACGGTGTTACTGACAGGGCCTTTTTGCGCGCAGTCGGCTCTGCCAACGCCACCTGGTTCAACTCGTACCACGCCTACGCCGACCACCTCAAGTTCCTCAACGACCTCGTCGCGTCCTACCCCAACAACGCCGCCATCGTCACCTCGGGCAAGTCGCTGCAGGGCAACGCCATCACCGGCATCCACATCTACGGCACCTCCAAGGGAACCAAGCCCGCCGTCGTCTTACACAGCACCGTCCACGCCCGCGAGTGGATTAGCACCATGGCCAACGAGTACATCGCCTGGAACCTCCTGAGCAAGTACTCCTCCAACACGGAGATCAAGGGCTTCGTCGACAAGTACGACTTTTACATCTTCCCCGTCGTCAACCCCGACGGTAAGTCCCCCTTCCCCTCTCTCCCTTTTTGGGTAAAACAACGCATGACGGGGGAGGAAAACAACCGAGACTTTGCTCATCCGGACATCATCTAGGCTTCATCTACACCCAGACCACCAACCGCCTGTGGCGCAAAAACCGTCAGACCACCTCCGGCAGCAGCTGCATCGGCCACGACATCAACCGCAACTGGCCCTTCCAGTGGTCCGTCACCGGCGGCGCCTCCACGAACCCGTGCGCCGAGGACTTCAAGGGCGTCACCCAGGGCGACGCCCCCGAGACCGCCGCCCTCTCGGCCTGGCTGTCCAGCACGAAGAAGGCCCAGGGCCTCAAGCTGTTCATAGACTTCCACTCGTACTCGCAGCTCTTCATGACCCCCTACGGCTACTCGTGCTCCGCCGTCACCGCCAACAACGCCGAGCTGCAGACGCTCGCGAGGGGCGCCGTCGCCGCCATCAAGGCCGTCCACGGCACCTCGTACCAGTACGGCCCCATCTGCTCCACCATCTACAAGGCCACCGGCAGCAGCGTCGACTACGTCCAGGACGTCGTCAAGGCCGACTACGTCTTCACCCAGGAGCTCCGCGACACCGGCAACTACGGCTTCGTCCTGCCCGCCAACCAGATCGTCCCCACGAGCGAGGAGACCTACGCCGGCGTTCGCCACCTGCTCTTGAACATGAAGTAGATGGGCGGCGTCTGGCAGTCGTCGGTCCGACGGGGTTTTCCCTTACGTCTCTCGTGTTGAGGACGTGCATTGGTTCCCTGTATTTATTTTTCACAATGAACATATCACAGTTACTCGCCCATCCGCCGCGTTCGGTCTGCGTCCCGTGAAGCCGGTTATATATGTTGATGTTCTTGTTCTCTTCCTGATGTCAATGAGCCCGAACCGAGAGGCTTAGCGAATCTTCACAAATCGAAACACTACGTGTTCTCGTATCCCCCTCCGCCTCTCAGAGTTACCGCTTTGTACCATTGGCAGGGCTTATCAACCTTTGCAGCTTATAGGGCTAGAATCAACCTTTGGTGTACCCATTTACGGCCCACTTCTCCGGATACAAATCAACTACAAGGCAGATGACATGACGGCAGAGTGTGACCTTGATGATGGACTGACCAAACCTTGCTGGGCCACCACATATTGCAAGAACTCCAAGTCGAAGCTGGGTTTGGATCGCATCATACCTGCGTATCTCTGGCCAAGGGGCCTCCTGGCACGGTCCGCCCCTGCGCTGATACGGCTCCGGTGCCATCATCGACGAAACGCCAAACCCATCAGACGATGCTTCTCGGCTGCATGTGCGAAAGGGTTCTCGGCCGTCTCCGAGCGACGAGTTCCCGGATGGACGCGGCCAAAGCGGAAGGGGTTCGCCAAGATGACAGAACAACATTAAGGGCATCTTTAGTTTAAAACAAGGTTTGTCTTCTTTCTCGTGTTGGTTGGACGTGCTGCCACCCTGCCGGATACCTACATTGCTGTCTCACATTTAACCCCTTGGACACCAAGCAACGAGCCAAGCTGCATTCCATCCTGAGCCCTGCATCGTTGGATTTTCTAAAGGGTCTTCGGCAACAGACCTTGCCCGCCTTAGTTACTCACAATGCGCCCGCCGTCAGGGTCTTCGGCGCTGCTAGCCGCGCTGGCCGCGCTGGCCGTCCCCGCCGCCTCCGTCGAGCCGCTCCAACGCCGGGATCTCCAGCCCCTGCCGCTGTCCGCTCGGGACCAGTACATTGTCGACTCCAAGAACGCGACCGTCGTCATGGTCGGCGTCAACTGGGCCGGCCACGAACGCACCATGATCCCCGAGGGCCTGCAGTACCAGTCCGTCGAGGCCATCGTCAAGAAGATCGCCGAGACCGGCTTCAACACGGTCCGCATGACCTTTGCCAGCGAGATGGTGGACGACATCGTCGAGGGCGGCGGCGATGCCAGCCTCGAAACCACCCTGAAGGATGCCCTCGGTCCGGAGAACGGCACCGCTGTCATGAGGCAGATCCTCAGGAACAACCCCGGCTTCAGCGAGGGCACCAAGAGGCTGGAGGTCTGGGACGCCGTCGCCGCCGAGCTCGGCCGCCAGAACATCTACCTCCACCTCGACAACCACGTGTCCAAGGCGGGATGGTGCTGCAACCCCTATGACGGGAACGGATGGTTCGGCGACACGTACTTCAACACGTCCAACTGGGTCCGGAGTTTGGCCTTTATGGCGGAACACGTTCGTATCCTCCCCCTCTTTTCCTCTACCCACACCGATACTGACATGCATATCTCCAGGGCAAAGCCGCCCAATGGCCATCCTTCTCCAGCATGGGCCTGCGCAACGAGCTGCACGACCCCTTCTCGGCACCCCCCGCACCCGGCCTGGAGAACACGACGTGGACGACGTGGAAGACGCGCATGGTGCAGGGCGCCAACGCCATCCACGGCGCGAACCCGGACGTGCTCATCTTCTTCGGCGGCCGCATCTTCGACTTTGATATCTCGGCGCCCGTCCAGGGCCGCTTCGGCAGCGAGCCCGGCTTCAACTTCTCCCTCGCCGAGCTGCCCTTCCGCGACAAGTTCGTCTTCGAGCAGCACCAGTACGACCAGGGCCTCGTCGACGACGCCTGCGCCAGCTACCGCGACATCCTCACCGCCTTCGGCTCCAACGCCATGACCATCGCCGACGCCGGCTCCAACCGCGCGCCGCTCGTCATGTCCGAGTGGGGCCACGAGCAGACGGACGCCAGCGGCATGTACAAGGACAAGTTCCGCCGGTGCCTCATGGACTTCATGGTCGACAAGCAGATCGGCTGGATGGTCTGGGTTCTCGGCGGGAGCTACTACACCCGCGAGGGCGTGCAGGACAAGGACGAGTCTTGGGGTAAGCCGTCCATCCATCATCATCATCTTCTTCATCATCTTCTTCTTCATTATCGCATGGCCCCTTCTGATGACGAAAGAATAACGGGATATCTGACTTTGACTGCTAGGTTTGCTGGACCACAGCTGGAGTTCGTACCGCGGCAAGGATTCCATCGTGCAGCTTCAGCGCGACATCCAGAGGACGTACGAGGCCTACAACCAGAGCATGCCGGCGACGGCCAAAAGCCCGGAGAACCAGCCCAAGAACGCCGCGTCCGGTATTTCGCAGCACCAGCCCGCGATCGTGGTATTGGGTACGATTGCCGCGGTTCTCCTCCAACTGGGGCTTGCTTGAATGGTGCGAGCGCAAAGTAGCGGCGTTCCAGAAACACATGGCGTGTAGATGGGAGAAGACGGCATGCCAATTCTTGTACAGCGCAAATTGTTCCTACAATCTCACATAGAGCGCGCTTAGCTAGCTATCATCATTGGATTGTTTGTGTCATGACACCCCATCCCGTAGCAAAAACAGGCCATGCCTTGATGATATCTCTGCCCAAGTCACTCCCTGAAAGGGAAGACCTGCTCCCCGTCGAACCACGTCTCCAGGACCTTCGTCTGGAGCGCCTTCTCGGGATCCCACTCCATATCCAGCACGGCCAGGTCCGCCCTCTTCCCGACCTCCAGAGACCCGACGCGGTCCTCGAGGAAGCAGCTCCTCGCCGCGCCCTCGGTCGCGCCGGCCAGGACGTCGCACAGTGACAGGGCGAAATGCGGGTTGACGACGGCGTCGAGCCCCGGCTCCCGGGCCGACCGGCGCGTCGTCGCGATGTAGAGGTTGCTCATGATATGGTGCGGCGCCGTCGGCGCGTCGGAGCCGATGGCCACCGGCGCGCCGCCGTCCGCGAACTCGCTGTAGGCGAAGGCGCGGCCGCACCGGTGCTCGCCGATGAGCCGCGGCCACGCGCGGAGGATGGCCGGGTCGGCGTGCACGGGCTGGACGGACGCCGTGATGCCGAGGCGGGCCCAGCCGCCGCGCGTCCTCGGCCGTGGTGACCTCGAGGTGCTCGATGCGCGGGCGGCTCTCCGGCCGACGTGCCTCTCGAGCACGTCGATGGCGTCGGCGACGGTTCGGTCGCCGATGGCGTGCAGCGCCACCTGGAGGCCGAGCCGCGTCGCCGCCTCGACCACGGGGCCCATCCGCTCCGGCGACCAGGCCGGGTCGCAGTTGTCGCCGTTGTGGCTGTACGGCTCCTTTAGGCTCGCCGTGCACCCGTCGACGATGCCGTCGCAGACGAGCTTGACGCCGACGAGCCGGCAGTCGGGGTCCGTCTCGAGGCTGAACGACCGCGCGAGCTCGGCCGCCCGCTCGACCTGCTTGACGTTCTCGGCGTCGTCGTCCCTCGGCAGGATGAGCCAGTAAGCGGCGATGCGCACGGGGACCCGGCGGCCCGCCGCCTTCTCCTGCTCTCTGTACTCCTGCAGCGCGCTCCAGCCGTCCTCCTCCATGGCCATGTCGACGAGGCCGGTGAAGCCCGCGCTGCTGTAGTCGTCGATGGCGGTCTTGATGGCCGAGATGCGGTCCTCCGGCGTCGACACCCTAGCCATGTACAGGGGGATGAACTTCATGCTGGCCGCCTCGGAGAGCAGGCCGGAGGGGCGCCCGGTCTTGGGGTCGCGCACGATCTCGCCGCCGGGGGGGTCGGGCTCGTCGTCCAGGCCGAGCTCCTCCAAGGCGGCCGAGTTCGCCCACGTCGAGTGCAGGTCCTTCGCCGTGATCAGGATGGGGCGCGGGTCTAGGTCGTCTATCAGCGAGGCCAGGGGGCCCTCGGGGGTCATGAAGTGCATCCAGCCGCTGCAGAAGATGCGCTTCTGGTCGGGGTTGGCGACGGCGTGTTTCTTAATCGTCCTCCGCATGTCCTCGAGGCTCTTGCAGTCGTCGAGCTTCAGCTTCTGCAGAGTCTGTCCCAGCTGGGTCAGGTGGATGTGCCCGTCGACAAGACCGGGCAATATAGTGCGACCACCAACATCACGGACCCGAGCCCCCGCATCGACGGCCGCCTTCACCTGCCCCGCGGAAGCCTCTCCGACATATGTGATGATGCCATCCTTCACAATCAAGGATTCCGCGAAGTTAGCTTCCGACCGTTGACCCGGCGGCGCCTTATTTGAGCGGAAGAACTTGCCGTTCTGAAAGACGATACTCTGGCTGGCTGTCATTATATGTTTTGATGCGTGAGGTTAAGTTGGATGGAGTCTAAAGCCCTAGAAAGCTGGACCGAACTGCCATTACATATGTTAACTCATGGCTACAGCCTACTATATATAGAGTGTCTCCAGCGATTCCAACGAATGGAACATGTGGCATGATTTCCGAGAGGAGCAGAGAGGGGTTGAGCTGCATCACCTCTCGATAGCTACGATAATAGCTTATATTTACGCGCCGAGCTGCGGGGGTTATGCAGGGTTCCCGTCCGACCCCTCTTCCGGACACTCGGCGTTGCTACCACACGGTGGGGTGAAGTTTCGTGGTGTCAAGAAAAGACGATGGCCCTCCGTGATCGGGGCAAACATGACTGAGTGGGTATGCTTGGCCCGATAAGGCTCGGACCCCTGGCAAAGAGGGCTGCATATCGGTGCATATCAACCGGGGGGAGGGTGACGCCGTGCAATCATCGCTGCGGATCTGCATGGTTTGGAAGTATTACGAGTACTTAGGCTTTGTTTTGTATTATACCATCACAGATTTGGTTGTAGATCTGTCCTTCACAGTGAGCTGGAATCGAAGTCCTGGATGAGAAATCTGGTTACTTGGGAAAGCTCATGATTCCAACACTGAATCTCCCTGATGAACCTCTGACAACCACTATCGGTACCCCGGACATCACGGCTCAGAGAAGACGGGATCTGTTCAACAGCCTGTTTTCCGAGGATGGCCAGGGTTCATAAATAGCTTATGCCGAGCAACGGGTCGCGGTGTTAACTTGCAGAGAGCTTCGGTAACCCATATCTACCGGCACGTGGTTGAAACGGGGTCCGTGAACCTCTCAGATTGGGAATAACTGCAATACAACGCTGATATTGAGGACGAAACAGGGGCTGGCTGATCGTGAAGTCATGTGACCGCAGAGATCTGCGTCCCACAATTGCACGGGAAACGTTTGCTTTCTGCCTTTTCGTCGGAGCTGAAGAGACACATCCCGAAGGTTCCCATGGTGACAGATATGCAGAAAAGCAATGCCAAGCGAATCTCGTGCGTCTCCCACCCGAAAAGAAACTTATGAGGCAATGGAAAATCTGATAGATGATACAAAAGGTGCAAACGATGCCAGCAGAGAAAGGTAAACAATCCCGCAGATCCCGCGCGTACTCCCCCCCCCCCCCGTCATCCTCTCCCGGCTCTCAATATCGCCGCCCAGTGGGCGATTGTCAGTCCATTGAATACTCTGGCCGATAGATACCGTTGTCTAACTGACAGCTCCGCGGGGACAGATCCGCTGTTCTCGCACGTTCCCGTGTACTAGCTGCTCCTCCGCGTTGGCCAAGTGTGAGTTCCGGGAGAGCGACTTCAAGCGACCGCCCGTGTCGCGCGAGAATGTTGCGACGCTCGAGTCCCGCATCGCGTCGCTCGAGAGTCTCGTCGGCAGGCTCAAAACCGCGGATAGTGATGAGCGCAACCGGATCCTGGACGACCTGGAGGACCAGGACTATGTACCTTCGTTTTCCAGCCTGCCGTTGGAGGATGAAATCGCACTGAGTGAAGCCATGACGAAGGCCTCATTCCAGGAGATGACTGACGGTAAACCAAGACTCTCCTCTCCTTGGCCGCCCTACCGATCGATGACGCCTGACCTTGACCTTTTCAGGTTCACTAATCTACCACGGGCCGACAAGCATTTACCAGAATGAAGCCAGCAGCCCGGCGTATCCCCCCACCAGCTCGCCCACAGTTTCGAAGCCATCATTCGTCCACGAGAATAGGGAAGTTCTGGTCAACGACACCATGCGCCTCTGCATAGGTCTCTTCTTCCATTGGCAGTATCCGGTGGTCATGTTCATCGACAGAGAATCATTCATCCAAGAGTACGAAGCTAACCCCGTCAACGGTAACTACTGCTCGCCGCCCCTCATTTACAGTATGGCTGCAATCGGCGCCCTCATGTCGAGGGACCCGGATGTCAAGGCAAAGTCACCTGGTTTTGCCGACACCGCACAATCAATACTGATGACGATCGAGTTCGGAGTCTCGAGACCAACATCAGTCCAGGCCTTCCTCTGTCTCTCCTACTACGAGACCGGGGTGGGCAATATGTCCAAGGCCTGGGTCTATACAGGTACTTTTGCTAGAGACCTCCTCGTATGAATGACTTTCTGACCCCATATACTAGGCATAGCTTACAGAATGTGCCAAGACCTCGGTTTGCAGAGAGATCTTGCACACTGGAGTCCTGATGCCAAGTCCAACCTATCAAGCCCTTTTCCTTTCAACAATGAGTTTCGACGGCGCGTCTATTGGGGCTGTTTTCTATCAGACAAGTGAGTTTGAGGAGGCTTGGGGGAACTTTGTCATTGTTCTCGCCCTGACGCAGCAGCTTCAGAATGTTCAGTCTTTTCCTCGGCCGCCCGACCTTCTTGTACGAACATGATGCAGACGTCAATATTAGCGAACCTCTACCGTAAGCCCCCCTTCTAGCCACAGACAACTCGGGAAGCGAGAGAAGAAAGAAAAAAAAAAAGGCTGATGTTATTCCGAGACTCGATCCCCCGATTTGGGACAACTGGCTACAGGCCCATGGCCTCGGGTTTCTGCAGACTGGGCAACCAGGCGGCCCGAGACTGACGCCGTGGTTCAACCAGATGCTCGAGCTGGGTCGGATAGTCCACGATATGCTGTCCAAGACCTTCGCCCCGAAAAAAATGAAAGACCCTTCGGCTAGGAGATGGAACGAACTGTCTCTGAGTAAGCTGAACGCTCGGCTGGTCGCGTGGCATGAGGCGCTACCGAGTGAAATGAGGTGGAAGAAGTGGACCACCAACAAAGACGTGCTCCAACCGCATGTGGCCTGCTTGCAGTACGTTTCTACCTTGGTCCCTCTCTGGGTTCTCTTCCCGTGGAAGTGGCAGAATGCCTCTGGTGACATGTTACTCACCCCGTGTGTGCTGCAGTACATTCTATCACTCCACTCGCATCTGCCTGAATCTGCCCTTCATCACGTCCGTTCGGCAAATACCTAGCGTCCCAGATGGGGAGGCCGAGGACTTGACCAACCCGATCATCAAGTCGTTCATCATATGCCAGTCGTCGGCGCAGAGGATAGTCGACGTCTTACAGCGTTTCAGAGCCCAGCACACCCTCGAGAACACGCCTCTGAACTTCATCGGCGCCACTATTCTCGCGACAAACGCCGTCTTGGCCACGACACGGCGCCAGAGCAGCCCGCCGTCGTTGTTGAAGGATACTTTGCTGCCTTTCCTGGACAGCGCCCTGGAAGAGCTGTCCTCGTCGTGGAAGCTTGCCGGGGAGGCGCGGCAGAAGGTCAGGAACGCGCTCAACTTGGCGCAGGTGCGGCATCCGCAGTCGCCGGTCAGGACCAGACAGCCGGATCGGGCCACCGACGGCAAAGACCGGGCCTGTGACCAGCCGCCCGTGGTGAACCCCGTTGAGGCGCAAGCCAGCGCGGATCCGCCTCTGGAAAAGTCCTCGGGCCCAGAGGAGACTGTCTTGGACCCTATGGGCTTGCTCGATAGCGAGGCGGCCTACTGGGGGGGTTATAGGAATGATATGGTTGATGTTTGGGATGCGAACTTTGTCAACCATCTAGCAGACGCAGACTGGCTGAATCAGCCACACATGCCAGAATAAATAAGAAACTAATTTGTACCGAATGTTGATTTAATCCCACAACTATTCTGGACATGTGACATGTAGTCTCTCAATCTCGTTTCTGTACGTCCTTGCTCGACATACATAGTCTAGGGGGTTTCACAGTGTGCACACAAACCTGTAGGGCTGGCCTCCTCTCGTAACGTCTGCTGAATTGTGCCTTTTTTGTGCAAGCATTCTGAGACCGCTGTCGTCTTCTGCACTCGTCGCTGCTGCATCAGAGTCGGAACTCGTCGATGACGCTCACCGGCTTCGTGTACTTGAGCGTTGTCTTGTAGTCGTGAGGCAGGCCAAAGACTTTGGGGCCTGCGATCTCGAGAGCCCGTTCCGTGGCCCAAATCGGGTGCCCCGCCATAACCATGACTGAGACCTTCAGTCCGTATCTGTACTCCTGAACGCCGATGGCCTCTCCCGTGGAGGTGTCCAGAAGGAATATCAGATCGGGGACAGTAGCAAGGGTCTACGGGAGAGACAAATATCAGTCAAAGACACCAGGAGGGAGGGGGGAATACTTACTGTTTCGCCTCCATCCTCTGATTTGCCTAGGACACCGAGATTTTCGTTCATGAAAGGGACCACGACCTCTTCCAGCCCTTGTCCGACCCTGTCCGCCTCCGTCTCCATCTCGCTTTCACTGAGCCTCTCCACAGTGACCTTGCCCAGGCTGTGCGCCGTGGTGGTCAGGGTGCTCTCGACGCTGCGGATCTTGCCCTGGAACAGCACCTTGGCGCTTCCCGGACCGCCGGCCGCCTCGATGATGTCTTTTGTCACGGTCGAGACGGTGCCGGCCTGCTGCGCTCGGGCGACGACGCGTCCGAGACGCCAGGCCAGCGAGTAGGTGTTCGGGATGCCGACCTCGCGCATGAGCTTCCCGGGAATGGGACGGCCGGCGGCGCCGGCCGCGGAACCCATTGCGACGCATGCGTCCCGGATGGCGATGCCGGCGGAGGTCTCGTCGGTCTGGGTGGCCGGGATGACGAAGTTGTGCCCGGTGCCGCTGCAGAGCGTCACAGGGAGGAGCTCGTTGATGGATTTGGCGTGTATGTACTGCGACACCATCTCGAACTGAGGGTACGCACGTCCTAGTAACTCACGTCAGCGCAAGAATATGACATTACCAAAGCCGGAGAAGGCGTACCCATCATATCGCCATCTACTGTCGGTATGTCATAGTATCTTGAGCTTCCCCAGATCAAAGTGGAAACGCCGTTTGCGCCCCCGATCTCGGTGGCTATCAGCTTTTCAAACTTTGTCTTCATCTCCTTCTCCATCTCTTGCATGGCATGCCACACACCATCTCCCCCCGGGCGCTCGATGCTCACTGCTGGCGTGCCGACGCTGGCGACGGGCGGCATCATCTCGTCGTCCTTGAGGTCTTCTATACGGACAATCTTCATCGACTCTCCCTCGGCTAGGAGCTGTTTCAGTTCGAGGTACGGTGCGTACGGGGACCCGCCGCCGCCGCATCCGAGAATATAGCATCCGATGGACAAGAAACGAAGATCGGTTTCGGACAGCGACCACAGGCCGTTGGAGTCCACCATGGGCTTGTAGCTCCTGAAGTCCACCGCCTCGCCTTCCGGACCGTCCTCCGAAGCTGGCGAATCGTGCTTCTTGGTCTCTTCAAACATCTCCTCGTCGACCAGCTGGTCCGGCGCGGCGGTCTTAACCATCTCGGAATAGACTCGCTTATGGTCGGCAGGCAGGGCGACCTCGATCTTGATGGAGGTCTGGTTCTGCACGTAGGGAACTCCGGCAACTTCTTCATGGAGGACCGTCACGGACCTGTCATCTCCGCCCTTGGCCACCGCATGCTGGATCGCTCTGGCTTTGACGTCCGCGATGCCGCCCTGGATGTCGGAGCCGTGGATGATGGCCTCTGCCGAACCGTAGATCCTCGCGATGGACGCGCCAATGGCGTTGGCGACGCCAGCGTGCTCGGGCACGACGACCCTGCTGACGCCGGAGAGCTCTGTAGGGCAGAGGACGGAACCGCCTCCGACGAGGATGACGGTGCATGGCTCGGGGGACAGCTTGGCGCGATCGATAACCGCCTCGAGCATTTTCCGAATCCTGGTCTTGCCTTTCTCGACAACGTCGGTCGTCAGCGACACGGTAGTGTTTCCGATAACGGCCCCGGATGCCACGGCGACATCGGTCGCGGTTGTCACGTCACCTCCGAAGCAGAGAGCCTTGGTCACGAGGTCGTGGCCAACACTGTCAGGCCCAACAGCCACCGAGCCGTCCTCGCCGTTGTGTAAGATGGATCCCCCTCCGAGGCCGATGCTCTCCACAGAGGGCATCTCCAGGTTGACCTTTACACCAGCCAAGGCCGTGTAGCTCTTGGACAGCCTGGGGTATCCGTTGTTGAGAAGATAGCCTACATCAGAAGTCGTTCCGCCGATGTCGACGACGATGCTGCCAGACTTGTCGATGGAATCTCTGGCGAGGAACGCGGCGCCCCGGATGGAGTTTGTGGCACCGGATGAAAAGATCCTGATCGGGGCTTGCATGGCCTCGGAGAAGGGCAGCAGATGGCCTGCGTTGGAACTAAGGTACAAAGGGCACCGGAGGCCGATGCGGCGCATGGCACCGATGAAGGCTCTGATGGTGCGCTGCGCAAAGTTGAGGATCGAGGCGTTGAGTATCGTCGCATTCTCGCGGGCTAGGAGGCCCGGCCCGGCGATGTTGTGGGAGAGAATGATGTTGACATGTTCGCCAAGCTCGCTGCGCAGTATCTTCTCTACCTCGTCCTCCTGGTGGTAGTCTTTGTCGGTGTTGCAGCCGATACCGACGACTGCAACGTTCCCAAGGCCCTTGGCTTTGATCTGCCTCGCCTGGTCCCTGACGGCCTCTTCGTCGATCGGGCCGATGAGGGTGCCGTCAATGTTGCAGCCTCCGGGGATGATGGCCGAGTGGCCGTTGATGATGCGCTTCAAGGCCGAGGGCCAGTCTGCAAAGGGCGGGGTTCCGGTGGAGAAGTTGTGAGAGGCCAGGCGCAGGACGGCAATCTTTTCGACGCGAGACGTATCTCTTTCGATGATGGCGTTGAGGAAGTGTGTTGTGCCGATGGCGAGTGCGGTGATGGCGACAGGGTCCACGGTTGACTTGTCCAGCAGCGCTCTCAACGTGGCCTGGACAGAGAGCGTCACGTTGGATGTGGTCGGCGCTTTGTGAGAGGCGACAACGGCATCTGTGCCAGACTTGGATACATCCAGCAGGACGCTGTCGGTGTTGGTACCTGGGAGTACAGTTGGCGTTACAAAGCTTGATAAATCAGACGAACTCGCCGTCTTGATGGATGCTCACCTCCCACGTCAACTCCCACCACCAGTGTGCCGTCCGTCGTAATCATTCTTGTGCAACCAAGTTATTCGTGCGGGGTTTGAGGGGAATTGTGAAAATCGGCTTGCGCAGACAGCAGACTCTGCAGACTTGAACCCCCAGTGCAGTGCGCGCAGTGTACGGCTCGACTGGACGTATATGAAGCAAGGACTTTAAAGTGTCTTTAATCTCGATAATGGTGCAACGACAGCTTTGTTACACAATGGCTGTGGCATAATCCAAAGAAGCAGTTACGAGGTGGGGATTCAAGTGATAAGCAAACGCATCCGATTCCGTTCATCGGCCCCGGGTAGAATAGGATGGATCCGCTTCTCCACCTAGACTCTACCAGGAGGGGTAGCAAGTCGAGCCCTCATCACCTACTAAGGTAACATAGGATGCTTCCCCTTGATCAGAGGTGTCTGATTACTCTGATTAGGACAAATGATTATCCTGATTAGAGCAAGGCTAGAGACTGATCAGAAGAGTAGAAACTCCCTAGGTTCCTGTGTTATCACTATTGAAGGTAAATCACAGAAAGGCCCTTGCCTGACCAGGAAAAGATAGATAAGAAAAATTCTGGTTCAAAGTTTGTTGTCTCTCCCCTATCAATCTCCTAAGCTACTGACACTTACATCCTCTAATTAGTGTAAGCTGAGGTAAGTATCACCGTCTGTTACCCTCGGCCTGATTGCCCCACCCTGTTCCAGCTCTAGTTCATCTGATGTTCCTGATTCCATGCAGGCGTCATGCACTCCTACATGGGTAGTACATGGCAACATGGGACGGACCGCGCAAGTCAAGAGGCGCATGCGGGAAGCTCTCACGGAGTGAAAGATGCCATAAGCCGTAGAACATTAGGGCAATTTTATCTGTTTGGGAGGGCAAGTCATCTAGAAACATACACATGGCAACAGTACCCAGAATATCAAAATATTGTTCGGAAACAGTAGAATAAGAAGCAGTAGTCAGAAACGTAACGAGAGGGATGGTGCAGATGACTATCTTTTTGGTGCTCCTGTTATAATGACGAAGAAACCCCCCCCTCTCCCTTTTAGAAACGTAATAGTCTACACCTTGATTCAAACTCACGCTTTTCCCGGTTTTATCGTCACTTAAATCAATGCATTAAGAGATCACATTCGAAACATGACTACGTGCTCTTGCTTGGATCCTTGAATATTAACCGACAGGCTGCCAATGTTTCATTGTTTGGGTGGACACCAAAGAAGCATTGTACAGGGATTGATAGAAAGATCTAGGTAGAGGTCAAATGAAACCATCGCATTGTTGCAGTTTTTCGGTTCCTTCATCCAATTATCTCGATAGATCTTCCCATCCATTTAAAGCCGTCTGTGCTCGAAAGTCTACCAAAACCAAAACAACTCTGGGGTTCAAACCGAGTTCCAAGTGAGCCTTTGCAAATCTACTGCGAAGCCGCGTAACTGAGCTAACAGTATCATTTTACTAACGAAAATCGAAGAAACATAGCAACTATGTTAGCCTGGTTTTCCCCGTGCATAGGGCTTTCTGTTAAATCAACGAGAAAAACGTACCCTGATAGCTAGGAGCACTTCTCTAGACTGCAATTTCTGAGACGACTGAAAGGATTCCGTCGGGAGCCGAGACAGGAACCACTGGTCCAGTATGGGGCTCAACCTCCTCAGCGCTGAGGATAGTGACGCCTGGCTCCGAAGATGATGCCACCGGCGCAGCTTGTACCATAGCCGCAAGCGTTGCGGTAAGGAGGATGAGGCGAGCGATTGAAGGCATGTTTGTATATGATTTTGAAGAAGCTGTTAGACAGGTAAACTAGGCAGTAGTTGTGGTATAAGAAGATGGTCTGGGAGGAAGTTAAATAGTACTTTTATATTATATAATGTCCAAAAGGCCCCAGGAAATGCTCCGCTTTATACTTATGTTGCCAAATGAGCGAAATTATAGTAGCTTGCAGCAATGATGAACTGGCCGAGGCATCTTCTTTCCCAACACCCGATCAAGAGGCATTACTCAGCCCAGCAGAACCCAACTAGGCAACCATCTTTCAGCTCATCAACTCAATGAAGTGCCCACCCATCTGTGTTACATTCGATATTATTTTCTGGCCATGCTCACTCAGCAACCTGCCGGGCTTGACTCCACGGCGGTGTTGTTGGTCGTGACAAGGCTCGGGCCTAGACACAGAATTCGACCAGCTTTCATTTATTTTGCTTGGCGAGACCCATTTCCCTAGAAATAGACGAACCATGGGGACAGTGAATGCCAATGGCGGCTTACTCAGACGCAGCATGGGTGTCCGGGGAGGGTGGGCGGGCGGGCCCGTTCGGGACAGGCCCTTGCCGCGAGGAACGACGTTCTTAGTCGCCGGCTCTATTTTCATATTCAGTCTACGGCCGGCAGCACTATATTGTGTAAAGACTTAAAAAGCAGGTTGGTTTCCGCCTCTATGACACTATTCAGAACACAGCTCTCATCATCAGCTCTGTCTCAAGCTTCAAAACCGGTGGCCAGTCTTCTTTCTTCGTGTCACCCACGTCTTCTATCAGTGAGGTCCTACACACCTACACATACGCCTAAATCAAACACCTCCGCTACTAGCACCAACCGCGAAAAGATGCACGTCTCATCCATCCTCGCCGTTTTGGCGCCCGCCACCCTCATCTCGGCTTACACGGCCAAGCTCAGCAAGCAATACTGCGATCAAAAACGCGTCTTGGCCATACGCTTCAGCGCAAATCTCGGCACTTGCTACAACACGGATGGCGCGGCTTCCTACGAATTCAGCGATGTTGCAGCCGGCGGCTCGTACATCTGCGCCGTCTACACCTCGGCCAATTGCGGGGGCACCACCGCAGCACTGTACGACATTTACGGCACTAGCTCGCAATGCGCGAACAGCCCTATCGGCTGGATTTACTCCTACAAATGCTACCTCAAGTGAGCATATAGAAGCGAAAAGGATTCGAGATAACAGGCGGCTGGTGTGTGTCAAGACTGGCGGGGTCAGCGAGAATCGCGCGGGTATAGGCGATCGGAGGGTTTGGGGTTTGGGGTGTAATTACCAGACGCGGCGGTCAGTCATTGAGAAGTCAGATGTCACCAAACACAGCAGGATTTAACTATTTTTGCCCTTGTAGATAATGTCCAAAACTTGATCGTGGTACACTATTTTTTGCTTTTGGAATGATTAGTGTCTTTTTCGCCCAGCTTCCAACAGTAACCTACGTTATCGCTCGCCGCGTCGCCGGCCAGAGTTTGTAATTTACCATATTCATGAAGCTCCAACGGGTATATGAGATGGGGTATGTATGATGGGCTACATACTGATAATCGCCGATTGCGCGGACCATGTACTGGGTCTCTTCAGCTGATTTGATGCCGTAACAAGCTGTGAGTCATACTTCTAAGGCAGCATCTGGAATTGCAAAAGTCTACTACTACGTAACACAGAGACAGGAAGTCTCATCAGGTCTGAAAATTCTTGCCACTTACCATGTCCATGTTGTTTAAAGAGGGGATTGATGTGAAGTTGACACACGTCTAATAGTCTATGGAGATTTAGACTGACAACAAGGCTGATCAGGCAGAAAGTTATGTTTGCCTTTGATTGTATGATTCCGGTTCTCTCGCTAAATTCGAATCACGTTACATTCCTACGTTTTTAAATTTGGTTTGATTTTGACAAACCCATGTAGCTATTGGAAACTGTTAAGACGCCCGATTGAGTTTGAGCTCATACTTGACGTGAAATAGACAAATAGACGAGCGAAATTCACATCTCCGTATTAGCCATTTGCTCAGCTGCCTTTGAAATCATCGCTTGAATGATTACTGCAATGGCCTGCTTCGCTCATGCTCCTGATGAGGTGGTGCGAATCGGAAGCCAGTTCGTCTGCAAAGCAACTCCCAATGTTGATAGGAAGGATTTAAGTAGTGCGTAGCTCGTTACAGGCCAAGATTAGCTGGCCTAAAGCTAAGTGGTCTTACAGCAAGACCTCATAAAGAGGCGGGGAACAAAAAAGAAACCCTCTCATAACGAGCGTAAAGACAAAAGGGGAAGCTGCTGTTGGCAGTGAGGTCTGCCCAGGTGACCTCTAACTGCGCATACAGCCAGCTGGCCAGCGATCATTTCTCCTATTTACACTAGATACCCAATCATAGAGGAATCGCTGCTCAGATTCGCCCATGAATCCTTTGCCTTTTTTATATAGCTTCATTATATCTTTGACTTCCTCTTCTCGTTGATCAAGCAGCAGCTTCATCATCTGCTCGCCAGATGACCCGTTATACACAGCTTCCCTAATAACTATCTCTGTCACCTTGAGTTCCTCACTTCGCCGATCAAGCAGCAGCTTTATTATCTGCTCACCAAATGATTTATTCTGCACAGCTGCTTTAACAACATTCTCTGTCACCCTAACTTCCTCGCCTCGCCAATTAAGCAGCATCTCCATTTGCTGCTCACCATACGACTCATTTTTTGCTGCTTCTATGATAACCCTCTCTGTCACCCTAATTTTCTTGCCTCGTTGATCAAGCAGCAGCTTTATTATCTGCTTGCTAGATGACTTATTCTGCGTAGCTGCTTTGATAACATCCTCTGTAACCTTGAATTCCTCACCTTGTTAGTCAAGCAGCATCTCCATTAGCTGCTCACCAGACGACTCATTCTGCACAGCTGCTAAAACAACCTCTGTCACCTCGACTTCCTTGCCTTGTTGATCAAGCAGCAGCTTCATTGCCTTCACTAAAGATGACTTGTTCTGCTCTGCTGCCCTGACAATCCTCTCTGTGACCTAAATCTCTTGGCCCTGGTGCTCTAGTAAAAGCCTTAGGCAGGCACTGTTAAAACTACTAACAATGACTTTAACAAGGTCTTCTGTGACCATAACGTTTGCACGTTCACTAAGCAGTAGCTCTACTACTTTCTTACCTAAACAAATGTCCTAAGCTGCTATCTATACAATGCCTTCTGTAAGCTAGACTATTAAGGCTTCCCTCTGTATATATGTAAGGTGATGGCTAAGGGCCTAGATTGGGGAAGAAGATGGACGTTGAATTGATTGAATTGATAGGTAGAGGTATCTGTAGATGTAGAATTCAATTTGGCCACTTTAGCTGGCTGGCCAGGCTGAAGGGTAATATGTGTGTGTGTGTTGCCAGCCGGGCCGATGTATCGCCGATCGGCCGGCGATTAACCGATCCATGGGCATCCCGCCCCTTGGCCCAGGGATATCGTTACAATTGCCCCCCTTCCTGGAAGGTCTGGTCCCCAGGCCGTACGCCTAGATAGATGGGATTTAAACCCGGATAGTGGGATTTAAACCCTTTTGATTATAATAGTCAGGTGTTAATAACCCTTATCTGCTCTTTGGCAGGATTTAATTTTAGGTGTTAATAACCCTTATCTGCTCTTTGGTAGGATTTAATTTTGGGTGTTAATAACCCTTATCGCCGTGTAATCAGCGGCCTGTTAGCGGACTCACAAGGCCCTCATCTGCTTGTTAGCAGGATTTAATTAGATAGGATTTAAACCTAAAGGTGGGATTTAAACCTAATAGTCAGGTGTTAATAACCCTTATTGCTGTGTAATTAGCGGCTGGTTGGCGGACTTATAAGGCCCTTATCTACTTGTTAGTAGGATTTAATTAGATAGGGTTTAAACCTAATAGTTAGGTGTTAATAACCCTTATTACTATATAATTAGCAGCTGGTTGGCAGACTTATAAGGCTAAGGCCCTTATCTGCTTGTTAGTAGGATTTAATAGTATTCTTTATTAGACGTATTAACGTTATAGTAACTAGCTCTTATTTTAGCCTTAACTTAGGCTACTGTTACTAACTGTTACTTACTTTAGCAGACAGCCTTAGTATGCCCCTTCTTGTAGTAATACGTATATATAGCCTTACTATAGCACTTCTTAGCACTATAGCCTACTTTACTACACTTACTGTAAGTGGTAGCTAGCTTAGCCTTATTAAGCTAAGGCCTCTTTGCTGACAGCTTGCTGAGCGGCAATTAAACAGAGCTCTCTACAGAGGTCCGGCTGGAAACCTGGTTAGCCTAGAGCTCCTATAGTCTCTTGGCAGTAAGGGCAACGTCCCTTGGCCTCTAGGCAGAGTGCTTCTACTAGATTAGTGCCTGTTATAACCCTAGTTACAGGCAGTAGAAAAACAAGAAGGCTAGAGGCTAATTCTCCTCCTAGTTAGAGCCTAAGGCCTAATAGATTACTAACTATTTAGTAAAGAATTATAGTAGTAATTAATCTGCCTGTTAGGCTTTATATAGCTAGCTATAGAGACGACGCTCTTAGAGCTCTAGATTAACATATAATTAGTAAATAAACGCTTTAAAAGCAGCCTAGAGGCGCTTACTACCTATAGCAGCTTAATAATTTCTTTATTACGTCTAGAGCGTTAGGGTTACCTTTATAAGAGCCTATTTAATATAGTGGCCTTTAGATACTGTTAGCTAAAGCTAATTACCTGCCTTAATAGCTGCTAGCTAATCTGCTACTTGCTTAGGCGTGCTGTTTTCTTATAAGGTGCTATAAGTGTATGCTAGAGGGCGCTTATATTGCTTCTTAGCTATCGCCAGGCGATCAGCAAGCAGTTACAAAAGGGCTACATTCTAATCCTAGATAGTCCGTATTAGCTCTATAACGGATGGAGTGGATAGGGGTAGCTCTGGTTTAATTTAGCGAGTGGTTGCTAAAGAGCGCGTTAATCGCAACAGTTAAGATTATAATAATTTATTATCTATTTCTAGCCTAATCCCTCTTAGAGGTAGAAGTTGAATAATTGTAAGGTGATGGCTAAGGGCCTAGATTGGGGAAGAAGATGGACGTTGAATTGTCAAAGTGGGCCAATTGGCCAGAAATGCACGGTCGCTTGTGGGGCAATTGGCCGCAAATACACCAGTTATTTCCTAGATAGATTTCTCCACTTAAATCAAGGGAAAATAATAATCCAGGCATTTGCCCCTTACTAAAGGGCCAATTAGTAATAGACACATAATATAGTAATAGATATATACATAATAAAGTAATTAATTAATACAGGGTATTACTACTAATTATACACTTTAATAATTAACAGTCTAATCTATAAGTTACTAATTAATATTATTTAAAGCGTTATATAGTATATACGTAATATACACCTTATTATTTATAATAACTAATAAATTAACTACCTAGTACGTTATCCTTAACAGCCTAGCTAATTAGCGCCTATAGATTATAAAGCTTAAGTAAAAGGCCTATAGATATAAGCTATAGGCCGTAATTAACCCTAACGCTAATAATAAAGACTACAAAACCATAGAGGATATTATTAACAGGAGGCTAAAGGAGCTAAATATTACTAACTATCTAATAACTTAAGAGGCAATTAACTAATAGGCCTAAAGTAACTTAGTAGCCTAGACCTAGTCTTAGACTCTATAAGCAGCCTCTACCACCTAGGTAACTAAGCTAGCCTATCTTACTAATATAGGTATTAAGTAACTTAAATATAACAAGAAGGTATATATATACTACCTATATAAGTAGAAAAAGGCTAAAAAGAATATTAATAACCTTATTAACTATATATATTTAACTATTAATCTAAAGCTTAAAGTAGAGTACTATAGTAGTAGTAAGCTGCTATATAAGTAGGTAAAAAATCTTAAGGCTAGAGTAAGTATACTACTCTATAAGGCAAAAGATATTACTATTACTAAGTATAATAAAGTTATAAAGAGAGTAATAGACTATAAGGTTATAAATATAAAGAAGTTAGAGAAGTAGATAACTAAATAAAAAGAGGCTATCTCTAAAGGCATCTAAGTCTAGTAGTATTTAGTAGATTTACTTAGTAAATAGATCTTACTATTAATAAAGGCACTAAGATATACCTTATTATTAATATAAGTAGAATTAAATAAACGCCCCTTTT